TCGCTGACACATCAGTGCTTGCGCCATGATTTTGCTTGGATCGACGGGTCCGGTATATGGGGCATTGGGGAACACGTATGTCGACCCTGCATCTCTTTGTGGAGTCTAAATTTGAAAGGTCTTTTCAGGTCAAGTCCCAGATAGCCATCAAGCGAACTTGTTCGCTGGCTCTCACTGAGTAAGCTTCGACCGGGTTCCATCTCCCCCGCCCGCTATTGTTATCAGCCCACGCCAAACCCACATCCTTACTGAGTCGCGCGTAGGTAGGGTCCGGCCGAAGCTCGAGTGGGGAGGTGGGGGGACGTCGGGCGTGGCAGAGTAAACGAGTCATTGGTGACGAGGCCATACTCAGCCAGTTACAAAGACGTGACATATATCAAGTGGCTGAGCATGCACGAACGACATCGGAGCCCCGTTGGGTTCTTGATATACGTATCTCGGATCTCGGAAGGGATGTGTATTGAAGGCATACGCCTCCCATACATCACCAAATTAGGTTTTTGATGGATCCGTCCAAGCGTGGAGGGGGCTGCGAGTAACATAATCGCGGCCTCATCCACGAGGCTAGTGAATTCCCTTGTCCAACTGGGCGACAGCCTCCTGCTCCGAGGCTGCGTAAGCAGAAACGTCATGTTGGTGGGCAGGCTATCTGAACGTGGATTGGGACGTCGGTTCAGTGCCAAGACGAGGGAAATTAGGTGGTTGCTTAGGTTGCTTGATAGGTTGGCCCCTGCATATTTAGTGGATTGGTGAATTCGGTGGCCACGAACTTCTTACGTGGTTTTGCTTTCGCTAAATCTTGAGATATGTGCCTGGAACGGGAGTTAGTTCCTGCAGCTAATATGGGGTTGAGAGGAAGGAATGAGTTCATTGAGTTTGGGTTTAGTCTATGAAATCCTTCAAGATCGTGAGAAACACTTCTTCCTTTAAAGGGGAAAGGTACGTTGCTCTCATATTCTCACTTTGCCAATCGGCTTGTTTAGCCCTCTTCGTGGAACCAATATTCACATCTACAGACACCTTGACCAGGAGGCTAGCTCGTAAAGAGTCTGAGGAATTGAACTGGCTAAACAATAAGCAGCCTGACTGGAAGAGGCACGGAAAGGGAAAGCTCAATTCCCTTCTTGCCATTCACAGAAAGTTTTCAAAAATTGCAGGCATGTCCTATTTAACTTCAATGACTACAAAGCAATAGCACAAGGGTATTCAAATATATCACTTGGCTCTGAACCATTTTACAACTTGAAGCTCATCGACAGCAGCTCTTTGAACCTTGACCCAAAAGCGCCGTTCCTCTCGAACCCTTCCCTCGCTGCTCACCGACACCCGAGTGATGAACAACCGCTCAAACCACAGCACACTAAATCAGGAGCTTGAGCAAGGACCAATGTCTCGAATCATCAGCCGTGCCGATTTTACCTCAATAGCCAGAGTTACCGTGATAGCTGTCAGAGGGCAGGACCTTCAGACGACCCTGACACTTCTGCTTCGTTCGGCATGGAATTCCCGAAAGATACGTTTCAAAACCCATGACCCTTTCATTACAGACGATCACCGATCAATGATCGCTCTGTTTGATCGTGGCTAAGGAAGTAGGGGTAAGGCGCAGCCTTTGAGCTTCACCCGTGTTTCATGGCAGTTTCATCAGTGAACTATTCTTGATCCTGCGAAAATCTTTCAATTTTTGGTCATCAAACGCTTTTTTTGGGTTCTCAAGACTTTTGAACATTTGGACGTTGTCGTTCTCAAGTTTGGGGCCTTGTCGGGCCTAATTTTTGGGGATGAACATTAAGATAGATCATAGAGCTCACCATCGATCAATCGAGAAAGCCAAAATCAAATTAAGATGCGAATCTTATTGTAAACTTAGACCGCTCAAATTTTGGGCTTTAAAAAGTTGTTCGTCTGACATTCATGGCTGCTTTTCAGGGTTTCTCTCTTGACCTTGACGATCTTACTTCTGCAGTTGAGAACTGAGACACGTCCACCCCCAAAGCATTTTCAGTTGTGAGCTTTCCAAATATCCATAAAAATATGTCGAAAGTTTCGAAAGAGTCAAGTCATGTTTATGAAGGGTATCTTGATTGGCAACTATTAACTAGTATCATCCTGAAGTTCGAGCTGGAAATGCTTAGTCTTTATGTATATTTGAACCCGCCAACTCCTCATTTGTGCAGAACCTAGTGATGAAACGAAAATTGAGATTATCGTCCAGAAACCATATATATTATACTAACGCAATGAGAAAATTAGTATAGAAACGTAGGCAGTATATACCAGCGGAGAACGTTTTGCGTTGAGGTGGCCTGGTACAAAGCACAATGAGGTAATTCGTGGGGCAGTGAGGGGTAGCTAGCGCGACCTGCAACAACATTCCAGACACAATCAAAAGAACATCAACTGTATTCGGTCTCATTGCTGTCTCGATTTCATCGATTTCAAAGATTTAGAAGTCTCAAAATTGACAAATTGACTTCGAAACTCCGGCTCAACAAGTCATAAGATGCCGCGCCCGAAAACCCGAGAGGAAGTCCTCGCAAGACTGCGCAAGACTGTAGCCGATGGCTCCATCATTGTCGGCGCTGGTGCCGGTAAGATTTCGCATTTCATGTTCAATTTCCAGCTTTAAGCGATTCTGATTTGTATACTAGGCATTGGACTCTCTGCTAAGGCCGTCGAGGCCGGCGGTTGCGACTTGATCCTGGTCTACAACTCGGGTCGATTTCGCATGGCCGGTCGGGGTTCGCTTGCCGGACTCATGCCTTACTCAGACGCAAATCAGGTGGTCGTGGAAATGGTATGTCTATACGGATATCTACAACTACGCTCAGCTCACTCTATCAGGCTAGCGAAGTCCTTCCGATTGTCGAAAAGACGCCAGTCCTCGCAGGTGTCTGCGGCACTGATCCCTTTCGCTCAATGCCCGCTTTCCTCGAAGAGCTGAAGAAACTTGGCTTTGTGGGCGTGCAGAACTTCCCCACGGTGGGACTGATCGATGGCCAGTTTCGGGCGAACCTGGAGGAGACCGGTATGGGGTATGGTCGTGAGGTGGAGATGATCGCAGAAGCGCATAAGCAGGGGCTTGTCACTACGCCATATGTCTTCAATAAAGAAGATGCAATCAATATGGCTCGTGCTGGGGCAGACGTTGTTGTCGCTCATGCTGGATTGACGACATCTGGTTCGATCGGGGCACTCAGCGGTCGATCTTTGGAGGACTGCGTGGGCTTTGTACAGGAGATTCGCGATGCCGCAGCCGGTGTGAACCCTGACATTCTAGTCCTATGCCACGGCGGACCCCTCGCGCGCCCCTCAGACGCAGAGTTTGTGCTATCGCGGACAGTCGGGGTCCATGGATTCTTCGGGGCGAGTAGTATGGAGCGGTTACCGGTGGAGATCGCAATCAAGGAGAATGCGGAGGAATTTAAGCGATTGAAGGTGCGGTTACAGTAGGAAAGTGGGCGCGATGCAGCTAGGGGTCTTTAAGAGTTCCGTCATTCGCGAAAAATGATAGAAATTAACCGGTCTTTCCCTATCGAGTCCCAAACGGGTAATTTTCCAGCGCAAGTGGAGACGTGGGGTTGGAGCTTCCACCGAAGTCGCCTGTCGGCTAAATTGAGACCTGAGACTTGGAGTACAAAGTAGCACAGTCTTCCCGATCTTTTTTCTTCTCTTTCCTCTTAATCTCAGACTATCTTCAACTTCAACATGGCTCGCGTTTTGGAAGGCAAATTTGGCATCGTCACTGGTGGATCGCGGGGTAGGGTCTTCTTCCCCGCCGTTTGCGATAAGGACGCCACTAACAACAGCTTCAGGAATTGGTGAAGCAATTGCCCGCAACCTCGCCGCCAAGGGCTGCTCGCTGCTTCTCAACTTCACATCCGAGTCCTCCCGCCCTCAAACAGAAGAGTTGTGCGCCTCACTCGCCTCGGCACATGGCATTCGCTGCGAAGCTGTCCAGGCTGACCTGAGCAAGCCCGAGGAGGCCGTGAAGGATATCATCAACGCTGCAAAGGAGAAGTTCAGCTCCACAGGCAAGCTGCAGATCGACATCTTGATTAACAATGCCGGTGTTGCGGGAGACCGCAACTTGAACGACGCCGCGCGTGGGCCCATTGCCCCAGAGCACTTCAACTGGCAGTACGCCATCAACGTCCTCGCCCCATTACTCCTCACCCAAGCCGTTGCCCCCTACCTCCCCACCGATCGAAGCGGCCGCATTGTCAACACCTCCAGTGTCTCGTCCTCACTTGGCTTCGTCGGTCAGTCAATTTACGGTGGAACCAAGGCTGCGCTCGAGTCCATGACTCGCACCTGGGCGCGTGAGTTAGCGGATCGTGCTACTGTCAATGCCGTCAACCCCGGTCCTGTAATTGGAGATATGTACTTCAAGGCGGGTGAGGACTTCTGGAGTGATATCCAGGGATACCAGGACAACACTCCCATGAGCAAGTTGGTTGAGAGTGATCCGGAGACTATGGGTCGATTGAGCGAGGAGCAGGTCCGTTTGATTAAGGAGAAGATGGGTGGTCGGAGACCTGCGTTTACTAGCGAGGTTGCTTGCACTGTCGGTATGCTGTGTACCCCTGATGGTATCTGGACCACTGGCAGCGTGGTTTGTGCAAACGGTGGCATGAAGATGGGACAGTAACTACCCAGATACATTTAGATTACGAGATACAATGATGATAAAGTCAAGTCTAGCTCTTGAGGGTACTAATTTGCTTGTATTTTCATTCTCTTCCTACACCCCCTCTAGAAGTAAAAACAACTTTGCACAATAGTATATCTCATATAGCAGATCAATCATACAAACCTTTACTCTACAAGAAAGCCCAAAACATCTTTCCAGTATCTTTCCCTTAGGTACTAATCGATTTGTATAAAAGAATCATGTAAATGTTCGGGGAGAATTGGACATCCATTTTTACCCCGAAAAAAATTCCACAGGACGCTTCAAATGCATCGAAAACCCCAATGCAGAGGCTCAGGATGTAAAGCTATATGTAGAGCACTAAAGGCCGCGTCGGCTGAGGCGTAGTCTCCCGGAGCGTAGACTCCTGCGGTGTAGATCCTCGCAGCATGCTATCCCGTGGCATAGCCTGCTGCCGCATTGGCACTAGCGGCCAACTCTGTTGTGATACAACCCGTTGAGGTGCAGTCTGTTCATGCGCAGTAGGTTCAGGCTCTCGTTTCAATCTAGCAAGTTCATTATAGATATCCCTCGGTATAAGCAGAGCACTAGGATTCTCCAGCTTCAGAAAGGTCATGATATCTCGAGGTTTCACCCCTATCACATTCAAATGCTTAATATGCCGCTGCTGTTCTGCCGTAAGCCGACGAGCAGATGGGTGCGCTATCATATTCTCATCAGCTGGATGGTTATGAATGGGGGTTTTGATCTTCAATTCCCATGTAGTCGTCTTCGTTGTCCATTTCCCATACATTTGAAATGAACAGCCACATTTTCTTGACACTTTGTGCCGACGTCTGACTTCAGGAGAGGCGCCAATTTTGTCCTTAGGTACACCCCCTCTGTCACAGCCAATATAGAGGCTTCTGTTTGCCCTGGATTTCTGAATGATTATTGCATAACCCTGGCGTAGAGCGTGATTGCGGAGATAATCAAGAAGATGCCCTTTACTCTCAAAGACACCTTCGGCAGGAGGTCCAGGGAAATACTCTTTCGGCTCCAATGCTGGCTGGGCAGGTTGTTCAACATGGTTTTCGCCAATATCTCGGACTTGTTCAGGTGGGGACTGGAGAAGAAACAGTCTACTGTCGAATAACTCCTCGGCGGAGGACTCCATTTTGGAACGAGAGCCCCGTGAATAGAGTGAAAGACCAAGTACGCCAGAGAGGAGAAGCAAGCAGGGGAAGCAAAAGAAAGACAGGCGAATGTCGTTCTCATGGAGCATCGGTTGGGATCACATGACTTGATAAGATTTATGTTAGAAAGACTTTGAATACAACCAATCAACGATGTGTAAAGCTCTGTTCTTATATTACCTCCGATTCTGGCAATTTATAGGGGGATTCTAGATTACATAAGTAATAAACATAAAGAATAATTATATCTCCTGTCCACCGCGGTATTCGTACCGAAAAAGCGGAGAGAGGCAGACAATGTCATTCTAGAGACGGCTGAAGACCACAACGGAGCCTTCAGAGCACAATCACCATCGACCTCAACCACTAATAATAACCGGGATTCTCCAATCACCTCCTTGCCTTCAGTTGCAAGTACGCCCCCTCCCCCCGTCTGGCAAGAGTTTCGTCTCCAACCTAAATTTCGCTCAAGATCACAGAGCCAGGGCCGGTAGACAACTTCGATATCGATGCGATTGACCAGCTCTGCGACCAAACCAACCGTGATGTTTGCTTCACTTTGTCCGATTCGTCGCCTGTGCAGTTAAGCTTGACACGAAAAACTTTCACCCAAAGCAGACCCCCTGGTCCTGCTTCGGGTAAGGCACCCTCCAACAGCGCAACAAGCGACTATTTGAGGTCGCTCTCTCGATCCGGAAACATTCATGGCCCGCTATTATATCGCAGAAAGTCCGGGCCCCTAGCTACCGCAATCCCATAGCGACGATAAGGCTTTGGAACTCATCACGTTGGCCAGAAATAAGGAAGAATTAGCACGCTTCATATCGCCGCCCAGAAGGGCCACGAGGGGATTATTCGAGTTCATCTGCTTAATGGTAATATAGATGCCAATAAGCATGACGGTCAGACAACCTTGATATCGCGATCATTGAGAATCGCGATTTTATAGTCCGCCTACTACTTTTGTATGGTACTCGAATAGGCGTGTATGATTGCTTGCCTTGCGCTGGGCTATCTTGAATCAACGACTCGGGATCACTCCAGCAATAAATGCACTAATCTCTAGACTCTAAAAAGCGTGAAACCTCCCCGATTGTCCCAAACGTACACACAAGATCCGTAACTCCAACCTTGGGCCCAGCGCACTTCAATGCTTGTATTTTCAGGTGACACCAGACGTTAATTTCCCAATGCAACTTCTAAGTTATCTCCTCTTGGTAGATACCTTCTTTTCTAGTTGGTGATAAGATTTCTAATTGGTACGATATGCATGCGGGATTATTAGGTGTCAATAGTATTTCTAGACAGTCAATTCAATTAATTTAAAGGTGTTCTTGAGTTGGCGTCCCTTCGGTCCACGGGCGCGTCTCCGGGATGATTTGCACACGACTTGATTGACTATCCAATTCCCAATCCTCCATCAAGTCCTCTCGTCGTGAATTGAGGGCGAAACTTTCACGTTTAGCGGTTCTTCTCTGTCTCGAAAATGAACTTGGATGTGATTTCGAATTTGTGTCGAGGAGACTAAGGCCTTCACCCTGGATCCGCAGGCCGTTGGATTTCATCCACTTGATGAATGGACGCAGTTGGCCCCAGCATGCCGTGGTTATGCTTAAGCATTGTATTACTTCTTGTATAACTGTTATATCGCAGAGGTCGTACGTAGGGTCGCTCGTATTTGTGGTGGCTCGTATGAAGGACAGTTCAGCGATGATTGCTCCGCTCACTCTTGAAAAACAAGTTTTAGTCGTTGGACCAGAAATACTTGCAGTGACCAATTTGCCGTAGACTTACAGTGCTCTGGGTACAAAGATGCATGCAAAACCTAAACGCTTTGTGAAGCTAGTCTGGACGCGGTATATCAAGAGCATAGACTGCGTGAGAATCAAGAGATCTGTTGCGATGTTCGACGAGGCGAGAAAAAAATGCCACGCAGTCTGCAGGTACGTGAAAAGAATTAGCAGTGACCGTGCCCCAAGAACAGTTTTGTGCTGCATACTAAATCGAAGCACTTGCCATTCCAGAAATCCCAAGTTCTCGGAACAGCACATTGAAAGGCAGTACCTATTAATGCGACAACTGCCCAGATACCGACGGATATTTCCACGATCCGAGCCAGCAAATGATCCCTTGAGACCGGAGTGAGTCCGCGGACAAAGATAACCAAGGAGAGCTTTGACGTGCAGAGGGAGAGTATGTAGAGAAGTGAAGCTGAATATAGGTTCTAAACCGACGTCTTTTAATCAATTTGATGACTGGACTCGTCAGGCAATCAACTCACTTTCATAGTCTCATCAAATTGCGAGGAAGAAACTTTGTTAAAATGCTTTCCGTAGCCTGATGCTACTGCCAGAGAGATGGCAAGGCTCTGGCCGATGCAAAAGATCTAATCCGTTAGTTCCTGCCGTGGCACATGTGAGTCGATAAGTAGGGAACACTCACCAGCGAAAGCGTAATTAGACCGTCATCAAGCTTCAGGACTCTGTAGAGACGCCATTTTGTCCAGAGCCGTACTAAGATGGCCAGTGAAACGACGACCAAGCAAAACCAAGTCGTACAATTCACGGCCGGGTCTTTGCTATCACCGGTGTATCGGGTTCCCATCGGGATTAAACCTTCAAACAACGGGCAAAACTATCGGAGACAGCAATAACGCAACCTTGAAAGATGCATGTCTCAGGAATTCCAGATGTTGAGTGTGATCCCAACCGCTTGTAATAATAAGTCGCGTGCCCCTGGTCGTTCACCAAATCTGAGACGGGGCACTCGGGGGTTCTAGAGTTCTAAAGCCACAAACAATTGCCAGGATCCAGATCCTAGGAGATTCAAGGATTGCCGGGCGGATTTCGGGGTTATGGCGCAGAACCATGACGAATCTGCGCCATATTGCAACGCAGGTTGATAGCACTATCTGATGGTTTCAAGGGGCGACACGCGGACACTTCCCCCCCAAAGCCGTCCACGTTGGCTTCACTCCAAATGTCCGACGGCTGGAATATTTTCCATCTCAACCCACGAGAGCATCTGCATCTCCTGAAACTCAGCCCATGCCAAGATGTGCGCAATTCAAGCCGCTTCCCATGCAGTCTCGAGCGCCCGGGGTGACCCGATCTGAAGCGAAGGATCCGAATCCTGGTCAATGATCCCTGTCGCGGGGCCAGATAGCAACCTCGCCTATAACGCACTCTGGCATCTGCGACCCGCCAAGGCCGTGTTTTCTGCGCTTAATTGGGGCTAATTGCAACTAGCCTTAAAAGCTTCCGTCCCGAATCTAAAAAACCTCGCACCTAGTGGGCCTCCATGTCTTGGCTCTCCCGCGGCCCACCCCAACTCTCTAAAGTACTCGAGGTAATGCATACTTAGTGGCCTTCGCTCTAGCTGCAGCAAATTTGCGATTCCCTGCAATGTGGAAGTCCATGATCCTTCGGTGACACTTTCTTTGCTTTTTCACCCTCTTCCGCCCCCGTTCTTCTGCATGCTTGCGTTTCTTCCCCTTGTTTCATTCCTGGGCGTTTGCGACAACAATGGCATCGTACGAGCTGAAGGATAGGCCGGTCTTTACCAATGAAGCTGATGAGGACATTTTCGCAGGCGACAATGATGCGATCCAGCTTCAGCGACTTGGAAAGAAGCCGGTGCTTAAGGTTTGCTCATTCCGATGATCGCGACAATTCGGGCGCTGATTATGGATTGTACCAGCGAAACTTTGGCGTTCTCTCGATTCTTGGATTGAGTTGTACTATTCTCGCTACATGGGAGGGATTACTCGAGTGAGTATTTCCTACGATCTAAGATGTACTGTGCGCTAATTGTTTTTATAGTACATTCACCATTGCCTTGACGAAGTTTGTTCCACCTCCACCTTCGATTAATAATCTGTGTCGCTGATAGTCAAAAGTGGCGGTTCTGCTGGCGCTGTCTACGCCTATATCTTTGCCTGGACAGGAACAGCATGTTGCTTCTTAGTCTTGTCAGAAATGGCATCAATGTACGCCTTTCCCTCGACCATCCATGAGCCAATCTGACCACAGCCCAGGGCACCCACCTCGGGTGGCCAATACCACTGGACCGCCATGCTCGCACCAGCCCGCTACATGAAGTTCCTAAGCTACATTACAGGTAGAATTCACAGTCCATTAAAGAGGTCCAATGCACTGATAATCAACAGGATGGCTTGCAGTCATTGGCTGGCAAACCGCTTTCGCTTCAGCAGCCTATCTTTCTGGCACTGAGATCCAAGGGGTGGCAATCCTCGCAAACGAAGCCTACAATGCTATGTCGTACCAAGGCACCTTGATCATGTGGGCGACCTTGGTCGTCGCGCTCCTATCCAACTTGGTCGGCGGCAGGTTTTTGCCCCGACTGGAAGGTTTCGTCCTGGTCATTCACATCTTGGGATTCTTCGCTATCATCATCCCTTTGACATACATGTCCGATCACAAGACAGATCGCGAAGTATTCCTTGAATTTCTAAATGGCGGCAACTTTGCAACCCAGGGCTTGTCTTGGTTCGTCGGTCTTAGCGGCTGCGTCTTCGCATTCGCCGGTGGAGATGCTGCTGTCCACGTTAGTAGATTTCAACCCTGGAGTATCGCTCATTAACTGATTACTTGAAAGATGGCCGAAGAAGTCGCGAACGCATCAGTTGCGATCCCTCGTGCAATTATGCTCAGTGTCTTGATCAATGGCAGTCTCGGGTTCGGAATGTTAATTGGAATTCTCTACTGCGCAGGAGACATCGACGCTGCTCTGAACTCTCCAACCGGGTACCCCTACATCGAGATATTTTACCAGGGAACAGGCTCCCTGAGCGGTACATTGGCCATGTGCTCAATACTCCTGATTATTGGTATCGCTTCATGTATCGGTATGCTGGCCGCCACCTCTCGTCAATTCTGGTCCTTTGCAAGAGACCGTGGTGTTCCGGGATGGCGCCTTTGGACCCAGGTTAGTCAATTCCCCCTATATGATCGATGCGTAGCTAAAGCATATCTGCTCAGATATCATCCCGCCACCTACCTGTCTACTCAACTCTTCTGACCACCACCATCGCCACTTTGCTCGGCCTGATCAACATCGGATCGGACGTCGCGCTGAACGATATCCTCTCCATGGCTGTGTCTGGAATCTATTCTTCCTACCTTATTGCCGGAGGACTTTTATTATACCGCCGATGTAAAGGTGATATCTCCCAAGATAACGGAAGCGACGAAACGACCGTCAATGTGCCTGGTGCGAAATTGGTCTGGGGACCGTTCCACGTGCGCGGAATTTGGGGTATATTGCTTAATGGTTACGCAGTGATCTACATGATAATCGTTATTTTCTTCAGTTATTGGCCATCTGATATGAACCCAAGCGTGCAGGATATGAACTACAGTGTTGTAGGTACGGTTGGGGTGGTTTTCTTGGCTATTGTGTACTATTTCGCACGGGCTAGACATATCTACCAGGGTCCTGTTTTGGAGACTTCGTGAGGCGAGAAATTGTGAAGAATTGGATTTGCTGTTTGCTGAATAAAATTTCATATAACAACCACTCAAGAGAATCTCAATTGGAGCCGTTCTTACAACTCTCAGGTTCTGTTAATACACGTACCTGAACTCCCTGTTTTTCAGGTCTGTAGTGTCTACAAGTTCTCTTTGAGTTGTAATACCTGTCTTCTCTTGCTCAACGGCTGGGTCGTTGTTACTAGCCTTCTTCTCACGTCTCCTGTTCTCCCAGCGAAGATAGAGCAACAGCACAAAGCCATCAACAACGCAGATGACGAGGCAAATTATGATTGCCAAGAAACCGCTCTGTGAGCCTGTTAGTTTTTACAGTCGCTTATGGCATGACAAGAAGAATCCATACCTGGTACTTGGGAGCCTCTCGCGCGAAGAACAGTTGGGGTCCAATAATATTACCCGCACAGTACATGATGAAATAGATCGAGCTGACAGTAGCTTTTTTTGTAAATCCACCAACATTTGAACTGATCATCGCCAGAGAGACTGGCATAGCTGCAGAGTAAACTCCCATGAGGAGCAGACCCGCATAACGAGCCCCGACGGAGTGTCCGGCGTAAACGAGGGCACTTCCAATTATACTGCTCCATGTTAGCAACAGTCTCTTCTCGTACGGCTGGGTGTTATCGTGTACCTAATGGTGTTCATGCCAATCATGGCAAGGCATCGGCTATTAGCGACCTTGGACGTAATCATACCTCTGTGTGACGGTCAGTAATCAAAAGCTGGGGACGAAAACGACGGGTCACTTACCCGCCCAGCACAAAGATGAACACAATAACACCTCCAGGAATACCGAGGAGAAGTGTGTGGAACGTGCTGAAACCGAACCCTTCCAGGACTAAACCGTTGAACTACTTTATATTAGCAAGCTACCTTGAATATATGGCAAATCATTCTCACTGTAGTAAACCCTCCATTTGGAATATTGGATGCCAAAATGAGGACAGCAAGAATCCAAGTCTTAGGATCCACGAAGGCTTCCGCAATTTGACCTCGGTTAATTTGATTATTCTTGAATCCGGTCTTGTTTGCCTTGAGTCTTTCGATCGCGATCATTCTCTCTTCTTCATTCAAGAACTTAGCATCAATTGGTGAATCTGGAAGACGGAAGAGCATCACAATGCCCCATAGAAAGGTGAAGATTCCGAAGATGATAAAAAGCCACTAAAATAAATGTTAGTTAGATTCTTGTAGTCGAAGGTGTATGATATCTGACCTGCCATGCATAGAGGCTGCTATGGATTTGCAGGATGCCCACGGCGATAAGGTTGCCGATGATTAAGGAGAGTGAATTTCCACAGAACCAGATACCGGCGCGAAGTGGCTGTTCTGATGTTCGATACCAGAGAGAGGTAACGAGGGTGAACCCGGGGGAGAGGCTGGCCTCGGTGCATCCGAGGAAGAATCTGGTCACCATTATTGTTGTGAAGTTGGTTGTTGCCGCATGACAGGCTAGAACGATCGCCCAAAGAAGACTATTCTCGTTGTTAGGAGCTGTTTTGGATTTGAAAGATGGTTTCTTGTAACCAACAAATTCGCAGCAAGGTACTTGCCAAGCGGAAATTTGACCATCAAAAGTGATGCAGGATATCTGTTGGCCTAGTCAGCCAGCGTGCCAGCTTGTAAAAAGGGAACGATGGTTTCGCACGAGAAAAACATGTATCCAAAGTAAAACATGCCCGAGACCCAACTGTACTGTGAGCCGACAAGATGGAGTTCTTCACGAATCCCCATCAACGAAGTATAGTTCAGCGTTTGTTTATCCAAGAAGGCCATCATATAAGCAACAAGCATGATTGGAAGGATACTGTAAACAACCTGTCAACACTGAATTACACCATCTGGTGGAAGGCAACTGACGTCAAATCAATCTTCCGAACGAGCCTTCTCTCCGCTTCCGGGGAGAACTGGTAAGAGGGCAACTGAAGCTGCTCCACAGCTCCATGGTCAAGACTGGGTCTATCCACCTCGTGATCTGCACTAGCGATCTCGTCCTTCTCATACTTGTCCGCCATGATTTTTCTCTTTTTATAAGGGCGGATTGAGTAAGAGTGAATGAGCTATCTCCGAGTCGAATATTCTCTCCTATTTATACCAAATGCTATATCTACCCAGCCAAGAACAGAGCCATGAACTTATCGCCTCCACTCGACATTCTGGGCGCCACGATAAGTTCATCTCCGCAAAATCGTCCGCCTGATAAGGAGTGACTGAGCGGATCAACTTCGTGACGGATCGCCATTGGCTGCTTCGGCAAGGTCAAGCGGGGCCAAGCACATTAAACTCGTGCCGAAGACAGAAAGTATACTAAAATGGCATTGACCTGTGGCCTGGACCTGTCGGCGCCTGGTACACGCAAAGTACTATTGGACTTCCAAGAGAATAAGATTGGGGTCCCGAGATAAAGCAGGAGAAACGAGACATTAATCGGCGAAGTACGGGCGATGCAGCGTGATAGCGTTTCTGTTCGATCTTTACGATTTGCTAAATGCCTTATCAATCTCTCTGGAAATCCGCCTTCACAGCCTCGGCAAACTCGTCATCGACCAATACCTGACAAGCGACCACGGCCATTCCAGCCGCGCACGCGATCGATCGCTTGTGTCCTTCGGGCGATCCAGCCCAACTGGTGAACTCGGGTGTGTGGTTGACTCCCTTGGCTGGGATGCAGAAAATGCCATGGAATCCGGGAACTTCGTATGATACATTGCCTAGGCTTGGTTAACTGGTGTCTAAGGGGTGGAGTGGAAGTACGAACCCATATCTGTGGATGCTCCAGCTAGTGCGCCTTTCTGTTCTGAGTTATCTAGGAGCGTGTGGTGACCCATTGCACGCATAGCTGAGACATAGCTCTCGCAGATTGGTCTGTTGCTCTTCAGATCGTCGTATGAAGGACCCCTGCCAGGATTCATTAGGCATGTTATGACAATTATGATCTTGTGGTGTAGGAACTTACCATTCATAGTCAACTTTGCATCCTGTGGCTGTCGCGGCTGCCTCAAAGCACTTGATCACCTTCTCTGTCAGGGGCTTCAAGGTCTTCTTAGTTGGCGATCGAATATAATAATCCACCGTGGCCGACATAGGAATAATATTTGGGCGCTCTCCTCCATTCACAATAACACCATGAATCTTCTGTGTGGGAAAAATCTGTTGACGAAGCATAGAGATGCTGACATAGGCCGAGACAACGGCATCCAGGGCATTGATACCCTCCCAAGGCGCTGCAGCCGCATGAGCAGGCTTGCCTGTGAATGTCACCTTGACCTTATCATTGGCCAGGAAGCCTCCCTCGATGACAGTCGCCATGCCATGAAGTTCGGGGTTTCCAGGCGCCATTGGGACGGGATGCACCATGAGACAAGCGTCTACACCCTTATAGGCACCGGCATCGATCAGTCGAACCTTGCCACCGCCAGATTCCTCAGCCGGGGTGCCGAACAGACGGACAGTGTATCCAACATCTGGAATGGACTTAATAGCCTCGCAGGTCGCGATGAATGCCGCGATAGAGCTTGTCGCGATCAAGTTGTGACCACAGGCGTGGCCGATTCCAGGGAGAGCATCGTATTCGGCATTGAATGCCACAACACGCCCCGGCTTGCCATTCGACCATTCAATTTCGAAAGCAGTGTCTAGCCCCCAAGCTTTGCGACGGACCTTATAGCCATCGGATGAGACTGCTTCAAAGAAACTACAGATCGCTTCATGAGCATCATGCTCAGCATATGCGAGTTCTGGGTTAGACCAGATCTGATAGAAGTCAGTTATATTGCTATTCACTTGCGCTTTGACGAGATGAATCTTTTACCTTGTGATTAATCTCCTTCAACTTCTCATCCCAATCGCCAAGCGATTGCTGGACCTTATCAAGGAACTGTCTCTGAGCTTCGGGAACGTGCATTACGATCGTCTTTAGCAAGGATGTTAGATAGACGTTATGATTGGAATTCGGGGATTTAAATATAGAGAACGGAGACGAGATTAAACCCGAAGTTCAATCGTGGTGCTAAATCAGGTTAGTATGGTGTTTGCCGACGCAGCCACTCGGGTGATCCGAACCGGCAATTCTTATCGATTTGCCTCAGTAACGACTCCCCTCGGCAGATATCCTCTTCCCCGCCATTTTCTCACTTAAATCTCCGTTACCTGTCTACGCGATAGGTTCGGCAAACATTCAATGGCCTAGTAACCCCAGATATATCCACCAGGAAAAGGGCCCAAATGGAGCTCGGCAGGGTTCACGATGCAAAAGGGCAAGACACGTTCCAAGACAGGTAAGGATCCGCACAGCATCCCTCCTTGCCAAAGACTAAGCAAGGGCAGGATGCCGGACGTGCCGCATTCGCAAGGTCAAATGCGATGAGGAAAAGCACAATGTAGAAGGCCAAGATGAGCCACAATGCCAGCGCTGCTCATCAGCGCGTCTCCGGTGCGAGTGGAAAGGCGGACCCATTCCACGCAAATTGGCATCGGGATTAGCATCCTCTCCATCGCCCTCGGATAATTCGCCAAGGGACCATCTCAATGGCGCTGACCTGAACCAGCTCATGCGAAGGCGGCAAGCTGCTGAACAAGCCTTCAATGCTGCCAAGCCACCATTGCTTCCTTCGCAAAGACTGAGCAGTGCGAATCCCGACCGGAGTATTCAAGCGGCAAATTCCTTGACTCTATCTGCCTTTGACCGCGACTGTCTTAGCTATTTGCAGAATTCGACACTAGTGGTGATCCTGGGGAAGCACTGGCCCTGGTCCACTGTCTCGTATGCTTACCACAAAATCGCGGTTAAAGAGCCAATGGTCATGAGCATGATTCTGGCTAGTACTGCTCGGGAAATTCATCGCTCAAAACTCTTCGACGAAGACAATTTATCCAGCAGTCCTTCCAAGAATGAGTCCAATGAATTTGACGGTCGCATGCACTACGGCCGCGCATTGTCAAGCCTTCGACATGCATTGAAACAGGATGTGAAGACACCACAGAAAATCGAGGCCGTGTTTATCACATTATGGCTCATGATCGATTATGAAAATAGATTTGGTAGCGGAATCACGGCTATCAATATTCACATCCGAGGCATTGAGACCCTTCTTCATAACCATATCGTCCCTTTGCTTCAATCTGGGACGGCACCCCAGAGGCCATCTCCATCTAACACCGCGGTCGCAATCGCACCCGAAGGATCAAGTTCCGATTCGCAAACGCAACCCGAGAGACAACTGTCGATGGCTGGAGCAACTCTCGCCGAAGGATCAAGGGAAATCGCTTTGGCAGACCCACTCGAGTCACTTCGTTCTACATCGGTGCCCCTGTTTCTCTTATGGACATTGTATTTTTTCACTCCATCCGCGTTGTTTTTCGGACCCGATACGACACGACTGGACACAGATATCTACCAGTTCTTCCTCAATGCCGAAAGTGGCAATGCGGATCACTTGAGCCTGCCTGAGCTCTACCGAATCTGCAGACAGTCACCCACTCGCTTCTGGGGCGAGAATTACCCAATGTCCGCCCAACTGGATGATATGGAGAACCTTCCCGGTTTGACATTGTACCACAACAGCCATGTCATTCAGTTCAAGATCACCGAGCTGTTCCAGCAGGGTATTGTGGATGACGCTTCGGGCGCAAAGTCGCCCTATCAGCAATTAATTGACCAATTAAATATCATCTCCGTTGTAGGTATTCTGTCCCAATCTGTCGATTGTTCGCTAACAAAAATAGGAATACGACACCGTCCTAGTAACCGCCAAAACCTCACCATCATGCGACGCACCCGGCGACCGCCGCGTCCTAGAAACAGTCTGTTGGTCCGCCATCACCTTCTACAGCACAGTCGTATTCTTCCACCTCTGCTTTCAAAGCATCCTCAACAAACACCCCGGCACTCAAGTTCACGACAACCTCATGACTCTCCCCGACGCTGTGTCCCAAGTTCTCGAGCTAAGCCTAAAAGTACATCGCAGCCGACCGCGTCTGATGATCCGAATCATCTGGCCTTTGTTCTTAGCTGGCATTGCAACTTCAGATCAAATCTATCAGGACTGGGTGGCTATCCAGTTGAGGGAACTTGGGAGGTTTGGTGAGAACTATACGCGTATTAGTAGGCGATTCGATGAGATTATTCAGGGGAGTCAGCCTTATTTGTGCAGGGATTTCCAGTTAAATGCTTCTAGTACCTGAACAGGTCGAATCTGGTTATTATAGATAGACTCTTAACGATGCAAATCGAAAATGAAGAAAAGTCAAAGCGTCGCACAGATCCTTCAGGTTCTCCGCGAAAAGACCGCGAATTACAACTGTGTTGATCTCTCACCTGTACAAAAACTCGATTGAAGCTAGTACAAGTTCATCATAGCTCATAGTTAGATACATGACTAGCTACTCAACAAGGACCAGTGTTCACTCTAATACAACAAAAATAAACGAACACATCACACCACGTGGGTCTCGAATAAAAGAGGCTAAGCAATTGCGGGCGCAGATAAGCCCCGCCTCCCGAGAGCTTGAATTTTCTCCTGAACAACGCTCACCATGTCCCCAGACGTAGAGAAAGGCTTACCGGTTCAAAATATCTCGGACAAATCACAACAAGCTAGCAGGAGAAATTCCGTTAGCGAAACTTCTTCAGCCCTGGAGGCGCTTCACAATGTCAAATCTCCCCATGTGGCAGACGGACCCATCGAAGGATCCGGATCCCCAGCGACGGAGAAAAGTGCTTGGGCCCGATTTCATGATCGACTCACCTCAATGAAACTCTTTGAGTCGCGCGGTATCGAGCGCATTCCGGTCGAGGAGCGCCATGATATCAAAACGGCGGATTATCTGCAGATGAGCTTGTTGTGGTTCAGCACTAATATCACGGCGAATAATATGGCGCTTGGGATGCTGGGGCCGTTGAGTTATGATTTGGGATTTGTGGACTCGGCGCTTTGTGCGACTTTTGGTGCGTTGCTTGGTGCTGCGGGGGTTGCATATATGGGCACTTTTGGTCCTGCCAGTGGAAATCGGACTATGGTATGTTCTGTTTCGCTCAAATGCGGCCGGAGTGGGACTTATGTGGAGATAGGTTATTGCACGATACTTCATGGGCTACTATCCTAGCAAAATCGCATGCCTACTGAACATCATTATCATGTTGGGCTACGGTATGATCGACTGTTTAGTCGGTGGTCAAGTCCTGTCGGCGGTGGCGGGGGGCCGAATGACCGTTATCGTGGGAATTATCATCATCGCCATCGTGACATGGGCTATCGTCCTTTTTGGAATGAATGTCTTCCACATCTACGAACGATACGCCTGGGTGCCCCAACTGATCGCCGCCTTCGTTCTGGTCGGCAGCGCGGGGCCTAAATTCGATACGTCAATCGTGTCAACGGGATCATCTGAAACTATTTCCGGAAACCGTCTCTCATTCTTCTCGCTGTGCTTATCAGCTTCAGTGGCATGGGCACCTGCCGGCGCTGACTTCTTCGTCTACTTCCCGCCTACCACATCGAAGTGGAAGACTTTCCTAATGACCTTCCTTGGGGTCGGGCTCGCATTGACATTTGTCAATCTCCTGGGCGTCGGACTCGCCTCTGGTACATATAACCATGCATCCTGGGAAACAGCTTATGATACATCCTCCGGCGCCTTGATTCTCGCGGGCTATGAAGGTCTAGGCGGCTTCGGCAAATTCATGGGCGTCCTCGTCGCGCTTGGCCTAATCGCAAACAATATTCCTGGGACATACTCCGCCTCCCTGGGCTTCCAAATTATGGGCAGACAACTAGCCCGCCTTCCACGCTGGTTTTACTCATGCGTCGGCGTCGTGATTTACACCGCTTGTGCGCTCGGTGGCCGGAACTATCTCTACGATATCTTTGACAATTTCCTGTCATTGATGGGATACTGGGTTACGATCTATTTAATGATTGCCGTGGAGGAACACGCTATTTTCCGGCGAAAGTTGGGCTTTAATTGGGATGACTGGGCCGATTCGTCGAAATTGCCGGTTGGTATTGCGGCTTTGATGGCTTTCTTGGTTGGCTGGGCTGGTGCGATTGTTTCGATGGATCAGGTGTGGTATGTTGGACCTATTGCCCAAATGGTCGGTGCTTACGGCTCGGATTTGGGTATATGGGTTGGTATCTCGTGGGCGGGATTGGTGTATCCGCCGCTAAGATGGTTGGAGCTAAAGAGGTTTGGTCGGTGATGGAACAGGATTTGTAATGTTTGTGTTCGTAGCAATTGTGGGCTTCTGCCCCTCTTGCTCCGAATCTCTTGTAATAGTCTAGATCCATCGCTTCTATCTATTAGAATCTGTTCATTTCTCTTTCATTCTTTTCTTCTCACATTTATATGTAGTTAATGGACCTAGCTACCTTTCGTCACATTAAAGGTTTAACTTTGTTTGAATATTATAGTAAAAGAGCACTCTAAATAGAACTTCCGTCCAAAGGTCCTAAACCTGAAATATCATCACGCTCACCGCCATCTGGATGGTGTCAGAGAATTAATAGTGAGTGAGGTTGAGCTGAGTCGCAATTTACCCCGTAGGATAGGGCTACCATTAGGTAGTGCCTTTGAAAAAGTGGCTTTAGCACGCTCACAAAGATATAAAAGGGAAAGCGGCCTAGATAAGGTGCGGTAGTCAGAATGACTCACTCTGAGGTTACATATTCAGACAACAGTGGATGATAGCAGTTAATCTATAACACTCGAGTGGAATGGAGCTCTACCCCCTCCATTGCAAACCAGGATCGCAGATATATATACACATATTCATTAGTCCACCTGGGCACATAAACAGTCATGTCTACCGAACAATCCCCATTCCCACCGGGATTCACAATCTCCACCACACGCCTACAAATCACTCCCTTCGACCCTACAAGCCAAATCCACTGCAGATTCCTCGTCCAACTATGGAATACAGATGACTTCATCAATTCAAGCGGTCGCACTGGCATCGACACCCCTGAAAAAGCATCATCTTTCATCCAAAACCGGGTTATCCCATCCTACGCCCGCAATCGCTACGGTCAATTCCTCGTATCATTACACGACGGCCGGCACATCGGCATGGTTTCCCTGATGAAGGGCTCTCCGCCTGATGCGCATTACACCGCTCCAGATGTCGGGTATGCGATCCTACCCGAGGAGAGTGGGAAGGGATATGCGACCGAGGTGGGGAAGGGTGTGCTAGAATATGCGCGGGAGGATCTTGGCATTGAGGCAGCGTTTGGATTCTGTGTTGCCGAGGATATGCGGAGTCGGAGGGTTTTGGAGAAGATTGGGTTGGTGTTTAGAGGAGTTGGGGATTTGGTTGTGTTTGGGGGAAAGAGGAGCGCTGTTTATGCGTTGCCTTCTATGGGGGATTTAGAGGCTTACAATCTGACGGAGAAGCTTGAGGTATAGAAATTGAATTTTACTATTGTAGGCCATGGAAACTATTTCCTTGTAATCGTAGCTACATTATTTGTTCAGGTCGTCTAGGGCATTGCTTTGTAGATGTGGTCACCTGGCGCGGGAGGTTGTAGGAAATCGGCAGGGAGGTTCTCAGGCAGTTGATGCTGCTCTGCCCATTCACGTATTTCGTCGAAATTTTTGCATCGCTGGCGCGTGTTGAAGTTGACGAATGGTTCGGGGTTCTCGGGGTAGATCCAGACTTGGCCTACAACGCCGGTGTCTACCGTGCACATGAGTTGTTGGCGGAGGACATCGACACATTGGGCTTGGAATGGAGTTAGTTTGGATTGTGACATAGACTGATTGGAATGATTACCTATTTGATGCTGGGCAATGAAATCATTATTTGCGAAAGCGCCTTCGCCCTTGGAGTGGTAATAATCGTAGTTGAAGTAGAGGGATTGCCGCAGGAGATTCTAGCTCAGTGGTCAGAATGCAAGGTTTCGAGATAGAAAGGAGATGCGAACCAAACACTGAAGATGCTGGAGACCCTCTACGTTAGCGGGAAACCCTCCCCCGTATCTCGGGTTGATCTGGACTTGGTCGGATGAGAGATCTGACCCGGCTGCTTCCTCGGGAGGTACTCGGATACTTCGATCTAAGATAGGTGGCAGTCAGTCTTACAGTTCAATCAGCAGAAGACAGACATACAGTTAACTCCCAGGGCATCCCAGGCCGAGTCTACCTCCGGACTCGCCTCTTGTCTATAGACTGTCTCCCTCAGCAGCGGGTTGTTCGATTTTTGAAGATGGTATGTGATTCCCACCTCGCTCATCACCGGGGCTGGATAAAGCTATCAGTGCGCGTTTTGAAGAATTCCTCGGTTGTATTGACTCACAGTATTGGGAAACATGCTGACTGCACTGGCTGTCCAAATCCCCATGCCACATCATTCCAAACAATATCCCAAGAAAAAAAAAGATTCCTACTGTAGTGACTTGAAGAATTGTAGTTACCCAGTCGTCGCAGGTATCGATTTCCTCTTCCTGGGTCCATGCCTCATCCTCCTCTTCAGGCAGAAGGCCTTCGCGAGACTCGAAGTCTCCATCTTCTAGATCGGGGGACTTTTCTCTGAACATCTTCACCGGGAATAGAGAATCAATGATTTGGATACTTGGAAGGTAGGATATGAACACCAGAGGCGGGCTGGGAGTTGGAAAGAACTGGGCTCCTGAAGGAACAACAAACACCGCTCACAACCACTACCACTACCGCAGCCCGCTACTAAGCAGAAACTAGCTTGAGACAGGTTCAAGCTCAGACACATCTCATTACTCAGACCTTCTTGGCCTAATCCCAGCCAGACCGCTAGTCTGGGTCACGCATTCCTCCAGCAGACCAACTCTTACAGCCGGGACAGGCCATCGCAGTCGCAGTCGCAGTTGCAGTCGCGGTTGCGCATTGACACCGTCCAATGTCTTCCCTGCGTGTCTTACACGTTTTACGATCCCATGAGTGACCCCAGAGCATGGTGCACGGTTGATCGGACATGTCCCCCCTTGGGAGGCTGGACCGGCACCGGGACAGCATTTGACAAACCACGGAGCATGATGTCGTAATCGAGTCTTGTCAAAGACATGCGATGTACAGAATGCAGATTGAAAGCGCCCGAAGATCAATTGGAATGCGCTTAAACCTTTTTGGGAGAGATCGGCAGTCCGAAAGCCAAATAGCGCGAGCTTCCACGCAGCTCAATGCGAGGTTCATCATGCAAAGTTTAAACACCTGGAGAGTAAGACACTCCACGCGGGGGGTTTCTTAGGTTACCTAAGATATATGGCTCATACTACCATGGGCCAGTGTCCTCTGAAATCATCGCGCAGTTGTTCTCTCGCCGATTTTCCCGTCCCCCGCAAGGCGCCATGATTCTCGACTGCACGTTCGAAAAGCCGTCCCTTGCAGCTTGGCCCGGATCCCAGCAAAACTCAATGACTTGAGCTGCCATCGAGCTCAGACATCGACCTCAACAGCTGCGAGAGCTCGTAGAGCTACGTAATGGCGAGACTTGAAGCTCGGCGAGCTGTGCTCGACTCGAATACAAATACGAGGTGACGGTACCGTCTTCAATCTTCATCAACTCAAGCAGCTCTCGAGATCATCACAGATCAAAAGAGTTCTTTCAGATCAATAAAAAACACCTTGATCAATTCACTTCAATCCTCCACAATGCGCTACTCTCTCATCAACGGCCTGCTTATGCTGGCTGTCTCCCCCTTCACCTCTCTGGCTCTTCCGGTCGACCCCAATGACCAGGCTGGCCAGTGGGATCCTTCTGGCCAGTACCGTAAGGGCCACTATGTGAATGGAGAGTTCATCCCAAATGATGGTGGCGAGGTCGGCATCTACGAGAACGGCCAGTACAACAACGGCGAGAACTACAACAACGGCCAATACACCAATGGCCAGTATAACAACGGCCAGTATAACAACGGCCAGTACAACAATGGTCAATATAATGACGGCCGCGTCCAGCGTCGCTGGGTGCCCGGTGTCGACCTTCCTGGCGAGCGCTACCGTGGTGCTTTCCGTCGCCCTGAGGGCCGTATTGGTATTCCCGGCATCCACGCCCGTACCTGGCCTTTCACCGGCACCAACAACAACCAGGGCGGTTGGACCGATGCCAACGGTCAGTGGCACTCCAACAACCAGAACAACCAGCAGAACGGCTGGACTGATGCCAATGGCCAGTGGCACGAGAACAACAACCAGGGCGGATGGACTGATGCCAACGGACAGTGGCATGCAACCGCCAAGCGTGGTCTTCCAGGCGTCCCTGGTGTTGGTGTTCCTGGTGTTGGTGTTCCTGGTGTTGGTGTTCCCGGAGTTGGTGTCCCTGGAGCCGGTATTCCTGGAGCCGGTGTTCCTGGTGTTCTCGGTACTGGAGCCCCTAACGTTGGTGCCGCTGGTATGACTGGTGCCAACCGCATGAACCATCCCGGCACTCCTGCTACTGGTGCTACTGGTATCCTCCGCCGCTGGGCACCCGACAACGAAGGCTACAACAACGGTCAGTACAACAACGGCGAGTACAATGGTCAGTACAACAACGGCCAGTACAACAACGGCCAGTATAACAACGGTCAGTATAACAACGGCGAATACAACAATGGCGAGTACAACAACGGAGCTGGCCGCACTGGCGCGACTGAGATTGATGGCCCTTCTGGCTCTATCACTGTCTCCCGCCGCTGGATCCCTGAGAACGAGAACGGCCAATACAACAACGGTCAATATAACAATGGCGAGTACAACAACGGCCAGTACGACAACGGACAGTACAACAACGGCCAGTACAACAACGGCCAGTACAACAACGGCCAGTACAACAACGGAGTTGGCCGTCAAATTGCCCACATTGATGGCCCGTCTGGCTCTATCACCGCCCCTGTCCGCCGCTGGATTCCCGATAACGATCGCTATGACAACGACCGCTACAACGATGACCGCTACAACAATAACGACTGGAACCGTGAGAACCGTGATGGCCAGCTTGACCGTGACGCCGCAAACATTGCCGAATCCGTGACTCCTACTATTGTTGTCCGACGCTGGACGCCCGCCGAAGAGGGCGTGATCGAAGAGCAGAACCGCCAGGCTGAGATCAACGTCGAGCGCCCTACCGGTGTTTTTGCCCGCTGGTGGCCCTCTAGCTGGCCTCGCCCCTGCGGCCGCTACGATGCCAGCTGCAACAACAACAACAACAACAACAACAACCGCTACAATGACAACGATAACTACGACAACTATGACCGCTGCGAGAACGCCGACCGCAACGACCGCAACGGCTGGTCCTGCCGTAGCGACTGGAACCGCAACCGTGCCACTCCCACCCCCAGTGTGATTATCGCCCGCAACCAGCCCAGCTATGACAACACGGAGAACTACAACTACAAGAACGGCCACGATGACAACAACGACTACAACTACAAGAACGGCCACGATGACAAAGAATCTAGCTATGTCAGCGATGCTGAGCGCGACCACCAGAGCCACGCCTCCGCTACTCCCACTGCCACTGCTAACTAGGCGCTATGGGGTGCTGGGCAGTAGAAGACTGCTCACGCGATCAATCTTGCTATAAGGAGAATCAGAGGAGGAAACATAATCGCATTTTCGGATCGTTTTGATATTTTGATGTTTATGTTTTGATGCACTTCATGATTATGATGAGGACACGAACTGTATACGCTCTTTACATGCCATGGATCTTGTTTTCTGGTATTAGAAAATGGAGGAAAGGGTAGTTAGAAGATTTATAGCAAGAATGAGAATACGTTTTGATGAAACACACTCTCTATCACTCAATTAACGTAAGTAGATCCGATATCCCCCCATCGGATATTTGAAAAGCTCACTGAAGTGCCAGGATGCTGGGCTTGAATTAGCTTCGGATCTCCTTCAGTGCCATTACATGGCCCAGCATCGCCACTATCCAGCCAATTCATGAACGCACCCGAATCATTCCAGATACTAAACACCAAGACCATTCCCCTCGAGATCGCCTTACCCATCTGCTTTAACCCACCCATTTCTTGGAAACGACTCGCCGACTGACAATACTCATCCGTCAAAGAATCAATCTCCATCCCCGCGGTCTCAACAACAGCATTCTGAATCACCGTCCCATCCTGCACATACAACCGCCTAACCTGCACCAAACTCTCTTCCTCTTCATCATTATCCGCAATAAACTGCGTGACAACAGTAAACCTCTTACTCGTATCAACGAGCTTCTGATACCCATAATAATCATGATCCCCAAGGGCGTACGGATTAAACCCGCAACCGGATTTGTCACAAACACCTTCATTTCCACACTCTTCTCCGCTGCACTCATACACTCGCGAGATATTACACGCATGAGGCGTATACCCCGTCGACAGCGCATTCGCTTCCCAAAGATCCATCTCATTACAACAAGCCCCTTTCGCCTCAACATTCGCAACGCCATTAATCAACGGCGTCGCGGGACACTGTGCATCACAGTACCCAGTCCCATACTGCGCGCCCGCGGGATTCAACTCACTGCGTCCTCCAGACTCAAGCATCTCAGACAGATATAAAGCTCCATTCATACCGCAAACAAGCGACGAGACATCAACATCGAAACTCAGTTCTTGATTTAAGAGTCGGAGCATATCGTAGTTCTTCCCATTTTCATCGAGAAGGTACACTCTCGGTGAAGCGACGGTCGTCTCGTTATTGGATTGCAGGTACTGGTGCAAAACCAATTTATCACCGTTTGTACTGACACCGCGACTTGCATAGTCGACACTATCGAGCACGCAGTTCTTGGCGCAGTCTTCGTCTGTGGCACAGAGGGTTTTGTTTAGGCCGGACCAGTCGCCGCATGAGATGCCGGGGTTTCCCACTTCATGGAGTGGGTGAGACAGAGCGTCAAGAACGACTGATGTTTCTTGTTGTGTGCAGCCATCTTTTGTGGTGCATTTCCATGTTTGGAGTTTGGGGTGGATTTCGGGGATGTCCCCGATGTTTTGCGCGTGGACCAGGTGGACCAAGGCTAGCGTCGAGAGTAAAACGCGTCGGACCATCTTGAATGCAGAACAATTCAATTTGAGAGCTCGGTAACACTGCAATACTTGGGAGGTTATAGCGTCCTTTTCATTTTAAGGAGTGTAGGAGCGTGGTTTCGCGTTGATTGAGGACGTCGCGTTTCCTTAAATTCCTGGGCAAATTACAAACCCGTGATTTTTTCATTCTTTTGTTATGAAGGCCCGCAGGAGCTGTCTCTCTCAGGGTAAATGCGATTGGAATGTGAGTAATGAGATCTATTTTTCCCGCGTGTTGATCTACCCCTTGGGATTGCGGTCTACATTCCACGTTTCTCACCACTGAGACACCGATGTAAAATCAACTTGAAATAAAATATAGAACAAATGATCTTTAATTTGTAGCAGTAAAAGAAGCTCGAGGGACATGAAAATCGTCTACATGCTAAATGATGTGTTTCCGTGTCTGTTTCACAGTACCTTTTTCAGATCCACCACGCTCACTGACACAGTATTGCTAATTCCCCCGAGCACACCTCCGCCGTTGATAGCCAGGTACCGACCATTACCTTCAGACAGAATTCTCAAAGACCGGGTGTAGCTGGCAGATTCAGGAGATGTGATTTCAGTCCACTCACCCTCGCCGAGGGCCTGGTTAATGAAGATAGTGCTCTGTGTTCCGGAGCTTGCAATAATCGTACCGTTTTTGCCACCGTATTTTGTCCAGACAACATACGGAGAAGAGGTAGGAACGGTACCGCTTGATGCGATGAGAGGGACACCTTCAGAGGAAGCGAAGTCCTCGGGGTTTGATGACAGGCGGTAGTAGAGCGGGAATGAGTAAGTTGCGGTGTCGAAGAAGGAGCCATATTCGTAGAAGTAAATATACTGGCCATTGGGGAGCTATAGCGGTCAGGATCTTGCGGCCTTGAATATTTTAATCTGAGAGACTTACCTTTGCCACAGTTGGCATTCCCGGTCGGTCAGTGTAAGTGGGATATGCGCTAAATCCTTATCAGCTTGCTTTCAAAATGGAAAAATCAAGGGAATGTGCATACACATCATCCACGACAGGCCCCCACTTCTTTCCATCAGTCGACACCTGGTGAACCAGTTTTTGTCCATAGGTGGTATTCGCTCGCTGATCTGAATAATAGCAGATCAATTTGCCATTGCTGGATCCTGTTAGCTTGATTTGCTGTTTGATTTCAACAGAAACTTACTGAGCAAGCAAGAACGGCTCCCACACCGGAGTCAAGCCATTATCCGGCACCGCCTCCCCTCCAGCCGCGATATGGCTCACAAATTTCCAAGTGACTCCATCGTCATGCGACGCATACAAATCCAAGTGCGTAGTAGATAGATCTTCCGGGATACTGTTCCCGGCTAGAAGTAGAGTTCCAGCCTTGAAGGACCCAACGGCCTCGGGAAGATAATAAAGGAACGGCTGATATCGCAGTCCAAATCCATTGACGGTGTCATGGACCTTGGATAGCTCCGACCATGTTTTGCCGAAGTCCTTGGACCGATAGATGGGGAAGTAAACCAAGGGTGGCTCTGGAGAGTAATTCTCCCAAGTTGCGAGAAGATCACCATTGAAGAGTTGCTCGTTGCGGGCGTATAGTGTTCTGGGAATATTGTAATCAGAAGGTGGGGCAAAAACGGTGCTGTTGGTGAGCGGAGTCGGTGATGAGGAGTGTGAGTTGCTTGCTGCTGCTGCCAAGGCAACGAATGGGATGAGTTGTGTGAGTTTCATGACCGGTTGGGTACAGTTGAAGAAAAATCCATGTGCTTTGGAATTTGGATCGCATTCCTGCTACATTTATAGTCTGGACAAACGATCTTCACAAATTTGTGGGTTATGGTACGGCCAACTCATCCCACCGGAGTTGTCCTTGTTTGGGATTTGCTTGAGGCTATTTGCAGTGGGGCCATGGAATTTCCATCAATCGCCTCTCTGTCCTGACGCCATGCATCGATCTTGCCTAGCTCATCCGATATGATCCGTTCTAAAGGGTTCATTCGTATTTCACGCTAATCAAACAATCCTCGACGTTCATTACTCGCGAGTGGAAAACCTGGTGCGCCCGGATCCCCCCACACATGTAGTTACGCAGCGACTTCTCAATTAGAATGGTGGTTGTTTAAAAATCAATCGACGAAACAGCAGTCACGAATGGAGCTGCTCGTCGGCCTTGACCTTGATGAGCCCATCGCAGTACAGCAAGAGCAACTCTTACGTTGCCTCCCTGTTGTCTCCGAGTGCTGCTTCCCGAAGTATGCAGCGCAATGTAGTTTCCTGTCATCAGTATACCCATCTCTTACTTTCCCATTTCTTCATCCTCTCTCATTTCTTCATCCTCTCACTTTTCTTCATCCTCAGTCATACAACAATGTTTCTTCTGCTTTATGCTCGCTCTGCTCTCCCTGCCTCCGGCGATGCCTCTCCCGCCTCCCCGGCCCCCGACATTCCCGCTCTCTCTTCTTTGGAGAACGCTTTCGGCGCAGGAACGAAACCCTGGCGTGTTATCCTTGCATCTTGTGGCATAGCCCTGTTCTTGGCTCTGTTGCTCTGCCTTTCTGTTTGATTTTGTTATTGGACCAAAAACAAGTAAGACACATTTGGATCTACGAAGTGACCTCTATTGACCTCTACGTGTAGATACATGCCACAAGAAGCCTTGCCTGCCGATGCCTCGCTGGCAACCCGCCAGGAGGCTCTGAAGATGAGTCGACAATGTATGATTCCCCACTCTTTTGGGTCTCATTTCTTGGCATTTTGGCTGATTGCAGCGTGACCTTTAGCTTGGTTGGATCGAATCCTTGCCCGCTGCCACGACCAATCCCCCTTGTCTGTTATCACAGCCCCGCCCCCCGAGCCAGCAAGACGTGTTGACAATACTTTGGGAAATGAGAGCGGTGGTAACTGAGATGAGCCAGTTGTTCTTTCTCTCGTCCATTTCTGTGTCGCCTCGATCGCCTCGGTCGTCTCTGTGTGGTCTCTGTGGCAGGAGCTCCAAGATGCAGACAAGCTCTCCGGCACCCCCAAAACCTACAATACTTGCACGTAAGGCGGCTGTATGCTATGTGGTATCTTGCAATAGATGAGCGTGTTACGATGAGTATTTCAAGCCTATTTATTGCTGCTTTTTTAGAATACGGTTAGAATTTCAACCTGCACAAAGAGGAGAGAAGAGCCAAAGCCCGTCGAATTATGCAAAGCGTCAGATGATGCCAAGACAATACTGCGTTCCCGAGGATATAATATCCTTTCGGGTCCTCGCCTCGACCCAACAGAACCTGGAAATGAAATCTTAGTTATGTAATGTGTTTTCATAATTACTCTTGTACCCCTAGGAACTAAAATATAGCGTTTGTTTTTGCCTAAGACGCTGTAAATGGACTAACTTTCAGATGAAGAGTCAAGGACACATACTGATGTCACACACATACCCTTCATGATATGAACAAATATAATTATCCCTCAAACCCCTACGTCTATCAAATTTGATATCTTTGACCTGCTTTTAATCCATATTACTTGTTCTATTGATCATGCGCCGTCTAAAGAAAAACCTCGTTCGCCCTTTCCGAAGAATCCTTGTTCGACTTGAGGATAAACTAGAGCAAAAGGCATCATACTCATCAAATCGATCTTCAGGCTGGTGGATAGCAGCACAGCAACTTCGGAAGCGACAAAGCATCATTCTTGATGGGGTTAATCCGGCTGTTAACCTGTGGACCCACGAAACTATCGAACTCGATACTCGCCATCGTGAAATTGTCCAGAGAGAGACTTACATTATAGAAAAAATTCGTCAAGCTAGACAACCTGCAGAGAAGGTCGACAATATGCATCAGCAACAACGAGAGAACCAGCAAGTTCTCAATGAATGGTTCAAGGAACTAGAGACTCTGAACCAAGATTATTGGGCTGTGGAAAGACGCATTTATATTCACAATAATTGTTGTCCTTCTGCTCCCTTCAAACGGGCGTATATGTCGACTCAGAAGAAGCCACAGTGGTATCTTTCTCCTTGGCTATGCGAAGACTGTGCAAATCGTGGAGGTTGCTGTGGCCGAGCTTGTGGATGCTGTCAAAAACCTCGCAGTGACTTCCGCTCCGCTGGTCATGGCCATTGTACCAAGTTTTGCGACTGCTGCGTTCGGGCTCGTGGTTTTGAGCTGAATGAAACGCAAGAGAAACTATTCAAGCCCGTCCTCAACTTGTCGTCCAACCCGGTCAATCGCTATAGCGCGAGAATGTTTTTTTCTTATATTTATGGGTTTGTGTATTTTTGAGGACGAATTTTTGTTTGTAAACAATGAATGCTAAGTCAGAAAAAATGGGAACCTCCAAAACGCCAGTCATAGTTCATGAGTTCCTCGGAAAAATGCTGGAACAATTTGATACCAATTATTCGCTGTGTTCTATTATTGTCGTTGCTACACAAAGGCATAATAGCCCACCTTTCGTTCGTTCTTGGATAAGTTGATGGTGTGAGGCCATACGGACATAATCTTTATATTCATAAAAGAAGACAAAAACATACAACAACAGGGATTCGCTGGTGGTCACCCACCCAACTACTAACCTGCCGGCGTGTGGCCTCTCGGCGGCCAGTAGTTGGGTGGGTACCACCAAGGTGAGAAATGGGTGAGCGCCGCTTTAGCGTCGCGCGACCGGGGGTGAGAAGGGTGAGTGCGCAATAGCCGGGGTGAGAATCCTGCGGGCCGGCGCGCTGACTGCACAGACCACCGAGCTGAAGTACGGCGGCTTCTCATTGGGTATGGCTATATACTCTGAAACATTTATCTCTCGGAGATATTCAGCTATCATGTATGCCTGATTTGTGCCTGTGTTTGTGAGGCTTAGTAAGCCCAACCCCCTTTTATTCTGCACCTACTATAGTATCAAGAAGGACACTCTCAAGTACTCAATTGGCTATGCCCGTACTAGTCCGTACTGTCCCGCTCGAAAGTCGACATTAAGCTCCCTTGGACATATGTAATGCACCCCAACGTAATTTCCGTTTAGATTACAACATTCAACCCCCAGCGACCCCACATTTTCGGGCTAGTCTATTTTCTCGTTAAGTTGTTGACATGAGTTTCAAGATACCGTTATTGTAAAACGTACAATTCATCATATAAACATTTTATTAATAATATTTGTAAGAGGCCCGGTAGAATCTGAGGACCTGTGAAATTGGCGCCGAAAATGACAGCCTCAGGCGCCCGAAACGGCCGCCTTTTCACCTGCTTGACCGCCTACTGCCTTATGACTAGGGGCGGGATAGATTAGAATCACAACACTACGAGGAGCACGCTTTGGAGGCTGGCAGCTCTATCACCATTCTTGAACTCGCTCTGGATAATACATTCCAGCAACATCCCAACTAAACATACAAATTTTACCATTTTAACCCACCACAATCTTAGCGACGATCTTCTCACAAAATGCTCGCAGCGAGGCAGCGTTCATGATATCCACAGTTGTCACCAAGGCACCCAGCTCATTGCGGACCCAGTTGCGCACCTCGACGGCGGCAAGGGAATCGATGCCATAGACGGCCAGCGGGCGCGCCGGGTCCATCGGCTCAGACAGCCGCAGCATGCGCACGAAGCACTTGTTGACCACCTCGACAGTGGCAGCAACCTGGGCCGAGGTGTCCGCAGACGGGGACCGCAGCAGAAGCAGCAGCGCCTGCACCTCGGCGTTGGCGCTGTTGCCGCCACTTTCGCCGGCGGCCTTGCCAGCCCCGGAGCCCGCGCGCAGCGCCGCGAAGCGGGCGTCCTGCAGCAGCGCCGAGTCGGCAGGCTGTGGGGCGACGATGCCCGTCACCATCTGCGTGGCGGATGGGGAGTCGGGGAAGCTGCCGGCCTGTTGCAGAAGGGAGAAGTAGAGGATCTGGCGAAGTAGGCCGTTGTTGATGCCCTTGAAGGTGCGGCTGTCGAAGTGCTTCTCCTGGAATCCAGCGTTGTTGGCGATGAAGCCGTCGTCCTCGATGACGCCCAGGTCGATTGAGCACGCAGCTTGGCCGCGCTGCCGGCGGTAGGCAGCGAACGAGTCCAAGAAAACGTTGGCCGCCGCGTAGTTGGCTTGGCCGCGCTGGCCGATCACGCCCGAGATGCTGGACAGCAGTGTGAAGAAGTCGAGGGTAAGGTTCAGACGCTCCGCCGCTGCGTGCAGGTTCCATGTGCCTTGGATCTTGCAGGCCACGGCTTGATTGTATTCCTCCAGAGTCATCGAATCGAATGGACGATCCTGGGAGGATATGTATTAGAGTCTTGATTGTCTTCATATGGGGCGGAGGGGGACTTACCCTGAGCACCATCGCGCCCTGAATGATACCTCCAACGAGGAAGGTGGTCTGGTTGAACGCTCTCTGGACATCGCTGGGGTTGGTTACATCGGCAGTGAGGAGATCAATGCTGGACCCCAGAGCTCGGACCTGCTTGACGATGGAGCGCGACTTTTCGTCGGTGTGTCCGCTGCGGGAAATGACGGCCAGATGTTTGGCACCGCTCTTAGCCAGGTAGATGGCCAGCGCTCCGCAGAGACCACGGAGGCCACCCACGATAAGATATGTGGCGTCGTCGCGGAAGTGGAGAACCTTTGGCGCGCGTCGGACCTGTTGCAGACGACAATTAGTACCCTCCATGATATCCCAACGGTACTGAGATCATGAGCTTACCGGGACTGAGATCTTGGGGTCGAGCCCGTCTGAGATGACCACCTTGCCAATATGCTTACCGGCGCGCAGGTACCGGACCGCATTGGCCACATCGCTGAAGGAGAAGATATGGATGGGGTTGATGGGTTTAACATGTCGCCCATCGAGGAGTTCAAAAAGCTTGGTCATGAGTCTAGCAATCAGAGCGTCAGGGGCCCTCTGATGGGACATGTCCACAGCCCTCAGTGAGATGTTGCGGTCAAATGCTTCCATGGCCAGGCTGTTGCGGTCCAGGATATCCTTCTTGCCGATCTCCACCATGATTCCTCCATCGGCCAGGACGCGGAACGACTCGTCCAGCATATCACCGGTAAGGGAGTTGAGGATGACATCCACCCCACGGCCACCGGTGGCGGCCAGGATCTGTTCGCCGAAATCCGTGTTGCGCGAGTTGAAGATATGGTCATCGCTAAGACCGAAGGTCGACTTGATAAACTCGCGCTTATCCGGAGACCCAACAGTCGCAAACACCTCCGCGCCAGCGTACTGGGCCAGCTGCATTGAGGCGATACCAACACCACCCGCTGCGGAGTGGATGAGCACCGTCTTGTTGGAACTCACCTGGGCCATGTCGAACAACGAGTAAATGGAGGTCAAGTACACACCACAAAGAGTGGCGGCTTCCTCAAAGGTCATCCAATCCGGGAGGACATGGACTCGTCCTGGTCGGGTGTGCACACGATTGGCAATGGTGGCTGGAGTGAAGACCACAACGCGCTGTCCGACATGCAACGAGGTGACGCTGGGGGAGACCTTGGTGACAATGCCAGCGGCTTCTCCACCGAGTTCGCGCTCGTCACCTGGGACGATGCCCATGGTGACGACCACGTCCTTGTAGTTGAGACCCGCGGCGTACACTTCCACTTCGACATACCCATCCTCGAGCTCGACGGGCTCAGCTGTGACCTCGTGGTAGTGAATGGAGTCGAGATCACCCAGTCGCTCTGCGCCCATGTGGATCAGGGTCTCATGGGCATGAATGTCCAGCACCTCGGTCTTGCGGTCGCTTGGGTGGTGGCCCTGGATCTTGGTGATCTCCCAGTTGGGAAGCAAACGACTGACCTGCAAGACACCGCCGCGCTCGACGAACTCGCTGTCGAGAGGGCTACCGGCAGTCTCCGGCTGACGGAGAACATCCAAACACGAGACAATGGCAGATCCTGTCGCATCGCCCGTGGAGTGCTCGACGTCCAGATTGACGAGTCGGACGCCCTCTTCGGCGCGTACACTGCGGAAAAATCCATTGATCGCGGCAGCGTTGGGGTTGCTGACGTTGAGATGGGCGCCAGACGTCACCCACAGGATCTTGCTTTGCCTTTGAATGATCTGCTTGATATTATTCCACTGCTCCGTATCGGGGTGAGTCATAATGCTTGATACGAGCTCGTCTAGAATAAGGACCATGTGGCCCTCAGGGAGTGTCGAAGCATCGGTGACCTTCTGGATGTTCCACCCGCTCTGCACAATGTGGCCCAGGACCTTGCTGGATGCTTCATCAACGGTGCCGGTGAGGCTAATATAGCTCACAGTGGGAAGCGTCACATCCTGCAGCTTCTCTGTCTCGACCCGCACGATGGACAAGTCATCATCGAGAGCCTGAACGCTTCCAAATGCGCCCAGTGCGATACTATGTCCCACGCCGAGGATGATACTGCCATTCTCGACGGACTGAGACACACTTTTCAAGACTCGGTCTCGAACGATAGGCTCCACGGGCTCGGAAGCTTTGACAATAACAAGGTCGAATTTCGTGTCTGCTACAATCTCCTCGGTCTTCGTGATGTCCAACAGGCCGAATTGTGCGGATGGGACGTGCGGCAAATGCAGCCCTTGGGCTGTGACAAGCGTAGTCGGGTCACTCACGGCGAAATTGTACTGCGCAGTCGCGGCTCGGATGGGATGGGAATCCTCCTGTACCCACAGACTTGAGGTGTCCTTGGGACTCAGATTCAACTCCAATACCTTCAGGTTGGGGTTCTTGTGGGCGATGAGGTTGATGAGGTCCTGCGTGGACTTGCCTGTCTCGCGCAAGAATTGTCTGAGCCTGGGCTCCGGTCCGGACAGTAGAAGTGGTAGATCCGCCTCCCACGCCAGGTGCGTGAAAAGATGTTTGGCTCCCTCCTCTTCGCTGGTCTCGATATCTCGTGTCGTCAAGCCTTTCATCTCGAAGATCAGCGACCCGTCCCGTGGGTCATACAGTGACAGATCCGAGCCGTAGTTGCGGTGTAGGTCCTCCCGGCCGATGCCCAGGAAGCGCGCTGAGGCCAACGCAATGGCTTCCACGGGCTGCTCGCGCCGCATGGGGATTACCAGGCTACTGAGGATCTGCGGCACATGGACGGCGCCAACCAGCGGAATGTCGCCCTTGGAGATGGCAAGGATGCCGATATAGAAGCACGCGTCGATACTGGCGGGGTGAATGGGATAGAACGACTGTCCGTATGTAGACGGGGGTGGGTCCATTGCCACAGTCGAGCGGCTCTCGGTCTGACCCATGGAGGCCTCGAATAGGAGATGCTTCTGAAAGCATGGCCCGTAGTTATATCCAGACTCTCGCACTGCCTTGTAGATCATGCTTGCCGGCGTCGCCAGCTGCAAGGGCTCGAGCGAACCCTTAGGTGCCGGCTTTTCCTTGTAGTCGGTCTCGACGGATATCAATCCCGCGCAGTGCTCGGTATAGACACCTTCCTTCGTAGAGCAGACGCGGAACTCGTACCAGTCCCGGATAGATCCGCCACGGGCCGGGCTGAGAGCCAGGGTGTAGGTAGCCGCCTCCTCTTCCTCGAGTACCAGGGCGCGCAGGAAGCGAATGTCGCGGAAGCGGAACTGGTATCGCTCGGGCTCCTTTTCGTCCCACTTGGTGACCATGGACACTTGATACATGGCCTCGACCGCCATTGCGCAGTATCCGGCTCCCGGGAAGATGATTTGGTTGCCCATCATGTGGTCTCGCAACCAGGGCATATCGCTCAGCCGAAGGGTTTTCTGGAAGATAGGTGCCTGCCAGGCGGTGCCGTTCATCTTAGATCCCAGTAGGTCGTGGTTAATGAATTTCTTGAACCGCCAGTCCCGACTCGCCTGGGTCTCATGCCAGTATCGCTGCGAGTGATTCCACACATAGTTGGGCAGGTCGATGATGACTGAGGGCTTCTTGGACCCGTGTGTCTGGTTCACCTTGCGAAGGTCCACAGACCCTCCGCTTATGAAAAGCTGACCGGCCACGTTATAGAGAGATTGAATCGAGTCAGGTCCACGCTTCAAGGCCGAGGTATACAGCGCGTCTGCAGCGGCACCGGACAGAGCCTTCTTGATCTGAGCAATTGGACCCGACAAGGCATTGCTGGGACCGATTTCAATGAGGAAGTCGGCTCCCTCTGGATCCTGTAGAAGCGCTGTGGTGGCTTGTGTGAACCGCACGGGGGAGATCATGTTGCTCTTCCAGTACAATGCATCTGGCGCTTCCGTCAGGACGTTACCCGTGACAGAGCTGTACATTCTGGCTGTCGGTTTGCGAGGCACCGTGCTGGAAACATTCGCAAGGAGCATCTTCTCGTACACCTCGCCGATTGGGGCCATGTAGTTGGAGTGGTAGGCAACATTCACAAGCAGTAGCCTGGCGAAGTGGCCATCCTGCTTCAGGCGCGCCTCGAGCGATTTCAACGCTGCCGTACTGCCAGACAGGGTGAGACTGCTCGGGCTGTTGTAGCATGCGATCTGAACCTTGCTCTCTGGGTCCAGGTACTTCTCCACCGTATCAATGTTGACCCCCACTGCCAACATACCCAGGGGCTCCTCGGGAGGGAACTGCTTGGCCCCTTGGCCACGGTAATAGGCGATCTTGATGGCTTCGTCTGGGGTGACCAGGCCGGCCGCGGCCGCGGCCGCAATCTCGCCCGACGAGTGTCCAACCACCACCTTGGGATGGATTCCCCACTCCTTCACAACTGCTAAAATGGCCAACTGCAATGCGGTCACCAGAGGCTGTGAGAATTCTGGCTGTTGAAGAGCTTCGGGCGTCCGCTCCTCGGTAAGCTCGTCAAGTAGAGACCATTTTGGAGGGTCTGGAAGACTCTGGAGAGCCCGGTCCAATTCCTCAATCACCTCTTTTGCTTGTGGGAATGCCTTGATGAGGCTCGCTCCCATCTGGGACCACTGCGCGCCCTGGCCAGTGAACACAAACCCAATACGCGGTGTTGACGCAGCCTTCTGTCCGAACTGCACCTTGCTGTGGTCGATGCTGCTGGTTGAGCTGACCGCAAACGCACGGTAGTAGAGGTGACTCCTACGCTCGGAGAGGGTGTACGCCAGGTCATCCACGTCGACCGAGACACTAGGGTTGATCAAGTGTCCCGCGAGGGCGTTGACGTAGTTCTTCAGCGACCCCTGGTCATTCGCCGACAAAACAAGTACCTTTGGTGGAGAATCCCCGGTACCAGCTATGTCTTCATCCTCATCATCGTCACCAAAAAAGTCCGTTGTGATTTCCTTGTAAGAAGATACATGGCTTGACGCGAATGGGGCGTTCTCCAGGATGGCGTGGGCGTTGGATCCACCAAAGCCGAAGGAGTTCACACTTGCGCGTCGCACGTCCAGCGCCTGCTCCGGCCACTTGATGGACATGCGCGTGGCACGAACACGGGAACCCGCAAAATCAATGTTAGGGTTTGGTGTGATGAAAGTCGGGTTTCCAGGAATAACCCCACGCTCCAGAGCGAGAACGACCTTCATCAAGCCAGACAGTCCAGCCACGGCCTCGGAATGACCGATATTGCTCTTGATTGAGCCAATGACCAGGTCCTGGCCGAGTTCTCGCGTGGACGCAAAAACCGAAGCCGCACCCTTGACCTCAATAGGGTCTCCAGCTGGCGTACCAGTGCCGTGGCATTCCAAGTACTGCGTATTGTTGAAATCTTTGATTCCTGCATTGGTATACGCCGCCTTAATGGCGGCCGACTGAGCTTCAGCGCTGGGACTGGCGATTCCCGGCGTGCGGCCGTCGCTGTTGGTGGCAGTGCCTCGAATGACGGCGCGAATCGGGTCCCCGTCGCGAAGCGCATCGGCCAGCCTTTTCAGATAGACGACGTTCATGCCTTCGGCCTTGGCGTACCCGTCTGCCTTAGCATCAAAGCTGTGACATTTGCCCGTGGCGGACTGCGTCATTCGCATCATTCCAATCTCTTCGTTGTGCTCTGGCGTCAACCACAGACTGGCACCGGCCACCAGCATGCCGTCGGCCTGGTGGCTGTCCAGGTAGCGGCAGGCCACATCCACGCCCACCAGACTGGCCGAGCAGGCCGAGTCGACTGTCATACTGGGTCCATGGATGTTAAGGAAGTGACTGATGCGGTTGCTCAGAATAGACCATGCCACACCTATCGTTGCAGATTCAGGACGGTTTTCAGGATCACGACTCTGCATGGACGCATAATCTGCGAGCCTTGTTAACTTGCCGTGTTTCAATGCCTTCAACTCAATGATAACATACCGACAATATTCGTGCCGACTAAGCAACCAACCCGTTTCCCGCTGATGGCCTCGAGCGGGATACCTGCATTCTCCAAGCACTCATACGCAACCTCGAGAAGAATGCGTTGCTGCGGGTCCATGGCAATGCAGTCCACGCGGCTGATGTTGAAGAACTGCCCGTCGAACACCTCGGGGTCGACATCCTCCATGAACATGCCACCAGGGCTCTTCATGGTTCGTGGCCGGCGGTGCTCGTCGTGATGCCCGGGCAAACTAAACCGCGTGGCGGGGGGCTCATTCTTGGCGACACCACCGCGTTGCAGGAAGTCCCAGAGCAAAGTCGGCGAGTTGCTGTGGCCGGGCAGCCGACAGGCCATGCCTACCACAGCGACGGGCGTCTGTGTGTGCCTCCGGACGGCGCCGTCGTTGACGATTGAATACGAGTTGCCATCATCGCTGGAGCAGGCGGGCGTTGGCACTGAGTCTGGGGAGATACTCATGATGATATTTTCTTCATGCAAAGAACAGCAAGAAAAGAGGTAGTGAGGAGATAATATGATGCGTTGAGAAGAAGGGAGCAGCCCAATATTCAACTGAGCAGAACAGGCTTGTTGACTAAATGGCCTTGCTGGTTAACAATCGTTGATGTAGCTCTCGTCGATGCTATACATACACCTCTCATTGAAAGTAGAGACGTCAGAAGTTGAGGATTCATATCGTTTGAGATTGCACCAATCAGAGGCACCGCCGATGATGATACTGTTGAAGCGATATCGTTTATGCATGATTATCTGTATGCATCGTAAGCAGACGAGATGCCGGCTAATTGCTTACCATGCTGACAGATTACGCGCTGCGGAGAAGAATAAACTCAGTGGAGAAGGATGAGGGGGTGGAATCTGAAGGACATCGAAGACAGATTGACGCTGGAGTGCAGATCGCATTGTCCAGAACCGTCGCATTGAGTCTTCTTGGTAGATAAGAATACCAGTGGGGTAGTCTAGAGTGCGTAAGGCGTCCACCTCAATCTGCTTCCATATCAAAAACTACAAAACTTGCAGTCAGGAGAGAGCAGACTCTGTCCCGGGAAAGACCAACAACGACCAAAACACACTCTTACCGTACCTCTCCTTGAGGCTTTCCTTCTCTCCTCATGGCTGCCCGCGAAGATGTCGAGTTCAGGACCATTGATGGGCTCACCATCCGGGGGTGGCTCTATCCTGCGACCAAACGGGGAGCTGCTATCATCGCAACTCCTGGGGTAAGTCCTTCCTCGCTTGTGTCTCCCTGATATAGCCTCGATCCATGCATCAAGACAGTGACTAAGCGATTCTCTGCACAGTTCAACTTCACGAAAGAGACCATGGTCGCTGAGATCGCCGAATATTTCCAGCGATATGACTTCACGGTCCTGATCTACGACCCGCGCAGCATCGGGCTCAGCGACGGGACTCCACGTAACGAGATTCACCCCTCGCGCAACGTCGAGGACTACCACGATGCTCTAACCTACCTCAAAGGCCATCCTCTGGTGGACCCGAAGCGCATCGCCTACTGGGGGTTCTCCTACAGCGGAATGCTGGCGCTGGTGGCCGCGGCGTTGGACAAGCGCGCGAAAGCAGTGGTGTCAATGTGCCCCCTGACGATCTGGGACTTCCCACCGGAAAAGTGGCCACGGGTGTTGGCCAAGGCGCTGCAAGACCGCGAGTCGCGCGCCGTGGGTAATAAACCCGTCTACATCCCGATGCTGACCGCTGAGGGGGAGAACCCGGCTGGCTTTGGCAAAGGCTTCGACGTCGACGGGTTCAAGATGATGGCCGGGGCCAAGCTGCTGCAGCCAACCTTTGAGCTCGAGACCACGCTGGGCAGTTACTACCACATCGCCGCCTTCCAACCCATGGGGCTGATTCCTTACGTGTCGCCCACCCCGGCCCTGGTTGTCACCCCGGAGCATGACGTGGTCTCACCCGCGGACCTGCAACGGACGCTGATATACGATCGCCTGAAGGAGCCCAAACGTCACCTTATTGTGCCGGAAAAGGGACACATGGATGTGTTAAGCGGTGATTCTTTTGCTAAGACGCTGGATGCGCAGATTGCGTTTCTGCGTGAGATTTTAGGGTAGGGGGCGGAAGAGTGGCTGAGTGCTTGTATCGACGATAACGCATTAGACCTAGCATGCTACCTTGGTAGTAAGAAATGATGACTAGTCTGTAAACTCGTTGAACCAACTTCGGGTAATCATTAATATTCGAATTATTATTCTCTCCACATCTTGCCTCTCAGTCTCAGCATCTCTGTGTCCGCAGCTAAATTGCGTGTCTGTGCATGAGGATCAGGAATCGCAGAATAATCTCCCCACTAATGCATGCTTACCTGCAGGTAATCAAAGGAAAACAGTAGGTCAACGGAAAGGGGGTCGAGGGAGGGGAAGTATATAATGTCCCAACCTTGATATGTCTAGGCGTTCTCGATCACCACGTGGGAAACGCGATCTAATTCTCGCCTGCATCGGTCACTCCGTGGTTCGTGGTTTCTGTCATGAAGATCTTCACCCTTTTCGGTGTCGCCTCCACGGCCCTTGCAGCAACAACACAACAGTTAGCTGCATGTCGCTACATCCCCGGAGATCGTGGTTGGCCCGCAGTGTCCGTCTGGGATAGGTTGAATACGACGGTGGGAGGCCGGCTTCTGGTCACCAATCCTCTCGCTCACTCATGCCATGATCCCACCTATGACAATGTCACCTGCGCTACCCTGAAGCATCAATGGGGGCAGCCAGCCCTGCAGTACGGACCTCTCGAGTCTCCCGTCTCCCACTTCCTGTGATACTATATGCGGACAATGGCTAATCCCTGTAGAATCCCGTATGCGGCTGAGTTTCTATCACCGTGGTTCCAGAACCAGTCCTGCGTTCCATTTACGGACCAATCTACTCCTTGCAAGCTAGGCAATTATGCCAGCTACTCCATCAATGTAACGGGATCTTCCGATATCGTTGCCGGATCGAGCTTTGCGCAGCAGAATAATGTGCGGCTTACAATCAAAAATACAGGCCATGAGTACGTTATCTTCTCCTCCGAAGGCGTCCCACTGACCATGCATCACCATTTAGTGAAAATGGCAAAGGTACCGGCAAGGGAGCGCTCTCGCTCTGGACACACAACCTAAAGGACAAGAATTTCATCTCAGCATACCGTAGCAGTTACTATAACGGGCCGGCAGTGCAACTAGGCGCCGGGGTGCAGGGGGAAGAGGCAGCAACTTTCGCGCACCAGTATGGCTTCCGGGTGGTGGTGGGCTCGTGTCCGACGGTGGGGGTAGTAGGAGGCTACACGCAGGGGGGAGGCCACTCGTCTATGTCCGGACAATACGGACTCAGTGCTGATAACGTGCTAGAGTGGGAAGTCGTCACGGCGACGGGGGAGCATCTGGTTGCGACGCCGCAGCAGCATGCAGACCTGTACTGGGCGCTCAGCGGCGGCGGACCAGGCACGTATGGGGTCGTCGTCTCGATGACCACGCGCGTGTTCCCCGATCAGCCTGTCGGCGCAGCCTCGTTCTCATTTTCCGTGGCCACCACCGGCAACGGCAGCGAGGATGCCTACTGGCAAGCAGTCACTACCTTCCATGCGCAGATGCCTCTCCTCTTAGACCAGGGAGTGTACACAACCTACTCGGTGATGAACAACAGCTTCAGCATCTATGCAATTGTTGCGCCGAGCCACAACGATACGGAGCTAACGACACTCCTAGCGCCCATGCTAACAGCGCTGGCCCAGCACGATGGCCTCGCGCCACAAACCCTCGCCCTCCAGACCTCCGGCGCCTCAAATATCTACGACCTTCTCGCCGCCGACCTGTGGCCAGCCCTCTCGGGCGCTTCCCTCGTCCCTGTCATGGGTGGCCGCCTGGTCACCCGTGCCAATCTAGATACCAACCTTGCTGGCGTCATTCAGGCTATGCGCAATATCACGCAGGGCGGCACCTTCTACTTCGCCTGCACCGGCATCAACACGACTGCCGGCCAAGTCGTGCCCCCAGTTGCCGATAATGCTGTCCTCCCTGCTTGGCGCGATACCTCCTTTAGCTGCATCGTCGGCGTGGCGTGGTCCTGGGGTGACTCGTGGGACCCAATCCCTGCCTGGCAGCGCGAGCTACTCGATCGAGTGCTCCCCACATTCGAGGCGGTTACCCCGGACTCCGGCGCGTATCTCAACGAAGCTAACTACCAGCAGCAGAACTGGCAGCAGCAGTTCTATGGCAAGAATTACCCGCGGTTGCGTGCGATCAAGAAGCGGTATGATCCCAATGATTTGCTGTATGCGGTGTCGGCGGTCGGGAGTGAGGCGTGGAAGGCGGATGCCAAGGGGAGATTATGTCGGGCTTGATGATGTCCGATTATTCAAGCTAATATATTTGGGGTGTTACTGACAACTTCCTGGGTGATGGGCTCAGAGAGGTGGTTTTGTCGCTTATTTAGGGTAAATTCGTTGTATTGTAGTAAATGTCAGAGTTCTAGAACATATACACATTCCAATGCACTCGCAATTCTTAGAGTGACATCTTAATGGGCTTCGATGAATACTACCTCTCTCTGCGTAGTTGTGCATTCTGTCCAGTATACACAGATCGCTTGTGGACCACAATAACGTTAGGTATTCCCCGTGGAATCCTCCCGCTGCCACCCGCTGGCGGCCCGGCCGGCACGGACGATCTTGTATCTTGGCAAGATTTTGATTCCAAAACAAAATAAGCTACAACATGATTACAGTGGAACGGAAGTATTTGCTTCAAACGAGTCTCGACTTTTCCCAACGCCTAAAGAAAATGATCTACCATCAAAATTTAAGAAACCCCCCCCCCAATGTCCTGTCTAAAAGCCCAACACCCAATAGCGAGGAACCAGAAATCAGCGTCGCGCCTGAGCCTCCAGATCCGACCCACTCCGCAGCAACATCACCACCCCGGCCTCGAATCCCTCTACGACCGCCAGATGCAACGGGGTGTTCCCTTCGACATCATAGGCCCCCAGCAGCTCCATCCCACGAGTCCCAACCCGTCGCCCATCGCCCTCCTTATCCTCCACCACGAGCTCAATCTCACCACAGACCTCCCACAGCAACATCCGCAACACCGGCTCCCGCCGATACAAGACAGCGAGATGCAGAACTGACCGCTGCAGATGGTCGACCGGGTCGCAGCGCGCCCCGGCCGCGAGCAGCGCCCGCACGACGGCCTCGTGGCCCGCCACGACGGCGTGCATGAGCGGGGTGCGGCCCTCGCTGTCTGGGGCGTTGCAGTCGAGCCGGGGCTGGTTGTGGCGAAGGAGGATGCGCACGATCCGGTCGTGGCCCTTTTGGGCGGCGATGTGGAGGACGCCGATGTATTTCTGGTCACTGTTGTTGTTATCGTAGTGGTGGTGGTCGTCGTGGAGGGGGTCTGTGGGATATGAGGACAATGTAGTTGATAATAGGGGAGGAGGGACGGGGAGAGGAAAGACTCGCCATTATGAGCTTGAGAAGTGAGATATGCTGGAGGCGGGGTCGGGCAGTCAGGGGTGGTGTTCGTTGTGGATGGGAAGGACGAGGAGGGGAATCTATAGAGGGAGGATGCAGACGATGAGGCAGAGGAGGCCATGTCGCTTATCGCCAGGGTGTTGTAGTCTTCTGCAAAGAGACCGGTTCCCTCCGCAACAGCAGTAGTCCAATGGGATAAATATCGGTCCACTTGCTCCAGATCGCAGACATTGGGATCCTGGAATTCGGGTGCTGTGAAATAGGATTGTGGTGATGATAGCTCGCTGGGATATGAGGAGGGCTCGGGCCGAATGGATGGAGCCGTTGCGCCTTGCATGGTCGGATACTGCTCAATAGGACTAATACCTAGCATCGACACCAGGGAGTTATACTGCTGCTGCTGCTGCTCTCGCCGTTCTGCAGGAGATGCAACATTACATGGTTAGTGCTGTCTCCAGGACAGACAAGGGGCAAGGCATACGGCGAAACCTGCGTTGCGCACTGCGGTTCTGCGCACGACGACGTTCGCTGATCGTTGTAGTCGACGGTAGACTGAGTTCCATTCTATCTTCAAGGAGAATGGTCGAGATAAGCTGGTTTATCCTGACGACGAGCGGACACGGGGAGAGTACATATAGCTATTATATTTCGAGGAATACGCATCGGAACAAGGGTTCCACTTGATCACTCCCTACTACCAGATTACGAGGCTCTACCTAGTTTGCTCACGCAGTTACAGTGGCCGTTCATTGGTAGTATTACTATTTGGAACGCAGTACTTTCGCCCACTGTCAGAAAGATAAGTGGGGCAAAGACCTATTTCTATTCCAGTATGTAGTAGGTGTCCAAAGGTTTGCAACCGTTGCCCGATCTAATAGACTAGGCTACAATTGCAACATAAGGAATACAGATTTGGCCAATAAGAGGCCTTGATTCTAATATCCCTGAAACTATTCGATCTAAATAATATTCGATATTAAGTAATAAGGGAGAAAAATAATTATTACACCTTCTATGAAACCTACAGCCTCATCCTGAACAGGGGTAATGGTAGTAATCACAGTGACTACAGCGACTGTTGTAACCGGAGCCCGGGGTGCGACTAGGGCTAAAATTGATTTAGCCTTTAGGGCGTTATACTTAAACAGAGAGAAAGATACAAAGAGAGAAAGAGAAGATGGAGAGAGAGATGAGACACTCAGGGGGTATTCCAAAGCAGACTAGATTACCTATTTTGGGTGTGTTGATGCATGACTTAGAAGGTATGCACGGTAAGCGGCCTTAACTTCTTAAGGGCAGTAAACGAAACGCCACTTTCGGACTTTCCCAAGGTTGCCGCTACGGTCCACCTCCCTCGCGCTAGTCGCGTAATTCGCATACCAGATTTAGTTCCCTGCTAAAGAGAATATGAAAAAAGGAATTGGACCTTTGCTAGATTTCCTCCTTTGCTTGGCGGCCCTAGTACGCTACTTTACGAGTTCGTGTTTTCGCCAAAGAGTAGTTTGGCCTTCGGTTGGAGTTGTTGGGGGCTGATTCCAGGATGATCCATGACGTGCTAGCCCGAATAACTCCGGCGGTAAGCCGCGGAGAGCTCCCTAACGTCAAAGGTATTCCCAGTCGAGCGTACCACCCTATCAAAAACACCACAGTTTTTCAGACCCTAAGGTCAACAATGAACAATGAGAACATAGCCTCATTGAGTTCTAATCTACTAGAAATATCCAGTATTAGAAATAGCATAGCATAGCTAGCATATTGGGAAAACAATTATCTATTGTACTTGGATTACTACCCAGATATGCACCATGGTCAAGCGATGGAGATATGAATGTCTACATTATCATACTCCAAAATATTTCGAGAGCCTATTCAGATACCTACTATAATATGTTCAACCCCAAGGTACCACAAGAGTATCTAATTCGCCTTGGACGTTGAAAAATGAAGCTGTGGAGCATTGCCTTTACTATGGTGTGTTGGAGTGGCTCGATCAGCCGGGAACTACGTTATTGGGAGCTCGCTATGGTGCCTACGTTAGAGCGTCATTGAATAAATAAGTAGAAAAGAAATTAAGTTAACAAAGTAGCCAACTAACCAGTGACATCCTACTAAACCTGTCAAACCTGCTCCATCTTCAAACATACGGCGCCCACTGTTCCTCGCACCAGTTCCAAAGCTTCTCCCCGTACCCCAAACCACCTTCCTCCTTAGAGTCACCCGCCTTGATCAGATCCTGTCGTCCTGTGGCTGTGTTTGGCCGAATCCGTCCCCAGGGGATGATGTAGGCCCCGCTGGTCTCCAGCGTCACCTCGGGCGATAAACCCGCAAATAGTTCCGTATAAGCCCCAAAGATAGGTTCGGAGAGCATGACACGGTTCATGATAAACATAACGGCCGCGGGAGTCCCGTCAAAGGACGCCGTCTTCAGATAGCCTGGGTTCAAGCACACACTTACAATCCCGTCCTTTTTGTACCGCCGCGCAAATTCGCGGCTGATGAACCAGGTTCCTGCCTTAGACGCCCCGTAGTTCTGCATCGGCTTGTCGGTCCCTTTGTCGATGACCTTCCAGTCGATCCCGTTGGGCGGCGACCCAGCCTCCGCCAGCCCACTTGACGTCCAGATCACGCGTGTTTGGCCTTCTGGAGAGGCGGCGGCGGCGGCGCGTAGTTGCGGCAGGAGCATTTGGGTGAAAAGTAGCGTCGCGATGCAGTGGAAGCCGATGAAGGGCTCAAAGTCCTGCGCGGTGCGTTGGCCGGGGCTCACGGCGTTGGCCCCCGTGCCGGCGTTGTTCCACAGCACATCCAGTTTAGACTCCTGCTCCGCAAATTTGGCGGCCGCGGCTTTGATAATTTCCAGGTCGTTCAGATCCAAGTGTAGAAACTTCAGTTGGCCGCTGGTCGAGGTCTTTGGGGACTTGCTCGTGATGCTTTTGATGGCGGCTTCCACTTTGTCCTGTGGGTGGTGATTGAGAAAAAGAGTTAGAAGGCAGTCCTTGACGATATGATAGAGAGAACTGAGCTTACCTTGGAACGCGACGCTATGTAGATTGTAGCGCCGGCAGCATAGAGGATCTTAGACAGCTCCAGACCGATTCCGGCATTTCCGCCTGTCACGATATACACCTTGCCCTGCAGTGAGCCTGCAGGAACGTGAGCCTCCGTGAAAGTGGGCTTGGGAGGGTAGATTTGGGTCAAAGTAGCCCGTAAGCCGGAAAAAGGCGACATGGCTGAGTTCAATACACACTGTCTGTGGTGGTGGAGGTGAGTCTCTGTAATGACCGATGCTCGTGTCGATGTGGACGAAAGGGTTGGAGAAGGCCAATAAAGTAGGGGCGGGGTGATAGCTCCCCAAGGTGGAAATCAGGCCCGAGCTCCAGCCGGATTTGTAAAAAAGGACCTAAGATTTCTAAGCGCAGATTTATGTGATATGTTTTCTTTGTTGCGTAGACCCCTGCTACCTGCTGGGGGCGATGTGGTAAGACGCAGGGGTTCGATTGGATTCCAGTACAGATACGGGATGACCGAGAAACCAACCCACGGCTTCGAGAAACTGATCTCGAAATAACTATTGATTGCCACTTTCATATGGAGCCATGGGTAGATAGCGTCCAAAATTAAAATCATCGAGTGGGTGGGTTTGCTACCTACTTCTTTCTTCATGTTTGTCGTATTAATATTTGAAGGAACGTCGAGGCGTAAGCCATATTCCAGATTCGTCAAAGCGCCCGCTGCACGCTGCACGGTAAGCACCTTGCAGCTCGGTACTGCGTGATTACCTGTTGTCATCAAGAAGCTGAGGTTAGCACCACTACTCTGATAAGAAAAATACGGACCGCCAAGTGCGAGCATGAGCTGATAGAGGCCAGACACCAGGGTTGAATGGAGGCTCAGAATAGACTTTCCACATGGCACCATCCTGCCAGCTGGAACGACAGGCAGTGCTAGATAAGCAAGAACACACATTGTGTTGTTTCTTAGATCGTCTCTAATTCAGATTCCATTGATTGTGTGGAGCTACCAGCAATTAGGATATCATCGATGGAGTTCTTCAACCACTCGACTCGACCGGCGTATCTCTATGCCATGGGCGAGCGAGGACCAAATGCCAGCTCGCTCATTGCTACTGTATCCCTGGCCCTCCTCCTGGGCTATATAGTTTGGATCGGAATTTACCGACTCTACTTCAGCCCTATCGCCAAATTCCCTGGTCCCAAGCTGGCCGCCCTGACCGGACTCTACGAGGCGTACTACGACCTGGTCCCCAAGGGGGGTGGACAGTTCCCCTTCGAGATCAAGCGCATGCACGAGAAGTATGGACCGATTGTGCGCATCAACCCGGAGGAGCTGCACATTGACGACCCAGACTTCTACGACACTCTCTACCCGACCAGCAAGCCCTACGACAAAATGCAACGGCTGGAAAATCGCTTCGGGATCCCTGGGGCGACCTTCAGCACGGCGCACCATAAGGTGCATAAGATCCGCCGTGCCGCGATCAGCCCCTTCTTCGCCAAAGCCAAGGTGCGCGAGCAGACGGGTGACATCCAGGCGCTGATGAACACCATCTCCCGCCGGCTGACAACCGAGTATGCAGGCACCGGACGTGTGCTGAACCTGCATGACGTCTGGCGCTGTTTCGCAGCCGACAACATCATGGACCTGATGTTTGGCTCCCCGCTGAATCTCCATCTCGAGCCAGATTTCCGCGCTCCTTTCACCGGGGCCATCACGCGAGTGACTAACTGGTCGCACGTCACTCGCTACCTGCCAATCCTGGGTGCAGCCACCGACACGCTGCCGCCTTGGTTGGCCAAGCGTCTGTTTCCTCCATTCGAGCCCATCATCGCGTATCGCGAGGCGAGTAACCTCCTCTTTCGTGGCATGGGCTGATCTTAACCTTGGTACGAATCAACAGGAAATGTCGCGCCAAACGGCCTCCATCCTGGCCAGCCATCACGCCCACGCGGGCGCCGACAAGCCTCGATTAGGGCAAACGGGTCACGCGACGGTGTTCCACGAGATGCTGGCCTCCAACCTGCCACCAGAAGAGCTGGCCCACAAGCGCATGCAGCACGAATCCGAATCCCTGATCGGGGCAGGCCTTGAGACGACTGCCTGGACTTTGACTCTAGGGAGCTTCTACACGCTCAATGATCCCCAGATCCACGCCCGCCTACGGACCGAGTTGCAGACCGCGATCCCTGATGCCGAGCAGATCCCTTCGTGGGCGACATTAGAAACTTTACCTTATCTAACGGCAGTCGTCCGAGAAAGTACGCTTACCTTGCGTTTTGAATTCTTCTATGAGCCCTACGCAAAGAAGGAAGAAGAAAAAGACACTAACACATACCCACGAAAACAGCCCTAAGAATGAGCATGGGCGTGATCGAACGCCTCGTCCGTATCAACCGAAACCCTTCCCAGCCTTGGATTTACAATAACACCCAAATCCCGGTTGACGTCCCGGTCAGTATGGACCAGTACCACATGTTGATGAACGAGCGCGTCTTTCCCGACCCGACCACTTTCCGGCCTGAGCGCTGGCTCGATGATCCTCGCGGGCCTGACGGGATCCATCCACTCACCCACTACCTGACGGTGTTCGGGCGTGGCACCCGGATGTGTTTGGGTCTGAATTTGGCGTATTCCGAGCTGTACATCGGCTTCGCGACGCTGGTCCGGCGCCATCATCTAAAATTGGTGGAGACGACTGTCCGCGACGTGGCATTTTACGCTGAGAATACCATCCTGTCGCCATGGCCTGGGACGAAAGGGGTGCGGGTTCTGGTGGAGAGTTATTCGGACTAAAGCCCGGACTTAAACTGATATAAAGCAATTGTGCTCGAGTAGCCCCGGGGGAATACTCTTGTCGAGATTAGGGATGGTGGATTTTCATGAAAGTTAACTCAGCTTTTGAAAGCCGTTTCGAAATTTTATACGGAGTACAATAGGCCAATCAAATGGTAGTTACTCCCAGAGCCAATCAAATCTCTTAACCAATTTCTGACTTAGATAGGTCACTCTACTGAGCGTTTTTCCTCGGCCAGGTGAGGCTTTCCTTTCTGAGATGCCGCCGCTTTTATAAATGCACTCAGACTCAAGACTCAGACTCAGGAAGCTTATCAGATTATTCACGTGACTGCTCAGAGGCGCTTAGTGAGTATGATGTGTCAAGTATAGTGGACCACATTCTTACTAGTGCGCTTGGAGATGCGATTTCAGGGCTGCAAACTGGGGACTAATAGGAAACGCACGTGAGAAAAGCCTCGACCCTCAAGAACGTTGAATAACGGTCTTTCACCAGGCACTCTTTTCTGAGGATTCACTTTTGAACAGCACTTCACCACCTACATTACACACACCATCATAGCTCTATCCAAGAGATTAAACACTGTTATAATTACGACAGGCCAAAATAGCCCCAAATAGTAAGCCCACCTAATAGACGACCGTACGTAGACCTGTGTTTTTTTCGAATTCTCTTGGCTATTATGTATTGAGCAGCGTTGAATTGATGAAAGTAATCAGTAAAAGAAAAGACTATCAATATGCGCAGCAACTAATCAGCGTTAAGAAAAAAAAGGTAAAGGGAATTGCTACGGCGCAACACGCATGACCGCGGTGTCTACATTACAGTAATTTCGCTGGCGGTCAGCAAGTCTCTCTCGAGGCCGGGTGAACTATATCCCAAGAGGCTGCAAATTGTCTTTCTACTCCACGTCGAAGGTCTCCCGGGCCCACCAAGCCAATCAGGGGTCACCAAGGATTTTAGTCATGCAAGCTATCGTTGCTACACACATTCCGGTCACGCCTAGACAAATAGATTGAGCCACTGTCAGGAAGATCAACTCCTTATCCGCTTATCAGATGGGGCCCTAAGCTCTCAGGAACAGTGTGGTCTCAGGAACAACGTGGTCCCCAAACACTGTTGCCTCAGGCATACATGCCACGGAAATACTCCACTGGGTGCATATAGGTGGTCGCACCCATACGTGCGATGACCTGATTCCTCACTGGAGCGGCTGAAGCACGCTCGGTTCTTGCAGCTCCTGGGTATGAAGAAAACTGCCTAATCATAACTATTTGATGGCCTTCATTTTATGGTTGCCCTAGGCATGAGTGAAACTTCCTGTTTGGGACGCGAATAGCCTCATGGCGATGAGGTTTTTCTACTCGTTCTGCGGACAGGTATCAGCGTGTAGGGTGTTTAGTCTCACCACCTCTACCCTATAGCTTTCTGATAGATGGTAGCTTCAATCTATTGCGTTCCTCTTCTTCTCTTCACACCATTTTTTAGCGTATTCTGAAGGAAAACTTGAGAAACATTCTTTACAAGTGACTGGCTAAAATGATTTCAATTCATCCTATATCAGCTGCGACAGTAGTAATAGCCTATTCTATGTCTTGCCGATCGTATCTTTCGGGGCTATCCTTACTGATCCACTGCCGTTTTCGTTTGACACAATTTGTACGCGGCTCTTCGATTGAGTGTGCATTATGGAAATAATGTCGTAGATAAGATATATCTGCATACTCTCTGTCCTCGCAGCAAGGGTGCGGACAAAGAATCTCAGTCGAAGATTGTAATAAATCTAGGTGATTGTCAATATGACTAAGAAGAGTCGCTTTACTTAGCCACTATTGGAATCTTTCGTCGGCCTTTTTATTCGTATTAGCCAAACAGAAGGGGTAAAAGCTAGGCGCAATAAGGGGATATCTAAATCGCAGAATACTATATCGTGGTATAAGATCACTTAAATAGGAAGAATAGTGCTAGACCCAAGCTTCCTTATCCTAAATAATCTTAGCATAAAGATAGCAGAACTGAACAAATTAACGTTTGACACTGCGATAGGCACGCTTATTATTTTTATAGCATTGCTAGTAGGGTGCGCTATCTAGAGATTTTCTTTTATACTGTAGGATATACTTTGCTCTTCCCTATAATAGAATCCTAGTCTTATTGTTAGCTTCACTCTTAAAGCCGGATCAAAGAACTCACTCAGAAATAGATTTAGAACACTATAGGCAACGACCCTCCCTAGGCGACATTCTAGGGTAGTAAATTGTTCGTTCTGTGGAGTTACAAAGTGTGATCATATCCTATAGACAATGTCGTCCGATCTCGCTATCCAAAGCCTTCTTCTAAAAAAGGTACTCTTTAAGGCGGGCACGCTCTGGTAGATACTTCTTATAGATATCAAAGAGTAGAGTGATATTACGCTCGTAGAAGTTATTTCTAGAGACATACTTATCGTAGGATATATTCCACTATCTTTTAATAAAGGCTAACTTCCATACTCGTAACCGTTTTGCCTTTCGATTATAGAGTTAAGATCTTTCGCGCTTAAGATCTTTATGAACTTCTAGCCTACCGGTAATCTTAAAAGTTAAGGTAGAGATTTCTTCCTTAATTGTAATAATATCGTCTTCCTCTTTAAATCGTGCGATAGCGGCTATATTTATCCTTTAGGGGACGTTCACGTCTCGATGGTGTGCCATACTCTATTCCATATTTCGGCACTTATAGTTAGGCTCTAGATCATAGTATGTTACTTGAATATCCAAAGCTTTAAGGGAGGACTAGTATTTAAGGTAGGTGTTATAATTCTGATGATCGAGCGCCTACCCACGTGTCGCTTCAGATGCCTTAGCTAATATAAGATTAGTATAAGGAACTGTTTACCTATAGAAGCACTTACGGTCAATATTGTTAGCCACACCCCCTCAAATCCTATATACCCGCAACTTATTTCAGAAGCTAGCCCTTTAAGCCAAGCTCGTGAAGTTATGATGTAGCGAGCCGAAAGTAAGCCCTTTACTATTATAAGATCCCTCTGGAGTAACCATCCTATAAAATAGAATATTCTTTGTATCTTCATTCCAATAAAGAGTCTATGACTCTCTTCCTTTAGGTGGCCTCGTAGCGAGAACTTCCTCTGCGGTATCAAAGCCTTTAAAGGCACTATCGGCTACGCTATAGACAATAACCTAGAAGACAAAACTTATACTAAGAACAGAATGCTTGTTAAACTAATTTCTGGGTCTTTATACTTTTATTAGGATAGAACTTAATAGGCAAGGGTTATTTGTGAGACTTACGAGGTTGCATCGTCGCGATACCGAAATCCTTTCAAGAATTCAGGGTCAATCGTCACCCAACGTTTCACGCCGCCACCGCTCCATTTTATTTAGAATATAATATGCTTAAGAATATATATTAGCTCGATAAAATTCCACAGTAGACCGAAAAACGAACCCAATAGTATAGATATTCATTGCTATTGCGATAAGCATTTAATTCGACGATAGCACCTGCCCTAGCTCCTAAACCTACAAAGAGTGAAATAGAGCTCCCAGTCTATATCCTTGCCCTTTCGTGCTTATAGTCATAACTATCTTCCACGAAAAGGTGACTTTACAAGATATTTATATCTCTTACAGTTACCATAAATCGCTCCCTTGGCTTTATAGGCATCCCGTACTTAGGTGTTAAGTCATTTCTAATATACTAGAGAGATATCATTAGTTAACCGTAAGATAAGACTATTAATTAATTATAATCTCTTATATTTAGGACATCTTGCTTAACCGCGACAGGGAGCGATTGTCCCGTCTCTCGCTCCCACCTTAACGTAAAACTGATCAAGTTATGACAGGCTATCTTCTGGGAGGGCACCTTCTTTCTTGTCGCAACATAATCCTCGGCAAATAGTTTTAGAAGTTGCGGTGTGGGATTAGGTTCGTTCTCGGAGAAATTGGCATCCTTGGCTTCATTGCGGGATAATCTCCATCTACTATATATTAGTGACTTTGTCTAAGACGAAAAGAAGGGGAAAGAGAGAAACATTACTCACAATGCCCAGTTCAAAGCTGCATTATCGTATTCTCATGCGTAGCAGGCGTAAGGTTCCGGTGGCAGATAATATTCTCTTCTTGTTCCCGCTCCTGTTGGTACTCGCGAGTGAACCCACGTGATGCGGCACGTGCAATACGCTCCTCGAGGGTTTTCTGGATAGCTTCATCAGTAAACATATTTTTGTATGCTTGGACAAAGCGAAGAAAGCGCCCTTGGACCGGAATCTATCCTTTTCTGAGAGTGGGTGGGCTTCGCTCACCCAAGGGGTTCGCTCACCCTAGGGTGAGACTTCTCACCCCATTCTCACCCCGTTCTCACCCCTCCAGTCCAGTCTCCAGGCAACTCACCCATATCACCCACGCTCACCCTAGGGTGGCGCGCATTGCTGTTTTAGAAGCACAGGGCTCTTTGAGAATTGGCCATGCAGAATATATGGCTTAAGTCGGCTGAGCGGACGGGAAGCCCTGCTCTCCACACCCTATGGTCATATGTACTTAAATGTCATTTATAGCAAATTAGATTGCAGCTCAACTGAACATGACGCCTGAATTGACAAGCAGACGGTCTTCTGAACGAAGTCTGTTGGATTTAGTATCGTAGTTGCCCTAATCATTACACCACAAGTTCAAAGTGGGCAAACTAGGAGGGGCTAACGCGTGCTAAAATAATAACGGGAAAGATATTATTGATATTAGAATTTAAACCAGAACTAGTAACATTTCGAGATAGAGATAGCTATAAAATAGAGATAAGGGCCTTTTGTTTCCAGGGTATTTAGGGGTAGAATGACCAGAGTTAAAGATTCAAAAAATTAACGAATGCGATATTAGCTAGACAAAGAAATGGCTAAGAGTGATTGTCGCCCACTTCTCACTCACTTCATACCCCTGGTCGTGCGACGCTAAAGCGGCACTTCCCCATTTCTCATCCTACTGGTTGCAATTATAAATGAATACGTGCTAATATTATACTTTTCAGACACATATCAAGTACATACGACCATAGGGTGTGGAGAACAGGGCTTCCCGTCCGCTCAGCCGTACTTAAGCCACACGCCGGCAGGTTAGTAGTTGGGTGGGTGACCACCAGCGAATCCCTGCTGTTGTATGTTTTTGTCTTTTTTGAATATAAGTTTTCTATCCTTAGATATAGAACTTGGTAATAAACGGGGTTCCTCATCATGAGTGGCAAGGAGAAGAGGGTGACCGGTAGATAGTATGAATTCATGGAAGACTACCTTGAGGATAGAGCTCCTTTGCTTCTCTTGTTTAATTTTATTTCTTCTTGCGCGTTTCGTCGAGAATTTCTTTTTCATTTAATGGACATTGAGACTAGAACACAAATTTTGATATGTCATAATGACTTACCTTCATCAACCCAGAAAATACATTTGTGTTTCATAAATTCTAAAGCAGATCAACCTCAAACCACTTCAAGCAGCCGAACGCAGTCTAATATAATACAAGTCCGTCAGCATATCTATATCGTTGCATATAAAATGACCTGCCCATTATCAGAAGTAACACCAGACAAAGTCTAAGAAAGTAATCTAGGGATATCGCATGATGGCCACTATGCTTCCTTCTTATCGCCACGTGACTGACGTCATGCCATAAAGTTGCCGTTAACCCCGGGGAAGAGCCACCAAGATATTTCTTCGCAGCCTATTTTCCTTCGAACTATATTACCCCTGAATCCCCAAGTGCTGTCAACCACTCAATCTTTACCAAAAGGAATTCCATCATCCACCAAAATGGCCTCTCAAGCACTACGCACCCGTGCATTAAACCTCCGCCTCCGGAGCTTGCAACCCGCTCGTCTTAGCTCAAGTTCCAGCTTCGCAGCGCTCGGCGCTCGACCTCTGCACGTTTCCTCCACCCTCGCTAAGAGAAATCCTCTTAGCACACGCTCAATTATCGAGCCTACTCTCAGCCTGCAAAACAGAGCCTACTCCTTCCTCCACCCGTCCGGGAAACCAACCTCGGACCTCCTAGTCGAAGAACTCCAAGATCTCTACGAGGCTGCAACGGATGAATTCGAAATCGCGACTGATAGCACGGACAACGCGACGATCTACGCTGCTTCGGACAGGGAATCTGCGCGGGATGCGTTGAATCAGTTCATTGCTGTTTACCATCTTTATACCGCGAAGGCTGGGGAGAAGATGGATGGTGTTGGTGTTGGAGGAAGTGCGACGGAGGGGAGTCCGGTTGTTGAGACGAATCAGAATCCCACTGCTGTGTCGGATGATATTAGAGATGAGATTAGGAGGAGGGTTGGACAGAGGGTTAGGGAGTTGAGGAGCGCAGTTGTTAATTTGGAGGAGAGGGCTAGGGCTGAGTAAGTCTCTTTGGACGCATGTTGGGTACGAAGGGAGATGGAATAGATATTTATCTAGGATTGTGTTGAGTATGTGAGGTTTAGAAAGTGTACAACATTCGTGTATGGTTTAGTCTTTTCCATACAAGAGAACATCCGATCTATCGAAGCATTTATAACAGCAAGTCGAAAAGAATCAAACATCTTCATGGATATCAAGTCCGGTATTCGGTAAACCGTAAACAAAGCCGCGTCCCATGAAACAGCGTAGCAATGTCAAACATCGATTATATTCGCGATAGCGGGTCTGGAGAAGATGGAGTCCAGTCCCGCACATAGTTTGAATTTTAAAAGTCATCGCAAGTCAACGCCAAACTCATCCAGGTTTATTGATAAGGGGAATGCCATCATACACTCGGCCGCAAGCGCCGTTTCCTCGGTAGTTGGTAGATCGTAAGGGCATGGCAATCATACAGCAGAGCATTGAAGGTTGGAGGGCCGTTAGACCACGGCGAAGGGAGTGAGAGTAAAGTGGTCGGGGCTGGGGGATGGAAGGGTGGAAGATGGTTCCTTGTGTGTTGTCCGTTGGTGGCGTTTCAATTGATCTGAAGGTGATGGGTCAGTATAAGAATGATTTTTCCAGTGGCGGGTTCGAACGTACCAGGGCGAGTGAAGCTCTTGGCACAACCAGGGTAAGGGCATTTATGCCTGCGCTCGCCATGGGTCAGCCGGTGGCTTGACATATTGGATGACTGCGATAGAATGAGTGATAGTCGATAGCAGACATGTGGGTGAAACGTACATCTCCAGTTTGGAAATTGCATCCAGGATAGGTGCACTTAAATGGCTTCTCGCCGGAATGGGTTCGCGAGTGCGTTTCTGAAATCATTAGCCTGGCCCCCAAAGAACAACGAATAATAAGAGGAGAAGACATACTCAGTTCACTACTATCTGTGAATGTTTTCGCACAGATCTTGCACCTATAGGGCTTGTCACCACGATGACTGCGCTCATGGCGATCCAAGGTTGCCTGTCGAGCAAATGACTTGCCACACACGGAGCACCTGAAGTTTTTGTCTAAAACAGGGTTAGCCAGGTCATCGGCCAAAAAAGCACAAAATGAGACTCACAGTTGCTGTGGGTGAGGAAATGGCCCTGGAGTTTTGACTTTTGAGAAAATGGCTCATCTGGGCGATGGCACCCTTCCCAGCAGCAATAGTATCCGTTGCCTCTAGCTCCATCAACAGTATTCATATGGCTAGCGACCAAATGATCTTGCAAAGCGCCAGCGTCTGCAAAAGTTGCGCCACAGGCAGCTTCCAACCCGTGTATTGAGATTACCCATTTGCAAATATGCAAGTCGCTATCTTCAGCGGAGAAGTCGGGGGTCGTTAAGACCGACGATACACCACCGTCCAGCGGGGGTGGAGTCTCTCCGGGACTCGAAAGGAAATGCGAGCTCACGCTAGATCGTGACTGGCGAGAGTAAGGTGAATAGGGATGGGAGTGGAGGTGGTGATGGCCTCTGCATCGGTGATGATTGCGGTGCGGCCCTCGAGGGATATGAAGGTTCAGGTCGTTAGGGTTCTTGAAGTCGCCATGGACATGGTGATGTTCGGGGTGAGCGCAATGTAAAGGGTTCATTGTAGGTTCAAGTTTAGTTTTCTCGAGATGAGTCGCGGGTTGTTGCTCGGGTACTTGGGGATTCTCGCAGATGGAGTAGTCCGAACACATCCCCATCATATGGAAGACCTCTGCTGGGTTAACGTCCGTTTGGATAGGGTAGTGCTGGGTCGGAAACAGCCCCTGAAGATCCTTTTGGAAGTCATGACATTCGAGGTGATTGGAGACATTACCATCACAGTGGTTGGCATGAGCCTGGTACGAGTGTAGGAAGTCATGATGGTAGCACGGGTCAAGAGGCCTGGGCACAGTATGCTCTGGGAATTTGCCCGGTTCGCCAACATGGTCATTCATGGTGGTAGAAGGTAACAAAGTCGATGTGTCCAGGGGAAAAGGAGTATTTAGACCGAACAAGGAGTCGAAGCCGCAATCTGGCTCAGCAGTGGCATCACAACAGTGATCCTCAAAGCAGACAGGGTCTGTGCTTTCACAGTTTTGCTCATCGCAGTGGGTGTCATCGCAGTGAGGCACGGAACAGACGCTCGAAGCGTCACACTCCACGAAGCCGCCGCATATTGACCCACAGTCTAGCGCGCAATCATCTACCTGGCAATCGTCCACATCACAGCAGGCCTCGTCGACCTCACACCCTAGCGAGTTGTGATGGTTATGGTCCGAGCAGGGCCATTGGGGTCGGGGAGCCCCCGAGGAATCCGTAGGGCCCTTGCCATCAATATGGAAATCCTCCCAATGGCACTCGAGGCAGAAAGCATCTGCCTGGTTTTGGGCAGTCATATTGCGCGCGGACCAGGTCGAGTGAGGGCAAAAGAAAGGTGAAACGGGATCGAGACCCGAGGTGACCGCAGCAAACAGGGGCTGGTGTAAAACTCGGGAAAGGAATGGTTGGAGGGCCGAGAGAAGAGCGCGCGACCACAGATGAAGTGTCAGGCACAGTCAAGCCCTGAAGACAAATTTCGTAACCGGGGGCAGTTCTTGATCACCAGTCCGTCATAGGCAGAAGAAAAGTAAAATCCACTGCACTAGAAGCGCCTCCGCAAATAGTCCAACGATTGTGTCATGCGCTCTAACCCGCGAAAGGTGTGCTATGTCGGCTATGGTGGGAAGGACGCGGAGGATAGACGAATGATCGTCATGCAGCACAAGATTGCAGGAGGGGAACATGGGGACCTTGTGGACGAGAAAGAAAAGGGCCGATTCCAGTATGCGCATGAGGGAGGATCCGAGGGGGCATGGCGTATGGCGGATGGCGTATGGCCCTCAAATTTGTGGTGAGGACCTTTGGGACGACGGAGAGGAAATGGGGACCTTGGGGGTGAGGGTTACGGTAGCGGGGGAAGGCGGTGAGTGGAGAAGATAGTGGCGAGTGGCGAGTTGCGAGTTGCGAGTTGCGAGTTCAGAGGGTGGTTTATGGATTATGGATTATGGTTCAAGTTACTTCTTGCGACTCTCTTCCTTCGAACGATCGTGATCTCTTGAGTAGACTCAACGTTCACTAGGTCTTCTTGTAGTGACCACCGCAGGATCGTGATCTTTCCCAATGCGTGGACCTTGAACGAGAGCGCCGCCCTGACTGCCCCCTGGGAGTCCCGGAGCCAGAAGAGACAGTCTTGCTGCAGAATGGAAGTACTCGCAGTCCATCCAACTTCCAAAACCATCGTCGGCCACTCATGGTGTCTCCCCTCTGGTTCGACATATGTGCCCCGGGAATTATCTGGACATTTCTTCCTGTCAAATCCCTCGACCTCTGTGTCTGCCCTGGGAATAAGACGTCTGCTCTGACCACGCATCCAGGTACAAAAAATAGAAGCAGAAGTGCCATGGGCGCACCCGTGTAAGCTCGACCCCATTTTGAGAATAACAAAATGAGAAGTGAAGTTGTAGGTCTTCCATGCACGTCTGAGACTCTTGTCTCCAGAGTCCCCGAAACACTCGCGGAAGGAACGATCACCCACATGGGTAAACACTACATAGCCGCAGCCTTGCCCTGTCCTTTCATACCGATCGAGTTCAAGCCCCCAAGATCCTCAAACAATGCTCTACACCTTGATACTAGTACCTTGGCGTTGTCGCAGAAAGACCCTAAAGACCCTCTTCAGCCAAAATAGCTTCTGCCATTTGGATTTGAAGCTCCTCCACAGTTCTGTAAGAGGTTGTGAAATTATCAAGACAATGTGGGTAGAAAGAGTGCACCGCGTGTCCAAGTGGGTGGAGATATCTATGAAAGCGAAGTGAAGTTGAAATGAAAGTAGTAAACCACTCCTATTCCAGATGTGGTTAGCCTGGAGGACTCCAGACGAATGGTATTACCTTCATTGTCAAGCGGTCCCGTACTTGTCGTAGGCATGACGAGCGCACTCGAAGGGCTGAATGTCCGTCAGTTAGTCCAAAGTAGGATAGATCTCCCTCAGAATGAAATAGGTCAAGGGAAACAAACACATCACAAACACCGATGTGTTTGTTTCCCGGATGGACACCTCTTATCGCGCAATCGCAACGCTATTTCAACTTATCCGATGTCCTAGGCAATTTCGACCCCATTGTCTCCAACATTCCTCACCGTCCAACATTCATTCCGCCTGCTTATCCGGATCTCCAATTGACCTTTCCTCCGAGTTTAACTCGCAATCTCTGCGCGAGCGAACTTCCGTCCTACACCCTCCCAAGCTCCCCCCCCAAAAACAATGGGCAACTGCTGCTCCAGCTCCAAAGAACCCGAGGCATTCTCTGGCCCCGGCCGCGTCGTCGGCGTCCCCTCCTCCCCATCCGCACCCCGAGCCCCGCTCCCCACCAAGAACTGGAAGAACACACCTGGGCGGACACTCGGCGAGAGTGGCGAGACGCCAGGAGGTGTCGACGAGGCACGGTCAAATGCCGCGATAGCAGCACAAGTACGCTCATACCCCTCCAACCTGAACCTGGGTCTCCAAGAGGGATTTGGATTGAAGCTCGGGTTGCTAACACGAGAATCTACAGAAGCGCGCCGAAGAAGCTTCATCGAACAAGGGCAAACTAGGCTCGAAACTTGCTGCGCAAAAGGCGAAGACGCAAACGCAGACTCTTGGCGAGGTTAGTCAGGATGAGAGAGCTGCACGCGATGCGGATGGTGCGGAGGAGGCGAGGCGGTGGCAGTAGCTCCTGGTCCTGGTCCTGGTCTGGGTTCTCTGGGAAATGAGCGTTTTTTTTTTCATACTTGCGGGCGTTAGGATTGAGTCTTTAGATGCGGAACATCTACTTACTTTCCATTTCCATTATCTACGGGTTGGCGGTGACTCCGGAGATTTGAGCACCGATCTACATCGGCACATGCGGGGTCATTTGGATTAACATTTCATGTAAAGATGAACAATCCAAAGAACAAGTTGGTATTATCACGGCTCTTGCGTTTCAGAGATGCCTATGCCGGCCTAGATACAAAGTACATGATCATTCAATACATCAAATCTGGCACCCGGGCTAAACCACGTTATACCGACCACTAGCCGGTGCGCGAGCATCGCTATCAGCTGCAGCGATGGTTCCCTCTTTGAGCAAGCGCATTAGCTCACGCATGGCTGTAGTGACGGAAATTTCGGTCTCGCCCTCGACCAGAATGTACAGCTTGGGTAGATCGTTGGGACCGGGGTCTTTGCCCGTGGCGTAGAAGTTGCCCTTGGTTGTGATGGATGTGCCGGTAGCTTCGAGGATCTTGGCGACGTTTGTGCGGTTGGTGACAGCCCAACGAGCTTTTTCTATAGATGAGGTGAAATAAGTAGCTGTTCATAATATAAAAGGTAGAAGCCGAGAGGAGGTGGGAACTTACGGGGGAAGTCGTTGATCTCGAGGGTTGCATGGAATGCGCCGGCGTCGGGCCCGCGGTTGTCGATGGGCACACCGGATCTCATTACACCGGCCTTGCTTAGGCGGGCATGGATATCGGCCACAGCTGATCCAACCTTGTCCAGAGCGTTCTTCGAAGATGCGTTGGGGTCTTTTTCGGTCCTGTGAACTGTGATTTTGCCGTCGAGATCGATGCCTTTGGGAACGCCGGGGAGCGGACCCGATGGGGCAGAAGGAGCGGCAGCAGATTGTACCTGGGACAAAGCCTTGTTGAAGCGATCCTCGTCGGCCTGCTTGGTCTTTTCATCCTTTTCTTCTTCCTCGTCGTCTCCATCGCCGGTCTTGTAGGTTCGGCGCTCGCGATTACGAGCGGTTTCACGCTCTTGGTCGAGACGCTCCAATCCTTTACCACCGAAGCCGGATGTGCTGGCTTTCTCCTTACCGGCTCTGACTTTCTCCAGGAAAGCATCAACCATCTTCTGTACAGGTTCGGGGATTTCTTGTCCGCTTTGCTTGAGGGCCTTGGCGATATCCACGGAATACCGTTCTTGATCCTCAGTAAGAAATGTGACTGCAGTACCGGTGTTTCCAGCACGACCGGTTCGACCAGCTCGGTGGACATAGTCCTCTAAGTGGTTGGGAGCGTCGTAGTTTACGACGAGCTTCAATTGCTTTACGTCCAGACCACGCGCAGCGACAGAGGTAGCGGTTAAGATAGGGAAGATACCCGCTTTGAAGTCCTCAATGGTAGAGTCACGGTCGACTTGGTCCTTTCCACCATGGATAGACATGCAAGGGTAACCCTTCCGCATCAGCTCCTTGAGCAGGTTGTCTGCGGATTCTTGTTTTTCGACGAAAATCAAGGTACGACAATCCTCATTGGCGTCATCCGCATAAAGGTTGCCGAGAAGTTCCAAAAGTCGGTGGAACTTTTGATCTTCGTTGCGAACCTCCACGATCTGCGTGATCTCAGGAGCCACAACACTCTTACCACCAACCACGATCTCGACGGGCTTCTTCAATGTCTTTCGCGCCAGAGCCTCCATATTACGAGGGAAAGTGGCGGAGAAGAGCACCGTCTGCTTATCTGGACGAATGTTGGCCATGATCTTCATCACTTGAGGCTCAAATCCCATGTCAAACATACGATCTGCCTCATCGAGGACGACATATGTGACACGCCGGAGATTGGTGACCCGGCCTCCATTGGCGGCAAGCAGATCTATCATTCGGCCGGGCGTACAAACAACGATCTCGGCACCTCGCTTGAGTTCAGCAATTTGATCTTTAATGGGCGCACCCCCGTAGGCACATACGGCCCGGAGACCAAGTGCCTTCAAAAACGGCTTGCAGTCCTTGTGGATCTGTGTTGCCAGTTCACGGGTGGGCGTCATAATCAGGGATATGGGGCCTTCCATGTTATCCAATGGCCGCTGGTCTTTGATATGACGGAACATAGGAATAAGGAAAGCGATGGTCTTTCCAGAACCAGTCTTTGCAACACCAATCACATCTCGACCAGACATAATGGCAGGAATTGCTTGTGCTTGAATCGATGTCAGACCCTCATAGCCTAGCTTATCGACAACCTCGAGTGTCTGCACTCCCAGTCCACACTGGGACCATTTTTGAACAGGTTTTGGAATGTCCAGACCACGAACCTTGATACCGTCAAGCTCGAGACGCAGATTCACTGTCTCTTCCTCAGTCATATCGGCAAGATGAGACGGTTCGTTATAGAACTTTCGACGGAAAGGCTCGTACTCAATCTTTTTGTGGTCGATTGTAGGAATTTCCTTCTTTTTCTTTTTGTTTGCCATGGCAAGAACGTCGTCTGCGTCTTCTTCACCGACAGCTGTGATATCAACGTCATCTTCGTCTCCGAACATAGCCTGGGGAGCTTGAGACTCCTTCTTCTTTCCTAACGTGGCACCAAATGTCTTCTTCGGCGGGGGCCTATCAGCGAGGTCTGACATGAACGCATCCAGAGGGTCAATCTCTTCCTCGTCGACCTCCATTTTAGAAGATTCAGGCTCCTGGTTCGAGTCGGCCATATCGACATCACCGTTGGTACCATTGGTCCCGTTCGTTTGAGACTCTTCTTCCGGAACATCACCCTGGGTTTGATAAGCCCGAGATTGGGTTTGCAGCCGTTCCTCTCGTCGTTCTGCAGCCAATCGAGCCGCTGCTGCAGCCTCTTCCTCGTTATCACCATCTTGCATGTCAACATCATCGTCCTCTGCGGCTTCCTCGTTCGCTCCAGTGTCTTTGCTCTCATCGAGCGGGGGCGTTGGGAGGCGCTCCAGCTTTTTGCGGGTTGACTCTTCCTCGCCGAATCCGAGGGTACGAGTGGCCGAAGGCTTTTCAGCATCTAGAGCAGTCTTCGCACCTAGTCCAAAACCACTGACATTACCTTTAGCTTTCAACGGAGCAGGTGTAGGGGCAGAGGGCACAGGGGGGGGAGCAGATGCTTTAATGGGAGGTTTAGTCGATTGCGGCACAGCAACGTCGGTGCCGAGAACAGCTGGAGCAGGTGCGTTGTTATTGGTAGCATTCTTCGCAATGGCCTTCGGGTCGAACTTCCCGGCGTACGGAGAAGGCGCTGCAGAATCGGTGGGTGTTGCCGGTGTTTGCGGCGAGTCAACCGCAGGAGACAAGTTTGATCTTCGATCGATGGCATCCAAGATATTTCGGGGGCTGCTTGCTACTTCTTCACGTTGCTTTCGTTCGCGCTCAGCTGCTTGCTTCTGCTTCCAAGCCTCCAACTTTGCACGCCGCTCGGCTTTCTTTTCCTCCTCGGTCTGGGCTGCAGGTGCGGGTGTCGTGGGCTTAGATGTCTGGAAGCATAGGTCAGTGGAATGCACTTGTCTAAACCCCTGCGAATGATGGCAACTCACCTCCAGAGCACGAGAACTGGATCGTCGACTCACGTCGCGGTCACGGCTGTCCTCCCGTCTAGGTTTGGGCTTCAAGTCAGCAGATTCATCTGTGCGCCTGCGATCGCGGTCGCGTGAATCGTCTCGCCTGGCTCGGTAATCTCTATCCCGACTCCTACGGCGATGATCACGATCATCGTCTCGGCGGCGGTCTCGTGATCTGTCTCTCCGACCGGGTCGATATGTGTTTTCGTCACGTCTGTCTAGGGAACGATCGCGTCGGCGGTAGCCGTCTCTGTCGCGACCAGCATCGCGATCGCGGTATCGGCGCTGGAAGGAAGTAGATTGGTCAGATGCTGCATTCGTGAGACTGAAATATTTGCCGCTTACCTCGGGGCTGCGAGACCTTCGGTGTCCGCGACCTTCATCACGTCTTCTCTCAGAGCGGTCATCATCTCTGCGGCTGCGTCGAGATGAAGAGTATGTGCTGCCTACAGGAGATGGTGAGCGAGTATCCCCGTGGCGAGCCATTGTTGCAGGCCAACGATAAGTGAGTATTACTCTGCAGAGCACTGAGATGTTAAGCCGAGGTCTAAAAGGGTCACCACGCTTCCATATAAGTTGTGTTTGAGCTTGAATGTAGTTTGGCCGTGCGGGCCACTGTCTTGTCGCGACCATAAAAGCCGATGATGCATTTTGCGCCTGGGGGATCGCTGTCACGTGCGCTACCTGATACCGCACTTGTCCCAAAACGGAGAAGCCCAAACGAAGCTCGGACGCGACCCTTGACCAGCCTCCCTATCGTGCCGCTTGCGTCAGGGCCTGTTCTTACTCTCTGTCAAACCATTCCTACTTGGTACTCTTTTCTCCAGGTAAACATACAGACTTCACAATGTCTCTACAGTGGACTCGCGCGGGTCCCTTGCGACACCTGCGCCTCGGCACGACCTTCTCTCCCACTCGCGTGATCGCCGTGCAGAACCAGCTCCGCAGCCTGTCTTTGTCGGCAGAACCTCGATCAAAGACCCCGCAGACCGGCTCCTTTTCGGCTTTTGTCTCCCAGAGTCGTGCGTTGTCGACTCAAACCGAAACTAAGACCGAAAGCACAAAGCCCAAGCGTGGACGCCCGCTAGGCTCTACGAAGGCAGCTGGCCAGGACAAAACAGCTCCCAAGAAGCCAGCTGTCAAGGCTAAGAAGGCCAAGAAGCCCTTGACTGATAAGCAAAAGGAGGACAAGGCAAAGAGCGCGCGCTTCGCACATATCAAGGAACTCAAGGTCCTTGCACTTAGCCCTCCCGCGAAGCTCACAGCGAGCGCCTGGCCCCTTGGTGTTAAAGAGATGTACGATAGCGTCAAGTCGGGATCTGGCAACAGCCAGGAGAAGCTGACGGAGGCGATCAATAAGGTCAAGGCCATGAGTCCTGAGGAGTACAAGGTATGTTTCTTCACCATACGACAGTGAACTGATTACTGACTGCGTTGCGCAGAAACTCGAAGAAAAAGCCGCCCAGAACCGAGCCACTAACGCCGCGAACTATATGGCTTGGATCAAATCACACCCCCCCAAACAGATCAAGGAAGCCAACAGCGCCCGTCGGTCCCTGTCTCGCTTGCAAAAGAAGCGCATTGTCCCCCTCGAGGATGACCGGCAGGTGAAGCGGCCTCGAATCGCCTACTTCTTCTTCATGTTGGAGCGCATGAGTGACGGTGACCTCAAGGGCAAGGGTGGACCCGACCTCGCCCGTATCGTGGGTGAGGAGTGGTCGAAGTTGACCGAGTATGAGAAGCAGGTACACACCACCATTTCGCTTGATTTGACGATCATTCCAAAGCTTACCATATATATACAGACTTATAAGGACAAGCAGGCGGAGGATCGCGGACGATTCGAACGGGAGTACCAGGAAGTATACGGCGAGGCTCCGGGCCCATCCACTGCCAAGGACATGGAATAAGGACGGTCATTCATGTTAGGTGTTTTAGATGGTCGGATCGGAAAAGGGTTGGTTATCGTGTCGCGCCTGTGTTTCAAATGCCCCAAGTCTCTTGATTCCCTATTCCATTTGTCAATGTATTGTAGTGTCTGCCAATGCCACCTGTATCTTTGTTACCTGTCTCCTCTATTATAACTCCCCATTGATCATTTACCATCACGAGTGACTGCCCAACTATGGAACCATTCCATTAGATCAAGATCAAGCCATGAGTCAACAGCGCCCCAGCTCCTCCACAGCGGAGAAACCCCCCGCACTGGTGGGTTTCCGAAATTTCCAAGTGGCGGTGAGAGTCCGGTGTGTTGCGCGTGCAGCTCTCCCTGCAGAAGGTTCTAGCAATATGATTTTCACGCCCAACTGGATAATCCTCGTGGCTCGTAGGCATAGATTTGGAGATGAAATGTTATTCCTGTAGCGTTGTGGTGGCCGTGTACTTCATATCGGAACCAGCTTTCGCCGCTCCGGTCCCTGCATCGAGATACATCAAGTACAAGTACAGGTACAAGTACAAGCACCACGCCCACGTACGTACCAAGACTCAAGACTCAAGTAGGCTCTGCATCTGCAACCTGATTGTAGATTCCATGCAGACGGGCCTACCCGCTAGTCGGGCATCCACGGTCCACGTACCGGGCAACCCGTGGGTGAGGGGTATACGATCCCTGGTACGGATGGAGATGCGGTGTAAACAAACCTACAAACCTACAAACAGGACTTGGCAAGGAGTACTGAAGACTGGAATGTAGGAATATGCACGGCTCCTGTATAGCAGGCACCTGTTAACCAGCATGTCAAAGCCCCTGCTTCTGGGCCCCCCCTTGGGCCGCTTGATGGAGGGGGGATCTTGTTATCGATAGGACCGCCCGCTACTGCAACCTGCAAGTAGTCTGTGCGACGCAGGACTTGGGACTTGGGGCTTGGGAGTGCTTCCTAGTGGATCGTCAGGTATCTAGGAACTTCCAGTCTTGCTTCTTTTGGTGAGAAAGAAAGATATTGCAATCTCCAGGTTTGGTGGCGATCGGTGTTCGTCCCAGCCTTCTGCTTTTGTGGCCTTTTTTTTTCTTTTTCTTTTTTCTATCTAGTATGTTATCAGGGACCGAGCGCTGAGGCGAGGAGGATTTGTGACTGTGTCAGTATGTGAATAGTCAGATAAACTCTGTTTTTCCTCAAGGAGAACGCCAGTTACGTAGGGAGAATCCAAGATAAATATAGTCCAGGATAGTCAAAAAGGAGGAGGCAATCGGGGCGAATGTAGACTCAGACTTAACCACTCACCACCGGATGATCAACCTCCACCGCCCCAAACTTTTTATCCCTGCCTCCAGCTGATCCCTACTCTTACTCCTCTTTTCTCTATAATCTTGATTCTCGCCTTCTACCATCCTATTCACGTATACATACCGATCGCCTCTATCAACGCTGCGATCCTCCGACCTCGCTCGAGCACCTGATTTCCGCGCCGGTCGTGCAGGGTGGCTGTTGTGCTTTTTGCGTGCTTTTTCGTTGCGCTACTCGTCCGCTAATCGAAACAACGAAATCCTCCCTATTATCGCCATACGCCAATCGACTTCCTTCCTGCGATCCCGCTTTTGACTCATACCCGATCGACGTCTCCCGCGGGGGATTCATTCCAACCCACCGCCCCATGTGTTCTCTCCCCGCAATCCAGCGGACGGGTCACTAGTCGGCCAGTGGCCAGATAGGCCCGCGATTACGATATGGAGACAAGCGCGCTAGTTTCTTACGACGTGAGAAGGTGCGACAAGGCCCTTGTGGAGAGAACTCGCTATGAAGATGCGGTGAATAGGGTCGTCGATGATGTCTGGGCTGCTCTTGTGGAGGGAAAGGGGGTTCTGCTTTGTTGGAACCTTTGCGCAAGAACGAATTGAGTTTACGTTGTCCCGCGCCCCCATCGTACATTGCGCCTCCGCCGTCTTACGATGATGCCGTTGCCGATCTACCTCCAGATTACGCTACACTTCCGCCGCTCGCTATGCGGAGGACTGAGGTCTCTGATGCACCGGTTGTTCCTGGGACTAGGTCTACGGATCGGGCGTCTTCGCTGCTGAAAGATTGCGAGCTGGATATTTATATTGATTTTGAGAATCCCATCGGGGTTCGCGAACACAAGAAGAAGAAAGCTGGCGGTAATAACGCCCCGAAGAAGGTCAGTTCGCCCCCTCCGCCGGCGGATAACGGTGGGAGCTCAGAAGCCCCGGATCAACCTGCAGGTGATGGAGGTGGGGATGCCGGAGGTGGAGATGGAGCAGGTGATGGCAACGGAGACGGTGGCGGGAATGATAGCTGGGACGGCTGGACCACGAGCGGCTCGAAAAAGAAGAAGACCGAGGAAGAAGAAGAGGAGGAACGCAAAGCTGCAGAGGCCGCAGCTGGTAATAAACTCAGCTGGGCTGATGATATGGACGACAAAGGAGGCGCCGATGACTCGTGGGCCGAATTCGCAACTGTAGGAGGGAAGAAGAAGAAAGGAAAAGTAAGTATTGAAACAGAAACTCACAGTATTTGGATTTTGTCTAACTATACTTTTAGTCTGATGCTCCACCTGGCGGATTTCAGGATGTGAGCCTGAATGATGGGGCCCCGCAGCTGGATTTGAATTTCGAGTCTGGGCCCAAAACCGGTGGCACTGGCTTCAGTTTTGGTGGTTGGGGTAAAGATTGGAGCACAGGGAGTGGAGGTGCTGCTGCTCCTCCTCCGCCTGACAACAAATGGGGTCTTGGAGCTATTGGCGAATCGGCCCCCAAAGAAGAATCCAAGGATGGGAATCCCTGGGCAGTGGGCTCTAAGAAGAAAACGACCAAAACGACAGGCTTCGATTTCGGCGATTTAGGATCCCCGCCTGCAGAGGAGCCCAAAGTCGACGACGGCTGGGGTGCCTTTACCGCTGTCGACAAGAAAGGCAAAAAGAAGGACGAGCTTGAACCTGCCCCGGAAGCTAATAATGACGACTGGAGTTCCTGGGGAGTTGCGACCAAGGACAAGAAAAAGAAAAAGAACCTACTGGATCTCGAGCCCGAGCCTGAGCCCGCTCCTGAGCCTGAACCCGAGCCCGAGGAGCCGGAAGAGCCTTTAGTCGAAATCCCCCCATCTATTACCGAGGAAGCCTGGTATGTAGGGCTTTCCAAGAAGGAGCAGCGGAAAGAGAAGAAGGCTTGGGAGAAAAAGGTGAAGGAGGCCGAAGAACAGCGCCAGGCTCAGCTCGACGCCAGGCAAGCCAAGGCGGACGCAAAGGCCAAGGCAGAGGATGAAGCTAAAGTCAACGAAGTCGTCTCTCCTGAACCGGAAAATGACTGGGACTGGAATGTCTCGTCTAAGTCCAAGGACAAGAAGAAAAAGATCGACCTTCTAGCAGATCCCGAGCCTGCCCCTCCTCCCCCGCCAGCAGAAGATAGCTGGGGAGATAGCTGGGCCACTACAGGGAAGAAAAAGGATAAGAGTTCTAAAAAAGAGCCTGAGCCAGTGATTGAGGATCCGCCGCCAGAACCCGCCAAGGAGGACGATTGGGGTGGCTGGGCTGTCACCACGAAGGACAAGAAGAAGAAAAAGGGCAAGGAGCTAGAACCTGAACCCGAGCCAGAGCCAGAGCCAGAACCGGAGCCGGAACCAGAGCCTGAGCTTGAACCTGAACCTGAACCTGCACCTGCACCTGCACCTGCAGTTCATGATGATCCTTTATACGAGGGCTGGGCTACTTTATCTTCCAAGGAGCGAAAGAGGCGAGAGAAAAAGCTAATCCAAAAGGGACTCCCTATTCCCGGAAAGGACTTTGAACTTCCCTCCGATAAACCAGCGGACCCTGAACCCGAACCTGAACCGGAGCCTCCTGCTGAACCTGAGCCTGAACCTGAGCCTGAGCCCGAACCGGAACCGGAACTGGAACCCGAGAAGCCAGCCGAAGACGATGCTTGGGGTGGTGTCTGGGGTACAACAAAGGATAAGAAAAAGAAGAAGAAAGGCATTGAGGAGCCTCCACCCCCAGCTCCGACTCCTCCTGCCCAAGGTCTCACTCCCGAACCTGAATCTATAAATGAAAATGGCGACGACATCTGGGCCGAGCTTGCTCCCAAATCCAAGTCCTCGAAGAAGAAGACAATTGAGCCTCCTAAGGAAGAGAAACCGGCTGCCAAGGGCTTCTGGGCATCTTTGACCGGTGGCTCTGCCTCCAAGACCAAGACAAAGTCCAAGCCTAAGGAAGATGAGCCTATTCCAGAGGACGATCTCCTTATCGACGTTGAAGATCCTCCAAATGAGGTCGAGCCGGAGCCTGAGCCGGAGCTGGAGCCCGAACCTGAGCCGGAGCCTGTCGTTGAGGACAAGCCAAAGAGCAAGAGCAAGCTATCTGTGGCCGAGCGCATCAAGGCTCTCGAACAGGCTAAGAAGGATAAGATCAAAGAGGAAAAGCTAAGCTCCAAAAGCAAGAAAGAGAAGAAGGTTGAGCCTGAACCCGAGCCTGAACCCGAGCCCGAGCCTGAACCAGAGCCTCCTGCTGAACCCGAGCCAGAGCCAGAGCCAGAGCCTGAACCGGAACCGGAGCCGGATCTTTCTAAGATGTCTAAGAAGGAACTGAAGAAATACAAGAAGCTTCAGGCCGAGAAAGAGGCAGCAGCAGAGGCAGCCAAGGCAGCTGAGCCGGAACCTGAACCTGAACCCGAGCCGGAACCTGAAGAGGAGAAGCACGATTCAGTCCCTGGGAGTTTCCCAGATGATAATCCTATCGAGCCCGAGCCTGCGCCAGCTCCGGAAGCGGAACCGGAGCCTGAGCCAGAACCTGAGCCAGATCTTTCGAAGATGTCTAAGAAAGAGCTGAAAAAATACAAGAAAGCTCAGGCTGAGAAGGAGGCCGCCGCTGCCGCTGCTGCGGCAAAAGCTCCTACTCCGCCCCCGGCTCTAGAGGAACCACCTGCCCTGGAGCCAGAGGCGGAGGCTGGTGCTCCACCGACACCTCCGCCAGAGACTGCTGAGCCAGAACCTACGAAGTCTTCAAAGAAAGAACGCCCGCGCGTCGAACGGAATGGAACCAGCTCCAGCTGGGGCTTCTGGGGAGCAGCACCGCCCCCAAAGAAGTCCAGCAAGAAGGAAAGGCAAGTCCCCGAAGAAATCGAGGAGCCGAAAGAGGACAATGAGCCAGAGGAGCCTAAGGAACATATGGAGCCTAAGGAGACTAGGGAAGAGAGACGCGAGAGGAAGGAGAAAGAAGAGAGGCGAGCAAGACGAAAAGAGAAAGAAGCAGCTCGCGAACTCGATGCCTCACCCGCCATTCGATCCAAGTCAACAAAATCTCGACCTAAAGAATCTGATGCCGAGATGGAGAATCCTTCATCGGACAGAGAGAAGCGTCGGGAGCGGGAAGCGCGTTCCTCTAAACAGCAACGCGCTACGACCTTGTCCAACTTCGTATTCGGCGCGCCCCCGCCACGAAGCAAATCCACCAAGAAACCATCAGCAGCTTCGAGACCTTCATCAAAGCCTGCATCCAGACGTCCATCTGTTGATGCGGATGCCGAAGCCGCAATGCCTTCGCCACCCCCTGATGACAAGCCGGAGGTGGCTGATAAGGCAGCCAAGTTAATGGGTATTAGCGGCTCGAAATCGAGGCGGGATAAGGAGCGTCCTCGTGCCGAGAGGAAGAAGTCTGGTAAGATTTAGGTCGCATTTTCAATCTGATCGCTAGCGCTAATTTATCCTCGCAGGCCCCAGAGATCCATTTCCCATCGATGAAGATGACATGGTTGTGGTCGACCATGAAGACGCCGACGGGTCACCAAAAGAAGACTCGAAGGGGTCGAAGCGCAAGTCGAAACGAGAGGTTAGTAAGCACAACAATTAGCTTTTTGGACATCTGCTAACGTTGTTCATCCCAGTCGCGACCGAGATCAGCCGATGACGATGCGGTCATGGTTGATGCAGAGCAGGCGCGTGGTGCCCCGGATGTTGACATGGCCGCTATGGATCCACCAAAGGAACGACGCCTGAAACGGTCCAGCACAGCACCCAAAAAGCAAGAGGCCGGTGGGCTGATGGGTCTGTTTGGTTCCCTCCGAAAGAACACGCGTCCTGATCCGCCAGAAAGGCGAAAGTCTCGTTCAAATCGCGATGGCGCCTTGACCGAGCCAGAACGCGACGAGCGACGTGTCCGACGCGACGAACGCCGCCGTCCATCAGTCCGACCCGATACCGATGCTGAAGGATTCACCACCGATGCAGCCGGTGCCGCCGCAGGTGAAACAGAAGCCGAAGACCCGGAAGCCCGCAGAGCTGCTCGACGAGCCAAGCGAACCTCTCGCCAGGCTCCGTCCGACTACCGCGAGGTGGAGGCTCGAGAAGCAGAAGAACGACGTGCAAAGCGGAAAGAAAAAGAGCTAGCCCGTCAGGCTCGTGAACAAGCCGCCCGCGAGGAAGAAGAAGCTCGGCTTCTTGCCGAGAAACAAGCCCGCCGCGCAGCCCGCGAAGAACGCCGCGCCAAAGAAGAGCAAGCTGTCCGCGAAGCTGAAGCAGCCGCCGAAGCCAAGGCCGCCGAACGTCGCGAGCGCCGTCGTCTCCGCGAAGAAGAAATGGCCGCTAAGGAAATGGCCGCCAAGGCCAAACGCCGTCGCTCGCGCGTTGACGAACCTCCTCCTGAAGTCTACCTCGACGAAGCTGAAGACCGCCGCCGTGGCTCTCGCACAGCAGACGACAAAGACCGTCGCCGCCGCTCCAAAGCCGCTCCACAAGAAAGCACACGTGCACCCCTCATGACAGGCGGCCTCAACCACGGTGATACAGGCGGGCCGAAGAAAGACAAGATCTCCTCTTGGGTCTACAGCCAATCCGACGAACCACCCGATCCTCCCCCTTTGTGGAAACAGTCATCGACATGCCCCCAGCCGCCGCTGCTGCCGCAGATCAAGTCAATGCTCACTCCCTCTCCTCAGACGAGGAAGCCCGTCGCGCCGTCCGCCGTCGAGCCCGCCGTCGCGCCAAGTACGGCGACATGCCAGATGAAGAAATCGAAGAACTCCGGTCCCGCCGCCAGAGTCGCGTGAAGAGTAGCTCCGGTAGTGGTGACTATGAACGTGATCGAGGCATGCGGTCTCATGGAAGTCGACATGGAGCGCCGCCTAGCTCCGGGGCTAAGAAGTCGAGTTGGTTTAAGAAGATTTTCTAAAGAGATACGATGAAGTTGATGTTGATACCCTGGTAAATATGGGGGAAGTTTATGGTTATTTCTTTTATGTATTGGATGCAGCGGTATCTTTGTATTGTTTTTTTTTTCTTCCATGGTTATGAGGAGGTCTTCTTCATTTGAGCGGATCTTTTTCACGACAGATATGATTCTATGACTATCAATTGAGGCAATGTATGCGAATGATTTTACGGTATCTGGACTTGTTCATGTTTAATTTTGTATTCATAGTATCATAGGTATCCATACATTTCTTTTGAACTCCTCATAGTTTTAGGACTCCACCAAAATCTAGCTCTACAGAACCGCATCCCCCTCCTTAGCCCCATCAACACCCTCAATCCCCTTCCTCCTCTCCTCCAAAAAGAACCTCCCACTTTCATACATACTCAAATACAGACTGACCGCAACAGCCGTCCACCCAGCCCTGATAGCACCCCCCTTAAATAACCCCCTGACCCCGTCCTTCCTATATATCTCCCTCCCAACAGCCAAAGCCCCCTTGCCCTTCCCCCGTCCGTTCCCGTTGCCATCCCCATCCCCCTCCACACCAGCAGACAGCATAACCCTCGTCTTCACAACATCAATCGGCGTCGTCACAAAAGAAGCCACCGTTCCCGCCAAACCCGCACTAACCCCCGTAACACCAGCCCTCTCAACCAACTGCTCTCTAACCTTATCCCCCTTCTCAATACCCCTCTCCCTCCTCCATGCCAGAATCCGCGCCCTCAAATACTCAAATAGCGGAAACTGTAACCCTGTCATAGGCAGATTTCTTCCAACGAGCGTCGTATACCCGCTCCAAAGCCGCCAGGGCCGACCTTTGAATTTCCACAGAACTTGGCGCACCGGGGCCACGGAGCCTTTCTCGGTATTGATCATTTGGGCATTTTGTTTAATTACCTCGGCGGGCGTGAGTAGCAGGCAAGAGATCATTTCTCCGGCTGAGGAGGCAATGCCGTGGATTATTGGGGTTGGGAGGGAGTGCTTGAATGGGAGGGGGATAGTTAATCTTGAGCCTTGGGTGTAGTATTCTGGATTGGAAGAATTGCTGTTGGAGTGGGTGGATGCGTCGTGGAGTGTGCATTTCACGGCTTCATAGGTCGTGAAGAATGCTCCTGCTGTTGATGGGTTAGGATTTGATATTGGGTTGATGATTCGATTTGAAATAGACTTACACGATGGGATTGTGGAAAATACCACGCTCCAGACACCTTGGTATAGGCCTTTGAATAGGACATTGCGCCTAATCGCTCCTGTGCGCGCGTCTTTGAAGACTTGATCGTAGTTCGGGGATTGAATGCGCGTTTTGAGAGTGTCGAATGGGTAGACGACAAAGTCTACTGTTACTGCGGCAAATGCGCCGGCCTGGTATGGGGAAAGGCTTGGTTAGCAGATGTTTGAAGGCAAAAGGAAAGATGTCAAGCCTGCCGTTGAAGCTCGGAGTATGTGGATGTATAGGTCAGACTCACAAACCAGATGTCGGTGTGGCTATTGTACATTATGAGAGCATGGGGAAGAGGGAATATGGATCTATAGTTTTACCGGGTTAATTGAGAGCAGCATGAGCCTTAAAGAAAGGGCGTTGCTGACTTCATAGCTTCCTTGATTGCCATCTTATCGGGTCGATCATCGTTCCAGGGATGAGGTCATACCGACATCACGTGGCTGATATGTGCCCTATATTGATTAGGGCTGTTTTTACTCCGGGGTAAAAGGTCCAGGATGGAAGATAAAGAGCTGCAGAAAAGAGTATGCAAGTGACATGGATAACAGTAATATCTAAAAGGTCATTGTTTTCTATGAGCTATGCGAGTCCATATGTCTCATCAAACATCAGACGGGAAGACTCGACTCGTCATACAATAATAAAAAGAGGAAGTCATATTAACATCCCAAGAGAACATTTTCCTTCCCTACGCCGTAAAAAGGTCATGCAATCCCAAAATCCCTCATCTCCACTTAATTCGCAGTCTCACCGGGCAGCATGTTGCCCTTGACAGCGAACATCTTGCCGGTAGCCGACGAGACGAAGCTGTCGACCTGGCGAGAGAACTGCTCCACCTGGCGGGTGTTGAGCATGGCCTCCAGCCGGCTGGGCTCGGCAGGGAGCTTGAACAGACGCTGCCACTCGTCCTCGGGGAGGAGGGGCTGCTTGAGCGCGGCCCGGGTGGCGTTCTCTTGGCTGCGCTTCTGCTTCCAGTTGTTGATCTTCTGCTGCTCACGGCCGAGCACACGCTGGTAGTACTGGTAGTTGTTGGTCTCAGTGTTGTGGGCCTCGATGCTGTCGAGCAGGAGGTCGCAGTTCTTCTCGAGGAAGGGGTCGACGCTGAGCGACAGGTTGTCGAAGTTGGGGGTGAAAGTGGAGGACTTGGAGAAGGGGCTAGACTCGAGAGCGCTGAGGGAGGGCGGAAGGTCGGTAGGCCCGGAAGCGCTGGGGCACTGCAGCTGGTGGATGAGGGAGGTGATCAGGTGCGAGTTGTGGATCTCAATGGGCAGCTCTTCGAAGATATCTTGGTAGCGGAGGGTGGACTTTTGAAGCCTATGAAAGGGTTAGTATGAAGATACTAGTATTCAAACTTGGCGCGTCACGTACTCCTCGGAGTTGAACTTGTTCTCCTTGAACGCTTCCATGAACTTGGCCGAGAGGCGGAAAGCGCGCAGGCTAAGGGCACCCTGGGCGCTGCGGCTAACGTCGTGGATAAGAGCGACTGTCCGCTCGTTCATTTCCTTCTGGTAGAAGTATTGGTTCTCGATCACGTTCATGTTGACCCAGTTACCCATGTTGGCGCTAGTGTACCAGCCGACGTTGTTTGCATCGATGTTGACCTCACGTATCATTCGGATCATCTCAGCCTGGTAGACAGCGTTCGCCTTGGTGCGGGGCGCAGAGGCAGCCGGGTTGGGGGCGGCGTTATCGGAGTGCGACTCGACGGGAGTCTCGACCACGGGGAGCGGGAAAGAGTTTGTGATCTCGAGGAGGCCCTCGTTGTCCAGGCCGACGAGGGAACCGGTCGCGGTCGTCGGGAAGGTCTGGGAGCAGTGCTTGATGATTTTCATCACCACCTAGAGTATCCGGCATGAGTATTTCTCGCTGGCGAGGTTGAGGCAGATTTTCAAGATTCGGGGAGTTCGTACCAGGGCCTCGACCTTGACGGCCACGAGGGGACTTTGGGATCTGCGAGAGCATTAGCATATGAATTCCAGTTCAGCAAAGATCAATACATACTCGGCCATATTGAAGCGTTGTCACCGGGAGTGGAGGGGGTTGGGTTGGAGAACAAGTCGAAGCGTTTCGGAAGGTTGTGTGAAAGGATTCATTTTGGGTTTAGCGTGGTATGTAATACAGTACGCAAGTGGTGGCCGTGACGAGGGGTAAATACACGTGTATTACAGGTCCTTTCTGCATTGCCCGAGCGCAACTCCGCATATTCTTCTTCGATCTTTTTCTAATCCATTTGTATTGTCCGACAATGCTTCAATTGACGCATATTTTATTCGGGACGTTCTCTGATCCTGTGTTAGCCTCACTAATGCATCAAGCCCACTCAATCGAAATAACAGACTTAGTCATGTAGAGCGGATCCTTCTCTGCATGTCCCGCCTCTTATCGTGATCGACGGCCAACCTGTAGACAAGCATCCCGCCATGCCTTCCGCCAGTAAGAGAACCGTGACCTACGGTCGGCATAGCGTGCTGCAGACCATCTCCATCACCTCCCTAGAGTCGCGCAAAGATGCATACTGGGTGATGTATGCCAGATCCATCTGCTCCCTCTCGACCATGATACTGACAATTGACACCCAGTTATATCCACGGTGGCGCCTGGCGCGATCCAACCGTCACATCAGAATCCTTCGACAAAGCCGAAGCCATTCTCCGCGCATCAAACCTGCCCATCTCAGGCTTCGCATCTATCTCATACAGATTGAGTCCGCACCCACGATTCCCCCAGAACCCACCGACTACTTCGCCGTACGAGTCCCGCTCTGCTAAGCACCCGGATCACATCCGAGATGTTGAGGCTGCGCTAGCCTTCCTGCAGAACACCTATGGGTTCGGTCCGCGGTATATCCTCGTTGGACACAGCTGCGGCGCAACACTAGCGTTCCAGTCTGTCATGGGTGCTATTGCGAATCACAGGGAAATGGCGCACAATCCTGACGCTGATGGCGGTGCTGGCGTTGAGGCTGTTTCTACTACTCCTGAACCATTGCCTCCGCGTCTTCGGGCGAAGCCGACGGCTATTGTGGGTGTGGCTGGTATCTATGATCTCCGGCGGTTGATAGATACGCATCGCACTATCTCGGCGTACCGTGAGTTTATTGAAGGTGCATTTGGGGAAGATGATATGGTTTGGGATGGGGCATCTCCGGCGCAGATGGTTGGGTCTCGTGGTGTCGAAGGTGGTTGGAAGACTGGGAGATTGGTTGTTTTAGCTCAATCTCCCGACGATGAGCTTGTGGATATGGGCCAGCGTGAGGCGATGCAGGATGCCTTGAAGGGGTGGGAGCAGACGGAGGCTCAGGTGTCGCCTGATGAGCTTACTCACAAGGATCGTCGTGTCCGGACCTTGGATATTAGCGGTGCTCATGACGATGCTTGGATCAATGGTGATGAAATTGCTCGCTCCATTCAGTTCGCCTTCAAGGAGCTACAGGAGATGGGACTTGCACCTGAGGCTTGATCTGGGGGTAGTGTGGAAAGTGTCTGTACAGTGTGTACATAGGAGCATCGATACATAGAGAATTATACATATACTAGATTCCAAGATGTTTTGAAGCTCGAACTTCTTCATTCATCAAAAAGGCTTAAAGGCATGATGTAGATACAATGTAGGCCTTGAAACGCCATTATTCGTAAACGCATAATCACGAAAGATCAAATCATAGGAAGTCCCTGGTACGCCGAAGTTTGCTCATAAGATCCCCTCGTGGCATCATTTGCCCAAATCCATCCGGCCCGATGCAGTCTCTGCCACCACCTTGTCGACCTTAGCACCCTCGGGCTCTTCAGCGTAATCGAATCCATCTTCTTCGCTCTCACTTTCTTCGATAAATTTGTGGGTCATGTCAAACTCAGCTAGGCGCCAGTGCAAATCCTCGCGCCAGCCATCTTGCCAGCGGGCGAGCGCAGCCGCAGCGTGAACTTTGAAGCCGTAGATTTTGGGCTCATAGCGGCGCATGCTCTTCTCGGGGTTAAGGGCCGGGTAGACCTGGAATAGGATTGAGTGGAAGGAGGTTCCGAAGTAGGCGCCGTCGATGGAGGCGTGTCGGGAGGATTTGGGGTTGTAGATGTCCTCGCACTTGGGACAGTATAGCTTGACGGTGCTCATGTTGGGGAGATCAAACTGGCCCATGGGCAGAAGTGGGTGTCCTTCGCACACAACGCGGGGGCATTTTCCAAAGTCGCATTTCTTGTACTTATCAAGCTGTTCAAGCAATATTAGCCATGACGCTGGGAAAAGGGTGTGTGCTATATCGGGCAAGGATGCGAACCTACCATCTTAGCAAGACCACGGGTAGTGACAATGTAACGGGCATGAACAAGGCCATAAAGGTGACGGGCGGACTTTTCGATCTGCTCACGCAGATCATCGTCGGCATCCAGATCGAAGACATCGGTCACCAGGTCCAGTGCATACTGATAGTACGGAACCTCGGTGTTCAGACCAGTCAAGTTGAACCGATCTGTCAGGTAGTCCTCGTCGATCTCGCAGAAGTACTCATTTCCTCGGGAAGAGACAAACTAGAGCGCAGATAGGGCAATTAGCTAACCTTCAAACGAAAAGACGATAGCGGTAGATCATGATAGAGATAGTCCGCAGGCCAACATTCTCGCAGCGCAAGCCCAATTCTCGATATGCGACTGTCTCAGAGCACTAAGCGTCAAGAAGCATCCAAGCGAGCCTAGAATGTCGCAAGTCGGACGTCTCGCGGGGCACCCAGGCGGGACATCACAGATCACCGAAATCACGAAGAACATACCCAGTCTCTCCAGTAACTTGTGTAGTCACTATCCGTCTCGCTGTTGAAGTCCTCCATCATAGTGAATAATGTTGCTGGAAAAGATCCGTGAAGACCAGTTGCGCACTCGGAGCGGGTATGTTGCGACCACAGAGCTTGGGTGGATCAACCCGGGGTGCTGGAAACCCCAACTGCGATACTGCAAGACAATGCAAGTAAAGTGTAAATGTCAAGCTAATGTGTAGGGGCAAACTTTGCTCGATGCTGCGGGGATGGGTGGCTGGACAATCGAGGGGAGGCTGAGTGGTGCGCCCGTCAATTCGATAGTGCGGACGCAATTCTGCCGAGTTAAGTTACACCGCCTTCAACATGATCTACGAATGCTTTAGGACTTTACAGTACTTCATTTTGCTCACATTTACAAGGATGATAGCTTTCATTTACAGGCCAGCTATGCTTGCTCATATCTCTCACATATTGCTTTGAGGAGATAGTTTAGAATGAAGGGTTGGCGTTAGCCACCAGTTGTGCAAAGTACGCCTATATATCCTGTCAGTGATTTCTTCACGATAGCTTAACTCGAAAGTAGATATCTGGAAATTCGTACCTGGAACCATGTACCAGCCTCAGGAGCTGGCTGCAGAGCATCACTATATCCACAGTGGGCATCATATCGAGATGAAGACGTAGCCGAAGTACCGTCACTTTCACCACCAGGCTTGACCCAGACAAACGCATCTTCCAGGGCATCTCCAGTGTTTGTGGTAGGACGAACTCCGAAGCCAGTACCCTTTACATTGCACCAATCACCCCAGGCGTTCTGCTGAGTTGGCTGGACACCGTTACGTCCTGTGTACAGATTGTCAGCTCTCTCTAAAAGGCAAATGCTGGGTATCTAATTGCTTACCAGTATCAGTGATGAAATGAGCATCCCATCCAAGGTTCTGTAGTAAAGGAGCAAGCGCATTAACATATCGTTTCTCGTCGCAGTTGGAGTCTCCTGAAGTATAAGATGGACAAGTACTAAGGGACCAACCGTTGTAGTTAGCAACGTTGGTTGCCAGTCCTCGTAGGGAGGCGGGCTTAGATGCGTTGTTATAGACTTGAGCATATAGCTGAGCCGCTGGGCTTAGGTTCGCAGGCCAGCCCAGCCATCCGGCGTGTCCTGTAGGAGTGTGAACAGTGTAATATCTACAGCAGAAAGAAAGGCCGCCCACCAGCATCAAGATACATAGCAACATTATCCAAATTCAACTGAGTGACCGCATAGTTGGTGCACTCAAGGTATGCGTCGTGTGCATTAGCACACTTCGAGACGTCCATGTTAGTGACCAAGTTCGCCAAGCTGTCAGGCTCTACAGAGACCTTTGATTAACACGGGCAGCAGCATCGGATCAGAGATTGGCTTACCAATGATCAGAATGGTATGAACATCAGAATATTCCAAAAGCGTCGCGCGAATATGATCAATATACGCCTTGTACTTCTCGACACCACCATTAGCAATAGAGTACTCGCCGTTACTAGCGAGAGCAGCACAGTCGCGATCGGGCAAGTCATATACAACAAAGATGCCGGCAAGAGGAGGGTTAGCCCCGGCTGCATTCTTCAACTGGATGTCGGACAGGAATTCGCCCATGATTGGCACCTTGTCGGCCGTGTCACTGTAGAAGAATTAATCACTACGAACAAGTCTCGATAAAGATGTAGGTCAGAGTGGGCAATAACTCACAGCCAGTAGAAAGATGGCACCTCTGCAACATTGCTAGCGGCTGCCTTCGCAGTGCCAGTCATGGACGGCAAAGCCGAGGTGGTTACTTCGGATGCATAAAACGAGTTGGCATAAAGCTGATAACCTGAGAAAGGATTGACCGTGGAAGTAGCGCGAGCTGCGATAGCAGGCGCATTGGCTTTCGCAATGGCTACTGCTGCAACAGTAGATGCTAGGAATGGGGCAATGTGAAGTATGGATTTCATTTTGAAATTATACGTTCTTTTGAGTATTTTGATTGATCTTGTTATGGCTTGCTGGTTTTCTCAAATGAAGACGCTTCATCCATCAATTTATAGCTTTCCTCTGGCTAATTTCCCCACGCCATGGCGGCTTTTGGACCGGCTATCCGATGCCATGAGACATATCAGGGTCCAGCCTTGGCAGCGTGTAGTCATATTTGATAGACCATTGGGCTTATATTTGCCTGAATGGAAAAAGCCCAAGCCAAGCTGTCTAGGTACATGGACCTTACAAGGAGGGAAGCATCACACGAGGCCCTGCTAGTTTCACGCGGACTTGGCTCCCCGTCCCCAAAGTGGATATTCTCTGTCGATCTTCAAAAGGCATAGCTGGCTTTTACATTGATGTGGTAAATTGGAATTAAACCCCCGGTAGCTAGATCATTTCTGACACGGAGGATTAGACGAAAGGTTTCATCAAAAGCCATGAAGTGGAAATCATGAGCCTGCGCAAAAGTGCCATGTGCAGGGGGCTAGTCCTCCGTGATGGAAAGTGGCTGATGTGATGAGGGGAATACCGGGGCTAACTTCTTCAGGACCCTGAAGAAATAAAACACTTGGAGTTTTAGGCTCAAATATCACCGGGCTCGTGGGTGAATGGGGTGTCACCCCTCGGCTCAACACGGTCTCTTATTGGTCCTATACCTCCTCGTGGTCACCTCAGCTTCGCTCACCAGACCTCACGAGTGTTAAATCGAGGCCTGCTATTTGCCTGCATCCCAAGATGCCTTTAGTGCTGGTTATTTATGTATTTTTACTGTATAAACATTAGTACTAAATTATTTCATGGACAATGTTGAACTCCAAAATGCATCAATGTAAATAGACATAGTCAAGAGCTAAACCAGCGATCCACTCTCTTAGCCAATTCCACGCATCTATTATCCACATAGATTGTATAATAGTGCGCCGCACAGACAGCCACGCCACCTAACATGACCCCCGTAATCCACCAAGCAAGATGAAACGAGACCGGATCCGCAATCCACGCCTCCCCACTACTAACATACTGGCTCCCAGCCAGCGTCGAATAGATAAGATGCAGCAATGGATCTCTCCACAGTTGATAAATCGTCTCATGGAGCAGATACAACGCAAATGAGATCTTCCCCAGATACTGAACCAGCCGCGTATTGAGCGGTCGTTGCATGCATGGGAATTCCCCAATTGCATAAACCAGCATAGCCGACCCGACCGATTTCCAGCAGAAGTGGTATATATCCCAATTATCCTTCCAGCGCGCGGGCTGGAGGACGGATAGGAACTGGTATCCTGGTGGTAAGTGACCGTCGTTTCCGAGGCAGAGAAGGTAGTAGCCCGCAACGAATGTGAGTGCGATCCCAATGCGCGAGAAATTGGTGCATTTTCTCGATTTGAGGCTGACGTATCGGTGTTTACCGCCGCACGAGCCTAGACTTCTCCAGGAAGGTAGGGTGAAGGGGCTGTTGGAGCTTTCTTCAAACTCTGCCATCTCGAATTCGGCATTGAGATTCTCATTCGAGGCTGTAGAGACAGCGTACGCTCTCTGGGCCAGCCAGAGGCCCCAGACAAAGCCGAAAATATCCCAATTCCCATACCAAAGATAGAAACTTGCGATAATTGGCAGTATGTAGAGCCTTGAGCTCACGCGCCATGCCGAAAGACCGAGAATGAGTAGGTAGACGACATTTGACCCCCTAAATTCAAGCGGCATAGTCCAAAGCTGGCCGTTCAGGCTTCCACGATACTCAAAAGCAATAACATTCATACTATCGGCCATAAAATTGAGCAACCATCTGACATGAGCCCACGGGGCCGTCCAAGGCTTAGGAAGATCATTCAAAAGGCCTTCATCAAATTGCCAATGGAACAGATCGAAGAAGAAGAGAACCTGCGCCAGACTAGCCGTCACCAGGACAGGGAGGTAAATCCGAAAAGCCCTCCTTACGATAGCAGATGATACCCGTGGTAAGAACTGGGTGCTGTTCTGATCTTTCAGGAGGCTGATTGAAATGGCATAGCCCGAGATAACCATGAAAAGGGTCACCATGCCATGAGCGGAGAACAAGATCCGGATAGGAGGTAGTTGGACCAGGTGCCTGTTTCCTTCGGGTGGATCGGTCCAGAAGGAGACGAACGGGTGCCACACTTCGCTCATGAAGAAATGGTCGAAGGCCACGATGGCGGCTGCTATGCCGCGTAGGCCGTCGAGCCATCTGGTGCGCTCCATGGGTGATCGGTATAGGGATCTTCTCTCGGTGTTTTTTTTTTTTTTTTCCGGCGTTTTTTTCTCTGGATTCAGCTATTCTAAGCCGCAAAATTGGCTCGTATTACTAGACCCTTTTCTTATGAGACAGCTGACCGAGTCTGGTTTAGCGGAGTGGCTTAGCGGGACTTGGCCTTGGGCTTACAGTACCCAGCGTCTAAAGTTTTCAAAGTAAATAATGCCCTGGGTTTCTTCTAGTGATACTATTACATTGTTCAAATAGTATTTTTAAGCTTTTATTTACAAATTTTTTATATGCGATATTTTGTATCTCAAGTTACTCTTGTGGGCTTTTGTCACGGGGAACAAAGGATCTGCACAGTTTGATTCACTTGATCGGCATGCAAGGCGACCGACCCTTCCGAGGCTCTCCACTGAGTATGAGGTGGAGTTGCGCGAAGAAAGCCCGGTATACATGCAGGCTGATTTAAATCTACCAATTTTGAATGAATAAAACAAGAAGAACTCTGTTTGATGTAACGAAATCTGTTAAAACACGATAGATAAAAGGAAATCCAAAAGAGTGGAGTGGTATCACGCTGTCGTTATGTGACCCGGCAAGCCAGGATAAGATCAATATCAATCAATGGGGGAAAAGAGAAAGAAAAAAAAATTTGGAATACTAGCTTGGCCGGGTTTAACGTCGAGCGCGATCACACTCAGCCAGGAATCTGTGAATGCCCTCAGCGCCATCGTACTCGGAGGATGTCTCTGGCAGACCAGCGCTCGAGACTTCCTGGAAATACGCGCGATCCCCGAGCTCACTAACGTTAATGCTCGAGTACGCAGATGGCGAGGTTGTCCATGGATTGCTGCCAAACATTTCCTTGTCGTCGAAGCTGATGGCGGGGCTGGAGTCAAGACCAGAGTCCTTTGAGAATGGACTTGGTGGTGAGATCATGCCATGCCAGTCAAGATCATCGGAATGCTGCGACTTGTGAAGCGATGCCTTCTCGAAAAGGTACTCTGTATCGGATGATGGGGCATAACTAGGGGCAAAGGGGAACAATAAAGCCAGATCAGCGCCGGTGCGAAGCTCGAAGTCTTCGTCCTGTGTGATCCGGCCTCTTTGAACACCAACCTCGTCACACAGGCGTTCGACAGTGTCTGCATCGCAGCCGGGGAATCGGACGCGAATGGTGGATCGATCATGGAGCATAATTGGCAAGTCACCAAGCGTTGAAAGACGCTTAAGATCGTTCATCACCATAGCGAATTCTTTCAAGGCGCGGGCAAAGTCGGCAGAAAGCAGGTCCATCAAGCCATCGGAATTCAGGGTCTCGACGGAAACAACACCGGTCTTCTTGTCGAGCGCAGTGAAGGCACCGAAAGCGGTGATAGTGGGCGAAAGCTGGAAGTCAAGGAACGATCCAGGGGCGTTGTGGGGAATGGCGGTCATCTTACGCCCAGCCTGGTCCTGAAGAGCGCTGACAGCCTTGTACCGCTTCTCACCAGTGCGGGCATCGACGCCATCGAACCGGACCTTCTGTCCCGAAAGGAAAAAAGCTCGAACTCCCTGGGAGACATTTTGGATCACCTGGGCCGGAGCCGCAGGGCCATGGGAGAAGTACCGAGCACCGCCGAAACGACCAGCTCCGACAGCGTATCCTCCGGCAGTACGACCCAGAGTTCCACCAGTAAGGTTGGGACGGAGTGTGGACGCAAATGGAGCGCGGCTTGTGAGCCGACTGATGTTGGAGGCGACACGGGTAGTCTTGTAGCCACCAACATCTGCTTGTACTCCACGGACGGCCGAAACGAAGGCGTTGGCTGCACGAGTCGAGAAGTAGCGACTGCGGGACTGGCGGATGGCCGCAATGCGATTGATTGGCTGGCGGTTGATGCGAGCATAGGCAGGCTGGTATCGTAGAGATGCTTGTTGCGTAGGCTCCGGAAGCTTGGCCCTTATGGCCTTGGAGGCCTTCTCATAGGCGAACCTGGGGTGATGTCAGCGGATGAGTCAAAGGCGATAAGCAGATGAGTCAATGAACGTACCTAGCTGCCCTCCATATCTTGGGGAGCAGCAGGTGCCCACTCGGAGGCGCCATGCTGATAGTTCAATAGATGTATTTACCCTGGGAAGATGGGGTAATGGGGAAGAGGAAAGGGAGTGCCTGATGACGGGGGCCTTATCAGTCAGCCTCAGGTAGACCCGCTGTGGCGCTGCTTTGCCACGCATGTGACCCGGTCAACATTCTACTGCGTGGAAACTGGCATTGTGAACTTAGATTACCTGTGTAGCATATGTTGAACATTTTTGTTGCTCGGAATACCCGAATCAATTGTGATAACATATTCAAAGAGGAATCGAGAAAAATGCAAGGAAACTTGTAAAAAACTTAAATGCAGTGGAATATTCGTTACTTTCTGAGAGCGGTAGGACTAACTATAGAAGTAGGGTCTAGATTCGTAATACTCGGTTTTCGCACCTCCTTCGATTCAATTTCATGTTGAATTTTTGAGCGACACCGGGTGATCCTCTTGGGCTAGGAAAGGGACGTGCATGCGTTAGAATTTGTCTCAACAAACACCCTAAGCCTGAAACGAACTTCGACGATCCCGTAGGTTCCGGGGTTTCACCCGCGCAAGGCAAGCCAACAATTGGATAGATCCACGAATGTCTCACTCCTCTTGATTATTTATTTGACTGTGATCAAGCATAGGGATTGTCAATGAAGGTTAAATCATGGATCTTGTTACCACGAGAAATGGCAACGGGTAAAACGTCCCAAACTGATACAGATGCATGGGCTGGAAATCCTCTCGGGTTATCAATCAATCTTGGAGGGGATCTATTAGTCCCAAGGTAAGATCGTAAGCAGGCTATGCATCTGTCTGGGCCCATTCAATTTCAACATCGATGCACTTCGCTTCCTCCCCGAACTTTATTCCGAAGCAGACTATAACCCCTGGGGGTTTAGTGTTCATTTTGACACTTAACCTCGCTAATATTAGATGAGAAAATCAATGATGGATTTTCTGCCATACTTTGATAGTTTTAAGTATGTCTAGATTGAAAAATTGTGGAGTACATAGAACAGCTGCGCTTGCAGCACTGTGGCTTTTGTTTCTTTTCTTCTGTCAGCTAGTAGCAGCCCCATCGCGAAATTCCTGGATTTAAAGCCACTGGCATCGTAACCTGCATTATCCAGGTCGCTGATCTTGGTGCGACACTATCAGTGAAGCTATTTTCTTTCTACCGGAAGGTCAAAAGTGCCAATGAATCCATACGATGATGATTGTGTAAAGATTCTCAGCCATGTGTGGAAAGTTTGTGCAGAAGACTGACGGGTTCTAATTTCCGAGCAAATCATCCCCGAAGTCCCGTTGCTGGACCTGGCTGCATTTGATATATGGATGATGAACTTTGCTGGCAAACGCCGCAATGGACGGCTATTCGGCGGAATTGCGAAAAAGGCTGGTTTGAAGATTACAGCTGTCACCAGGGATGAGGAATCCGGCCTTGGTATCGTTGAGATGGTTCCCGTATGAATGTATTCTAGGCTTGAGTATGTTCCTGAAGATTTCTTGCAAGTACTATACTAGTGGATCGAATACGGCATGGATACCATCAAGAGCTTTCTTGGTATTCGTCCACTTCTTGTCCGTGTAAACAAAGGGAGTTACCCCATAGGCTCGCACAAATTCATGATTCCGCTCGCTGACAGTCCCACACACCTCAGCCCCTAGGAGGGAACAGAGGATTATTAGGCCACAGCCAACAGCATCGCTAAGACCGTGAATAAACACCCTCTGGCCCTTGGTGACCTTGGCTGCTTGGGTTGTCATGGCGTACGCCGTAGACCAATCACATATCAATGCCGTGACTTGTTGATGATCGAGCCCATCAGGTACTTTGAAGCAGTACTTCTCAGGTTGGCTCACGAGTTCTGCTTGGGCATCGTACTTCGTCAACACTGCTACAATGTCACCTTATTTGATTGTGGTGCATCTTTCGCCTAATGCCTGAACCTTTCCAACAAGAGAATACCCGGGGGTGAGCGGCGCAGGGTTTTGATCAGGATAGATACCCTTGCGCATGCTAATGTCGCCGGCAGTGAAGCCGGAATATTCGGTCGCTATTTGGACGAAGCCAGGAGCAGGAGGAGAGCAATTAGTCTCGACTATTTTGACCACGTTGACATCACCAAACTCTGTGATGACGACCTTGCGGATTGTTGCCATTGTAGTAGACCGGTGAGCGTGCGCTAAGAGTGCGAAAGCAAGTGCCAAGCATGTACGGGACTTTTTCGATTGCGAAGACACCAACCCGAGAAGAAAACCAGGCCAAATTACTGTTTGGCCTCATTGGAAGGAATACAAAAAGGAAAATTATCTCCGTTCAATACTCTGCTCAGGACATTCTTTGTTCCTCTGAGTGTCAGCTGGAATTTCCTCCTTTAGTTTAGCGTCAAACAACTTCATTGGTGACAAATGGCCCTCTCCGTCTGCCGCCGGAGCTGACGAAGGCTTCTACAGAGGGCAGACAAAGGGTGTTTTCGAAGAGTTCATGTAGACCTCACAGATGGCTGCTTACCATCGCCAACAGGGGCCAAAGTGGAATGTACAGGCAGATATACGAGAAATGTGATCATTTGATTAATTTCAATACTCGTTGACCTTTTGCGTGATAAGAATCCCATATTATTTATTTCTATTTTCATTTTTATTATGATTACTAGGTTTTTTTTTTACTGCCCAGGTATGTGAAAGTTAGATCGATCGTGCTATTCAGTCACAACCCGGCCAGATGAGAATAGGCGAAATCCCATTTAAAGGCCATTACTTCTTTTTATGTGTGCCATCAATTCGCCCAAGCGAGGTCCTAGGAGCTCTTGTTATTCCGCGGTCGTGTTAACACAAAAAGCCCTAAAGCCGACCTAGAACACAGTGATGCGATGATTGAACTTTACTCGTGGATACTAGTATTTCTACTCTCTCGGTTGTATAGTAAGCGAACACCGTGTGGCTATTGATATCATGCATGTAATATATCTAATTAATACATCCATGGATTACTCCGGGTCACCATCACACGGGCGTATACATTTTATCCCCCACTGGCACGAACAACCTCGAACAACCTCGAACAAGCACATTCTCCCATCGTGCAATACCGACTACTAGCTTCTCCCAATCGAAGATAATATATTAATCCTTGGCGAATGTCTCTCCAAAATTACCCAAGAACTGGTTGTGATCGCCGACAGTCCTCACATTCAATACGCACGTTGAATCGTCGATCTTCTCAACATAGCTACGGGGCACAATACTCCACTCCTTTTGATCTCCCTTGAAGACGTAGATCACGGTCGGAAAATCGTCGATGCAGGCGCAGTCAACCTGATAAAAGCCCTGCTCGCCGTTGTTGGGAGGGCTGTCAAGCGTTGCAGGTTCGCCTTGTATGATATTGTATCTTCCTGCGTAATTACACGATGCTAGCAAGAACTCGGTGGAATTCCATGGAAACCCATGGTGTTTGGCTTTCCTTACTCTCGTAGGACGCCCTCGAAGGTTTTTCGACACGCGACTATCGGTTTGCAGTAACTGTCCTGGGTATTGCAAGGGATAATCGTTCATATTTCCAGCCACTCTCGGAAGCTTCTCTGGCGCCGATTTTCAAGTGTCGAGTGTTCTTGCACACCACGCAGCTATGTAATTTGTCTCTCACAGCCCACTGTGGCGGATCCTATCCACTCTGAGACCGAGGCCTCTTGCAGCTTGCCGTGCTCGCTGGTACAACTCCTCTGCCTCTTTCAGGTTCTTCTTATCATAAATGCGGCTAACTCCATCCCGTCCTCCTTTCCCCACACCATCCTTTCCTTCACCCGATGGATCACAGCGATGAGCGAAATTTCCATTTCTTCCCCAAGCTTCCCACCGAGTTGAGGCTGATCACCTGGCGTCTGTGCCTCCCACACCGCGTGGTGGAACTTGACCAGCCATATGATCATTGCTTCGATCCATCTCCCTGTAAATGGTGGGACACAACCAAACTCAACCTTTGCCCACCAGTCATTAGTCGTGTATGTCAAGAATCTCGGTCGGTTGCCTGCGAATCTGGTCACTACTTCGATAAAGATGCAAGTCCACCGCCCGAGTCAGACATGGGTCTGAAACTCAAGAGATCATGGATCGACTTTTCTCGGGATAGAGTTCACTTAAACTGGGAGCCCGCATTCGCCCCTGAATATGATTATTGTGGCGGTGGCGGCGGAAGTCCGCTTGACTATCTTTCATGGAAAGCGTCACAAGCCCAGGGTGGCTCGTTTCGATTTGGCTATCTTGAGGAAGATTGGGACAATATGGAGAGATCTGTCGAACTAAAGGATAGAATTGGAGCACTCAAAAAGCTCCAACGGACCCCTTGGGGGGCTGTTGTCATGCGTGTGTTTGCCGTGCATACCTCAGTTCAAAGTGCGGCAACAACAGGTTTATTTGGACTCCTTGGAGATGCACCCATTCAGGTCGTCGACGTATCTGATCAAAAACGGCTAGATGCTTTCTTTGATCTAGCAAAGAATTGCGAGCCTGCGTCTAAGCGCGTCTTACCAAGACAAAACTTTAATATAGACTCTGCGGAGTCATTCAAGGCCGCCTTGCAGAATAGATTGCTGGATATATTTGAACCTGAAGATGCCCAAACTCTATCTTCTCTGCATCCAGTCATCATATTCAGGTTATGTCCAAAGCTGTGCAACCATTCTTACCTGCCGTGTACATCTGAAGAAGACGAAACTTTGGCTACGATGACTCAAAGCGGACGAGACACTCCATCTCAAGTTCGTCAGAGTTTTCAGTCTTTTATAGAGTCCGTGCTGAACTTGAGGTAGAACTCAACCGATGACCAATATCAGAATCTTCTTAAAGGCAGTTCTTCTTACGGAAAAATTATTCCGAATATTTCTGGGCACTTCGATCGCGACGCTAGATTGACGTGTGTGCTCCGAGCCTCGACTCCGTATATCTCCTCCCTCAAAATGTTCATAGGCCTTTGGAAACAAAGCCTTAATGGTTCCACTATCAAACGCGATATCTAGTTGAATAATGGCGTCTTGCTGATTGGAACGAGCAAAACTCATACGGATGCAGTGTGTATTTCTCTGTAATTTCCTTTGAGATAGAGGTGACGATTCGCCGGATTTTCGAGGCCATTTTGGGCTCCTATCTTTGACTTGTTTGCAATTTGACATGGCTGAGAAATCGCTGTCCCGTTAACTTGTAGGCTAGAATTTTTAAGTAGGTGATCGTAAAGTGCCTTGGACACAACTGAAGTGATATTTCATGACCGACCACCTTTATTAGGCGGTGCTTCAACGACCACGTCCTCCAAAAGGTATAGGTCAAACACATGATTGATCAAGCAGAACCCAGTAGCCATCCACCACCTATACATGATTCGATCCTGATGTCTTGAGCAGGATTTCAAAGTGTAGAAGACTAAAATACTTGAGCTCATGTGAAACAACAGCCCCGTAATGAATGCGGAGGCATGTTGAGCTCGCATCCAGATCCAGAGAATGCTGATGGCATCTGCTGATAACAAGACATGCCCTGTCATTTTTCGAAGCTTCACCTGGCCCTCTGGCGAGAGTATTATCGGTATTGTGACCGCGTGTGTGGTGTAATCTCCCTCGATATCCCGGAAATCCTGAAGATGAATTGTGGCCATAGTCCAAGCGCAGACGATCATGTCAGGCACAGCATTCATGGCCCATTGCTCGATATCGAAAACAATGGAATTTAGCAGACGTAACATGATGAAGGTACTACCAGTGACCATTATGCTTTTTGTTAACCAATGCCGATACGCCGGCCACACATAGAAGCCGAAAATCCATATTTGTTCCAGGGTTATGTAGAAGGCCGGCCATTTTCCATACAGCAAAGCAATTGAGGGAGCAAGACACCAGCTTAGCAGCCAACGGACCCGGGCCTGCTTGACAGTTATGAGGCCCGATGGAATTGGCCGGTGGGGCTTATTCAACTTATCCTCTTCCACAGATGAGGTTGTGTTGGCAATGTCGAATATATATACCCATAGGAGACATATTATTATCACACGTAGTGAGACAATGCCTCCTGTGGCCAAAGGTACCGGATAAACAAGAACCCTTGGCAAAAACCCTCCCAAAAAGCCCGCCAGGTTGCCCGGAAAATTGTTTCTGCAGAGAGCCCATGTAATGGCGCATTCACGCTTCATAGATTTGAAGAAACACGAGGCTTGATAGGGTGTTTTCGGGTCGTGACTGCAGGAAATTATTAGCATTCTGTTGGAAATTTGGTGAACGTGGGCTTTAGCAAATCACTCTTACTGTCCATTTGAGTCCTCTTTTTTTACAAGAAGTTTTTTAACCACTGCAGGTTGCAAAATTGGCTTGGCTGCCATAGCGGTCCAGGGAATGAGGCGGTGAGGACTTAGATTAAGGAATATTGTGATAATTGTGAAATACTTATTTCATTAAGCGAGTGTTTGTTTCCATGACTGTTCCTTTATATGTATTTTTGTGCCGATCTTTCTATACGGAGTCGCGTCGGCTTGATGCAGAGATACAGGGTTGTGGCGAGTCTTGCAGATTCATGCTTGACGAGTGCCATTGAGGGATACGGCTGCTTAGCACGAAAATAACGCGGTGTAACATGACTGATTATTTCTAAAATAGTAATTCTACAACCAATGGAGCGAGAAACAGGCCAGATCGCCTGGTTTCCCGTGAGTTGTGTGCCGCGAAGGGGGGCGGGGGGATGCAACAGTAGACGATGGAGCCTCAGAAAAGAGGCGAGGCGACTGTCTAACATTCCGCAGAATAAATAGCTAGGCGTAGGTGGGTCATCCAAGTCGTGGTTGAAAAAGAGCGACTCCCCGCAGTAAGATGATCCTAGGTAGCGAGTCAACTACTGTAGCTGGGCCCGCAATTTCTGATTGTCCGCAACATTTTCCTTCTTACGTAGCATAACACCCATCAATTATTTGCCCAGCAAACCCCGCTTGTCTCCCCGATATGCCATGATTGTCTCTCTCATGTTCGATTTATTATAAATTCCGAAGAACCGTCTACATGTTTAGCGTCTTCGAGTATTTACATTGAAGCAGAAATTGGACAAGGTGGGTTCTTCATGACTGCAACGTGCTATTTTTTCTGCATACTGTAGAAATTATCAAACACACCGCCAGATAGTGCACAGATGCCCAAAAAGAAGACCTGTCAAAGTAAAGAATTTTAAGAACAGGCATCGCGTTCTTCACGTTCTGAACCCACTCCCCAATATCCTCTACAAAACGTCGAGCGATACCTATTTTGATTCCTTTCTCAATGAAGAAATTAGGATCCTGATCCCTGTACACCTGCTCAAGGTCAACCCCATTTTAGAGCATCATATCACACACTTCTCGAAATACAGTTTTGATGGAATCGTTCTTAATATTCGACACCTGCCACTCACCGTATTCCTTCACAGCTATATCTCTTAGACCAGGAATGTCGAGTAGACTTGGAACCTATAAATCATCTGCTGCCTTCGGAGTCGATACATCGAGCCCGTGAGGCGTAGACTGTGAGGACGAAATATGGATATCGATAGGTGGATATAGTAACCTAGCCCCGGTGATGGGGCCTCTCTTACGCTTATCTCTCTCCAATCTATCTTGCTCTCCCCGGTATAATGCGTCACGGGCCGCTTCTGGCACGTCCTTATAGCCTTCTAGAACACCACCCTTCTTAACGTGGCTTATTAGGCGTTTCATGTGATGAGATTTGAGTGGGTAGTGTTTTTTCCCTGTTAGGTCCACCTAGTAATAGGGGCTATACTAATATATCGACGAGTTATATCGCATCAGACTATATACACTACGCTAAATTAGCTTCCCGCCAGAAGTACTTTCCTCTGCGTCGAGCTATACGTCCTGCTCACCGAGTATTCTTTTCGTGATAGATAACTTCCCTCTTTTTTTCCCTTTCCGACCAGCGGATGGAGAATGACGATTGTCTATATAGTTGAAACTGATTTTTAGCGTAACTTCTTTTCCACGGAGTAAAAGATCTGACCATATCAGAAGTTGCTTTTCGATGGCGGTCCAGGATATATTAATATCGTTAAATTGCTCATCGCTATGAAGCTGTTGTGAAAAATACAAACGAAGACTATACCAGGTTTCCAGGATTAGACCTATCCAGCAGTAGTACAGCTTTCATCGTGTGCGATGTAAAGGTGGAAATAATAAAAGAGAGAGCGTGAATCAAATCAGATTGCCAGATCTCCCCTACCCTTCTCATCAATCTGAAATCAACTCTGCACAATTTCCCTCCCAACCATAGAAAGTCAAGTTCGGCAAAGGATGCACATCCTATACAAAGTGAAACCCACGCCTGCTCTCCTTAATCATCCTCAGACGCCCTTGTCCCTAAAAATAAGCATTGCCCACAAAAAGGTCTTACTCACGAACGGTTCGTCGTTCGGGATGGTCGGGCGCTAGACAAGCCCCATTTTAGGTCCACTCGGTCCAGCCTCCACTTACGGCAAAATATCGCATCTTTGGGCGATCTATGTCCCCCGTCCTCCAGGTTTTATCTAATGAAAATAGTTCGTGGCGTGACTTTTGTGGAGCAGGTTGGTTTGAATCTTTTGGGGTCACGGTGCTTAGGGTGGCTTTTTTGTGCACTGTGCATATGTTGTCTTCGCCGGGCATAATTTCGGCTGACCCTGTTCGTATACCTCGACTGAGTAGCCGGTGACTGCAAAGCAAGATACTTACCCGAATTTTGCGTGAATCTTGCGATAAAAATACACTCAACTCCGGCCGCGATGATCTACACATAGAATGCATATACCCTTGCCCTCGAAGGGTCTTGAAACAGGGTGTGTTAAGACACGGGTAATCGTGAAACTACCCATACCTTGCGCGGAATATCTCAGTGGATCTCAGGTGCAAACATGAGCTCAGATTCCCATACACCAGGGGGAAACATCCCCTCGGGCCAGTCCTCAGGTACAACTCAGGTACGCCTCGAGAGAAGTATAAAGATCAGTATCTTCCCAGTCCATTTGTGAATCATCAACCTTCTATCCTTCGCTTCAGTCTTCAGTTGACTGGCTCAACTTGACATTCTTTCGCTCCGGCTTCGCTTTTATATTTTCATTTGTCTCTTAGAGCTGCGCTCGTCCTCTATTTCGATTCTTCTATTCGATCGTTAATCATGAAGAATACCGCCATTCTTTTCCTCGCGGGTACTGCTCTTGCAGCGCCTGCTTCCAAGTCTCTTGAGGCTCGCAAGCCCTGTCTTTGGCTTGATGGCACAGGTGAAGGCAGTGGAAGTACGTCTGCCAGCGGCGGGATCAGTGGTCTTGCCTCTCTCATTCCTAGCTTCGGTTCTAGCTGGGGTGGCTCGGCTGATGCTTCTGGCGACGCTTCTGGCGACGCTTCTGCCGATGCCTCTGGATCTGCATCTGCATCGGGCGATGCTTCTGGATCCGCTGATCTAGGTGCTTCCGGCTCGGCCAGTGGAGATGCCTCCGGTACTGGTTCTCTCGGCGCGAGCTCTTCTGGCTCTGCCGGTCTTGATTCTTCAGGCTCCGCTGGTCTTGGTGGTTATGGCTCTACTGGTCTCGGTGGTTATGGTTCTGCTGGTCTCGGTGGTTCTAGCTCAGCCAGTGGAGGCGCTTCCGGTACTGGCTCGCTCGGTGCTTCTAGCTCTGGCTCTGCTGGTGCTAGTGGCTCTAGTTCGGCCGGTCTCGGTGCTTCCGGTTCAGGTGGTGTCTCTGGCGGCGCCTCTGGATCCCTCAGCGGTGGTGCTTCCGGTACTGGTGCTGCTGGTGCTTCCGGCTCTGCTTCTACCGGTCTTGGTACTTCCGGCTCTCTTAGCGGAGGTGCTTCAGGTACTGGTTATACTGGTGCTTCCGGCTCAGGCAGTATTTCTGGCGGTGCCTCCGGTTCTCTTAGTGGTGGTGCTTCAAGCACCGGCTCCCTCGGTGCTTCTGGCTCTGGCTCTGCTGGTGCTGGTGGCTCCGGATCCCTCAGTGGTGGTGCTTCGGGCACTGGTGCCGCTGGTGCATCTGGCTCTGGATCCGCTGGCCTTGGAACTTCCGGCTCAGGTGGTGTCTCTGGCGGTGCCTCCGGCTCTCTTAGCGGCGGTACTTCCGGTACTGGTGCCGCTGGTGCTTCCAGCTCAGGCGGTGCCTCCGGCTCTCTTAGCGGAGGCGCTTCTGGCTCTGGCTCTGCTGGTTCTGGTGGCTCTGGATCCCTCAGCGGTGGTGCTTCCGGTTCAGGCGGTATCTCTGGCGGTGCCTCCGGTTCTCTTAGTGGTGGTGCTTCCGGTACTGGTGCTGCTGGCGCTTCTGGCTCTGGTTCGGCCGGTCTCGGCGCCTCTGGATCCCTTAGCGGTGGTGCTTCAAGCACTGGTGCCGCTGGTGCATCTGGCTCTGGATCCGCTGGCATTGGAGCTTCTGGCTCAGGTGGGTTCTCTGGCGGTGCCTCCGGCTCTGGTGAAACCGGCGTCAGCGCCACCAACACCGGCGGTGCTTCAGGAAAAGGTAGCTCATCAGGTTCCGGCTCAGGCTCAACTTCAGGGTCAGGTTCAGACTCGGGCTCCGCCGGTGTTTCCGGCTCGGGCTCTGCTGGCACTGGCGTTTCTGGCTCTAGCACCGGTGATATTAGCGGTTCCGGATCTGGTTCGACTGGCACAAGCGTCTCTGGCAACCTAGGCTCTGGCTCTGGCACTGGTGCTGCTCCCAGCGGCTTCACTACCAGCACTAGCGTCAGCTGGTCTATTCCTGGCGCTACTGGAACTGCTGGTGGTGAGCTTAGCGGTTCGGTTACTGGATCTGGCGGTGCTTCCGCTGAGGGGAGTGCTGCTGCGGCGGCGGCGGCCACCGCTTCGGCTGATGCTAGCGCTAATGCCAATGCTAATGCCAATGCTAACGCCGATGCTTCGGGCTCTGCTGATGCTTCGGCTAATGCTAGTGCTAACGCTTCTGCATCTGGAAATGATTCGGCCAATGCTTCAGCCAATGCTTCGGCCAATGCCTCTGCTTAGATCGGAGGGTACGTCGAGTCACTATGATGGGTGATTCGTATGGAGATGGTGAATCATGGAATAATTTGTATCTGTTTGTTTTTTTGTTCTGTTTTTGAAGGAGGAAACACGGTTGGACATTCCAGTGGAGGTTGTGCACATTTGTACCGGATTTTCTGTCTTTTCAAGTCTTTTCTTACCCTCTGGTCTGTACTTTGAATGTCTAAATAATAATATCTCAGTTGGAAAATTTATCATCCAATTCAATGATAAATACATTTACTCAGTATTTCAAGAATTTTTCAAATTGAAAAGGCAAATTGGTTTGGTATCTAAATTTTATGTACTCATAAAAACATCACGTCCTTACTTTTATTTACTCATCGTCACCGAAGAAGACCTTGACAGGCAACCAGCTGTCACCGCAGACCTTGAAGCGGTCCTTGAGGTTATCAAGCTGGTTGACCTCCTCATCAGTGAGGTCCCAGCCATTGATGTCGAAGTTGCCTTCAATGCGGGACTTGCTGACAGACTTGGGGATAACACTCCGGCCCTTCTGGATACCCCAGACGAGCAGAACCTGCTGGGGAGTCTTGCCCTTCTTCTCGGCGATCTGGAGGAGAGTAGGATCCTTGTAGAGAGGAGAGTTGGTGGAGCCGAGGCACGAGTATCCGGTAGAGTGGATACCCTTGGAAGTGTTGTAAGCAACAAGCTTGGGGGAGGGGTTGTTGGGGTGCAACTCGATCTGGTTCACAGCGGGCACGATCTTGGTAGAGGGGTCGTTGAGAAGCTTCTCAAGGTTCTTGATGCCGAAGTTGGAGACACCGATGTTGCGGACCTTGCCAGTGGCAGGCAGCTTCTGCATCTCCTGCCACGTCTTGATGAAGTCCCAGTCGGGCAGGTGCTTGGACAAGTCGTTGGGGTCGGTAGAGCTGGGCCAGTGGACCAGGTACAGGTCGACGTAGTCGACATCGAGGTCCTTAAGGGAGGAAGCAATGCCGTCCTGTACGCGGTGGTGCCAGGGGTTGTCCAGCTTAGTGGTGATCCAGATCTGGTCACGGGGAACACCAGAATCCTTAATACCCTGGCCGACCTCGTGCTCGTTGCCGTAGGCGAGGGCAGTGTCGATGTGGCGGTAGCCCTTCAGCAGGGCGTTCTTGACGGCCTCGCGGACTTCATTGGGCTTGGACTGCCAGGTGCCCAGGCCGATGGCGGGGATCTTGTCACCGGTGTTGAGAGTGTAGGTCTTCCTGTGCGGGGAAGGATGTTAGAAAAGTGTTGTAGTTATCATGCGCAACTTGACTTACTGAGTGAGCTGGTTCGACATTTTGAATAGAATTGGAGTATTGTACAGAAGAGAATGGACCGGGAAGAAAGCAGGGTCTTTATACGTGGCAGGGTAGGATTACCACGTAAAGTGGGCAGGTCCAAGCCGCAATGATGTATTGCCCCTCATTCTCCCTAGTGGACCCCTACTGGTCTGGTCTGCTTCACCAGGTGAATGGCACCACACACAGTAGATCGGGATTTCAGTAATATGCACATCCCTGCCCGTAGCTCGGTAGATATCCCCTGCGTCATCATTATAATTAACCTTGCCAGGGTTGACATTGGAGAATTACGATTCCGGCTAAATTCCATGGCAAGTCTTTTCCCAGCTTGGTAAAGCGGCCCACAATTCATATTCATCCCCACCTAACATCATCCCAGCCAACACAACACAACTTTCCCCCAATTCCAGAAACTTCGCGGAGTCGCCCCCCCCCCCCCCATCTTTCGGCCTTCCCCACTCGGTGTCCGACGCCCGGATAATTTCACCCTTCCGATCCCCTTATACCCGAGTCCTGGGTCCGCTTCGGCAAGACTTCTATTTTCCCGGGTGTCGTCATCTGCCATCATGTCTTCGGGATTCGTTTCAGCCGGAACCAACGAGCAGCCTGTCGAGCGTGACGATGAGTGGCTGCGCGCGCAGAAAGAATTGGACGAGGAGAGGAGGCGCAAGGCGGAGATAGGCAAGCAGACCGACGGGAAGAGTCTGTTCGAGGTGTTGGAAGCGAACAAGAGTGAGCTTCTCTAGTAGATCCGTGGCGCCCTGCAAATCGCGCTGGGTGCAGACATCTGTGACTGACATGTTAGGGTGATTTCCTTGCGTCTAGTGGCCAAGCAGGAAGCTTTTGAGGAGAAAGCGCGTCTTAAGAACCAGTTCCGCGCCCTGGACGAAGATGAGGTCGACTTTCTCGATTCCGTTCTCGAATCCACTCGCGCTCAAGAGGCGGCCGTGAAGATGGAGACGGCGAATCAGCTTGAGGTTTTTCGCAAGCAGCGCGAAGAGGCTGAGAAGGCTATGCTTGGTCCAACCTCCTCGGAGGTGAAACCCGCAGAGGAGGAGGAATGGACAATACCCGCGCGCAAGAGACGGCGTGATAAAGGCAAAGACCTGCTGCTTCCAGGCAAGAAGCGTAAGGCTTCTGGTGCGGAGGCCAGTGCAAAGCCCGATACGACTCAAGATGAGAAGTCGAGTCAAGGGAACGGACCTGCGCCTGGAAAAAGCCCCGTGCAGGCTACGAATAGGACTACTTCATCCAGGACAACGAATCCCACGGTGGCTGGGAATGCCACAGAGAGCTCATCTACAAACAATCAACCAGAGGTCACGGCACCGATTCCACCGGCAGCTACACCCCTTGGGCTGGTCGGATACGGATCGGATTCAGACTCGGAATAAATTAATCGAGACCAAAAAGGACAACTCTCAGTCTGCTACAGTAAATCACGCTCAGCCTCCCCGCTATGCCTCCTATCAACTCAGCCCCAAATTGCAACCTGGGAACCTTTCCACCCTCCCAGGCCCTCAAATCTGCTCCTCATAATGCACCGTACTCTGCTTAACCTCCTGCTCCTCAACCTTCCTCTCCAAATCATGCGCAATATAATCCTTCGTCTTAGATCCTGGCACGATCCAAGGCGCATGCGAGAACATATAGTTCATCTCCTCCAGCGGCACCTTCTTCGTCTCAGGCAACAACACCCAAAAGAAAATTGCATTCGTGAAATTACAAATGGCAAACAGATAATAATACCTATATCCAATATTCTTCATCGCAATTGGCGTGACCTGACCGATCATGGTATTGAATGCGAACGAGATCATCGTCGTGATCGAAACACCCTTTGATCGGGTTCGCGTGTCAAAGACTTCAGCTGGGATAATCCAGGATAGCGGGCCGCAGGTTGCTGAGAAGGAGAAGTTGTACAGCCATGTCATTATGATGAAGCCCCAGTGCGCGCCGGAGTTGTTGGTTGATGGGGGAAATTTGGCAAGGAGCGCGGTTGCTATGATGAAGGTAACGCAGTTACCAAGGTTGCCGGAGATTAGGGTCCAGCGACGGCCGAAGCGGTCGATGAAGAGGATGCAGAGGAATTGGGCGATGAGGGCGATTATAGAGTTAATGGCTTGGTAGCGAAGGGTGGCTTCGCCGGAGATGCCGATTTGTTCGTAGATTGTCACGGAGTAGTATCTGTGATGTGTTAGATGTGGTTATACTTGTGTTTGGTGATTGGAAAGGAGATTGGGGCTTACTGGATGGCTGATACACCGGTCATCTGGACGGATGCTTGAAGGGCACAGCAGAGGAACAAGCGACGGAAAGACGATCGGCTCTTGAAAAGCTCGACATATGATTTGGCCTCATGTTCGTGCTCATGGTTGATGGTTTCTTGGATTTGAGCGTACTCGGCCTGAACCCAAGGATCATGCTCGTTGCCGTGGGCATGCAGCTTGGCCAACGTGCGTAGACCGTCTTCAGAGCGGCCGTGATCGATCAACCAACGGGGAGACTATATAATCAGAATGGAACAATTGATCTGCAGGTCTGAGAACTCACCTCGGGGAAAACTCCGATCAACAAGCCCAGGATCACGGCAGGGATAATCTGAATACCCAATGGCAATTGCCACTGAGCGCTGTTGGTCGGGCTGAAGCCAATATACGTACCGTACCCAATCCACGAAGCGCAGAGAGCACCCACGCCGAGCATAAACTGCTGGAGAGCAGTGACTCGGCCACGGATCTTCGGGTGGCAGATCTCAGCTTGGTATAGCGGGATAACCATGGTGAGGAAGCCGACGCTGTATAGTGTTAGTGATCGGGTTGGTGTAGCATTGGAGAAGTCATACCCTAGTCCGGCAAAGAAACGTCCGCTGTAGAGATAGCCCAGATTCCTCGCCCCGGTCTGAAGTCCTCCTCCCAAGCAGAAGAGCAGACAGCCAAGTGAGATGGTTTTTTTTCTGCCTAGGTAGTCGCCAGACGGTCCAGCGAATCCTGCGCCGAAGAACGCGCCAGTGGTGAACATGGAGACGACCAGGCCACTATTGTTTTGTTAATATGCGTGGTTGATGATGGACTGCTTGATTGACCTTTGCGTATCATTTGCCTCGAACTTGTCCACGAAGGATTGGCATACAATCACCTCTGCGATGACACCCAGATCATCTATCATCATGTTAGACTTACATGTCAAGAGTAGTAAGGTATTGAAGAAAGGTAAAAGTATGACTACTTACATCCGTAGAGAAATGAACCCACAGAGGCGAAGACGCCGACTAGAAACTATGAACCAGTCAGTCTCAATGCATCGCAGTGTTTCGTGTACACTTGGCTTACCTGGTACCATGATGGTGAAAGACCCATGGTGGGCAATTTTAGAAAACAATGAATCAGGTATCAGACCCACGATCGACGAGAACGAGGGAAAAGATCTGGGGTATCTCCACAAAATACATCGCGGGGGAACCATTGCCTTCATATACTCCAGCACGCGTAAACCTGCACCGCTTAGGGCTCCGAGGAACTTCCACCAAGCCACTGAAATTAAGCCATCGCCTCCATTCACCCAAGCTAATTCAAAAGTAGCATCAATTCCAGCACCAAATGACCCGTACAATCATATCGGCTTTTCCGGCAGCACGGAGGAACAAAACAGCTCCGGGCGGGGCCAAGGATTCACTGCCTGGGCGGCGTGTGCTACGCCGTGATTGACGGAAGATTTCCTCCATCCTCGGCATCCCCAGCAATAACAGTGCACCACTAACGATTCTTCATGTAATTCGTCAAGGTGGCGTCCCCACGGTCTAGCGACAGGTTAAGCGCTGCCCCAAGGGCGGTCGCTAAGCTAGAATCGGGTTTGCTTGGCGATTCCATGGCATCGGGGCCGACATCGTCGACTTCGGGGAAACAGGGTCCAGGCTCGACCCCGCAGGAGTTTTTCCGCTTACAGGGTATTGGAAGTGGCATGAGATAAATGGCCTTGAGCTGGACGCCCGTATTTAGCGAGATTCTTTGTTTTCGGCTACCTGGATTTCTAGTTGGTTTGACTATTGTCTATATTTCAGCCACGGAATAGTATCCTGGAAAATACGAGCTTTGACGGAATCTTTCTTGCCATGACCACTTTTACCAAATTGGAGGAGCAGGAGACCCCTGTCATCTCCGTTCACTCGGAGCGGCGCATCTCTAAGATCAATCCTAATATCTATGCCGGTTTTACCGAGTGAGTGATGCCCGTTTTGATCTGGTGATCATCTGGTCGGCACAGGTTGTTGACTAGCTCCTAGGCACATGGGCCGATGCATCTATGGAGGTATCTATGATCCTGGAAACCCGCTCTCCGATGAGAATGGGTTCCGTAAGGATGTCCTCGAGGCCTTGAAGGACCTTGACATTCCTGTTGTCCGATATCCCGGCGGGAACTTCTGCGCGACCTACCACTGGCTCGATGGTGTCGGACCTAAAGATCAGCGACCCTCGAGGTAAGCTTTTTGTTCTGCTCAGAACACTGTCCGGTCACAGACTCTGACAATATACTAGGCCTGAACTGGCCTGGCTCGGAACAGAGACCAATCAGTTCGGAACTGATGAGTTTATGCAATGGTGCAAAGTGCTTGGGACTGAGCCATACCTGTGCTTCAACTTTGGTACCGGCACTCTAGACGAAGGTATGTAATACCCGTTTCAATCAATGGAGTATCACTGACCATTCCCAGCGCTGGCTTGGGTTGAGTACTGCAATGGTACCGGCAACACATACTACGCCAACCTCCGCCGAAAGAACGGCCACGAGGAGCCATACAATGTAAGCTACCTAACCTCACCACACCAACAGCAACCAACACTGACATCGACGAAAGGTTAAATACTGGGCACTCGGCAACGAAACCTGGGGCCCATGGCAAGTCGAGCAAATGACCAAAGAGGCCTACGCCCACAAAGCCCTCCAATGGGCCAAAGCCCTCAAACTCCTTGACCCAACCCTAATCCTCATCCTCTGTGGCCAAGACGGCACCGCAACATGGGACTACTACACTCTCAAACACTGTCTCCTCCCAGCCCACTCTGCGCTCTCAACCAGTTCCGTCCCCCTAATCGACATGCACAGCATCCACCTCTACACCTGCTCATCCTCTCATCTCCCCAACGCCACGGCTCCACTAGCAGCCGAGCGCGCAATCGAGATAACATCTTCCTTGATCGATCTTGCGCGTATCGAAAACAACGTACCGCCCTCCCAGCCCCGTCCGACCATCTGCTTCGACGAGTGGAATGTCTGGGATCCGATTCGCGCTGAGGGATCCAAGGGCGCAGAAGAGAGCTATACCCTCTCCGACGCCCTAGCAGTAGCAGTGTGGCTGAATGTGTTCATTCGCAAGAGCCGTGATCTTGGCATGGCGTGTATCGCACAGAGCGTCAATGTGATCTCGCCTCTCATGACTACCGAGGAGGGAATCACCAAGCAGACGACTTGGTGGCCACTTTATTTGTTCTCGCGGTATATGCGCGGGTGGACGGTTAGTGCGCATGTTTCTTGTGCGACTTATCAGGGAGAGACAGCGCCTGTTTGGTTGAGAGGGGCTATGGAGACGCCTTGGTTGGATGTCAGTGCTAGTGTTGGGGAGGATGGGTTTGTTAATCTTGCTGTTGTGAATATCTCGGATGAGAAGGGGATTGAGGCAGTTGTTGAGGGGGCGAAGGGAGACGTGAAGGTGTTTACTGTTACTGGGGCGGATGTTACGGTTTCGAATATGAAGGGAAGCGAGGAAGTTAGTGTTAAGGAGGGCACTTGGGATGGGGCTGGGAAGTATTTCTTCCCGAAGCATTCACTTACACTTTTGAGATGGAAGGAGTAAGTCTTGTCCAGGTGGGACTGGGAGGTTAGATATAGAATGTTAGAGACTTTGAGATTGATGCAGGTTTCCTTGACAGTTGATAAAGTCCGATCGATTTACTTGACTATATAGATGGCCCTGCGGCCTACTGACTTGAAAACTTTGCATATTCATCTCCCTATCTGTGTCTGTCACCATGCGTTTCATGAATACCTTTTGCGTAATCCGTTCGAGCGTCGCACGGAAGGCCATGTTGATTGCGGCCACCAGATGGAGACTTTGTCGCATTATAATCATAAAACTACCTTTTACGACTCGAAAGTTTATTTAAAATAAGATTTTGAGCCAATCACTAATCACAACCCTGATCATTGATACCGCGGGATGCAGCCCGCGTTCTCTCAGCACGATCCGCAATAGGTTTAGTTAATTTTTACTTTTATATAGCAGGCTCTTAGGGACTCGTTTTTGAAATGCTAATTATGAAGCTTGATCGTGCCATTCTGTATACCATTCTTTGGCGTAACCTAGAGACCAAGAAACTCATGCTCGGCTGGATGGCTGAGCTTTGCCCATTTTACTACATGAGTCAACAAGAGAGATATGAATCGTGTTGTTTGCACAAATTGGACCAAGAGACTCATATGAAATCTCGAACGGAACAGTTGTTCGTTGACAGCCCCTTCAAGAAGCACCTCATGGCCAGACCGGCGGGGACTGTCCATGCGTGATTGAACCGTTATTCTGGCCGATCTGGAAACCGCTATTGTAACCCCCAAATTCGATGTGCATGTTTTTATGACGGCTATTATCATGGTGGTGATGGTCGCCGGCCTTTAGGACGACAGTGATCTTTGTTTCCTGCTCAACCTGATTTGGCGCAAGGCGTTTTAATAGGTCCTTAGCGTAGGCCGCGGCAACCATCGCTGCATAGCCTTGCCACTCGTCGCTCTTATGTGAGTCGGCATAATCGCAGATACCCCGGACGACAAGACAAGGAAAGTGATTAACCAGTCCAGCAGCTTCCGTCTCAAAGCACAGCACATCGTTGTGTCTCACAAACTGGTCTCTAATCTTGGCGTCCTTCATCAGTCTATCGGCAGATGCGATCAGACCGTAATGAATTGTTGGATCATCCTGTCTTTGAGAACGATCGCTTCAGCCGACCAAGGAAGACGGATCGTCACCGCAGCTAATTGCGCAAGGAGTATTTTCACTGTCGTGGTGGACGATATCGCTTTTATATAGTCGATCAGTTGTCAGGTCCGGGCGCCCGAATTCTCTCCTTAGCCGAGTTTTCTCATTTAGTACCTCGTTAACAGCTTCATGAATACCATGGCCATTAATCTTATATCGCGCAGTGAGCCCATTTACTGCATTGCGCAACACAACAGGCGCTTGATTGGTGAATCCCGTGGGCTGGAAGCCTTTGCCTTGAATTGTCTTTCCAAAGTCATATTGCAGAACACCACTCTCGCCGTTGCCGGGAATGCCGACGACGATATCTCCAAGGCGGATATCATGCTTCAAGCTTGGCGCACCGCCGCCAATCCCAACCATGAGCGCAATGCGAATATTCGGGAAACTTTGTGTCATGGCGGTAGCAACATTGGCTGCTGATGCTGTCCCGTATCCTCCCTTGGGAAGGACGGCGATGACAACATTGTGGCTTCCTATCTTGCCAAAAGCGTAGTCATTTGGGTCCTGCGGTGGGAGATTGGAGGGGCGCTCATGCTCATTGTCCAGAAACACTTGCGCGACGACATATTCGCATTCTATGGCAGTAATCCAACCCACACTGTAGTCCTGGACACTGTAGTCTTGGGTGGTTGGCATTGTGGATATGAGATGAAGCAATTAAATGGTCCCCTCGTAAGGTATTTGGTGTTAGGTGAATGGGACCAAATTGCCGATAGCGGGGTCAACGATGGGTATGAGAGGGAAAACAGATGGACCACCGAAGCGCCTTGCTATGTTTTCCATAGCGCGTGGTTTCTAGTCACCTGATGGTGAGGCTGAATCTTGCCCCTCATTTGGATGATCGTAGCCAAATTCCACCTTTCACACGTTGTCGCCCGGTCATGTTCCCGGACATGTTAACCCGACGTTGAGGCCATATACTCTTTTTATTGATAATGGATTCGATAAATTTTGGCCACACAAACTCAGGTGCACAGGTGGTAAACAACTTTGGTTCGATCCACCTTCCCCCAGGTATATCAAACTTAAAACTAAAAGAGCAAATAAGCATAAAACAAATGGAATTGGAAGTGAAACAATTGACTTTAGTGCGCTTCCCAACACAGTGCAGCCAGGAGTATGCAGTGATGGGAGCGAACGAGGTTGAAAGGTGATCCGCGCGCCAACTTACATATGAGTCGGGCGTCCCTATCGTCTGCCGTAGCCGAATCCATCTTAGCCCCATTCAATCCCTGTCCAAAATTAATCTGTCGCTCCTTACAGGAATTTCTCCTCGACAGACATGGGTGGTATTGCCTGGCAGTCTAAGGGATGCAAAACATGCAAAACACGGAAAATAAAGGTGAGTGGCACCAGCCCGGACCCCAGGGCCATATGGAAGGTGGTGGCCACTAATGTACAGCTAAAGTGCGACCTGCGGCAGCCAGAGTGTACACGGTGCATCAAGCGCGGTCTATCATGTCCTGGGTACGAGCATGTTCGGACATTTATCCACCATGAGCATGGAAAAGTGCTGGCGCGATCCAGGCCCAGGGTTGCACCGACTCAATCGCCTACTGGCAAACCTACCCAATCTGTGATTCTTTCTAAAGCCGTTGATGCACGTCCGACCACTCGCACGCAATTATTTTCATCTTTCTTAAGCGCATATTTCCCCCTCAATACTGTGGGGACTGTAGGAGCTGATGTATGGTATCATCTAATCACTGACTTATTTACCCTCCCTAATAAGGGCCAGGTGCTTGATAAAGCACTTTCTGCACTTACATGCGTTGGACTGGGACAAATAACCCAAGATCACCGGATTCTCTATCAAGGGACCATTCTGTACAATGCTACAATACGGCACATGTCGGATATGATAAAACGCCGCGTACCCAATGAGGAACTCCTCTATGCCACGGTAATCTTTCAAAGGCTTGAAGTACGTTCTACTCTACATTTTCTATGTCGATGTTCATTTTGCTGATCATGCAGCCTTTACTTTCTCCTCACGGCGTCGAGCCTTGGCTTGCCCATGCCCAAGGGACAAATACATTTTTAAGTGAATGCTATTACGGGTTACCAAACAATCCCTTCATAGCCTCTATATATCAGCACCAGCAGGTATTAGGAGTTGTAAGTCTGGCATATTTCAGGCTATCCTCCAATTACATACTAATTCCAAGATTTTCTCTATATTCCAGGCAGACCCTCTGTCATCTCCAAACACATCTGGTAAAGGACAACAATCACCCACACAGCTCGACCGCGATAGACCGATAGGTGGAGTTTTTGAAGTTTTTACAGCATTCAAGCTTATCCTCAGCAAGTTGAAGCAGTTGGATGCCTCTAACCATGAAGCTTGTCAGAAGCTCTTCGAAGATTTAGTTTTGCACAAGGACAAAACAATCGCATGGTTCGCTGGGGTAGCGCCATCTCTCGGCGCTGAGCCAACTCGCTGTTCAAACTATCTATCAACTTGCGCAAAGTTGCCTTCGACTGATGGGGTATTTGGCCCCGCCTATTATTTCCCCTCGCTTGCTAGTGCGAGACTACATGTTTTTTACTGGACAGCTTTGGCTATCGTCTATCCCATGATCTATCAAGTAAAGGTGCTTGCAATGGCGCACACTCAGAGCTTTGGTTCTATTGACCAGACAGCCGACGAGGACGCTATGTTCTCTTGGTATTATGCCGATGAGATCTGTCGGGGCATTCCATATTGTCTGACAGACACGGAAAAAATATGGGGTGCGCAACATGCCATGTTCCCTTTGTCTCAGGTCTCCAATGTTTATAGCATCCTCAGATGGCGAGATAAATTCATGTGGTGCCAGGGTGCACTCACTGCCATCGAACATCTCGGGTTTGGCCTCGCGGTGCCTCTGAGAGAAGCTGCTTTGAAGCATTGGGTCCTTTTAGAGAACGCAAATGTGACGCATCCTTCCACCTGTCTCTTTGAGAGCTGAGATGCTTATAATATCACCGCAATGAATACATGGAACAAGAATCTGATTTTTGTATCCTTTTTGCTTTGACAGCCTGAAGGGTGCCACTGCTGATACACGTGGCGACTACTATTGATTTATGGACCTACAGTAGACATCAAAGCAGATCCCCACTTAGTTCGCACTACAAATCGGAGATTTTAAAAGGATCACAGCATAATCAAACTCGTCAATTAAATCATTGGTACATTAAGCAATAGCATGAATCATGAACTGGGTCTCGTATAGCAACGTGATCTAGTATAAACGGAAAGTCTCGGCTCTAACTTAACCGTAGGTGACATCCTGAACGGTGCCATCGTGGCCAACATGGACGTTGAGTCTATTTATAATCGTCAGCGTATTCTCGCTTTCAACACATCCGTGTCCATTCTTACCTATCCGGGTTGTGGTCCATAGTCTTCATATCATCGGGCTTCAGTACACGGTGAGATTCCGGGAGATCCTTCTTCGCGAAAGACTATGTTCCAGTATGTTAGCCATATACCTAAAATCAGTTCTAAGTTACATACCACCTCATCACTCCCCGAGTCGCTGATCTTCTTTCCCATCAGCTTGTTGGCCCACTCTGACTTGTCCCCCATGGAGGAGTTGATACCAGGCACGACCATAGGCATGATGAATAGTAAATGGGGATCTTTGGTTTCTTTGGAATTTGGAAGCTTGAAAAACAAGTAAATTGAGGGGCAAGTCTAGATGCGTAGGCATCTATATATACGACGTTGACCCGATGACGTAGGTGCGATAAGCCTGATTAGTCACTTTTCTAGATCGGGGCCGTGTTGTCATTATGTGGCCAGTCAGAGTTCTCTATTTAAATGAATCTTGTTGATCCTGATGTGATCATGGAGGAATTTCCATTTGATTCATGGATAGTGACGTTGGGGTCGTCAGGTAATCTTTGGTTGACAACCCACCCAAGAATATATCTGATCACCACTGCATGTTTGGAAGTTGCATAAGTCCTGGAGATTTCACATGGTGGGCTTAGTGACTGTTAAGGTAAACACTATAATCTTGGAAAGTAGTCGGTGGTTCTTGATGCGGAAGGAAGTCACGCTGGTACCCAATACTTGACTCACCATGGAAACTGATCTGGCGACTGCCATGTCTATGGCAGAATTGTCTTCGCATGTTCCCCTGTGCTATCCCACGCGTCTTCTGTGCTTTGTGAATATACCTGACCTGTGGAACTTCGTTGAAGAAGTCCATGTTGTCTTCCGAATCTATACCAATGGAGCCTTCCAAGAAGGGCCGCCTGGTACAGCTATTATGGTCCGAAATGACCAGACCACGGCTGCATACACGCAGACAGGTTATTGACAATATCATGTCTCGACAGTGGAGATCTATCGTTGGGGTTCATCACCCACCTTCATCTGTTACACAACCAAATGGCGCAGGACAAATCACGTCTCAAGTGAAGGACACACGAGCGGAGCAGACGGCATCAGATGGATCTCTTGAAACGAGAGACACGACTATCCTGGTCGAGTTTCCGAGAGACATGAATGACTTTGAGCACCGCTTCTGGAACGAAACCACCCAAGATGCGGAGGCACCGGTTTTACTCACAAACCCCAACACCCTCGTGAAGCCCCAAAAGAACTCTATCGATGCCAGTCACCCCTCCATCGCAGCAGCAACCATAATTGGCATAATCGTCTCTGGAGCAATTTGCTTCCTTCTCTTTTGGTACATTAGGCGTGAGCGACGCCGCCGCCGCCTCTCTCAAATTCAATCTCCAAGCTCAGATCTCTTCAATCCATCCTCTCTCACCCTAGGCCCAGAAACAAGTAAGACTCTTGACGACTTCCTAATGCGAGATGTGCCCCCAGAGCGAGCATCTCTCATGTTCAGCCGCACCCGTTCACCATACGTGACATATCTCATCGATGGAGCAAACCGCCGCAGCAATCGCAACAGCTACGATGAATCGAGCAGATTGATTAAGCTCGATACACTAGATACACTCACTAGGGTCTCAACAGATATAACTCGACCTAGCTTCATGCTTTCAGAATTCTCATCTTCACTTCCGAGCCCCTCGCTGCAGGGTACCTCGGCCCAGCATATATCGACCACCTCTCCGCGCGCATCAATGGCCTCGACAGTCACGCCTTCTCCACGGTCCTCCCAACTCTGGATAACCACCACAACTGCAACAACTGCATCTGCAAGCACCGGAAGAAGCCGTTTTCTAACCCAAGAATCAATCGCATCTCAAGCTTTACAGTCCCCACGCAGGTCGCACGCCATGCCCAGCCTAGCCAGTCCAATAATGCAGCCTCGCTCCTCGAACGCTTCCAAGTCTTCGAGCCGATACTCCGGCAGTAATGGAGTCCGAAGCTCTCCTCGCGGAATCAATGATCCTCGTGGCACGCGACATGTTAGAACAAGAAGCTCCCAGAGTGTTTCACCTAGTGTTTCGCCAATTGCCGAGTCGACTAGTTCTGGACAATTACCTTCTATTCCGTCGACTCCATCGCCTTTGTTTCGGTTCTCCGAGGCTTGAAATTCCCATTGAGCGTGGGTTGTGTCAGGTGAACCCGTTTAAGTACTTGGTGTTTGGGTAATGGTTACAATCCTCTGTGGTGGTTTGGGATTATAGTTATATTGTTTAGATGGGACCACCTGTTGTACCGTTGACATGGGTCACTACCTTTACACTACTAGTCTGGAATTCAGATTCAAGTTCAGGTTCAAGTTACGTTCGTATTCCATTAATCGCTAAGCTAGCTAGAAATGTAATAAATGAGAGAAAAAAAAAAGCCTCGAAAGATGAAAATGCACCCCGCGCCGTTCCAAGACGGGATACGCAAACCGCAGCAAATGAAGAGAGAAAACAAGTGTACCCACAACGCAAACCCATTTCCATCATGACAATGTACAATCAAGCACGAAAAGAACTATCCTGAAATCAGATCTATCCGAGTCAAATACAGAACCCAGAATCAAAGTGCCGACTTGGCCTCTTGTACACTTCGCAGACACCGCTCCAGGCGTTTGCCGCGCTCTTTCTCCCTTACGAGAGTTTGCTTCACAAAAGCACGGATTGCATCTCGACCAACTTTTTCGCGCCAGGTAGTCCAACCTGCTAATTCGCCGACGACGACATCTTTGTTCCAGGTGACTTCGCGAGCGAGACGGGAGGCTTGGGCTTCGCCATCTTGGATTTTCTGCTGGAGGTCGCGGACGGACTTTTGGCGTGATTCTTCGAAGCCTGGGAGGTTGATGTTGAATTTGCGAGGGAGGGAGGAGGAGAGGAGGGATGAGCGGTTGCGGGAAACTGTGCGCGCTGTGGATTGGAGTAATGAGATAAGGGAGCCTGGGCGAGAGAGCGATGTCAGGATTGCGACGGTGGTGTTGTCGATTGAGGTTAAGGTGGCGATGTATTGGAGGAGGGGAGATGAGTCGGAGCTTGAGGTTGAGAGGCACATGCTGTAGCGCGTGAAGGCGTCTATGTAGATTGAAGGGAGGGCGTTGGTTGGTTCTTGGAATGTGGAAAGAATGGATGAACAGAGGGAGACGGCGTCGGCTAGATCGGAGGTGCTGTTTTGGAGGGCATGGCCCCGGCGGATTAGACTTCGCGTGTTGGCGTGTACACCGCGGACCATTTCTTGGGCGTGAGAGACGAATTGTTCGGTGTCGCGCATGCCCTCTTGACTAACGGGTGAGTATTCATCGGCAATTGTTTCCGTCAGAGCTGCTGCTTTGTGGCGGGATCGGTCGGCCATCATTTCGGGTTGCAGCTCTGGAACAAGGAAGAACTCCCAGAGCATCTCGTGCGTGGAGAATGTCGGGTGAGCCAGCAGTGTCTTGAGGAACCGGTCGAGCTTCTCCTGAAGATCATGGAGAACGGACCGCGAGGGCTTGGAGTGAACTTGGAAAGGGTTCCGGAAGTCGGAGAGTGATGGTACATATGATGCAGGATGCTCCACTGCAAGCCACTTGGCTAAGTTCTCAAAGTCGGCAAAGCTGCGCCGGCACGTCGTAACAGTGTAGGTCGTCGAGCCCGGCCGTGAAGTTGCTATTGACTCCGATGGCGGATATGGTGCTCCAGACTTCAGGATGAAACGAACTGTTGCATCCTCGACGAAGAATGATCGAACTACTGTAGTGACACGACCTGAAGGATCAGAACAGGATGATGGCGGGTGCGACAGCAAAATTAGATCGTCAATTCGGTTCCGAACTTCATCATCTTTGGCAAGCTCAACTGCTGTCAACCCACGAGCCTCTTTGACGTGAACATCAACCCGAGGATCCATGAACAGAATGCGCACTTGATCTACTCGACCATATTTGCTAGCCATCATCAAGGGCGTGAATCTCTTGTCGTTTGTCGCGTTTGGATCGCAGTCACTCTCCTGTAAGATTCGTGTTGTGATTTCGGGGTCACCAACGATATGCAGTAATGTATTGCCCTTTCCATCGACATGATCATCAAGTTGGAGAGCTTTCCCATTGCCCTGGGCTCTCTGAGCTGCTGTCAAGGCTGATTTGACCATGGCCTTGTATTCGGGGTGATCGTATGAGCGACACAGAGCAAACAATGGTGTCTGGCCATGTTTGTCGCGCTGCCGCCATGGAACAAGGCCCCCCAGTCGAGCCAATAGGGCAGGTGTGCTGAACAGATAGTGGGCAACAGTTCGACCATGCACATCTGATTTGGTCATATACTTAGCGACCACAGCCTCATCTGTTTTGCTGAAAAGGAAGTCCAGTAGTATGCCGACAACTTCAGTGTGTGCGAGCTGCACAGCCGCATTCAGCAACGTTGTGCCATCTGCGTTGGTATCTTCCAGGATATCTTCCAAGGGGTAGTATTCTTCTAGACTCAGCAGATACTTCAAAGCTTCGGCCTGGTGGCTCTCTACTGCCATCATGGGAATAGAGTCTCCGGTCGGGTCCTGTGTCTTGGTTAGGGTCTCTATGGAACTGTCGCCCTCGATATTGCTTGTCATGGACCCAATTGTATTTGTTCTGGAGAGGAACGAGACAGCCGATGATTCTGATAAGCTGCGAACATCCATCGAGACCTTCTTCACAGGGCGAACTCCGTCTTTGAGGGCCGGGTTTCCGTCCCAGGTCTGGAAAGGAAACACATGGGATAACGGTGGCGGTTGAGAAAGCGCGTCCTCGGTCAATGGATCGCCGTTAGTAATCACCGAGCTGCTATACATAGAGGATGTCTCAAAGGGAGATTCGTCCGGCTCTTCGTCCGTTTGAAAGAAAACGGACTTGCGCTCTGGCTCAAGGGGAGCGGTTTCGTCGATGGACTCATGGTCTCCATTTGGTTCCAAGATGCTCTTCATGTCGGAAATTCTGCCAGCTTTTGTCGCTTGCCAGAGGCGACGATTTCGAGCGCTTGCGCGACGAAGACCTGCCGAGTCCGTCACAAGGTACATCAGAACTGCTTCCAATGTACTCAAGGCATAACCCATTTCACCGCTCTCCACGTCATCTATGTAGATGAAATGTTGCATGTACAGCAAGCGCGCTTGCAGATGTCGAACCTGCGATCGTATGACAACGACTAAGAGCAATGACACCAAGACATCGGCATTGATCGTCACAGAGGACCTTCCTTTCTCAGATGACAGCCCATCCAGGGTGTCATAACTACCCGGGAAAGACACTACCTTGACGGTTTGTAAAAGGGTATTTAGCATTTCATGGGGGCCTCTTGCATCGGCCATTTTCCGGAACTGGTCAACTCCTCGTCCGATTCGACGGATAAGCTCCCTTTTGCCTTCACGTCCGCCTTCAACTGTGATTCCGACTTGTATCACATCAAGACTTTCCATGTGTCGGATTCTAGAGTCCAGCTCTGAATCTTCTGGCTGTCGGAAAGCACAGAGTCGCGGGAATAGGAGTGGCTCATGGACTTGCTCAGCAACGTAACGTTCGATTAGCCGCTCAACCAAAGGGCCCGTGAGGTCCGTGGTAGCGCCTAGTAATGACAATTGTTGCTTATCAACTAGCCTGAATAGATCAATCGCTGCAGTCACTGCAGTCTCCAGACTCCGGCGCATCAAATCTTCATCATCCTCGAAGTACTCTTCAGAGTTGAATGGCAGTCGACCTCTGTTGCGAGAGGACCAACTGCGTATTGATGAACTATCATCTGCAAGAGTCTGCGCGCGAGAAAGTCTGATCTCGCTTTCGCTGCCAGAGGCAGAGGGCGATCGAGAGGGTGGAGGAGGAAGCGGTTTTCCCAGTTCTTTACCAAATTCACGGAATAGTCGCTCAAGCCCGGGCTGCATCTGCCGGGCAATCATTGGAAAATTGGCTAGTAGTTCCCCAAACGATTTGATCTCTTGTTTTGGCGGAGGTACCGATTCCCCATTCGCACCCTTCCTATCCGATGCGGACGATTCGGCCCTCTTTGTATTCGGCGCGACCAGCATCGGGGTCGAGCCCGGGACTGCAGCTGGGATTATTCTGGTGGGGTCATAAGAGCCTATCAATGGCCGTGAAATGTAGTATATGAGCCATGGCCGAGAATCACTAGATGAGGACGACGTGTAGTAAAGCGCGTCGGATAGGAGCTGAGCTTGCGTAAGGGATTTGAAGCCTGGAAGATCCCGAGTCAATAGATGATTACCCCAGCGATTCTTGGGTCTCCCACCTTTGTTACTGTAAATAGAGTTCTCCTTGATGATCACTGTCCTTCCATTGAAAGTCGTCACCTGCTTCGCCTTCCCCCGATTATCGCGCACATTGGAGTCCTCCTTTCCATTTGTTGAGCCCAGGTTGATAGGGATCCGCAGTACATGGCTTCCTAGAAACTCCTCCGACGGAACGAGATCCGAATATAGCTGGCCAGATTCCCGGTCGCGCGAGCCGACTAGACATTCCGTCGTGGGAACAAGTAGGACCTGTAGAGCAAGTAAAAAAGCCGATTAGGTGCTCCGGTCGATCCGAGAGGATGCAGGAGCTAGACTCACATGGTTCTCCACGGGTATACACTGCCCGGGAACAGTGCTTCGGAAGAAGGCACGGAGGAAAGGGTTTAGAGGGTGCATCCAAACGGTTTTGGACGGCCCAGCAGAGAAACTCCAGCAATCATCAAGCCGTCAAATCTGCAAGAACGCGGGGATGTTGTGCGTTGTCCACTGTTTCGCGGGGGAAGAGCTCCGGCGCATTCAGCTGCAGGCAGCAGTCTCCAAAAAAAGGGTCTAGGCCGTAACTGGCGGGGCGTTCACAAGACAGAGAAGGAAGATTGAAGGTCAATCGAAGGAAACGAGGTCATAAGATTGTAGAATAGCAGAGAAGATTCACCAACGCGAAAGTTGAGCAGGGAGATCGAGAACGTGATCGCTGCGGGAGCTGAGGGGCGCTAGCCAAGTTGGGTAATCAGCGTTCCTCGACTATCACAAGGGAAAAAAAGAATGCGAAGTATTGGAGCATATTGGATATTTTGGAATAAATTGCTATTGTACATATAACAAGTGACGACAGATTTATCTGCCTGTATGAAAATCCCAGGTCTTCAACATTGACCCAGTGATGGCGCTCTACAGAACAAGAGCCAACAAAATCTCGACTCTGCGTACAGGACAAGTATATAATACAAGAGGGACAATCAACCCAGTCTGCGCACCTTCCGGCTACGAGTACCACCGAACTTGACACGAGTCGAGTCAGTCACTCGGTTGACAAGCCCCCGAATGTTGCGTCCCTCGTTACCTAGAAGGACCTTGATGAAGGCATCACGACCCTTTCCGAATCCACGGAAAATGACCTCCAACCGTTTAATCTCCATCAGGTATCCTCGTTCTTGAATCTGGGACATAACGTGCGAGGACAATTGGTAGGCAGGGTCGAAGCCAGCTCGGCCGCCTTTACGGAAGCCGATCTGGCCAGTGCCCAAGGACATGAGCGGGTTTCCGTTCGGTCGTGTCAAGGTAAGAATTGTGTTGTGCTTGTGGCAGTAGACGTGGAGGTGGTGGGGAGGAGCGCGGTCGGCGTAGGGGTTTCGCATCATGTCGGCTTCCAGGCTCTCGGCCAATCTGCTGTAGTCGGATTTGACACGCGGGGAGGAGGAGGATTGGTCTCCCTGCATCATCTTGGTAATGGCAGAGAGTGGTGATGAGTCTTCTGAGTTCGCCGGCTTCCGGTCCAGAATCTGGTTCTCAATTTTCTCGGCCTCATCCTTGCTGCTGGAGGTCTTGATAGTCGAGGAGAAGGGACGGGAGGTGCGCATGGAAGCAGGCCGAGGCATGAGTTGCCGGCACACTGACGGAAGGCTCTTTGCGAGAGCGTTCATGGAGAAAGAATTCATCGCGGCGACGGAGTGCCGAAGCGTCGGCTATGGGGCCAAGCAGGTATCGAAAGACGAAGAATGAGCCGGAGGGAATCGAGCCACGAAGCAGTAATTGAGAATAAAGAGTGCAAATAAGCTAATTGAACTGTAGAACAATGCAAGCTGGGCTCTGCGCAACAGCCGTAGTCGGACCGAGAGAGGCGGAAAAGGAAACACTGGAAGTTTTTCGAAGTCTTGGCATCTCTCGAACTTTTCCCTTACTCACCTCCCCGGTCTAATCTCGATTCCTCACTTTTACCCCAAACATCCGGGCTGGGCTGGATTTGTTTTTTCTTCCACTCTCATATCCTCTTTCCTTTCATACTCCTCCCCTCCCAGAGCATGATTTCGACAAAGATGTCTGGCGCCGCGCGTGCGGCGACCCTCCGGTCCCATGCTCCGGTCCTCCGATCAGCTTCGCAAACATCCCGAGCGGTGTCATACTCAGCTCTGCAGGCTCAGACATTGAAGCTCTCGGCACAGACCCAGAAGGGTCGTCTTCCCGTCTCCCAGCTTGTTTCTCCGTTCACCATCCTCCCCTTGACCAGATCATTCCACGCCGCCACTCCTCTCTTCCAACAACAGCAGAAACAGCAGGAAGGAAAGGAGGAGAAGAAGAACGAAGAGAAAACGGAAGAGTCCGGCGAAGAGTCCAAGGAGGAAGGCAAGGAGGAGAAGAAGAAGGACGAGGCTCCTCCGCCGCCTCACGGCGACAAGTCTCCTTGGCAGGTGTTCCGCGACACTCTCCAGACCGAGTTCAAGGCGTCCAAGGAGTGGAAAGAGTCTACCAAGGCTCTTGCTTCTTCCGCGCATCAGTTCACTGAGAATGAGAACATCAAGCGAGCCCGTGCCGCCTATGAGGCTGCGTCGAGCGCCACTACCGGCCGCACCGGTGCCGCTCTCAAGTCCACTGGTCAGGTCATCGGAAAGAGTGCCGCCTGGACTTGGAACACCACTGTCGTCAAGGGCGTTCGCAAGGGTGTCAGCGCTACCGGTGAAGGGCTCGAGAAGGCCACGCGTCCTGTCCGTGAGACCGAGGCTTTCAAGAGCGTGAAGGAGGCCATTGATGACGGTAGCAGCTCTCGCTACGGTGGTTGGATTGAGAAGGAGGAGCGTCGCCGCCAGCGCCAGCTCCGCGAGGCGGCAGAGCTCAAGTCTGGAAAGCGCAAGGCTGAGCAGATGATTGAGGACCCCAAGTACGTTTTGATTTCGAGATTTATTCACTGACAACATTCGCTAATCTGGCATAGTGCCGGTACCCACGTTACTCTCCACAAGGACGCCGCCTGGAAGGAGTCATGGCGCAGCTTCAAAGACTCCAATCCCATGATGCAGAAGCTCTTTGGCTTCCGTGAAGTCTACGAAGAGTCTGAGAACCCCTTCATCAGCACCGCTCGCAGCATCTCCGACCGTGTTACTGGCTTCTTCGCTGAAACCGAGACCGCGACTGTCATCAAGAAGTTCCGTGAGGTCGATCCCAACTTCCAGATGGAGGAATTCCTTCGTGAGCTCCGTGAATACATGCTGCCCGAGGTCCTGGACGCTTATGTCAAGGGTGATATCGAGACTCTCAAGCTCTGGCTCTCTGATGCTCAGTTCTCCGTCTATGCTGCTCTCGCCAAGCAATACACCACTGCCGGTCTGGTCTCGGATGGCCGCATCCTGGACATCCGTGGCGTTGACGTTATGAGTGCCCGCATTTTGGACCCCGGTGACATTCCCGTCTTCGTCGTTACCTGCCGCGCTCAGGAAGTGCACGTTTACAAGAACGCCAAGACTGGCAAGCTCGCTGCTGGTATGGAGGACAAGGTCCAGCTTGTCACCTACGCTATCGGCTTGACCCGTATCCCCGAGGAGGTCAACAACCCCGAGACCCGGGGCTGGAGACTGATCGAGCTGCAGAAGGCTGCTCGTGACTACATTTAAGCGGACAAGTCTGCACGTGCTCTCAACCTATTTCCTTGCTTCCTCTCATACCTCCCTTTCGCCCCCTCGACTGTACAATATGACTGTTTTATATCAAGCCAGGCGGAACTGGCGCTTGTTTACGGTTATGTCTGTCCTAGTGACCCTTTCGACCTTGGTTAGTATGGGTGATTATTATTTTCATGTATTAATGTTCACTTCCTCCTTTCTACCTTGTCTTTTTGCCCTTTTTTTTGTGGGTTGGCTCAAAAAAAACACCCCATCATCTCCATAGACTCGGACTGGCTGCGCGTTGGATTTGAGCTGGTCTGATGGCATCTGATCTTGAGGTGTTTTGCGGCGTCCTGTGCTTTGCATTTTCACTCTCCCCTCGACACTGTCTGATCTGCATGTGGGCCCTAGGCCATTTGGTTTTTGGTGGTATTCTTGCTCATTGAATTTGCTGATGAGTTAAGATATCGACTTTGGAGTTGCATGAGGTCGTGTATATATAGCAATGGAGAATTTATATGGTGACTGGCATATTTGAGTTCGTAAGGATTGGTTACAGGGAGAGAAGTTGAAGATTAACATAGAAACGAGTAATGTCTAAAGAACGCTATTGAAACTCGAGTAACATCAGATCGTGTCTTCTTTTCCAAAGTCATCCGCCAGTCATTTCAATCATTTACTGGCTGCCACGTCCGGCGCCGCCACCACCCATCATGTTACGAGCCCTGCGAGTCAATTAGAATTTTGTTATAATCGTGTAGTTCTCGAATAAACTTACATCTCCGCAATGCTGGGATCACTCATGAGGCTGGACATATCAGGCATGCCACCGCCACCACCACCACCACCACCCTGGCCAAAGCTCTCGGCCATCTGGCGCATGCGAGGGTTGCTCATGATGTTGTTGAGCATATCGGGGTTGCTCATGAGGTTCTGAGCCATGCTAGCGAACATGGGGTTGCTCATCATGGAGCTCAGGTCGGGCATGCCACCGCCACCACCACCCATACCACCCATCAAACCAGCAAGCGAGGACAGATCAGGCATACCGCCGGCGCCACGGGATGCGCCAGGAGCAGTATCCAACTCCTCGGAAGGAGGCTCGGTAGAGCGGCCACCCTCCTCGATCTTTCGCGTGGCAGTCTCCAGACCACGGCGCAGAGCGTCGCTGCCACCGTTGCCCTCAGCCTCAATACCCTTCTCGTAAGCCTCCTTGGCGGCATGGTAGTCACCCAGCTCGAAGCGGGCAAGACCCAGACGGCTCCAGGCCTTGGAGTACATAGGATCAGCCGCGACGGCCATCTCGGCGTCCTCAGCAGCCTTGTCAGCCTTTCCGGAGGCAGAGTAGGCGGCAGCGCGGTTGGAGAGGTAGATAGGGTTGGCGGGGGCGATCTCCAAAGCCTGGGTGTACTTCTCAATGGCAGCGGGGTAATCCTTCTTGGCCATGAGAGCGTTGCCCTCAGACTTCAACTTATCGGACTCGGGGGAAGGCGCGCCAACCTTGGGCTTCTCGGTTTGCGAAGCTCCAGCATCAGCCTGGGGCGAAGACTTGCTGCGCAGCTTCTCGTAGACGCTGTAGATACCGGCGAGGGACTGTCCTCCAAGGGCATCCTTCACAGCGGCCTCGTCGGTAGGGTCAACCTTGAAGGTATCGGCGATACATGACTGGGCGATTTCGATCGATTCAGCATCGTCGGCGGTGAGAGTACCGTCCTTCAGGCTGCCGCCGAGGAAGTCGATGATGGCCAAAGCCAGACGCTTGTTGGTTTCGTTCGGGGCCTACAGATCGCGCGATTAGTACCATGCACCTGCCGGCTCAGGTGGAGCAGAAATTACCATGATCTCAAATCAAGAAAATAATGGATGATTGATGAACAGGAATCACTCTCAGGGGAGAAAAAAAGAAGAGAATGCGGGGGGGGAGAGCTCGCCGCACGTGATACCGCTTATCGCGCTCGTTGGCTGTGTTTAGCTCTTGTTCTCCTTGCGCTTAACAGTTCGCGGATGAAAGCTTCCTCATTTGTCTTTCTGTTGGAGCGAGATGGGCTTGGATGAGCTCCATTGTCAATATTAATTCCCCGTTTCGCCAGCTGAGCCATGTACTGGCCCAATGGGGTCCCCCGGGTCTACGCGGTCAATGGCCCGGACATCGCCCACGTCTCCTCCGATGGATATCCCAAGGATACAAGCTCGAACACGGAACGGCGAAGCTCTATATATAACAACGATGATACTGGGGACGCGCAATCTTCAAACACCGAGAGCAATGAACCCAACCCCGAGCCGTCGGCCAACTCGGAGACTCCAAAATGGGAGCATGAACCGATCAATGGACTCTGCGTCTCTCGCTCAGGGCATATGTTTGCGACAATAACCGAGTCCTCTATTTCACTATGGCAAACAAGGGTATGTTCAGGGGTAACTCGTCTGCTTTGAAAGTGCAATTGATGAGCTTCGATACTAATTGTTGCCACAGCCAACGGCCGTCGTAGCCGCGATAGTTCGGTCCTTGTACTCGCTGAAGACATACGGCTCGAATGTAGCACTGTTAATGCACCCAGACTCGACAATTCTGGTTGTACAAACCTCCGGGGGCTATCTCCTGACTTACTCGGTGGCGTCCGACCCATCAACACACGTCTACCAGCAACGTTTCGATCACTCTACACACCCGCGCCGCCAGCAATTAGCACATTTTGCTGCCGTCGAAGAGTCAAATGTGGTTGGTGATATAAGCATTAGGTTCCGAATGGCAATCAAGATCGAGTCGGGGATTGTCAAGGCGCTGGCCTTGGATCAGGAGCTTGTCGTTGCTACTGTGAAGCCGCCTGCGATCCAGTGTATTCGGTGGGCTCCGGACCCTAGTGGGACGCAGACTACGTCAGAGCTACTGAGCCGCATTCTGGATATACCGAAGAAGGTTGCAGTGGTGGACATGGTCTATGACCGTGCTATGAACCTTCTCATTTGGCTCACGAGCCACGGTCAGGCATATGCTGTGCAACGAGCTCACGATGTACAAGAAGATCCGGATGCACCTAAGAAATTGTTCCGTGGGCATTGTTTCCACGACCCCAAGGAGGATGGCGAAAAGGCTGTGAAGGTGGCTGTCAATGCCCGATTCTCCTTGTTAACTGTGTTCTGTGCAAATGGCGAGATTTGCGTGTACACTGCCAAAGACTATATGGGCAATGTGCTGCTATCCCAGAAGCTGCAGCTCCCGGCATCGCCGACTACTACCGGATCATTGACATTCATGAGCTATTCGCCGGACGGATATTGTCTCTTCGCTGGCTACGAGAATGGCTGGACAACATGGAGTGTCTTTGGAAAACCGGGTGGTAACAGCTTCACAGTTGACCCTACCTTAGCAGCGTCAAATGGTGAAGATTGGCTGACAGGTGTTTCAAGCGGCTGCTGGATTGGCGGTGGATCCGACATTATTCTGTCAGGACTGAGCGACCGACGACTCTGGATTCTGGAAACCGCTCGCAGTGCACTTACTGGCTGCTTCTCTGCCGCTAACCTCGCCCAAGGCTTGCTTCAGACCGGCACCGAGTTTATTCTCTACCGTGGACATGATCTCCCGGAACTAATGACCATTTCTGGCAAGGACTCGCTATGGCACCATGCACAGTACCCCCCAGCATATCTTCATTCGCAATGGCCGATCAAATCGTGCGTTGTGTCTCAGGATGGACGGTATGTGGCAATCGCAGGTCGGCGTGGACTGGCACATTACAGTGTGAACAGTGGTCGATGGAAGGTCTTTGAAGACTCCAAGGTCGAAAACTCATTTGCGGTTCGAGGTGGAATGTGCTGGTATGGACATATTTTGATTGCCGCCGTCGAAAGCGATGGATCGTACGAGGTATGCTATTTCTAAGATTTCGGTGCTTACCAAACTGACTTCCTATTAGGTGCGTCTCTACTCGCGTGAGGCAGCATTGAACAACAACTCGATCATGTTCATCGAGTACCTTCCAGCACCTGTGGTGTTTATTGGGCCATCTGGAGAGGATTCTCTCTTAGTTTATACATACGACAACATCCTATATCACTACGTGATTAACTCCACACAGCCTCAAATCACTCTTGTGCCTGTTGGTCAAATTGCCTTTAATGGTATCGTTCGCGCACCGACTCGGGTGAGGGCGATCAGTTGGGTTCTGCCCGAGGAACAAATGCGTATGTTGCGTTTCCCTGACACAGTGACCAAGCAGATATCTAACAATCGAGTAGGAAACGGTGACCCGTCTCAAGATGTCAAGGTCGCATCTGTGCTTCTCCTTGTTGATGGAAATCTTGTTCTCCTACAGCCGATAGTGTCGGATGCAGGTGATCTCAAATATGACATGCGTGTTATTTCACAAGATGTGGAATACTATATCCTGATGCGTGATCAGGGATCCTTCAACTTTTCTCCTTCAGTCGACGAATCTCTCCCGGCAAGCCCATCCGCTGAGATGACGCTTGGTTCGTCCCACAGCAGTCTTTCTCTGAGAGACTCATTGTGGACATTTCGGGGCAAGGACTTACTGGCATGGAACGACGTCCAAGATGTTTTGCAACAAGAAACGGTGCCGGCACCGCTCAACATCCCCATAGACTTCTATCCTCTTTCCGTGCTTCTCAACAAGGGTATTGTCCTGGGCGTGGAATCCGAAATGACACAACGACGAGATGTGACATTTACCAGTCTCAAGTTTGCCATCAGAGTACGATTTCCAATTCTCCTCCTAATCTTCCTCTACTAACATCTCCAAGACACACCTCTTCCTCCCATACTTCCTCCAATACAGCCTTACAAATCTCGGCACCCCGGCTGCCCTCTCCCTCTGTCGCCATTTCTCCCACCTCTCATACTTCGCCCACGGCCTCGAGATTCTCCTACACCACGTCCTCGACGAAGAAGTCGACAACCCGACCCGCGCCAACAAATCCACCGACCCCAACGTCCACGAAGGCCCTCTCCTCCCAACAGTCATCTCCTTTCTCCAAGCAACCCTCCCAACCCGCGAATATCTCGATATCGTAGTCCAATGCACCCGCAAAACCGAGCTCCGCTTCTGGCGCACCCTGTTCACCTACCTCCCTCCCCCAAAAGACCTCTTCGAACAAGCCCTCCGCCTCGATGCCCTCAAAACAGCTGTCGGATACCTCCTCGTCCTACAGGCTTTCGAAGACGAAGAACAGGGCCACGACGGCCGAATTGAGGAATATGTCGTTAGACTTATAGGTCTTGCGTCGCAGAAGAGTGATTGGGAACTCTGCGCGGAGTTGGCTAGGTTCTTAATTGCCCTTGACGCATCTGGCGAGATGCTTCAGAGAGCTATTGGGCGAGTGGGGTTGCGTCAGCGTCCGAGTATGAATGGGGCTGGCTCGGGGTTACCGTCTAGAACTGGCTCGGCAGCTAGTGTTAAGGGACTCGGGCTGAGTTTGCCTGTAAGGACGCCTTCTTGGTCATCTTTGTCGCCAACGGGCTCTGTTTCGAGACAAAGTTTGCGTGATGGGGATGTTTCGGATGAGTATCCTAATTCCATGGATAGTCGGGATGCGTAATTCGATTTTGTAGAGCTGTACATATTTCGGCTCTGTTTTTGTATATAATCTGGATCTGGCGAATGAATGTTTGAATATTTAATGGAGTTTCGTAATTGTGAACATTCGTCTTCTGCCATTATCTCACTGTCAACCTTGGAAGACAATCCTGGATCCCATGTAGAGCATTCCTCTCAAATTCATACTCCAGAAACACGGATCACTCCAACCATAGAAGATGTCCTCTTGAAAATCCCAATCCAGGTCATTTTGTCATTTCATTTTCTCATCATAAGACCAATAACCCATCCTAGATGGTCGGGGTAGATATCATAACCCCGGGAACTCAACCCGGTATCTCAGCATTTGAACATATCAAATCTAATCCAACTGCATCCTCCAAAGCCCATCACCCAAGAAATGCCCCTCATCCATAACGACGCCCTTGCCTTTACTCTTCATCTCCTCAGTACCCTGCTTCAGCGTACCAACAAGACAAACCTCTTCCTTACCCTCCGCCTTAACAGCAACAACACTCCCCGCCTCAAGCGCATGCTCTGAGTCCGGCAGACGACCTCCAGGGGAGGTCAGGCCGGGAGCCATGAGGGCAGCACCGGAGAGCACGAAGCGGATGGCGCCGCGGTCGATCTGGATGGTTGGGAGGGCGGTGGGATAGGCATGCACAAGTTTGAGATGCGGGATGGGCGGGCCGTCGAAGGGTTGGAAGAATAGTGGTGTTGAGTCTATTGTGTACAGGGTGGTACGTTCGGGGCTGGGTTGTTGTGTTAGTTCCTGGTTTCTTTGCATGTGTAGATGGCGGGGGTGGGTTGGGAGAGAGCCTGGGAGATGTAGGTTGGAAACGTACAGCTTCACGACTTCTAGAGATGCCTTCTTGGGCATGATCTCTTCGATGTAGGGTTCAAAGCCGGGGTAGGTCTCCAGCAGCTTCTGGCGCAGGCCGCGCTGCACGGAGGACTTGACCTTGGAGCGATTGCTCGACGGGATCCTGGTGTTCGGGGCTTTGTTAGCATGGTGAACGTTCCTTAAGGTTTGGATAGCTTCTCGAAGGGCCTTCTCACTCTTTCTTGAACATGGTGTTGGTTGTTGCAGGTCACTGAATGCTCCGAGTGCGTGAAGTGGGATGCGCGGGGAGTCTCACGTGACATGGTCTACATTTTACAGAGCTCGACTTTCAGAGCTTGGAGCTATTTTGCTAGGACTGCTACGATTCAATGAGTTTTAAGTGCGAGGCAAGTCACTTTTTACACGGTTTACAGTATTCATATCTGCGCTTGAATAGGTATTTCCATTTGTAGAACTATCTACCAGGGCGACGCACAGGTTTTGAGGGCATAGTATCAACAAAACTTTTAGCCCTTGGCAGCACCAGCCTTGATGAGGAGGATATCACCGTCCTCAACAACGTAGTCCTTGCCCTTGGTCATAACCTTACCGGCAGCCTTGACAGCACCTTCGTCACCAAGCTCCTTAAGGAGAGCAAAGTTATACACGATGGCCTGGATGAAGGTCTTCTCAAAGTCAGTGTGAATGACACCGGCGGCAGCAGGGGCCTTGATGCCCTTGCGGATAGTCCATTGGCGGACCTCATCGGTACCAGTGGTGAAGAAGCTGGCCAACTTCAAAGCCTGGCGCATGGTAGTGACAACCTTGGGCAGACCGGACTTGGTGCCAAGTTTCTTGCACTCCTCCTCGGCGGCGACATCATCCTTCATCAGGGTAAGACGCTCCTCGAAGCAGGCAGAGATGGGGAGAATGGGGCAGTTGGGGGAGTTGGTCTTGATCCACTCGAACAGAGAGGGAAGGTACTTGTTCTTCTGGCGGATGTAGTCCTTCTCGCTCAAGTTGACAAGGTACACAACGGGCTTGGCAGTGAGAAGGAACAGGGGGTTGATGGCCTCGACCTAAAACCAATGTTGTCAGCAAAATGTTGATAACGGTTTTGAGTGTTTCAATAAGAAAAAAAACTCCAAAATTCAGTATAAACTTTCTTCTCATAGTGCCCTCTACAGAATAAAAATGAGGTCACATCGACGAGCTGGGTTTATTTCGCGCTCATGGCGCTTATTCATCATGGTAATGGAATGTGCAGGGGGGAAGAGTAGGGGGGAAATTTCTTCACATACCTCCTTGGGGGTCCAGTCACCATCACGAATGTTCTTTCCCTCTTTCAGCCACTCAAGGACTCTGCCAGTAGTGGCCTCTTCCTCCTTCAACTTCTTCATCTCAAGAGACTGGCCACCACGGCGAGTCTGCTTGGACAGAGCATCAAGAGCCTTCTCGACGAACTCGATATCCTTAATGCGAAGCTCCTCGCTAATGATGGTCAAATCACGAACGGGGTCAACGTCGCCCTCAACGTGGATAATCTCGGCATCATCGAAGCAGCGAACCACCTGGAAGATGGCATCGACAGCACGAATGTGCGACAAGAAAGAGTTACCCAGACCAGCACCAGTCGAGGCACCACGGGTCAGACCAGCAATATCGTACACGGTCAAGTTGGCGGGAACCTGCGACTTGGGCTTGTAGTGGTCGACGAGCCAGTCGTACCGCTCATCGGGGACGATGACACGGGCCTCCTCAGGGTCAATGGTGGCATAGGGGAAGTTGGCCGGGTTACCCAGAGAGGACTTGGTGATGGACTGGAAGAGAGTAGATTTGCCGACGTTGGCAAGACCAACCTAGAATCATCGTAAGTCCATGTCGAAGGAATAAATAAACCAGAATTGTGGTTGGAGAAAAAAAAAAGGAAAGGAAGGGGAACAGGGGGGAGAGCTCGGCTTAAATAGTTTGTGTGGAATTAAAAAGTGGACTGTGCTGTGCGAAAAAAGAACACAAAAAAGGGTGGGGACACTGCTCACATACGATACCGCTCTTCAAGCTGTTGCCGGGACGGCCCAAAAGGACCTTCTCTTGAACTTGAGCCTTCTTGGGAGGCATTTTATTGGACTTCTTTTTCTTGCTGGAGTAGGAGCGACAGGAAAGAGGTGGGAGGTGGGGGGAGGTGGGAAGGCGGAAGCGGGCGCAGGGATGGCGCGCGGTGAAAGCAGGACCAGCTGCGGATCGATCGACGATACGAAGGAAAAAGAGGGAGGTGGTCGGGAGAGACGTGATGTCGGGTGTCCACGAAGGTAGTGGACAAGGTCAATTGAGTTAAAAATAAGGAGAGAAGTGAGAGAGTGGCTTGATACGGTCGCAAAGATGACGAGGTTCAACATGTCATCGAAGTTTTCTGCCCGACTTCAGCTACCGCCCACGTGAAGTGTTAGCCCTGCCCTTGACGTCAGTGCTTCATACACTGTTTACGTTTTGTAGGTGTTTTTTTTTAACGATACGATCCAAGACCTAAAATTTCTATAATTGTAGAGGTGACACTTTACCAACTGACCTCCGAGCTACCAAGATCTCAAAGTGATATGCCAGATATCCAATAGTCCCCATTGACTCTTCAGTTTACCACCCTTGACCCCCAAGATAAATCTTTGATGATATGCTTTTGCATAATAAGGCATTGCCTAGCTTATGATACAAATACAGACATAGATAGAAAGAAGAGCCATCTCCCTCTGCAGGTCTACAGTGGAGTGGAAAATGAATGCAGCCTCCCCGACCCAAGCCCAAGCAGCACGTATCAACGCCAATACAAAAAAACACAGCGAGAGCAAATGTCATCATAGATCCATTGCATCGCCATCCACGCGGTCCACCATATCCAGAAGTTTAGCATATGGAACAGTGACGCGCTGGAGTTCGCGGTATTTGCCTGGAAGCCGTTAGCAGACGGGACTAAATAGCAATGAAAATAAGAACATACCAAGAGCCAGGATCACCTCCTTCAGTAAAGTTTCCCGTGGCCAACCACATAGATCTTGTGAGCCTTCGCGCCAACTCCGGCCTTCGCGCTCGTTAACTTGGAGCTTTGTGATAGATTCGGTGCCTTCATCGTCTTCGAACAGACCGCCGATTAAGCCCTTGAGTAGCTCTTCGACCTTCATCTTTAATCCTTCCGCGCCGATGCGCTTGGCGTACATATTCAGGTATAGGCGGAACTCTTCCTTAGAGCCTAGAGACAATGCAGCAGCGAGTCGGTTCTCGAGATGGGCGATGGAAACACTTGATTCGAAGGTTTCGTAGCCTTCTCGGGATAGCAAGACCTTGACGAGTCGTTGCAAGAAATACGCACGACCACGTAGAAGGGTTACGTTCGTGGTATTGCGTTCAAGGAAGGGGATGATACCAGCAGATACGGCTGCCTTGGCGTCCTTGGTATCTTGCTGGGCATCTCTTGCCTGAAGGTTACTAACAGGGGCCTCTGTTGAGTTCCAGTACTGGCTGCCGACGGCCCACCAAGCTTCTGAGATGCGCTGCCATGTGTACATAGATGGAGAGTAGGAGTAGCCTTCGCCATTGGTCAATGATACGACGATGCGGCCTTCGGAGTTAATGCGTGCATCTGTGATTGCCGGTGCAGCGGTGGGGTTCGCGCCTAGTGTGTGGATGGCGGCGTCGAGGACGGGTTGGAGGGAGACGGGAGGGTGGGGAGAAGAGAGATGCTTCACGTTCCAGACGTAACACATACCCACGGAGGAGATGCATAGGATCCAAGGGCCGTTGCATTCCAGAATGACGGGTTGTGCTTCCAGTACTAATGCGCTGACAAGCCGGCGACCTGCTGGGGTCCAGAGATAGACTGATCCGTCTTCACAGGCAGCGGCCCACATGCTTTGGTTTCCTGTTACGAGGAGAACAGAGCGGGGGAGGAAATCTTGCCATAATGGCTGCTCTCCACGAAAGAGTGTGAGACGCACCGGTTCGCGGTCCACGGCCCGGCCGGTCAAGCTGGCCAATGAAGGATTGCGAGCCTCGAATACCACATCCACTCGTGACTTGGTACTCGAGTCTCCTCCGCCAGGAGCTGGCGGCTCGGTAGGCTTCCCACTTGCATCAAGCGCGCGTAGTATGTGGGTGCGGATTTTGGGGACGGCCAGACGAAGCTGGCTGACCGACATGCAAGGGTTGATAACTGCAGGACGGATGAAATCTGGGGTTTGTTGCTGGCCGTTGGCCCCAGGCTGCACTTGAGCGGGGAGAAGACCATCGGGAGTATTGGCCAGGATCGGCGTCGCACCATTTTGGCTTGCTACAGCGACGCGTTTCTCAGCCTGGCCGTCTTCATCGCCCTCGAGCTGGGCAAGCTTGCGCTTGTTGCCGAGCAGAAGAGCAGTTAAACCACCTTTAGGCAAGCCGTCAAATGGTTTCGAGAGGTCGACGAGAGATGTGGGAGCATCGGCTTTCACCTGGCTGCTGACTGAAGCCATGAGGCGAGCTTGAGGGAGAGAAGACTCGCCAGCTCCAGCCCCAGAGACAAGGAGAGGGGCAATACGCTTCTTGCCCTCTTTTGTGTATGTCGGACGCTGCTTGAGTCTTTCTAGCTTAGCCTGGTAAGGATCAGGTTTATCCTTCTCAGACACGGAGGCATTCGGTGTTGATCCAGTCCCGTTTGTCTGGGTCTTGTTTGTGTCTGCCGCAGGAGAAGGTGCTTGAGCGGGAGTTGTACCGTTCGATGGCTGCGGTGCTGATCCGCCATTCACAGCAGGTTCAGCGGCTGCATGGCCATCTCCCATCAGTGCACCCATGCGGCCCTCGACTCCCTTGATCTCACCAGCTTTACTCTTTTCTTCCAGCAACAATCCATCGGTGGTTTCAGTAATACCGGCGCCCTTGCGGTTCGTTCCAAACTTGGTCAGGGACTTTTCGTTCTCCTCCATCTCTACGGCATAGCCCAGCTCGCCATCCTCGAACCGAGCTGCGACAATGGTACCATCCAGAGCGGTAGCAAAAAGACACTTGCCATCAGGACTCCAAGCCAAATCCGACATCGACTTGGCAGCCATTTCCTGAGCGACCACGATCGGGCGAGCATTGCTCGTAATCCAAACGCTTAGCGACTTGTCTGCACCCGCGCACGCAATAACAGTAATATGATGCGCCGCATGTCCATCAGGCTGATTCTTATTGATCGGCTCCCTCGAATATAATCGGGGAGAGAAGGAGCAGACCTCAACGGGAGCTTCATGGCCAATGAGATTGATATCACCGTCCCAAGACCCACGGTTGATAATCGCAACCGAGCTGACGGGGCCATTGACCGCATTTGCAGCCGCAATGTGCATTCCGTCAGGTGACCATGAACAGCGTCGGAAGTATGCAGTCAGTGGGGAGTTCGCAAATGGGGCGGAGATGGTCTGCTCGAGGACGAAGTTGTTCATTTGGTCGTGAGAGGAAGAATTGGGGGCTGGAGAGGTGAATCGGAAGATGCGAACAGTGCGATCATCACTGGCGGTAGCAAAGTACTTGTTTGCTGGGTCGAAAGTGATGCCTTTGACATGACTCTGGTGAACCGATATCGTCTTCAGCTTTTCAAAAGTGTGTCCTGACCACACAACCACTTTCGAGTCGAGACCGACGGAAACCAGAATCGATGAGTCGTGCGACCACCCCAGGTCCTGGACGTCGTTGTCATGGCCGATCAATCGCCGGATAGTGCGCCAGTTCTCGACTGGAGGTGCTTCGTCGGAGCCTGCGCCGCGTTTCCAGAATGGTCAGTGTCTGATATCTATGTTTCCAGCGTTTGCAAGACGTACCGAATGTCGAGTGTGTTGGCGGGTTAGCATCAAGAGTGTAAACGCAAACTATTTTATCATCCGCTCCCGAAGCAAGATATTTTCCATTCGGTGAGAAGCGAACCGTGTGAATTGTGCCAGAGTGGTTGCTCATCGACGCAAGCTGCTTCGGCTTATCGGCGAACTCGGGGTTGCCGGTGTTGTAAATGGCCTCTGTAGACCAGATCCGAACGTATCCATCTAGCGCACGGAAATAGCGAACATGTCAGTGATAATTCTTCAAAGGGAGCCCTGCTGCAGCCTAGCTTCTTTTCTAGCCTGCGGGGTCCATTCGGGTATCCAGGAAGCTCACCTCCAGCGGCAGTCACCAGTCTCTTTCCATCAGGCGATACATCACAACTATAGACCTCGAAGTCTTTCCGTTCGCCTGTTTAGATCGAATATGTTAGTCTAGCTCTCAGAGCAAAGGGTTTGCCAAAGTTAGGCCAGACGGGCACGATCCCACGCTTCGTAGCAATGAAGACAGGGGCCGTCGCAAAGAGCGTACCTCCGTGAGTGAGCCAGACTGGCTTGATGATATGCATTGCGCAGCGCGCGCGGAGTGCGCTACCTCTTTATCCCACGGCGAGGATAGCACCTTTTTTTGAATGGGGAATGGACACTGGGGGTATGCTTGAGCGTTGCGGCTTAGCTCCGGGGGAGATTCGAGGCGGGCGGAGGTAGTGGTAAGGTCAGGTGTTCATGTGGACATCGCACTCGCAGGGTAGAGGTTGATCCCAGCCAGGAAATCCTGTATAAGCACACAGATCCACTGTGTGAACAGCCGACAGGTCGGGAGGCGTGGATGAAAGGGTGGACGGTGGAAGGTGGAGGGTGGACAGGGCGCGATCAAAAAGTCGCGATCTCCATTTGGCGCGTGGCCCGAGCTCCCTTTCGCGTTTGACTTCTACTTCTACTGAATTACTTGTACTCGACACAAATTGAACATCTTGAGAATTTTCGAGATTACTATCATACACGCTTTTCCTTTCTTCGTCCTTGATCAATGCCGACGATTTCCCTATGTACGCAATACAGAGCTCGGATCACTGATTCAACTGGGCAAGCAATGCCTGACTCCTGAAACAATGCTGCAAAGGAAACGAAAAATATGAGCGGGGAAAGTAGTACAGATATAGCCATGGTAAGGCTGGACTGGAAGAGGATGCAAAACATAGGGAAATGAAAAGGTTCAGGATCATACTTGTCGTTTCACTCGAAGAGTTCACCTCTTCTGTTGGCTCGCTTCATCGAAGCTGTCAAGAACACTCTGTGCAACGCCAGCCGAGTGCTCCTCAATGGGTGCAACCTCACTATCCAGGTGCTTCTCGGCGTGATCTCGGTGGGTACGCTCAGCAGACTGAGGTGCCTCTTGGGCACCAATAGCCTTGGCAGCAAGAGCCTTAGCCTGGGACTCGCTGACCTTGCCATAGACAGACATGGCGCTAGCAATCATGCCACCGATATCTCCAACGTTGCCTGGAACGACAACCGCAGTACCCTCACGAGCCAGGTTCGCGAAAGCGTCAACGTACTTCTCAGCGACGCTCAGGCTGATAGCGCTCTGGGCGTTCTCCTCGCCCTGCTGGATCGCCAAGGCAACGGCTTCAATTCCACGCGCGGTAGCCTCTGCCTTCAGCTGGATAGCCTGGGCTTCACCAGTAGCCCGGTTGATCTGCTCCTCGCGCAGGGCTTCAGATGCCAGGATGACGGACTGCTTGCGACCCTCGGCGATGTTAATCGCACTCTGGCGCTGACCCTCGGATTCGAGAATCTCGGCACGCTTTGACCGCTCAGCAGTGACCTGGCGGTGCATGGCGGCGACAACACCGTCCGGCGCATGGATATCCCGAATCTCGTACCGAAGACAGACAACACCCCAATCTTGTGCGGCCTCATTGATAGCTTGTGTGATATTTGTGTTGAGAGTGGCACGCTCCTTCAGGACATGGTCCAAAGTCAACTGACCGATCTCGGATCGCATGGTCGTCTGCGCCAGCTGCGAAATGGCGTACTCCGCATCCTCGACACCGTAGCTGCATTTCGTCCACTATTAGTCACTTCCTAATCGTTCCACCTTCAGAGTCTCTAATGACTCACCTTGCTTTGTATGCGTCGAATACCCGCGTGTACAAGACACCGTCGAGCTCCAGGGTGACGTTATCCGCGGTAATGGCATTCTGGCTCGGGATCTCAATGGCCGACTCCTTCAAGCTCTTAACGTAGGCAATGCGGTCCAAGAAAGGGACCAGAATAGCAAGACCAGGCTCCAGGATCCGGTGGAACTTGCCCATACGCTCAACGATCCATGCTGTTTGCTGAGGCACGAAGCGCACAACGGTGTTCGCGGGGAGGGTCTTTTGATTGTTAAAGTAAGTAACGTGGCCACCGCCCTGTTGCGGCTGACCAGATGCGAAGTTGCTGAAGATGGATTCGGGGACGAGTCTGCGGGGGGAATTTGTGAGAGCTCGTTGCTGTACTGCAGTCACCGCAGTGGTTCGGGGAAGTCGGCGGCCCTGCTGAAGAAGAGCGGAGCTGCGAGACCTTAATAGTCTCGAGCTTTGACGGTATGCGCCCTCCATTTTGGGAGAATCTTGTCAGGGAGGATTGGGAAGTGGTGAGGAGATGAAGGTCAGCTGGATCGGACGAGCTGGTGGAACAAGGTTCGGCTTGAGGTGTTGGCGCCTGAGGCGACGAGATTCTCCGCACTCGATGCAACGCTTTGTTTGCGCAATACTATATGAAGGTTAAGACGTCTTATAGAAACTCTGCAGCAAGCAAGGCCTTTACTGTTCTTCAGTAAATTAGTCATTTATAGGCTGCATTTCAAATTTCAATATTTTGCAATACCTTGCAACCAGTTCACAATAGCCGTTCCCGAATGGAGAAAGAGCTACGGATACATAGGAAAGCTCGTTACACATTTATTCAACTTGTTCTATAGCAAAAATATATGCTATTCTTTGCGAGGTACTAGATCCGAACCCACTGGTTTCTCGAAATTCAGCTCTATATAAATCAAGTGCATGTTGCGTGCACATCTCAATCTTGGAACTTCTAGTTAGTCGACTTAGCCAGTCTTTTGATATAAGTTCGAACATATGAACGTTTTATTATCTCCGCCCTATATTATCTACTCATCCTTTCAAAATATAACCTTTGTGTTCCTTATATTCAATAAAACCTAACAGGGTTTCTCTTCTAGTCTTTGATTTCTCTTTTCTAGGTCTAGCTCGATTCTCGGGCTCTCATACACTCGTACTACTAGGTAAATATTCTCATATGCCCTATAATAGGTCTCGACCATAGTAACACACCGGTTTGCGTAAATTGGAGATAAGCTATCGGTCCGATGTTACGCGTTGCTAGCTGGTCACAGTGAGTAAGTACGCGAAGGTTATACGTACAGACTTAATTTATGAGGAGCGTTAAGTATATGCGCCGAGTAGGCTGAATACGGCTTCCCGGGCACCGACAGCAATACACACTCCTTTGCGTCCAACTCTTTACTGTCCACTTAATATTCGAACAGAGCTTTAAACTATCGGTGGCTTACTGTCAGTCTAGTCCCGGCGTTTTAGACAGCTAATCATGAAGAAGGTGACACCCTAAGAGACGTTACTTGAATTATCCTTCTGAATTAAATATATAGAATAGCTAGAGTCAAAACGTGTAGTGAAATCCTCCTATTAGAACCTTACTTTTGTTTCTTTATTTCCTTCCCTATATGAAATTCTTCGCAGGTAGCCCTAAACGCGGGTTCTTTCGGTGAGCATAAGGACGCCCGTGCAGCGTGAGCACCAGTTAAGGTTGGCTAAGTCGGGACCGTCAGCGGCCTCAGAATCGATCATCAATCAAGTTATGGTTAGGCCAAAGTGAGTCGGGATTTGATCAGGGGCTTGGATCAAATCCCGCTCCGCTAGCCCCAATCACAGGTGCCCTGACCTATCTTGTCGCTTTCATAAGGAAGGTTCACTTTCTGCTACGCGGTGCGCATTAAGAATGACAAATTTTGGGAGCTTACTGCACGCTGAAGAGCATTTATTGAGACCCCTAACCTGGCCCTCCGATCCGAATTATACTCGGGCGAGTTCACGTGAAATAGATGCGCCCAGGGACTCAACTGACAACCAGATCTCTTTGTCTAATCTGCCGCCGACGCACTCGTCAACACACCTGCTAGGTCAGCCAGAGGAATCGACATCAGAGCTAGAGATTCACCGGGGTCAACAGCAGCAGACACCGACAGAACTAGATCGCGATCCCACCCATAGATATATCCAGACACCGAGAGGATGGATTTGGAAGCACCTGATCAAAGACCCCTCGGATGAGGAGCCTTATCGGCTACGAGACGACTGGGCGACGTTGACGCGCATTACTCTGCTAAGATTTATCACGATTACAATAATTATAGTGTGAGACACCGCTCATTGAAGTACCCCATAGATTGCCTTACAGAACTGACTCAACACAGAGCAATTGTATTAGGTGCACGTGGTGAAGCCTGGGATCTATCCTCCCGTATCCTCGCCAGCACCGGGGTCGACCAGGATCTCCAGCTCGCGGTCATCGGTCTGCTCAATCAAATACTCGGAATGTTTACCCAAGAAGCACTATCTCATATAGCCTCAACTCTCCTGACAAGCTGGATGATTAAAAAGGGTTCAAGAGGAGCGATGCCTTCTGATCTAGAGATGTTCGACGAATTTAGCCAGCCATGGACAGCTTTGAGAAACTTCCTCGAACGCCGGAAACCCGAGGCTTTGGCTGGAAGGTCTTGGAAAAACTGGTTTCGACTGTTAAGCTCCTTGGCCATTGGGATTAGCTTGCTTCTTCTCGGGGCTGCCATGAATACAGTCGCCATCCCGAAAACACGCTGGTGGCCAGACACCAGGTTCGAGGAACCTCGTTTTCCGGATGATCGATTCTTTTTCAAAAACCAGACTTCACGTATTGGTAATGTCAGTCGGATGTCGATGTGGGCGCAATCGTGGAATATGTTGCGGATAGGGGGATCAGTGTCATGGGAAGTGGTTAGTTTCTTGATCTACGGCTGCTGGAAATGGCGATACTAACATAGATTAGGCTCAATCACTGTCAGCCGCTCGATCTCAAGTCGCAATGAGCCAGATCTACGATACTTTTAATCAGGAGCCTGGCTGGCAGTCTCTAGGAATCAACCAGGTTGCCGAGTTTACCGCCATCAATGTGACAGATGGTCCAACTCCCACGATACAAACGATGGCAGTTCATGGCAAAGTAGCCGCTGCTATGTATAATGAACAATCAACTACAAGCAAACACAACTGGGCTCGGTATTCGAGTGGATGGGACGCCACGCTCAAGGTGCCCGGTCTCTTGCTCGAAACAGAATGCTTGTCGGTCAATGGAAGTGCGGTCGGTTCCTGGACAGTTGCTGCAAACGAAAACGCCACTATATCAGTAGAAATTGGACCATACACGTCAAACAGCTCTTTTGAGGGCGTGCAGTGCCTTATTTCGATTGAAAATGCCCAAATTTCACTTCAGCAGTGGCTATACGATGGAACCGGAGACTACAGTTATAGTATTACCAACTGGGGCCAAGGAATGAATGCCGGTATTTGGAAGCTAGGTAGCTCCGAAGATGATTTTTCTATGGCTACTGAAGGTACCGACTGGTTTCAGGATTTCTTGCCTAACCTCCAAAATCTTTCGTCGGCCCCCCAGATTGTTAATCTCACATCGCTGATTATCACGATCGCCGATAGCCTTATGACTTTGAACAGGGGATATAGCGAAACTTTAGCTATATCGGCAGTTGTTGGTGCAATATTCGCTGACATGTTCACCTCTTTTGAGTGGACATACACTGACATACCGGGAAACACTACATATCAAGGCCCTATACGTTGGCAGATATATGGGTCTGGACCCCGCTTACCTTGGGAGTGGACGATTGCCACAGTCCTGGGCATTGTTGTCATGATTCACGTCTACGACCTTGGCCTGCTTTTACGGTATAATGGCCTGGCTCAAGGCTATTGGCTGAGTCTCAATGGAATGATGCGAACCGCAAATTTGTCATCCCAAATCAATGAAACTTCCGATGCCCAGAACGCAGAGACTCCAGCCCAATATTCTGAACCAACCCGCTTGTTTGCACGTGAAATCAGAGATTCGGAGGGGCAGACTACCGGAAAAGTTGTTGTGGTTGACCAGGAGACTTTGAATTCGCAACGTGGACCAGGTGAAAAGCAATACGTGGAGCTCCGAGACGATAGAGAGTACAGCAAAAAAGACCAATAGAATTGATTGTACAATAGCAACTAACTCCCAGAGGCATTCAGCAAGTTGTTCTATCGAGACTCTTTTCAAATATCACAAAAGAAGGCTTAAAGTGCGGTTCAGCATCTAACAAAAGGACAATCCATTTTGCGAATAGCAGCTACAATCGGGTAATATAAAGGAAAGGCCATTGCAAGATTCCTGATTGTCTACCCTAAGTAAGGGTGGGCTGATCCTTAAGCAACCATGAGTGCTCAGTGGGTCGAAATAAATCACGTGATGACTACTGGCCAAGATTCGGTAAATTGGACGCTTCAAATGGCGTCAAAAGTAGCCTTTTACGGCGACCAATTAACTGTTACCTAGCGTGGGGTTGTAAAGTCCAAAAATGCCTTGGAAAGCATTCAAGCATTTAATGAAACCTCAACCGTAGCTATTCAATGCAGTAATTTTACCATAAATTAGCAAGAAACATTGATGGACCATGGTATGCATGTCATTTACCCAGCAAAAAAAAAAAAAAAAAAAAAAAAGAAAAAAAAAAAAGAAACTCTGAACAACCTGACTTATGCACAAAAAAGGTACACCCAAACAAAATAATGAATCCCTTGGAAAAGAAAGAGGAGGAAAACGTTTTCGGGAAGACCGAGAAAAGAGCAAAAAAAAGGGATGATGAAGAAAATAAAACCGGACATCATCTCGAACGACGATGTTCCTTCCAACGCCTTTTGTCAGGACCATACTCTAGACCGAAGTAATAGCTAGCCTTAACGCGATTGTCATTCTCCATAGCCCCAGTCGACATTGTCAAGTTGAGGAGATTGTTAAGGACAGAATGGCAATTCTTGAACGGGGCATGAGATAAGTGCACCATGTCGCAAATAACCTCGTCAGGAAGAGGTCGACGGCTGATCAGACAAGTGTGGTAGAAACTAGTCAACGCGTTGATTCCATAGTTGTTGTGTCGTGTGAAGAGATCATCAATGGCTAGACGCCGAAATTCATTGTACAGTTGCAAATTGAAATTGCGTGTAAGGTGCTGAGACCAGAAACGATAAGGAGGGCCTATGGAAAGGCCATGCGATGGAGGGGTGACCCGTGGGTCTTGAGCCCCAAAAGCGGTATTGCGAAAAATATCGAATGAGTTGCGAGTATGAACGGACTTTTTGTGGTAACGTGAATCGGGCTTTCTGGGCGTGAATAGCGGAGCATTAGGGGAAAGAGGGGAGCTGTCGAAGGTCACATCACTTGATGCTCGACGGTGAATGTTTTCGGCACTGAAGCTGGCATACGAGAAAGCATCAATCAGTCGCCATTTGTGACATCCAAGCTGGACGCTAGGATATCTTAGCATACCCAGTAGGTTGCTCCGCCATCCAAGAACAGAGGGAAAGTGTCTTCGGTTGATGGGATTTTAGTCGGCGCGCTGGAGAGTCATCGTTAATAAATGTTTTGCCAAAGGGATCGAAAGAGGAGTTTGCCTTAGTTAGGCTTCCTTCAAGGGGGTATGGGTAGTAAAAATCCTCGGGGTCTCCTACATTGGCAATTTGACTCTGCGTCGGCGGCATTGACGGCATGAACTCAGGGGCTGTGGAAGAAAGCAGCGTTTGAGAGCCACGCGATCCGGTACCGTTAGGGATGAATTCCCGCGTCACATTGAAGCCGTTGGGGACACTTTCGGCGTGATGGTTGAAAGGAACATTCTCATAGTTCTTGGGAGCAACACCGTCGTGCTGGGCAGAGGGATCACGCTGGTCAACAGGGAAGACCCACTGAGCCCACTTCTCGCGGGAACGAAGGCGGTCCAGGCCGTCCTCGCCAACCTGGTATTCGACGTTGCGCAGACCGCGAGAGACGTGGCGGAGAAGCTCGAAATCCTCAGTCAAAGATTTGACACGCTTGAAGCCAGCGATAACACCCAAAGGGACGAAACCCTGGCCGTCCATGTGACGACGAAGGAACATGTCCTTGCACAGGTTATCAACCGAGAAGTAATACTCCAGCTGCATAGAGAGCATGGGCATGAGCGAGAAGGGCTCCATGTACTGTTGGTAGGGAACTGCACTCATCGGGCCAGGAGCCACAGCCTGGTAACCATAGACGTTCATGTCATTGGGGTAGTAACCATAGGGACTAGCAGAGACGGGCAATGAAGGTGACCTCAAGGGCATGCGGTTGCCTTGTTGAGAGCCGTTAGGCACACCGTTCTGAGAGCGTTGGCGGTCGTTGAAGCCACCAAACTTGGGGTTTCCGAAGTTGTTGGGCATGTTGCCGAACTGGCCATTCTGGCCACCGAACGAACCGTAGGGGCCACGGCCACGGTTTGAGCGACCTCCACGCTCACGGTTGAACTCATGGAAACCAGCAGGATCCGCAGACTTGGAGCCAGACTCTGCGCGACGCTCATTGACGCGAGCGGTCGCGTGGGGGTCGACAGCCAGGTTAGCAGCGCGAGAGTTGCGAGCCTCCTGGTGCTTTGCAAATTGCTTGCCATCACGTTGGGGACGGGTGTTTTCGCCATTGGTCTGCTTTCCATTGGAGGCAGCGGCATCCTCGGCACCGCGGGGAGCACGGCCGCGCTCGGCAGCCTGGGCCTTGCGGCCCTCAGCAGGAGCCTCGGCACTGTCGGAGCGTCTGGCCTGAGCAGGCAACGAAGCGGCACGTCCACTGTTAGCCTCAGTACGTCCTCGCTCACCAGCAGCCTGCTTGACGGTTCCTTGGGCAGCCTGGCCTGAAGCAGCCTTCTCGCCAGCGGCGCCGGCACCGTGAGCAGCTCCACGGCCGCCATCGCGTCCGCCACGAGTGGCTCTGCGGCCACCACGGCCACCACCACCACCACCACCAGCTGTAGGAAGGGGGGTGTTGAAAACAGCAGTGGGAACGTAGTTAACGGGCATCCACTTCTCCTTGCCGTGGGGACGAATCACAGGGCTCTTGTCGGTCTTCTCCTGAGCCTTCTTCTTCTCCTCACCCAGGGCAACTTCGGGGGTGGGCCATGCGGTAGCATCTCCAACGGCGGGAAGAGCCTTTCCACCCTCGGTCTTCTTGCCACCCTTAACACCGTCGGTCGCACCATCGGCACCCTTCTTCTTGGGGTTGGCCTTGGAAGAATCCTGCTGGATCTCGGTGGTCTTGCCGGTGGTAGCTGATGTAGCGGGAGCAGTCTTGGATCTGGCATCCTGTGCCTCCTTGCGCTGGTGCCAGATGTTCACGGAGGGAAGAGGAGCGGCCTTCAGCTCCTTGGGAGGGGTGTTCTTCTCGGACTTCTCGTCCTTCTCAGACTTATCAGACTTAACCGACTTATCAGACTTCTCGGACTTATCCGACTTGTCCTTGGAACCTTCCGAGCCATCCTCAGACTTATCAGCCTTTCCATCAGCCTGAGCCTTCTTCTCTGAAGAGGCCTCTGAGTTGCCGTTGGGTGTACTGGAGGAATCACCATCTCTCGGCTGGGCGTTTGAGCGGTTGTTCACGCTTGGTGAAGAGGTCCTGGAGTTGACACCTTTCGATCTCGCCTTGCTAGTGACGGTCGTGAATTCAGCCTCTTTCGGTTCATCGACAGACTTCTCGGTATCTTGCGGCGTCTCGGATTCGGAGGCGGCGGGCACAGGTTCCGCAATAACACCATTGCTCTGCTCCTCCACCTGAGGCTCAGCCTTCTCAGGCTCCGAGGCTGTATTGCTGGAAATGGGGGTTCCCTGCAAACCCTTTGCGGCTTGCGCGTATGAAAATGTAGAGTTAGAGCTCATTGTGGGCTCGTTAGGTCAGAAAACACAGTATGAATTCAAAGATGAAATTCCGTTTCAAAGTGCGATGAAGCGGAGATGTTTCCCTTCAAAGAGCCCTGGGAATCTCAAATGATGTCCACGCGCGAGACTCCGGCACCGGTGTGATTCAGAAGAAAGCTTCCACCTTCTTGCAACCCCACCAAAACGCAGGTTCTGTGTCAGATCACTCCCACTCGGCGCGATGCGGAGAAATCGAAGGGGGAGAGTGCGGGGGAGTCGGAAGCACGTATTATTGGTTTAGAACGGGCGTATCTATTGTGTTGACAGTTTAGACCACGGAGGGCATCGATGGAACTGTCGGGTCTCGGTATGGAGAAGGCAGGGTCCGAACAGCTGCAAGTTGCGGAACACACAGATCGAGTCGGAAGCGCAAAAAAAATAATTCCTCAGTGACAGAGAGATGGCACAGCCAAGTCAATGTCAAAACTGGTGTTAGGAAAGGTCAAGCCTTTGACGCGCACGTTTCAATTCACGAATTCACTTCGGAATGCCACGAAAACTTTCTTGTCTCGGTCCACCCACGTTCGAATCTCGTATAGGATGACGACGGCCGGGTGTCCAGTCGAAAGTATCACGCGAAACAGGAATGCGAGGCACGAGGGTCCGAAGTCGGGTTCCTGATGGGAGGGATCGACCCCTTGTCAGCAACGTGAGAAACAAAAGAGCTGATCACACACGAACAGCGCGCGAATCGGAGATCGGATGTGAGAAGAGAGGAATCTCGGGTCTCTGGAACCGGAGGGAAGGAGAAGTACCGAAGCAAGCAGAAACCTTCGCGTGAGAACGAGGAATGAAGCAAGAGAACGGGTGAAATGCGGCGCGAAGGGAGGAAGAAACAAACGCCCGGAGGGGTTGGAGGGGAGGGGAGTGGTGAAGGGTAAAAGAGGAGGAACGCAAAATTATTATTTGGGTACGGGGTTGTGTTGGTACTTACAGGTAATCAATTTGCAGAAAACATCCACGGTTTGCACCTGTTGAACGTTTCAAACTGATATCTTTTAATGTTAGTACCGACGGGATTTGGTTGTGGAATTTCGCATAAGTAAAATTTTCCTACTTAATATGGAGACCTTGTGGAAATCCGAATCCATCCCGTACGCCCGGAACGATTACACAGTTTCTACATTTGTACTTGTAGCTCATTGAAAACTATCCTTCAAATGTTCTCGTTACAACCTGTTACTCAAACTTACTATCGTCTCATTCCCATGTTTCCTTGAGAACAGAACTAAGTAAGCTTTTTATCCGCCATCCCGGCCTCGGCTAACCCAATACACTATATACTCATAGGTCATCACCGATGACGATTTTCAACGAGCCTCATCTATGATCCAATGATAGTGTATAGTTGACCAGTTCATCGTAGTTTCTACTGGAAGTGAGGGGAACTCAGAAGTATCGCTTTTTCTCACCAATAGGCATAGGCATAGGCACCAAACTCAAGAGTTGACAGCTACCCTAGTAGTACCCTATGTACCAATTAGTCACTCAGAAGTGCCCCAGGAGTGTGGGATGTGTGTGTCAGACTTTTCCGACCCCTCGTAGAACATTCAACGGCACATTTCCCTTTTTTTTATTCTTTTTTTTTTTTACCTTAGCACCCTTCGCGGGGTCCACCGGAGCCCCTCCACCAATTGGCCCCGGGGGAGGGGAAGGTTGACTGGGCACACATCCGTTTACTTCTCGTGCAACGAAGAACGTTCATTGGGTTCATGAACTTGTAGTGAACCTACACTCTACATAGGTGCGTACCTGTGTAGTGTCTGACTGAAGTCGATGGAACTCCATCCCTGTGCACCCTCTTCGTGGAGAATCTCGGATATAGGAACCGGCGAACGCTCGGGTACCTGACGGGTGTACGGGGCGTACGTAATACAGCCCCGATTCAGATGATTGTACATTGAGGCTAGAGTAGAATCTCTCCTACTTGGGTAGTAACTAAAGCAGTAGCATCTTGCCAAGGGCCACTGCTAGCACAAGCTACAATCCAAGCCGGCAATGCTCCGCCGTGGTTCTTTGTGCGACCGAATGTGATGCCCTGAATCTGCTCATGGTTTGGTTCGCACTTATCCACGATCTTGGTTGGGGGTTGCAAAATCTATTGCATCGTGAAACAAAGCTAAATAATTTTTTCTGGTTACTTGGCGGGCTGCTCTTGGAAGAGAACAATACATGTAGGGAAATTCCATTCGGCAGAGGCAGGATTAGGGCTGAGGGCAACGGAATCCCTCGGAATCGTGTGGGTTTTTGTAATCTGAATACAGCAGGGGGGCCTTGGAACGTCGGATGGGGTACCTGTATTACCCGACCGTCTTGGTGATGTTTAAGATCTCGAGGCACTGTATGGTATCGAACTTCAAATTGGTTTGGTATATAAATGTGAAATTGATATCCCGGAACGCCAGGCTTTCAACAAAAATGTACGGAGTAAACATCTACCAATGCCGAACACTGACCAGCACCTGCTCCCTTGCATCCAACTCGACTGCGCCCATCGGCCCAGTCACGAACCCAAGGCGCGTAAGCACCTGCCAAACTAATTTCCGCTTCAGGGTCTCCCGGACGGGAATCTTTTCCAGGGCATCGATGCCGTTGAAGTATTTCAGGAATATAGGCCAGTACTTCTGCAGGAGGGTCTGGATATCCTTCGGCGCGATGTCCGGGCTAGTCGCTTCAAGAGATTGTCCAGGGCCCGGCTTGTCAGGGAACCGGGCGACAATTTCGTCGAGCCAGCGGGACTCAAGTGGAGAGGCACGATGAGGTGAGAGGATAAGAGACGAGAGTCGCAGGGCTGTGGATCGGTCGAGGAGTTTGTGGGACGTCCGTAGCTGCAAATGCGGATCGTTTCGGCCCGGCATGGGTGTCTCTTCGCCGCTGCCATGGCTGGCCAGTGAAGAGGAAGATGATGAGCTTGCGCCGTCTTCCTCATCGGTCGAATCCTCATCAATACCGGCGTTGGAGTTGGCTTTAGCCAGGTACCGATCCACCTCTTCTTTTCGGAGGGCCGTCTCAACAGCCAGTTTGATTTCAGGTGTTACTTTGATACGGGCAAATGTTCGCAGCTGCGTGACCCAGCCACCGCGGAGGAGCCATGCCAGGATAGTAAAGTATGCCTCCTTGTGATCCTTACTTGGGATAAAGTTGCTGTAGGGACGTGGCGTGCCACTCAGGGCAGAGAGCATCTTCGGCAAGCTAGGTAAGGTAGGGAAGGCCGTCTGATAGGCGATGGTTGCGACTTCCAGCTTGCTCAAGTCACAATTGGGAGACACAATGTACGTGTCTCGCTGGTGGATGGGGGGAATGGCTCGGGCTCGGCGCCAGTAGACCAAATGACTGGCCAGCATTTGGATCGTAGAAAGCGGGATTCCTGAAGACACCGATATCTGCGCAAACGACTTCGTCGGCTTTGAGCATCGAATGTAATGGGCCAGCGCAGGAGCAAGAGCACCACCTGAGAGTTCTACATCCTTAATGATGGATGCCTCACTATCCAAAAGGAGTAGGGCAAAGTGCTTTGCAAGAACCTGATGAGGTGTGTTGCTCTCGCCGGTACCCTGATCATCCACTGGTGTTGCGCTGTCGGCGGTGGTCAACCACAGACCTGGATACGCCTTGTCTGTTGGTCCGGCGAGGTATGGAGTAGAGGTAAGTGGAGGGATTTGTAGTGAAATGGAAACGTCGTGGCTGAGTGACACAGATGCAATTTTCGATGCTGAGATGCTTGAATAGACGGTATACATTGCTCGTGCCAAAGAAGACTGCTGTATCAACTCCGAATAGAGATTGTGAACGGATGTTTCTGGTTCTGTGTTAGTAGACTGTTCATAGAACAAGGAGATGAAACATACTTGTTTCTCGTGCCTTTCGTCGCAGCTGCAGAATATGCTGCGATTCCCTCCAGACATAATCCGTGCGAGCCTGCTCCCACTTAAGAGCCTTCGCAAATTTCTTGATAATATTCTCATATATCTCTTTGACCCGCAATGAATATTCCAACAAAGGAGGATCCATAACAAAAACCACATTAAACATCGTCATATGGTCCTTATCATCCGAATCCGCCGACCCGTCAGCATGCTTCCCATATTTCGCACTCGCATACGAAGCCCTCTTCGTATTATCCGTAGACGATACCGCCGAATCAGCCAAAGAAGCAATACTAGCCGTCATCTCAGGCGAGAGAACCATATCCTCATCCCCCTGGCCATCCTCAGCCTCATTATGTCCCAACTCCCCGCCCTCCCACTCGGCACGAGGCTTCTTCTTCTTCTTCCGGCGCTGCTTGCGCCAGCTCCCATCTTCACGCACGAAAACAGGCCATCCAATCAGCGCCAGATCATTGATCCCAACCTCAAAACGTCTTTTATGCCATGACCTCGACGGACTTAGTATTTTCTCCCACACGCTCCCAGGAACACCAAGAAGTGACTCCCAAGGCGCCCGGAACGAGCCCTCATGCTCATCATCTTCCATATCTGACCCCGCACCCCTCTGTCTCCTCAATGATGAGACTCTTCCAGAGCCCAAAGACCCAGGCCGGTGTGGTTCCGTATTCAGCGACGCGACAGAGGCATGATCATCGAGGCCGAAATTGCTCGCGCGGCGACCTATCGCAGATGCAGACCCCGACGCAGCAGCGTGGACCTCTCGCTCCTCCTCATCTTCATCGGAGCTGAGTCCGCTCTCGGAGCTTGAGCTTGAGTCGGTATTTCTGGCGCCTTGTCTGCTGCGCGTGCGGGAGACGCGTCGCCCGCCCTTGGTGGTTGTCTTTATGCGGTTTTCACTGAGAGGGTTCGGTGGGTAGTGGAAGACGAGACGGGGGCCTGTGCGCGAGCGCACGATTAGGATTATTGCGACTAGACATGGGTCTGGTGGTCGGGCGATTGACGACATTGGGGTGTTGGATCGGCGAGGTTGGAGATGAGAAGCTGTGGCTGGGCGGAGCGGGTTCCCCGCATGGGAAGCTTGAGCCAATGTGGGTAGAGTCTTTGGGGATTACATTGTTCGTAATTATCTGATGAACGGAGAATTTCATTGCTCTTGTTTTGGGAGTATATTACATTTTGTATGTACAATGCTTTCAATCAACGCCTGTATGCCCGGTCTTATCCTGGTGGAGAGTGGCCGGTTTTGATATCATACAATTCATCCACCATTTCCAACATTCAATGCCCTAATTATTTCTTCTGTTCCGTCCCTTGTGTTGGCTCTTTAGTTGCTGTCTTGTTCTTTTCTTGGTCCTCCTTGAAGATAAGGCCCAGGTTCTCGAAGTTATCCGGTGCCATCAGGTTCCTGTACGGAGAACGAATGGGTCAGCAAATATCTTCCAAGATGGACAAGATGCCTGAATTATATCTCTCCCATAAGAAAGCGATATGTTCTCAGCCCATGCGAGAATCAACGTACTTGTCCATCCGGCAGGCAAGGTAATCCTTGGCGAGTCTGCGGCACGCCTCATCGTTGGTGCCCCTGTTGGACTTGATGCATTTCAAGTACCCGGAAATGATGTGCTTGCACTCTCCTAGAAGCCAGCCAATGCGTTAGCTTTGCTATCTCTACCTGGAGCCTGCATCCACATGAACCACATGATCCGTCAGAGTCGAATTGCGCACCTTCGTGATCGAGCGGAAAGCTACCGCGCTCAGGCCTTCCATTCAAATCATCATATTAGCAAGAATTCCCATAGATAAAATCGCCAGAAAACATCCTGTTTCCCGTGAAACAACGCCGCTCGCAAAGAAAGCGGCGCCGTGGTAAAGACTCACGGCGAGGGCTTGTAGTTGATCGAGCCACCTCCGGGGGCTCCAAAACTCATCTTGGACGTATTTGGCAAGAACAAATCTCGGTAAATTGAGCAAATCAGTCGTAAATCAGGTCGTACGATGCAGCAAAGCGAAGTGAAGGCGGCGCAGGATCTCGGCCTCGGATACAAACAGAGCAAACTTGTCAAACACGGGTTCAGCCAACCAGCGTTGCAGGATGCGGTCGATGATGTATTTCGCGACAGGACTCGGGCCTGCTTTTGTGGAGAGTGAGAAGGGAGACAAGCGGAGTTTCAAAGCTCCCGTCAATCAGGATTACGCGGTGTTTGGTTTGAATGCAGTGTTTGTTAGAAGGGGTATATATATATATATCGGTCAGGTCACCTAAACAGGATTACTTCACATTGCAAGGTTCACTATCACCTGGGCAAACAACCATTCAATCCACCAAAGGGTATTCAAGTACTCCTTTCTTGATAGCAGATCGATATCGATATCATTATCAATATGCCTATGTATGTGCTGTTCCTTATCGCCCAGCTGTCCAGGACATCCGCCATCCCCCACTTTCAGAGCACTAACAAGAAACCAAGGAAACTCGACGGAAGCTGCCAATGCGGCGGCATCGAATTCTCTCTTCAATCCCAGACGCCCGTACCCTACCAGCTCTGCGCCTGCAGCATCTGCCGCAAAGTAGGCGGATATAGCGGCAGCGTGAACCTAGGCGGCATAGCCGACAGCCTCCAGATTCTCAAAGGCAAAGACCTGATTAAGTATGCTCTATATTCCAATTCGTGCCTATTATACGCGCAGCTGCACTCCAGACTGCTCAAGAAACCTCAAAAGACTAATTTGTGTAGAAAATATACCGGAATGAAGGATCGCGGCACACCCAATGAAGAGCGCTGCTCCTCCGAACGCAACTTCTGTTCCAACTGCAGCACCATGCTGTGGGTGTGGGACCGCCACTGGCCCGAACTGATTCATCCATTTGCTTCTGCTATTGATACTGAGCTGCCCATGCCGGATCAAATGGTTTGTGTGATGGGTGGATCGAAGCCGGACTGGGTGCGATGGCCAGAGGGGAAGAAGAGCGTGCATGAGCTTTATGGAGATGATAGTCTCGAGGGATGGCATAAAAAGCATGGGTTTTTCGTAGAGTAAACTCAACTCTTGGTATTTGATATAGATTATGATGATCTGAGCGAGGTGTTGGGGTGGAGCGGAAGGGGTTGAGATAGGAAGGGTAGGGAGTTAAGATGGATGAGTTACTGCAAGAGGGATGAGTTACTGCAAGAGCTACGGAGTTACTCAAGAAGAAGTGATAATCACAAACAATTCATTGCAAGCTATAAGAGGTATCGAACGAATCTGAAATGCGTATTAGCATAATGTCACAACAAGCCATGAGTGAAATATCGTGAAGGTATAAGGGTTCAGTTCTCCAAGGTGAAATAAAATTTGTTTCGTCAATGTAATTCGGAAAGAACACAGCGAATTTTAGGGTTCATCAGGCAATAGGGTAAGAATGAAGACGCGGTGACACTCACAGATAATAGCAGGGGGTATCACTATATAGTCAAGGTCCTAAATGATTGATCGCATCGAGTCAGCAACGGCATTCAAGCACAATGCAAGCTTATGAAGCGAATCAAAACATGGCAACTATTTCAGGCTTGAAGAAGTCAGCAACAGAACAAGCAGCTCAGAATCAATGGCAACTCACCTCATTAAATCAGAATTTTGTGTGTTAATGTTCATCCCCAAAATACCGAAGTACCCAGGTCCAACAGTGTGAATAACATGTTCATCATTATAGATAGGCCATGTCGAGTGTGTGCAAGAAAGAAACAAGTGTAAGATACCTAGAATCAAAGCGAGTTAGATCGGTGTTCAATGATTCATCTTGCTCGGCATCAATGCGTTGTGACAATGGGCAAAGGGTCAGGTGACGAGTTCTCAACAAGTAATCCATTCCCATACGCCCACAGAGTTTGTACGCTCTGGTTTTATTGAGCGCAGGGAGATGGAGACGTTATGTCCGCCCGTTCGTTCAAGATATCTTCATGCTAGGCTCATGCCGCAACGGGGAAGAGGAAGTGAAGAATTTTTATGTACCTGAACCGTAGACTGTTAGCATTGGTTCGACAAGGTGCTTGATGCAAATTGTAGAGTGAGCTGTAGTCAGACAAGGCTGAAACTTAAAAGTAGACGATTTCCACACGTATATCTTAGGATCGAGGAATGCCATATGCATGTCTTGTTTTCATCATTCAAAGGGGAGGGAGACGGAGGTGGGCGAGCCCAAAGTTTTTCTTACCTTTTGAAAAATGAGAAAAAAAAAAATCGGTCGAGGGACGAGCACCATCATCAAGGTGTTCGATTGTCCCATTGAGACCAATGTGAAGACCATGAGAAAGTCTGCTGAGAGGCAGAGCTACTCATGATCCCAAGAGAAAATTGAGAAAGAAAAGCAGGGAGCTTCCAGCTCCTGGACTGGAGCTCGCATGTACGGGAGAAGGAAAAAAAATTGTGGGTGGAGCGCGAAATATAAACGGAGCTACGGTGACCGCGTTGGCCCGATCGCGCAGTTTGTCTGCGCGTCAAACACTAGCTCTTGCTCCACTTTGGAAACACAAAGAACCGAGGCCGTACTCTTGAGATAGACGGTACTTCTAAGTGGCAGCAAGTAATCAGTGTTGAGATCTTGAAAAGGCTCATCTTTGGCTGCAAAACCTGCACGGATTTTCTTGGCTGTGCTGTACCTGGGTACCCCGCAGCGACCCCTCCAGTCATCCATTCCTCTCCAACGCAACCTCACCTCGCTAGCCTTTCATATTGGCTCATTAAGGCCGGCATACTACAAGTTTGAGATTCGACAAAACTAATCCCATTCTTGTCATATTTACGCATTCTGTGCTGCGTACTGGTCTTTGCCCCGCTGAGAAACAGGCCTCCAACCTTGGAACTCAATATGACAGTCAAGAAAGTATATGATGTCGTGGTGGTTGGGGCAGGCCTTAGCGGCCTCCAAGCAGCCCTATGTGTCAAAGCTGCGGGCCACAGTGTTTGTGTATTGGAGGCGACCAACCGAGTCGGAGGAAAGACATTCACCGTCCAATCCTGCGAGAAGGGTTTCAATGATCTAGGAGCCGCCTGGATCAACGACACAAATCAAAGCGAAATGTACAAACTATTTCAGAAATACGGTATTAAAGGGGAGGTCCAGCGTGATCATGGGGACACCGTCCTTGAATCAGCCGATGGCTCCGTCGTCAAAGTCCCTTATGGGCAAGAACCGGTGAGCATCGCCAAATTGACGACATTATCTTTTACAGGACCTGACAGCCTGACTTGAACTATCTAGATCGCGTCTCCCATATTTGAGAATCTGCTTGAGGTATTCCGAACAGAGTCCTCGCTTGTTGACTTGAGCGATCCTTCTAACTCTCCAGGGGCCGAAGAGATTGATCAACTTACATTCAGAGAATTCTGCGTGACAAGAGCCGAGACTGAGGATGTTGCTGGCTTCGCCGACTTGATATGCTCTGCTCTTCTCGGCGTGGAGAGCACTGAAGTGAGCGCTTTGTACATGCTGCATTATTTCAAATGTGGTACTGGCATCGACAATCTACTTTCAGATAAGAAGAACGGGGGGCAGTACTTGCGCAACAGAGACGGTAAATGCAAACTATGAACTATCTGAACTGGGCAACCCTAACATTTCCAAGGAAATCAAACTATTTCACAAAATATGACCAAGGAGCTCGACCCTAACACTGTGTTCTTCCGGAACCCAGTCACCTCGATTGACCAGTCTCAAGGCAATCTTTGTACAGTTTCAACAGAAGCTGGATTGGACTTCCACTGTCGAAAAGTGATCGTTTCCGTTCCCACCACGTTGTATCCTTCGATCAAGTTCAACCCACCCCTACCGGAGAAGAAGACAGTACTCGGAAACAATACAGCCATGGGATATTATAGCAAGATGGTATTCGTATTCGACGAGCCTTGGTGGCGTGACGCTGGATTTTCCGGCGTCATTGATTCTGAAATGGGGCCCGCTAGCTTTACACGAGACACTAGCATCCCGGCGGATAACCAATGGTCAATTACCTGCTTTATAGTCGGAGACCTAGGAAGGCAATGGTCGACGCTGTCTCGTGCTGCTCGTCATCGTGAGGCTTGGGAGCAATTCAGACACAGCTTTGAAATGTTTATTGACCATGTTCCTGAGCCGACTAATACATTGGAAATGGAATGGGCTAAACAGGCATTCTTCCTTGGAGCTCCATGCCCGGTCATGGCCCCTGGCGTGCTGACTTCCGTGGGAACTGAGTTGGCAACATCATTTGAGAATATTCATTTTGTTGGTACTGAGACTGCCACTGTGTGGCGAGGCTACATGGAAGGCGCTGTGCGATCTGGACAACGAGGAGGTGCGGAAGTCGCGCAGGCCCTATCCAGAAGCCCCACTAGTCAGATTAAATAGCTAAGAATTTTGCATAGCATCTCGGATATATTTAAATGGAAAGTATTTAAGCTTCTGAACCTTGGAACCCTCGACCTCATCCCGACGTCACCCATACCAAAGGCTGTAGTAACTCATGGAAGTTATCAATAAATGACTATGTACACATATGATCAGGCTGACGTAGTTAGCTCGATCTTATTTTAAAAACGTGATTTTTCCCACCGAGAGTGCTTCCTTTGAAGTGTATCTGCCAACAACAACCGACCTAAACAAGCTACCTAGACAAACCCAGAATGCCTACCAAATTCAAGCTAAACACTGGCGCTGAGATTCCGGCCATTGGCTTCGGAACCTGGCAAGATGCAGATTCGCAAGAGGCTGCTGTCGGTGAAGCGATCAAAGCCGGCTACCGTCACATCGACACGGCCCGAGTGTAAGTGATCAGCCTCAACACCGAACCATCCATACAATTCAGTCATTCTAACGAACGTCCTGTACCTTAAGCTACCTCACCGAAAAAGCAGTTGGAAAAGCTATCGCCAAAAGCGGCGTCCCACGCAATGAACTCTTTGTCACCACGAAACTATGGAATACCAAACACCATCCCGACGACGTTGCCGGTGCTCTCCAACAATCTCTCACCGACCTAGGTCTTGACTATGTCGACCTATTCCTAATCCACTGGCCAGTTGCCTGGAAACGCGGCGAAGAACTCTTCCCCAGAAAGGGCGAGGAGTATATCCTCGAAAACATCGACGTCGTCGACGTACGCCCACCCCACTCATTCCCATAACCTATACCTACTAACGCCACTTGTACAGACCTACAAAGCAATGGAAAAGCTTCTCAAAACAGGCAAAACCAAAGCCATCGGCGTATCCAACTGCTCCAAATCCGAAATGGAGCGGCTAGTCAAAGAAGCATCTGTCATACCAGCAGTGCACCAATTGGAATGCCACCCCTGGCTCCAACAAGAGGCTTTCACTGCATGGCACAGACAGAAAGGAATTCACGTCACGCACTATTCGCCCTTTGGAAACCAGAACTCCTTCTATGGAGATAAAGGAGGGACGGCGAAATTGATCGAGGAGCCGCTTTTGGCGGAAATTGGAGGGCAGTATGGGAAGAATGCTGCGCAAACCTGCCTTGGTAAGCATAATGCTTTTCAACATCTTCGAGTGAGGGTTTTGTGCTGATTATGATTGTTAAGCGTGGGGTGTTACGCAGGGTCATTCGGTGCTTCCGAAGTCTAAAACGCCGTCGCGGATCAAGTCCAATTTGGAGAGTGATTTCAAGTTGAGTGCAAAAGATATGGAGAATATTCGGACGCTTAATAAGAAGATTCGGTTTAATGATAGTAGTGGGGAGTTTGGAAGGGACTTTTTTGATGGTTGTGAAGATAAGTAGGTTGGGGGATTTTTGGTAGTTGTTGGCCAACTGTCTTTGAAAAGTGCTCTTATTTCAAATTTGATTTTTCAGCTCAATTTCTATCCTTTATGAACCGACACATCAGCCAGGATCTATGATCGATCCGCTTAACAGATTTCGTATTTTCTTTCCTGATACGACGTCAACTACTCCAGGGGTCTTTGCATTTCCTGATGCTCAAAGATTACATTCAGAAAGAGTTTCAGAAAAACACCTGGAAAAATATCAAGAGAGATATATGGAATGATACTTTAAAAACACCCAAGGCACACCTGCACTCCAATGCAGAGCAAATGACGTCATGATCAAGCTTAACAAGGGAGCTTTTGGGAACCTCGAGCAATTTACAACCACCCAATCGCACCCCACAATCAAATTAATCATGGTTACAACCTCACATGGATTCGCCCTAGTTACTCCCGCCTCACGAGGTATAGGCTTCGCATTCGCGCAGCAGCTCCTAGCACGAACAAACATTCCCTTCGTGGCAACAGCGCGTAAGAACTGTGACCAAGTCCGAGACCAGCTCCTCTCCACCAAAGGATTACAACCGAGCGCAGAAAAAAGATTACGTATACTCAAGGTAGACGTGAAAGGTAGATCACCTCTTCGACGAAAGGATCCTCTCAGCTAACAAATACTCCCAGATGAATCCACCATCTCATCCATGGCGGAGACTATACGTCAGGAATTACCCGATACACCACTTCGCCTGGCCCTAACAATGCCTGGAATATTGCACGTTGAGAAATCTCCATCTCAAATTGACGCAGCGAATGCGCTGGATAGTTTCCAAGTCAACGCTCTCGGTCCATTGTTACTCATGAAACATCTCTCGCAATTCATGCCCACGAAATCATCCCCTGCATTTTCAGTCTCTGACGACAATTCAGAAGAGTTGCTAAAACTCCCATCCCACGCAGTCTACGCCATGATGGCAGCGCGCGTCGGCTCGATATCTGATAATAACTCCGGCGGCTGGTACTCCTACCGCGCAAGTAAAGCGAGTGCTTTCCAGATTGTTAAGACTTTCGATTTGTATTTGAGGAGTAGATGTGGCGAGAGGGCGCTTACTGTGGCGTTGCATCCTGGTACTGTTAAGACAGATTTTACGAAGGAGTTTTGGAAGGGGAGGGAAATGCTTGAGCCAGCGGATTCGGCGGAGAGGTTGTTGAAGGTTCTTGTGGAGATGGAGCCAGGGGTTAAAGGTGGGAGGGGACGATGCTGGGATTGGAAAGGAGAGGAAGTTGTCCCTTAATTTAGAATCGCGGAGAGACTTCTTGTAATGATATGTGGAAAATGATTTGACATTGGAAGAAAAGAATCTCACAAGAGTCTATTTGCTGCAGATCGTAATTCATGATTCAGGATAGTGCGTGCACTTGTATGCTATATACGGTAAAAAGAAGATTCATGCTGCCCATCCCCCCATCAACTTTGGAAATGATCAAGATGGATCACAGCTTAATCCACCTTCCCATCCAAGTATCGACGATCGACTTTGCCTCATCCACCAGCCCAAGATCAAGTAGCAACTGCGTCGAACCACGAACCGCCGAATCCAGAGCCGAGAAAATCCATGCATGGGTATAGCTAGTATGCTCACCGATGAAGATAGTCTTGAACTCAGTCTGGTAATATGCCGGTAGATACAGCTCCTGCTGTCCAACAAGCGGATCGCACCAAGCACCATTCTGGTGACGATCAGTTTCCCAACATTGGCGGTCGTAGATGCCGGTGAACTGTTCAGCGGCGATCTCGCCGTGTACCTCGACCATCGCGCGTTGGACGAGGGCAACGTGCTCCTCGGCGTTTAAAGCAACAGCGGAGCGGGCTTCTGTGCCGGAAATATACGAGGCGAGAATCACACCAGGACCAGTACCATTCATGTTGTAGGATGGGTAGCAGACGCTACCGATGCCGGAGATGTCGACGGAGCCGCAGCCACCAAAGATGGGTTCTTCCATGTGTTCCCAGAAGCGTGTTTCATAGAGAAGAGCCATCTTGCAGGCTGGGTCGTAATTTAGGGATGAGATTGCTCGGCTGAGAAGGGATGAGTACCGCGGCATTTCCCAGAGACGAACTTTGCTAAAGGGGGCTGCGACAACGGCGTAGTCGTATTCCTTGGACTTTTCGGGGACCATTTGGAGTGGGTCGTCACGCCAGGTGACGGCGACCTTGCCGGTTCTTTCGTTGTAGGCTAAACCTGCTACGGTGCGGTTGAGGGTGAGCTTATCCTCGACGTGAGGGTAGAACGCTTTTGGGAGGGACTCGAGACCCTTGTCGATGGTACGCCATTTGGTTGCAGCGAAATAAACGTCATCGTAGAAGTCACCCCAGATCGGGAAGTCTGTTGTCCCTGCGGCGTAGTCGGTGATGTTAGCGTTATACCCTAGGGCATAGCGCATGTATCCAGCCTCAGACCAGTGGAACATGCCATCTTCCACGGCTTTCTTGTGTGCCTGGTACATGTTGGTTGCGATATTGCGAATAGTCGCCTTATCATCCAGAGTGGTGTAGTTAGCATAAGCGGCTTCTGCAGCAGCGACAGCCGATGCGTTTGATGATGCTGCCGTGTACACGAGGGAAGCATTGGCTGCTACCTGGGCAACTGATGGAATACGACCGTCGGGCAGACGGATGCCCCCGAGTCGGCAGGAAGATTGGGGCCGTTTTGGACCCAGGGGATGAAGTTGACTTGGAGCTCGGGCTTGTCAACGTTCATTTTGTTCAAGACTCCGGCAAGCTGAAAAACCATTCGGTGATCCATGATCTCGAGAGTCTCGTTGGTATCCGCATAAGTGATGCTGACAGGAAATCGCATAGGGCCCATTTCCTGATACTGATACTGGTCTGGACGAGTGTTGTTCAGGTATTTCGTGCGAATACGCCCTCCAACCCGCTCGGATGACTCGTAGATGTGCCAATCGTGAATGCCGACGGACGACAGCAGGTGACTCGTCATGAGTCCGGACATGCCACCTCCAACAATGGCAACAGAGGTCTTCTTGGCCTTGGAAACAAATGCCTCGCTCTCCTTCTTGGATTTCATGTAGGCAACTCCGTCGAACCAGGGTCCCATGGCGTCTGCCACATCTGCAATGCTTTGACGCTTGAGGATAGGCGATGATATACTGATGGGCGAAGACCGGCCCAGGAGACTGGAACCAGAGAATGCATGGAGACAGAGTGCATGAGGAGCATCGAGAGGAGTCACCCAGACAAATCGTTCTGGGTGAGCTTGACGCTTCACAAACGTGCTTCCAATCTCATGATGCATCTGCCATGCATTCTGCATGTCACATTCACCGTACACAAGCTGCAAAGGGCCCTCGAAGGAGGTGTCGAGAAAATCCACGTGGATGTTGTGCAGCGAGTCAGCCGTCACATCTCCAGGCGAGTGAAACCGTATCACTTCAACATCTCGTTGTACAGTACCAGCTAACCCGAGTCCTGATACTCCCAATCCAAAGAGGATATGTCGCAAATCCTTCATCGCTGTTTCAGCAAAGGAGGCCTGGAAACTTGGTAGAGGACTCTGTGATCAATCAGGAAACATGTTGACATCGATCATCTTATATTCTTATTGTTCCAGGAATGACGAGTCACTTGCAACGTCAGTATCTGATAACGTTCTTTGTTTAACCTCCGCATTCAGACCCCCGGTGCATTGATACATCTATCCTTATCACGATAGATTAGAATCATGTTGACCGTCGAGATGTTTGCTCGGAAATGCCGTAGAATCCGAGAAATTGATTGAAAGGATCGGCAACTTGATCTTTACGTAAATTCGAAGTGACACTCAAAGGGCGCAACCATTCTAATCTTGACATCCCCGGCCGAAGTTGAGACAAACAAACACCTAGGATTCGCCCAGACGGCCGAAAAAGCCGTTATCGCAGCTACTGGGTAAGCTACAACATCTATCTTATCAACAGCTAGTGAGGGGTACCTGAGGCTACGCTACTTATGATTATCAAGCATCGCATCGTGCTTCCGATCTAGTTTTAAGTGACGATGGGAGGCTGGCTTGGCAAACATGCTCATGCTACAAGGGGAAGGTGTGTAGAAATCGATAGATTCCAGAATACCGTCAGGAGTGTAGGGTAGATGCTTGGAACATGCAAGGCACCTTCATTTGATCCATCAACATTTGAAGCGGGGTGAAATTTCCGGGGCAAGGGAGTCTTCAGTTGAGGGATACACCCAACTTCCTAATTGAGTCATGATCGCGATTACGATAGGGAAGTATACCTTATCAACTATGACAGCAAATGTTGAAGCGAATGCAACACGGCTCGGCAAAGTCTTGGCGGGCTTATCAGGAGCGCAGTTCGCTAGTGAGTTATGATGGGCCCGGGGTGCGGGGATATCTCCGCGAATGCCACATCCGAACAATTAAGTGATTTTTACACCAGAAATTATATTAGTTGGAGTGCATTAATGATAGTTGGTGCATGTCTGCATTTTCAAGAACACGTGGTGAGTATTCTCTGCCACATTGGCTTTTGTTTTCGCGCAGGATAACTAAATATGCAGTCAGCTTTGATGAATTAGGAAGCCGAGTGTCGATAAATTATCACTGACGTCCCATCGAGGCGTGTTGAGCCTATCAGAAGATTGGGAGAATGATATCTCACAGCCTCGAGGATGGCTCGAAGAAGGATCAAAGTAGAAAGCCAATTTATTAGACCAAAAGCACGGCAGGAATAACAGAAATCATGGCAAATATTCCAGACAAGAAAGCATCCTAGAAGAATCACCGTTGAACAGAGGCTCAGACGCACTAGTAGTGCCTGAAGTAGTCTGTGTCGAAGAGATATGATAGTAGATGCGGCAGAGGTGGAAGAAGTAGCGGAATGAGCAGCAACCGAAGAAACCTGAGCACCCGCCTTGAAACTAAAAGTAGGCGATACAAGCGCTAAAGTTGCTGTTAAAGTTTGAGTGCTCACTGCCATTTTAGTAGTAGACGCTGATTGCTCCACCGCCTTCTCATTTTGGCCACCGACTACACCGACTACAAAGGCTGTTGTGGCTGAGAAGACGACAAATTCGGTCGCAGAAGAAGTCTCAGACCCAGAGCGCATCGAAGTGGCTGCCACAATTTCAACAGGGTAGACAGTAGTTCCAACTAGGACGGACTCTGTTGTTGCAGAAATGGTATTATGGCGAAAAGGGCAGCCGATAGTAGTCAACGGACAAGCGCACCAGCGTTCGTCAGTTGGTTATAATCGACGAGAAGGTCCACCACCATCAACCGCCAAAAGACTGTTTGAATCGAAATATTAAATGGGAAACCACCCCCTTTAGAGATCTGGTCCTTCTATAGTTTGTGAATGAATACGTACGCGGTAAATATAATGAACGTAGCAACCGGCGTAAGGGTGAAATTAAACCACTTCTTATTCAAAGACCAGTTCTGGCAGATACTAGGTTTCTTTCCTATGGTGCTGAACGGAGGAGGACTTCCAAATACCAACGGGTCATGTGGATCATTGGTTGGAGTAGGGGCAAGAACGATCGCTATAGATTCATCATTGTTTGCAGTCAAATAAATTAGACATTGAAGGAAGGGCTCATTGATGGTTGATAATGGAAAAAACTACGAAAAATGAGAGTTGCGCTAGGAGGCTGGTTCTCCATAGTGAGAAAAAAAAAATAAGAAGTGTCTGCCAACCCGGCTTTCTGGAGCAACTAGGAGATCGAGATACATGAGTCACAGAAAATGGGACGAAGTAATGAATTTACATAATAAATAGCCGGCTTACTGTGGTTAAATATTGGGGATCTTCTGATGAAATGGTCAAATATTAGGGAAATCCAGGCGACAAGCGATTTATTTGACGATGGAAACGTTTGACAGAGTGGCTAGCATTCACAGAAGAGGTTGGGATTCATTGGGATCCGTCTATTTAGATAAAGGCCTCAAAAGATGCACTCCATTCGTGAAAATACGTCATTTTTACTCGCCCCAAGAGCAGCAATAGGCAGCGATACGATTACCGTTGGATATTATGGACTAGCGCAAGGCAAATTACAGAGAGTGGGACAACTTGCTCAGGTAAGTATTGAGATGAGCGATCGGGTCGCTCCATGAACCGTCTCGGGCGGGGGGTTGATTCATTTCCCCCTCGTGGTCGCTATATACGCTCGTACATGAGAAGCTACAGATCTAGATTCCAGATAACTGGCAAGAAGAGGCGAGGAGCTACACTAAAACGGAAGGTGAGAGCGACCCAGCACGGTATCCTTTCATAAAATATGCACGTTGTGCATGACGTCTACCGGAGTTACTCCGTACCTCGGCATTCTGTTAGCAGCGAGAGAAAGAAAACAAGCAATGCATAGTTAGCCAGGCCTTCAGCCCCGGATTTACCCCATTTCCAACGTCATAGCAGTTTCATCTCTCGCCAAGTTCTCACCACCCACGCAATCACCTAGTACTTCATGTAAGAATAGGGAGCAGTAGTGGACCCCTTCGCCACGAGGACACGAAAGTCGGCCCAGGACGGGAAAATACCCCAGGTTGTAGCCAAGGTAAAAGTGATGAAAGTGAAGACAAGGCAAGACTTTTACAAAACCTTAACCCACGCCACCAACTTGCCAAACTCTGGGCATTGCAACCCATCTTATACCTTGACCACCGCATACGCATAAAGGCGGAAAAAACAAGCATGCAGCCGAATTCAAAGTCCCGAAGTTCCCTCGGGCCCCCGGATTTCGCGGGGAAAGAACCTAGTCGGGGTCCATGAGTGTCTATCCCCCACATTCTCTCCACATAACGTCTGTCGGACCCGCTTGCCTGCCGAGGATGGTGGTCCGACCCACGAATCAACGCGCCCAATTGCGCTCGATAAAATGATCCCTGGCTTGGATCTGGATCGATGAAGTTTTCGGGGCTGAAGCGTTGGGTATTTATTGGGCCTGGAGTTTCTCCGATGGCTTGGCTGGGTTGGGCTTTGGAGTGTGGGTTTCGAGTTAAGGTGGGTTGGGGTGGGGTGTGAATTGACGGGGTATGGGAATATAATATCCCCTGAGTGGAATTGATCGTCTCTCGAAACTTGAAGTTTTTTCGAGGCTACTTGCGGCCACCTGTGGATTCTTCTCTTGATTCTACTCTCAATCCCACAAAAACCCTTTTTCATGATGTCGGACGACAATATCAGCGATAAGCAGGAGGCTTCCACCATCGAGATGCTACGCCGCATCCAGACAGCGGAGAGTGTCCTGCTCCCTATCCCACGCGATGCATTCGAGAAGCTCTATCTGAGTCCTAAGATTCCGACTGCGGGTAATCTGCGACGCACCTTCGGTAACCCGACGCCGATTTCGTTGATGGGTTTCTTGCTTGCTGCGACACCTGCGGCGATGTTGACGATGGGGTGGAGGGGGGCCGGTGGCAATGGCGGTGCTATCTTGTAAGTTCCATATCCTCTGGCGAAAATGGATAGGACAGTGCTGATTCATGGGTTCATAGACCGGTGTATATCTTCTTTGGAGGCATGGTTCAGATCTTCGGAGCAGTGGGCGAATGGATCATTGGGAATACCTTCTCCTGCGCTCTGTTCTTCACCTATGGAACTTTTTGGATCGTTCAGGGTACGAGTAATATGCCCTTCTTCGCTGTTGGGACCAATTACTCGCCAACGGGAAATTCATTGGAGGGAATGACCACGCCTGAGTATAGTGCCACCGTCGGTTCGTATAACTTTTCAGCCGAAACAATCCGAAACTGACATTGCGGTTCTTAGGATTATACTACGTTATTCTTGCCGTCCTAACCTCCGTCTACCTCATTTGCTCCCTTCGAACCAACATCTGCCTTTTCCTAGCCCTATTTCTCCTTGTCGTTACCTTCTCTCTGACGGCTGCTACTTTCTTCCAAACCGCGCTGGGCAATGCTGTTCAAGCTGCTAAGCTTCAAAAGGCGGCCGGTGCATTCAATTTTGCTTTGTGTATACCCATCTGGCATATCTTTGTCGCTCAGATTCTTGATTCTGTGGATTTCCCGTTTTCGCTTCCTGTGGGTGATTTAAGTACTGTTGTGCTTGGGAAATCTCAAAAGGCGAGGAAACATGAGGCGGAGAGACAATGAAATGGAAAGAAGCAGCACCTGGGGCAATTGGTTGCGAAACACGAGAAAAGAGAGGGTGATCAAGTATTTGCAACCAACCCGATGAAGATCAATTTAATCAATAACATTCCAACATGCCAACATGCCAAAATTACGTTACGTACCAAGCCGAAAGCCCATTTTGAGTCTGTAATGGAGCTACTATTACAATACATCCAGCACCATTGACTTTGTTAGACCTAAAACGTACCTGCGCACGTACACATGCACGGTTATGATTTGTACAGTAAGTACCTTCGATGTGGCCTCACAAAAACGTGCGCATGAATTAAATCCATCGTCATTTCCTTTCTCCCTTTTCTCTGTTTTAGTCTTCACCGGCATCTAGTTTTTCCGGCTCAAGCCCACATGAACTTCCTAGACCTCCAATCGTGAGTGGTTAAAGTATGGATGGGAGCCCATCTCGCATTGAATACATCTCCCAAACACGCAACTCAATTTAGATGTAGGCCACGCAGACTCTGATAGGCGTGTATTTTACATAAACGTTGGAATACTGTCAGAGACTAAAATCTCGTACAAAAATAGAAAAGTAAAACATTGCTAAAAGCGGCCACTTGTTATTCCGGGGTGATACTTTCCAAACCTATGGTTCAGCTACCCCACCGTTCACGCGGATGCCCCGGAAGAAGAAAACGATCGTTAGTACCATGAGTTCTAGAATGTGGCAACCGTCTTAAAATCAAGTATTACGAGTCGAACTCAAGTTGCTTATGTTATTTTCTCGCCGATATTTACTCTTTAGAGGCCACGGAGCCGTTTTCAGACCAGATGAGCCCTTGTTGATAGTAGTCGCCCACGTCATTATGAGCAGAGCAGCATTTTCAGTCCACTAAATTGTATATGAATTAGTGGTCTTTGAGGTAAGAGACTATTGACTGAGGTAAGAGACTCTTGAGCGTTTAAATCTTTGCGAAGTTGATTCAATTGAATTTCTTCTTGGAGTCCATCGATGTATATATAACAACATAGTTCACCTTGAACTTCCCTTTTATCAGACCTTCTTTGTTAAAAAATAGCAAATAATATTTACCAACCGCTACAATCATCCAATTTCCTTCAACCATTATGAAGAGCTTCTTTACTTCGTTGGCTCTTGCTGCCTTTGCCATTACGGGCTCTCTCGCCAAAAGCACCATGTGTGAGAGTAACCAGGTAGTTATTTGCAAAGGCAATGGCAATGGTGGCCTTATTTCCCTGGGTAATATCGCCTCGGGCCTTCTCGGCGATAGTTGTTCTGGCGGCGATGTCTACTGCTGCTCCCAGCAAGACGTCGAACAGGTGCGATGCTATTGAATTCTTTGGCGGCCGATTCCATCAATTAACTAACAAATAACAGATCGGTCTCCTCAACCTCGACCTGAATGCGCAATGCAGTCTCAACAATCTTTGAGAATGTTTTCAAAGTCATGTGCTTTTCTTTAAGTACTGGTTTCACGGTTCCATCTGACATGTTGGAAATACCTACCCTACCTACTATCATTAATCTTTCGGTACAAAAAATCTACTTTTTGGATAAGCATTTTTTGCATTTAAACCTCTCCGTAATCAGAGACATCCAATCAAAAAGAAGTTTTGGCGAAAATTCTGCCGCCAAGCAGTCATATTCTGATAGGCGCCGTATTCCTGGGCGACAAGGCATAGTTACCGGAAATTGCAGCGTGCAGATGACAATCTCCGGATCTTCCTAATAACACATACGTCAGGTATAATAAGACAATATACTGCCGCCCTACAAGATAGACTTAAAAGAGGTTGGTGGGCAAGGGTTTGGCAAGGAGCGGCGGGAGACCGCTGAGGGGATAAGGAGCGAATATAACCCTCACCCTTGCTCAATCCCCTACTCAGGAAGCGAGCGGGTGAGACTTTTTGAGCCAAAGATCTGGGAGATGCTAGGTATTAGGAAATGTACATGGGGGCGTCCTCGCTATTCCTGAGTGCTTGGAGGCCTGCCTCAAAACCAAGCACCTCAAAAAGTAACAATTGCAAAGACTAAAGGATCTTGGGTTGGTTTGACCATCGCAATAAGCCGGTCATGAGCTCATGTTACCTATGCTGTACTGATAAACAGACGTCAGCAGAATGCTCTCAAAGTGTAGTAGTCTCAAAACGAGCTCTTTTTGGTGAGGAATGGGGGTGCTTGATGTGGCGTGGGTTCTCGGCAGTACAGTAAGTTCTAGAACTGGGGCGGAGTCTTTCGGAAATTTGTCATATTTGCGCCCAAGACCCTTTTCTGTCACGGTGGATCGATCCATGTCGAATAGACATGCCAAGAGGGAAAACGAGGAGGTAAGGTGAACAGAGTTTGTAGAAGTTCGGTCGCGCTCGTTCTCGTTATCGCTCGTATCTTGGCCGTATAGGATTTGCAGCGATTGGCGTCGGAAAGTGGGCCTCTAGATCGACTCCACACGAGCTTGGACTATGTAGTTGTCGGAACCTTTTGAGCCGGATGAACCAATTTTATCGCACCAGTCACAAATATGCGATCTGCCAATATTGACTCCATGTCCTCAGCGCACGGGTGGGGTAGGGTCCCTAATAAAACCTGATTTGTGTCTTAGTTGAGTAGTCCGGAGATTGCCATCAGGTAGGCACTGACCCTTTCGCATGGGTTCCAAGGACGATCGACAGCCAGTTTGGCTCGAGCACCGGCTGGATCTGCACATCCCATACTACATGTGGAGCAGGAAAGGGGGAAGCTAGAGTTTTCTTGGTAGATGCAGGTACCCTTCCGAAATTGAGAGCCATAGACCACTGCCGTGCTGCATCTGTTGTTGACCCTGGCCCAGAGTATAAAGTAGTTGGTGTATTGCTGCCCTCTTAGTGCTCTTCATCCTCAATCTTCTCACTACAGTCATTCTCTAAAATGAAGTTCTCCTCTGTGGCTCTTGCCAGCGCGGCCATGGGCCTTGCCCAAGCTACTCCTCTCGTTGAGCGCGCTCAAATCACCGATGCCGATGTCCTCAACTACGCGTTGACTTTGGAGCACCTCGAAGCCGCCTTTTACCAGGAGGGTCTCAAGAACTACACTCAAGCCGACTTCCAGAAGGCCGGCATGCAGGATCCCTTCTACGCCAACCTCAAGGAGACCGCCAGTGACGAGCAGCAGCACGTCCAGTTCTTGACCAAGGCTCTGAAGGCCGCTGGCGCTAAGCCCGTCGAGGCTTGCACCTATGTCTTCCCTTCCACCGACGTCAAGTCTTTCCTTGCCCTCGGTAGTATCCTGGAGGGAGTTGGAGTGAGTGCCTACCTTGGTGCGGCCGCCAGCATCATGGACAAGACTTACCTCACTGCCGCCGGCAGCATCTTGACCGTTGAAGCCCGTCACAGCGCCTACCTGCGTGCCGCCCTTGGCGAGGCCCCCGCTCCTCAGCCTTTCGACAACCCGCTCGACTTCGATGAGGTTTACACCCTCGCCTCGCTCTTCATTGCCTCCTGCCCCGAGAGCAATGGCAAGCTGCCGGTCAAGGCCTTCCCCGCCTTGACTATGCCCTCCATGGCTCCCGTCATGACCGGCGCCAAGGTCGACCTGATGGTTGCCGGTGATATGCCCAAGGACACTTCGGACATCTACGCCGCTTTCATCACTGTCACTGGCCCTGTCTGGGCTCCCCTTGAGTCCACTGGTGCCGGCAAGTTCAGCGTCACTGTCCCAGAGGGTATTGCTGGCCAGAGCTACGTGGTCCTGACCAAGGGCAACAAGCAGGCTACGGATGACAACATCGTCGCCGGCCCCGCCATCGTCGAGGTATGTTAGAATGCATTAAAAATTATCGGAATATCCAATGTTAACCTTTTCCAGGTTGGTGAGCCCAATGGACCCATGGGAATGGGCTCCAAGTGTAGCGGCAGCTCGAAGCCCTCCATGTCCGGCTGGCCCTCAATGACCATGTCTATGCCCTCCGCCTCTAAGACCGGCATGCCCTCCATGTCCTCGGGCAGCATGACCTCTGCGTCCGCCGCTGCGTCGTCCTCTCCCGTCTTCAACGGTGCAAGCGGAAAGAGCGTGAGCGTTTTCGCCAGTGTCTTTGGAGCTGTGGCTGCCGTTGCTGCCTTTTTGCAGTAAATTAACAGTGTCTTCTATCCGAGCGGTCGGCACAACAAATCCCGCAATATATTAATTTTATTATCACATATTTTTATGTCAATACTATTCGTTTCTTGAAATCGAGCTCAGTCAGACTATCAGGCTACCATTCGATCAATTATTTCGGTATTCTAGTACCGGTTTTACAAAGCTATAATTAAATCATCCAATATAGGCAAGGGGGTGCTACATAGAGTGAACGTATAGCTTGACTAAGAAAGTATCTAAGGAGGGCCTCTACATTTGTGTCTTTAGTTATATTTTTCTAAGCATACAGCCGTAGTAAAACCAGCTTCACGCCGGGCCGGGTCCGGGGGTCAGTGTTGCCAAGAGGCGTGCATGCCTGAGCTGTACGTCTGCAAAAGCAAAATGCAGCCGCCGAATTGCGGAGGACGACTGTGAAAGGTGTGCTCGTCTTGGGAAAGAATGCACTTTTTTGGATCTGCCGCAAAGGAGGCGCAAGCAGAGAGGTACAAGGTAGGGACGGCACTGTGCGCATCTATAGCGGCCGCTCAAGAAACATCTCCTTTTGAGTCGACTGGACACATATCAGATACTAATTTGCGGCTTGTATTCACAGACGGATTGAGGGACTGGAGGCCAGGTTGGAGGAACTAGTCACGCGAGTATCCACCCTTGACAAGGACAAAAACTGCATTAGTGACTCAGCATTTTCTGGGGCTACACTCTCATCTGGGAATCTCACGGCGCCTCTGCAGCCTTCCACGCCCCATGCTTATATATCTCGTACCTCAGTGGATAATTTGTCTTCGAGGATACGCTCGTCACTAACACCACCAACAGCTGTCATCCCGCCCAGCACCAGTGAGGGCTATGCGGACCTAGTTGACCGGCATATCATTACTCTGGAGTATGCAGAGGCTCTGCTGGCTGAGTTCACTCTTCACTATGCCACCTTCTTTCCCTTCGTGGTCTTGGACAAGGGGATCGATGCGAACAAGCTCAGGCAAGATGCCCCCTTACTTTTCCTGGTAGTTATATCTGTGGCACTCCGCTCAGACCCATCTCTTCAGAGGCTGCTTGGGGAGGAGATACAAGCACAAATAAGTTCCAAGCTCATAGGCCGCGGCGAGAGGAGCCTGCAGGCCCTGCAAGCACTCCTAATTTATGCAGCTTGGCGGCACTATTTTGCCTCACCGAATGGAGAGCGAGATATGTTTGCGATGATGCAACTATGCGTCACCATGGTTTACGATTTAAGTCTTGATAAAAGTATTGCTGCAAGCTTGGCCAAGAAGCGTGCCCTCCTAGGAGCATATTGGTTGTCTGCCGGGTATGTGTTACGGAATTTCGCCAACGCCCCTTAACGCACCAGCTATACAATTGACTGCGCGCTAATAAGCCCTGTGCCTGAAAGTTTCTCGAGATCTCTCCAGAGACCACCGGTGATGCAAATTAGCAGGTATATGGAAGACTGCTGTCGCCACTTGGCTACAGCAGGCCAATACCACACGGATAAGCAAATAGAACCGCTTGTGCTCCTCGCATCCCTTGCTGGTCGAGTCGGAGAACGTTCAGCTACTTCGATGTGGAGTATACCTCAGTCCAAGGATGTCCGGGTGTCTCAATGACTGCAGATGGATTCCTCCGCGAGTTACAGCTCATTAAAACATTAGCTGCTGCGGGAGAAGAGGCTCGCACAGGTCTGTGTAAACGAAACAAATCTGATATAAACTTTTCACTAATATCTTTATAGACAACAGCATGGTAAATATGGAGCTTGATTACACGGAATCTTATATTTTGGAAGGGGCTGTTCACAATGAGCTCTGGGAGCCTGCGCCAAATAGAGCACCTGATATAGGCACTAGCCGTATCCACGTTCAGCCTTTGCTCACGCCCTCTAGAGCCGCGATGATGTGGCACTTGCTGGACTCTAACAAAGCTTTTGTTCAGAAAGTTCTGGTGATACATGACTTGACTATTCAATTTTTGCCGTGCACTGTTTCCTGGAGAATTTGTTACGTGCTTGCCAGCCTCATACGGCTAACTTTCACTCTTGTCGAAAGCACTATAGTGCCAGCCCGCACAGATGCAGCACATATCTTGTCCGTCCCGGAAATGCTTGATGAAAGCCGCTCCAGGCATGCAGCTCAACAGATTGCCGATGAGATAAATTTTATCCAGATTATTGGCGATCTTGCCGCGAAATTCGAAAGAGTCGCGCAAGCCCCGTTTGCGGGAGTCATTAGGACGAGCGACAACATGGTCCCGTTCATCACGAAACAAAAGAAACTCGCCATCGCCTATTCTAAAAAGCTCCGTGATGCAATTTCCGGCACCAATACAGCTGCTGTTGAGACAGACCTCATGCGAGACTGTCAGCCTCTCACAAATATCCAAGATAGTCATCGGAGTCCGACAGAGCAACTGAACCGCGACGCACCTGGAGATGGCACTCAAGTGGGACCCTTTGAGGGAGCTGACGATGGCGGAAAAGGAAATTTCCAAACGCAAGAATGGCCGCTTTCGGATGATCTCACGGGGCTGGAATTATTTGACATGGACTGGGAATCTATCATGCAGTCATTCTCAATACCGCCATAATTAATAGCCGAAATTCGAACTCAGTTAAGTGTCCCTTGACTGAGCTCCATGCATATTAGATTGGGAACATGGAATAACCCAAAAAGTATTCGGACTGCTATAGTAACCACATACGTTATTAGTGTGAGCTCCGTCCGGCGCAATATACACCCGTCGGCCGATAATTCTGTCGATAAGCTGCTGTTACCTCTAATATGTGGAAATCTAGATCAGCAAGGCTGCTGACTGTCACCCTGAGAGGCTATTTGCAGATATGCTGACCGACTTGATTTGAAATCTGAAATCCAGAAATAACCCCTATAAAAGCCGATGAAGAGGCTAAGGAATGACCTAAACAGACATCTAGCATCTGTCAGAGCCCGAAATTAGCAATTGAGCTGTTCACAACAAATTACCAACCTTTACGTTCCATCTTTATTTGTTTGTCATGCCTTCTTACGCTATCACTGGCGCTACAAGAGGCTTGGGCCTTGAGCTCGTCAGGCAGTTTTCCAGCAACCCATTCAACACTATCTTCGGCATCGTCCGCGACCCCGACAACGCCATTAGTTTGATCTCGCTCACCAAGGTTAACCCCAATGCGCACATTATTAAAGGCGACGTGGGAAACCTCGAGCTGCTCGCCGGCGCCGCCACCGCCGTCTCTAAGGTCATGGGTGGTGGGTTAGACATCCTGATCCAAGCTTAACTAAAGTATCAGTCGTTATCCTGACTTTCTTTCCATTCTACAAACGCATCTTCTGCAAGTCTCACCCGAAAGTCTTTCCCAACAAGTCGATAATCTGCACAGTAGCGCCAGGACACACCATCCGCGATGGACGTCCCTCAGACAGAGGGCGAGCCACCGGATAACGAGGCAAAATCACATTCTGACGCCCCCTACAATACCCACGGTGACTATCGCAAAATTTACGACAGCAAAGGGAGCTTCCGGCTCAAGAGCAGTTAATCCCGCCATAGACATCGGCACGGAACCTCAGACGAAAAACGCCGACACGTCACGAACTTGCGTCTCCAGGTTGACGAGTAACCTTATTCATTCTAAAGTATTAGCCGCGCTCCTTATCGCGACTAATTTATGTTCTAGTACCCCCGAAGAGATATAGGCGATATTTCCAAATATTAAATTAGCACATTATAAGTTTCAAGGAGCCGAAAATACAGTGCACAATAAAGCGCATATAATGCACTATCTAACTGTGTACTCGATTATCAATTTAGGACTGTAAATCCGACTATGCTGAATTCATATCAAAAATGTCTTGGAACTTCAGCAGAACGAAAAGTAAGGTAGATGAAATCGGTAAAGTTGTCTGCAGTGAAGTATTTTCTAATAATAGTCGACTAAACCAGCGAGAAGGGCCTATGCATGGGGAAGACTCTAGCTACGTCAGGGGAGAAGACCACTGAGTGAACTTCACCTGAATGGCTCTCGAGACTTGACTGGGTCGTGTCTGACGCCGTGTCTCAAAGTCGCACAGCGTAATCATCAGAGCCACATGCCAGCAGCCGACCATCAGGCGAGAGGGCCACCGAGTAAACTCCGTCTAAATGGCCCTCAAAAGTCTGCTGAAGCTTGCCCGTCAATATGTCCCATAGAAGCACCGTCCTATCATAAGAGCCGGACACTAGTAGATGGCCGTTAGACGAGAAGGCCAGCGACCGAACCCGCTTGGTATGGCCCTAGAGAGTCTGCTGTAGCATGCCCGACGCCATGGACCAGAGACGTATCATACAATCCTCAGAGCCAGAGGCCAGCAGCTGGCCGTTGGGCGAGAAAGCCACTGAATGCACCGCACTAGAATGGCCCTCAAGAGTCTTCTGGAGTGTGCCTGTCACGGTGTCCCACAGGCACACTGTGTGATCATAGGACCCAGAAGCTAATAGTTGGTCGGTGGGTGAAAAAGCTACTGACTGACCCAATTTGAATGGCCAATAAGGGGTTTCTGGAGCATGCCTGACGCTATGTCCCACAGACACACAGCATAATCGTCTGTGCCTGACGCTAGCAGACGACCGTCAGGGGAGAAGGTCACCGATTGAACCCAATTTACATGACCTTCAAGGGTACGTTGGAGGACACCCGTCACAGGGTCCCAAAGGCGCACTGTGTGGTCATAGGATCCAGACGCTAATAGTCGGCCGTCGGGCGAGAAGGCCACTGACTGAACAAGACCAGAATGACCCTCGAGAGTCTGCTGGAGTGTGCCTGTTGTAGTATCTCAGAGGCGCACTGTCTTGTCATAGGATCCAGATGCTAAAAGCCGGCCGTCGGGCGAGAAGGCGACTGAGTAAATCTGGCCTAAATGGCCCTCAAGAGCCTGCAACTCTGCGTTCCAACTTTCCTCAACTCGGGGTAACTGGCATATCCAAGTAGGAAGCTCTTTTGAGAAGTTCGTACGGACGATTGCCGTTCGGGGTGCAAATATAAGTCCCACACAATAAAGCTGAAGGGGCACTTTGTCCGCTATCTGGCAATTTCTCAAGGACTCATGATGATCTTGCGGGGTATCGGTTGCTGCGGCGAAAACGTGTCAGGCTGTCAGCTTAACCTCCATCATGTGACAGCTTGTTCGCTATTCGTTGGGTTATCATACTGGCCGTCTATCGACCTAGCTTGTTGGTTCGGAAACACAAAGCCTATACCTCAAAGCTAGTAGATTCATTCTTAGGTGTCAGCATAATTTGGCAGAGCGTATTAGCATTTAGGCGGTCCGCTGTATTATGCTTAATTTCCGGGCTAGAGTCTTGGCTATGGGACTCAGAATCAAGTCAAGCGTGCGCATCGGTGAAGTTGGTTTTGCACTTCTCTGTATTTCTCAATGACTTCCAATAAGTCTAGGCATATTGTGCACCGGAGCTACTTCGTAACAGACTCAGTCAATGATCAATTCATGAACTCGGTGGCGGCGTAATATCATTACAACTAAAAGGCACGTTGGGTCCAATTCAACGCCATCCCCCAACCCTACCCTCATCCCACCTCGCCTTCGCCTCCTTTCTAGACGCAAGCTTCGAAGCCTCACTCCTCACCCTCCTGACCCAATCTGTAATGTCCTTCTCCGTCGCCCGACCATGATGGTCCTCGTCAAGGAAACTCTCCTCCACTGCATGACAAACAGCCTCCTGCTCCGCGATCGCTGCGCTCAGGCGCTGGTATAAAGTCTTAGGCGACCACGGCGCCAGCGCGGTGTCCATCTCCGTTTGTTTCTTGCGCCAGGAGACTTCCAAGGATTGGTGTGTGAGAAGCATTTTCTCGGTTGAGGCGCGTAGCTCGGCGACGTGGGACTGCATTTCTAGGAGGCGGGTTACGAGGTCCTTGTTTGTTTGGATTAGGGTGTCGAGGTAATCTTGGCGGGATGTGTGGGAGGGATGTTGGTTTGACAGGGCGGTTATTAAGCTTGAATCTTTAAGGATTGATTGGAGATCGGTTGTTCTGGGGTTATTAGTTGGATTGGGTTTAGGTTGGCTTGGGGGAGGAATACGCACGATTTGTCCTTTACAAATTCTGGGAGCCAGCCTTCTTCGATTGATGGGGGTGCTGGGAGGGGTGTTTGTTGGTTTTGGTAATAGGCCTGAGCATCTGGCTGATAGCTGGCTTGTGGTTGCGGTGCCATCGAGGTGTTCTGGGGAGTGCCTCCTCGACTCGCTTCATGGCTGCTGGGTTTGGGAGGGGGCGGTGGTGGTGTATCGGCGTTGAGCGCTGGATGCGACATCGGAGGCGTCGAGTAGAATGATGGCTGTGTAGGAAAGGGGGACGCGGATTGAGACATGATGTGGTGATGTGGGGTTCGGACGTTGGAAAGTTGGAGATGCGGGAAAGCAGCGAGAGCTTGGCGGCCCGAGATTAGAGAGCCCCGATAAGAGCAATAGCAATCTACATTTCGCTTTAGGAATTGGAGAATAGTATCAGACATATGAACTTCGGGTTTGCTCATTCATTTCGTTATTTAATTATAGTGCAGCGGCATGGTTGCTGAACACAGGCTATTCAAGTCGACGTACTACCAGACTGGAATGCGAGGCCGTGAAAGGCGACACTAGGATGTCGGGTAGATATGGCTTGGAACCAGAGGTCTTGGTAGCTAAGCGTCATAGGTTTGCGACGCCAAAAGACCGCAACGTATGTGGCCAATACGCCCACGAAAGGCGCGAAGATGCTCTCAGACAGCGGAGCCGGGGTGTTGGAGAGTAGAAGGTCCCAGAGAGAAGAAGTATTCTACACGATCTCCCATTATTCAATTCTCCTGCGCGACTCTCGGTCCGCAGTCTCAATTTGGGAGCCCGAGATGGCTTCCATCACTAGCTCCCGCAACTGAGCCTGCGTAGCTTCACTGTGGAAATCATCACGAGCCGCCAACTCATCGATGCGACGCTTAAACTCAGGATCGACCGCCGTCTCGCCAGCGCTCGCCTCTTGTTCTGTCATTGTGCCGATGTTGACCTTAATATTGGCGGGGATAGGTCCTGGGGGGTTCAAGGGACCGACAGGCGAATCCGTTGGGGCGGGAGCAGGCTCTCCAAGCACCTCTCGCAGATATGCGCTGACTTGAGGGAACTCGCCCTCGGACTCCAGCTTCTCGTGGGCCTTGAGCCCTTCAAAGTTCATCCTCTTATAGTCAACTCCAAGCTCCTCCACCAGGCACCGGGCGATCTTGGCGTCCTCGGCCACGAAGAGGCAGGTGTCGCCGTCTTCATCGAGAAGGTTGACATCAACGTTGTAGTCTTTGACTAGGACACGGAGGAGGTCGGCATGGCCATAGGATGCGGCAGCGTGTAGAAGAGAGTAGCCGGACTCGTCCTGGCAGGATGCGATAGACGGATTAGCGCTCAGGAGCTCCAGAAGTGCCGAAGGGTTGTCGCAAGCTAAGAGGTAGGGATTCTGCTGGGCCATGGTTGCGTCTGAGTCACAGTAACCTCAAGAATATTTGAGTCAGGATATTGACTTTTAAGTTAGGTTGAATTGGAGATGGAAATTTGCGGCGGGGAAAAAAGGCGACACGATAAGGCTGTGTCCGCCTAACCTTTTTGGCTCCCCGCAGCCTGTGACACACTTTCGATGACTCTTGTTTTCAACCTTGCGCTAAGTAAAACACTGTAGCTTTTCTACGGGTTCTTAAGACACAAGGTACCTGCGCGATTGGCTACACTGCGCTCTCAATTTTTCCCTTTCTTTCATCTTCACCCCGCCTCCCCCTCCATCCCACTCACGATTTCCGCTCCCACCGATCGGCCCTTCAAAACCTACAATTATGCCTGCGCAGGACCCCGGCCAAGTCGGGCAGCTCCTGATCACATTGGAGGCAGCTCGGAAGCAGGACAAAGGCACAAAGAAGCGAACCTACACCTGCAAGAAGACTACTTTCGACATCGCGGGCACCAAGAATGTGACTGTGGACTCGTGGAAGTTCAACGACTGGGATTACAAGAGCAAGGGTCTTCCCACGTATGCCCGTGGACTTTTCACCACAAGGCGCAAGGATGGTCAGCCCGAGATCGCAGTGCGCGGCTACGACAAATTTTTCAACATTGACGAGACCAACAATACGAAATGGATGAACATTGAGCACAACACCAAGGGACCCTATGAGATGAGCGTGAAGGAAAATGGATGCATCATTTTCATCGCTGGTATGGAAGACGACAAATTACTCGTTTGTAGCAAACACTCAACTGGTGTTCGTCATGATACCAACCTCAGCCACGCCCAGGCTGGTGAGAAGTGGGTTGAACGCCATGTTGCTTCCGTTGGCAAGTCCTCGAAAGACCTTGCCAGGAAGTTGCGTGAAATGAACGTTACTGCTGTCGGAGAGCTTTGTGACGACACCTTTGAGGAGCACGTTCTCGCCTACGATGAGGCTGCTTCTGGTATCTACATTCATGGTCTCAACTACAACCTCCCCACGTTTGCTACAATGTCTGGTGAGCGAGTGCATGAGTTTGCAGATGATTGGGGCTTCAAGAAAGCCAAGTACGAGATGCGAGACGACATTGCATCTGTCAAGAGTTTCCTCGAAGGTTGCGCTGAAACAGGAACTTGGGACGGCCGTGAAACTGAAGGTTTCGTGATTCGATGCCAGCTGAGTGAAAATGGTGGGCCCTATCAGGATTGGTTCTTCAAGTACAAGTTTGAGGAGCCTTACTTGATGTACCGCCAATGGCGTGAATGCACCAAGGCCGTTATTGCAGGAAGGCTTCCCAGAATCAAGAAACATGAGAAGATCACCGAGGAATATCTCCAGTTTGCGCGCAGGCAGTTCATCAGAGATCCCGCGCTTATTAACCAGTACACCCATAATCATGGTATCATTGCCTTGCGTGAAGCGTTCTTGCAGGAGCGGGGACTGAAGGGATCCGAGATTATCGCCATGGAAGCTGAAGGGAAGAAGGGTGGCAAAGACACAACTCAGAACGTTGTTCTCGCTCCCATCGCCTCGCTGGGCTGTGGTAAGACCACAGTGGCCCTAGCTTTGGTACATCTCTTTGGATGGGGACACATTCAGAACGACAACATCCCCAAGCAGAAGAACAAGCCGAAGAAGTTCGCCTTCGAGATCACCAACGCAATGTCAGAATCCCCCGTCGTCATCGCAGACCGAAACAATCACCAGCGCCGAGAGCGCAAACAGCTAATGGAAGACATCTTCCCCGTGATCAAAGACACCCAATTCGTGGCTCTTCACTATGTCCATGAGCCCAAGGCCGAACTCCTTCCCGCCATCAAAGAAGTGACCCGAAAGCGAGTCCTCGACCGAGGAAACAACCACCAGACCATCCGAGCCGGCACCAACAGCCCCGAAGAAACCATCGGAATCATGAACGGCTTCCTCGCCCGCTTCGAAGGCATCGACATACACCGTGACCCAGACGAAAACTTCGACCATGTAATCGACCTGGACGTCTGCGCCTCCTCGCGTGAAAACCTTGAAGCGATCGTGCACGCCCTTCACGACGCCTACCCTCTCCTCGTTCCTGAAATCCCCAGCCATGACGCCCTAGACGCCTCCATCTCTGCCGCAATGAACGACTACGAAGTCCAAAAAGACTTATCAGCAGGCTACTCCAAGCCCAAGAAAAGTGGTTCAACAAACCTGGCACCAGCTATTCTCGCCCGCAAAATCGAATACATCTCCATCTCCGTCTCCACGCACACAATCACCTCAACTCTCAACACCCTCTTCACCAATACCCCCCCGAGACGTCAAAACTATACACCCACCTCCTCAAATCCCGCCGCATCCAGTCATCATTCCACGTAACACTCATCCATCGTGCATCAGCGCAGTCCCATCCTACCATCTGGTCCCGCTATACAAATGCCTACATCAACACTCTAACCAACAACCCTGTCGAAGACCCCATTTCGAATCCACCCAGTCTCGGTCCTGCGCGCGTCCGTCTGGAACGACTACTCTGGGACGATAGGATCATGACTTTTGTCGTGCGGATCTTGTCTGGTGAGGGGGGAGAGGAGTTGCCTTGTGCGAATGCTATTGCGCATGTTACTGTTGGTACGGCGAGTGCGGATATTAAGCCGAAGGAGAGTAATGACTTGTTGGCGAGGTGGGTTGAGGGGGGTAGTGGTGGGACTACTGGAATTAATGAGATGGAGGTTAGTGGGGTTTTGGTTATAGAAGGGGTTGTCGGGGTTACTATGAGTCGGGGGAAATCTTGATTTGTTAATGAGAGATGATGTGGCTATCGATGATGAGGTACTGACCCGAAGTTATGCTTTCTCAGGCTTGTTACGCAATATAAGTATCATTAGAACGATATCCATACATGCATGTGTGCATCTCTAGAAGGATGAGAATGGAAAACGAAAAACGTTTGCATTACAATATATTCGCGTATCGAAGTATGGGATTATCTACTTATGACCCTAGTCTCCATCTGAAGACATGACATATACAAGGATAAAAAATCCATGAGAAGAGAAGTCGCTGATGCTAGAATGCGAGACATTGTCTAGCCCGTATTACATCCAATGCTTGGTCTCAGATACCTCCCACCTGCGTCTGTAAAGACCGGATCAACCAGAAACCCAAGCAGAAACACGATTCGCGCCAAAGCGACCCATATACTGCAAGCCAGTGCTGCCCATTGGAAAGTAGCTAACGAGGTACCAGACCAGAGCGACGAGTTGGCAGATGGAGGAGATGAGGGTGAGGAAGAGATTTTGGCGCTGTGTCAGTCAGCATGATGATCCAAATGTAACAGAACGAGGCTCAAGAATGTGGAGAGGGAGTCAGGGCAGGGACAAGGTATGGACGGCTCTGGACTTCATGTGCTCGAACACTGGTAAAATCAACGTTGAACGTTGCCGTCTACAGGGTATCGCTCGTGCCCGGTTACACCAGACCGATGAGTACAGGGTGATACCCAAATAGCAGTGCCTCCCATCCTTGGGGGATATTCGGATTTGTTGGGCGTGACGGGGGGGTCACGTCGTACTGCGAGATAGAGTAGGAGATGCAAGATTCCTCCTTCCCCTGAGGGCGCCGTGCGACGCGTCTTGAGATGTGCGACGGTACAAAAGGTGCGTGTGGATATGGGTATGGGTATGGGGAAACAGAGATGATCGACAAAGAAATGAAATACGTACTCCGATTGCGAAGTAGAGAGTCAGGGAGATCGAGCCGAAATAGGCGGCCGTGAAGGGGAGCCGTGATCCCGAGACCAGATGCTTAGCGTAAGACCATGGTCCCATGAGAACGGCCCATGATAGCAGGAACAGAACGGATCCGACAGACCAGCTAGGTAGAAGTGTTAGCATGGAGATATCCCAGAGATCTTGTTTTGCGAAGTTCTTGGCATAAGGCGCAGGACATAGTTGCGGTGCTGGCGAATTAGATGCAAGCAAGTCGGCCACGAACTCGCACATGGCCCGAGCAAACGCCCGCTCATGACCAGGATCATGCCGGCGTGGGATTTGACTGGCTGATCAATCCGGGTCGAGCTGAGGGCTCAGAGGGATGGTTCAATGGGTGGGGGACGAGGCCACTGGATGTGGACAAAGGTAGGTAGAGGGAAGGGCAACTTACAGAACCGCGAATTTACGGGGCTTGAGCGTTAGGACGGGGAATAGGAAGAAGCAGATCAGGAAGCAGACGGCGGCGCCCAGATTACAGGCGCCGAAAATGAGCAACCGATCCCATCGACTTACTACAATCACTTGGAGTTAGCGTGGACTAGGTAGGGATCTACTCCGGTCTGATTGAAACCCCGTAGACAAGCATGGTCGTTAAGAATCCTTCCCGGCGCAGGAACTCGCACAACCGCCACCTGGATCAGGCGTCGACCTGGACGGGACGATTGTGGGATCGGGGGTCACGAGTGATAGGGAGGATAAACTTACAAGCAAAGAAACCCTCTTCTTCTTGCTGTCGGGTGGGTGCCGGTAGTGGAGCACCGGGGGCTTCGTTATGGGTTGGGAGCTGGACATAACCTCCTTGGCCGAACGGATTCAACGACTGCAGTCGCGAAAGGACCGAAGTGTCCTGGGAGGCATTGGTGCGTACGGGAAGATCCGGATCTCTGCGCGACCAGCCCAGCGAGTTAACTGAATCTCGGAAGGTGTTGTTGGCCATGATATCAGCCCTAGTGATTTAGTCTCGAGCTTTTTGTCTGTAAGACCTGGGTATTTCCCGATTGAGCGGTGTAAGAAGAGAAAGACGGTGCACGGCCGCGTCTGCAGGCAAGGCCCGTGGCCTAGGAAGACGAAACCGAGAAACGTCTGCAGGGACTATGCACGATGGAGTGCAGATGATCTGCGCCGGATGATGTACTGGTTTCCAGAGGATTGGCTGGAAGTGGGTACCAGATCAAGCTAACGGAGGAGCAGATGACGCCCAGGCCGAACACGGATTCGGCTTTTGCTCACGGATTTGGGGCTATGTTCTCGAGCGCGCACGATACAATAAAAGTTGAGCCCTACGACCTCCGCCCGGTTTCCAACACGAGTCCGGATTGGAGGGCTCGAGGAGGCTGCTGATAATGGCGAGTCGATCGAAACCTTACAGAATGATCCACCCGATCAGAACTGGATTGCAAGGTTTCTGCCTGTATCTGGTCGGAGGACGCGCCAGTCCACCGGATCTTCAGGACTACTCAGGCAACAGCTCTGGAGGGGGCCCGAAAGAAGGATATTTCCGACGCGGCAGCAGCGGATCGAAGCGTACGACGTCAACGGACGCGCCGGATCGCCAAGCGGAGGAGGGGACGTTGAACCTTCAGAGCACGATCCAACAATGAGGAGGGGTAGGGGGTCGATCACGGTCAGCAGGGCGATGATTGGACCGGCAAGCGCTGCGCTATCTGCTGAGGATAGAGAGTCGAAAGGGGGGATGACGAGATGGCGTGAAGCTACCGATGCGAGCAACCCGGATCGGCGAGACTGGGGAGAATGAGAGGTGTCAGATGATGGAACTCGGACCGAGCGAGGGTCTCAGGGTAAGTGTTCTCACATACCTTTGAAGTTGGAGGTAGTGGTGGAGGTGGAGGAGGTCGGAGAGGAGGGAGCTAAACCCGGAGCGGGTCGACACACGGACCATCTTACTATACTTATTCGCTTTTGGTGTGTGTTTGATCTTTTAGTCTGCTTTTTGGTCTTAGCTATCCATATCTCCGTTCCATTCGTATGCCACTAGTTTCACTAGACATCAAAAAGCACACACACACAAACACACATACACACTAGAGCAGCTAATGGAGCAGCTAACTTCGGCATGCCCGACGCGGACTTGCCGCGATTTGTGTTAGTCTATGGAGGTACACTTCGCGCCACATCCCCCCCACACACCCACCCACCCTCACGAGTCATGGTGGTCGATCTTCCTCAAACTTTCAGCCTGGCCGGTGCGCACCCTGTGGCGATCGAAAACAATATAGTGTGCAGAACTGCATCTGGACTATCTGTTCGGTTGAGTCTACTGCCACTACCCGAGCGTACAACGGTATCTAATTATCCGATAGTCAGGTTGCGAGTGCAGTGCGGGCTTGGGTAACATTGCCTCCTCCCCTAGTATGTCCGAACCGCATGAAAGCTGGGGGAAAATGCATACTCGACGTCATGCCAGGGCCCTGTGCATTCAAGGCATAGTAACATAGCAGTTGAATCCGTTTCAGTGTCTCTAGCGTGCCTCCTTGCATCAAACCGTGGGTACTCGGCGATACCCTCCGAACCTTGACGGGACGGGACGTGGAAAGATCCACGGTGCTATCGCCCTTTCCGACGTTGCCATCGACGCATTTTTGTGCCCAGGTGGCTTAGATGCATTCTGCGGGAAAGTTTGGCGTGGCTCAGTTTCGTCGAAACAGGTTCTGCCCTTCCGCCGCGTTGCGAAAGGTGTGCACTGTGCGGCTTCCCTGGTTATGATTCGTTGCCAGACCAAGACACATTCCCAATCCAATCATGAGGCCGCCACATTCCTCAGATCAGCGAGGGAAGCAGAGCCCAGCGTTGGAGCCTTGCGGTCACGGACCCCACTTCGTAGTGTGGGAGGCACGGCCCAAGCTCCTATGGTCGATCATTATGGGATCCTCTCTGCACGACATGCTAGATGCTGACCTGAAATGCAGACTCCAGACTCTAGACTGCAGACTGCAGACTGCAGATGCCGCTATGACAGTTATAACGCCACTTACGCGCGCGTACAACCCCTAGGCTTCACCACCAGGTATATATCACTTATCGCGTTATATTCCCCGGATGAAACTTGCGGTCGATCTTACTCACTCCGGCGCAAGTGCTCAATAGTTCTGCATGCCGGGAGATCAGACACTCTACCACATGGTACATGGTTTCATTGGCGGATCTACACGGCTTAGCCTCCCTATTCTATCTTCGGGCTAATGCACCTGGTGTCCTAGATTACCGGATAGATTAGGGTTTTCATCGCTGAGAGTGTGTCTGTAACCATAGAGGACCATCTGATACATTCCGGCCTGTGCAAGATCTCTTTTTTTTTTAATTATTCTTTTATTTATAAATTATTAATTCTTGGATGATTTATAATTTATATCTTTTTTGGCTCTGAGTCATGACCATAGTCTTAGATGACCGGGTGAGGGTGACAAACATCAGGGTATCATGGGGCGCCGTTTACTCAATCCGGCTGTATCACCCTTCCCCCCTTCCCATTTTCTGTATTATACCCTACTTCACCCTATTTCACCCTATGTGAAATGTTACTGAAAAATAAAAAGAGAAGATAGGAAAAGAGGCTCGGGGGTTTACCGGTTGCCACCCCTCACCTTTTTCCCCCCCTCCTCCTCCCTTCATGAAACCCACCCACACCATTTCATCTAAAAATAATAAAATATTAAAACGGGTAAAACAAGAAATCGTGTCCGATGCCGAAGCCCGGCAAGCCTCTATTTCCACCGATCGCCGGGCTGCATGACCGATGTTGTAATATATCAAATGAGAGGTGCAGGAGGGGCTCGAGTTCTTAAAGTCTGCGCCGTCCCTTTCAAATCCTGCAAGTGCTTTTCATCCTGCACTGCTGTGTTGTCACTGCTTCTTTGGCTCTTCGAGAACTTCCTACTCTCCCGCGCCCCATGATTCGCAAGACTATCCCGGTGGATCGACTAGACTTTTGTGGCATCAACAAGATCTCTTCTACGCAGGTACGTTGTCTCGTCTTATCCCTGTTCCTGCGTTTGTATCCACGTGTGGGGGCTCTGCGATATTCACGATGGGTTGGACTATGTGTTATGTTATGTTATGTTGTTTGGCGTGGTGTTGATGCCTAGATGTTCTTGTTTGTCTATGTGTCAAACCATAACTAACATCCTCAGCAGTATCGTGGATCGAAACACTACCTGGTTACAACCTAGCTATATCCCAGTTACATACCTGGTAAGACATCTCACTTCTCATCATCTCATCTCATCCTATCCCAGCGTGGAGAAAAGAGTCTCAGCCTCAAAAAGGTCAAGGCGTCAACTCCATACTCCATTGCCACCCTTCACCGCTCTCCACCGCTTCTTTCCACTCCCCCGCCTTCTCTCCACTTCGTTTTTTCTGTATACCTTCGCGATTGACAGAGACTTGACGGGATCTCTGAGCCTCTAGGCCTTGTTCCTCAGTCTAAACTCTGCTCGATTGTCGATTTCTCATCTATCCTACCCCTGCTTATTCCCTCCCTTGCACCCCCTCCCCCTTCTGACAAGACACGTTTCCGCCATCGCTGCCTGTTTCACCGACTCTTTTGGGTCTTTGCTCATTGAGAATCTCTGTTTTAGGACGCGGTCGCGTTTTACTTCTATCTTTGCTTTGCCGATCTTGGTACTTGGGACCGATCTGCACCCCGGACATTTGTCCCCCGAGACCGTCGACTCATCCCACCTCGAATTATCCTTGTCCTCGACCCGTACCTTGCGACCATAGACGTCTCACAATCGCCTGTATATCTTGACTTGGAAGGTAAACATCCCCTCGACATTCTTGTTGCGAATTCCATGTGGCCTCAGTTGCCTCCTGTCGCCTTGCGGATGTCGGCGCATCTCATTTGCCGACGCTTCCCTGCATCCCGTTCAAGGCCACTCGCAGCTAACGTCATCCTCGCCAATAGATCCCACGGTCTCCCTTTGTCACATACTCGTTTACGACAATCTACATTGACGGCTGCCTGACACTGCCGATCACTATCTAGAGAGGGTCAGTAATCGGACGGAACGACTTCTCTCCACACTCGCGCCGACCCCACGTTGCCCTTACAACCTCCTCTACACCTCCGTTAGTCCGTGAAGATGGCGGAAGCAAGTCTTTTTATCAAGCACGAATCTGACGATCGCAGCAATCCTTTCATGATGTCTCACTCCGGTTACATGGGTAACCAATTTGGGACCCCCAACGATGGAGTAGATCCTTCGGACTTGACGATGCAGCAAGGCGGCTTCATGCCGTATTCGTACGGCTCACAACAGAACATGTCTTCCAGCTTCAACTTTGGAAACTCTGGAATCGATACCGATGAACTGCTCGACCTGGAGATCAGCGGACAGAATGGCGGTCCTCGCGGCGATAACATGAACTACATGCAGGACCAATCCGGTGGCATCGCCATGAGTCACCAGAGTCAGATGTCGCATCTCTATTCCAATACCCCAGATAACGCACCGATGGCCAGTCCCTTCGTCCACAACAGTTTCAACTATGAACAGTTCCGAATGAACCAACAGAACAACCACCTCCAGAATGCCAGCTCCTTTGACCAGAACTACATGAACAACAAGTCCCGACCGAGCTTGCAAGCCATGGATCGGACCTCATCAGATGCCCGCAGCCCTATGACCCCAAAGACCCCCGCTTTGGGTTCATTAACCTTGGGTACTCCGGAGTCCGGCAGCTTCCCTGGCCAGCCTATCCGAACCGGTGGACTCCAGGCTCGCCATCAGAAGACTTTGTCTAACCAATGGGATGGAACATCAGGCAGCGCACACTCATACGCCGAGTCCCCTATTTCCTCTCCCGGTCACCACTCACACCACGCTGGCATCTCTGAGATCATCAAATCCGGCAAGCACGCGTCCTTGCCAGCCAAGGTTGACCATTTACCTGGCAGTGGCCAGGATTTGGAGTCACAAGAGGCCAAACGCCGACGACGCCGTGCATCACACAATCTGGTTGAGCGCCGTCGTCGCGACAATATCAATGAGCGCATCCAGGATCTTTCTCACTTAGTACCACAGCACCGACTTGAGGATGATAAGGTGCGCAAGCAGTTGGTAAATAACAGCACTCTTTCCATGGCCGGTGCTGGGGGCAACGCTGCGACCTCTCTTCTTGCTGGGGGCAACGGACGCCGCGCTACACCAGGCAATATCACCATGGGTCTCCCCATCGAAGAGAAAGAGAAAGGACCCAACAAGGGCGATATTCTCAACGGCGCCGTCAGTTGGACCCGCGATCTGATGTGGGCCCTCCATATCAAATACCAGCAGGAAGCCGAGCTGGCCGAGATGATCAGCAGCCTTGGCGGCACCTGGCCCTTCGAGCCCACGGAAGAGGAGAAACGCATGCGCAGTGAAATCCTTGAAGCTCTTGAAAGGAACGACCCCAGCTCCTTCGCCTACACTCGTGGTCCTGGTAGCGGTCTCCGTGTCCCCAAGCACACCAACCTCTCCGGTGACCCCGTTGGACCTGGCGGCGAGGGCCTCACCCCACCCAACCTAAGCCCTCAATTCCACAGTGGATCCAGCAGCGCCAACGGCCAACCCCAGTACTGGAGCAGTGCCGGCCACGCCGCCATGAGCTTCAAGGAGGAGGATGAATACGGCATGGACATGTGAGACGCATGCCAGTATTGAGATGACTAGTTGCATACACGGCGTCTAGGAGGGAACCGTTCTCGGCGTACGGGAATGAGAGAAGACTCTCAGGATAATTAGTCTATGATTATTTTCTACGATGCTGCATTTATGATTTTCGCCATGATTGTGATTTGGTTTTGATTCTGAGATTCTGATTCTGATTGCCAATGGTCGTGTCGGCTCTGCCAAACTTCCATTACTTACGGATTATGCGTCTTTGGCTTTTGTTTTTCGGATCTGATTTTTGTCTTTTTCCACTTACTTTTCCTTTATTCCATCGATACCCTGTTTCCTTTCTTTCAGATTCTTCTTACAATGGTGCTTTATATGGTTTTGTTTCTGCATGTTGTTCAGGTGCGCCCGTTCTGCTTGACCTTGACCTTGACCCTGACTTTGTCTCCCCTGCCCTGCATCCTTAATACTATACCCTCCTTCTCCATCCATATTCGCTTTCATGCAGTTCTTAGGTTAGTCCTATTTGGCAGTGCAGTTCTTTTCATTGACTACGCCAGTTATACGCACATCTCCATCTACGTACATCTTCCCTCACTCTCGTATTGATCTCTCAAGTACTCGTCTATTGGGTATCAGGGTAAATAGCAATAGCTCCGGCTCTAGATATGCAGCTCACGACAACCTCATCCCAAGCCCAACCCCATAGTGAACCGTCGCAAACAACCCAATCACATTAATAAAAATTGACGTCCCATGAATAATCATAAACCTCTTAGTACACTCCAACAACTCCTTCGAAGGCACCTCCCTTCGATCCTTCCTATCCCTCAATTCTGCATGATTGATTAGCAACTATTCCATCATCTCATCCATCCCAAGCCCAGGTACGAAAGATTAGAAACATACCCTGAGCATTCCTAGCCCTAACAGCCCCCTGCGTTAAACGCCGAAAAATAACCAAATTAATCAACCCCGTCATCGTAACCACCCCAAGAGTCCTCCAACATCCCAAGTTCAAAGCATCACGTAAACGTGCCGTAGATGTCAACCCAACCAAAACAGGCAGGAAACTTTGCAACGAGAAATACACGGGAAATATCGCCGCTTGATGGACGCCGAAATAGGGTCTTCCTAGCGCTTTGAATGCCACTATGCCGTTTATGAAGGTCTAATTTGTTGATTAACACCCATTCACCCATCTTTGGAATCGGAATATAAATAGACTTTGTGGTGGGGAAGAAGGGGGAAGGCACATACCTGAAAAACCTGCGCCCCGAGAAGAATCCCATAACTGCATCGATCCGTTAGGGTTGCTGCCAGGGGGTGTGGGGGGGGCAGGGCTACCCGGGGCTAGGAACGGATGCTGCTGCTTACCTGGACAGGTGGAGGAGTTGTACAATCATAGGTCAGGGCAGTGATCTTCACCTGGTAGATTGTCAATCCCTGAGATTCGAGGATAGTTGCATTGGGTGAGTATGAGCGCTGATTGAGTTTGAAGGCTGGGTGAAAATTTCGGGCTCGGTCGCTTTCCCGCCCGGTTTCCAAGGTTGGAGGGTGGGCGCGGGTATGATGTCGATGGCTTTATTAGGGGGGTTTTTTGGGTAATTGTGCTTCGGATTTAAGATGGAGATCGGTTTCTGAAAAACTTTTATTAATTTTTTTTTTTCTTTTTTTCACTCTTGTAAATTTAGGTTTCAAGGATTCACTATGCTCTGAGCTTTGCATGGAAAAGGCCGTCGGGGTGGGTTGCGGAGAAATCTGAATTCCCCCGGAATTCCACAGCTTGGGATTCTAGACTTAAGGGCTAGATCTCGATATAAAACAAGCTATAGACAAGCATGGGGTCACGTGTAACATTAAAGGTCAGCCTCAACGGTGTCACCTGGTTATATAGCACCCCTCTGACTGAGAATACGAAGTGCGCGCCACTAAACAATTCCAATACATCAAGATGCACTGCCAGGACTTAAAGCGCCAGATCTTCTCTTCGAAGAAAATAATCCCATCCTACGGCACGCCACCGACAATGTGGAACTTACATATCCCTTTACATCTACCGCAAAAGTTTCAGGATTAATTTCGCGGAGTTTTTGTTACAGCTTTGGATGGTCACTGTTCCGCTAGCCTTTGCTTTTGAGAGAAAGATATCTCACTCTACCTGGTTGACAGAGAGCCTAGATCGAGGTAAAGCGGACTCTGAACGGAACTGCGGTAGGGGGGGAATGCGATTGATTTTTTGACTGTGCGACCTGGGTATAGTTATTGACACGTGGATAAACGTGGATGTCTAATATCTACATGCTTTACCTCGGCTGTGATCTAAGTTGTTCGATAATTGCGCTTGCGATGTGCCTACTTATAGTACCAGCTCAGATTCAGAGAGGCACCGAATCGAACCCGCACTGGTCCCACTCCTACGCGCTAGCCCCTAAGATCAAGCAGTACTATGAGGGCGTGGTGAATCGACAGTCCGGCTCGGGAAACAAAGTCTGGCGTCCTGCGGCGGATTTTCTAGGGCCATCCAGTGTCGATTCTCGAATTTGTCGGTGGCATTGTCGCCCGATGGCCTGTTGCCCGCGTCGTGTTCTGCTGATGATTTGGTCCATCTCTGAGACACAAAGACGGCTGGCCTGGCACAGACATCGGCCGTCAAAGGAGTGGTCACTTACCTCGAATTTTCTCAGGACTGTTCATACCTAAATACTAATTTGGGCTTCCTTTATATTCAGTCTTGGCCCGGCAACTATAGCACTCAATCGCTTAACAAGAATCTCAAGATGTTTATGACGTAGGGGCAGTGGCTTATCCTGAACGGCAAAAAATACTGTAGCTTTCCCCTGAGTCTCGACCTTCGTGCTTGGTGATTAAGAATAGTATACTTGCCTTGAGATACCGATCCGGGCAGGTTTCTTTCAAAGGGGCTTGTGTATATATAACTTCACCCAGCGCTATCTAGAGCTTAAATCTCGCTTTCTCCGACGATATAACTACGAGCGGGCCGAACAAGAGGATCGAAAGATTATTTGAGCGTGGTTTAACCTCGTACAAGCCACAATTCAGGGATATGGTATCCTACCTAGTCTGCGCCAAAACCCGCCCCCGAACCCTGGCCATTACGCTATTTTAAAACAGCAAAAAGCTGTTGGGCAAGAAACCTAATCTAAGAAAGAGACAATTTAGGTAAATTTTGCTAGTCTGAAATTTGTGTTGGCAAGCAATAAGTAACTTTTGCGATCGTTCATTGAATCGGTAGATCGCCAAGCATTCTCAAGATCAGAGAGTTACTTAGGGGTCATACTGAAGAAATTGAAATCTTTTTGTGTCTTCTTTTGTGTGAGAACACTCCCCATCCCCCTATCACATTACCTTGTACCACTTGCTTAAGTATGGATGTCAGTTCCTGCTGTGACATGGTTTATAACGAGGGTACTCACAGGAATACACTTGGAAATCGACCATAAAACGCCAGTAATAACAAGCGACATACACCCAAATAAGATATACCACCTCCAATCCGGATTTTCTTGAAGCAAATTTACGTTCATACCAAATAGACTCTAGTAGCCCAATCAGCCAAGGATTTCAGACAAGGATATCACGAGGAAAAACCGCTCCACTTACTGAAACAAACATCAGCGGCAGGAAAATGAACTATCGAGATTTGATTATCAACAAGCCACACAAACAATATGGGAATTGTGCTCACAGTAATCCAGCTGAGACGCTTAAAACTTGCCGCCTCGTTTGTGGAAACCCATGCAAGCACCTGTTCGGTTGATCTTAGTGCCTGGAAGAAGATTTTCGGTGAGTTTACGCACAATCTGTAACAGATCTCGTACAGCCTGTTCCATTTTGTCAAGCTTCACGCTCACTTCTTGATCAATCCCGTGGATAATTTCTTTAAGTTGAGGGTCTGGTTCAAGTGAAAGATTAGTGGTGACCACTTCATTGAGTCCCTCGATGTGCGATTGCAGGCATCGCCGAAGGTCTGCACGCTGCAGTGCATTCTTGGCAAGCTCATCAACTAGACCGCGGCTCCTCCCGCATTTTTTGACTTGGTCATGTCTCTAGGAAATGAATCTCATGCATTAGCTCCATGCTTCGCCTGTTTGAGTTTACTGAAGTATCAATGAACTCACCAATAACTCAATCCTTTCATTGGCATCAAAACAGCTTGCTTTCCACTTCTGGTGTAAAGCCTCAAGAAATAATTTGAAAAAGTCCGACGGATCATTGGGAACCCAGCCACTAGGAAGCATGCTGATAAATCCCTGAGCAAAGCCTTCCACTGTCCTCCTTTTAATCCAGGCAATTCCCCATGGACCATTATCTTTCCCTTGTTCATAAGGAAAGATTAGCGAGATATAGTTTACGGACCGATGGCCAAAATCTCTCTGAGCATAGTTCCAGTAACAGCTCTTGTTGCTGAGCATGACATGAACATCAAATACCTCCGGTAAGCGCGACCATATTGACCTTTCCTCACAAATGCTTTATTTGTCAGAGAAAATAATAGTGGCTTCATAACAAGAACTGTACTCACCAAAGTCTTGCCTCTTTCGCATCGGGCAGCCAGTCGCATTCACGATCATTGATTAATTCCAGTTCAACGCCCTGACTCTGAGCCCTCCTAGTGATTTGAATCCAAAGAAGACTTTTGTCTCCCAGGTTGAACCATTGCTGTGACTGAACAGGTTTGAGGTCGGTTGATAGAACATTGAGCAGTAGACCCACGACAGCTTTGTTTCGCGCTCTCAGAGCATATTGCAAAGGGATCTCTCCAGCATGATCTATGGCATTCAGATCTGCATTAGCTTCGATCAAAGCGGAAACAAGCTTCTGGCTTCCCCCAAGACATGCAAGGTGTAAAGGAGTTCTGCCTTTCTGGTCGGGCTGATTGAGATTATAGTCTGCCTGAACAAGTCTCGTCACCAAGTCCAATATCTTCTCTTGTTCAATTGAACTTATACCTTCGACCAATAGGTGCAAAGAAGAGGTGTCACCATCTTTCAACATAGTTATCATACGCTCGTTTCTCCCCTCCAACGCCCAGATTAATGGAGTCTTGGAAAAGCCGTCTTCGGTTCCATCACAAATGTTTATGTCCACCTTGTCCTTAACCTGAAGACAATACAGCACAATTTCGTCATCGCGATATTCAGCTGCCCATGAGAGCCAGTTGCGACCGCTTTGATCTTTTTTATTCGGAGTTGGTAAGGCCCAGATCAAAGCTTGGAGACTGAAAGGATTTACAGTCATACCAAGCCTGGGCCGGGTCAAATGACATGGAGAGCTAACAGACAAATCATGCCTGGCTCTGAGAAACCACCAAAATCTTGTATGGCCTATATCATCAGAAATATGGGGATTCCCCCCATGTTTGATGAGTAAATGCATGATCTGGACGAATCCACGCTTTGCAGCCAGCGAAAAGGGAGTACGGCCTTTCCCATCCTGGTGGTCCACACATACTCCCGCTACTGTGAGTAGAAACTCCACTGCTTGCTCACGCTCGTTTGCAACAGCCTAGGAGAGCGATGTCCACTTCTTTGCATCCTCCGAGTTCACGTTGACGTTTGCATCGAGCAGCTGCTGCAAAATCTCGACACGTCCAAACTCTGCCGCAAGTAACAATGGGGGCTGGTTTGTTGGATGGTAATTGGCAGAGAAGTGCTCAATTTGCAGCAGAATTTCATTAGATGGAAGGTAAGTTTCGAATAGCCACCCGCTCAGAGGGGGCCATCTGAATTCATCTGATGCATGCACATCCGCCCTTGCATTGATGAGAAGCCTAGCTATTCCAGAATCTCCAAGCTCAGTCGCCATCGAAAGTGGAGTGCGACCTTTCACGCGATGATTAGCCAGACTCTCGTCAGTCTCAAGCAAAAGTTGAACAGTTATGATATCCCGTTGAAATATTACCCATATCAAGAGGTCGCGTTCAATCCCACTTATTCGCCTGTTCTTCGCTTTAGCATTGATCAGGCACCTTATAATTTCGACATTTCCAGTCTCTGCAGCGATTGCTAAAAGTGTCCGACCGTTGACATCTTGATGGCCGCTGTTCACGTCTTGTTTTGAAAGGAGGTATTTCACCGTCTCATTATTCTGTCTCCAAACTGCCCAAAATAGTGGCGTCCATTTTTTGGAATCCGGCAAACTAATATCCGCCTTGGACTCGACGAGAATTTTCACATGGTCGAGACGCCCACCCTCTGCCGCTAGTGACAATGAGGTCCGGCCTTCATTATCCTTCTGATCAAGGAGAGCCCCTTCTTCTATCAAGAGCCTTAATGAATCGGTTAGCGAGCATTCCACGGCGAAGAAAAGACTTGTTCGGCCGTCAGAGTTGCAGAAATTCAGGTCGATTCCTTCGTGTTGCAAGAGTTTGTTGAGCACTCTCTGTTCCGATGTCGCCTTTGTTAAGGGTGAGATGCCGTCTATTTGGAAGTTCATGTCAAGAAATGGATTCCTCAGGTAATTGTCCAGCCTTTTGATGCTTTTGTTCAGTATTTTGGGCTTCTTTATCACAGACGTGATGGTAGAAAGGAAATCCCGCTGGAGTCGAGCTCGAGCGATGGCTTCTTGAGAAGTATTATCGTCAGGCAATAGAGCTTCCATTTTTAGCGACAGATTTAGTTTTGTGAAGAGTTACAGTCGGAAATAATGCACTGAGTGTCTCAAAGAAAGAGTCAACAGACGTGAGGCTCGGCGGGTTTTTTGGGCGGCCAACCGAAATGGCTTTGTTGCCTAGAACTGAAGCCGTCTAACCAGTCGCAGGTAATTTCAGCCTCAAAGAGCGCGCTATGCGAGTTAGAGTACGTCATTGTGTGTCAGCGAAGGTCAAAGCGCATCGTTTTCATTAGGCTTTCTTTCTGCCTCTCTCGAGAAGACCTCGGTTCAGCCAGCCAGTTCACTTGTAGCAATTGCCCATAGACTTATGGCCCTCAAAGACTGCGAAGAATTGATCTTTACGGCCAATTCAAACTTCAAGGGTATAAGAACACAATCCACGAGAAGGCTAGTGCAAAATAACCCCACATGTGACGACTTCTCTCCGCTGCAGGATCCATCATACTCTTGTAGTGCCATCGGTAGGTTCACGGGAGGCTCTGTATGGTTTAAAGAGACGTGTACCCTCCACAAAATGCCTTGGCGGCGTTTGATAGTCATTCGTATGTTAAAGTCGAGCGCATATAGGGAATGGGGGGCGAGGTGAAGTCCGCTCAGACGGTCACAAGCCATCAAGATAGCCATTCTCGGCTGCTCCATGGACCTGTCAATGAGGAAAAAAACGGTTCCTTTCAACAGCCTTGGATCACATGCAAGCACGTAAAGAGCCGCTATTTTGGACGAGATTCTTCTGAACCGCGAAAGTGAAAGTATTCTCAAACTTCGGAGTGGGCCTTCGAACGCAGGGATAGTGGCTGGACGTCAGACTGGATAGAGTTATTTGGTGATTTAAAAATGCAACCGCACTAGCCGTTTGAGTTGCTTCTGCATTTCTGCCATCCAAGCCCTTGACTAATTGCTTTCTGAAATAGATACTAGAATAGCCGTAAATAAATATATCCGAAATAGGAAAGGCGCGGAGAAATTATACATTTACGGGTATATTAGAGCCTTGGCGGGCCGGGTGGGGGGTTCCTGATCTTGGACCCGCGAGGCGGGTGATTGCTAGGTCTACACTAATATAGGCTAAGCAAGCACCGAAGACACGGCGCCCACCAAAACGTACCAATTGCAGGCAGATCGGACGTAAGAAAAACACATATAAGGTTAGAGAATAATCCATATAGAGGCGTTTTGGTTGATATGTATGCATAAAAGTGTAGAAAAAATGGGCGGATGCGCCGCGGCGGTTTCCGACCACATTAACTAGCTACCCCGCTCCGCTTAATTATCGGGGAAGGATGTGCGCCGCCAAAGGACCAGCTGGAACCACACGATCTGTCCTCGGGTCCGATCCACGAAATCGGAATGAAAGTAGTACGCAACATATAAATTCGGAAATTTCGGTCAAGAAAAAGTGAACACTCCGCTGAGTGACCGACTGTCCATACTTCCGACTCATCAGGCTGCCGAACAACGCTACTGAGTTGCAGCGCACCTCAAAATGAACCGTGTTATTCTTGTCACTGGAGCCAATCGAGGTAAGCCAATATCCTCCTTCCAGTATCAGATGTCTGTGACTTAATTCAGTCTGTAGGCATTGGCAGAAGCCTCGTCGCACATTATCTTGCCCAGCCGGACACCACTGTTATTGGCACTGTTCGGGATATCTCATCTGAGAAAGCGAAAGAGCTCAGTACGCTGCCAAACGGCAATGGCTCGAGTATGATTGTTGTGCCGCTTCACGTCGACAGCCCATCAAGCGCTGCGGAGGCCGCGTCCGAAATCCAGACGCAGCATCACATACAGCACATTGACATCGTCATTGCCAATGCGGGAATTTGCAACCACTGGGGTCCTGTGCAGGAAATGGCTGACTCGGACGTAGTTTCTCACTTTGAAGTGAACACATTGGGACCGCTTAGGCTGTTCAAAGCCATGGCACCATTGCTACAGAGAGCCAGTACTCCCAAGTTCGTTTATATCTCGACGCTCCTAGCGAGCATCCTCGGGATTGAACAAATGCCTTCATTAACTGCTGCTTATGGAATGTCGAAGGCGGCGGGAAACTATCTGGTCAAGAAGATTAATGCCGAGAATAAGTACTTGATCACTTTGTCGGTCGATCCTGGGTAAGTTTAAATTCGCAACCCTCGTTCCTTGAACATTCAGAAAATTGATGATGGCGGTCCCATTTCTTGATGATAAGACTCGTTCAAACCGACATGGGTAGTCGCGCTGCGCAGATCCATGGGCTTGAGAAGGCTTTGGTGACCGTTGAGGATACCGTTCGCGGAATTACAAATCAGGTATGGGCTAATATCTATTTTCATGACTATCTGAGGATAGCTAACATTTTCGCAGATTGACGTAGCGAAGAAATCCACTACGTCTGGCCAATTTGTTAACTTAAATGGGGAAAAGGTGCCTTGGTAGATGAGACTCAAAAGTACCAGATATCTTCTTGGTCTAGGAGGGTATGTAGCTCATCGGGCCAATTCGGTTATGACTGGTAATTACCGATCGGTCAAAATAGTAATTTGATAGTTATTACTGGTAGTGACTAGATAAATTGACATTTATTACAATTTCCAAAAGATTAAGTGACCTGATGACCTGATGAGCTTTTACTTGGTATTACGAGTAGTGATGAGAAAGGATATATTATCTCTTGTAAACAGGATCGCAATTTCCTATAAAATTTGTGTATTAAACTGGGGCAGGCTCTATGGATGTCTGGTAATGCAGACTGAGCGCCAGCAACACATATGACCTAAGGGCCAGAATACATATCAAATTCTTAAGGAAATATTTTCTACCTACCCACGGCTGTATAGTCCCAATGAGCATCTTCATTAGCATAACTAGATACCATTGGACAAGACAAACCGCAGCCAAGGGTGGTATACTGTTTCCTCATCGACCGGGTCCACAATATTTGGCAGGTATCTCGTATTTCATTCTTCATCCAAGTCTTCATCAAAATATTCCGGATTTGGCCTGACGTGATGCGCCTTGCAATACTCCCAGTAAGCAGGATACCACCCTGCCTGGCCCCAATCGATGATGGCAGCTACTACTGGATTCGTTCCGGGCGATAAAAGAATATTTGGAGGCACAAGGTCGTCATGCGTAAAGACCACGGGCACCTCCCCATCAATCTCGATATCGCAGCCATTCTGAAATTTCTGGACGGCGTCTGCACCGTGGAATGGGCCAGCCAAATCCCGGTGACTGGAAAGAAAGATGTCGTTTAGAGGTTGATTATCTAGGCCACCTAAGGTGTACTTTAGCATAGTTCTGTACCACGGCAATGAATTGAAATCACTTACCCACGTAAAGGGTTTGGTCGGGCTTTTCTAACGATATCCAGGCCTTGGCCATATCGTTGAGCTCTTTACAGACAGCATTTCTCTCCTCATCATTCAAAGCACCCCATCTTTGCTCCAAGGGTTCGCCCCTTATCAAAGACATGTAGATGAATACTTGGCCACCGTTTTCGGTCCACCCAAACACCTCAGGGACTGGTACTTTGCCTTTCAACTGCTTGTATCCCATATTTTGGGTCTCTGCCTCTGTAACGGTTGTGTCGGCTCCAGATTTGACAATCAGCCCCAGCAATGGAAACTTGACAGGCGGGGGTCGGTAGAATCTTGTACCACGGATGTTGCCTGACCCCTCGTTGATGGATCTCACCTCGGCCGGGTTAGGGAGCGTAGACGCCTGATGCTCCCTGAAAAAGCTAGAGTCGGAAATGATCATTGTTGTGTCGTGGGTTGAATCGTGGAGGCCGGCTTCTCCTTCAATTCCCTCGGGCTTCATCTTCGAGATAACACAGGTGAGGGTCTCGGTGGTTATAAAAAGACCCAGTCTTCGAGAGTAGCGGAATCGAAGTAAACCGAAAGCCTATTGATTTCTAATAAGAGGGAGTTCTTGAAACGACAGTAAGGTCCAAAGATAGAAACATGTTGCCGCCGAACATGTCAGCCCCGATTCTCACCCTGTCTATAGCGCACTCACCCTTCTCACCCCCGATCGCGCGATGTTCAAGCGGCCCTCGCCCTACAATCAGCCGGGATACAGCACTTAGACTATACTAATTAATCAATGGAGATCTTTTCCACGTTTACAATAGTACATACGACCATAGGGTGTGGAGAACAGGGCTTCCCGTCCGCTCAGCCGTACTTAAGCCACACGCCGGCAGGTTAGTAGTTGGGTGGGTGACCACCAGCGAATCCCTGCTGTTGTATGTTTTTGTCTTCTTTGAATATAAATTTGTTGGATCTATGTAGTATCGTAGTTGCCCTATCCTTCAGTCCTTCAGGGCATTCACCCTGAACACCCTGAATATCCTGAAGCCCCTCTATTCTTCACCCAAATACCACTACACACTCTGAAGTCGTGGCCCCTCGGCTAAACTTTCATCGTCCTTACTACCTTCATTACCCTTTCTCCAGCTTGATATTGGCTCAGCTAACCCTGGAAAAATACATTAGAATTCGAAAACAGATTAACCACCCTTTAGACACCGACGCTTTCTTTCCCAGTGCCCCACTTCTATTGCGCTAAACTGAATTCGGTTAGGGAAAGTCCCACCATATTTTCTTGATGTATATCTGATAGATCACCAGAATTACAGGAATTACAATTTCCGGCAGTGGGCGAATATACAACGGACCTGCTTCGTATAATATAGAGAGTGAGATCAAGAAGAATAAAATCGATATATTTTACATTCATCACCGTTGAGAGGATCCTCATAAGTGGCTCCAGACTGACCAATCTTCAGTCCTTTTAGAGATAATCCTACTTCTTGGAGTAGGTCAACCCTAAAGGTGGGAAATTTTCTAGTCTCCTTGGAAAATCCGTGGTTTTCGCATAGAAGGTATCCTCTCACTATTGCGGCAACTAAAATATGGCGGATTGCGTGGGCTTGAGGCAGAAAAGTCGCTGAAATTATGTGCTGAGATATGAGAGAGTAGGCATTGGTAGTTGGTCTAATCTCGTTGGATTCAGGATTGGGTTGTTGATCAAAAACTTCTTCAAGTAACGAGCGATTGAAGCTTTCATTCCCGTTACATTACACATATCTGCAAACCGCGCTAGCTCTATCATAACTAAGATCTGATGACCGGGCTCATCCAAATCGAAGAAGTCAGGACTAGTATCCCCGAATAGGGATGGTGAGAACCAAGACGTTGACATCTTATAGAATTCGATGCCTTGTAACAACCTTGAAAAGGGGTAAATAAAAGTCTTTGAATGAATTTTTGCCTTAAAAACAATTTACCTAGTATGGGGGCTTGGGTCCCGTTGAACTTTTTTAGGGTCCCGCTGAGCTGGGTGCCTGAATTAATCGATACTGTAACTTGGTGCAAAAGAAGGATTATAAAAGCCGACCGCGACGTCAGCTCTAGTGGTCTTCACAGAACATGTGGTCTTCACAAGTCTCAGATCTAGAAGATCGAGGCAAGATCCTTACATCGTTAATTCCAAACAGACCAATGTTTCACGTGCTCGCTTGTTACTACCGATAAATTCCTGGGTCTCGACTCTCCAATCATGTCCTGTCTTCACGAACTCGTTCATCGACAGCGACTAGGACCATGGCAAAAATTCCGGGCCCAGCCTTACGTCTTCCTCGCACGAATGCTTTACAGTTGGCATAAACCTATTCCAGCTATGCCTCTCACAAGTCCTATTGCGATTGTCTGTATCTCCGATACTCATAACACCCAAACCGGAGTTCCGGATGGAGATATCCTTATACATGCTGGTGATCTCACACAATCTGGGTCTTTCCAGGAACTCCAGGACGCACTCGACTGGCTACGCGCCCTGCCTCATCCCATCAAAATCGTAATTGCTGGCAATCATGAGCTATTACTTGATTCAGCATGGGATGATTCATCAGGTCGAGCAGCCTCTGGGCGGGCTCAGCTCGACTGGGGCGATATCACCTACCGGAAAAATGAGAACACGGAATCAGCTAATGCTGATTGTCGGTTCGACTGTCGGCCCCGAACCGACCCAGAATTTCACCTTCGTGCTCGGCAGCTCATGGCCACGTCCCCGACTTCGTCGCTTGAGAGCGCGACAAAGAGCACATGGCGCCCTGACTTACACCCTCCTAGCTTGTGCTGATCCACGACATGATTAGCAACAGATCGCTGACTACTTCTCAGATGACCGAAGCGGCTGGCTGCAGCAAACGTTCGATCATAACCATCAGTGCCAACCTCTGAATGTTTAGCGACGTCCGAGCACCCTTGATACCTGGCGGCCGTCCTCGTGTGATCCCACCCATTTATTTGAGAAGCGATATGCGACCACTTGTTAGAGAAACTGGACTTATACTTGGACGAAATGGCAGAGTTTTTGTCTGACGAATTCGAACTGCTTGTATCCACATACACTATCAATGAAGCCCTTCGATCGCAGAATTGGACCAAGAAAGTGGCTCAGGAATAGCACAAGAACGAAATGCAGATTTGAGAGATCACTATCTATATCAGCTATCAGATTTCCGGTCGTACCACCTAGTTTTCATAGACGAATCAGGCTATGACAAACGGGCTGGCTTCGGGACCGGCTAGTCTCCCCGCGGCACAGCGCCTGTCCAAGTTTCCCATCTCCAGCGGGGTCAGTGGTACCAGATTCGCCCGGCATGTTGCCAGGATGGCACCTTGATGTCGCCAGTCTTCCAAGGGTCGACAGATACTACCATGTTCGAGGATTTTATTGAGCAGCTTCTCCATCATTGTGGTAGATGGCCGGACTCAAAATCTGTCCTTATCATTGACAACGCGTCTTTTCACCATACTGACCGAATACAAGAGCTATGCCTAAGTGCCGGTGTCAAGCTATTATACTTACCACCACATTCACCTGATCTAAACCCAATTGAAGAATTCTTTGCGGAGCTCAAAGCATTTGTATGACAGAATTGGCAAGAGCGCACAGGTCAAAATTTCGAAGATTTTCTAGCATACGAATGTTGTGATTGAAGAGGAATAAAATTAGATGTTACCGGTGTTGTAGAATAGTCAACTTATATCAAAACCTTGACTAATATTTTACGGAGGTTGGCTCAAGAAAGCTTCATTCTTCTAAGACCTGTAAGCCACGAGACTGGTGGACTAACATAGAATAACGTGCGGAAGCTCAAGATACTCTGCTGGCAGGTTTTTGCAGCGAAGCGAGTAAAAATCGTCCACTTTGCCCGCAGGCGATTGCAAGCCTTTTGTATTTCGACAATCCTTGCCCACGTGAAACAGAATGTTCATGACGTGATGTAAATAGGACCGTTAACATGAAATATATTCATTTCCTAACCTAGCGTCTTGGCGGTGGGGCCCAGAAAGAATGAGTGAGTGTAAATTGGTGAAGCTGGTTTTGCACTTCTCTGTAATTTGATTATTCACAGGTAATTGGAGATCCACGAGTCAAGGCAAAGCTTCATCTTGACAAGTCCATACTACAAACTTCAACGTCATGTGTTCGGTTTTCCAACTTTCAAAGTCGAAGTTTGGGTCACTCAAGGGGTTCAGAGAATGCTTCCAGATAGGGTCCTAGATCTGGGGCGTAAGCCTCTCCTTCCCTGCAAGGGTCTACTCTGCAGCCGTAATGCGGCAAAATAATCGACGCCCAGCGTCACATACCCACAGGCGGCAAATGCATCCATTGTCAAAAAGTTGCTGATTTGCAAGCCGAAGGCATCAGGGAAGAACAATAGCACATTGTCATTTGACACCATTGCGTGAGGTGTGGCTACATAGGTGTTCACTCCGCCAATCTGCACGGCCTTCCCTGCGGGCTCTCCCGAGTGAATGGAACCTTTGAGGCAGCAGAGGTCGACCGGTTTGGCAAGAACTGGATCCTCGACGGTGCTCATCCTGTAACGTTGACCACTGGGATTATAGTGAATTTAGTTTCGGGCATTTAGCTATTGAATTATGGCAGTGACTATATACCCGCATTAGCCATCCAATTAACATCTGCCATTGGTATGCACTGCATCGGGGGCCGTCGGGGCATCTTCGAGAGGGGCCTGGACAAGGGTCAGTATGAACCCTGCTAAGTGTCTTTTCCAAGCGGCTTCGGGCCTACCCGCCCAGTGGCTGTGTTTGATGGGTATCAGCCCCGACCCAACGCGTCATCCCCCCGCGGGGAGTCAGCTCATCCGTCGATGCTGCTCAATCGTACAGGCCGACCATAGCCGATCATACCGCAGAGCGGAGTTTAGCTTATCTCGATGCCGCCATGTTTCATATATCGCTACCTGCCTGCGGCAAAGGATGGACAAGCAAGTTGTCGTCAACAGAAACCCTGAAAATTCACACTATGGCTGGAGACAATATCAGAGGCATGCATGTTGCTATCGTCGGTAGGCTTCCATGATGTGCACAGGCTTATCGTGATACTCATTCAAGACTGAATCTAGGCGCCGGGATCGGGGGACTCGCCCTTGCCATGGGTCTGCATAAGAAAGGCGTACCTTTCACGATTTATGAAGCAGCCCCAGAATATTCAGTTGTGGGGTAAGTTCAAGTTCGGATTATATTAAAATCCGGGTCTCTGACTGTAGAAAAAGCGCTGGCATAGGATTCGGACCGAATGGCGATCTGGCCTTGGACATGCTCCAGGAGGGGTTTCGTGCCGAGTATGAAAAGGTCTGCGTGGGTAATAATCCTGCCAACCCCCAGGATATCTACTTTGAAGGCATGCTCCTCCAGGAGGGTCTTGGTGCGTACAGCTCATCTCTTTCCTAAACATTAGGCAGGGGACCTTTCTACTAACTGCCTATTATAGGTCTCAAAGAACCTTGGTACGGTCATTAAACCTGGGGCCACCCAGATTACACCCGCAGAGCAGTCAGTAACTCTAATGCCCCGCCCCATACTTTCATCTAGCCGAACGGTGCTAAACCAATTTAGGCACATCGGAACGCCGTACTTCAAATCATGACCAGTTTTATACCAATCGAGAATGTCCGTTTTAGCAAGTCCTTGACTGATATTGAGCAACATCCGGGCAAGGTTATCTTGAAATTTGCAGACGGCGAAATTGATGAGGCTAGTATTCTAGTCGGCGCGGATGGCATCAAGAGCGTCGTAAGAGAGCACGTCTTGAACCCATTGTATCCTGGCCAGGCTGAGCCGGTGTACGCAGGCTCCTATTGCTATCGAGGCGTGATCCCGACAGCCGACGCCGAAGAGATTTTTGGGGAACTCACAGATGTGGCTAAGATCTACGTCGGGCATAAACGATGTTGTGTCACTTATCTGATTTCGGGTGGCGCGGTAAGTTAGCGTATCTCAACGCCTCGTTCGCGGAGTATACTAAATGGTCATGGATTCTAGGAATTTAATTTCCTTCTTTGCGTTATCGATGATAAACCATGGGTATTGAAGAATGCCGTCACGCAAAAAGTCGCCCATGAGGCCATGATAGCTGATTTTGAAGGCCCTGATGTGGACCACCGTTTCCGCCGTTTGTTGAACAAGGCCAAGCCGATCAAGTGGGGGTTTTTCCATCACCAGAACACGTCAACATATTATCGTGATCGGGTGGTCCTTCTAGGTGACAGCGCCCATGCTTCTCTGCCTTTCCAGGCTGCTGGCGCCAGTCAGGGCTTAGAAGATGCCTTAGTGCTATCGAACGTGCTGGCTAAGATACACAATACTCCTGACCAAGGCGCAGTCCTAGGGCAATATATCAACGCCGGATTTGCCGCATATGACCAAATCCGACGGCCGAGAGCCCAGAGACAACTTGAACGAGCTTACGAAATGAGCCAAACGATTCACTTGCAGCACCCAGAGTCAGGCTCTGATATGAACAAAGTCATACTCAAATTGCAGCGAGGGTGGTTCGACTGGGTGTGGTTTCATGATTTGGACGCGGACATCGAGTCAGCGTTACGGAAAATGGACGAGGTCATGAACGCGTAAGTGTTGACTTTGATGAAGTATGCTATGCGTGCTTTAGAGCAGACTTCCCGCCAAGCAGACGGTTACGAGTGAAATAAATGCTAACGAAGTCTCTTGCTTGCATCAGGACGAAGATTTGAAACCAGAAAATCCCTGTGATTCTTGACTATCATGGCCCCTGTCTCCAAGGGCCCCGTCCTATTCGCCTCGTTTAATCTCGTTGCTCCTGTTGGACTAATCATTCATGCGCTTAGCAGACCCCGTCTTGAGTTTTTCTTAGTTGGCCTATCTTTCTACTGCGTGTCCAGTAAATTGGCATAAAGACTTTGCCTCATATTCCTCATAATAACCCTATATTAAATGCGTACTTGTAACTTTAGAAGCTAAAGGTTCTTGTGGCATTCCTTATATTTGAACAGCCTTCTCACCCTCGATCACGCGACGCTCAAACGGCCCTCGCCCTACAATCAGCCGGGATACAGCACTTAGACTATACTAATTAATCAATGGATCTTTTCCACGTTTACAATAGTACATACGACCATAGGGTGTGGAGAACAGGGCTTCCCGTCCGCTCAGCCGTACTTAAGCCACACGCCGGCAGGTTAGTAGTTGGGTGGGTGACCACCAGCGAATCCCTGCTGTTGTATGTTTTTTTTTGTTCATCCATTTTTTTCTAACTCGTTGGGCTAAGTGCGCTTGCCATAAATTATAACACTTCCTACGATTGTTACTTTCAGAGAGGGATGACTGAATACGGAGATATTTAAGAGTGATGAACTAGTGCTATGGGAGGAGTAGGCTATCTAGGCTACAAACAGTTACACTTCCTGCATATCTCCTAAAATATTCTAGCGCTGATTAATCTAGATTGTATCAAAGATTCTCTAAACTCGCTCTATCAGGATAGGGTGACTATTAAGGCATTTGAAAATAGGCTTTAGAAGGGAACACTAGCAATATCTTACCGCTTCCTTGACCGTCTATATGAAGAACATATAACCTCACGAGATCCTAGGAAGGAGAAGTTAGCGACAATTTCTTCTCTAGAAGGATAGTTATAGCCTCGTTCTGATTCATATCTTAGCATTTACGCCAGCTATCTAAAAGATCCATGTATCCTTTTACAGTACAGATATTGAATTTCAATAAGTTTTTAACCGGCAGAATATTTATTCCGTCTGGCAGTGCGTAGACAGAGGATTGTCAGTACAACTGCATCACATAATAATATATCCAGGCGAGGGTAGTGGTAGGGAAAGGGAAAGGGAATAGGTCGCCAAATTCTGCTCATCGGGCTTGGGCGTAGATTCGCATCTACACCGTGAGCTGAGGTGGAAAGTAACCTTCAGAATCTGATCTTCTTTTTGCGCAGAACCTGACGGGAAATCAAAATGACTATCATCCCATAGAAGGTCGAAAGTACAAGAGTAGATCAACAGACCCACGCTAAACCGAGATAGTCCATATACCGCGAAGCCCCACACCCAATCAGCCCAGGATTTAGCAACCGTGGCGCCTCGCACCAATCAAGCCGTAATAAATAGCACAGCCTAGCCGATCTGACAATCTTCTGTCTACGCACTGCCACAGCGTTTATAATCCATCTGCCTGCTGCATCTCTGAGCCTTTTAATTCAATATTACTATTGAGGCACCCTAGCTACCTACCGAAGCCCTTGTGAAAGACCATAATATCTGCCTACGATGGAGGACCACACCAAAGACAACGAGCCAGCGCCCTCATACTCGGATATCTTCCAGCGTCCAGCGAATCTCTTCTCTGGTGTACGTGTTCCACCTTTCCCAGTTCCTTCATTCCACGTTGGTGTATGTTTATCCGTTTCATTTACCTCTGCCTCAGCCATTCCATTTCCACCTACAATCTAGCTGACATTGTTATCTTAGTACACCCGCGTAAACCAAGAGTCCGACGCTGAAGCAGGCGAGATCCATAATCATGGCGATACCGCCGTCCCTCTAAACACCAGACCAGTGGACGGCCAAGCGCATGTCCACTGCGAAGTCTGCGATAGACAGATGGATAGACGGGAGAAGGCCAAGCACAAGGAGTATAAGTGCCATGTTGTGTCGAGGACGTTCATTCTTATCACTTTGTTCATGATGATTTTCGGGATCGTCTCTGTTACGACAATTCATAAGGGGAAGAAGTAATGATGTTAGTGTTGCTTAAGGGAATAAACTGAGTTGAAACTACATATCAGTCATTTGATGGCGGGTCGTCTAGGGTTGGTGGACTTTATGTGGAATTAAGCACAAGCACAGTGAATCGCTTTCTATCCATCTACTCTGCTCTAGTCTGATGCATAGGAACAAATTGACAGATTCAAACAACATTGGACGCATGGTTTCAGGGTAAGGTACAGCTGGGTATATCGGGGCCATGGTACAGTGCCCATCTAAAGCACTCGACAACGACAGAAGGGGTTAATTTTATGTCCGAACCAGCGTATAGCTTATTGCTCCTCGCGCATCTTGCGGAAGAAGTCCATCACTCCGGTGAACACGACGAGCAGGATACCACCTCCGGGGCCGAGACGCAGAACCTTAGGAATGAAGCCCTTGTACAGCGCGCCGAAGCCCTCCTCCTTCATGACGGTACCAACAGCAGGCCAGGCCCAGTTGTACTTGGGAATCTGGCCAGACACCTTAGAGGTGTTCTGGATACGCGACTTAACCACATCCATGGGAGTGTTGAGGATAGTACCAGCGATACCACCAATAGAACCAGCGAGGAGGTCGTTACGGGTCTGCTGGCCCTTGTTACCAGGCTCAGGGGCAGGCAGCTGCGCGCGAACCTGGAAGATACATCCGAAGTAACCAGCGTTCCACAGGATGTGACGCCACAAGGTGGATTCCAGACCGTTGTACATGGCCAGGGGACCCTCCGTCTTGACGATCTTCTTCACGACATCCAACATACCATTGTACTTGCCGGCTGACGCCTTATCCTGCAGACGGATCTTGACCAGCTCGAAGGGAACAACCACGAACGCTTCTGTCGCTCCGGCGGTGGCACCGGTCAGAATGGCCAGGGACTGCGTCTGCTTGTCAACGCCGAACGCGTTGCGGTAGAAGGTGCCCCAGCTGTCATTGGCAGCGAACTTGGTCGCACGCTTAGGCGCCTCCATGAGGATGGGCGCGGAGATACCGCGGTACAGGCGCGAAAAACTGTGGAGATACTCGGTAAGTTTCGGAGGAAAAGGCACCAGTGTCGAATGCAGATTGTACGTACCCCTCGGTCTTGACGATCTTGCTGAAGCAATCGAACATGCCATTGTAGTGCTCAGCGCCTGCGACGGGGACTCCGGTCTGAAGTTGACTGCGGAGAAGCGCGTTAGTTGAGGTCGGGTGATCCATCCGATCGCGTGCTTACACTCGGGTCTTGACGACGTCCAATGGGTACCTGGATGTCGCGCATGGTTAGTATGGTTTATTCTGAATGCGATGGAAGGAATACAGTTTCCGGAAACTGTCTGGTCGAAGGGATAAGAGCGTACATCAATAGAATCTGTCGTGCGGGGATAGTCGCGTTAGTCACTGGATCACTTCTGGGATGGTTCTCGACGTCGGGATTGACTCAAAGAGCATCTGTAGACAATCTCTGGACGAAAAAGACTTACCTCGGACACACCAGCCACCGCACCGGCGGCGAACTGGTAGATGAAGGGGAGGGGCTGCTGCGGCTTGTCGGACATGATGGCGACCGTTTGAGCTGGGATGAGTTCAGCGAATGCAGAGCAAGAATGTCACGCAATGTTGCGAAAGGCACGCGATGTATTTTAGACGCGGGAAGACCTACCAGAAAAACTAGAAAACAGAAAGCTGGAGAAATGAAAGAGAGGAGATGGAGAAGATGGGGTCACCGGTGTCGGCAATACTCGGTGACGGAATCCGACTTAGATTCACCGCAGGAACAAACTGCCGGGTATTACTTATTACTAACCGCCCCGTGGGGTTCGGGCCTTCGCTTTTCCCCTTGGTATTTTGTCTCGGATAACTAGCATTGTTCATGTCTCATTGCTTATCTTCGTAATTCATATCCAAACAAGACCCAAAATAATCCCAAATATCCAATTTAACCAATTCACCCCTACTCGACTCCCAGTACTCGTCGCAGTCGCCTGTTCCTTGGCAACAGTGGAGTGCGCCGCAGTCGCCGTACAGCTTTGTCCGCATGCATACCCAGACGGACAACACCCACCGCCCACAGTGTCAGCACAGCTGAACCAGCCATTGGCACATTTCCCCGTGCCTTTTGAGGATCCTGTCGCGACAGGCTCCACGATCGTCACCCCGTCCGATGTAAAAGTCGTCGACGAGGTCGTCGGACACGACGTAGTATCGCAATCTCTCCCGGTCTGGCAACAACCACCATGGTAAACAGCCGAGCAAGCATAGAACCCAGTTGGACAAACATCCACTCGACTAGTCGTAGATTGACTCGTTGTCGTAAGACTCGTCAGACTCGTAGGTCTCGCCGGAGGAATCAGGCTATCAGTAGTTTCCGTCTTACTGGACTCGGTCGATGTCGAAGAAGTCGAAGTTGTCGAGGTCGTCGACTGAGTAGAATGCGTACTCTGTGGAATGGTAGAATATGTCTCCGTAGAAATCACAACACTCGAATCAACCGTAATCGTCACAACGGAGAGATAAGCACCTGTCATGCCCCATTAGCTCTTTCCAAAGAAAGACCAGGAAATAAGACAAAGAGAAAAGAAAAACACTCACATCCCCCCGAAACGCACTCATACCCCGGAATACAGCATCCGCCCCCCAGCGCCGCCGAACAAGTCGTATACCCACTCGCGCAAGATCCAACAGTCCCAGAACAAACTTCCCCACTCGGACAACAGCCAACATCCCCAGACCCCGTATCCGTCACGATTTCGCACGTACTACCAGTACTGCAGCACCGATCCGAGCGGCCGATGGACGTGCATGCGTTTGTCCCAGTTGGACAATTAAAATCTCTCGTCTCCAGACCCAAGGCATTTCCAGGTACTTCCAGAGCGGACTGGAACGGGAATGAGCGAGCGAGGAGAGGATACTCGTATTTGGGATCCAGGTCTCTGTCGGAGAGAGTAGAATTCCCATCGGTTGACACAGCGAAATTATAATATGAGAGGAAAAATTTCTCGCCTTCGTCGGGTGCCATTTTACGAATGCCTTGGATGATATCTTGGGATAGGCGACGAGTGATTTCGTCATTGCGTTGGAAAATATTATTGTAAGAGTGAGATGTATCTGATGAGTTGGTTACATCGGCGTAGATACCCGAGACGAGTAGTGATAGGAAGGGTAGGAGTAGCATAGCTACAGCCACCCGAGGTCAGCAGTAACTTTGATCGGGGCTGAGACGGCGTTGCGCGTGGGTGCGGGCTGTGTTGTGACACAGACCAAGTGGGTTGAAGACGGGGCTCGAAGTTATTGATTTCATATGATTTCGAGATTGGTGCCCAACTTCAAGTTTCAATGTTCGGAGTTCGGAGTGGAAACGAGAGTGAAGATCAGATATGAATGTAGAAAGGATATATGTACGGAGTCTGTAGTCTAAATAGTGGAGGAAAAGCGGATGGCTGGGACCGGCCACCGACACCGACACTTCTTTATTATCCACTTGTCTCAAGTTGGTGCCCAATTGAGTTTTAATTGGGTATTGACATCTACGATAGGTCTACTCTATACAAATGATCATGATTATGGATAATATAGGTTGGAAACAAGTTGAACTAACTACCCGTGGGCCAACTAGTAACTTCGCGCGAATAAACAAGACATGTGGGAACAAGCCACAATTTGTGGCTGGGTATCGTCAATCAGTGCCATGAATGCAAAGTGCAAATGTAAACAAGGGGGCTATAGGAACACGCCACAGATAAAGACGATAATAAGGATGGAAATGCAAGCAGATGGAGGCCTTCGCATAAAACGCGGGAGTTAAAATGCAAAGGAAGATTCATGAGAGGTGGAATCAGGACTCGGGAGCGGTTTCATCAGGGCTCGAGTCCTTCTTCTCATCCTCCGGTTCTTCTTTAGGAGGAACCTCGGGCTTTTGCTCATCGGTGCTGTCAGAGTCAGGAGCTGGCGCTGAGTCTCCCGCCTCTTCCTCGCCTTCAGGCTTCGGCTCTGCTGCTGCGGCCGCGGCAGCTTCGGCTTCGGCTTTCTCCATTTCGGCGTTGCGAGCCTGCTGCCTATCCCAGACTTCCTTGCGGATGCGATCGTCTTTAGCATTGCGCAGACGCTCGGCCTCTTCAACACCACCGCTCTTCTTCAGTTTGCCTTCTTGGACAAAATTGCCAAGTTCCTTTTGGAACAGACCAATCCGGCGGGTCTCAAGTTCCTTCTTGCGAGCCTTCTCCGCTCGCTCGATGGCCTCAACTCGACTCTCGTGATTCGGTCGCAGTGCGCGCACCTCGCCCAAGACGCCATCCTTGGCCTTCTTTGGGTCCATGGTTGGGTCAATGCCAAGGGTACGCGAGGTAGCCCGCAAAGTGACACCAGCAGGATCCTTGGCCTTCTCCATAGCCTGCTCCTTCGTGGCTTGCTCGACCAAAGCGAAGGTCTGAGCAGCCTTCTCCAAATCGTCTTGCAGATCGGCCGCGAGATCCTCCTGCATAGTCAGTTGGTCTCGCTCTTCGCAGACCAACTGCAACTCTTTCTCCCAAATCTTAGTCCAAATGGGCTTCTCCCGAGCGAGGAAGTCCTGCATCTTCTTGATTTCTTTCATGGCAGTGCTGATATCGCGGTTGACCCCCTCTAGCTGGCGGGGCAGGGGTCGCACGCCACGTTGAACGACATCCTTCCTAAGGTCCTCGACCAGATCCTGGAGATCATCAACACGAGACACAAGTCGCTCAGACTCATCGCCGAGCTCCTTCTTGCCGGTGTTGACACGTGCACGGCCAGCATCGCCTTCATAGGTAGGGACAGCCACAGTTTCTGCGGCAGTCTTGACCTGGCTGGCCTTGGAGCGCACCGCAGTCATCGAGCCTGTGATATCGGACGAGAAATTGGAGTATGTTTGTCGGAGCACAGCAAGATCACGGCGCAGGCTCTGAAGCTCCGCGATCTGGCTGTTGCTTCCATAAATTGGTGCCTTCTGGCCGGAAAGAGGACTGGGCACGGCTGCAACAGCCGCGGGAGGAGCCGCAGCCAAGCGGGCCATTTCCTTTGCCGCCTCCAGCTGACGGTCCGAGACGCGTTGAATAACCTTTCCTTGCCCAGCAAGAGCATCCTTGACGCCTTCCACCATAGAACGCACTCCAGACAAGCTATCATCAAAGTGTTTCTTGACTTCATCCAAGTTGTCGACATTCAACACGAGAACTGATCGATCTTTGACGTCGGCTAGGTCTTCGAGCTCATGTCGAATGCCCGAGACAGGGTCCTGGATGTAAATCTCGGGTAAGTCAGCTCCATTGCTATGGGTGTTCCAAGCGAACTTCTCAATGAAAGCCAGCTGAAGTCGTCCAATAGTAAGATCTGTAATGCCTTCAGGCAATACGTATTTCTTGATCTTAGTTTTATATTGCAAGAAGAGCGTCAGCTCCTTCCCCGGAGACGGCTGTTCACCAACAAATGCAGGTACAGGTGGGGGGGTTGCGATGCCAGTAGGAGAAAAGCGGCCTGCCTTTGGCGTTGTCGGGCCTACGGGAATAGGAGCATCTATTTTCTCCGGATCAAAAGCATCGTCGAGAGATGGCCCCTTTGGTGGCTGTGGGAAGCTTGGTGGTGCTACCTCGACCGGCTCCTCGGGCTGAGCTGGCTGCAAAGGGGGCTGTTTCTCGGAAGCTTTGGGGGTTTCCTCATTCTCAGGTTCCGGGGCAATTTCCCCGGGTGGTTTGCTCTGCTCTTCTTGGACTGCAGCCGGAACGTTCGCAGTCGCCTGAGCCTGAGAACTCTTCGAAATGTCCTGGGAGCCCTTGGTAGACCGCTGTCTCGAGTGAACTACCGAGCCTCGCAAGCGAACAGCGTTGAGAGATTCGCGCACATCACGTCCTCGATTGGGGATAGGAGAGTTTTGGGTAGGAATGACTGGAACACCGTTGGTTGATGTTCCCAGGTGCTTCTGAATTTGATAGGCAGAAAAACGACGGGAGGCTCGTCGTTCAAGCTCGCCGCTTCTTTGGAGAGCACCTAGAGCATCATCTTGTTTGGGAGGCGGGGGCGGAGCAGGGAAATCGGGAGGTGCCCCCGAGGAGGATTGAGCTGCTCGCGGAGTCGCGTTATTGGCTATATTTGTTTGGGTCAGAAGCTGCTGTGTCTCTCGTCTCGATGCTTCGCGATCTGAATGGCTTGTGCCTCGGGTTGGGGATGTTTGCTGGCCGGGTTGGGCATCATCCAGAGACCCATTACTGCCATAGCGACGAGCTGGCCGCTTTGGCGACTGTGCGCCGGGCTGGATATTGGGCATAGTCGAGGCGGCCGCTTCGTCGTATAGTTGTCCAATGTTCGATTTTTCGCTAGACAAACTTCCAGCACTGGCTTGCCGTCCAGGCATACCGGCCCGTCCATCCTCACGCTGCTGCCGAGAGCGTAAGCGAGCCTGCTTCTTCTTCAACCCATGTAGCAAATTTATGATTATATCGCGGATCTGAGGGAGGTATCGGTCCAGGCTTTGCGCGGATGCGTCCTGGCTGAGGGTGTCTTCCAGGATTGTGCGCAGGACGTCGGGGACTGGTCCCAAGTCGGAGGTTTCGACTCCGATAGCGTTGAAGGCCCGGCATGCCAGGTTAAATTCATATCCCAGGCGCACATACACATCCGACACGTCGTTCTCGGATGCTTGTTTTCGAGACCACTGTGTGAGAGTTTCCAGAAGTTGTTTGGTCGCAACGAGGAGGTGTGTTACACTCTTTTCGATTGTGGAGATCTGTTTATCGGGCTGTAGACAAAGTAGGTTCAGCGATTACTCAGTCTCACATGAAGGGGTTCGGTCTTACGACGGTCTTGGTTGATTGGGAGCGCCCCGAGGCGGAGGAGCTCCGACCAGAGTTAGAGGCCATGGGGTCACTAGGATAATGGGAGGAATCAAGTTGACCAGGATCCGAGGGAGTAGACATGAGAAGGAAAGGTGAGGTGATAAGCGAGGGAAACAGATGACGCCCAGCCTCCTCGTACCGCGTAGGAACTGTCACTGGATCCAAGGGTTGTGATCGGCGCGCTTAGCCGGACCTAAAATTACATAAATAACAACTATTACCGTTCCGCACGGTAATATATCCCAACACTGGAAATTGCACTATTTGCATTCCAACTCTGCAGGTCTTTCGAATCCACTCGCCGAGCTTTCGGAACCACCCGTGCTTATCCACTATGCCTGATCGACGCCATGGCGAGGTTTGGAACTATGGTACTTTACTCTACCTACCTAGGTATCTATGCTGTCAAGTCCCTTGGGACAAGTACATACTTGTACATTCATCTACAAAACCCTAGCTAAGAGAAGCCCTAATGCACACGTACCTTAGGGGTACCCTAAGGTAGCCACATCTAGAACAAAGCAAGCCAGTAGTCCCATCCACAATATCCATATCAATATTAATGAATAGTCCCCTGCGGAGGCTCGATTGGGCCGGTCTTTACAAACGCGGTATGCTATTGCGCTAGAATAGGATGACAGATTCAAATGTTGGATGGAACAGATCACTGTGTACGCATCGTCGATTCGGATAATAAAACCCCACAGATTATCTTCACCGTACTGACCTACGACAGGGTGGGTTCTGGGCCTTGACTTGCGTATTGTCAATACGACACTGGCAACCGGTCCATCGCAGGGGTTGGAGGCCCAAGGGTTACTGAATCAGTGAATAACCCGTATTAGATCAAAGGCATGATCAAGGTAGAGGTGAAAAGAGAATTTAATTTACCAACCATATTCCATTCCTAACCCTCTTTCGAATTGATGTCAGTATAGGAATTAGGAGGTGGAAGTTCCCAGGTTGAATTGTCAGGGTTGCACCGTACCGTACAATACATCACCTTCCCCGTGACTTGCCCTTTCCCCAAACAATTCCCAAACCTCACTTACCTTTGCTCCTTCTCATCGATCCTCCCCCTCCCCCCTCTCCTTCATTGTCGAGTTTATTCGGCATCTTTGTGGTTTCTTCCCTCTCACATCCCTCTGTGTCCTGTTTGTGCAGGCGGTGTGTTGTGGTAGTGCCTCATCCTCGCGGCTTTCCGCCGTGCGAAGTTCCACGACGCCTGTCTGACTCCCGAGTCAATCAATGGCTTCCACTTTGAACTCTGCGCCGGCTGCGAACAGCTCATCTGGCAATGCCCACTCGACACAGAACTCCGGCCGCCCCTCTCTGAGACCTAGCGCCAGCACCAAGGGGGACGGTCGCCGACAGTCTGGCAGCCCTGTTGATGGTGCTCAGCGGTATGTTCATACACCTTTTCCCCCACAGCCCATGAGTTTGATACTTTTGCCCTATTTCCCAATTCCTTACCCATCAGATCCCCGAGATGCCTTTGGTTTTCATCCTGCCCGCATCAACTCCTCCTCGACCACCGTGTCTCTGTGCACGTGCTCTCGAGCTCGTGAGCATGGTCCACAGGCTGGCATACAATTATGTCTGCGATGTAGCCAATTGCAATTTTCGGATTTCATGGCGGGCCCCTTCATCCTGTCTTTAACTTCGTGATTCTTGGTTGCACCTACTGATCCGGGCATGTTCTACTGAATAGGCGCACAAACTCACAGAAAGCCTGGACCCAAGGGACCAACCCCATCACTCAACGCTCCTCATATTCGAACGGAAACATGGCTCGCCAGTCGGGCTCCCCTCAGCCCGGCCTGAAGGAATCGAACACCCCCGATAACCACGCGCATGACCGTTTACTGTTCTTATTCGCCAGTTTCATTGTAAGCTGACTTGTAGTGATCGCGAGAGGACTGGCGCTCATTTATCTTCACTATAGGGCCTGCATACGACAATTACCACAAAAGGCGGAGACAAATATACCGGCATTTTCTCGTCTTCAACTTTGGGAGCGAGCGATTCATCATTCATTCTGAAGATGGTGCAGCGAGCATCTCAGGAAAACCAACCTAAGACTAATGGCACGAGTGATGCGTCTAGTAATTACCTAGGATCTGGACAGGAGCATAGCATGGCCTTTGATATCAAGGATGTATCGGACATCGCTGTGCCGAACGTCTCCCCGGCTGAGGTCTCGGCCAAGGAATCCAATGGTAAGAAACACCGAATAGTCAACTGATGAGAAGTGCGAAAATTGACACATACACCAGGTGCGAGTGGTTTCAGAACCGACGCTGACATCTCCGGAAATTTGGCAATGCGTGAGCGCACCCTTAAGCGCTGGGAGCCTGCCGCTGACGAAATTGACATGTCCTTGGAGAGCGCCGCGGGCGATTCCGCGGGCTGGGATCAATTCGAGGCCAATGAACGTCTTTTCGGTGCAAAGACCAACTATGATGAGAATCTTTACACCACTCGCATTGACCGCTCAGACCCCACCTACCGTCAGAAGCACGCCGAGGCGGCTCGCATTGCGCGTGAGATCGAAGGCCAGGATCACGAAAACGCCCACATGCGCGAAGAGAGAGGCCTGGTGGCCCCTGACTCGGGTGACCAGGATGAAGAATCCAAGTACAGCGGTGTCCAGCGTGAGGACAAATCCTTCCAGCCCCTCGCTTCTGGCCAGCCCAATAAATATACTCCTCCTGGACGCCGTCAGCCCGCACCTCCTGTTGCGCCCTCAAAGCAACCATCGGCTCCTGTGCCTCAGGCTCCAGCCAAGGAGATTGCCCCTGTTGAGAAGCAACAGCCAACTCCCGCGGCCCAGCCCAGTGCTGAGGCAGAGCAGAAGACTGACAACAGCAAGGCTGCGCCTGCTGCTTTCACCGCAAAGCAACAGCGCCCTGTCCCCGATAATGCTACTGCCAACGTCGAGACCGAGGTTCTCGATCACTTCCGCCAATTCGCCAGCAGCGAGAAGCTGAAGGTTCAAGAACGTCGTCGCAACCAAGCATCGTACGATCGTACGATCAAGTTGAACGAGTTAATGAAGTTTTCCAAGAACTTCAAGCTCTCTACTCCTGTTCCCAAGGATCTGGTGCCCATTCTCGCCAAGGACCCCCACAAGCAAGAGGCTATCATCGGCCGGCTTCAATCGCCAGATGAGAAGGCCAGCCCGAAGTCTGCTTCGCCTGTGGCTGAGCAGAAGCCCACTGCTCGTGCTACTGGACCTACTGGTGCAGTACCTCCTGTGGCTCCTTCTGACCGCCAGAACTTCGCTCGGGGTCGTCAAGGTTATCCTCCTACTGGCCCTCTTGCTGGCCCTGGTGGTCGCTTCCCCCAGCAGCCCATGCAGCAGGGTCGTCCCGGTGCTGGTATGCTCAGCCATCGCCTCCAAGACAACCTACAGCAGCGTAAGGGTAACAACATGGCTCCCGTTCCCGCTCCGTTGCCTATTCAGGATGCTCGGGGACCTCCTACTGGCCCTGCCAGCGATCAGTCCCGGATCACCAGCCCCGTAAAGTCTCAGAGCTTGGCCTCCGCTGCGTCGAAATTCAATGTTCGCGCGATGGAGTTTAAGCCCAACCCTGCGGCAAGCACTTTCACTCCCGGTGGCGGTTCGGGATCTTCTGCTGGTCCTGGCACTACTGGTACTACTGCTGCTAGTGGTGTTACTGCTGCTAGTGGTGTTACTGGCGCTACTGGTGCTAGTGGTGCTAGTGGTGCTTCTGGTACTACTGGTACTACTGCCGCAACTGCTACTAACACCGCCGCCGCTAGTGCTAGCCCGCGATCCTTCTCGCGAAATACTTCTGTTTCTCGTGCGACTACACCCTCTGCATTCTTTGGCACCAAGAAGCCCCAGCCTATCTCCGAGAGACCGTCCATTGATGATCAGTTTAATCCCATAAAGCGCATGAAGAAAGAGAGCGCCGAGGCAGCTGAAAAGGCCGGCAAGCCTTACACTCCATTCAATGGCGGCGTTCCCCCTCCTTACAAGACTCTGCCCACTTGGGATGTGTCAGAGGCCAACCAGGAGAAGAATTTTGACCAGATGTTCAAGCAGCCGAGCAGTATTCCCTCGGCTTCCCCCCAGGGCCGTTCTGCTTCAAACAACCCCCATCTTCCCCAGTCGCAGATGCCTTTCTACCAAGGGGGCAACCAGGGTATGCCACCTTCCTCCGGTCCTCCTGGTGGACCTCACATGCACCAAGGTTCCCATGGTCCTACTCCGGGTCACATGGATGATCATCATCGCATGCAGTTGTCGGCATCGTCTTCGCAGGTTTTCCCCTCGCCTCGTATGGGACAAAGTCACATGGGATATCCTTCTCCCATGGTCCCACATGCACAGCTGGCATTTGGCCAGCCGGTGCCGCAATTCTACGGAGGACCTCAGCCCGGCCACATGAGACAGTACCAGGGTGGCCCTCAGTTCATGAACCCGCAAGCTGCCATGGGAGCTCCCATGATGATGCAGCAGGCTTCCACCGGTTCTTATATGGGTGTGCCCCAGGGCATGTCTCCATATAACCCGCAAATTCAGATGTACTCCCCTTCTCCAGCCCACGCCTATCCTCAGCATGCACCCCCTCATCAGCCACACAGCGGTTACCCTAGCCCCAGTCGCGGTGCGCCCATGATGATGCACCAGAACTCGCAGTCAGGCCAACCTCCCCAGCAGATGATGTTCATGTCTGGACAGCCTGGACAGCCTGGATATGGAGCGCAACAGCCCGGTCACAGTTAGTCTCAAATTGAACAACTATTATCATTCACTGCTGACTGTTCGGAATCAGTGCCTCCTGGTCGTGGTGGCTACCCCCAGCAGCAGCCTCATTTCTCCTCAAGCCCTCACCAGGGTCACCATTTCCCTCCTAATCAGCACCGGACACCAAGCAACAGCTATAACCAGGTCCCTCAGATGGCTCCCCAAGGACCATCTGGCACCCAGGTCAATGCGGGCTCCGGTTCGCACTCTGCTGAGCCCGCCGATGAGGGTAAATGAACTGCATGACTTGTGATCGATTGTGTGACTGTCCTGGTTCAGCGACTTGAACTCAACTTGTGCACCGTTGACAATGGCTATTTATCAAACCCCCTGAGGTTCGAATGTGTCTCTGTCGTCATCCCTCCTGCTACCTTTGGTACCACCGTGTACCACGGATGAAGAACATGTTGATACGAGGCTTGAAAGGTAAGGTCCAATTCTGATACTTTGATTCGCTCATACTGATTGTCATAGATTCGATGATTGGATATACTTATCAAGTCTATTTATCATGGGCGTGGGTTTGGAGATAAACCTGCCGTGAATTCCCTGAGTTGTACACGACTCAGCCACTGGCCCTCATCAAATCCTCGTTTCCTCTCACCGAGCTTTCTCGGAGAGTTACCTCACAGTTGATGTCGATTGCTGGGGTTTCCCAGTTCTGAAGGTGCTCTCTATCAGGATGTTTCCTTCAGGGGTTTTTTTTGTTTTCCTTTTTTCCAATGTGGATATTGCGTGTCTGAGTGGTCTGAAAGTGATCTCATGTGTTCTGCCTCACGAGGTATGCATCGCATGTGACGGGTTACCATGAAGTGGAGATGAACGAATACCAGTGAGAGGCGGGAGGGAAGTGGTCAATGCAGGTGTCAGCGCGGTGTGAGTAGTTGCGGGATAGTGGCTTCCACGGTAGTTGCTAGCACTCCTTTGGGTGCAATGTGAGATGACTATATCTAAATAACTCAACTTCCATTCGTAGACTGTATACTAGAGGTACAACATAATCCCATCCAAAATACAAAATCTCCCCAGCCCGGCACTCAACCCATTCATTCCCACGTCCTATGACCTCTATAGCAGATGTTAGCTCTCATCCACAAACATATCCAGTTTCAACTCGAATAATCAGATCTCCTCAGGTCTTTTCAGTTTCACATTGGTCTTCATTCAAACCAACCAAAGAGACCACCGTCTCACCGCGGTGCTTTACCAACCACACCATTCGCATCAATCCACAACACAACTCTAACTTCCTTCCCACACACCACACCACATTTACCCCAGCCCCATTCCGTCTCTCACATGCCGTTCGCGCAGTTGAAAACACAACCCACTATCGACCGCAGCCATTAGTTCCTAAACAGTCCTCATAGAGAAAAGCGGACCCAGGAACTCCATTAAACGGCCGGACACGCCTATACCCTTCTAAGAAAGGTACAAGAATATCACGATATACACAAGGTTTCTCCCAAGGTCCCTTGTCCGTAGAAAGCCATGGGTCTCGGCTTGGACCCTTTTGCCTAGCCATGTGTTCTGCGCGAGGGGATGGGAGAGCTGATGGGAGTGGGGGCCGGAGTAGTGCTTTGTTGGCATGGAAATGGAAGAATTTAGTCGAGATGTGTGCTGTGAATGATATTGGTAGATGTGGTGGCGAGCTCCTTCGGTCTGGGGTTTCTTGCTGGCTTTGCGCGGTCTGACCTTTTACCAGGGTCGCATCTTTGGAGGGTAGGGTTGCTGGTCGCAATAAAAATGAATGGATGCGTGGAGCTTACCTGTTAGAAATCAGTATATCGAGACCGTAGAGATGCCGTGCTTAGCAGTATGCGCGTGGCATGTTTGTGAGAGTGTTGACGAAGGAAGCTCCGAAGCTCAAATAAATGCGGAGCTCTGCCTCAGGCTCCCGCGGGGCTCATCACCGCAAGGTGGCCACGGAGATCCAACAGTCAAGATCCCAACTCTCAGTCTCCTCTGCACATATTCTTTTTTTCTCTTCACCTCCGAACCCCTCGTTCTACTCTCAACACACACTCCAAACGACCCTGCTCCCCCTCCCCCGGCCCATTGGCCAGCCCACCCCCGGGCCCGACAACAACATCACACATGGATTTCCTCAAATCAGCCGTCGCGTCCGCCATCGCGAAGGGCAGCTCGTTCCCATTCTCGCTAGGTGATCGAGTCGATATCGGCGACTCTATCTGGACGCTGCATAATGGTACAAAACGGGTAGGATGGTCTCCGCCCCGGTGGTTATCTGGTTTCTAATATATATATAGGATGATGGCTCGGCTTGCAGTGTCTTTACCTTTGATATTGCGGCGAACAAGTCACGTCTCCCGCTTGCTAAAAATGCCGTACGCAAGTCGCGCACGCTCCGCCACCCGGGCGTGATCAAGGTTCTGGATACGATTGAGGTATGTATGCGCCTATGTGTCTGCGCGATAAGGGGGCGTGGGTTAAAGTATGAGGCTGACAACGAGGCAGAATGAATCGAATCTGTACATCGTTACTGAGCGCATTGCTCCGCTTGATTGGCAGGTTAGGAGGAGGAGTATCAGTGAGGAAACGGCGAAATGGGGGTTGCATACTGTTTCGGTATGGTGCTTCATCCTATGGGTATTGTGTTTATGCTGACTAGTTTGTGCTGGGAAGTCGACACTGAAATTCATCAATGAAGATGCATCCTCTGTCCATGGTGCTGTACGCGCGTCGTCTATTTATACAAGTGAGAGTGGCGAGTGGAAGCTAGGCGGCTTCGATATCTTGAGTTCGATGAAGGAGGACGATGCCGTCATTTATGTCAGTCATTCGTTATGAATGATAGTGGAATGCATGCTAATGATAAACAGACATACGGCAGCCTTGTCCCCGATGCAGCTCGCTTTACACCTCCGGAAGTTGTCAAAGGTGGTTGGGAGTCTATTAAGCGGCATCCTTTGGCGGCTGTTGATGCTTACGGCCTGGGTATTCTGATTTTCGAAGTGTTCAATGGTCAATTTTCTGGCGGTGATCAGATCGGCAAGACGACCAACATTCCTCCTCCTATGCAACAGAGCTACAAGCGTCTTTGCACGGCGAATCCAAAGATGAGACTCAGTCCTGCGCATTTCGTCGAGCAGGGGAAGAAACATGGCGGGTTCTTCCAGACTCCCTTGATTCGTTTAACGGATGACATGGATAATCTGGGACTCAAAAGTGATGCTGAGCGTGAGGAATTTATCAAGTTTGTTTCTTCTCAATTTCGATAATGATTGACAATTGCTTACATGGAAAACAGTGGACTTGACAATCTCTCCGAGGACTTTCCCGAAGATTTCTTCAAGATGAAGGTCTTGCCTGAATTGCTCAAGTCTGTCGAGTTTGGTGGCGGTGGTCCAAAGGTGCTTAGCGCTACTTTGAAGATTGGTGCTAAATTATCAGCAGACGAGTTTAACGCCAAGTTGACACCCGTGGTTGTTCGCTTATTTGGCAATCCGGACCGAGCGTTACGCGTGTGCCTTTTGGACAACCTGCCTTTGATGATTGACAATCTCCCCCAAAAGGTCGTCACCGACAAGATCTTCCCTCCAATGGTCAGTTTGAGCCTTACCTTTAATGTTTTGTTTAAACTCGGTCTAATAAATCCCAGACTTCTGGCTTTACCGATGCTGCCCCTGTTGTCCGAGAACAGACTGTCAAGGCTGTTTTGACGATCATCAACAAGCTCAGTGACCGAGTGATTAACGGAGAGCTTCTCAGATTCCTGGCACGCACTGCGAACGATGAGCAACCTGGTATTCGTACCAACACAACTATCTGTCTTGGTCGAATTGCTAAGAACTTGGGCCAGAGTGTAAGTCTGCCACTATGGCTGTCCATCAGATGCTAATACCCTGTAGACTCGCTCAAAGGTGCTTATTGCTGCGTTCACAAGAGCCATCAGAGACCCGTTTGTGCATGCTCGATGTGCTGGACTTCTTGCCTTGTCTGCCACTATTGATGTCTTCAGTGAAGAGGATTGTGCTGCCAAAATTCTGCCAGCCATTTGTCCGTCACTCCTGGACAAGGAAAAGTCAGTTTAAGAGAACCAATACCTTCAATCCCCTACTCATATATTCCAGGCTCCTCCGTGACCAAGCAAACAAAACACTCGATGTATACCTCCAACGGGTACGTAACTTCGGCAGCACCATGGCCGATTCAGCAATACCACCAACCGCCTCACCCGAACCAAACAAGTCCGATGCTCGCATCGGCACGTCAAATGACAAGTCCTGGGCCGGATGGGCCATCTCCTCATTCACAAACAAAATGTCCGCTGCCGATGGCGAAATCGAGCCTACAGCCGCCAGACCCGCCGAAGCAGATATCCCCAGACCCGCCTCCGTTCCTCGCCCGGCTAAATCATCTCCCTTCACACAATTGGACCTTCCCAAACAACCATCACGTCTCGCTGCACATCCACTCAGTCGCTCACAATCCGATCGGCCGGTCCCCATTGTCCAAGAAGAACACCCAGAAGACGAAGGAGACGACGTCTTCGATGCCTGGGGCGCAATGGACGATGACGACAACGAAGAAGACACCTTCTCCGCAGCCGTAGCATTACCTAAACCCTCATCTCCAAATCCCTCTGCGAAGGCTCCCGCTGTACCATATGACGATGGTGGTGAACCGGATTTCGCCGGGTGGCTGGCGGCTAAGAGTTCCACGAAGGCGAAAAATCCCTTGCCTAAAGGGCTGGGCAAGTCCGCTTCTACCCCCTCCGCGCCTACGAGGAATACTGTAGGGAAACCAAAGACGGTGGTGCCGAAGAAGATCGACACGAAGCCGAAGGATGAGAATGAAGATGATGGTTGGGGTGATGCGTGGGATTAGCGTGTTCATTCCCATGGCATTGTATATACTACAAGTAATGTTTGATTGGACTGCGTATAGAGTATTACGAATACCCGTGGCCCAAGGTAATCATATTTCTCTTCCAATATGCCAAAGTTTTTCTAGCAGTACCCGTCAGGGTATGATTTAGATGTCGGTACTAGATGCTCCCGAGTTCCAGCCGTTTGGATACACCGGTATGCAGTCTCCACACGTATAGGGCTGGACGGTGTATTGGCTCACTATGGTCTAGTACAAACATTAGCGTCAGCTGAACCTTCCTATCTCCCCCGGCTACATAAAATGACTTGCAATAAAATTGGGTATTAAGAAGAAAAAACACGCTGCTGCCCAGGTGGAAGCATCCTCTGCTCACCGCATTCCGCGGACCCGATTATAAAAACTAACCCACTTATCTCTTATCGGTCTGACCTTCACATCCCCTTAGCGGTCATCTCTCAACCATTCTATCGAACCTGGTCAATGAGCTGCTCACGCCAAGTCCGAGACGCATCTACAAAGACCGGATGCGCGCCAAGCCCTGTGTGCTGACCTCCCTTTGACGGAATCTTGCTGCCTTCCCCTCCGGCTATCTTATCACGCCATGCAAGGTCAGCCAGCATCGACAGGCTGGTACTTCGCGATCCTCTAGGCCACTGTATTCTTCCCTCTCGGTTGATCCCAACAGCGCAGAATGAGCGACGAGGAGGCTCCACCGCCTTACTCGGCCACCGACCCTTTGAATGCGGCAAATAACCGCAACGGCAATTCGTCGCGGCCTATACCTCTACGCGACAATGCGCAAGCACAAGAAGCTGGCAGCTCAGGGTTACCAGAGCCTGGTCCTTCAACTCCATCTGTTGTGCCAACACATTTCTTCTCCGCCGTCACATATTTCGAGCAACGCCCGCCAACAGTCATAGACGACAGCCGAGGCCTTTTGGATCACCATATGACCATATACCCCCGCAGCCAAGCAAAAGACTTTCCTAGGCGGCCCCGCTGCTGGAATGACCAATTTGGCGAGGTAATCCAGCAGGACTGGGACACTTTCCTCCGCTATCTTTTCCCTGCCCAATTGGGCTTGGCTGCTGCCTCGCAGCACTTGCCCCGGCAGCTCCGAGCGGAGATCCAGCGGGATCGCAAGGACCGCCCGCAGGAGACCGATGAGCAGCGCCATGCACGGATTACAGCTGTCGTGGACGAATGGAATCAATGCTTCTTTGAGCCACGCGCTACCCGCATTGTCTTTGTCTATGTCGGCGAGCCCGATGCCGCACCCACTTCTGCGCTGTGTCCTCGATGTTACCCAGCTGCCACGAAGGCTACCCAGGGCACCGGCACCCCGACCTCCATGGAAAGCCAAGCACCGGCCATAGCCAATGCGCCGTCGCCAGTTGGGCAGCCTTCACCCTCGCCAACTTCGTGGCATATGCCTCAATACTCACCTTTTGGGACACCGCAACATATGCCCTACGGCACTCCGTACGGTGTTCCGCCATTTACTGCACATGCAACACAGAATGGCCAACCTTCCCAGTACTATACACCGCCGCCTCCAGGGGCTGCTCCGTGGCAATGGCAGCCTTGGGGCTATACACCGCCACAATTTGGTCCGTCAGGGACATCCAAGAGTGGACCCCTTGGCTGGATCTCCAATATTACCTCCCAGGCGCAAAAGTACGGCGAGCGGTTTGCTGAACAGGCGCAACATTATGGCGACCAGATCAGCTCACAGGCCATGCAGTATGGAAGGCAGGTAGAAGAGCAGGCGATGGCGCATGGATGGTGGATCGAAGATCAGGCCAGACTTCATGGCCGTAAGCCGAACGTATACCCGTCTGGATATCCGCCTGGATATCCGCCTGCTGCATGCAATGGGGGACCGCCATGGAGTCCCGCCCCAGCTGGACAAACAGGCCAGATAGGCGGAGTTGCACATAATCGGCCGACATCAACATTGACATCGACATCGACACCGACGTCACCTACTACCACCACGACCCCTGTCAATACCACAGAAAACCGACCTTCACCTCAACCCCAGCCAGAGGCTCAACCCAAGCCTCAAATCCAAAGTGACCATAAGTCTCTCTCGCGTTCTTTCCAACGTTCTCGCCGCGCCTCTACCAGCTCTGTCTCTTCCGTATCATCACTCAGCTCAATCGATTCGCTATCCACAACCTCCGACCTGGACGCCTCAGACCTAGCCAACATTCGCACGCAACTCCAGTCTCTCCATGACCGTCACGACCGCACCCTCTACGAAGCCGCAGTCGACCTACGTCGACAACTATCCCTCCTGGAAGAATCCCGCCGCGAAGCCCGCACATCTGGCCGTCGAAACTGGCGCAATGGCCCCCAAGGCCCGCAAACAGATAGCACAGACTGGGGACGATGGGAATCTCCCGAACAACAACAACGCGAGGCCACTGAGCGCCGAGCAATGAAAGAGGAAATGCGGGCCACCAAGAAGGCCTTCCGAGACGTCATCCGCCGTGCCCGCGACGAACAGCGCGATAAGCGACGAGCCCGGAAGAATCGTCTTCGTCATACTCGAGCTCAACCTCAACCTGAAAGTAAGCCTCAAGATGAGATTCTGCTCGATGGACGAATGGCAGCTCTCGCTGTTGAAGAGCCTACATTCCGTCCACCGGCACGGAGCCACACCGAGCCTATTTCCCAAGCTCATCGGCCTCAGCCTGCTCCTCTCCGCTCTGATGCAAGCTCGGAAGTTAGTGTGCCTGGTGCTATTAAGACACCCTTGTCTGCGTCCATGATCAATGCGCATGGTTCCCCAGCTGGGGTTCCGGATAAGAAGTCGAAGTTGAAGCAGATGCTTAAGTCGAGGAATATAAAGAAGCAGCAAAAGGCTGAGAAGGAGACCGAGCAGGACAAGTCTAAGAAGGACGGTAAATAATTCGCAGAGACGGAGAAACATCAGAGCTCAGTTATGATCACTCTGGGCACGATTTACGATTTATCAGGATTTAGCATTCATGTATCATGTACATTTCATCGCACATAGATCCATCCATCCATTCATGGATAGTCCACATCCCCATCTCATTCATCTGATTTCCCACATACACCTCGACCACCCCCGCATGTTGATCATCATCGAAGAATGAAAAAGAACCAGACTAAGCCTGACTCTCATTCCTCTCCACCAAATCCCCAACTCCTAGCCCCCTCCCAACCTTAACCTTAACCATCTTCTCCGCCTCATCTCCATCCTCCTTCTTCCCCATCTCACCAACAGGCTCCCCCTCATCATCATCCCCATCTGCCTCTCCAGCCTTCGCCTTATCCTCCGCCGCAATGCGTTTCTCAATCGCCTTCCAGTTCATCCACTGGCCATCCAGCTTCAATCGCATCGCGTAGGCATCTTCACCATCCGCATAGTACTTGCTTTCCACCTTCTCGACTTCAAAGCCTAGTGTGTCGCGATACAGGCGGAGGGCCGCCGTGTTGGAGACGCGGACGTGTAGCGAGACGTAGTTTGCGCGGTGGGATTCCGACATGGCGAGTTCTATCAATGAATTAGCATTCCATCTCCCATGAACATTGCCCGTCTTGCTAATGGAGCCTCCAGCTCCAAAGGACATAAAACAAGAAACAAGAAATAGAAAGAAAAAGAAAAAGAGGAAACTTACGACTCATTCGCATCAACCGCTCCGCAATACCCAGCCTCCTGTGCGTCCGCATAACACTCAAACTAGTAATATGTCCATGTTGCATTCCATCCGTCGGCTCTTCCTCCATCTTCGCAAGCACATACCCCACGACCTTGGGATACTCGCCGGCGACATTCCCGGCTGCCCCAGCACCGGCAATGCCATTGCTCTTAGCGTAGCCGTTCTTGGGTCGGACGACGGCGACGAAGGAGAGTTGTGGCCATGTGAGAGCGTGGTAGAGGTAGTATTTTAGGAAGTAGTTCTCGGGGAGGTTGGTGATGTTGCAGGTTTGGATTGAGGGGAGGAGGTCGATGTAGCTTGGGTAGCTTGATATGGGGACGATGTCGACCATTTTGCGTTTTGGGGGCCCGTGGACCGTGCGGAAGTGTCGAGCTGGTGGTTGCTTTGAGGTGAGGAGGGATTGGATTGGGGTGGTGGGATGGGAGGTGGGGGTCATGTGATTGTGGGGACTTTTTTTTTGGAGAGGGTTTAGAGAGGAAGTGCGATGCAATTGGTCATGCAATCAATGGAATTGATTCGTAGAGAAGAGTAATTGAATTGGATATTGGATGAATTGGAATGTATGGGATATTTCACTTCTAGATTATTCATATCTACACACGATTCGTATCTGCCTATAAGCAAGAAATCAAACTATAATGTGTCGTGGACATTCGTTATTAGAACGCTGTCAACAGGAACTGAATGCCTGCTACAACGGCGAGCAGAGTTGAAATGCCGGAGACGGACACTCCGTGTACGGCGGCGGATTTGGTCCCACAGCACTTCCAGTTGTAGGTGACGTTGTTCATCTCGGCAGCGACTTCGAACACTGATCCGTTCTTGGGGCTGCCGTAGTTGTAGTAATCGACTAGGAGGAAGTTGGGCGGGCGGTTCCATTTGGCTGGTGTGTGTTAGTGGTGGTATGGGAGGGGGAGTGAGGGGTTGGATAATCTTACCTGTGCAGTTGCGCGCCATCTTGCCCAGACTGCCGGTACCATTGACACCGTTGGTCTGGTTCAGCAAGGCGGTGTTGGGAATGAGGAGACTGATGGAGCCGAAACTGAGATCCAAGTTCAGGTTGTGGTTGGCCATGTACATGCGAGTCTCGGCACCCTGGCGCGCCAGACCCGGGGGCCGCTGCACGGTGCAAGGGAAGTTGTCGTTGGTCGGAGAGAAAGGAGTCTCCCAGATCTGGGAGAACTCGTCCATCAGCCATGGGATGGCGGTCTGGTTGGCTTGGTAGTCCATGAAGAAGACGATACGCTTCTGCGTCAGGATCATCTCTGACAAGGTAGGCCAGTCATCCAAGGCCATGGGGATCTTCGTCGGGGTGTATACATAGTCCATGAGACCGGAGTTTTTGATGGGCTCGGTGAAATTCTGAGGGCTGACGTAGTCGTAATTGCCCATCAGAATGGTGACCACGTCGTAGGGGTTCTTGCGCATCCAGACAGCGACAGTCTCGAGATAGGTCTGCAGGAGGCCCATGTTGAGAATATCGCAAGAGGTGTGGCAGAGCAGCATGGTACCATTCTGGTAGTGAACTTGGAATTGCACTTGGAAATGTTAGTTTGAGATGCGTCAAAAGGGTTGAGCATGTTGACTTACACATGCGAACACCGTCGTTCAGCTGAGCGGTCACGTCAAACATCTGGTTGGAGGCGGCATTGCCTGCACGGTCGAAGGGACTGTTGTGTGCAGCGACATTGGTGATGTTGGAGTAGTTACGCCCGCAGAGCTCGACGTAGCCATTGCAAGGCCGGGTGTTGATGACGGGGGTCTTGGTGGCCGTGGAAGTGGTCGTGGCCGTGGCATTCATGCTGTTGTTGCCTAGCGTTGTGGTACCACCCCCACCCACTAGGACCGTCACGGAGTTGGAGGTTGTTCTGACCACCGTCTGGTTCCCGGTTGTGGTGGCGTTCGCGGCGATGGAAGTAGTAACGGCCTCCAAAGAAGTATCGCCATTGCCGAGGGTGATAGTGCTGCTATACGTCTCGTAGGTGCCTGAGGGCAGAGCTACGCTACCTGTGATCGTGGAGGCATCGGATATATCGTAAGAGGTGGAGGAACGGCTAGTGGAGGTATCCGAGGAGGTATCCGAGGTGGTGGTGGTGGTGGTATCCTGAGCCAACGCCAGACCGATCAGGGTGACGAGGGATAGCCACCTCATGATGATGGTGAAGGTGAAGGTAAAGGTGAAGGTAAAGGTGAAGGTAAAGGTGAAGGTGAAGGTGTATGTGTATGGTGTATGTACATGAATGTACAGGGGGGGGGAAGCGTGGAGAGAGAGAGATGTTTTTTTGCGGATACCTGGAACCACCAAGATCTGCCAAGCATAGGGTCTTTTTCCAGGAGCTGGTGGAGTCCTCAAAGCCCAAAAGACGCCGGTGACGCAGGCCGCCACTGTTGCCGTGCCGATGCTCCAATAATAGGATGGCCCTCTAGGCTCCACCCAAGGGTGGTCTCGGCCTGGTGTCTGAGACCTGATTGTGTCCTTGGTCTAGCCTGCCCTCCCCTATTTTGGATTCAGTGCCCTGGTGACTCCAGGTCTGACGTGGCCGTCCATTCGCGTCCGGCTTTTACCCATACTCTGGAGAAGCAATGAGCAATGAGCAATGAGCAATGAGCAATGAACAATGATGCAAAGATGCAAAGATGCAAAGATTAATTAATTAATCAAATCATTATCCGGACGATCACCTAGCGCTAAAAAAGAGCTAGCGGCAGCCACCGACGATCGCACAGGAGCTTTGGGGGACCAGGGATTTCACCAGATCTGATTGTCCTGGTTCCTTTATAACTTACATGGACGCCTAAACGTCATCTCTTCTTCCCCTCCTCCTCCATTCCCCTCCAGTATGGTAGACGGGGACGCTCAGCTTAATGGCAATCGCCGAAAGCTCCCATTCTTCAATCGCGCCAGGCCCGACCGGCCTGTCACTGCCCGTCGCGCAAGCACCGTCCACACCCACCGAATCATTCGCGCCCTACTCTATCTCATTGCCTGGATCTTCATTCTGCTGGTCGTGATCGGAAACGTCGCGAATAAGCCCGTCCTGCGAAACACCTACTTCCTCTATCTCGACCTGTCCAACATCATCCCCTTATCTGTGCCCAATGCCGTCCTGATCAACTCCATCGCGCGATCTATCGGCCTGCATGATTTCTACCAGGTCGGTCTGTGGAACTTCTGCGAGGGCTACGATGACGAGGGAATCACCAAATGCTCCAAGCCGGAGACCCTGTACGCCTTTAACCCGGTCAAGATCATCGTGAGCGAGTTGCTGTCCGGTGCCAGTAGTACGTCCCCCAATGCCAACCCCCAATCGCAAAATTCTTTGCTAATCGCATTCCAGTCGCTCTGCCCTCCGACATCACCAAGCCCCTCCACCTGGCCAAGGTCGCCTCTCAGTGGATGTTCGGCCTCTTCCTGACCGCCGCCGTTCTCAATTTCATCATGATCTTCATCAGCCCCCTGGCAGTGTCCTCGCGACCTCCCCAGAGCATCAAGGCCGTCGCTGCCAACGGAGGCCAGCTCACCGGAAAGCCTCCTCACCGCCGCTGCAAATTTTTGCTGTTTCGTTCGCTGCCAATGCTGTTCATCAGCTTCTTCACCGCGCTAGTTACCATTGTGGCCTCCGCCGTAGCCACCGTCATGTGGTACATCTTCGCCAACGTCTTCGCCTCCGCCTCGGCCGATTTCAACATTAAAGCCCACGTTGGCACCCAGATGATGGTGTTCATGTGGATCGGCTCTGGATTCAGCCTGATTGCATTCATCCTCCAGTTTGGCTCCTGTTGTGCGTCCTGCTGCGGCGGACACAAGGCTCGCAAACAGCTCAAAGCCCAGGGCATCAACTATAAGGAAAAAGGGTTCTACAATAACAGTCAATCTGACACTTACACTGAGCCTGGTCCTCTGGCCGAGGACCGTGAGATGGCCGAACCACATGCGGTTACCCGTGATTAAATAGTTTTTTTCTTTATTTTTTCCTCCCGTTTTTCTTGGATTCTTGGTTCGATATTGGTTGACTCGGATGGCCGCGTCTTAGATATTTGGTTGTTTTGGATATCTACTATGATTGGATGACTTAGCCAGCGTGTGTCGCCGTTTTCTGGTGCACTTTCCCCCTACCTTAGTCTAGTATTTAGATCTGCAGATACGCATGGTTAATATAGAAAAATCACCGATATGTCGGTTTTATTCTAAATTCGTCTGTATGAACATTACAGATCCGGGTTGACTCGGTCTGTGGAACGTGTGAGCCAATGGCGAGCACCAGAGATCTCTGAGGTTGGATGACAGCGGGAGATCTAGTTAATAAAACTGAAACAAGTGCTGCGCATAATCCTGCAGCCGGACCAAAGAGATGGTCTACTGGGCTAGACAAGCGGTCACGATCTGTCTACCTGGTCATACTTGCACCGAAAAGGTTAGTTTGGGAAACGAAGGTTTAAAACTATCTCAAGTTATGCAAAGAAACCCCCAAGATAGGACTTGTAACGAATCGAGAGAATAGTGTTTGGGCCCGTTTGCAATATCTCCTGAGACCAACAATGTTAAGTCTACCATTTCCGCAACACCTTGCACCTCGTTGTCCATATGATACAACATTCTCAACTTCGCCAGCTCATACATAAGCACGGCCTAACAAAAAAGAACCGAAATCATAAACCGTCCAAGCACATAAACCCCATCCCTCGCCGAAATAAACAACATACTAGAAAAGACCAACGTCCCCAGAATCAAATGACAAGACGTCGCAACAGCCAAACCCATATTCCACTCCAAAACATTCCTATTACCCTTCCGCATCTCAACTTAAGAAAGCACAAAGTACGGATATCCCGCGCAAATGCCAATATCATATAAAACCCAACGGACCCTGAGAAAATAGTTCTCTAGGGCTAAACATGATCATTACGGGAACATGCGAATCTGAGCAGTTTAAAATGGACTGCCATGCTTCCTTTATGGTCCTAAGAATAGCGGCTAAGCTCTCAGCTGGGCATATGACCCCGGACGGATTATTTACACCATAGTTTCGATCTGCCGATGCAATACAGTATAAGAATAGTGCTGAATATTGATGTGTATTTACATTGAAGCCAAATACTACTAGTTGATTCTAGCATAGGTACGGTTTTTCGTATCCGAACTCAATCATCCACGTGGGCTGGATGCACGATGTATTACCGGATGTTTCATAGGCTTAATGGGACAACCGTCCCACTTAACATTTCCCGCTAGGAATAATCAACAATATAGGTTGCAATCATATATGTTACTTGTCACCATAGAGAGTTCTCATGCCATCTCATCATAGTCCGCTCACGCGGAAGCTCTCCCGCGGTCCTCGCATTGCAATCGATATCTTGTCCTCCGAACAACAATTTCGAATAATCTCCTGTGGCTATTTCGCTCAGGGTTTACAGAAAACGACGTGCAGAAAGATGTCTGTGAGGATGAGTCGAACAATCGGCCAATCCAATCGACTGGTCACTTGTGTGCGTTACTACAATACTTGCTCTATTTGATCATATGGCCGGAGGACGTTGGTCTCGCCTTCTACTCACATGAAACATATCACAAGACTTGATCTGATCCTTTCCGATCATCGCGAAGTAATCGAAGGCACGTAATATCGTCTCCGCCATCGGCAAACACAGGGAAACGAACCGCTTCCATTTCGAGGATGGAAAGCATAGAAAGAGAGCAACTCCACAATAGCCGACGGGAGGCGTCCAAGGTGGGTAGGAATGTGGACCTCAGGGCTGTGGACCTATGCAAAATAAAACGGGGACACGGCTTGCACGCGGGTGATAGTGCGGACTGCCAAGGCACATTCCTTACACTGTAAATGCAGATCGGAACATCATGCCTAGATCGAGATCGCTATTTCGTATAGATAGGAGATCTACACCCAGTTCATGTATTTGACAAGGGGCTACCTTGGATCGACATGGCATGTGTTAAGCCGTTGAGGGGACCATAAGAGGGAATTAGCCCTCGTCTAATAACGGGTTTCGAATATGCGTGGGGACTATTGAAAAGAATTGCAGGGGCGAGAGAGATGAGAGAGATGAAGATCGGAGGATTCAGCTATCACTGCGATAATATATGATTCGTCAAATCAGCGGGAAGAACGAGACTGTCGGGAACAAAATTCAAGAAGATTTCTATGACTAGCATTATTAACTAAGATAGGACTCATGCATCCTTATAGAAATTTTAAGATAGCCCGACAGGAACCACGGTAGAATGAGATAGGAATGTCTCATAAATTAGAGCTCTAAGCACCAGACACGACCAGTCGAGGATTCAGACCCCAAATGTTCTTAATGGTTTCTGTCCATGCGACTAGCTATCACCGTCGCAACTCATCCCTTCTATGCAGCTAGATCAATACCGCATTTGTACCCTGAGGTTTATGGATACCTAGGTCTTGATAAAGGGCATGTTAGCACCTTGACTCTGTATATAGGAGAAGTTACGGAAGAAAGGAAATTAAGACTACCCCTTCCCTGTGATGGTGTAAGGGCGAAGATATCCCAAACTGCGAGAGCACTTAGGCTCGGGCTTCAGCTCATGTTGGCGGCTGGTGCATTGCCATTCCCTGCAAACATGCTAATACTGAAAAGACCGTTGACCAGTCGAGGTTCTAGAAGGTGGATCAAAAGTGGTTGAAGCCGTTAAAAATGTTATTTATGGGAATTGTTTGGAAGTTCCCGGAAAGCCACCTTCTGATATTTACATAAAGACCCCCTAAGAACCGCCCCGAGACAATGGAAAAGGAAAGCAAAAAAAAGTATTCGCCCTGTCAAGACCCATTGCACTTTGCAACACCTGCCAGGGGCTCGCACTCAATCCCTGCACAGAGTTGATCATCAGAGAACCACCGTGGTACTGCGCCTCCGTAATGACCGCAAAGGCGGCAGAGTTTGGACGAGAAACAATTTAAAAAAACCGCACAACCGTCTAAACAGCTGTTTGACAGAAGAGATGATGATGGAGATGAATATCGGGTTGGAGAATGTTGTAGCAAGCGTGGTGAACTTATTGAACACTGTCTTTATCCACATCATGGCGTGAAATCGACCTTTTTCTTTCGAAGACTACGGTGGAATTTGATTAGCGTGATGTTTTAAAGATTGTGGTCGGGGGCAAGCCCTTGGTCACTCACGTTTCAGGTGCAAGGGTCATCAGTGGTCAAATCTATCACCGTGACTTCTTTGAGAGACATAGATCGTGAGCGGGTTGGGATGTTTGGAGCGTCGTTCATCCCGGCTGGAAGCTGAATATGCGAGCTTGCAGTAGCATCGTGGTCTTCGAGAGGACTCGGAGAAAGTCCCGGATGAATCAAAGGTAACGAAGGGTTGGAAGAGATATGAATGGGGGAAGAGGAAGAATTTGCAGGAGAAGGGTAGGAGATATTTGAACCCGAGAGGGCGAAGCCACGCGCTGGATATTCCAAATGTTTCTCTGCGGGCCTCAGGTGCCCAGATTGAGAGTCTTGAAGGCTTGACTGATTGCACGTGCTCAATAGATCGTTGTACGCCTGGCTCAATTGGGCGTATCTTCTCTCCCACTCATTCGGCGCGTTTCGATGCTCTGGCACTCCGGAAAGACAGTGTTGATAGTCCCGAATTAGTGAGTTATGCGTTTGAGCCAAACCCCAGTACTTCCCCCTCCAGTCTTCGATTTCAACCTTGAATTTTGCGGCTCTCTGTTGCTGGGTGGTACAGACTCGACGTAATGTTGCCATTTCGGTCTCTTGAACATGTATTCCCAGCCTACCAGTCTTCGGATCGATGCTGGTGTACTTGAGCAAGGCATCACGGTACCTATTTCGCTCAGCCGTGAGACAGTCGATTCTGCGCCTGGAATTTTGCAGTCGGTATTGAAGTGTCTCGCTAGAGGGCTCAGGAAGAATTCGCATCGAGTGGAGATTTGGTGCCGACGGATGATATCCAACACAGCCATATGGTGAGATGTGCTTCGGGTCTGGCCTGCAAGCCCTTGCCTCAACATCTGCAAGATACGCGATACTCTGTTGACCAAGGCCGAACTTCTGCTGGATAGCAGAGCTTGCGGAGCTTGTGGCGCATGTATTCAGGGCAACAGGCGGCAAAATCGACGCTTTGGCCGTCGACGTAATATTCAACACTTCCTCCCTGGCCGGCAAAATCTGCTGCTCTCCCCATTTTTGTTTTTTTGGTTCTTGGAAGCTGCATTCTTCTTTGTTGTGGTTGCCGCCGTTATCCTCAAAAAGCTCATCAAGTGCACGCTTGTTCGAACCATTTATTTGAAAGGGCTCCGATGAGATGCATTGTTTGTTGTTGTCTCCAAATAGCTCGTCGAGCGCACGCTTGTTCGGGTCGTCTAGTTGAGAGACCAGCTGATCGAAGTCCGTGAAGGGGTCAAAGTCCAGGTCGATGTCGATACCAATGTCAAGGGGATTTTCATCCTGGAGCCATGGATCTGGCAGTTGCGACTGAGACCCAGGGGATAGTGTAAGCCCCAGATCATCACCTGCAATGCTGTTGGGCTGGAAAGACGGCAACTCACATTGCTCCACGGCTTCGTTCATTTCCATCTCGAAGGGATTTAGTGTGGGCCCAAATCAGGGCTAAGGCTTGAATTTTGAGCGAATATCAAAACAGCATGGTATTTGAGTGGCTTCTCTAAAGCGGTTGCAAGGTTAAGACACGTAGAAATAGTCGTGGGAGGGTGAGTCAAGTAGATGTCAGATGAAGGTTGCTACTTGGACTTTTTTGTTTATTCTTGATTTTCTGCCAGACAAATGCAGCTTCATACCGCTTTCAAGCAACTTGATTGTCACCGCCTTCTTTACACGCGCTCTCCGCCTTTGCTACCATGGCAAAATTCCCGCCCTCTCGCGATGGCTGTCTCCAGGTAGCACTGCTCTGTCCTCAGAGAACGAAATAACCTCGTACGAGAGCGGCAGCCGCTCCATCAGCTCCAATACACTCGCTAGCTCGCTATCCTCACTCCCACTACAGTCCACAGCTCCAACAAGTTCCAATCAAGATGAGCGTCATCCTCTGCACTGGTAAGTGGGCCTTCATGGTCTCCCCGCATTCTTTCCCGGCCTAAGCTAATGATTGCTGGCGCACTTCACAGCGGGGTATGACCATACCATCCGGTACGTTTGGAGCAGTCCGAAGTTCACAAGTCGAGCTTTCAGAGTTGAGAGCTGACTGTTATCTGGATCTGAATCTGTGCTAACATGCTCTTTGATCAGCTTCTGGGAAGCACTGTCCGGAATTTGCTCGCGCACCATCCAGCACCCAGACTCTCAGGTCAATCGTCTTTGCATCACTCCCGATAAGCGGTTTCTTGCCGCCGGCGGTCACAACAATGTCAAGCTCTATGACATTAAATCCACCAACCCTAACCCCGTGATGACCTTCGAAGGTCACACAAGCAACATCACTGGCGTCGCATTCCACTGCGAGGGCAAGTGGATGGTTACAAGCTCTGAGGACGGTACTGTGAAGGTTTGGGATACTCGCACTGGAGCTCTGCAGCGCAACTATGTTCACCGCGCCGCCGTCAACGACGTTGTCATTCACCCAAACCAGGGTGAGTTGATTAGTGGTGATCGCGCTGGCATGGTCCGCGTCTGGGACCTTGGTGAGAGCGTCTGCACTCATCAATTGATCCCTGAGGATGATACCGCTGTGCTCAGTGTGAGCGTTGCTAGCGATGGGTCTCTTCTGTGTGCTGGAAACAAGAAGGTATGATTACTGGTAACTTGTCGAAGTTTACGACTAACCGTCACTTTGCTGCAGGGTAACGTCTATATCTGGCGCATGGTCCAGAACGAAGAGACCACCCGTATTATCCCAATCTGCACTTTCCAAGCTCACAAAGACTACCTTACCCGCGTCCTGTTGTCTCCCGATGTGAAGCACTTGGCCACCTGCTCCGCCGACCACACCGCTAAGGTGTGGAATCTTGATGCAGATTACGCTCCGGCCAAGGTTGCCATTCGTGAATTCAACGACCGACAGGCTGCGCAGGGAACCGAGGAGGCCCAAGCTGAGGCCGCACCCACCCCCGCTGAGACCACTCGTAACCAGAATCGTGACCTGCTGCGCATCTTCGATACCCCTGTTCAAGATAGAGACCTTCTTCGTATCAGTGAAGCACCCCGCGAGGACGCCCCATCTCCTCAGCAAACTTTCATTCCCTCCCCGGATGGCCCCCCCATGGACCCCAACAACGGCACCCTCTTCCTGGAGACTACCCTTGCAAACCACCAGCGCTGGGTCTGGGACTGTGCTTTCTCTGCAGATTCTGCCTACCTCGTTACCGTCTCTAGTGATCACTATGCTCGTCTGTGGGAGCTCAGTTCCGGCAACATCATTCGACAGTACTCCGGCCACCACCGTGGTGCGGTCTGCGTTGCGCTGAACGATTACTCCGAGCCTCGTTAAATATCTGTTGCATTTGTGAAAGTCTTTTTTTTTCATATTTGCTTGGGAATCTTTCATGGTTATGGCGTATTCACGGGATGGCACATAGCATGGCGCAAACCGGTTTCAATTGGATTTTCACGGCGAACATCATTTCTGATAATGATGATGCCTTGTGTGGAGTCCAACTGGGTTGATGGTATTTTTTTTCTTGCTTTTGGCCAATTTTGGCCGGTTTTGATTCGATTTGATTTGCACGGCGGTCATTGTCTCCAGTGATGGATGCCGCGAACGCATTTTAGCTGGGGGTTTTGTACTCCTTCCTTTGACCTGTTTTTGGCCTCTATTTCTGGGCTTGGATTCTTTAGGATCTTGCCTCTTTCAGATACCACTTTCATCTTATAATGCATGCCAGCCAGTACATCGATAATACTCAGTACTTTGTTGTAGAGCCCTTCCCTCAGTGCAACTTCAGCGGAGCAAGTATCCCTATTATGAGTTGTGCTCCCAGTGTTTTGTCGTGGTTTTTTTATGACTAGGTCATAGATCTGAAGCAAGTCTGCTAAACTCCTCGAGAGGGCTTCTTCGGACTTTTGAGCCTACATCTTTCTACCAGGCCACCGGGAATCTTTTTGAACGAAATGAACTTCAACCAAATGATGCACCGCTTGCTAGCCTGCTTGATGGCTGGAATACAATGCCTCCCGTAAATCGACTGTGCATATACAAGAAAAGCTCATTGACACGGCCGAATACCTGATATTCAAAAATACTAATAGACACTGCCACGCTCAATTCAAGCAAGAACAAAATAATAACCAGACCTGAAAGTCTCCAGATCTCAAGTCTCGGCATACACCGTAGACCGCATAACAAAATGATTTGAACCTCTTTTCAAAGAGTCCGAGTCTGAGTCCGAGGCCGTATGGAAACAACCCCACACCCCAACCTTCAATCTCAATCAAAATCACAATCACAGATAGAAAGGCCCTCCAGCATTTTATCGACAATATTAACAGGTTTCAAGACTACCTAAGCCATAGCAAACCACGTGACACTAACAACAACATCCAGTCCCCGCTCCTCAGCGCCGGGGTACTTGAACGTCCACATGCCATCGCGGTTGACGTCCCAGAATGCGCCAGACGCGGAGTGCATCCCGCGCTTCCCGGCGTTGCTCTGTGCGCCTTGCGCAGCGGCACTCTTGTCAATCATGCCTTGTTGCACGATTGTGCTGTTCACGGTGAAGCGGTAGGGGGCCGGCTTGGTGGAATCCTCGGGGGCAGTTGCGGTGATAAGGGCTTTCAGGACGGTGTTCTAGGGGTTTGTTAATTGATTCTTGAGTGGAGAGGAAGGGGGCTTACGATAATTGCGGAGTTCCAGGAGCTCACGGCGGTGTGTTCGTATTCTGTGACGGTCTTGAGGGCGTCGTCGCAGGCCTGGAAGTGTTAGGTTTGGTTGGCTGACAAGGAGGCGCGGTTTGGACGTACATCGTTGGTGATCTTGGTCAACTCCGGGATGGGGATGGGCTATTGGTGCGTTAGTGAGAGTTTCATGGTAAGCGCGAGCTCGTTCTTGCGTGTGCTCTGTATATCGGGGACGTACCGACACGGGAGTGGTACCCTCGACAGCCATTGTGTATGATTTGAAGGTGGTGGTTTAGCGACAGTCTGTTTGGAAGAAATAAGTGAGATTTTTGGTCTTTGAAAGCACAGATCGGACCTAGAGAGCACTCAGTGCGGCCGATTACGTCGCCGTGCCCCCAAGTCGCGTTCCCCCGCGGGGAGATCGGAGTGCGATTGTCGGATGCATGCGCGCGTGGACTCGACTTTGGTCTGGGATTTATCGAGAGTATGCTCACCGGAGTTAGTTCTGTGGGGTTGCAGGGGTTCGATGTCGTGAAATTGGGAGATCGCGGCAACTGGGGGAGCGATTGATTGTTTTGGGAGAGTGGCATCATCGCGTGGGCGCTGCCGTCGCTGGTTGGTTGCGTCTTAGCGCTGCGCTTACTAATATTGAGTCTTCGATCTACTGCGCTTGTGATCTGCAATGTCGAGTCCTAGGTCTGGTTTTATTCCAATTTTGATGCTTTTAATGACAGTGTCCGCTATTTATGATCCCGTATTTTGTGCAGTGTGGAATTGTCGCGGTTGGTCGAAATTTGGGCGTGCAGTGTGTGTAGCGAAGCCTATACTTCAATTTGTTAACACGCATAAACATGTATGCTCTTTGAGATAGAAATATCTAGGAGCGAGCTTGAACTGGGAGGAAGCGTACGGGGTGCTAATTCTGTCTTAATTTCATCATCTTTAAGTAAGCCTGGCGCTTTATATTGCCGTCATTAGGCTGTCTTCAACGGGATCTAGCTGGTGAGAACGTGTTGATGGAGCCATATCGTACTTAAGGACAAAAGTAGCAGGTGTATGAGGTGTTTACTTCTGTACAACGTAGTATGTTTAGTTTGAATAGAAGCATTTGTTTGGATTGTCTAACAACCTTCTGTTACCCATGAATGTCTCATGTAGCTCAATTCTTGACCCCTCCACCCCCACGGCGTTGAATGTGATGGATTCAATCGCTAAGCCTCCATTGTTTTAGAATAAATTTTCCGAGGCCGCCGAGAGAACATGGGCCAACCTGAGTCGGTGCATCATCTTACGCCAACTTTACGACTCTAGTGCCGTACACACTTGGCTATCAGGAGCATACGATTGTCAAGGAGTACGTAATTCTTTTATTTTTGGAGAGTTGCTTCAGACACTACTACCTTTACTAGAAGTTACATACTCTCAGCTATGCATACTCCGCAGAAACTTAAAAACAAAAAACGTCAAGTACAAGTGTTCTTTAGTTGGCTTCCTCCTTCTATGCGCCGTCTTTTCTTTCTATGCCAGTCTTTTCTGTACTCCCCAGACGCTCTCATTCCGCAATCTCAATAATCAACTTCGTACAACTCACTCCCAAGAGCAGTTTGTTCAAGCCGGCATTGATAGCCCCCAACCCTTTTCCCACGACGCTCGGCTCCGGACTCGGCCTGATGGTCCCCTTGGCCAGGTTCTCCCTCAGCCACGTCCCCATGCAGTATCGAAATTGCTCCAGCCTCTCCCCTTCGACCGTCGACGGCATCACAAATATCGTCTCCACCCCGTCTACGACCTCCGCATTCGGAGGAACCACGGGCGCCGACCCGATCTTCGCCGTCTTCGCCTTATTCCCTTCTTGGTCTTCTCCAACGAATTCCTTAAGCACAGCCAGACATGGCGCCAGCTGCCCGGTAGCAAGAAAACAATGACGGATCACTAACCCATCCTCCTTGGCCGCCGAAACGATCGCATCCACAACTTGTGAGTCTTTATAATCGAACACGCGGTCCGCACCTAGTGAATCCACATAATTCTTATTCGCCGATCCAGCCGTGGCGTACACGGCTGCGAAAGAAGAGTTGGGATCTTCTCGCAGCAGCCGGGCTGTTTGCACGCCCATGGTGCCGACGCTAGAGGAGGCACCCCAGATTAAAAGAGCTTCTCTTTTTCAGTTTTATTCTTTTGCTTCCCTCCGGGGGTATCAGTACTGATAGAATCAGCAGCGGTGGGAACAGAAGCAGTGGCTTCTCCCACTCGTGGGATCCCCATCATATCCCACGCGTTGAGGGGTACCTCGACGGCGACGGGCAAGGTTGCTGCATGGTTCCAAGATATGCCCTCGTCTGGAAGGGGCACAGCATGTTGCCAGGGAACGAGGCACCGCTCCTGAAATGGTCCGTAGTCTGGATCGCAAGACTTCCAGAAAGAGGCGGCGTAGGCGGCGACGCGGGTGATACCCGGTCGGAAGAAGGTGGCCAGATCGGTATCAATAGGGACGTTATCCCCAACTTCGAGGACTAATCCCGACATGTCGAAACCAATGACCGTGGGGTACCTGGGGATGAAAAGGCCTTGGTCACGCATGATGGCGTCTGCCGGGTTGAGGGCTACAGATTTGACAGCGATGAGGAGCTCGTCTGGTCCTGGCTTTGGGGTGGGGCGGGTTTGGAGCTCAAAAGGCTGGCCTTTGGCCGAGGAGACGGCGGCGAGATGGGTGGCCATTTGGAGGTTTCGTGCGAGTATAGAGGGTTTCGAGATAGAATGCGAACAAAGGCTGGTATTCAAGTCAAGGTTTCATGAAACGGATGCCATAGACATTAGCCTCTCTTCCTGAGATATTGAGGAACAGTCTGCTTCTTATATGCCATCAACTGACATCCCATACGCTTTAACGTAGTGATGGCGACCCTTTGTTGTTTATAGAGCTTGCAGCCAATCAGAGACCTCTGCTTCCGAAGAACAGCTAGCGTGGAAGACATGTCTCCGAAAGGAGGTTAGCGTATATGTACCTGTGACGATGTGAGACTAGCGTGTCCTTGGGGCCATTATCGCCTCCACCTGCTACGGATCTCCTCGATATTGAACTCATATCGAGCTCGGAAAATCCCTCATAGGAAATCTACGCAAAGCATTGGTCAGGTCACCAAGTATGGCGCCGACTTGTCCAAGAGAGGTTCCGGAGCGTAGAACTGCGCGGAGGTCGAGACTTGGCTGTCGAAATTGCAAGCTTAGAAAACTGAAGGTGGTTGGCGCTCAACTTCCCTAGACTGGTGCTTGGCCGAACTAATTTCCTTGTCTTCTAGTGTGACGAAGAAAAACCGGATTGCAAGAGATGTATTTCGTTCGGGGTATTGTGCAACTTCATGTCGAATATTCCCGACCTACAACCTATCGCCGCCGACACGGGGAGGCCATTGGTGGTTCGAGGAAAAGCAGAGCTTCAACCCCCTATTTCCAGTGCTATCTGGACGTCTGATGAATTCATATCTTATCAATTGAACGCAAAGTGTCAAGATTTCATCACCCGATATCTTGGACGAAGTCTCATTACTCCAGATGACCCTAATATGATACACGTTAATCGCAAGCTCCTGGGACTGGCCTTCGCCGTAAGTACTGTTACATTCAATTTGTCACCATCTGACACAATCGAAGCGGGATCATACATTATGGGCCTGAGCTCGGCTAACACATGGCTTACAGCACCCATTTTTAATGCACGCCTCTCTTGCTGTGGCACTTACATATGACCGCTATCTGAAAAGGCCACTAAGCTGTGCTCGCAGTCTAGAAGTGTGCTATCACTGGTCTCAAAGCACAGTCCTCCTCAATAGGCGGTTAAGGGAACCGATTGAAGCGAAAGACAAGGATCCAGTCTGGGGCACTGCAGCTGCTCTAGCTATCTTGACCTTCTCGTCCCCCGATGCATGCACCCCGGAAGAATCATGGCCTTTAAAGTCCTCTGACAACTTCGATCTGGACTGGTTACGTATGATCAATGGTAAAATGGCACTGTGGCACATAGTGAATCCGCTGCGATCGGACAGTCTCTTCCGCGTCATGGCGGCGACCTTTGCTGATATGTATTCTCCCTTGCCAGAGAGGGGCATAGATGGTATACCCAGGGCCTTAGCTGCTATGTGCCTCCTCAATGACTCATCCATGGCGAAGAACAATCCATATTTCTATCCCGCCCACGCAGTATCCCAGACCTTGGACCTCCCGGATAACAGGGTCACAACAGGTCAAACTCAAATCTTCACGCGCAGTATCCATGGCGCTTTCGAAGATTTGCTCCTGAATAGGGACCCTGTAGCGCTTTTGTTATTATATCTATGGTATCACAAAACAAGTCGCAGTATATGGTGGATTGAACTTAGAGCTAGAGTGGAATGTCCTTCCATTTGCTCGTACCTACGGCTATATCACAAAGGCAATGTTGCGATACAGGCCTTCCTTCCAGGGGGCACTCTTGCCAATAGATGGAATTAGTTAGGCTTTCAAAGCCTCGAATTATCTCCTCTTTCTGATTATATCAAAAGCTGCAGCAGTGCTTTTGGGGATTTGCACTAATCTTAGTGGTTGAGCGGTGTCACACTATGGAGTAGAAGAGCATCAACATGGTGTGGTAGGATTCGTACATCTGAAGAGTAGCAGGTTGGAGCAGATAAGGCTGTAACGCGGGGGTAGTGTCGGATTTGGATTCCAGGTACCAAGTCAGCGCAAACGGGCTCAGTGGGTGTATCGATTGATCTAGGTCGCGTGGCCCCGCTTGATATACGGTGACGACTAGACTCACCGGTTGTCAAACTTGTTAGTAGAGAATACTTATGGGAATTAAATACTCACTGGAGGCGTTCGAAGAGAAGAAGTAATGTGGGATTGGGGAAGATGGTAGGCCGAGATATGCCGTCTGAAATACCCTCCTCACCTTCCTTTGGCCCTCTCAGCAGACTTGAGACGCCATTGAGCGCTTCAATACTTCTATTCTTTGCTCTTTTCGAAGCTCTTTCAACAATGGAAACTGTCGTTAAGTCCCGACAGGCGTCGATGAAGTTATAAGTAATGTTCTTTTTCAGGAGCTTGATTGTAATACTCTCATTGATACCGGTATATAATTATTGTAGCCCGTACATCGCTTCGGTAGCGAAGGGTCCAATATATGCTATTATCGATCCACCCAGCGAATGCGAATTTATATAGATGTACAGAAGCTGCGGCCGCAGGACAGGCCCAATCAGCAGGGCTTCAAGCTCACCACAGTACCTTGGTATGGCCTAAAACTTGATTCGTCATAGTCGATGTTGAATACATTGCAGATGCGGCGACTTGCTCCTGAATGCAGTTGTAGTTCTTACGCCCATCCAAGCGGATCTCCCCGCCCTGCCCCCTATGGTTTCCATTTAATCCAACGCCGAGGGTACCTTTCAACAAGACCATGCCTTTACCTCCTACAACCCACGTAGCCAACCGGAAACATGACATTACATTCATATTTACTAACTTGTTCATTGATCCTTTCCAACCAGCAAGTAATGTCCTTACTATATCTAGCTGGAATACCAAGATTCATCTCCACAATTATACAAAATTCGAAAAGGTTTTCCCTCGCCAAGATTCGCAAGATTGGCAAAACTGTCTAGGCCATATTGAGCTAGGCTTTCCATCGTCTTTTGCGCTTTTGTTCGGGCTTGTGTTGATCTCCTGTGACTTTGCCTTTTCTAGTGCCTTATCTGCCAGTCTCCACGGAAATAGCCGTCGCCAAGTTCAATGCGCGTTAACGAACAGCGACTACTTAGCTCCCCTCATCTAGGGCCAGGTCGGCAGTTTGTTGCATTGCCAAGTAAATGTCTGGGTCATGGGGTGATCAGCTCAAGACACGGAACAACAATTCATATACAGAACTTAATGATACGTAAACTTACCAGCCGTTTCCCACCGAGCACTTACCAACCGTAGCATGTCTTCACATGAAACCTTTCCATTGGTGTATTGCGGATTTCCCGTCTCAAATGCCATGTAAGATAGGTTTGAAGCACAGGTATACACACAATGCAATATCAAAGGAGAGGCCCTTTCTATCATATTCTGGATCATCATCTGCGGATGATCTCGGATACGTGATACGACCCAGTCGCAGACATCCTTCGTGATCTGGAGACCTTCTTGCGTACATTCATGGACACGACGGGCCATATCAGGTACCAGGCTTTGGTTTTCTTCATCGTACATATCGCATGAGTGATGATTAGCTAGCTTAAAGAGAGCACTATGTACTGTTAGGATTACTCGATTTGAATTTCCAGCTCAAGGCTTTGTACCTGTATGCTATTGCCGTAGCAGCATTCAATTCGTTTGGTGAATCATTGTTCATAGTAGAAAGTTCTAAGAAGGAGCGAATGGTCCTGCAGAGCGTTTCAAAGTCATCAAGCATGAATTCACGTTCCATTGATGTGTCATTGCAGTGTCTGATTACACGGCCTAGCAAGGTTGATGCCTGAGCCAGGCGTGCAAATGCACTAAGGCTAGTATTGACTTGCGATGACAGTGAAACGCGCTCAGAGCAGACCATTTCCTGACGAATGGACAAATTAGCATTTCGTAATCCGTGGCTTTGGACAAGTAGATGTACAGGGTAGAAGAACTCACGCCATTATCCCAGGCGCTGTCACCTGCTGGGATGAGAGTGTCTCCACTAGGGTCTTCAGTGCATAGCGGTTGAAAATCTGCTCCGACCGCAATGTATCTAAAATTATGTGAGATTTGATCGTGGCGGGTCAACGGCGCATATATCACCTGTCAAGAATCACAATCATCCACCATACGTGCTGCCTTTCCTCCCAATCTATCCAGCTGCGGGGGGGGGGGGGGGGGGGGGGGGGGTCCTGCTCGTTGGGGAGCCAGTTTATTATGTATAATGGCGGCCGTTGCGGCCGCGTCTCTCGGGAACCACTGAACAAGCAAAAGCGGTGGGCACTTCGTACATTATCCCTCTAGTCGGAGGAAGGTCGTTAGTTTTGAACATAATAACCAAATAATTAAATGCCTCCTTTTAGATGATCAGAGTAGATGGGATTCTCAAAAAAGCACAAATTTCGCGCATTATATATATATTAAAGTTAGTATTACCAAAGTCACTATATAAAGAATAATTAATTTATAAAATGCTTCCAATTTTGATTCTTTTAAAGAACTTTTAAAGATTCTCCTTCTCCTAAGGCTCTATTACATGGATACTATAAGTCGAGGAGGGCATATCGAAAGGCGAAGAGAGATAATCAACATCTAGCATGTAGGTTAGCTAATAGTGCTGTGACTCGGAGATTACTGGGTCTTTCGATTTTACCAGCGTTAGAAGACAAAATCCGATTTTCGTAATATTTTTATGAGTCAGCCAATCGTGCATTTATCGGCAGAAGGGGAAAGCAGCCTGTGTCTATTCACGAAATCAGCATTCCACTGGAGATGATGACAAGGGGCTAACTAAATCGGGTCTGTATCCATCGAGCGGGCTTGCGGCCGCTCAAGCGGGAGTCTATGACCACGCTGCGGCCGCACGCAAGACTATTGTGATCAGCCTACAACGCCGAGCATCTGTATATAAATTCATGCCGTAACATTTTCAATGTCAGACTGCTGCATTCCCATAGAATTCAACCTGAAGAATCATATCTATTCTTTTACTTAATCTCTCACGCATATTCTTCATGACGAAAATCTGGTTCATCACTGGGTCCTCCCGCGGTCTCGGCCTCGCCATCGCCGAAGCCGCTCTCAATAACGGAGACTCTGTTATTGCTACCGCTCGCAAGCCAGAACAGCTTGCTGATCTGGTCAAGAAATTTGGCAACGAGCGCGTTCTCCCAGTCGCTCTCGACGTAACCGACAACAACCAAGTCATCCAGGCCGTCAAGTTTGGACATGAGAAATTCGGCCGAATCGACGTCGTGGTCAACAATGCAGGATACGCCAATACTGCAGCCATCGAGGACATTGATGTCGAGGACTTCCGCGCTCAGGTTAACGCCAACCTCATGGGCGTAGTCTACGTTTCCAAGGCCGTGCTCCCAATTCTTCGTGCACAGAAGTCAGGCCATATCTTCCAAGTCTCCTCGATTGGGGGCCGTATCGGTGCTCCAGGTCTTTCGGTCTATCAGAGTGCTAAATGGGCCGTCGGTGGATTCTCCACGGTTTTGTCTCAGGAGGTGGCTCCCTTTGACATCAAAATCACTGTTCTCGAGCCTGGCGGTATCAGGACCGATTGGGCTGGCTCATCTATGAAGATCCCCCCAGTGAGCGAGCCCTACCAGACGACGGTGGGTGCATTTGCCGAGTTCCTTCGTAAGACATCTGGAAACGAAGTTTCTATCCCGAGCAAGATTGCAGATATTGTGCTTCAGCTCTTGGATGAAAATGAGCCTCCTTTGCGTCTTGTTATTGGTTCCGATGCGGTTGAATATGCTAGGAAGGCTACAGACGCACTCAGTGCATCTGACCAGAAATGGTGCGAGCTGAGCATCTCTTCATCCTAATTTTAATTTCTCTGAGATGTCCCCTTAAGGCAAACCTCACCGCCCATTATATCAATATTTTCAAGAGATACTTTAAAGTTATTTTTCAATCGAAACAGAAGTTGGGACTTGGTTTTGAGAATCCCATCAGGGCAAGTCGTCAAACATAATGGAGATAGAGGATCCACGGTACAGGAATATTAAATTATGTTCTGCTAGCGCGGTAGCATGTCTTTGTAGGGTATTGTCTCTTTGGAACGCCATCCAGACACCCGAGATATTAATAGGGTCGTTTCAAAGAGCAATTTTGTATATGTATCTCGTAAAAGAGCTGTGAATTCTTATCCAATTAGTTTTAATTTTCAAAATAAGTTTAGCATCCCAATACGCCGCCATGAAACCTTTCCCTGGAGTATCAAACATCGCGTCCTCTATAATACAAAGCCGAGATTCTCTCTATTGTCATCTTGTACACGGGCGTACCTGCAAATATGGTTTAGCGTGTTGAGCAAAATGAAAGTGGACAAGGGATCTTACTCCAAAAGAAGTCGAAACATGTAAACCTCTATGTCATCATTTCTGAGGGTCCGAGCTGCCCAAGACTGGCCCTCTTCACCGATGGATTTTGCGATCTCCTGACCTGTGGTATCTTGCTCGAAGAAACGGACCAACTCAGCGAGTTCATTGCCATCCTTGTTGACCGGCACATAATGAACCCATGGAATCAATAAGTTTTCATGCCATTCACGGAAGGAAGTCATCTTGAATGGAACGCCCTTGCTACGCAATAAGGCGTAGAACCTACCGCTGTATGCATGGCCATCCATATCCAGCAAATACCGGAATTTCCAGGCATTGTTCTGAGGTTCTGGTTCCACGATGTCATCGAAGAATTTTCTCTCTTCGGCGCAGTCTTCATCGCAATCGATGATATCCGTGAAATGGGCATTGAAGTATCCCTCTACCTGGGACTGGTTCGCTTCCTGGACCTCCCAATTTGCATCGGTTCCCGAAGTACATCTCGATTCAGTCTTCTGATGCATGATATATTGGGGCGATTGTGGATGGGTCATATTCCCAATGATGCGCTGACGTTGCAGGTTGTGCCAGCTGCCACTCTGACTGTGGCCCCCAGTAGTTCTCCCACGCCAATAGATCTGGGGCATCTTCTCTTCCCATGGCACCGAGCTTTCTGGGTCAAAGCTCGACATATCTTCATAATAAAATGGCGAAGGAACACCAATATCCTGGAATGAAGACGGATGGGACATGGAAAACATTGGGACGAGTTCGTTCGTCAGCTTGAAAGAATTTGGGCGTTGGAAGACCCCAAGGCTATGTCGTAGCGACGGGCTATTGCAAATGTCACTTGCTGCAGATTGGTTGAATACGAAACCCAAAGGCTCCACAGCATAGGCAGCTGCGTTATCCGGTGCATTGCCATCTAGTGCCATAACAGGTGTATCTGGTGGGCATGAAAGTCGCGAATAGAGCCATGTCTCTTGAAACTCAATGTTGTTCCACCTGCTTGTAGAAGCCGGCACTGGCGGCACTGGATCATCCATATCCCCCGGTGAAAATGAGTTTGAAACGTCTGACTGGGAATTTAACCGAGATTGCGCCATTTGGCCCTCAAGGACAAATCTATGCAACTGTTCATGTGGAACTACGACTCGCGGCTCGTCGTGAGCGTTGAATTGCAAGTTCAAGTCTGGTAACCACTGGGAGAACTTTTCGAGAATCTTTATTGTCGCATCTCTCTGAAATCCTCCCTGGCCCTTGCCGAAATCAAAGATCCTGCCGTTGCGGATGGCGATTCCCATGACATAAGTGGTGTTTATCCGGCCGAGATCTTCTCGGACACGAGAGCGCATTACGCTAGGCGTAAGCCCCCAAAATGGTAGCAGAGTATGGTATATCGTATCGAACTCATCAATCAAAACGGTGTTGCGCGTCGTTGCAAAGTGATACCATTCATCGAAATGGGGAGGCGGAGGCATCTTATATCGTCGTTGGTATTCTGTCACTGCTTCGGCCAAAGACTTGGATTGGCGTTGTAGGGTCTCGCTGAAAGCCTCCCTAGCAGTGGAAACAAGTCGAGCTACGGGATGGTGGCAAGCGCGTTCTTCGAGCGTACCGATGGATCGGTTCGAAGTCTCAGGGACATTTCCCGCAACGAGGTACCATAGTACCAAAATGACCACGGCTGTTAGCCCAGCAATGGTCCACGTCCTCTTGGTAGAGTGCGCATAATAGGACTTAGACCTCCGCCGGGCCCCTTCTAGGAGTTCGTATCGATGTTCCCTCCATGTTCCTGCACCGATAGCTCCAAGTATTGTCACTGCGCCGGCGTGTAGTGTCCGAATCGGGGGCAGAAGCGAAGATCTGAGGAAATGAGAAGTTGACTGCATCTCAATCGGCGTAATGCCTGGGTGCGCGGCGCGTCCTTGATGACAGACGCGTCAAGGTAGGATGCGATAGGTCATCGAACAAAAATCAGAAAGGAGAATCACGACTGCGCACGCGACCGGGGGGGTTTCGAAGGGTGGAACCTAGCAACAGGACCGATACACGCGGTCCTTATGTAGGGCTGCGTAATTAGTGTGGGATGGGGCCAAATCTCTTCTTGGCCCCGGAACAGGGCCTGAAGGCGCGTATCTATGCGGGACTGGCGATAAATGGAATACACATCTGTTGAAATCCGGGGTTCCCTATCGCCTTATGGGGATCTCTGATCGGGCATCCTTCGTGGCGAGCCAGGGAGGTGGAATACAACATCAAGCCCCTGATGGACAGATCGTATTCCGTTAAGCTCGGTGGGTCCGAATTTGGCCGGTTTCGAGCGATGGCCCGGGAAGCTTGGCCAGTTTCTCTTGTCTCCGGTTAGCCTGAGCGACCTAAGATTTCCTACGTAGGTAAAATTCAAACATAGTTATAAGTTGGGAGTTTCCTTTGATTAACCACTAATGAAAGTTATCGCGCCTAAGTTCTACGTTCAGTGGGAAAGCCGCTGCTGAAGATAGCTATTTCCTGAGGCCCGAGTCAGCCAAGCGTGGGCGCAATTAAAAATCAATCTAAAACATCTTCCGGAAGGATGTATATCGGATATTGTCTGGCGATTCTTGGGTTTCCCTTTCCGTTTTAGTGCTCACATCTCGCTGCTTTTTCTGCTGATCAGGACTTCAAGGAAGTGAGGCTCTGAGGATTCTCAGCTGGTCCAGTTTCCCAAGCTCACCCCCACAGCTTTCCGAAGAGGTGGCGCGAGGCGCGAGGCGCTTGGCACGAGTGGTTGCTACTGTTCATATGATTTCCCAAAATTATAACAGACCATGTTCAATGAGACAGATCTTTAAGAAGGCTGGTCACTCAGATTTCTGACTATTTACACTTCAAACTATGAAACCTAAAACACCAATAGATAACGTAGCATAAACCAGGCGAGAAAGACTTTCTCCCTCTGACAGTCTCATGGGTGCATCAAGTGCAGCGCGACGGAACCTTTCCCCTATGCCATCTCACACCAGGCTTTCAAATCTTTGTTGAACTTCTCAAACCCCTTCTCCGTCTTCTCTCTCATCCCAAGAGAGCGAGCAATAACTCCTTCACCCACGATAAAGGATAGGTACCCTGTAAACTCTTCTTGTTGGGTGAACGTTGTGCCACCCGGAGTTGTGGCACTGGGCTCGAAACGGAAGCTGTGGTTGCCGTTAAAGCTATTGAGGGGAAGACTTCCTCCCCAACTGAAGCAATCTGGAGAATTCTCCTATATGAAACTTTAGATACTGTGTAATCTTCAAAAAGCGGCCTTGAGAGAATAGCTCAACAGGTTAAACAGTCCGCCCAATTCCAAAGAAGATTAAGAAGACATACGATCATGATCGGTTCCATCTTGCCAATTTCAAGCTCGACTAGCATCCGGTCACCGGCTTCAATGGGCTTGTCTTGGCGCGCTGGCTTGATGGTCTTAATAAACCCATCGGGGTGATATGTGAAAATAGATGGAAAGTCAAGGAACTGGAGGCAGGTAAGTTCGATAGTCACTTGACGTGGCGGGTACTTCAGAGAGCTGCTGTGGCACCAGGACATAAGGGCTTACCTTTTGCCTCACTACCTCAGGGGCAGCGGAAATCTCGATCACCTTGTTGACTAACTGCATTGTATCGCTTTGCGAACCTTTTTGTATTGAAAGATCAGACCGATCAGAAATGATATGATATGTTGCGGATGGGAAGCGTTGGCCGTGTTGCTTTCTTCGGAGGGCCTGGGACTACGAGTCGAGAAATCCTAGTAGAGAGGATATTCTTGTTTTATAGCGTTTCTTCTGCCTTCAAAAGCTCGGTCCTTTTTGGCAGCGCCTTCCCTGCTATGGGGAATCTGGGCATTGTCGCGGAATCACATGAGCTATCGTCAAAAAGGACCATGTATTACTGTTCCTGGAAGATCAGCTAACCAGATCTGTCTTAGATGATACCTTGATGAGCCCTGTCGGATGTACTAAGCCAGATATGGCTAATGTTGAGCCCTTTGCGGCTGATACGAAGAAGGTCAAGTAAGCTTACCCCTCACACCCATCTGGCCCCAGGCTCCTAAAATTCATAGTCGATTCGTCAAACGCACCACGCCTCACTCTATTGGGAAATATGGCGGCGAACGAGGCGTTTCTGTTCGTGAACACCAGCGGCCTGCAGTCCTTGGATCGAAAGGCATCGACTACTGCACGCGCATTTCTTATGAGAAAGGTGCGCGCCAAAAGATCCCAGACCAATCGTCAGGGTCGTCTAGCTGCAACGAGACAATGCACGGGCATGACGGATGATAACGAGTTAGGATACGAGGGGCTGGAGATGGTGTTGCAAGGTGACATGGCCATCTATAGGCCAAAAACAACGAGTAGCCCTGCCACATATTCCGAGAACAATTCCTCAATCCATCGATGGCTTATTGCCCACCAAACTATCCCACAAAGCACGCTAGACGGATCGGTCGATCCCTTCGGTACCACCGGCGCGGGCTTGGAAAAGAAGGAGGCCATTCTCCTTGACTTCTGTACGTTAATCCACAAGCCGAGCACCATCCACCGTAGTAGTCCATCTTGGAGGCATGTAATTTTGCTTACCGCAGATAATTCCCCTCTTGTAGTTTCCAAAGGCGTCTTCCCTCGAATTTTCCCACTTTGTGATCTTAACCAGACGATCAGCGCCCAAAAGATATGGTTCATGGCGGCTTTCGCCGACCCGGCCTCTCTGCATGGCATTCTGTGCCTCGCAGCTCTTCAGATGACGGAAATTTCCGCATATTTCCAACCCAAAGAATCCGTAGCACTAGCACTGCGACATAGAGCTAGTGCCATCGAAGCAGTTCAGAAGAACCTTGCTGATCCCGTGAAGGCTATTTCGGACATGAATATCGCCGCAGTCTTCAGTCTCCTCTGTCTAGAAGAGAACCTCTTCTCAACGTCCTTCTCCTCATTGACTGGCATAAAGCAGGATCCCGCTCACCTAGTGGCGCATGCGAAAGGACTGAAAGACATGTTACGGCTCCGTGGAGGAGCAACCGGGATATCGTCGTCCAAGCTCCTGCAACATCTCATTGCTAGGTAAGCAGGATGTGATGATGTCTACAGTTGGCACAACAGTCAGGACTCACGACTTGAAATTTCTTTATAGATACTGTGTCACTCGAGCGGGATCGACCTTTGATAGGAAACACTTGCCGCCGAGAGGATTGACCGCTCAAATTTATGACAGTTACCCTGTGTCCTCCACGTATTATGATGAAGCGACCTCAATGGCAGATAAATGCAGAAAGCTAGGCCTGAATGTTAGCTTGATCAATTTGGTCAAGTCTATAGATTGCCTCAGTCGAGATTCTCGCGACTGGATGAGAACACCCAACAATCATCGGTTTGATCTTATCGACATCCAGAGTATGTGGGTCATGTTGTCTGGTGAGGTACTAGAGTGCTACCTCGGATTGGAGGAGAGCGGTACACTGACACCATTGGACGGTATCGTCGGTCTCTGTCTCCTTCTTTTCGTCGGGCTAGTGGTTCGCGCGCGAGTGATGGCATTTGGCGGTGGCACTTCTCTGATATGGCGCCTTAGTAAATGCCTATCAGAAGGCGGAGGTGAATCGATCGAGGCCTTACGACGCACAAATCTGGACGTCTGGGTCGGAGTCGTCCTGGTCTTGTCCCCGGCTTTGCACCCAGATTACGAGCGTCAGATGTGGGCCATATACCTCGGTTCAATGAGATGCCAGAAATCAGCCTTCAAGACGTCAGCGGATCTCAAGAAACATCTGCTTAAGCACTCCCTCTGGTGGCCTGAGAAACTGGACAAATTCGTAGACACCATCTGGGATAGTACGGTTGATGTATGGAGGCGACCTGAACAAGTCATCTCGGGCATTGCGGGAGTATCATTTGCTGGTGTCACGGGGGTTTCAAGGCAACCCCATGCCACTGTCAAAAATCCCTATGTTTGCGGTGCTCCCTTTGACATGTACTTAACCCGAGAAGATGTCGGCTTGTTCCGTACTTGAGATTTTGATTTACCAGCGTCGCAAGGAGACTGGGGTAAGCTGTTTCCCCATGGCAGGATACAGGCACCTCTCATTCGTCAATTTGTTGCCGTTGAATTATCTCGCCTTCAGGCTCCTGGAACCCCATGACTAGTAGACAATGACTTCCAGCGATGATGTTGAAGCAACTGTTTTCCCGCGGGCGGGAATGGGTGGCGGCGGTTAGAAGTCTCTCTATCAGAGAGAACTTAGACCTAGAATTATCAGGAAGCCTAATGTGAAGAGCTAAGCGCAACTCCAGAGACATGATACTGAGTTAAAAGGAGGTTTCAAGGCATTGGGCATTTCATTCATTCATCTCGGAAAGCAACTTGATCACTCCCGGAAGCTGTAAATACTCTTATAAAATTTAAATGTAAAAGAAGATAAAGGGGCTGGATAGTTATAGTAGATAATTGATACAACAAGGCAGAAGCGCGAATGAACCCCGATAAACATACTCTATACAATAGCCATCGAATACACTTAAAAGCTGCCAGATCCGCACCTGGAGGCAATTACAGATCACATCCAATCTAGATGACCTCCAACCTTATAAGATCCTGCTTAATAGACATAAGGCTCCTTCAGCGTAAGCATCCCGGGCTGCTCCAAAATAATCAAAGGCCCGGCGATAACACTCCCCTCCGTCGGCGCATCCACTTCATCCGCGATAGAAACCATAATGATCCCAACCTCAGAATCAAACTGCTTGGGAATCTTGACACTATTCTTCTTCGGGTTATACGACACACTCACAGTGTTCAAACCATGATAGAAAACAGCGTAATAATCCTTCCCGTTCTCGAACTTAGGCTGGTTATCCGAAGATTCAAAAACGAACTTGATATCCGAGCCAGGCTGCGCGGTTGTGCTATTTCCGATGATGTTGATTAGAGGGAGACCTTGGCGGGGTGCTGGGTACATGGGATTCTCGGCGGGACAGCTACCCGGTACGATGAATGCGTTTGTCGTGTCTAGGATCTGGTTGGCGTAGGGGTAAATTGTATCCGAGGGACCCGAGAATGGATCGGTGTTGTAGACATCGAGGAGTGCCCAGACGTTGTGGCGTGTTTCAACTTGACCGATCGCCATCAGTGCAGACTTGGAGATGTTTGCTTCGGCTTGAAGGGAGAGGCCTGTGAGGAAGGCCATGCTTGAGACTTCGATGTAGACCTGTAGTGCGAGGAAGGCGCTGGCACTGTTATTGAGGCCGAAATCGTATTTGCAAGGGCCAGGCTTGATGGAGCCTGTGGAGATTTGGTCTTGGAAGATGCGGAGATGACCAGCTTCGTTGTCACGGATTTCGGCGATGCGTTGGTAAGTGTTGTTTGGGAGACCCAGTTTGGTGAAGTCCGAGGGTGAAAAGGTGTCTACTGCTTGTTGGTAAAGAGAGTAGATGATCCATTCTGCGCTGAGTAGGTTTTGGAAGAGGAGATCATCTGGCCCTGCTGGGCCGGAGCCGGTTGCCGGAATGGCCTTCATCCACTTGGAGGCGATCGGTGGCTTCTTGCCTGCATAGTTGACAAAGAGTGAAGATTCACCGGGGACTGCATCGGCTGCCGGTTGAAATTTGCTCTGAGTGGAGGATGTAGGCAGGGCAAGAGTTGGAAGGATGACCGCCATAGAGGCAATCAGACCTCTTGAAAAATGCATTTTGAACTTGCGAAAAGACCGTAATTACTATGCTGCAGATATAGTAGACTGAAGATATGATTATTTGGAGAAATTCACTCGTGATTCTCCTTGATTTTTATATCTGTTCGCAGACTCATTCTACAAGTACATGATCTACAAAATGAGGCTGCCTTACTGCACTCGCGCAATGCGCCTAAAATGGTCAAGTGTCCAGGGACATGTAATGAAAAGCTCAAGTCAAATCTTGAATCTTTGAAGACTACTGTAAACCTAGGGGCAGTATTTGGGATGGGAGATGATGGGACCCCTGTTATTGGTGAACTCCGAGTGTGGCTGAGTTGATGGCTCGCTGATTGAGCCTGATTCCGATCGAGTAAACTGGATGCTGCATAACACTTTCCTGATTGGGTTACTGGTATTCTACTGTGGAATTGGGTCGTCGGCGAATCAGGGCTTAGATGCGGGGCAATCTTGCAGCGCTCGCAGAATCCGCCCAAAAGGGTAATTCTTAAGTGCGCTCGCATGGCAAGTGGGTGTTGAGTATTTAAGTCGCCTTATTCCTTGAGGATAACGCATCGGTACAGACACTTCTCGTTATTACACCTTTCTTCGTTTTCAGACCCTGTACATCGGCATGGCAATCCAATACGAGGGCAACGATAAGCATCTTTTTGCTATGGAGAATGCCAAGGCACCTGAACTTCCTCCACCTCCCTATACTCCTGAGTCTCAATACTTGATTGAATTGCCAGGCTCTTTCCCGGAAGATCAAGCCGTATCGTCTCGCGAAGACTACAGGTATGAGTCTCGAAGAGAACCCATCTCACGCCAGAATCAACTACAATACCCGCCTCCGCCTCTCCCACCGCGAAGTCAGCCACAGCACCCATCTGTTGAATGCTTGAATCAACCAGAGTACGGAACTCAAGCACAATGGAACGGCCAATACCCTTACAGCCCGGCAGATTACAACATTCAATACCAGCCTCAGCCATCCCCAGCTCCGGTTTCTCCAATGACGAACCCATCCTATCGCCCCGACCAAGCACAACTACAAGTACAGCGACCATCTAGGCAATCTCAAAAACCATGCGTCATCCCTCGTAAGTGTCACCTCTAATGTGAATCCACGTCCATGTCTAATATATACCAGAAATAACAACAGTCTTCGGCGGAGCCCACATGAGCCCGTTCGCCCGCGCCCGCGCCCAAGAACTTGAACAAGCATACGGCATCACCGCAAGGGAAATGCTAGCTTTCGTCGACGGCCTCAATGAAGCATTCATAGCAAACCCAGTCCTGCAAGCAACAAGTACAATCGGGAATATCGTCGGCTTTATACCTATCCCATCGGCCCAGATCGTCGGTAACTCCGTCAGACTTGCATCTGGACTTGGTATGGCAGCTACATCAATTATGCGCACAAAGCAGTATATGGCAAAAGCAAATGAGATTATCTTCAAACCGAGGAATCTCCATGCTCAGATCTGCAAGACGGAGAAAATGCTCATGCAGACTGGGATCAAGTGTGATGCTTCTGTATTTGCACAGGGGCAGTATCAAATTGGCGAGGCGCCTGGTAGCGGGAACCATCTGGTGAGGAGGATGGATGCTCTGGGTGATCGAGTTACGGGGCTCTCGTTTGATGTTGAGGCGCCTGTTTCACCAGATAATTGGTTGAAAAAAATGGGGTCGTACTCGGCGCAGAGGGCGGAGCAGAGTCAGTTGAAGAAGTTGGATAAGAAACAAGTGAAAGCAGACAAGAGGAATGCTAAGGATGAGAAGAAGGGAAGGGAAAAGGATCGAAGGGGAAACGATCGGAGGGCTGAGAGGGCTGAGAAGTTGCAGAGTAAGGAGACGGAGAAGGTGAAGGGATTGTTGTGGATTGTTATTACGGCTGAGAGGGAGAGTCTTGCTGGCGATGATGATTGGGATTCAGGTGATAATATTCAAAGACAATGATTAGGTTGGTCGTGAGAAGGGTCATGCAAGGCGTTAGATGGATGAGGGCGCTTTGGGATATGCTCCTTTCTGTTTTTTATTAGCGAATAGACCGATAGAGAATACCCCTAATGACGTGTGTTTTCAAGATATCTTACCCCTTCAGCCTGTCGCGGCAGATTCTCCTTCCGTCCTATTTCAAATCCGTGCGTATCTGCAACGACGGCCATAACACCTTCTAGCCAAGACTTGGCTCCTTCGTAATCACCTTCAAGATGAAGGTATGATACATTCAGCGGGAATAGGAGCATGAATGCACCTGAACTCCGTCTTAGCACATGAAGATGGTAGTTCATCATCCGGCACGTCTCAATAGCCACATCGTGTCTAGTACCTTGCATTGGCATAAGTGGATCGGTTGAGTTCGCCTCGGTCAATGGAATGTCTATACTGATCCCCGATATTTCGAGCGCCCTCGTCGCAATCAGCCGTATGCAGTTGTAGGTAATCAACTCGGTAGCACGATACCCGTTGGGAAACCAGATGATTGACTCAAATGGGCTGTGTGGCAGTCCTAATGTTGCTTCTGGATCGAGGTCTTTGGGCGAAATTAAATATGTCGCGTGGGGAAATCTCTGCTCCCAGTCCCAGCGCCAGGCATAGACCGCCTCGAGGGTCGCATAAACTCGTCCACCATAGGCGGCTTTGAAGTCGTCGAGTCCTGGTTCATCTGCAGGCCAGTTCACAACTCGATCCATATCTTCGAGAAAGCCGGGCAGGTCACTGAGATGGTCGTGCAGATAGCTAACGGGCTCCTTTGACTCGAAGCCCGTCATTGCCCATGGTGTTGTCTTCCATTCTGGATCTTCGAGGAAGCAGCGCTTGCGTTCAACAAGGAATCCAATGCACTAAGACCGTAAGTTGGGCCCAAAACTCAAAACCATGAGGGTGGCTTACAATGCAAGATCGAAGTGTAGGTAGTAACGTGTGCGCGACGCCCGCTTGGAAACAATGTGGCCCTCTCAAATGAGTCTAGATCCCATTTAGCAAAGGTTATACCCTAGAAGAGTGAGACCTACTAGTCTGGCCAGACCCTTGTAATGGTGAAGCCATCCATGTGGCTGGTCAAATGTGACAAGCTCGTAAATCCCCATGCAGACAATGGCGACCAGCACCTCGTCGCCTAGAACCAGTGTAGGATCTTGCAGTTTTCCGCGCAAAGAAGTAAGTGCTCGAGAATAAAATCCTGCGCCCTTCCTTATGAGATCAGAATGTCCGTGGGTTTTCCCAAAATAAGCGGTGGCCAAAGCACGAAGTGAAGACGTAGAGAGACCTCTTTGGTTCTCAGGTGGACAGGTAAGAGAAAAAATCCAGGAAGCTGACTCGGGTGAATTCGGGTCCATGGCCCATGAAAACAGCCTATTTATAAGATGAGAAGTGAAGACAATCTGCTCGTCGAAAGCTGGGTTGACGGTCAATGGCATGAATGGCAGCTCCACGACAGAATCATTGGACTCTGCACTCTCAGTTGGGCTGAGTGCTGTGCTGGATCTGGTCTCTTGGGAAGAAAGCTTGCTAATAAGCTGGGGAGTCACATCAACAAACTCGGCATACTGGTTGTAGCCATCGCATTCTACGTTAGCCTTGCGGCACCGCTGGCAGTGAGGCTTGCATTCATCTGGAGTACATTAGCGGGGTCGTCGGTGACCAAGTGGAAACACTTACCGCATTTCACTCTTCGCCGGCGACAGGTCTTGCACCCTTTGCTTCGCCCTCCGATGCCGACCATTGTTTCATACCATCAGGGAGAGTTGCATGTGGTGAGATGAAATCGGGGAGACGGTGGGCCAGTGGGTCCGGCGTCGAAATTTGACCAATGGAATGTGTCGATCATTTGGGCTGGGCTGAGGCTTATTTACAGCCCGACCAATATGACTCCCCAGAAATCTCTGTAAAGTGATGGACATGACTTCTCTTCCCGGTCCTACTTAGAAAACTAAGTGTCTGGGAAGGAGGAAGAAAAGAAAAATGTTGAGAAACCAAAAAATTAGTCAATCCGCGCCAAGACGATGGCATCGATTTGCACCCAAAGATCAAGGTACTGTCAAGATCGAAAGGCTCGAGGAGCCCATCAAATCTGATAGACATTGAATCATTCCGTGAATGATATTACCAAACTGACAGGGACGTCGGACGAATAGGTTAATAAGGACTCTTAATTAGTGATTGTCGGAGCATCGGCGTTAAGCAGTGGAGAGCCACTCGTCAGGGACCATCCTACGTATGGGTCAAGGTATGTTAAGACGCCATTACAGCGAGGTATTTGCTCACGGAAAGATCAATGGGCCTCGGCCTTATTCGTTGATATTTCAGAGATCAACAGAAACCGTCATAGGTGAAGGAGGCTTAACGCCGAAAGCCGATAGTACAGCTCCACCTCAATTCAAGATATCGAAGTACTATATATGGACCTCGCAGCTCCGCAATAGTTCATAGTTTAAACCATCCAGCAAGAAACTTCAAGACTTCCCAACAGAATGACAACTACGACACGCCAGCATTCATCGGGCTCGCTCGACCAGTTTGGACCGGTGATGGTGACACCCGTCATTGGCAACGAATTTACCAAGAATACTTGTAACATTGTGAATGACATTCTACGAGGCCCAGAATCTGACCGGTACATCCGAGATCTTGCAATTATGAGTAAGACGTTTATTTCCACATTCCCCGTTGATACTAACCTATGAAGTTGCCGAGAGAGGCGTAGTATTCTTCCGAGCCCAAGACAACCTAACGAATGACCTCCAGAAAGAACTTATCCTTCGTATGGGCGAGCTAACAGGCCGCCCGTCAAAAAATACCTTGCACATCCACCCAGTCACAAACGATGCACGCGAATTCGGTGACTCGGACCCATCAATCAGTACTATCAGCTCTGAGGGTCGCAAGAAACTATACAAAGAATCCGGCTACGCGAAGCACGCAGCCGTTTGGCACAGCGACATCTCCTTCGAGCCAGCTCCGGCGGATTTCTCTTCTCTGCGACTGACACAGCTGCCCCAAACAGGCGGTGATACATTGTGGGCTTCGGGATACGAGATCTACGATCGAATCAGCAAGCCGTACCGGACGTTTCTGGAATCCCTCAGCGCTGTCCACGACGGCGAGACTTTCAGACAGATGGCCCAGTCGGGCAAGTTCCAACTTTATGAGAAGCAGAGAGGATCGCCTGCCAATGTGGGCGGTGATTTGTTTGCTGAGCATCCTGTGAGTGTGAACTAGTTTATCACAGTGTCGTAGCTAACTTTTTGTCTAGGTCGTGCGGACAAACCCAATTACAGGGTGGAAATCGATTTTTGCTGCAGGTAAGATATATCGCAACTCTCTTTGTGGGCCCATGTTAATGCTGACTGGATGAACAAGCTGGCTTCCCATCTCGAATCAATGGATTGACTCGCAAAGAAAGTGCGAACATACTGCAGTTCCTCAATGATATGATTACGCATGGCCACGATCTTCAAGTTCGCTTCAAGTGGAACCAGGCAAATGATATCGGTAAGTCCCGCTGTATGCAAACTCATGAGCAAGCTGCTAAGTTATTTCAGCTATTTGGGACAATAGAAGTGTCTTCCACACCGCCACTGGTGATCACGAGGGCTTTGGTCCTCGCAGTGGCAATCGGGCTGTGGGTGTAGGGGAGGTGCCATACTTTGACCCTGGAAGTATATCTCGACGCGAGGATTTGGGTACTGAAGATGACCTCGCATCATGCCATCGGTGAGGAACGTGTGATTCAAGGTGTATGCAGCTTATTGGCGCTGAACCTCCAATTGAGTCCCGCGGTAGTTAACATCGTGCATTTCAAATTTTTCATCTTTCATTCAAGATCAGTAAGATCAGTGTGACATTTCCGTGGATCACGAATTCCCTCCGTATTCCCTTAGGATCATTTCACTCTCTTCATTCAACCCCATCCATCCCTGGCAGAGAAAACGCATCAGCCACCCAATCGTCTCCTGTGAAAAATTCATCAAATTGGAGCAGCATGTTGTCAGCGTCACTTTGAAGACCAGCCTGTCGACTCATTGGGAAATCTTGAAAGCCAGCCAGGGCATCTGGGAGAAAAGAGTTCCATATCTCAGAGCCCATATTTTCAGAAACGCTGTCAGGTATAGAGAGTAAACAAGGCCCGAAATTCTGCAAGCTGTTTGACTGGAGAGGATGCGCCACCTGTTCATCTTCACTTTGGGTTGGCGCATTTGCAGAAGAATGGCTGGCTTGAGACGTCTCTTGAACGAATTCCATGGCCCGATCGATGACCGCCTCAAGTCCATCACGGTAATTTTTTAATCGATTATTGCGCTCAGCCAGAACAGAAAGCGCTGATGAGCAAGCACGCAAGTCATTTGATACGGCCGGTGTCCAAAGATTAGGGGAGCGAAAGAGACAAAAGCTTCAATGTCACGTTAGATTAATCTCCAAAATCGTGGTGCGAACTTACCACATGGTCAGGCCAGCCATGAACACCGAATTCATAAGAAGAAAAGAATGACCACAAGAATCTCGCTGTCGAAGGGTTTTGAAGATTTGACACATTTGTCCAGACGCGAAGAGACATGTTCTTATGTATCCGTCTTGGGGATGAAGAACACTCAAAAATGGCTGTAAGAGTATCCGCACTGAATTATTCCAATGCATATACACGAAGTCACAATCTTGGAGGTCTAGCGATGGTACGTTTATCTTGAACGCCTCGAGCTTTTCCATGAGTGGAGCGATTTCAGAGATTAGGGAGGAAGACTGCTTGTCGAGTCGATATATGCGGGTGTTAATCTCGGACACAATACGCTGTAACTGAATGGAAGCAATAAATCTGCCGAGGGTCGGTATTGGCGTTCTTTCAGTGCGACACTCCCCTTTCAGGATCTGTGTTATCATCTCGTCGTCGGCTATCGAGTCATCGAGATTAGAGGGAAGTTCAGCGTCGATCTCTTCTTCTGCGATACTGAATGGACGTCCCAATGAGCATGCCGTGTGTCGTTCCATAATGTAGACTGTCCAGAACAGTCGGCGTCGCTTCTCGGATTCATGTGCATTCAGTTTGGCGTACCGGGCTTTCCGATGGAATCCAAAGTCCACACAAGTCCTCATCGCTAAGCCGATCATGTACCACACACTTGAGTTCGAGTTTGTTCGGAGATTGTATATGACAATCAGTACCATTGCTTCTACACTGGCAACTGAGATCGATTCTCGAAGAGTAGGATCAAAACAGAGTGCAGTGAGCAGGAAATCACTAGGTGGGGTGGAATTGTATGTTTCGGTCGTCTGGAGTATTGCGGCTCCGATTGCATAGACCATAAACATCTTGAATTTGCCAAATTGCTCTTCGGGTGTTTTCCCTGGCGGTTGGTGTCTTTCAGCGTGCAGCTCTAGGATTTCACTGCGATCCAGAAACGGGAGGCGTGCATGCATGTTTTTGAAGTAGACGTCTAGAATCCGCGAGCTGATTTCATCATCGGGAGGTGATGCCTTAGCCCCTGCATCCTCATCGCGTACTGCATCTGAATACTGTCCTGCGTGGACGGGCAGTAATTTGGTCCCGACTCCACGGTGAACTATTTGATTGACGTTTTCGGCGAGTGATAGTCCAGATGATGGTCCCAGATAAGTTGAATCTTCCTTGTTTGCATAGCCCAGGGTTAGAAAGCGCACAACTCCAGTCAAATTACTCTTCCTTGTTGAAAGATGGGAGAATGTCTGATCAGTTACGTAGGGTAGTTTCAGTGGTTCTTGTGGCGCGTTTGGTCCATTTCCCTCCAAGGCAGCAGCCAGCTGTTCTTCGAGAAGTTCGATTCGATGCGCCAGCGTGCCCTTGGACATACCATGATGCCACGACGGTGAGCTTTCAGCTCGACAACACGACTGTTTGGCTGATTCACAATTCGAGCACACAGGGAAGCCGACGCATTTTTGCTTCCGACGATGACAGCGCCGACAAGACGTTGGTACACGTTTTCTGATCCTCGAGTCCGGATTCATCGAGTTTATGCAGCAAAGTCTTACTATTCGAGGTGACTTGGTAGCTTCCCCGCAATGATGGCAGCCGCCCACCATTTATACGTGGTGATAAGGTGGAGTCATTGCCGCCTCTTAGCACGGCATCATTAAGCGACCATTGGCTACGTCTTGTTCCTTATTTGACAACGTTTGATTATCGGTCTAAATTGCCGAATTTATTTCACGGTCAAAGGTTAAATAATTGACCCATCTTTTGGAAATTTCAAGGGCGCTAAGGGAGGGAATGATGGAATAGGAACTTGAGGAACATTAGAATTAGAAAAGTGAATCAATTTTGATAATAGACCCGGCGTTCAAGATGCAAACATATCAAAAACTGAATCAAAGGTTTAGCTTGGAAATAAATTCATGCCCTACATTAACCGAGGCCTGGGTAGCACGGATCAGGTGATGAAATCAACCCGCTGGTCCTCCCGGATAAGCAAGGTGTTACCGGAGACCTTCCCCGGCGTCTAGAAGCGCCTGGGTCGCAATAGATCACACAGCCAGAAGCTGTTGGCGACGCTAGCCCAATCTAGGCATTGCTTTGCACATCACCTCCAATGGAAACGGTGCAGTGGGGTTATCCGTAGGTGGCTCACCAAAACAGTGAAAGCAGGTTTTGAACGAGTCTAGACTAGTACGGTCGCTAGTCCTCTACTCAATTATTTACCCTTTTTCCGACCGTTTTCTTTGAATCCGTTGCCCACGGGGTTGTTGGTCAAGGCATGCCTCGTCGTGAAAGTCATGGATTTCGAGGGTTCTCTGGGCTTTCACCAGCCACCAGGTGACGCTGAGCGAGAGAGAATCCGGGAACTGTCAAGGTGCGCGAGTCCTTTTTACCGCCGATCATAGCACTGACCACCGCCAACCTAGGTACTACTGTGCTTTGGATCGACCGTTGGCTCTGGATCCGTCTGCGGAGGGTGAGCGATCGCAAGATGGTGCCCCTCAACAAGACGAACAGCCAAAAGCTTGCGATATCTCAGCAGACATTACGCTGAATGCGCTAGCCCAGCTCGGAACTCACCGGCTTCGGTGTAATCGGTCCTTCATTTCCCTCGTCGACGGGACCAACCAGCATATCATCGCCGAAGCGACAAAGTCGGTCTCTTTGCGAAATAAAGACTCTCACCTGCCTAACGATGATATATATCTTGGAGTGATGTCGCTCGATTTGAAATGGGGATTATGTCCTCATACGATCCGCCTGTTTACCGGCGAAGACCCGTCCTACATAATTGATACCGACAACATCACCGCCAGCCGAACCCATTATATCATCCGCGATCTGTCCAAGGAAGACTGCTTCAAAGATCGACCATATGTTCTAGGATGGCCCCATTTTCGATTCTACGCCGAAGTGCCCCTCAAGAGCCCGTCCGGGATTATCCTTGGTACATATTGTGTGATTGATGATAAGCCAAGAGAGCGAGCCGACTTTAGCGAAGACGATGTTGACACTCTCCAAGAAATATCTGACGCTATTGTGCATCATCTGGAAAATGTGCGAGTGGTTAATGACCATCGTCGGTCAGAACGCTTGGTTAAAGGCTTGACCAGCTTTGTCAAGGACTACTCAGATTTTGATCCACGCGAAGCTTCCAGTGGGCGTCGACTGGAATCGACATCGTTAGCTTCCAATGCAGAGATGCCTATTTCGCTCGACGGAGTCACTGTCACTGGCGCCAGTGTCGTTTCGGCATCTTCGGCATCCAGCCGCACAGAACACACATCTACTTTCTTCAGTCCACTTCCCGGGTCTACTGAGCCCTCTTCACTCGACTCGAACCTGTCGGTTTCTATGTCTAGCCCAGGAGAAGAAAGGCCGATGGATGATGTCCAAAATACAGCAGGACCCGGGGAACTCAAATCAACTTTAGACAACGCTTCGTTGGTCTCTCTTGCAGACAGCATTCCCATATCCGATCGTATTACGTCAATTTTCGCACGCGCCAGTGTCTTGCTTCGGGATTCGATGGACCTTGATGGCGTTGCTTTCCTCGATGCTGCTCGATGCAACCCGTCTTTGTAAGCTACTCTTATATTAACCGCTGCCTTCAGAGTCACTAACATAGCTTTAGCCAAGTTCCCATTAAGCATGCCAGCTGGGAGCCATTACCGAAATCCGTGTCGCCGGTGTCTCCCCCGCTTCCAGTTACGCCATCTCTCACCCCGCTGGGGCTTTCGGGCTCGGCTTCAGAAGATCTTGACACACCGTGTGATTTTCTAAGCTCTGCTTTTGGAAAAGCACTACCGGGCGATGCTGCTTCCATCATTCACGTCACAGAAGAGTTGCTGACCTTATTAATCGCCTTCTTCCCTCAAGGCCAGATCTTTACCTCGACCGACTCTGCCGAAACTGAAGACTACCTGTCTTTTGGAAGCGTCACTGCCTCTGGATTTCGAGCAAAGAAAATACAAACAATTTCTCAACAGGTCCTTAAGCTCGTTCCTAGTGCCGATTCGGTTTTATTCCTTCCTCTGTGGGATTATCACAAGTCTCGCTGGATGGCAGGGACACTTGTCTGGGCTCGCGACTCTCACCGTGTTCTAGGTATGGAGGAACTTCATTACTTCAAAGTCTTTGGAGATTCTATTGTGTCTGAGGTCTCCAGAGTGCATTGGATAACAACTGAAAAGTCCAAATTCGACTTCATCTCATCTGTCAGCCACGAGCTGCGCTCGCCGTTGCACGGAATCTTGGCAAGTGCGGAGCTGCTGCATGCTACGTGTCTCGAACCGGCACAGGAGGATATGATCAGGATGATCGAGACGTCTGGTTTGACTTTGTTGGATACCACAGATCATTTGTAAGTCTCCTGTTTACTGATTCTGTAATGCTCTTTTTACTAACCATTAGCCAGGCTTGAATTTTGCAAGATCAACAACCTCACCCAAGCTAAAAAATCCAAGGGGAAGCGTCAACGTGAGACTTCAAGTCTCGTCTCCGATTTTGACCTGGGACATCTCGTCGAAGAAGTGACGAACATCCTATACACTGGTCAGAGAGCGCCCAGAATGACAGGTCGTGACATCGTCAGGTTTTCCCCAGGGATTGATGAGGCCAAATCAGGTGGAATATGTGCCCACGACATGTCGCTGGTGGTCCGCATCGAGCAGTCCCAGTCCTGGATAGTTCGCTCTCTACCTGGAGCCTGGCGACGCATCGTCATGAACTTGTTAGGGAACGCTCTCAAGTGGACGAAATCCGGGTTTGTCGAGGTTTCACTATCGGTAGCCGCTCCAGAAAAGTCGCACAATTTTGTCGCCCACCTCTCAATCACCGATACTGGTAGCGGAATTGCGCCCGATTTCCTTCGACATAAGCTATTCTCGCCGTTTGCTCAAGAAGATTCATTGACAGAAGGCGTAGGGTTGGGTTTGAGCATCGTTCGCCAGCTTGTTACGTCCCTCCATGGCACTGTCAGCGTGAGAAGTGAGTTGGGTATTGGCACCCAGGTCGATGTCTATATTCCCGTTCAGGATCCAGATGGTTCTATTCCGCCTCAACTAATGTTGAAACAAAACGTCGGTGGCGTCGATGGAATTGATGTGCCATTGCAGGCGTGTCTGGTTGCATTCAACGGATATCCGGATTTAAATGAGGTTCCCACGGGAGTGCTGTCCGTCGACGCTAAGCGGAAAATTTCGATCCAAAGTACTCTTGCCGATGTCTTCATGTCCCAATTCGGATGGAGTGTTTCTTTGGCGGAGTCCCTCGAGCAAGCGCAAGGTGATGTTGTGGTTTTCGAGGAGGCGGTGCTCGAGGCTGCTGCACAAGGCTCCTCATGCCTTAAAGTTATCCAGGCCATGGAAGCGAAGTTCAAGTATATTGTCATTCTTGGTAGCAAGAGCATGCAGAAGACGTATGCGCCAACTGTCATCTGGATTACTCAACCGTAAGTCTGACTCATCTTCAAGGCCCGGATATTTGCTGACGCTCAAATAGATTTGGTCCACACAAAGTTCAGACTGCTGTGCGGCGAGCTTTGGAGCTTCATCAGACATCAGCACAGTCCGAGTTTGTTCCTACTATGACTTCTTTGACTATCTCAGACGATCCATTTTCAACTCCTTCGAATTCCCCTCCCGTTGAAGACGAAGAAGAGACCACGCCAAAGGCAGTAGTTGAGAAAAAGCCACAAGGTGCTCCTGTTGTCGAGTTACCGATTCAAACTACCCTGCAGCCCAAAACCAAGCATGTGCTCATCGTCGATGATAATGACATCAACCTCAAGGTCCGTTTCCACTAGTCTCCGTCCAGAAACCCATACCGCGCAGGCATTAACACCTAATCCTCAGATCATGGCAACATTCATCCGCAAGATCGGCTGCAGCTACGAAACAGCAACCAACGGTTTAATAGCCTTGGAGAAATACATGGCATCCAGCCAACAATTCAACTTCGTCCTAATGGGTAAGACTATCATTCCGACCCATCATGAAGCCACCTACTAATTAATTCAGATATATCAATGCCCGTGATGGACGGCCTAGTCTCAACCAGCAAAATCCGCCAATACGAAAAAGAAAAACGTCTCAGGCCATCCTGCATCATGGCTGTGACTGGCGTTGCTTCCGAATCAATGCAGCAACAGGCCCAGAAAGCAGGAATAAACCAATACTTAATCAAACCCCTCTCCCTTCATGAGCTCAAAGGGCTTATGGCTATCGATTGATTGAATGATATCACCTCGAATGTGTACGGTTCACGATGTTTTGAAGCGCGGTGTTTGGAGTTTGCTTTTTTCTATTCACAATGTACACAGTTATGTGATGGTATTAATTATGTTTTACTTGATATGTTTCAAGGTTTTCGCGTGCCAGCATTATAGACTTTGCAAACCTCTATGGTGGACAAATTGATATACTCTAGGGATGGTCTCTTCGCCAGAGATTCCAACAAACCAAGTGACCCATTGATGGACTGAGCATCCCATGCGCAGCATAGATACGTTAGACGCCTTCGAAAGGTTTACATCTCCAGGCACAGCCCTTCTAAGAAGATAATCTGAAGGGGCCGTCACGGTCACAAAGGCTTATTCAGAACCAAATATGTGTAATTTTCATGATCCGGCTGTAGCTGAAACCCAAGGCTCATAATATCTGCCTTGCCCGCAAATTAGGAACAAAGACCCCACAGGCTGGGTAGATCTAACTTACACAGGGAGCGATCTTCATCCATCAAAATTAAAGATCGGCCGATCTCGGCAAGTCGCGGCAATCACGAACTATGGTCGTGTAAAATTGACCATTGGATCTAAATTTAGTATCTGTATCTGAGCTTGACTTGAATTCACGATGGAGTTGGACCTATATCACTGATAATTCTCCGCTTCTGTCTAGAGTCGAAAGAGCCGGAGTAGTGAGATGTTATTCATGCTGGGGTTTCTTGAGCTGCACCATCGAAGAACCTTGGGAGGTACACCTTCTCGTTTCGACGTGGCGTCTCGCAGCTTCGTCCATCCATAGTTTATATAGTTCATTCCAAGTATATTAACGGAAAGGCAAAAATCCGCTAATGACGGATATAATTCAACTGAGTGCTCACACAATGATACAGAGACACGAGACCTATATACAAGACACAGCGCCACCGACAAGGTAAAAATCGCAAAAGCAAGCAACGACTGGATAGAACGGGATTCGTTCATGTGGGAGACCGCTAGCGTAACGAAGGGGAATCGTAGGAAGAAATCAAGGAGTTGGTGGTTTTGCACTGCCTAGAGGAGATAGTACAGAAGTACTTCGCAAGACGAACAGATGGTAGGAAATTCTGCATATGCATTTCCAAAAAAGGATCTGGGTTGGTTCAGTAAATATTTTCTATTCCTGCCCGAATCCAAGCGTTTCCTCCACTGCGATGGTCATCTTGTGCTCCAGGGCGTCGTGGGTCTTGTAAGGGGGCAGGTCGAGGCGGTTGAAGCAAGTGTGGGACTTGGGAAGGGCGTTGGGGTCGCCGGATTTTTCGATCGTGAAGCGTCGGGGTCCGTCGGATCCTTGAAGGTCCTTGAATCCGTTGACGGGGATACGGGAGGTACCGGTGGTGAACTGGAGGAGACGGGACTTCTGTTCGGCGTCCCAAGTGCGGACGATCTTCCAGAAGTTCTGGACGACTTCGTCTTGCTCCTGGTAGCCGCGGTAGTCGGTGTGCTTCTTCCAGTCATCGACGTCGATGTCGGCGATACCACCGATGAGCAGCTCGAGTTCCCGCTCGTCGAAGACATTCACCAGATCCGCGGGGATCAGCTCGTTGAAGCCGGACATGAATGCGTTGAACTGCTCCTCGACCCGCTTGACAATCTTCCATTCCGTAACCAATCTGATGAGTGGTCAGCCGCGAAATCTATTGCATCTGAGCACGTGCAAACTTACTCAATGTACTGTGGCTTGTTCTCGTTGGTGACAGGGATGTCCCGGCCACCGGGTATCAAATCAACTGTGCTACGCTCACCAAACTTCTCATCATCAACGGAGAAAGTAAGCTCCACAATTCCTTCAATGTCATTATCCCTACAGAATTGTTAGTTCAGATCAGCCGCTCAAATGAAGGCCAAACTTACAAAGTCCACGCTAGGTTTCGATGCAGGTCTTCATCGACACCCTCCATATCTTGGAGAGAGACCTTCTTCCTCAACATCATCTTGTAAAAGGCTCCAATGAAGAACGAATCCAGGAAGCGACGGTGGAAGATAGCGAGGCCGACCACGCGGCCAATGAACTTGAAGTAGTTGAGATGCTCAGGGTTGACCCCAGAGTGGGGATTAATCTGCAGGGTATAATTATCGTGGGCGGAGTATTCGAAGAGACAGTAGAAGGGGTTGAACATTTCGTGAGAGAGGAGGAAGAAGAATTCACTGCGGCATTGTTAGTATAAATAAGGTAATACCACCACTAAGTGTAGAGAGAACATACCGAGAAAGACCACCGTAGTCCAGGCCGTCTTCACCGTCGAACTTAATCATCAAGCGCTTCTTCAGATCAGAAGCACTCTGTCGCATGATCTCGGCATACGAATCCTCAAAGATATTATTACGGCGGACCTTGACATGGCACTGGCCAGACATGATCCGCAGAGCGGGTTGGGATCGGAAGTAGATCAACTTGCGACGGAAGTCACGCTTGTACTGCGGTACACCCTGATCCAATGATGAAGGCAAACGAGGATCATCCCAAGTAGTTGTCTTGGTGTTGTGGTCCACGAAGTACACACGAGCAGTATTGGTAAGACGCATTTCCCATCCACTTGGCAACGGTCCAAGTTGCGACACGGGCTGTTGCTGAATAGTGGTATTGTTTCCACCCTGCTGTTGGTTCTGGCCGTACATGCGGATGTACTGCTGTCTCCGAGGATCGACCCAGGTCGTTGTCCGGGTGTTGTGGTCCACGAAGTAAGCGCGTCCTTCGGGAGTATGACGCTGCTCCCATCCTGCTGGAAGCTCACCAGTGCCTGCAGTGGTGGCTCCTGTCGCCATCATGGAAACGGCATTGGCATTGGATCCGGGCGCAGTACCACCGGCGGTACCACCTGCAGCAGGGGCTGTTATACCAGGAGGTGGTGTAGCCGCCTGCTGGCCATCCTGCAAGTTAGGTGAGCTAGCACCGGTGCGATCTTCGGGTAGCATTCGGCTCTGGTGGGCCCGACGTTCGAGCTGCATGTTGGCTTCACGCTGACTGCGCTGAGCGGGCTCGTTGTAATTGGCTGAAGGTCGAGACCAGGTTGTGGTGCGCGTATTGTGGTCGACGTAGTAGGTTCGTCCCAAATTATCCTCCCGACGTTCCCATCCCGCAGGTAGTCGGCCTTGACTGTCTTCGAACGAGCTCATGTTAGCACGAGACGGGGCTCCCGCTCCCGGGGGAGCACCGCTGGGAGGCGGTGGAGCGGCGGAATTGCGGGGGTTCAATGATGAGCTTGACGCGGCGGCGGGCGACGCATCGGCATGGCTAGCCCCGCCCGACAAAGGCGTGGATGGGGCGGCGACCTGGGGTACAAGACCGCTGGATGTTGAGGATTGAGCCTGTTGAGGACGGAGGCCACCGTTTTGCTGGTTTGGGTGCGGAGCGGCCAAGTTCGTGGATAGGTTAATGATCAGTTTACCATGAACGACCAGGTTATCATTCGATTTCTTGAGGTCGCGAGTGAGCATTTCTGTTAAGGCGTGAAGGTCAGTGGCGGGGCATGACTCAAATCGTATCTATCGCAAACATACCATCGCCTCCCATCTGAAGATCGATGACATCGCCAATGCGCACATTGATGACGCCGAGGAAGCCCTGGTCCTTCTTCTTGAACTTCTTTTGGTCGAAGATCTGAATCGCGAGAATGCTGTCCTCGTTCACTCTCCTATAGCGATTACTGCAGTTAACACCCATATATTCCTCACTAATATCCAGCAGAAGGGGATATCACGTACAAATCGAAGGGTTCGTTCCAGTAGGGGTTGAGGGTCTTCTTGATGACAGAGGTCGTATGGGTCTGCTCGCCTCCGACTGTGGCCACGGCGAAAGGATCGGGGAAACCTAGAATACGAGTCAGTTCAACCCAACCTATATTAAATCAAGGTGAACCACGCACGGAAGACATCGCGTTTGTACAGGCCATCTGCCGCGATAACTGCGAAGAAAGTGTTAGTTCCGAGTCATGACGAACCCCGCAGAGTCCCGCCTCGCAAGGCAAGAGAACAAGGCGATCTTACTCGTTACCCGGAGATTTGGCTGGCTGCAATTCGACAAGTCAGCGAGAAACACCCAGGAGAATTACCGATCGAGGAAAAAACTTCGATGTGAGGGGGTGGGCACGTACGCTGGCAGATTGGATGCCATGTTGCCCTGGTTGCTTCACAAGCACACCGTTGCAGGTGCGGAACGGCCGATCGATCAAGCCCGAGCCGAAACGACAGCGTACATGCACAGGAGGTGGGCAGGTAAAGAGAATCCACCAAGTGAAGGTGGAATGGGGGAGGGGGAGGGTGGGTGGTGAGGATGATGAGGAGGAGAAAGAGGGAGGGAACTAGGCAGGGTTGGCTCTCAGGTAATCCGTGTATGGCGCAGGTACTCGCGCTACGTATTGGCTGTGTACGGGGTACCTAGCGGGTACTTTAATCGCCTTTTATGGGGCTGAGCACTTCCTAAATTCATCTGGCTCGAATATCTAAAGCCTTAGCCACACTCGAACTGGCCTTGCGGAAATTCTCCTGGCGTACGTAATACTCGGTGCTGACGGATACGGGCGGAGAGGTGGCGACGATAATTATAGTAAAAGTATTGCCCTGTCTATTTCTTGCTAAGCCTACTAGGTAAGGCTAGGTAAGTCTAGGCAACGAAGTTATGCTCGTATCCTAAATTTTGGACAAATTGAAATATGTGCTATTTAGCTACTATCTTCAAGTGGTGTTGCTCCAAAGAAGATGATGCTGGTAATGGCATTGATGAGGAACGATTTCATGAATTACACAACTCTCCGAAAGCCTGCAACCAAGCTCTCGAAGTTGTTCGCTTATTGTACATCCTGATAACCCTGTACTCCAAAGACCACATCCTGAGAGCCCGATGAGAGATCCAATTCATTTCGGTTGGGGATTCTACAACCATGTCATGGCGGGACCGGCGGAGTGGGGATCTCCCGGCATGAATCTGCCGGTCGAGGGCAAGAAATAGAGAGTGGACTCGAACGGTCGAGTCACACGCTTAGTATGGTGCAAAGCCACGACCCCGGCCGCGATAGGCACCACCACGATAGCTGCCACGGAAGCCACGGCCGCCACCACGGCCACGGCCCCGTCCACGACCCCGGGCGTTCATACCAGGCAGGTTAGTGCGCTTGGGAGTGACCTGTTTGATCAATGTTAGGCTCCTGGTTCAATATTGAAGCAGGTTTGATGCCGATAAGTCGCCTGAACTCACCTTCAGGTTGCGACCGCGGAAGACGCTCTCGTTCAGGATCAAAGCCTGGGCCACAAGACTAGGCTCGGAAAATTCAACGTAGGCGTAACTGTGAAGCATTCTTGTCAGTTTCTGCATCCCTCGTATCTCAGATGATAAAGAACATACCCCTTCGGCTGTCCGGAGAATTTGTCCAGCAGGATGGTAACCCGGTTGATAGAACCGCAGCTCTGGAAGTGTGCCTGGATCTCCTCGGGCGAGGCACCGTAATCCACATTGCCAACGAATATACTCCGTGCATCGATATCTTCTTTGTTCTCCTGGAGGCTCTCGGACTGCTGGTCAAGGGTGGATTGCATCTCGCGCAATTTGGCGGCTTCAGACTCCATCTCTGCAACTCGTCGCTTCATGGCGGCAATTTCCTCCTGATAAATCAATGCATTAGTGAATAGTTCCCAGCGGTTTCAGGGCAGGTGCGGGGGATTGTTGCGATGGATCTTGGGCGCATCGCAGCTTCCACGTACATCTTCCTCACCTCCCTCCTCCTGGGGAGGGAGCTGCTCTTCCTTGAGCTCGGTACCTTCGGCGGACATGATGATCAGAAAGGTATATTAGGGGAATATTGTATCGGTGTAGCCGGTGCAGCAGCTATGAAAATAGATGCGAGGAGCAATTGGAGCTCTATGAAGCGATCGGGCGAATCCGCGGGGACCTGGGATAGTAGAAAAGAGCCCGGTAGTTCTCCAAGAATATGCGGAGAGACTCTTTGGAATGAATAGAGAAAGTCGGGTCAATGAAGGTCCATTCACTCTTGCGGGGCGAGAGAACGACGAGGCGCGATGAGATTGGGAACTGGAGGCTTGCCGTTCTAGGACTAGCGGGGATTTCCCACGAACGCCGGCCTGATTCTTGGCATCTACAGCATACTTCTACATTTTATACCTATGCAAGACTCAGCGAAGACTACATATGGATTGAATCAATCCACCTTCGCTTCTGTTTTTTACAAATAGCATATCATATTTGGCCGCATTGACAGAATCCTGGTATGACCCAAGAAGTGTGCGCAGGTTCACCTGAGGCACTACAATAATCATTAGGCAGCATAAATCCTGATCTGACTGGATTTGATCAATCTATGAATTGTTTCAATTGAAAGCTAGCTCAAGGTATCAGGGGATCGATTGACAGGCGTAGAATCCGAGCTCGATGAAGAAATCAAAACACACGGGATGAGCGGATAGGGAGAAGACTATATACACGGAGAGAGAAGAATGGGTAACGATGGCCAATGTAGAATTATAGATCAAGATTCAGGCGCAGGCACGCCAGCAGCAGCAGCAGGGGTAGGAGCAGGAGCGTGGTTCTTACGGTACGAGACCTTCTCGACTGACACGTTCTCAACTCCGTTGGCGTCCGTCTTCAGCTGATAGACGTACAGCACGAGCACATCTCCTTGAATCTAATCTTATCGTTAGCACAGTTCCATAGACAGTGGCATTATTGCGACGCTTACATCCATCAAGCAGAAGCTCGGCGTAGGCTCCTCGCCTTCAGGGGTGAACCCAGAGCTCATGGCACCAGTCGCGCTGCCCGGGTTGATAAAGAAGCGGCCCTCCATCTCAAATGCCTCGAAGCGATGGGTGCCCCCCAAAGCAAGATATCAACGTCCATCTGCCGGGCTGCGATCAGTAGCGCATCCGCGTCGCCTGGTGGGATAATGGTGTGGCCGTGTGTGAAGCCAATGCGCAGGCTGCCATGGTTGACAATCTTGGAGAGCGGGAGGTTCGGAGAGTCGACGTCGAAGTCACCTTTGACCATCTGCAGGTCGGGGGCTACCTGGCGGAGGAAGTCATAGGTCTCGCGGTCGGTGAGATTACCCAAACAAAGGATCTGACCGATCTTTCCGGGTGTGAGGAGCTTTCGGAACTAGCATCGGGGAGTTAGCTGGGCGTGGATCAATCATGGCGCATGATGGAGCGTACCTTGGCCGGAAGGTCCTAGCAATGACGAGTTAGCTGTTGTCGCATCATCACGTTCGGGTCGACACTGAGGCAGCACTCACGGGAGCTCGGTCGGGGATGAACAGGTCACCGATGACCAAGACCAAGCGGGCGGTCATATTGGAATGGTGGGGCAAGTTCAAGATGGGGGAGATCAATGGGCCCAGAGTCCTAGTCCCTAGTCCTACAGCTGCAGACCGTTGATGCTCGCGGGGAAGCCACGTCAGGCCCTATGCCCTACTTGATTACCCGATGTAGTTTAGCGCTATCAGGCCGGGGGCGGTCCCGATCATCGTGAGGCCTCCCGATACGCATTGGCTCACAAGACCGAATCTCTCGTCCGATTGAATTCGGCTGTACTAGTCCAATCCATGACAAGGTATTTGCGTCGATGCTTTCCATGGCGGAGCTCGCCGTAGAAGATGTTGGGATGATCAGGACCATGCATACTGCGAAAATACCAGACTGCTCGGGATCCGATGCAGTGCTACAGGGAGGGGGTCGCATTGACCTCAGGTGGAGATGTATAGTTAACTTTGTAAATGCATTCTATGGAATAGGACTATATCCAAGGAGTACGGAGGTATGTAATCCAAAATTGGTGGGACAGATCTATAGCAAGGTTATCTATAGAGAACCTGCCCGAGCATGAGCCACGAAAGTGTTATTTTTTTTTATTTATCATTTAAATATATAAAATGGTCGGAAACCAGCAATTGGTGTAGAAACCATCGAATAGAAGATTTGAATATGCCATACCCCATGTTTCCCATAGAATAGAGTGTACAGCGTAGGGCAAGGCACTGTAGAACCGGGAGGTTCCGCCCGCTCGTCTGGCTCCGAGACCAAAAAATGTTGAGAATGGCGTCTCTGGGATCCCTTCAATTCTTTGATAAATAAGCCTACCCCGGAACCAGTTCCCGGAGAATATTTCAGAGATCACAGCTATCAAACACTCGGGCTGTATACTTCCCCTTCCTCAGCCAATTGCATCTCGCCCTTAACCTTCGAACCACCGGCGGCGATCCCCGAAATCGCGTTTCCCTCGGGAATTCACAAGCCCTCCAATCCCTTCCACCAGAGTCTACCCCGCGGCCCGCCGCGAATCGGAAAGCTGGCTCCCACGTCGACGACGCAACGTTTGAGCCTGATTTCCAGACACCTGGATCAGCGCCTACCGTTGCCTGAGCTTAACACTCCCTTCTCGACCGAGAGAAACTCTTTCGCTCCTGACGACATCGAATATAAACCCGTCGACCGCTCAATTCCTCCTTCCCCCTCCAAAGAGCCTGAGCCCACCATGTCTACCCAACCCCCTCACAACACCCTGCTCATCCCGGGCCCCATCGAATTCGACGATGCCGTCCTCCAGTCCATGTCCCACTACGCGTGAGTCGGTCCACCCCTCTATAGATCAACTGACCTAACCCCTCCATCTTAGCGAGAGCCATGTCGCTCCCGGCTTCGTGAAGGTCTTCGGCGAGACCTTGACCCTCACCCGCAAGCTCTTCCAATCCACCAACCCCTCCGCGCAGCCTTTCATTATCGCCGGCAGTGGCACCCTCGGTTGGGATCTGGTTTCCGCCAACCTTATCGAGAAGGGTGAGAACGCCCTGGTCCTGAACACCGGCTACTTCGGTGATTCGTTCGGCAGGTGCCTGGAGACCTACGGCGCCCAGGTTACGCACCTTCGCGCCCCGATTGGTGACCGCCCTTCCTTCGAGGAAATCGAGCAGGCCCTTAAGGAGAAGTCCTACAAGGTCATCACTGCCACCCATGTCGACACTTCCACCGGTGTCCTCAATGACATCAAGACTATTGCTCAGATCGTCCGTCGCGTCAGCCCCAATACCCTGGTTATTGTCGACGGTGTGTGCAGTGTCGGTTCCGAGGAGATCGCCTTCGACGAGTGGGACCTTGATGCCGTGGTCACTGCCTCTCAGAAGGCCATCGGCTGCCCTCCCGGTCTGAGCATCGTGATGACCTCCGGCCGCGCCATCCAGGCCGCAACTGCCCGCAAGACCCCCGCCGGCGCTTTCTACGCCTCCATTGCCAACTGGCTCCCCATCATGCAGAACTATGAGAACAACAAGCCCTCGTACTTTGCTACCCCTCCCACTCAGCTCATCCACGCCCTGCACACTACTCTTAGCCAGATCACCGCTCGCCCCATGTCCGAGCGTTTCGCTATCCACACTGAAGCCTCAGACCGCGTCAAGGCCGCTGTCGCCGAGCTCGGCCTGACCCAGCTGGCTCCCAAGCCCGAATGCCAGGCTCACGGCATGACCGCCATGTACCTGCCCGAGGGTCTGATTGCGCCGGACGTTCTGCCCGGTCTGCTGAAGCGTGGTGTGATCTTTGCAGCTGGCCTGCACAAGGAGATCGCTCCTAAGTATATCCGCTTCGGTCACATGGGTGTCAGTATCTCTGACCCCAACCGTAAGGATGTTGACAACGCCCTGGCGGCGCTTAAGGAATCTCTCGGTGAGGCCAAGCAGGCCAAGGGCTTGTAAGCCTGGACGTTCAGTCCGAAAATACAATGTGCGGGTGTATCTATAGGGTGCATCAAGATAGAATTTACTGCCATGATAAGCTGTCCATAGACACATTGATCTATATGATATCACTTCTGATGAACTCCGGAGATTATCTCCAGCTCCACGTTGCTAGACTCTTTCATAGATACACAACCGGCCCAGTAATTTGATACAGATACCTGTTCGTTCGTCCCGCGGGTAAACCATGAGAAAGGGCCCAACATTCCTGAACGGATAGACACAGATGTTACCTTTCTTGACAATGAATGTACCCCTTGATTCGCAAGAATGCACAAACCACATGACTTGCTCTCCTGGATTTCAACCAGGTCTGTTCCACCAGCCACCGACCAAAATGTCCCAAGTAAAGCATAAGGCCATCCGCCTAGTAAATAGAAGCTCGGTTCAAGTCCAACATACCAACTAGCCGCCCCGGACTATTTATCTCACCAAGATCGACAAATTTTATACCAATCTTCTTCCAAAACAAGACTAGCCCCCGAACCATAGAAGCCCTAAGTAGACATCCATGGGTATATCCATCCATGAGAGCCAATTCTCAGGTACCATTCCCCGGGTCTAGAACCCCATACCCATATCAGAAAGAAGTCCTTCCATTCTTTTACAAAATAATGGAATGTCTGGGGAAATTCCATATGTAGGGACAAATATCATCCTTCTGCTCGAAGAATTTCTACCCCCATCCGCATTCTCCTTCCAGTTGACATCACACCCTCGCACATCCCTTCCAATTTCTCCAAAACTCATCGAAATCAAAAATCACCATAATCTATTCAAAATGCGTTTCCTCACTACCAAACTCCCGCTCATCCTCGCTGCCTCAGCTTCCCTCGTCGCTGCCCAGGATGCCACCACCACCGCAACCGCCACGAGTACGAAGTGTGCTGCCCAGAAGTATGTGCTATACATTCCATTCTACCGCTTGAATCACCAACAAAAAATCTAACAGAAAACAGAGTCGTCGACCAATGCATATTGACCATGAAGTTCACACTGGAAAACTGCGACTCCAGCGACTGGGATTGTAAATGCCAAGGAAGTACAAATATCGTCAAGTACGTCCCCTAACCTCCTATTTCCACTCTTAATCGCAAATCCCCAAATCTAACAATCTTCCCTAGCTGCTACAACAACTGCCCCGACGACCAAGAGCGTCTAGGCGCTCAACAAATCCGCGAGCAAAACTGCATCGCCGCAAAAGCCTACGGCACGCAAACTACAACGGCTGGCATAGCTACACCATCTGCATCTGTATCTATGTCTTCGGCATCTATGTTGACATCTACAAGTATGATGGCTGAACCGACGGGGTCTAGGAGTGGTCTTGAGAGCAATACTAAGGATAGCAAGGTGACGAAGTCGTTGACCGGACTTGAGGCAACAGCTACGCCTAATGAGGGTGCGGCGACGGCGAGGGTGAAGGTTGTTGGCAGCTGGTTGGCGTTTTTGGGGCTAGGGTTGGGAGTTTTTGTTTAGGGGACTTTGGAGATGGCCCTGATATATCAGTTGAAGCGTTTGGGTTTGGTTGCATAGTGTTAATTTGAGTTGTTTAAGGTGTTTTCAACCTTGATTATTATTTTGTACAGCTTGACCGGGAAGATAATCTAAAGGAACCGCCGCACTGGTTTTTCGGCTCTTTTCTGACTTGCAGACATCTCTATGGAGGTATTTTTTTAGACTTATTTTGGTTACTTGTCCAAGGTGCAAGCTCCTTCCAAATGGGTGCAAATACGTCTGAGGGAAGAGGTTACGACTGCTTATTCCGAAAGATTTGTGTAAAGTGTATAGTCCGGTTGTAAATAGTACCTCGACACTTAACAAGCCACACCACAAATGTGGTCATTATCATAAACTCGTACAGGGAACATTGTACTCAGAATTCATTCAGCATCTTTGGTTCTCGCAGGACGACACATAACAGTCGCAGTAATTGGCAAAAGCGATTCTGCCGTAGCATTCCATTCGGCAGTAGCCTCCACCGACAGAGAAACTGGGCGTTTGGGGTTCAAATGAGTAGTTTCCATTTGCACAAAACCATAGGCTTCATAGAATGGGACTGCCGGCGGCACAGCTTCAATCCAAGCCTCCAGACCCTTTTCGTCGGCTCGCTTCAGTCCCCATTCCATGAGAGTATGGCCTATACCGCGCCTGCGGTACTCTGGTATGGTGAAGAAAGTGCCTAGTGTAGCATACGCATGTTCTCCGCTTCTTCCTTCTTTCTGTCTGGCTTCTGCTTCACGCAGGATGCGGAATGCCTGGCTGGCGAAGATCGTGGCTCCACCTGCAGGATAGCGGCTTGCCAAAGACCGAACGTGTTGATCGATGGAAGTAGTTTCTTTGACTACGAAGAGCCATTGCGCACCGCCGACGATCGTCTCTTTGCCTGAGGTATCGGAGTCAAAAACCTTAAGCCAGACATTTTCGACGTTTGAGTCTTGCTCTCTGATGCTTTCTTGGTATTCTGTCGCGTTGCTAGCTATTGATTCTTCTCGGCTGTGAAATATAGGGCAATATAAGCGGAATATGGGTTGGAGGGGATTCTCGAAGGAATCCCGCTCTGCCGCGACGATGTTTGGGATATCGTCGATATGCGCCACAGTTAGTGCTACAGGCATAGTCTGAATGGTTCGATACGGGGCTTTCTTGAATTTGAGAGTATTTGCTGCTGGTTAAGGCAATGATTGATCGGGAGTGAGATTCGCGTCCCGCGCAGAAGCGGGGAATGCGTCTTGTCATAGCGCCCCGACTAGTGGCTGGCTTAGTACCATCCAGCTCTTGTTTTTTACTCGAAACAGGTGAAGATGGTCAAGCTTCGGTGGGCCTTCGGCTGACAAATGACTATACTAAAAGATGTTGGTGATATGTACTCACTTCTGGTGGCGTATCGCTGCCGTGTCATGTAATGCATGCAGTCGATGGCCAGTTCATCAACCTCACAGCAACATGAAAGGTGATCCGACAAGTGGGTCCCATCAAGGCCCCTTCCATTGACCATCGAATTACACAGTCTCTCATACTTCAAGTGAAATAAGGTTGACATTGGCCGTTTCAAGGAAGATCTTTTCTGAGCATGAGGGCCTTTTATCATGTGCACTCACCGAGAGTAAGATCTCCCATAAGCGCCCATGATGGCAGATATCTCGACCATTTGACAGATAATGTAATGCAATTTTGAGCTCATCTTGGTTTCAACCGAAGGCTACTCGTCACCAACCCTGCGTAGAGTGATATTCCATCTACCTATCTAACTATCTACCCATCCCCTATGTAAGCAACAGAAAGATATTGGCACACCAGCACCAGCGAACAGAACGCCCACAAGACACTTCACAGCATCAGACCCCTAACATAAGACACCAACGCAATACACAAGCTCACTCCTCAGTCTCCGCACCTCCTGCGCCTTCACCGCATATACAGCGGTCGTCAGCGACCTTCATTGGTCTGCCTACCACTGGGATCCAAGAAAAGTACTCCGAATCTGAGCTTAAGGCCATAAAACCAGTCCCTTTGGCACAGCCAACGTATTCGCAATTCATCTCACAGGACTTCAAAACAGTCGTCTCTACCCTTAGCGAGATTTCCCAGTCATCATCTGCCCATCAGGGCCATATGCCTCCAGGAATCGCTTCCGCAAATCAACGTGCCCTTTATTCTGTCGCCCAATCTTCTCCATGTGCTGTAAATCCTTGAAATAGAACAACTGAACTTTCTTGTTGTAGTTCAGGGCCTGGGGTTCTTTCTCGCGGAACACACCACTTTCAGGCTCATAACATATCCGTCCATCCAGAATTCCCGACTCGGGTCCTGCCTCCATGAGATCTTTTATCCAACGAGTGACCGAATCATCAAAACTCTCAAACAAATATTTCCTCTCTTCGGCCGTGATAGCAGAATGATCTTGGCCTTCAACAACGAAGCATATGTTGTCGGGGAACTGCGTCAAGTGAACCCGACCAGGGCGGCTCTCAAGACTCGATATTCCAGTTGACGGACTCTCAAAGGGCCGGATAGGCTTCAATGCCTTCTCAACTGAAGACACCATTCCATCAGAAGTGTGGTCAGCCATTTGGTGGCGATAACACCCCCAGTAGACCGCTTTATGCCCGATGTCGAATCTTTCTCCGAGGCGTCCGAGGCCAGAGGGCTCTGTCTGGTTGGCTCCATACTGACTCCGTCGAGGAAATGGTATCAGAATTTCTCTCCATATACCCGCGTCGACAGGAAGGGTATCCCAAAATTTAAATACGTCATCTCGGGTCCACCAACTCTGGTAGTCCGCGCGGGACATCCAGTACGCGAGCCAGATGTGTGACTTCCCTGTGAACGGAGTGGCACAACTATCTTGTATCAGTCGGTCAATATGTGCTGCGTGCCCGGAAATCAGGCCGTTGAATTCTTCCGTGAGATTTTTTTGGGATCCGGTGGGGACTCCGCTGGGATATTGGATTCCGAAGATTGAATAAACAAAGGGCTTGTCGTCCAGTTTCACACTCCACATTTTGAATTTATTTATTTCTGAGATAATAGTGAGTAACAAGACTGCTTTAAAAGAGGCCAACATGACTATATCCACGCTCCAAGTCATGACCCAGCACAGCTTCAAGTCACTCAGCCCAGCATGTATTCCATTGGGTCCACGTGTCGGACCTCATTGTAGCCGCATATGCAAGCGTCAGTTCTAGTCTCATTTTGATAACTTGTGAGATATATTACTATCACATTGTCATACTAGAAGCCCCAGATAGCAATAGCTCCGGCGATTACCCTATGTTCGCGGCGGTAATTCCGCCCGCGGATGTTACTATCTGTTGATCTACAGGGGTGATACTTATCATTAGCCAATTAGATTTGGTAATTAGATCACTGAAGATTGCGGAAGCGTAGCTTCGCGATAAACACGCTACTTTGGTTGCGGATGTTTTCCTGCCGCAACTCTTATCGCCAATGCGGGGAAGACAAATGTGCACGATCGAAACATAAATATGGCATTACTCCATTGTCATCATTCATCTTACTCTCATCAAGCCTTACTTGCGTATAATGCATCTCTGAGTTTCTGATATGTCTTCAGACCCCGTTCGTGTGGCAGTCACTCAAGCCGAGCCGGCATGGCTGGACTTAGCCGCTGGTGTCACCAAGACCTGCGAATTGATCGCAGAAGCAGCACAGAACAAGGCAAAGCTCATCGCCTTTCCTGAATGCTGGATTCCTGGTTATCCATGCTGGATCTGGTAAGTATACCTCGAATACCCTTTGGGGGGCTATACTAAGGATTACCCGACAGGAGCCGCTTGCTGGATGTTGAAATGAATGTAGCCTATATCAAGAATTCGCTTCGTCTCAACTCTCCTGAGATAATGGAGATTCAAGCATGTGCAAAGAGCCACGCGATTGCTGTCTCATTGGGGTTCTCGGAGAATGACAACAACTCCATCTACATTGCCCAGGTGTGCATTGGACCTGATGGAGAGATCAAATCTCACCGGCGCAAAATGAAGCCTACTCACATGGAGCGAACCATCTTTGGTGATGCCTCCGGCGAATGCTTCTCGAGTGTTGCCGAGCTTCCATTTGGTCGAGTTGGACATTTGTCTTGTTGGGAACATATCCAACCGTTGCTGAAGTACTTCACCTTCTCTCAGAAAGAGGACATTCATGTCGCCGCATGGCCGAGTCTTACGCCTCATTCTGGGAAGAGTGATCTCTGGTCGATGTCAGCTGAAGGTGAGACTTATCGTGTTTCCTGGATGATTTGAATGCTAACTTCATGATTAGGTTGCCAGAGCCTTTCTCAGACCTATGCGGTTGAGTCGCAGGCATTTGTCTTGCACTGTACTGCTCTCATCACTGAGAAGGGCGTAGAGAAAATGGGCACAGGTGGAGGTGCATTAATGTCCTCTCCAGGGGGAGGGAGTTCAGCGGTCTTTGGACCGGATGGAAGAAGGTTGACTGAACCGGTCGATAGTACGAAAGAGACCATTATTTACGCAGATTTGGATATGGATCAGATTATTGCCACCAAGATGTTCGCGGATGCGACAGGTCATTATAGTCGCCCTGATCTGATGACACTCAGCGTCGTGAGGAAGGTCAAGAAGATGGTTCAGGCTGATGGCGAGGCCTCGCTCGTGGCAACGGCGGAGGAAGTATAAGTGGTGTTGTCCCAAGACTTATGTCTGTCTAAGTAGATTACTTCGTACACATAGAATTTTTCGAACCAGTCGCCTCAATCGGTTTTTGAATCTATATAGGAGAATAAATATCTTATCGTAGTCAGCTATCATATTCACAAGAGACTAACGCGGATGATTCTGAACCCATTATGCTTTATCACTATTCTAATCAACATGTATCTAGTCTCGCGGAATGCAACAAGAAGAGTGCACTTCGACGTTTGATTGAAATAGCTTGGAACATTTGAACCCTTGTCTTATCACGAACCACGAACCACGAACCATATGGTTCGATAAAGGCCGCAACAAAGACCCACTTTATAAGCTCTGAAGCGATCACATGATTCCTAGGCGGGCAAACGAGCGAGGGCAATCACATCCTCCTAGCCTGTTACAGCCGTCTTGTTGAAAATCAAGGCATTTGAAGTCCACTTGCCGATTTTTGGGTATGGGATTGGGAAATGTCGAGTCAACCGGGCAAGCCGGCTTTTTTCGCCTGCCGACAATGTCGAGCCTCAAAGCGCCGAGTACGTCGGGCACCAGGATATCTGCGGGGTTGATAACTGACACATTTAACAGTGTGATGGTATGAAACCAGAATGCTCATACTGCCAAAGAACGGAGAAAAATTGTGAATATGCTGATGAGAAAAAGGCTAGAAAGTATCATCCCTTCCTTCACTACAGCGAAACCCATGACGTTAACACGAGACACAGACGAAAGTATTGGGATGAGAACTATGTCAAATCTCTTGAGAACCAAGTTCAGGCTTTACTAGCTCTTCAAAAGAAAGATGGCGCTACCACATCGCCGCCCAGTTTACCAAGAGCTACCAGCAGCGTCGTTTTGGACTCAGCCTTTCAGTTGGCTCCACTGGGGAAGTCGCACGAATTTGAACAATCCGCGTCTTTGAATCATGTGATTCACGGTGGTGCTTCTCATCAGTCTCAGACTGCAATGGAGGAGTTGAGCGTCATGATGTGGAGAACCAATCTTGCGGATGCCGTGACCATTGACGAGAATCAACCAATTGATAAACCACCCACATGTGAGAACAGCCATCAGCCTGCAGCCCAACGTCAGATTCCGCCAGAAATATCAAGGGTGTGTGAAGACACAAGTCGTCTGTTTGGACTAGCGGCTCTGTTTCTCGAGTGCATCAACGAAGACCACCAATACACGCAGTACGAATCCGCAGATTTCTTCCTCCAGTCCCCCGACCAATCTCCAGACCTACTCTTCCTTCATGCTTCCATGTTAGCATCTGGGGCAGCGTTTGAAAACAAGAGCGACTCTCTCAAGATCAGCGACGAACTTGCAAAATTAAGTGAAAGCCTCGTTTTTGAATGTTTTCGACAGTGCCCATCAATATACGTCATTCAAGGCCTGGGGATCTTGGCATGGCTATCCTTGGCCTTGGGTCGTGATCATTTTGGTTGGACGTTTCTTTCCATGGCTGCTGGAATGGCTGTCCACTTGCGACTTCACGTTTTGGCGCTTGATGACTTTGATACCAAGTCGGCAAATACTGGATTTGCGGATGTGCAGACCTTCTGGTCCTTCTACTTGACTGATAGAACTTCTATTTCTATCCTTGGAAGGAATTGCATGTTACCCTGGCGACGCGTCAATGTCCCTGCGATTGAAACGTTCTTTCCAAGCGACGGCACGAGTCTGGCTCAAATATCTTTTGCATGGCAGTGTAAGCTATGGTATATGCATGATCAAAATATGGATCAAATGTATGTACCTGCTCTCATTACCATCCTCCACCGGTGTGGGATTACTAATAGCCCAATAGCTTCTCCTCGTCCTTTGAAACACTCGCTACGCCAGAACAGGTCCGCCTCCTAATAACTACGCATGATGATCTCAGCCAATTCTTCAAATCACGAGATCAAAGACTCTCAATGAAAAGAGGCGCAACCGAGAAGCCCGTCCTTCTCTTCCACATGGCATATCAAATGGCAATACTAGTAACAATGCCACCATTTCTCCGCCTATTCGCAAAAATGCGAAACGAAACCCCGAACCCATCGCAACTAACGCCCGTCGTGCTGCAATCTCTCACGGTAGCAGCAACATCAATGGTCAGGCTCGTTCAAGAGTATTGCAAAACTTACGGCTTCCCAAAGGCGAATCCACTCCTCATTCACCTTCTACTTAGCGCATCTATTGTTCACTTGATGAATACAACTACTGAATCATTCACACTACGGAGGTTTAGTACACGGTCTGTTCGGAAGTGTCTCGCTTTTCTCGGCCAATTTGGGGTATATTGGCCCACTCGGTCGCAGAAAAGTATTGATTTGATCAAGACGCTGGCGCGAAGGTGGAAGGTCGAATTTGTGTTGCCGGAGGAAATGGAACCAAACTTCGACACAGAATTACCTAGTGGTTCTCATGAGCCTGAGAGCAAAGGACGGACTGGTCAGACGTCTCCGGGGCCAGACATGGGGCTGAAATTGTCTCCTTATGGCACTTCCGAGAATACGAGTGGTCCATTCAACTCTCCTTTAGGATCAGAAAACAATTATGCTTTCAATGACCTTTTATATGGCGAAGAAGATCAAGATGACTCTACTATAAATACTTCGATGCTGAATCTTGAGTGTCTGGATCTGTTTCCGATGTTCCAGGATTTCAGTCATTTGACGGACAGTTCTCTTGATTTGCCGTGATCACATACATGCACACACATGGGCTTCAGGCTGCAATGAAACATTCTTGTTTACATTGCTGACCTCGTGATACATTTATGTTATAACCAAATCTGCTTTACAATTCTTCGCCCATTTCAGGCTCCCAGAATAGGCGCATAGAAACTGAACCTACCCAAAGGATCATACTTCTTCTTCAGTGCACTGAGTCTCTGCCGCCTCCACTTCTCAGAACCATACATCTGCTCGGTAGACTCATCCCCTTGTGCATAGTTAACATAGGCCCCAATCTCATCTCTCCCACTCGCCTCAAACAATACATTCCTCAGCCGCTGTCCCAAATCAGCAGCCTTCTTATCAAGTCCTTTAGCAGGGAAATAATTAATAAGAGGCGCAACAAGAAGATTCTCACTGCGGAATGCAAAAGCAGTGGAATCGTGAGGCACCGCGTGTACGCCTTCGGCGGAGTATCCCTCGAACATGAAGATTGAGTTATTGAATGGCGAAGATCCGCGGACAGCGGGGGCATAGATGTCCCATACTTTCTTCTGTGCGGCGACGTTGTAGGACTCGAGGTAAATGGGGAAGCGAGGATTGGCCATTCCGATTTTCAGGCAGGGTGGGGATGAGTTGGTGATGCCAGTCCAGGCTGCGAGGTCTTTGTAGGTTCCTGAGTCTGGGGATACAGAGATTGGGCCGAGGTCATGGAAGGGTTTTGTGTAGATTGAGTCGACAGCTTTGACGCCTTCTTGGATAATATACATCACGATGACAGGCTAAGTGGTTTTAGATTAGTCCATCGGTGGATTGGTGTGGTTAGGGCTCACATTATTGGGATCCGCGTCGGCGTTGTTCATCCAGTACGACCAATTGACTACGTCCACGGGCTGAGTGCCGTTCTTGATGATGTGGTCATTGGCGGCTTGATAAACGGCTTCCACTTTGTCCCCGCTGAAGGTAATAGTTTCAATCGCCCAGTCGGTGTGCTCGATATCGTAAACCTTGGTGGTGAGAGAAGTGACGATACCGAAGTTGTGGCCGGCACCTTTCATCGCCCACCAGAGGTCAGAGCTCGCATCAACCGTAGTCAAAGTGCCATTTGCAAGAACAACTTTCATCGAAACAAACTGGTCTGCTACGAGGCCATGATGGCCTTGAAGCCAGCCGTGTCCACCGCCTAGGGCAGGCCCGAGAAGACTGACGCATTCACAGGCTCCGGTCACTGTTTGTTTTCCTGCGGCCCAGAGCTCGTCTGTGACGAGCTTGGACATTGTTCCACCGGCAATGGTGGCGGTTTTTCCATCAGCATTGACTTTTACACCGCTCAGCTGGCTCATGGAGATGCCCACGCCGTGATCCATCTTTCCCAGGGATGTGATAGCTCCGTGAACGCCATTGTATGCGAGAAAGGGGAGTTGCATCTTGTTTGCAAATTTCACCTGAATTCACAATAAGCAATCTGCAATTCTGTAGATGCAAGAAATTGAAGGTTGGAAATCAGGGCTCACCGTCTCCGCAACATCATCCTCAGTGCCAGGAACAACAACAAGATTGACCTTGGGCTCTTCCAGAACCGACCAGCGAGTGGTAATATTCTTAAATCCGCTCGACCCAGGGTAATAGATCTTGGCTGTGTCCGAAAGCTTGGCCCCGAGCGCCTCCCAGTTATTGTCCCGAGGACAGAGGCCATTGTGGAAGTCACAGCCCGGGGAGGGGCTCGATGCTACAGCGAAAGCCCACGCACCGATTGTCGTCAGGACTTCCAGCGTGAGCCAATGCATAGCTCAAGATATGAGACAGGTATTCGATAGGGTTGCCAGAAGGAAAGGAAACAAAAGGCAAACAGAAAAACACGAGGCATGGGGGGATCCTTGCTGTGTCAGAACCGTGCTGGGGGCCTGAGTCTATGCAGGATCCCTGTCCTGTGGGGTGCCGTGCATGAAGGCTATTGTGGATTCAATAGAATGAGCGCAATTATAAATAGTGCCCTGGATTGTCTTAGCCTAGACCCTTCTTTTGAATTAATGAAGGGATCTTCTGTCAAGTCCTATGTGCATTTGCATGACTGCCTACTTACGGAGTAAACGGAGGTAATAGAGTTCAATTCCATTCCATTTACTATGAACAAGTTTGAATTTCTGAAAGCCACTTTTCTGTTACCTAGCTTATGCACTAGTGCACGGCTGAATCTTGACGTTACATTCGGTCGGCCGAAGCTCGGTTCTTATAGCAGAGGCGCTGCTATCCGATTTGGAACATTATTGTGATGGTCCACTTAGTCTACAGTACGAATGGAATGTGGTTAGCTGCAGGCCCAATTGTAATGAGCCAAGACAAATCGCGTAGATTGGCTCCCAGACATGTGGACGCAGCCATCACCAGCTGTAATTAAGATGAATGCGCCATTTACATCAGTCTCCATGAATTTGTGAATCTACATGATCATGTGTGAATGTTGTGCGAATTGGCAATCTATGAGAATCTTCTTCTAGCTCTCTGTTTACTTCGATCGGGCTCCGGGTATCATCTAGCAATAGATTTACACCCTTACCTATGGCCATATAACAATATCAGTGATACTACATAATCCTACCCACAACGCTCACTTCTTCACCTTCTTCACCTTCTTCACCTCCTTCTCATCTACCTCACCACCGCCACCATCACCACCACCTACATCAAACCCAGAAACCTCAAGATTCCTCACCACAAAAGCGACCCGCTCAACATCAACAAACCCTACCTTGCCCTCCTCTTCACCCATCCCATTCAACCTCCCCCCTCAACTCCCCCATCTTATCCCACAACAATCGATACTCATTAACATTATACTTTACCCCCAGATCCCCATTCGGCTTCAAATACTTCCTCGCCACATCCTCACTCCCAGGATAACATGCCGCGCAAAGCCAACGGAACGTATCATCACTGTAGAATGGCACCTCATCGGCATCTGCAGAAGCAGCTGTAGCGATAGATAAAACCAATGAAGCAGTCGCAACCCCAACACCCCTCAATCGAGTAAGCGCATCAAGGCTCTCTTTCGGAAATACATCTCCTTCAGACTCTGTGCTAGGAGTAGAATTGGGACCAGGGAGAAGTGAGATCGCAGAAGAAGTACACTCTAGTACTAGCTTCTCCGCATTCGATTTGATCATGCTCATCAATGTGGGTCGGAAATGGCCGTGTTTTCTATGATTCTTAGTATGCAATCCAGGATCCAATTCCATACTCAAGGCAAGGGGGGAGGGGACGCACAACTTCCACTCCATGATCCGAATCAGCTCTACTTTATCCACATATCCCTCCCGTCCATCTGACTTGGACTTTCGTTCAGAAAGGATCTGAGGCATTCCTTCATAGCGCCAAGTATCCAGTTCTAGGAATTTCTCCGTTTCAGAGCGGACGGTGTCTTCGAGGGAAGGGGTTCGTTCAGATTGTGCCCTTTCCAGGTCTTCAGCTTTGCGCTTTGTAGTTTTAGGTTTCGGTTGGAGTTTCAAGGTATTTTTGCGGTTGTGGACTGCGGTCACGGTCTGGGGGTAGAGATTGAGGAGGCTATGGAATATTTGAGGGGTTATGTTGGTTGGGTTGAGCGATGGGAGCTCGGTGTTGTTTGTGATGCTTGCGATAATTTGAGGCGTGGATGTCTTCTCCGGCAGGGAGGTTCTTTTGCTAGTTTTTGTGGGCATATTGGGTGTTTTTGATCGTATCGTAAGGTGGGAGGTGATGCTGCTCCGTAAGGTGACCAGTTGGCGTACCGGTGCTGGCGAACAAAAGTGTTAGAACAATCGCGACAAGTCGTGTTAATGGTAAGGTTGGACGCGTTGAACGGATAAGGATATCGATAAGCGCTGTTGTCGCCACGCTTCTTGGAGGTCGGAGAAAGTGTTATTCCTTGCTATTTGATACTTTGTGCTATTTGTACTGCGTATGTTTACCCCGTCTAAGACTGCCCCTGTAGGGTGTTCGACCGGTTTGTATAAGTGGCAGACACTGCGATTTCCCATAAATTGAAAAGGAAGAAGAAGAAAATGATTATCGCAGGGATAACTCAGTTAGCTAGTAGATTCAACTTCGGTGAAGGCTTCGGGTGAATGATTACACATACTTTATAGTGAGAGGATGATGGGGATATTGGAACCTCGTCAGCTAGAGCCTGAAATTGGGCCGGAAACCTTTCACTATGGGTTCGGACGCTGATAATAGCAGTTGGCTTGCCAAGAAACGTGAAGTTGGCACAGTCTGTCCCTTTTGACATACTGCTTCAGCACCCGGATGTATCGGTATCGAATGGAGGATTCGGAACTGCTCCGATGGCTCTTGTTAAGGAGTACCAATGGTTTTTGCTGGTGTTTACTTTGACAAGGTCTATACCAATCCCCGTGCTGCGTCAATGGGGGAAGTGAGTACAAGACAACCATTGGAAGAAACTTGAATAGAACCAGCCAACGCGTATTCATTTAAGGGTTTACATCTAGGGTTCATATCTGTCTAGAAGATCATCTTATTGAATAGCATTCTATGCCTCAAGCCAGATCACATTTTTAGTCTCACGGCTATTTACACGCCGGCCATGAACAGGTCTTCATTAAACAAATAACAAATACACATCATCAAAGAATCAGAGTCATCATCCGTCTCGCCGTGGGCCCATCATCAAGATGGCCCAGACCAAAACGATCATCCCGCAAGGTGTGGGTGATCAACATTAAACGCAGTGTAGAAACATGGAGCACCAGGATCGATATTGCCTTTCAGCACATACAGTCGCCGGTGTAGAGGGGAGAATAGTGGATCGAATACAAGATAGAAGGTAAGCCCCTCGGAAAGGGGGAGATCACTGGGTCGGAGAAGGATTCCGGCTGTGGTTGCGGGATGGCGCCTCGGTGGGACGGACATACATGCGCTCGTCTTGGGTGCGCTCGCTGAATGGCATCATGGAAATGTTCTTCGATCGACTCTTCTTCATGGGTTTGGAGAGGGTCGGCGCGGGCTGCGGCGCGGAGCTTGCCAGTGAAGGACCGGGCTTGGCCTCGGCGGCGGGAGGAGCGGCAGCACGTTCGTCGTCTTGCACTTCGATGTGTCGGAAGTCTTGATCCTGGTCACCGGCCTCGGACGAGCTAGGGCTATCCGAGTCTGATGCGGCCTCGTAGTCGTCTTCGTCATCGCTGACCAAGCTAGGAGCTTGGTTGGACTCTATCGTGTTCGGGCTGAGGTTCGCAGCGTGATCCAGTCCATCCCCGTCACGGAGAGAGGGATGGAATGGACCGTGAAGCGAAAAGTTCACGATGGTGGACTGCTGGTGAGGCTGGGGCCGGGAGGGGGTCATCTCGTACGACAGTTGAGGACCGTGGGTTGCTCTTTCGAGGCCCTTGCGGCTCTCAGTTCGCTCCGATGCGGCCTGCGAGGTGGGCATGCGCATCGGTTGGCGAGCTGCGGGAGTTGACTGCTGAGAAGGCTCCTGGCTGGCCCTCCGGGTTGGCTGTCTTGACTCTTCCATATCTGACTCGTCGTCGGAAAGACCACTCAGGTCCACAGGTGCCTTCGACTCTTCCACCAGCTTGCTCATGTCCAAACCGAGACCTCGGTCACGCATGAGAGCGGAGAGGTGAGGAGTGGCTGGAGACGCCATGAACGAGGGGTTCACAGGTTTGACGAGCTTTGTTTGACGACGGAACGACTGGTTACTCAGGACCGTGGCAGGAGGGGTGGCGACGGCGGAGATAAGATCGGATTGTTTCCGTGGAGTGAGAGCGTCCTTGGATGGAGTGGGGAGTGCATTTGAGGGTGTTGGGGGTTGAGCAGCAGAGCGGATCAACGGGTGCACGTAGCCTTGGCTCGCGACACTGCTGGTCGACTCGCTGCGGCCACCAACAACAGTACCCGCTTCATCGACCTCAACTGGCTCACCAGAGGCCATTGCAGCAGCGTCGTGACTAGCAAAGTTCCGGCCGTGCGCAATACGGCAATGGTTGATAAAGCCCTGCGTGCTGGAGAAGTTATCCCTCCGGCAGTCGAGACAGACGAGCTTGACCATAACTTGATCCGACTTGCGTCGCACTATCATAGGCCCAGCCTTCTCCTTGACGATAGGGTACCCGCTTGGCAGACCCGCGCTCAGCTTCTCACCAGTAGAGTTCCGCGAAGGACGCGACTTGCCCGCGAGCATAGGATAATCAACCGGATTCCCACGAGTTGAACGGCCCTCGACCAGCGGAAGACCAGCACCACTTGCTGTAGACAGTCCAGACCTGACTTCACCGCCATCAAACCGAGGATCCGGAAGAAGCCATCTCGCGTAGTGACGCGAGTACGGACCCTCCGTGACACCCCAGGGTGCAGGCGAGAGCGCTGCTGGGCCATTTCCAGGCTTCAACAGCGATGCGCCCGAGCCCGAGCTGACATCGGCGGACACGCCGGCGACAGCAGAGCCAGGGAAGGGGATCTCCGAACAACGGCGCAGTTGCTCCAATGCAACCTGACACTTGGCGATCTCCTGGTCAATCAGGCGCAACTCGTTGTGCTTCAACAGCACCTCCAAGCTGATCTGAGCGGTCAGGTTATCGCGAAGGCGATTCACATCTGGTGCACCCGAGGCGGCCTGCGCCGGTGGACGCGCGGTCGCGCCCGACGGGGAAGGCGATGCAACGTGGTCGGATGTGGATGTGACGGTTGGGGATGGAGTCGGCTGCGAGGAGAACGCGACCGGGTCTTCAGTGCGGAATTTTGTCGTGACAGGAGCGTCGGCCACGGTTGAATCCGAGCGTTTGCGCTTGAGCATCGGGGACAGCGCGATATTGGCGCCGGGCGCACAGGACGAGCTTAACATCTTGACCTCCTCTGCCATGACCTTGTTCCCTCCGATCGCAGAGGGCCAGGAAGGCAGAAGGCTAAACATGCCATGCGCCATGCGAGGTGTGAAAACCGGGGAAAGGTTAGGGGTGACGAATTTAATTCGGTCGGCAATCCATGCGATGAATTATTAAGGGTGTAGAAGGTGGTGGTAGTAGCGGTGTAGAGCAGTGTAGGCAGTTCAAGGGACGAAGGAATGGACGTCGACGACGATGGTGTCGCGCGACCGTGTCAAGTTGGGCAGAACTTTAGTTGGAAGCTGGGCGAAGGGAGTGGAGCGATTACGGAGAAAGGTGGCGAAATTCTATTAATAATGGTAAAGAAAAAGGAAGGAAGAGAAAGGTGGAAAGGTGGAAAGGTGAAATGTCGAAAGGGGAAAGGATGGATAGATGGAAAGGGAAAGGGTGTAGAAAGTAGAAAGTAGAAAGTAGAAGGGTGGAAGTGGAAAAGTGGAAAGGTGGAAAGTGGTAGAGTCGAGGGAAGGGGGAAGCAGGAATCAGGGGGGGGTGCGCAATGCCAAACACAGAGGAACAGGCAGCGGTGGGGAACATGATGTGATACTCCTTTTTGAGACAAAATACCTCTTTCTGACGTGGTAGATCTGCGACACGTCATCTCGATCGGGTAATCTGCCTCTGGACTGTTGGACGGACTATTGACTATCGACTATCGACTATCGACTATCGATGCTAGACTGCACATGTCTCTATACTCTTGGAGAATGGGATTGTGTCCACAGAATCCTCATCCCCATGTCCGGAAGCGGGCGGCTTCCATGGCCACGACATCATACACTTCCATGCCAAGCAGCTGATTGGGTTCCTCCAATAGGTCTGCTGTGAGCCGATACTCTAGTGAGCTGTGATTTGACTGTCTTTGTCCCGGACAGGAGCGCCTCTGGAGACTTTTGTGATGCATCAATCCAATCCCGTTTAGCGCCCTAGGGGCGATCTGGCCGTTAGAATCCCATAGAATCGGATCGAATCGCCAATCTGGAGAGATTGGGACCCCGTTTTACGGTACTCCTCCCGACTTGTTCCTTGTCCCAGGCCCTTGCGGACTAGGCCTGTCTGGGCCTCGGAACTATCGATTTCCGGGGATATGAACCCTTCTTCCGATCGATCTATCGCACGTGTGGGTGTCCTGTAGGTGTTTGGGCCTGGGCCCAAACAGGATGTATAAATGCAGATTTAGAGTAATGTCAACATCAACATCCTTTTTAACACTTCACCTGCTCGGACCACACACTAAAATTAGTTGGTCTCTTCGGGTTTCCCGACTTTCTGCGGAACTGCCAGCGGCCGGTATGAGCATAGTGGGAGCTACCCTGACGATCTGGAAAGTCCGAGCGAATCACCCACAACTGAACCGTTGATCGTGTCTACATTCACCCACACCTTCCCACAACGGCTTACCACCCACCGGACATTCTCCTTTCTGGCTCTGATGACCTCGGCCCGTATGCACTCCTGGCACCAGGGTCAATTAGGCTTATCCGAGTGCCTCTACAAATGCGGAGAACATGGGGAATATCAGCCCTCGACCAAGGGGTTGAACCGATATTCAACCGGCCGTCTACCGACTACTCTGCCGCGCATTCTTTGAGGATGCCTTCCTTGAAAATGTATAAAACCCCCGGTCGCCAAGGAGCCACTCTTGAACCTCCTAAACACCTCGTCGCGCAGACACTACCGCAACTATGCGCGCCCTCACTCTCACCACCCTCCTAGCAACCCTCCTAGCAACCCTCACAGCAGTCACCGGCTCTCCCCTCAAGTCCAAGTCCAAGTCCAAGTCCAAACCAAACTACATAGATTGGCACACCTTCCACGCCCGCGGCGTCAACCTAGGCGGCTGGCTCGAACAAGAATCAACAATCGATGTCCCCTGGTGGAGCAAATACTCCCACGGCGCCGCCGACGAATGGCATATGTGCGAGAAACTAGGCTCAAAATGCGCCTCCGTCTTCGAAACCCGCTACTCAACATTCATCACAACATCAGACATCGACACCCTCGCCGCTGCAGGAATAACCATGCTCCGCATCCCCACTACCTACGCTGCCTGGATCCATGTTCCCGGCTCAGGTCTCTACCGCGGTAACCAACAAGAACACCTACACCGCATCGCAACCTACGCTATCGAGAAATACGCCATGCACATCGTCGTCGACATCCACTCCCTACCCGGCGGGACGAACGGTCTCGATATCGGCGAAGCCGTAAACCATTGGGGATGGTGGTGGAACGAGACGAACCTCGAATACTCCCTCCAAGCCGTCGACGCGTTAATCGACTTTGTGCAAACCTCCGGCCATCCAGAGAGTTATTCCATCGAACCGATCAACGAGCCAGCCGATAACCACAACTTCTCTGACTTTGGCACACCCGCTGCACTAAGCGAGCGTGGCGCAAAATGGCTGTTGAAATATATCCACGCCGTTCTCGAGCACGTCGAACGCGTGAATCCCAGAATCCCCGTAATGTTCCAGGGCAGTTTCAAGCCTGAAACGTACTGGTCTCCGCATTTCGAGAAGAGTAAGAATCTGGTCTTTGATGTGCATCATTATTATTTTCAATATGGTAATTCGACTTCGGAGAATTTGCCGACTTTTATCTGCGCCGATGCAAAGGCGAGTAAAGGGGATGGGAAGTTTCCTACTTTTGTGGGTGAGTGGGCTATGGAGGCTGGGTTGAAGAATGAGTTGGCTTTGCGCGGAAGAAATCTCAAGGCGGGAACGTCTGCGTTTGCACAATTCACGCATGGGAGCTCGTATTGGAATGCCAAGTTTATCAGTAATGTTACTGTTGCGGGGAGTGTGGATAAGGGGGATAAGGGGGATTATTGGAGTTATGAGGAGTTTATTGATGCGGGGTATACGGATGGGATGGTCGATGTGGTGGATTACTGCAAGTAAAGATTAAGTATTCCTTGTGAGGGAGAATTGATATAGAATTTCTATGTTCATTCAATGCATGATATCTGCAGATATCCGAAATGTAAATAGCAATAGGTCATTAGGAGGCGGGAGCATTTCCGGAGCGAATGCTCGAACGGGTCAGCAACTTTGGAATAGCTCGCCAATTGACCACATCGCATTAACAAAAAATGAACGCTTCAATCGAAGTATGGACACATGGTTGAATTGTGGAATCGACATAAGAGAACATCCAGAGAACGCGAAAATTTCGAACCGACGCCGAGGCCCAGATGGATGGGGAAGCGGCCATATACACGCAACCAATTGGCAAAAAGATGTGAAGAACGATCCTGGGGAAATGGCAAAATGACTCAAGCCTGAAAAAAAACAACGACCAAAACCAAAACCAAACGCCAACTTGACAGCCATCAGGGGGGGGGGGGGGGTGCTAACATTGGATTGGCATGGCGAGATTTAGTTGAGCTCGGTGTCCTGCATGCGCAGGATGAAGTTGACAACCACGGCGGCAAGAAGCGCAATGGCCAGAATCGTGGGACCGAAGCGGTCGTCGAAGCCGCTTTGACCTCGGCGACGGATGCTTTGTGCACGCCAGTGGAATGTGACCACGGCGTAGATCATGGCTGCCATCGCGATGACGGTGAAGAGAGCGGCGGAGATTCGGCCAATGCGATCACCGAAGTTGAGCAGGCCGACGGCCAGACCACCAAGGATGACGGTGAAGTTGAGCCATGAGAGGAAGGTTCGCTCGTTCGCGAAGAAGACCTTGGGTTCGACGCGGGTGGGAAGGGCGATGCGCTTGCCTGGGGGGGCTGTTAGCTGTGTTCATGGGCTTGGAGGGGTTGGATGGGTAGCCTCGGACGCGAGGCCAGATTCCGATAACATACCCGGAGCGGTTTGGAGGAGAGGTTGGCTGGACATGACGATTTCGGGGAATTGAGGTTGAGGGGTTAGGGAGAAAGTGGCGCGAGCTGGGCTGGGTGCAGCTTTTATGAGTGCGAGAATAAACGGCCTCAGAAATTAATTTTTTTTCTTCCTTCGGTAGTTTGAGAAGGTCTGGACGCAGAGAAAAGGCGAGAGCTACAAGGGCCAATCCCCGCTCGATGACGGGCGACGTCGAGACGAGCTGCGCTAAAGCTGCAGCGCTAGTCCGGATTGGGAAAACGGCGGTGCAGCTCTACCATAGTTGACGCACGTGCTCCGATAATTTGCTACCGTGCTAGCGGTCATGTGACCATGCTTTGTGGCCGTGGTCTGCTCACATGAAAAGTTTGGGGGGCTTTTCGCGCAAAAGAAAATAAACCTCAAAAAGTTAGACTCGCTAGAAACTCGAGGTTTCTCATACACAATTGCCTAGAAATACTCAATGCATGGCTACTTTACAGAATAAAGGGCCACTCTCCGTCACAGCATGATAAGTCGCGCAATATCCCGATGGGTCCAAGAGTCGGCTAGCAATTAGACTTGACACTAGTTTACACCAATAAGAGCACCCATGGTTGCAAACGTGATAAGCCCAACATCCCGGGTAAATACGACCGACGCGGCAGATTTTTTTTGAGGCGCACATAATTTAATGATCTTTGGTACTTGGACCTGTCATATCGCTCCTAGCATGTCCGATGCCTTTTAAGCTTCTTTAACCTGTACTAAAGAGCCTCTCAGCCTTGTAGGGAGACCTAGGAAGTTGTTCAAACTACAGTTGACCGTTGGGGTTCGACATTCTGGCCAGAATCCGAACCCACAAGGTCTCAGGGCCTGAAACAACCCCCATATACACCCCATGAGACCCGCAGAATGGTACGGAATTTTGTTCGCCCCATCGGTATGTGGACATGCGTTGCTTATAAAGTTTGGGTTTGGGTACTTCCGTAATTATTATGGTCCAGTCCCGGTGTGCGCACAAGCATTTTCCAAGTCTCTCAAGGTTTTTCGGAAAACCCGGCCCTGAACTCAGTCATCGGCATGCCGAATTTACTAATTGAAAGACTCCATAGATCGTCCCGATCATATCTATTTTGCTTTGGTGCTCACGCTACCTCCTGCCGTATGTGGCAGCCTAACATGACTCCTGAATTCTCCCTAATGCTCCCACATTGTATGTGGGGCCGCAGTCCAAACGACTCAATTGACTGCTCCACACGGCAAATCGGAGTCATCTATCCGGCGCTATTTTCTAACAGGACAGTTGCGAATCTCCACTAACTGTTTATCCAATTAGGTTGTTTGAGTGACATGCAACCCAGGTTGAACATGACACGTCTGAAAAGTGGAAAATATGTGGGAAATATTTGTAAAAAAAAAAAAAAACCACGAACCATGATCACTTTCAAAAGTTAAAATGGGAACTTAAAAAGGCGCGAAGTAAAAGAAAGAACAAATAATATATAATCGAAATAAATCAAAATCACACAACCAAAAACTATCCAGGCCTCAAGCCATGGCCTCCTTAAGCGGTGCAAAATCCCAATCCTCCTTAATCATATCCGCCGCCTTCTCCGCCACCGCATAGACGCTACTAACAATATTCCCACTTACGTTATTTGGAAATACCGACGCATCGGCTACTCGCAGACCCTCCACGCCCTTTACCCGTAACCGCGAGTCAAGTGCATCGCCCATAGCCACAGAACCGCAAATATGGTACTCGCCCAAAATAACGTCGTGAACTGCTTTTTTCCCGTTCTCAAGATCTTGGAGATCCATTGATGGCTCGGGATATGATCGCCCGGTTATTGAGGACTTGATGTGTGAGGATTGGGACACATTGTCCGCCCAGCGGAAGGCGGCGCTGAGCACGGTCACATCCGCATCGTGGCCGCCGTAGTTCGGTTGAATTACGGGTGGTTTGGTGGGGTCTAGTTTTCATTAGAGTATTAGTTTTTATATTGGATTTTTTTTTTGTGGGTTCGGTGGGTTTCTGACCGGAGCTTGTTATGTGCACGTAGCCTCGAGCGACAGGGTATTGGAGACACAGGGCGAATGTTACGCCGGCGGGTTTGTCAGCGGGGCGGGGCGGGAATATGTGACTTTGGTGTTGGATTCCGGAGATGTCCGCTGTTGCTGGGACGAGGACCATTTGGATGTTGGCTGAAGTGTCGCTTTGGAGGTGGGCGATGATTTGGGCGAGTTGTTTCTCGTGGAATGCGCTGGTCGGCTTGACGTCGCGGATGCTTTGGATGACCTTTTCAAGCTCTTCGGGGGACATCACTTTCTTCGCAGGGAAGAAGCCTTGCATTGTTGAGGTGCAGGTGAGTGGGCCGCTGCCGGACTCGGCGTATTGCTTCAGTGCATTTTGCATCGCCTCGGGGACTTGATGGAATGTGTCCAGGGTAATCGTTTCAGGCGTCAATTCGTAGACTGCGAATGTGATCTGGTGGTCTTGCAGGTTGGCGCCAACGGCTGGGTTTGCGATCTTGCATTCAACACCGGCGGCTTCGAGAACGGCGGGATCTCCAATACCAGAAAGCTCGAGGATCTGAGGTGACTTGAGGGTTCCTCCACAGACAATGACCTCGCGCTTGGCGGAAACATTGTACTCCTGGCCTTCATGAGAGATGTTGACACCAGTGGCCTTGTTGCCGGTGAGGTTGATCTTGTTCACCAGCGTGCTGCAAAGAACCTTGAGATTCGGTCGGGTGGCCCGATTGGCCTCATAGTATCCTCTGGCAGCATAACTGCGCTTGCCCTTGTTCGGCCCAGTGCGACAGATAGAGCCTAGGGTGTTGTAGAAACCGATGTGATCCCCGCTCCATGGGTCAAGTGGTTTCTCCGGGGTGTTTGTGACTTCGTCGCAAGCTTTGATAATATCATTCTCAATTGGCATAATAGTGTCGTTGAAGCCTGTGCGGACTGGGCCACTGGTGCCGTGGAACTCTCCAACGAAAGGCATGGTAGTGGTGTCTGTAATCGAGGGGTCAATAGGCTCGAGACTCTGGTGCATAGACATTAGATAGAGCTTAATAAAACCGATTGTTTGGCATACCTGGTGCTTGCGCATGTAGTGTTGCATGATATCCGCTGACCAGCCTTCATCTTCGGCCAATTCGGCCCAGTCATTGTAATCCTGTGTGCTACCACGCACGTACATCATGTAGTTGATACCACTGGACCCGCCGAGCAACTTTCCGCGAGGAACATGGTGGATTTTTCCATTATTCCCTTCCTATTGTAATCTTGTCAGAGTGAAAGTTCAACATCGCAGCCCTGGTGTGCACTTACCTGCGGAGCCGTGTACATGCACCAGTCATACTCGGGATTTTCCAACAACTGAAATAGTCCCCCAGGCATATCCACCAATGGATCTCCAATGCGGTATTTCCCAGCTTCGATAACACCAACTGTCACCTCAGGGTTCTCAGTCAGACGAGCTGCAATAGCCAATCCAGCAGTTCCGCCTCCGCAGATAATGTAGTCGAAAGCAGTACTAGAGAACTCTTCAATAGAACACGTGGGCGACTGGCCCGTTACGCCATTCTGTTCGGCCATGATTGCTTCAAAACTTGGGTATGCAGCTCTTACGAGGAACGGAGAATCAACGGGTGGGAAATTAGAGCTATTTGTACGTTTGCCCCACCTGTGTTACTCGGGTGAGCACCGTAGCTACTTCGTTTTCGCCGTGCGGGGAAAGGCTGGCAACCAATCCCAACAGCGCATGAGCCTAGACCTCTTAGCTCGGTATTAGTTATTGGTTAATCCGTATTTTGGATTGGAGCCATTGGTGGTCGTTTAGCTGCTCCAGGCGCGGAAGGTTTCCCCGCATTTTGTGAACCGAGGTGTCACCGCGGCGACGATTTCATGATCTTGAACATCGAGATCAAAGTCGATTTCTACTGGCAACTTCGGTTTCATGGAAAACAATTAAGGCATTTAATACTGTGACCCATTTACGACATAATATGAATTCCTGGATGGTGGCAGTGCTCTGCATCCTAGTCTAAGTGCTGACACGCCCATCACGACACATGCCGCAAATAGCTCTTGTGGAGCACTTGAACCATCTGTGTACCGGGCTATTCAAAATTACTGTCAGAATTCCCCCGCAAGTTCCCCAGAGTCCATGCGCGAGCGGAATATCCTTCCGCGGCACCCTAGACGCAGATCTTGTCCATTCCAATTCCAGTAGAACCCATTATCTAGTAGGATTTTGTAGGATCTGAGAGGGGTAGTACGTACAATACCCAATAATGAGAAAACCCTGCGACTCCAAGCTTCTTGGCAAAGTTACTAGGTCATCTTTGTGCCGAGAATCAGTCTCACTTGCATGCCTTTCGCACTGCAGTAGTCTCACGTTAGACCCACCGTAGGCCGTCGCGGCTGAGGCTTGGGATCGGTTTCTTTTGACTTTCATTGGCATTCCATCACCTACAAGAGATCATAATATCGGCATTCAAGAGCTGCGGTGACGAAGAAGGTTGTTTGAAATCTTCATACGTTGTCGACAGGCATCTATCATTGCCCCGGGCTTCACGGTGGGGCCAAGAGCGGGTCCCGCCTTGCTTTTTCGGGCGCCAAGATATCTGCAACTAGAATCGATCAAGCCTAGAATGATTGTGATTCCGTGTTCTGGCTAAGATAGGGAAGGATAGTGAAGCTATTATAGGGCTAGCTTTACAGGGCAGCACCCTACGCTTAGAACTAGCCGACGATGGCAATTTCAAAACTTCACATGTCGCCTGGGAAGAGCATATGTGCTTTGTTAAAAAGGGTCTTTCACCCGAAAGAAGACACACCTAACCATTCGGTCGGGCTCACTCAAAAGTCGTAACGGCTGATCGCTCTATTTCAAGCGGTCTGGCAGAAACGAAAGGTGTACCCCATAAGCTGGCATCTAGACCCTGAAATCGGACGTTAAAGCCCGCTGCGCCTCTTGAACCGGGTATGAATTCCACGTGAACGAAAACATGTCTTCCGGAACCTCAGCTGCGGGGACATATAAGCGTAATTCATCCAACATCTCTGCACGTCGGTTGTCTGGGACCTTCGACATCATCATTACAGTCACTGAGTGACCATAGCGGACTTGGTTATACAACTGTAAGCGTTCAGGAACCTGCTCGGGCGTCATTTCAGACGTGAATAATGCTCCAAGTGCGGCGGCGTCTTCGAATGATTGTGCACCACCCTGGCCTTGGTCTGTCTTGATGGTCAGAAACAGTCCGTTGAAAGTAGTTCAGAGGGGTGAATGGTGTCTCACGAGGCAGGGTGGGATGCGCCGCATCACCAGCAAGGGCAAGCTTTCCCTTGACAAACGTCCGTGGGGGCTTTCGAGATTTCAGACTCCACACCTTCACGTCTTCTGCAATGCGACACATCTCTCTGAGTTCGGGGCTAAACGACTCGAATGTATCGAGAAGCGCATCGCGACTAGCCGAATCTAACCACGATGAGTCTTTCGCCGCCGTCTCTAAACCCGAGGGATGGATACCCGCGGCGTTGATCAGGTCTCCACGACGACATGGGTAAAAGACCAGTCGTCGATCTTCAACTATAAAACCATGCACGCCATCTAGTCCGGTTTTTTTCAAAAGAGAGGCAGTCAGAGGATTAGCCTGCATCTTGGATACGGGCACCAAAAACCGGAAACAGTTTTGACCGGTATCGTCCTTTCGCTCTTCGCCGCCAGTGATGCATCGTACCGATCGAGACTGGAATAATTGTGAGAAATTGCAACAACACAACTAATGCGTGATTTGTCTTACGTGAATTCCATCGGCACCTATAATCAGATCGCCTGTATAAACAGTTCCGTCCTCAAGAGTGACTTGCCCCGCTTCCGCATCCTGGTACATGTCAGCAAGGGATACTTCAAGACTATGCAACACAAACCACCGATACAACACGAGACGACAGTCGGATATCGACGCGCCTCCCACCAACTCCCTTCGCCGCTGTATCCCGTAGAGTATTATGTAAATCGACCCTGTGGGTGAGGAGGAAGTCATCGGTTATACCGAGGCGCTCTTGCACATCCTTGGTCACCTTCAACACGTCAGTTTGGTGAACGCTACCCCTTTACAAACCACTCACCACAGGAGTCGAAATAAGGTCTCCGGCAGAAGTCCAGAGCTGGACCTTCGTACAGTGGACCGGTTGAAGCTTCTCGAAGTCGCAGCCCCACTCACGCAAGATGCGGGTAGCGTTAGGTGCGACGTGAATGGCGGCGCCAACTTCATTCAGAAAGCTCGATTGTTCAATCACCTAAAATGGGTTAGAAGGATGTCAGGTTGTTGTTTTCTCCTTGTCGACTCACTTGGACTTCATGTCCCGAGCGATTCAGTGCAATGGCTGCACCCAGACCTGCCAGGCCGGCGCCGACGACAACAACTTTGAGTGGCATTGGAATCTTGGTTCTTAGGATCGAAATATTTCGTTTCCAAGTCAATTTGAGGGGAATAGTGCTTTCTATGCAGATCTGCAGTGTTAATAAGCGGAATCTTTTGGTCTTTTTTGCTTGGCTAGCCCCACACAAGCCAAGTTGTTGATTCCGACCCGCTTAGGAATCCCGGAGCAAGTGGCCTTTTATATATAGCTTGACCGAGATCTAAAGAGACCTTTGGATTGATTCTTCGACTCATTCCTGACATACTTTAACATATTACTATCTGTAGAAGCCGTTTTAGGCTTACTGTCATTATTCCAAGGGATACTCCCAAATGACTTCGAAACCGCTTGAGAGATGAGTCAAGGCTGCTTAATTAGAACCCGGTGTATTACGTTCACGGTCTGGCTGTACATGATTACGGTCGCCTTTCGCATTTGATATCTTATGTACATACGTAGTATGATCAATGAGAACCGTCCAGTGATCCAGTAAGAAAGCCTTTGATTCTTTATACGCCAAATTCAATATGTACCCAGTTATGCACAATGAACAAAATGCGAAACCCATTGAGTATCTTAAGCCCCAAGTATCATGAAAACCATAATCACAATCCAACCCCCAACGAACCCAATCGTCAGAATCGAAGCCCCAGCCTTATCACCCCCTGTGATAGGCTTGTAAGTCGGCTTGCTATCAGTTACACCTTCGCCCGCATTCGGATTGCTCTTGCTATCACCACCCGTCTTCGACGTCACAGGCCCAACACCATTCCCATACTTTAACAAGTTCGCACTGAACACCTGACTAACACTAATCTGCTCTTCCATGCCTGTCCACCCGTCATATTTCGACTGGTACCAGCGCACACCACAAGTGTTGTTGTTGTGTCCTGTGCAGGAGGCGGCGGCGGCTGTACCGGAGGATTGGAGCTTGGGCCAGATTGTGTCGGCAGTTGAGGGGACTAGGAGGGCCACATAGGCGAGCCATTGAGATGTGAGGCCTTTGAAGAGGATCTCGTTGTTGTTGCAGATTTCGCGTGGTTCGCATGTTATATCTTCGATGATGTTCCCGTGGGGGAAAAATGTGGTCGACATTTTTTGTAAGAGGCCGTTTGTGGCGTCGAGCCATTTTGAGTCGCTCGTCTACGGTTGTTAGTTATTGTTTCCATGTTTGGGAGATGGCAAATGTGTAACTCACGTAGTTGTACAAGTAAGCGGCGCCCATCAGGTACGCGCCGTAGTTATACGTCCACTGGACGTTGCCGGCATTGGCGCAGTCGTCGGCGCATTGTGTGGAATCCGCCACATTCCACGTCTGGTTGTTCACCAACGGCGAGGAAACGGACCAATCCCAGATTTTTTCGGCCCAAGTAAGGTACTCGTTGTCGTCAGTGTATCGGGCCAGTCGCGCAGCGAGCTGGAAAAATCCACCATTCGATACCGAGTTCTTCATCGTGTATCCAGCCTGGTAGACGAAGATTTGCCAGCGCAGTCCACCGCCACATGAAGTCGTATCCCATCTTGCCTTCTGAGTATTGAAGACACCCTGCGCGAGGGATAGCCAGGAATATCCGGAACTGCGATCGGGGAACTTCATCTCGGCGGCGCTCATGGCGGCCAAGCCCCAGAACATTTGATCGTCATTTCCCTGTCATCGTTAGCTTAGGCCATCAATTCTTAATCGTGATCCTTACCAGATAACTGCTGTAATTGCTGGGCATGTAGTCTCCCTTGTCGCCGCCTTGCCATTGCAATCCCATGCTCACTTCCTCGTTATAGGTTGTATCTCCGGACAAATGCCAGTAGTTGAGAGCGGCAGCGAACAATTGTGATCCTTCCCACCACTTATCGGGGAACGCTCCGGGAATTTGGCCGGTCTCGTTTCCGTAATACCATTTGAACGCGCCGTAGGTCGCTTCGCTAGCAGCGCTTTTTAATGATGCTGATGACGATATAATTAGCATATGGCTTCCGGAACGGAGATCCGAGATATCGCATCACATACACTCCGAATTGATGTCCACGTCAATAGCATGCGCCTGGAGGGCAAATGCCGATAGATGCACGAGAACAGTCCATATTGACTGTGTGCTTAACCGCATCGCTAGGTGGAATAGGCCGAGTCTGCGGCGTACCAGAGTATTAAAAGTATAATGAAGAAGAGAAGCACTGCACAGCGACCGCGGCAATCATCGAACTGGCAAGAGAGGAGGGAGTTGGAGGAGAGAACCTCGACATTATGTCACCACATGGCAGGAAATTAAGATGCGCACCCTGATTCTCCCTGAAAATAGTGGAGCAGGAGGGAAAACGCCTGTCCCAGTTACAAAAGATCTGTGCTGCCCCACGTAGGCGGCTCATGGTGCTTGGTGCGGTGGAGCCTTGCTGTGACCCGTATAGTTGATTTTTGGGGGCGGTGCGATCACGTCAGGTCAAGTCGAAGAGGATCGTCAGGAGTAGTCAGATCAATTGTTCTGCCTCGCCATCTCGTTTCAAGACTTGAAGTTCAAATGATATGGCGTCTAGCATTTGGACCCGGAAACCATAGCCGGGAGCTGAGTGGGTGTGTGCCCACTCAGCCCAGGGACTGCATTTACACGGAGGTAATCTCGGAAATATGGGTCGGTGTCAGCCGGATGCAGGATCAAATCCCGGGGGATGTGAGATCTATAGCCTGGACATCAGGGTAGTTTGAAGCTCGAAGACTGGTAGAGTTGATCGACTCATAGTTCTATGCTTTTGAACCGTGTAGTTCGAGCAATCAAAGCCTGTGTGAAAAGATCAAGAGGGTTCGTCTATTTTAGGAAAGTCTATCACTTACCCGATGTGGTAATGGTCCCTGACATCATAGCAGCAAGCTTTTGAGCGGTAATTGGCGGGCCGCCAGAATAGGCTTGGCACCGTCCTTCGGCTTGCGTGTACACTTGCATTTTATCATGGGGTCAACGGTGAGGTGGAGTTCTGGGGTTAGACCCCTACAGTAAGACCCCTAAGGGACTTCAGAAACTGTGGTGACTCGAAAAATAAAATAAAATAGAATAAATATTACCAAAGAGACACATAGGTGACAGTTGGTGATCGCCGATCGCCAATGGACTTCTGGAGAACACGCGTTCAACACTCCAGCGATCTGTCTCCTAGTGAATTATGTAATCTAGTTCTATTTATGTATGTAGTAACGTTAGATCATCTTTGTTTCATGTATTTCCAGTAAGTTTTGCGGGTGGGAAATAGCAAAACTCGGCTATCATCAATCCGTTTGGTCCGAATGGATGTATCTTCAGAATTGTAGAGCGCGTCTGGACTCTGATAGGTCATTTTATTGATCGAAATGACATCAAGGTCATTTGCATGCACGAAAGCCCAAGTCCTTGTCATGATTGTTCTAAATACATTCATCACTGCGTCGCCTACCACTTGGTAGTACTAATTGGAGGCTGCTAACCTTTTATCATTTCGCAGCAGGTCTTCGTTGGGTACTTTTCCAATATGCATGCGGTCACAGTAGCATTGGATTTGCACGTTCTTGTCGAAGAGCGTCTCAATCCTTGCTTCTGAGCCGATCAGGATTGGATTTAAGTCATGATTCGCTTGGGTAGGTACCATTTAGAGTCAAGTGATAACGGCTGACATATTACTGAGAGAGGGTGCTGCTCAGCTTGGAGGTGCTGTTCTTTGTACGATGACCTTCGTCGATGATTATATGCGTCCACTTCACCATGCTAAGAATAAGTCGGTCCTTGGTAGTATAGTCATAAGTCAAAGTGATTACTGCGCAGTTTGTCGTTTAACAATCATTGCTTCGGTGGAACAGATAGCTTGCTTCGATAAGAAGGCCATAAAAAGTATTCAGATCTCGTTAGAGTGCAGGGAATAGTTGGACTGTTTCAGGTATGCGGACCATTCCAAGCAGTAGTTATAGGCACAATATGTGTTGACTGGATACAGACAAAAATGAGTGAAAGGATAATTAACCCACAAAAAGCAGGGGAGCAAGACCAACCCAAAACTTGAAGGGACAGTAAGTATGAAACCTGATCAGACTGGCAACGTGATCACTGATTCCTGCACAGCTTGCCTCCACAGGAATACTGATCGGACTTAGTTCCCAGAACCAGGATCCGAAGGCCGACAATTTCACTATTCTTCGTCGTTTCCGCAATTGCACCAGTGATATCAAGTCCATCTCCTTGAAGACCATGGCGTGACATATCCAACCAACCAGAAACATTCCAGAACTCTCCATCGACAACCGAGATATGTGCAACAGTTTTGTCATGCAAGGAGGTGAGCCTTGATGGAATGATCTTCAGGGGTACGGCTGATGGGATGGCCCGGTCTAGATTCAATCGGGCCGGTTTCTTTGAAATGCCAGAGGTCCGATATTATCGGAGCGACAATCTCGGCACTTCTCCGAAGACGGGCCCGGTCAGGCGAATTCTATTCTTTCTACATTCCTACTCTAGACTTTGTTTACAATTTCCGGTCTCGGTATTGGAGTTTTGGTAGTAAGAAAATAGTTCATGTTGATACAAACGAGTAGCTCATAAGAGCGGGTATAACCTGCCGATGATGTTGGGTAATGGAACAATGCAAAACTTTCAAATAAAACCTTATGCTATCATGTCTTTTCCTTCAATCCACTCTCCTTTACAGAGTGGATAATTTCGTCGATGCTTTCTTTGATTTTGATGTAGCTCTCGTCGAGACTTGACTCGAACTTGATCATATTCTCATGCGTGGCATCGACCATTAAGGACGGAGTGAGCCGTTGTGACATGGGCTGGGTGACCTATTTCCAATCAAATTAGTACATGGAATTAAAAACTGACTGCAGCTTGTCTCACCTGAGGTGGGCCGTTGAAGCTTTCGTAAGCGTAGAGGGATTTGAACTTGGTGCTGATGGTAGAGTAATTTTGTAATGTGTCTAGCATCCAGCGTGCTTCGCTCTGGGCATTACTTGACTTGCTCTTGACCCTGGGGTTGTTTTCCATGAAGGTCTGAAGGCCGGTTAACCTCGAGTCTAGCTCAGGTGTTCCCATGAAAATGACACCCTGGGTTGAGAGGCTGATGTTCCGGAGACACAATGTCCGGTCCTCATTTGAGTTGTAGGAGTACAAGAGAGCCTGGAAACTTCGTCAGTGGGTAGTGGCACCTTGTTTGCAAGGATTGGTTCATACGCTTTTGACAATATTCCCCCCGAAACTATGGGCGATGAAAATGAGCGGACGGGAAAGTGTCTGCTTCTGTTAGTCTCAGGTCAACATCAAGTCGCGGATCAGTGGATCCTACCCCGGTCATTTTCCTCATCGCGAACAACTCGGACACTAGTCTCTCGGAAGTGTCTTGCGGAGTCTCGGGCTCGTCTGTGTACATCGAGGCATAGCCCCATGTATGAACTCTCATGTCAGGTAAATCAACTGGAAGAAGATTCTTCAACCAGCTGACACCACTTTCAGTAGTCCATGACTTCTCGCGGTGGCCTCCCAGCCCATGAACCGCAATAATACTATCAACTATTAGCATGGTCTGCTCTTCTAATCAGGGGGTCCAGTGTTGGTACACACTCGACCTGCGGGTTTTCACCCTCATATAACAGCTTCAAGCCATCTTCTGTAGTATTGGTGGTTTTTTTGATCTGTGATGTCTTAATATGGGGGCTAAAACCAGAAACCATCGCTGACGCGACTCTCTTACTGGTTCTGTTGACCGGCATCGTTTGAACGGCCACCATGATAAGATCGACGACAGTGAGAACATCCTGTCACATCGATTTGAAAGGGGAAAAAAAAAAGAGGAGAGAACGAAGAAAAAGGGCACGAAAATTCCCGAAGGAGAAGGAATTTATAAACAAACGCAATCAAGGACCGCGTGTTCTGCAGGTCAGGCGCCAAGACATTCTCTGCGGGGGCGCCACCATATTATGTCATCACATGATTCCACCACGGGGAAAAACTGGCGAGCGTCTGCCACTTTAATACGACCTCGGCCCCCGAGTCAAAATCTGGGTATTTTTCCATGGCTCCATACCAAGAGGCCGCGTGTGCCCCTGATTCCAAGATCAATCATGCCGCGTCCATCAATTATTGGAGCAGCCTGCCGAGTACCGAGAGTAACATGCTAGGCATGCTCGGTACATATCCATGGTATACTCGCATCGAGCTACAAGGATCCAAGAACTTCCTGTCTAAGGTACGTCGGTTAGTCCCGGCGATCTCCGGAAATTTCGGTCTCGGCGTCGACTGTGGCGCTGGTGTTGGCCGCGTGACTGAGGGCTTCCTTCGCCATGTGTGCGATGTTGTCGATGCAGTGGAGCCCGTGGAAAAGTTCACCAAGGTCTTGGAAGAGGGCAAATTGAAAGAAGACGGTGTTATAGGCGACATCTACACTGTCGGTCTGGAGAATTGGTTCCCGGCGAAGAAATACGATCTGATCTGGACACAGTGGTGTGTTGGCCATTGTACGGATTCTCAACTGATTGACTACATCGCAAGATGTCGTGATGCTCTGACTGAGCATGGTGTCATGGTGATCAAAGAGAATTTATCCACCGATCCTCTGGGCCAAGATATGTTCGACGACGAGGATAGCAGCGTCACAAGGACAGATGCGAAGTTTAAGCAGATCTTTGAAGCCGCCGGGATGAAAGTGATCAAAGCTGAGATCCAGACGGGCTTCCCGAAGAACTTCAAACTTTTGCCGGTCAAATCATATGCGTTACGACCGAAAGCTTGACCCGCCTCCATGAGCGCTCACCAATACATTCGCCTCGGCAACATGATAATTGTGGAAGCAGCCCCCACTCAGCTCAGCCGCAGTTAGATCGCGAGTCATGAACTCTGTTCTAGACCCTCAGGCCCAACGCCACACACTTGGTCTTCCGGGCACTCATTCAAGCACTCGAGCATCTGGCTCGGCTCTCCCTCGAGCTTAATCGAGAATTTATCGATTAGGCATGATCAAGAACCGAATCTTCAGCCATCAATGGTTCATAGACAAAGAGTCACAACTAGCAATGCATACCATGTACAACGAGAGAGCTTGATTTCAAAACAAGAACCTGGAGGTTACTATCTTGCCAAATTCATCCATTTGATCTAACTCCATGTTTCTATTTGCCCTGAAACCTCAGGGGTCGCCTTGATCATACTTGATACTTGTTGAACTTCAAAGAGGACGCAGAGGCAAACCATACAACAGCCACTAATATTACAATGGTCCCTAACATCTACTGCCTGGCCGCAACCCGCCCGAGTTCTTCTGTGGGGTTTTTGGCGAGGAAGGGGAAGTCGCGGGCGATTATGGTTACTTTTGTGACTTGTCTTGGAGAGATGTCGAGAAAGAGCTGAAGAATTGATCGTAGAGGCCCCTGTAGATTGTCTTCCTGAGAGGGCTGTGTATTCTCTAATTAGAGGCTTTTACTCATTCTGTTCGATTTCTACAGACCCAGCGCCTTACGCCGGCGCACGCGAAGCGGGTGGCGTATTGTAGGCACCGTAGCGGCCTTTTCCATGCTGCTAGTTGGCATGAAGCCACATAGCATACCTTAATCAGGATTATACTCTTTTTTTTTTTTTTGAATTTGTTAATATACTTTAGAAATTTCATACCCAGTCAACCTGAATATCTGCTATATGACCTGGTCTATTTTGAATACCGCGCATCTTTCCGCGAGTACGCCGTATCACTGTGATATGGACTCCGATAAGGCCCATCTTTCGGGCAACTCTAGAAAGAGTCGTGGCAGGGAGAAATGTAAATGGGATATCCCTAGGTAATGGGAACTCGGATAAATCAAGAGAGTTTATAAGCAGGCAGGCAATAGCGGAAAGAATGGCTGAAGACTAGCTATCATACTAAAGCAAATGTAGTAATGTTGAATTAGACTTTTCATCTTATGTTGTGAAAATGCCCTTTGGCATATCATGTCTTGGTGAAACTCCAGCAGCGTAGGCGTTACGCTGATCTTCTATTTGCGGTTTTTTTACATCCTCGAAACGCCCACACTGCTAGCACGTCGCAACGCCGACGTTTTGGCAGTTCTGAGCTTGTTCACACCTATGACAGCCCATAGTCCAGAGTAGATGTACCAGGATCAATTATGATATATACGATCATCCACCCATAAATTAGAACACTTGCTATTATGAATAGAACCTGCATTGAGCTATCACACCCCCATATCTTCTGTGAAACCAATTGTCTTTTTTTTCTTGATTTTCTCCGTAATGGATATCACTTCTAGAAACACAAAACTCCCTTTACACCTACATGCCGCACTCCTTAGGTACAAATGCGAAGAGCGACTAGGTCTCGATCTCGCCACGGCGCAGCGCCAGCAGTGCCCGGACGTCCGTGACATATTGCAATGCCTCGAACATCGGGATCAAATGCAGAAGACCGTTATCCGTGGGATCATTGATCCAGCCCTCGATCGGAATGGCGTTGTCTGATAAAGTTAGTAACACGATTGTTCCGATTGGTTGAGGTGACATACCCTCGTGGAAAATATAGCTCATCGGACTGTTGTCCAGGATCATCACCTTGCTCAGATCGGGCTCTACGGAGCTCAGGTCTTTGATGTAAGCGCCGTTGCGGAGCGTGCAATGCTGCCGGTAGTAGCGGGCCTGGAAGTACTTCCGCTCCTGTTCGAGCCAGTCGATAACGGGATCGGCATACTCCTGAACACTTGCCGTGAAAATCACCAATTTATACCACTTGCAGATCTTGCGCAGGAACTCGTCACAGTGCGGTCGCTTATGTACATAGTACAGGATCGGGTGCTGCGGCCCAAGCGTGGTCTGCGGCCCGCCGGGTGTCAGAGCAGTGGTCATAGGCATTGAGAGCTTAACCTCAACCATATGCCCGCTGGACATACGGCCGCCCTTGGCGAGCGAGTGGATAAGTGTCTCGTCGAGATCCAAAACTAAGGTCTTCTGCGGGAGCTTGGCATTGCGTGGAGCAGCTGTATATGAAGGCAGTCGCGGTGGGAGAAGAGGTCGCGGGGGTGTAGGAGAGTGCGGGTATTTGGTAATACGATGAACAGATGGAGAGGTGGGAGACTTAAGGCTATCCAGATTCATGCCAGCCTGGACTCGAGCCACGCCTTCGGGCATCGGGTGGCCTAAGTCTGCGCTTGTCGTTCGCCGCTGCCGTTGTCGCTTGAGAGATTCCTCGTTATGCAATTTGATCCTTATAGACCGTCGCGGTGTGCCTTCTCCTTCCGGTATGGATTCTGCGTCGTGATCCTGGGTCTTGTTCGACTGTGCCTTCCCGCTGCTTGAAAGACTTCGGGAATGCCGACGGTCTCCGTCGGAATCAGAGGTCGTTGATCTTATAGAGTCATGCGAGGTTCGGGGATTCAGTTTGCGAACGGAGCTACTTCGTTGCCGGCCTTCTATTCGTGAGGCCCCTTTATCCGATCGCATCCTTGTATCGGCAGATGGTCTCCAGATTTTTCTCACCGGGGTCAAAAGTGAATAACGTCCATCATCGTCTCGGAAGCATTGGGCAACATATATTCCCGGGGCAGCAAGCGTTGATAGAATGAAATGGATCGTTTCCGTGATGGCGTCAAATATGCGCTTGGTGAGAAGTCGCCAAGGGCTCTTGGTTACGAGCGCGGCATCGTGCTGAGCTTCATGTAATAAAGGCGATTTCTCATCATAATCGTGCGTCGTGTCCTCGTCCCTATCATCTTCCGCGGGTGATGCGGATCCGTCGTAACTCTTCTCAGAGACGATGCTCGACCGGAAATTGTCTGTGCTGTATGAGCGTAGCTTCCCGAACTCGCCCGGCGGCGAGTTGTGTCGGTTTTCGCCAGTCGAATGTGATCGTGGACGCGGCGAGCTGGAAGTCTGGCCAATGACTCGCGAGGACAGGATGTTCAGCGAGTTCATCTTCCAACGGGGCCCACGGGAGACAGGGGCGCGGGGGATCTAAAGATGGAGAAGATGAGCGGAGTCGTCAAAGGCACTCGGATAGGGCCATCTAGGTTGCGCAGAGTCGGGGTCTTCAAGGGGAGGGGAGGGGCATCGCAAGGAGGCGTAAGCTGGACAACTTGTGATTCTACCGACCTCAATGCGCCGTCCACCCGTGCCTCGGAACTAAATGCGCGACTCCAGTCCGGGTTCTACCGCGAATTTGCAGGGGGCGACTGCAAGAGACCGAGGCCGACAAATAAAACCAGATCAAAGAACGAAAACGAAGAGCAACCCAGAATTAGAAGATGAAGGTGAAGAGGTGCCAAAGTGTGGGGAAGCGGACAAACGGTTGAGACGGCAGAAAATCGGTTTCTTCGAGTCACCCACTTTGCCCTCACGTCTTCCCTTGTCGCTCGTTGCAAGCGAAGAACCGGTCCGGACTTAAAAGGTACGTGTATTCCTGTCGGGCTGCACATCTTCATGCTCATGCAAACTCTTTCTGGTCCTAACATTTGCTCTACAGCACAGCGCTATTCCGTCCATCCCACTTCGTCATGCCGTCTACGTCTGTAGCCCTGACGCCGGGCCTTGCGTCTTTCCTTAAATCGCTCAATACGAACCCGATTGATACTTCGATCGAGAATCTGGTCTCGTGCGTCTCTATTCATCTTCGAGTAGCTGCCCGCTGCAAATGAAACCATAGCTAACCAGACATGTTTCGTTCAGATTGCTGAAACGTCGTCAGATCCGCCATTCTCGATCATGTGCTACCGCAACCGCCTACTTGCTTCTACGAGTGATTTCAGCATGTCGTACATCCGAGCCCGTCAAGCTTATTGAGCGAGTGCAGAGCGTGGGCAGACGCCTGATTGCTGCGCAGCCCAGAGAGATGGTGGTGGGGAACATTGTGCGACGAGTACTCGGTCTCATTCGCGACGAAGCAGAAGATGATCGCGATGCTGAGTTCGCTCTCAGCGAAGCTGGGTCAGAGAGTCAGCCCCAGACTCCTCGTGGTTTTGACGGTTAGTCGGAAGATATTATATGCTCCAGAATATTCACTCACACAGTATGTAGACTCATCACTACCTTTGGACCGAGATATGCTGCGAACAGAGGCGGATAGAGCTGCATCTCGGCCTCCTCTGACGTCCATGTTCAGTCTCCTTTCCCACCCAGTGGAAGATAACTCACCGGCGAGCACACCGGGCACACAATCGCCGAGAGGCTTCCCTGGACACGGCCCCGGCAAGGATGTGCGCGCAGAGGTGCTGGAGGGCATAAACGAAATTATCGACGAGCTGGACCAAGTAGACGACCAGATCTCGTCTTATGCATTGGAGCATATCCATTCCAATGAAATTATCCTCACGCATACCTCCTCCACAACAGTGCAGAAATTCCTGCTCAAGGCCGCATCCAAGCGCAAGTTCACAGTCATCCATGCCGAGTCTTTCCCCAACAACCACGACGCTACACACGCCACTGTCAGCGGCGCTTCCCCTGTCGACGAGGAGAACCTGAGCTTCGAAGCTTTCCAGAAGCCGCTGATCGCCCTCGGCATCACCGTCATCCTCATCCCGGACTCTGCAGTCTTTGCTCTTATGTCCCGTGTCAACAAGGTCATTCTTGGCACTCACTCCGTCCTTGCCAACGGCGGTCTTGTCGCCGCGGCTGGCACCCGAGTAATTGCCCGCGCCGCCAAGGTCCACCAGACCCCCGTCGTGGTTGTCAGCGGTGTCTACAAACTTAGTCCCGTCTATCCTTTCGACTTCGACTCGCTCATTGAGTACGGCGATGCCAGCAAGGTCCTTCCCTTTGAGGATGGTGACCTTGTCGACCAAATTGATGTCCAAAATCCTCTCTATGACTACGTTCCTGCGGAACTGGTCGATCTCTACATCACCAACCTGTATGTCTCACCCAAAGATCATATGTTTTATTGCCTTGCTAATCCTCCCTTTACAGTGGTGGCCATGCCCCGTCTTATCTTTACCGTATCGTGTCTGATCACTACCGTAAAGAGGATATTAGCTTTTAGAGTGACCGAAAAAAAAATGGAGTAACGATACCCGTGGAACGAGTGCGACGATTGCTATGAGGGAGTCTTCTAGTGTTTCTCTAGGATGGGAAGATACATAGACATAAAATTTCCATATTCAAGGCTCAATCTCATACCTAGATGCACATGTGCAGAATACCCGCTGACTTTAGTAGATATCTCTAACACTCAATTGCTTGAGTAGTAGGTGGCTGGTTCGTCCTATTTTCCAACATTTGAACGCTGTATCTGACAACTGGTTGGAGTGCCCGTTTTTCAAGTGATATCTGCATAACTACCTAGCTACCTAAGTAACAATCGGATAATTTTTCCATGTGCACATCTTATCAGGACAAGAGTGTAACCTGTCAGAGATGAAAAAGAGTTCGGGTATGGTTATTCTTGGATGTCTATGGACAAGAGATTTGGATAGTAATAGACTGTGACCTCCGGAAGATTTTAGGTGGAGACTGCAATTCCTACATATCGAACTTAGAACTTATAGAGATGTCATATATTGGAAGTAGGTATATCTGCAGACGTTCACACATTACTCGTAGGCTCCAATGGGCCAAAGTGAGGATACATTGACAGTCTCAAGTTTTGAACAGGGAGTGATTATATATTTCGGATCGTCCCAATGGGCTCTGACGAGATCCTCCCGGGCATTGACTCTTAGGACTGAGAAAGACTTGAAATAGGTACATGCATTGCAACAATTTCCTTCGAAACGAAGTATTCCAGCCTGATCTTCGTAGATAGAAATTGTTTTCAGCAATAGTTTAGTCTGTCTTGCCAATCTTGATAAGTACGTGCGTGACCTCGATAAATAGCCTCGAATGTGGATTCAAATGAGTGGATATAGTTCTGCTGTAAAATCTAGACCCAAACTGAGCCTTGAAGCACATGAGTTCAGGCCATCTGGACTGCACGTGTTAATTGGTGGTTGACTACAGTCTATACGTCCAACAGATGATACTACGAGAGCAGGATGAACCCTAGGAAAGATCATAGCGCCATCTTTTTTGGAATTGTATCAAATCGTGGTAATTCACAACGTCATTCCAGACGAAAGCCCGCCCGGGTGGTATTCCCAAAAAAAAACTTTCATGAAATTCAGGCGCTGATGAGGCGGGCTTCCTGTCCGACACGGCTCCTCCCCCAAAACCCCGTCTTCATTTTGCTTTTGGCGTATTTAAGAGCGGGGCTTCTCCTTCTTCTCCTTCCAGAGAGCGGCGAGACCGACACCGGAGACCTTGACGACCTTGAAACGGACACCGGGAATATCACCCTTGGCCTTGCCCTTACGACCGAAACCGGCCAGGAGAACCTCGTCGTTCTCGTCGATGAAGTTCAAGCAACCGTCATTGGGGACTGTAAACATGGAGAGTTAGCACGAGGTGCCTCGAAGGGAGGATGTAGTTCGAATGACTGTGGCTCGGAGCGCACAGATCATTGACTATCATCCAGTGTTCTGAATAGGATACGCACCGAAAGCAGCGACCTTCTTGCCGTTCTTGATGAGCTGGACCTTGACACACTTGCGAATAGCGGAGTTGGGCTGCTTGGCCTCAACACCGACCTTCTCAAGGACGATACCCTTGGCGTGGGAAGCACCACCGAAGGGAGAGGACTTGTAGGCGGTACCGAGGAGGCGCTTCTTGAAGTGCAGGTCGGCCCAGCGCTGCTCCTTGCGGTGAGCCTGGAGCTTGCGGGCGGCGTTCAATCCACGGGGCTTTCCTTTACCCATATTGACGGTTTAATGAGGTCTGAGGCGAAAAAAATAACACGTTAGTTTTCGATTCTGTATTTCCAACAGGCGGCCGGTCTCGTGTTGTATTTCGATGGATGTAGGTTGAGGGTTGGAGAGAGGAAGGAATTTTTGTGTGTGCAGTGACGACTTGAGGGGATCGAGTCTCGCACACACAAGGGAATTCCAGGTATCTCTCTTCGATGCAAGGCACTGTAGTGATCAAGGATCGAGTACGTACCGACGGAAAATGGGTGATGTCGCCAAAGGCTGAGGGTCGTGGGGAGGTCGAAAAGTCGAAGGTTTCGGAATCCTTGAATCGCCCGGCGCACTCGCTTGCTTGGGACCGCTGACCACCTGACTTTGTGCGCTTAGCCCTAAGCGAGTCACGGGATCGGACAAGCCCCCACCCGCATTATGTCATCTCTTATCTTATCGATACCGTGGTATCAACATGTGCTCGCTCTACATCATACCTAGGTACCTAGTCTTCAGTTCCTGGCCTCATGGATCCCTTGAAGAAGCAGACCTCTCAGCGGCTTCCACCGCCAGCTCTATTCCAAGGTCCACCTTCACATAATGCATCAAATATCTCTCTTTCAATACCACCACCCGCCTCTACACTTGCGACTCCTTCCGGCAGTCGACCTCCACCCCTCCAGCGAAACCGGTCCCGCGATGGCGATAGCATAGAGAAACGCGACTTTCTCTCGCCCTTCATGTCAAGGCGTTCGTCCAAACATGATGTGGATGGTTCCGATGCCATCTGGCAAGAGATGCAGAGCGCTCTGTCAGAGGTGGAATTGAGCGCCGTGACAAGCGACCACGTCTTCGGCGAGAAACACGCCGAAGCTTTGGAAGATCTTCGCATGAAACAATTGAAGCTCGCGCAGGCGTGGGCACGCAGCGAGGCAGATGATGAAGTTGTTGACTCCGGCCATAACACCATCGAGGGAGATCGACGAGCCTCCTTAGAAGCCAAAGCTGCTGATACTGCCGAGCAGATCCCTGTTAAAGACCGTGTCTCACACCATGCTCTGGATGAGGAGACCGAAAAGGATATCAACTTTGCGCGAAAGCGTCGTGAAGCAAACGATCGCTATTTTGATCGGGTTAACCAGGGCGTGCTGGACGTAGTTGCCAAGTTGGAGGAGGTCTCTAACGCCATGCGCACTGTCGAGCGGGAAAGCAAGGATATTTGGAGCGACTCTGATAGTGTGACAACAGAAGGGGCTGTTTCTGCCAACGCAGAATGATAATCTGGCCTTGTCTGCCCTGCCTGTCTCCTTTACGGAGGAATTGAAGGATCTCACGGCTAGACCCTGCTATTCATGATGTTACGCATTCGCGCTGGACGCACTCACCCCGCATCTGCCAAGGACTGTTACTCCATTGACTGGACTACAGCCAACTAATATATAGAATACAAGGACAGATCGAACGAAAAGAAGTGAGATTAATTCAAAGGGTATCCAAACTCCGCTGCTTTTCATGCAAGCCCAGAACGTAAATATGCATAATAAAGATAGCCGGCTAAGCGCAGACCGACCGGGACAGTGTAAGCTCTAATCCCGCTTGATAAACTTGACCGCTGCCTTCCAGCCTTCAGTCGCCGTGTCCGTCACATCCTCCCATCGAGTTTCATGCGCCTTTCGGGCCAGTTTCTCGACCTCCTTGTTCCATCTATGCTTCAGGACCTCTTTCATATCGGATTCTTCACTTCGTCGAGCTGCACGGTCTTCGAGGCGGCGGGGTGTATACAGAGGCTCGAAGCGACGGTCGTATGCGCCGGAGGAAGCGGCGAGATAGTTTATTCGGTCCACTTGTTCGCGGATGATTTTGCGCTGCTCCAGGCGTGTTTCCTTGTGGACTTGAAGCGTGATGTATAAGAGGGAGGTAGTCAGGGCAAAGCCGCTGAACTATTTGTGCAGGCATTGATTAGTTCATTTTCTTGGAGTATGCAGAGAGTTTGGACGTACGAATCCCGTGATGAAGCCCATGTCTGCGAAATCTCCCAGCTTGAGGGCAGGGGTGTATGTGTAGACTCGACCGAATAAAACGGAACCAGCCGGAAAAGATTGACCCACGAAGGAGAGCGTCAAAAGTAAATACAGTCGCAAAGGTAGAACAACTGAAGTTGAAGACGCGCAAAGTCGGCAAGGCGGTGGAAGCGCGCCGATTGGCTACGGGCAGAACTCGAATCTTTTGAGCCGAACTTCTCTCCGTCTCGTGCTTCGTGTTGTCGGGTGTTTGCTTCGCAGTTGCTCTCATTCTTTAGCATCGACTATCCTCTCACCTTCCTGTCATCCGATCACCTCCATTTCCTACAATCATCTTCCACCATGGCCGGTGGCGGAGGAAAATACCGGCACTTGGGTCGCAAGTCCTCTCATCGACAGGCCCTGCTCCGCAACCTGGTCACCTCGCTTTTCGAGAATGAGTCGATCACAACGACATGGCATAAGGCAAAGGAGGCCCAACGATTGGCCGACCAATTGATTACCCTGGGCAAGAAGAACACCGAGGCTAGTCGGAGACGGGCCCTGGAGATTTTCTATGTACGTGACTCCTCGGATTGGACACCGATGCCGTATAGAGGCAATCCCTCCTATTACGGATCACCTTGGACATTCAATCTCCTCGAAAAGTAACCGGAATCCTTGCTAATAAACGGATAGAAACCCCACGAAGTCCTTCCCAAACTCTTCGGCCCCCTCCGTGAACGCTACGCCGACCGACCAGGTGGATACACCCGTGTGCTCCGCGTCGAGCCCAAGGAGAAATTCGAGTACTTTAACGTTCGCCGTGGTGATCGGAACGCCGTACCAGAACGCAAACCCGCCGACCAAGCCCCCAGCGCTATCCTCGAGCTCGTCGACGGCCCCAAGGATATGCGCTTCGCCATGACTGCGCGCGCCCTCTCTCGCCAGCGTGAAATGGACTGGGATATGAATGAGATTACTGAGCGCAACATCCGCAAGGTTACCCAGTTCCGGAAGGGTGGCATGGATGCGCTTGAGACGGCGGTGGGCAAGTTGAGTCTTAGCAAGAGCAAGGTTCTTGAGGACGGTAAGGTTGAGAGTGGGGTGGAGGAGCTTTCGAATCCTGAGGAGGAGAAGGCTGCTAAGCTCGCTGGGAAGGTTGATTCTTTAAGGAAGAAGGCCTAAATGTGTGTTGAGTATAGACTGAGGTCTAGTCTTTTTGATGAATCTGCCTGAAGGCGAGGATTCTCATCTTCTTGTCTGTTTTTTACAGGAGTTTTGTTGTTTTCTTCTGGCATCTGTCTTCTATTGCAATTGCCCCATGTGACATAGCCTGTGTACAGTATAAAATGTTTCGATACCTCTTCATCTGTTATCAACAGTAATGCCGATATATTCCATTCCACCAAAAGCTGACACGCCGACTATGGTACAAGTAAAGGTTCCCGGGTAAAGAAACAGTCAATTATACTGTACATGTGTTTAACCGCCCTTTCATGCCTTGGCGTCATCAATATTCTCTTTCGCAGAGGCCTCAGCATCCACCTTGGCCACAGGCTTCTTCACACTACGCCATTCAAGAGAAATAGCCCCGATGACACTCAAACACGCCGGAACTAATCCTACCATAAAAACCACCCGTAGCGCCTGATTATATTTCTTAAGACCTATCTCCCGCAAACTCGATGGCAAAGATTCTAGTAAAGACGTAGCACCCCCAGACGCGACCAAGCCCGCGTCAAACCCAGGAACCATAGAGAACTTGCGTAAAAGCTGTGTCTCGAGAACATTCTCACCTGCTGAGACAAACACCACAGCCCCAAAGAGTGAACTGAATATCATCAGTGCCAGCCCCATGGGTACATCCTTCTTTGGTAGAGCCGCCTGCGCTGCGAGGTTGGGTATCTGGAAACACCAACCTAGGCCTAAGCCATAGATAATCTGGTAACCAATCCACTTGCCGGCTCCGGTATCTAAAAGCAGGGCTGTCAGGAGTCCTGCCCCGATTGACATCATGCTGGTACCAATTATTGCGAGAGGGGTGTAGTATCCGATTTTCGAGTTGATGAGCCCGCCAGTTACTGATCCGATTACCGTCGAGATCATTAAAGGTAGCGTGCGGATGCCGGACTCTGCTGCCGTGACTCCTTTGATTGCTTGAAACCAGATCGGTAGGAAGTATACTGTTTATATATTTAGTAGGGTGTGAATGAAGTATGCCTCGAGGGTCAGTGGCCAATCTGGCTTGTTCACTGGTGTCCTTACTAATGACATAATTTCCACAGTTAATGCAAAGAGCAGACCAACAGCCTGCGATGACGCTCCGCTGTTTGAAAAGCCGCGGAGGAAGAGTAGCAGTCTTGGGAAGACACATCTGAACTGCCACAAAGGCAACGAGTAGAACTCCAGACAGTGTCAGTAGTGCAACAACACCGTCCATCACTCCACTATAGACGATTAGTACACGACGTCTCTCAAAGCAACACAAGATCTCACATCATATTCCTGACCTCCCCATTGAAGCGCCAGCAGAAGGCACACAATCTCAGGAACCAAGACCGCTGTACCAGGAATATCCATTTGCATCAACTTGCGGGTTAAAGCCATCTTGGTATCCCCATCAGGAATGTCAAGAAAGAAAAGAATGACGAGCATGGCCACGCCACCAACGGGCAGATTGATATGAAAGCACCATCGCCACGTCACGTTAGACGTAAACCCTCCCCCAATCAAAGGACCGGTGATAGATGCAATTCCCATAACAGCACCAAATAGGCCCTGTATCTTGGGACGTCTGTGTAATGGCACAACGTGGACGATACATACAGTCTAACTGCTCAGCCATATACACAAACTTGATGACGGAGGGTAGTTACCGTTCCAGCAAATATACCAGCCGGTCCAACTCCAGCTAATGCCCTTCCGACAATAAAAGCACCCGACGTGGGAGCCGCACCACAGATAGCTGAAGAGACTTTGAATAGAAGGATGCAAAAGAGTAAAGTTGTTTTTACGGGGAAAAAGGTGTAGATTTTTCCAAATACGAGTTGGAATGCGCAGCTTGTTATCAGGTAGGAACTACCGTACCAGCCTACATCGGCGAGGGCATTGAATTCATCTGAGATTTGGGGGGTGGCCTGCTTGGGATTAGGGCTGTGTATTATTATGTAGGTGAGAATGGCGTACCGTGGAAATTATGGTTCTGTCTAGCATCACAAGGAACATGCTGAGAAGGACCGAGGTTATGACAAGAGTGATCCTTAGAGCGGATGGTTTTTGCGAATGGTCATTTTGCGGTGCTTCTTCAGATGCGTTAGTCTCTGGCAGCCCATTTTCAGTAATTGGCTTTTCACTGCTAGAAGTCGTTAGATGCTGGGTATTGGTAGACATTGTTGTAATTGAAATTATTTAGTGTACGGTTTACTAGGGCCAGGAACCTGGTTCATTTAAATAGTCAGATCACATCTCAATCTTAAAGAACATAGTCCAAGTTGTTCGTCGGGTGTTGATACACCCCGAGAGCGCTGTCTGCAACCGGGAGTTAATAAAGTCCGCGGGGCCAAACGTCTTCCGTGGACGAATGAAAAGCTCGAGACGGCTCACTTCCGATCTATGTCTTCATAGCCCGCAATGTCCACGACAGTTCATGAAGACGATTCGAAATTGCAACGCGCGCTCTCATGTGTATCATGTCAGCGGCGGAAAATCAAATGCGATCGCGATCTCCCTTGTGCCAATTGCATCACATCTAGCATTCAGTGTGTCCCTGCAACCGTCACCCAACGGCGGAGACGAAGGCTTCCAGAACGAGTCCTTCTAGAGCGACTGCGACATTATGAGGGAATCCTGAGGCAGAACAGGATCGAATTTGAGCCGCTGCATCCCGTAGCTTCAAATCATGCCTCCGAACAAGGCAAAGACTTGGCCGAGACAAGTTATGCCAGTCCTAAAGAGTCAGCAGAGAGACAGACATCAGAGACAGTGTAAGATTACAAAGCATAAAACCTGCATCTATGGCTAATACTTTTCGGAAGAAACCTATGGCACGCTATCAGTAAAGTAGTATGTCCGCTTTTTCTTGAGCTTTTGATACACTGCTAACGTAGATAGACACTGGACACCGAGCATGATGGAGATCATCACAGCAGTCCTCCTAACGCATGGGACCATAATGGCCAGAAACAAAGTGAGGGCAATGATGACCACTTGTTTTTTGACCCGAGGCCGAACGTCGAGATCTCGACCTTGCACCCAGATCAGGCACAAATTTTCTGTCTCTGGCAGATTTACCTCGATAATGTCAATCCATTGCTCAAGGTCACACATACTCCAACTCTCCAGCGCCGTATCATAGATGCTGTTGTCGACTTGACAAATGTCAATCCAACTTTGGAAGCCCTGATGTTCAGCATATATTGTGCCGCTATGATGAGCCTCGAAGAGGCCACTTGCCAATCCACATTCGGATCGCCCAAAAAAGACCTTCTGGCAGGCTACCAGTTCGCATGTCAGCAAGGGCTCGCGAAATGTAGGGTTTGGCAGTGTACTGACCTTGACGGTCTTACCGCATGGTTTCTGTATCTGGTGCGTTAGTCAGACACTCACATCTACGTCTATGCTGATTATTCCAGATCTCGGTCCGGCCCCAATCCGACCCTCGATCACTTTCCTCCACTCTGGCGGCTGTTACCCGCCTGGCACAACGCATGGGATTGCACAGCGAGTCAGATAACACCCGATACTCCCCGCTCGAAGCAGACTTCCGCCGGCGATTATGGTGGGCTTTGATCGTGTTCGACCATCGCATTAGCGAAATGTCTGATTACAAAACCAGTCTATTGATTCCTACATGGGACTGTCAGCCTCCTTCAAACCTGAACGACTCGGAACTACGTCCCGAGATGAAGATGATGCCGAAGGTTTATGAAAGGCCTACGGAAGCCATCTTTGCCGTTTTGCGTAGCCAACTTGCCGATTTCACTCGTCACAGTGCCTTCCACCTCGATTTTATCAATCCATCCTTGAAAGCCATGGCCCGCGCCAAGGCACATAATACATCTATAGCAAGTGAGGTGACGGCCCTGGAAATGTCTCTTTGAGGAAAAGTATCTCGCATTCTGTGATCCCACAAATCCATTGCATTTTATGACCATCTGAATGGCACGCGCCTCACTAGCACGGAACCGCCTCCTAGACTACTACTCTCAAAACGCAGTGTCATCAGTGCCGCAAACGAATACACAGCGAAACGAGGCTGCTTCTTACGCGCTGAACATGCTAGAATGCGATACCAAATTGTGCACTCACCCTCACATCAAAGGATATATGTGGCTTGTGAATACCTACGTCCCAGCCCTGGCCACAATCCATTTAGTCAACGATTTGACAAAGCGACCGGCTGCGAGCCACGCGGACAGGGCTTGGGAGGTTATGAGCGACAACTACGAAGCGCGTACTGCGGCCTCAAAGCCCGACGGACAGAGTGTTTTTGTCGTCTTTGCGCGAGCTGTTCTCCAGGCCTGGGCGGCGAGGGAGGCTGTCCTGCAACGCCAGAACAAGCCTCTCAACCCACCAAATATGGTAGTGGATATAGACCATTTCTGGTCCACGATGGACTGGCGACAGATGCACCTTCAGGGGTGGTAAATAAATCCGCTTCACATGACGATCTCGCCAGAGCGCCTAGATCAATAATTCAGCCTTCAGGGCACATCCACCCCTTTTATTGGCCAATTGGCGATCTATCACAGCTGAAAACTAGTCCATGCCACACTCCCCTAGCAGATTCAACATACTGGAAGACACAATTTCGGACCCCCCACAGCCCACAATGCCGATCCCTGACCCCAATCGAACACACGGGTGATTCCGACACAGCGCTCACTCGAACCCCCACTTACTCCGTAGTTCAATTTAATGGCCCGTGGTCCAGTTCGTGCAAAATGCTTAGCCCGAGGGTCAATGCCAGCGAACCCGGAATGTGCGCCGATCTCCCCGACTTGAGTTGAGTCACGGCAATAATTGAATTTATGTATTAGAATTCCAAACCTGACCTTTTCTTTTCCTATGCCAGTCTCTCCATAGACTTCACTTCACCATGGGCATCCGCGGTGTCCAGGGCGAAAGCCTTCAGCGTATGATCGCCGTCCTGGGATCTGTTGCCTTTCTAGTCCAAGGATACAATCAATCCGTGATGAATGGATTCACTACACTGCCTAGCTTTCTGGAGGCCATCCCCGAAGTCGATACTGTTAACACGGTCGGGGCTCAGAAATCGCACAATACTACAATCTTAGGCCTTGTGGTGGCTATTTTCGAGCTTGGGTCTGCGATCGGCGCCCTTTCTTGCCTTGCAGTTGGCGATCGGCTTGGTCGTCCTAGGACAATGCTGTTGGCTGGTTGTATTGTTGTTGTTGGTGTCATTATCCAGGCATCGACGTATTCTTTGGGGCAGATTCTGGCTGGGAGGATCGTTACTGGTATGTTATGGACTCATGGATTGGCTTGTTTCTTTTTTTTCTCTTTTTCTTTTGCATGGTTAATGAGTATGGACAGGCGTGGGCATTGGTATGTATACGGGTACTGTCCCCATGTACGTGAGTGAGACTGCCAGTGCGCCAAAACGCGGCCAGCTCGTTCTCGTCGAAGGCGTGTTCGCATTGAGTGGTCTTGCGATTGCCTCGTGGGTGAATTTCGGCATGTTTCATACGACTGGCTCCGTTAGCTGGAGGTTTCCCATCGCGCTGCAGCTGGTCTTCATAATCATTCTTCTATCTTTGACCCCCTTCCTGCCGGAATCACCTCGGTATCTTGTCAAGAAAGGAAGAATTGAGGAAGCTTTGGCGGTCATGGCTAGACTTATGGGTCTTGAGCCTACGGCTTTGGAAGTCGAGAAGGAAATTGCTGTGATTAATGCCGCACTTGCTAGAGATGCTGGTCATCGCAGCAAATACTCGGCTAATCCGTTCTCTATGAATGAGAATAGACATCTTCATCGGCTGTTGATCGCTGCCAGCAGTACCATGATTACTCAGATGACTGGTATCAATGTCGTTGCTTTCTACTCGACCTCTATTTTCGAAGGAACCCTCGGCTACTCTGGTAGCGATGCAAGAATCTTCTCCGCCTGTTTGCAGGTTACTCTCGCGCTTGGTGGACTGACTGCGGTCTTCACAGTCGACAGATTCGGAAGGAGGCCCTTGATGCTGTTCTCTGTAGCATGCATGTGCATGGCCCAAGCCGCAGTTGCAGGCTTGACCTCGGATAAGTCGAATACGGCTGCCGGTAAAGCAGCGGTGTTCTTCTACTTCTTGGCCGATTACACTCTCCCCATTGGCATGTTCATGAGCACGTTCATGTATGGTGCTGAGGTTGCCCCTCTTGGTATCCGGCACATCATTACTGCCTTCGGCGCTGCTTCTAGCTGGCTTTTCAATTTCATGGTGGCTGAAGTTACGCCTGTGGCTTTCGACAATATCGGCTGGAGATATAACATTGTCTATGCGGCTACCAGTGCGGCAGGATGTGTTGTTATTTTCCTGTTTTATCCCGAGACTAGGGGCAGATCTCTGGAGGAGATTGATGAGATTTTCCTCCGATCGAAGACAATCTTCGATCCTGTTCGGGTTGCGAAGCAGCTTCCTGTCGGACTTGACGTGATGGAAATTATTGATGCGTCAGCGAAGGAAGCTCCTCGAGATGATATGGCATGAAAAGTATCTGGATTTGTTTTTGTCAATAGTACATGATGTTCGATTGCCATACGGTATATGATTTGATTTAGACTTGAACGAATGATTAATTGCCTGGTGGATCTGTAGGCACGATCATGGAAATGAGTTTAACTATTACGACGCGATCTTTGAATCCGATTCCCACTTTGATTATGTCTTTCCATCTAGATAGAGTCCTGTGATTCGTGAAGTAATCCATAGAATGACATGACTTAGATCTTACCACATAAATTCCACGCAATGTGTAATGTGTACGTGTGGAGCCCAGGCTTTCCCCGGACCGGAACATAGAAATCTCGGAGTATTGCCGAATGGACTTCCTTCTTCCACAACCCTCAAAGTATCTCTTCATATAATTTTACCTCCTGAAAACACCGCTCGCCCGAGGTATAAATCACACCATGACGACCAAATCCGCCCTCTACCCTGGCGAAACCCTCGACACAATCGCGGGGTACCCCACAATCTATAACTACCAACCCAGCACCCAACCAACCACCAAACCGCTGATAGTGTGCATCCCCGGCGGTGTTCACCTAGCCCGGATCTACTATGGCGGTCACAGCAACTCTTCACCCCAAGACTTCCTTGCCCACCACCTAAACAACCATGGCTTCAACGTCCTATCACTTTCCTACCCCCTCGAATCAACTCCGTCAATCATGCCTCCCACAGCGCCAAACTTCAGCATAAGCGACTGGGGCCGCCAAGCCGCGACAGCAGCTAAAAAAATCATCTCTGAGCACGCTCTCCCGCTGTCTGTCGTCTTGATCGGGTGGAGCATGGGGGGCCGGATTCTTGTCCCTTTTACTGTTTCCGCGAAGGAACTCGGTTTATCTGTGGAGCAATTTATCAGCTTCGCAGCCACGCCTGGGATTTCGGGTATTCGACCCAATCTGTATGTGCAGCCTACGCTTGGTGAGGTGGGGTGTACAAGGAAGGGTTATATGCTTATTCCGGAGCGATTGGGGAATTTCGCGCAGCAGATTTCTGAGATGGAGGGGGTGAATGGCGGGGGAATTATTTCTAAAGATGTTTATTTGGAGGAGTATGTGGGTGGGACTCCGATTAGGCTTATGGGGTTGAGGTTGAGGTTAAATGGGGATGGACGGTCTTTTGTGCTGGATGAGGTCACGCATGAGGAGGATTCGAGGGTTTGGGATTTTGCGAATTGTCCGCTTGTTTCGGCGCTGTGTCCTACTGGGGCTATGGATGCTAGTCATGCGATGGCGGATATAGCGACTTGGGGATTTATTCTTACTTATCAGTTGGAGGGGCTTGTTGGAAAGCAAGGGTTGGCGAAGGTGAAGGAGACGGGGAAATGGGAGAAGTTGTTAGGGTTTGTTCGTGATGCGCCGAGGAGGCTGTGCTGGTCTGTGGAGGGGAATCATTTCTTCTTTGTTGGAGAAAAGGCAGCTGGGGAGGTCGCTGATAAAGTGAGTAAGCTTATTGATGAGGCAGCGATGTTTAGGAGGGAGCTTGATGAGATATTGTCATAGATGCTAGGCTTAGGTCTACGACAGAATGGATAGACATGAGTATGTGATTCATAACTAACGGACGAGTTGGACCAGCGCCCAGATCGCCATCGCCATGCACTTTTTCTTAATTGTACAAGCCACTTGGCTGACAACTTGTTGTCATGAACTTCTCACCGTCCGGAGCCTTCTGAGGCTGGACTCTCCACAGACATACTTGGACAGTAAGAAATCATCGGACAGATCTTAGTTCGTTTTTGAAACGGTTGCACCTCCAGTAATGACCAGCGGGCCATTTTGAGCAACTGGAATCCCATTTCCAGGGTAGGAGGGCGCGGGAACCGGAGGAGGTCCCATCCGGTGCTTCATATCGAAGCCGGACTTCACCTCGGACGGCGGTGGCTTGGGAGGAAGATGAGACGGGGTGCCCCATTTGGCGATAGAGTCCCGGCCTGGATTGGGCAGATTAGGGAGATTTGGCACGCGGGCTGTGCTTGCTGCGGAAGGATGCTCCATGCCCCGATTCTGGGGGTTAGGCTCTGGGTATGCCATCCATGAAGCCTGAGGCATGCCATTGAACGGCTGCATCGGATGCTGGGCACCTCGGCTCGGGTTGCGTGTCGAGGGTGCACCGCCGGGGATGAAAGAGCGGGTTTGAGGGTTGAAGTGAGACCTAGCATTGTAGTTGCCTGGCATCACAGAAGACCCGGTATTCTGAAGTGTGGGGTTAAGATGCTGTCCAGGGTACTGCGCGTATGGATAGGCCGCCAGGTTGGAGGTCATCGACTGGGAGGGGTAGTTGGGCCAATGAACCGGAGCTTGGTTTCGTTGAGGTGATTGCTGGTAATTTCCAGAGTAGGGCGGGGAGCCCCACTGCGGATTCGGCTGGTACTGGGCAGACTGAGGCATGGGGAAGGTGTTCATAGCCGGCGAGGAAGTGCTTGGCAACGGTTGGTTCATCATGCCTTGATTGATCATGCCGGACTGGCTCATCGATGCGTATCCAGCGAATGGCGACTGCTGCGGCATGCTTCCTCCTTGCCACGAGCCATTAGAGGCCATCTGCGGCGACATAGCCATTGGATACTGGGGTGGATTGTTCACGCCACCCATCTGTCCGGGGTGCACGGTACTGTTCTGACCGGCAGGCATGTAGCCCGTGGCGGGTGGCGGTACACCAGGTCCAACCAGGTAAGGAACCTGTTGCGTAGCGTAGGAACCGTCGTTGCCACCGACATTGTATGGAGCTTGACTCTGACCATTGTTGTACTGCATGCCTGGATAGTAGGCGTTGAACTGAGATCGGGCTTCAAAGCTATCATCATGGGGAGTTCGCTGCCTGTTGTTTTTCCTGCGGCCACTCGTAGAGCTGGATCGTGACATGTCAGGATTGGACTCGCCACTGGTCGTATCTGACTTGACGCTATCGGGGAAGTCACGGAAGATCCTCTCTCGAACCTCCTGATATTTGGCCTCGCGCTCTTCGCGGGTCAATGTCATTCGATCCTTGGTATCGGCCGATGAGCCTGCGCGATCACCCTCTGCGCCGCTATCACCGGCCTCGGAAGTAGCCTTGGACTGAACAGACGAGCTCGCTGCGATACTTCCTTCGGCAGATCGTCGATCGTCATTTCGACGCATAATTTTCATGGCCGGGACACTTGGGGGCGGGGTAGTGCTAGTGGCAGCATGTACTGCGGAGATAGGTTCGGGGCTTGGTCGAATTAGCTATTTGTCCTCGGGGAGAAAAGAGAATCGACTTACAGTCTGCAGAAAGGTGTTCGATGCAGCCTGACAGAGGTCACGTTGTTATCCACAAAATGGGTCAGGTGGTAATAATCTCCGAGTTTATGAGCGAGGAGTCGTTGGAATCCATTAGAAGGAGGCAGCTCCAAAGATTGTTCACTGGTTCATGATTAACACCCAACTGGCATGGTTGAACTGGCGAAACACTTACGTGGACTCTTTGATGAAGTAACGAATCCTTTCCTCTAGCTGAAGAACCGTCAGACGGTCTTTTGGAGATTTCATTGCCTCCAAAAGTTTCTCGTCAGGTTCGAGAGGGAACCCATGTATGCTTGAGCCATCCGACAGACCGTCAGGATTGGCCGCGATAATGAAGTTGTTTGCGACAGAGTCTGGGGGGATAGTGATCGTGCCACGCGAATCGCCATCGTTGAAAAGAGGGCCGGGTACAGGGAGAACTCCACGAGATCTTAGAGGGTTTCCATCGCGGAATTGATCGCGGAAAAGACGTCCTCCAGCTTCAGAGCCACTGACTGAGTTTGGTGCACCAGATGTGGCACCCGAAAGAGACTCCTCTTCATCGATAGCTTGCACACTCGCACTGTCATCGGGTCGCACCGAGTCTTTTTCGTCCATGGCGAATGTGGTCACAGAGGCCAAGCTCTTAGAGTCAAAGTTGGTCATTTTAGTGGAAGAATTAGAAATATGAGTTCGATCATCTTCAAAGGAGTTTTCTCTCTTGAGAAGAATATTCTCCTGGTCGTCAATTGAAGATCCAGACCCTTCCCGGTCTGTCTGTAAGGTGATGTCAATGTCCTGCACTGCTCTGCCTACGTGATCAACTGCAGGATCGCTCGAGGCAATCTTCTGTTTGATTGTGTTCAAGGAATGTGGAGGTAGTGGGGCGCCAGTGTTGAAGGATTCGGAGACATGAGAGGTCGTCGCAAGCTGAGAGCTGTTGCTCTCAACTGATGCTGAGGACGAATGGGGGTTGGGAATTGCGGACATGGCAGCGATCTGGAGGGGAGATTAGCAATAAGATCGGAGTTGAGGTGCATGGAATACACACCTTTGCAAAGGAGAAATTGGGATCTCCTGGAGGGGGACTCTGAGATGCCATTTCAAGCTACACCGTGGGATGTTGAGGTCGATTTCAAGATTTCACGAAGGTAACAGAAATCCACGTCGAAACACAGCTGAAATCAACAGATCTCTGGCGAAATACAAGTGTTGACCGAGTTTTGAATGTAAAAGAAATAGCTGAAGAATCCCGCTTCACACAAGCCAAAAAAGAAAGACATATCTCTGATTAAGGGTCTTCGCCATGAGGAAAGCTGCGGTAAAATCAAAGTTAGCACTGGGTCAAACGAATCTAATCATCTAGACGAGGAAGCCTATGAGAGCCATCGCATCTAGCACAACGGCCATTTAGGAAAGCGGGCCTTACACGATGTCAACGCTGGTTCATGGTCTGGTGATAAAGACCCCGAATTGAGATTGCAAGGAGGTCCAACTGGGGCGGAGGGTCCAAGTGGGTGAGGCCGCACAAAGATCCACGGAACTCTGACACTCCAGTGAATTCTCAGTCCGTACTGGAATAGGTTGGTAGAGAAGGAGCGTTGGAGAGGTCGAGCTGTGATTATTCTTCAACGCCCGAAGGTTCGTGGGTTCAATTTTGCCGCGCCCGACCGCTTCTACCGCGCGCCTACTATTTCCCGTTTTAATTGAGCAACCGCGGGGAGCTGGGTTGGATATCTTGATATTTCACTAAGGGGTTTTTCGCTTTTGACATCTTCCTCATTTCTCGGCAACTTTCTCTGATTTCTCACTCGCAAGTGAATGTTCCCATGAACCGTTACCGCAATGCTCCCGGGCTCCGAGGCCCGTCAAAAGCTTCGGCGAGCACTTTATGCCAGAAGTGTTTGAAACGAGATATGTGACCATGATATGTCTTTCCATTGAGCGACATGCTGACCCCATTATACGGCACTACAGCTATGAATGCAAGGCGACTACACAAGAGCGTCCATATACCTCGCGCCCGTCGCGAACACAGCAGTTGCAGAACCCAAGGTTGATGCCTAAGCTCTCGACGGAGGTTCCCAGTGACCTGACTCAGTCGTAAGTCCTCTACCGCTGTCTTAAATGGCAATCATGATTACCTCAAACCCTCGATTCTAAATGAAAACTACAGAAACGGCGTGGCGGATGACATACTTGCCAAACGAGACGAAGAGCGAGGTCGGAAAAGAGATCTTGATGGAGAGGATACGACAGATCGCCATGGACGCTCTCCCAAAAGGACGAGATCATTGTCATCTCATTCGACGAACTCGGTTTCCACAATTTCTACCAACCGATCCGTCTCGGCATCGCCGGACCGCCGTAGCAAGCACGGCTCACAGAGCAATGGGCGCCAGGCCGCCTCTGTGTCACCACCTCCTAAGTCTCGCAAGAGAAGATATAGTGATGCATCTCAGTCTGCCTCATCATATTCCTCCGGTGCACGACAACGCTCGAGGTCAAGGGAGTGGACTGAGGATAGGAATATCCGCCGACGTCGTCGGGAGAGCAGCCCTGAAGAACGAGGAAGACACCGTGATTCCGGAACTCATCGCCGAAGCGACCGACGCAGTCGTAGTGTCGACAAGAGCCGAATTGCCAAGGAGCGACGCTCCATAACTCCCCCGGAGACTACCACCGACCGCGCTGGAAGACGGTCATACCGGGACCGAGCGAGCCCTTCGGCTCACGGAAATTCCTCGGGACGCTCCAGACAGGACCCTAGAGTACGGCCAGAACCGCCTCGAGAGCGAAGCCTGAGTCCGTTTAGCAAGCGACTTGCCCTAACCCAGGCGATGAATCATGCACGGTAGAGGGTGGATTGGAAAAATGGGTTTAATTTGATGTATTCTGGAAGGAGATCACCGGCGCAACTTTTGAATCTGGGAAAACCACACATGGGTTCACTTCACGTTCCATTGAGAACAATTGTATTAATAGCATTCCATACATCCCAATGTTCAAGACCTTTCCAACGCCTCTTTATGACTGCAAAAGTGCAGATGGAAATGAGATAAAATAGTACAATAGCAGAAGAGTTGGAAACAATCCCACCATCCTTGAAAAAACAGGGTATCACATCAAATCGTATCCTCGTCCTGGGCTTCCTGCTGCTCGCGCAAATGAATTCCCTCCACCAATGCGTCTCCTTCAATGCCCACCTCCTCGCCTTGGCCATTGGAAGCTCCCTTCTCCTTAGCTACACGCTGCGCATTCTCTATCCGTTGTCGCACCAGTCGGGCAATCGCATTCTCAGTCCGCACGTTGAGCGTCTTGAGCTTCTCGTCCAGATCACGCCGCAAGTCCCAGTTGGGTTTTTTTGGTTGTAGCTTGAACAGATCAATGGGCGCATCTTCTTCGTCCTTCTGCGCTTGTTCCTTCACTGCCTCTGCGATCTCTGCGGCCTGTGCTTCCACCGTGACTTTGCCTTCTTGTGGGCCTTCTTCAAATCCCAATTTCGGTCCGCGGGTCTCGGCGTCATAGTTGCGGCCGGAGATGTATTTTGTGGTCACATCATCAGCATCTGGTAATTCCTCATCGCCACCGGCTTCTTCTGTCTCGGGCTCGGGCTGCTTGCGCTTCAGTGCTGCGAGCTTGGCGAGGCGGGTTTTACGGTCGGTGGATGCCGCATCCAGAGAAGCGTGATTGGACGACATGGTTTCGGATGTGTGAGTTGAAGAAGGCGTGGATGATGAAGAAAGAGATTGAAAACTCTCTGGAGGTAGAATGACGAGCGCGACCTCGAATATAAAGTCCGCTGGAGAAAAGTTGCGGGTTGAAGGTGATGGGGCGCGCCACACACTAGCCACAGCAAAATCGGGCGGCTTTCCATCTTTATCTTTCGGACCAACGATCAACTTCCACTTGATTTCTTGCCAGAACCAGACAACCCACATCTTTCCTCTCTCCTCATGCGTGCGATCGCAGGACTCTGAATGTCATTGTGTCCACATCAGCTTGCCCGTTTCCGCCTTAAAGGGCTCCCAGCACAATGTAGGAACTCCGGCCTTTGGCCTCGGAGGTTGGGGACGTCGAACGTTGCACACCGTGTCAAGCATATCTCCAGCTATGCGACGTCGGTTAGGGACCCCGGAACCGAATCGCACGATTTCACAACGCCTGCGTCATTACATCCGGTCATCAACAAGGAGTTGGAAAGCCCAGACTGGGACAACCATTCAAATCCCGCAGAGCAATCCGAGGAGAGAAAGAATGAGCAGCCAGGAAATGCGACCATTTTACAAAAGTCCGAAAGTGGCTTACGAAAGCTCACCACGCGGCCGCTGTCTATGAAGAGGGTCCGCGGGATCCTGGCAGCGCAAGGCCATAATACTGAACACGCAGCCGCCGTGCTTCGCCGACTCAATGCCGAGATCGCAGCAAAAGACCGATACTTCAACCCGAAATCGACGTATCTGGCGGCAGTCGTCAAGGGCAACTCGCTCTACGTCTCGCGGGGGTTGGGCATTGAACAGTGGCAGTTGGCGTATGGAGAGATCTACAAAGCAAAGCACTACGAGCGTGAGGTATCAAGGCAAGCTGTGATACCAGGATTGAAGGAGGATAGTCAAGCGCTGCTCGAAAAGATCCAGACAGACTGTCTTGGAAGTTTTCGGGACTCCTGGCAGGCCTTGCCAAGACGCGACAAGGCCGCTTGCTGGCAGCGCCTGGCCTTCTGGCTGATGCAGAATGACCCAAAACTCTTGATGGAATTTTTACTTGTTACAACGGAGAGCGGAGAGAAGCCGGACTGTACCATGGTATCCGACTGCTTCCTTTATTTGGACAGATTTTACTATGAAGACTGGCTGAAGGATTGGGTGGGCGGTACTCACACTTATGAGTCGCTGATCGAGGCTGCTTTGAATCCGAAGGATTGGCCTATCCTTTCTGCATCACAGAAGGGTGTTCGGCTCTATATTCAACGAGCTAGCCATGAAGGCGTAAACTTCGCCCTCCAGACGGTAACAGGAAGACACATTGATTTGACCCCAGAGACTGCCTTGTGCTTCATGTGGCGGTTCACGGAATTTGGAGATGTGGATCGAGCACTCAAGTCCCTCGAGTTTATTCCCATGCTCAAAGACCCCGAATTCACATTGAATTCTGAGGGAGTCCTTCGGCATTGCTGCAAGCTTTTGACTCTAGACCGTGTTCAAGATGGCGAGAATGGACGCAACTTTGAGATTCTTCCACAACTTTTGAAGATGGGTGTTCGACCTGACCGGGACATGATGAACTTGGTGCTGGCAAATGCTTACAAGACCGGCGACTCACAACTCGGTGCCGATATGCTTCATTTCATGATGAATCACGACTACGAATTCGACTCTTACACCTACTTGACTCTGTTGACCGAAGCAGTCAAACGCGGAGACCGGGGCCGAGTCGACAACTTGATCCATAAACTCAAGGAAGATAAAGATCTCCACAATCACCCATACATCGCCAACAAGATATTCCATTCTCACTACGTTTTCACCGCCAAGAATATGGATGCAGACTCCGATCCCGCGGGGGTCTTCTACTCCATGCTTGATATGTACAACACTTTATACGACATCACCCCCTTGAAAGACCTCCTCCTCATCCCGCAACACTATACGCCTCGAGCAGGAGGCTCTAATGCCCCTCCAGATCCCATCGCCCTGTACATTATGATTGCGACCTACTTCCGCTGCCAGAACCGCCTCTCAACGGTGCAAGTAATCTACCACCGATTCCGAGAATTGGTAAAGAATGATCACCCATCTATCGCTCTTCTCGCGGAGACTGACCACACCTACAATGAGTTCCTCATTGCGATGCGCGACAATCCTCATGCACTGCGGTCGTGTGTGTACCTTGTCGAAGACATGCTTCGTTCTTCTAAATCCCCGAGACCCACTGCGCGCACCTGGAACATCTTGCTGAGCGCTTTTATCTACAACCGGCAACCTGCAGCCGCTGAGACTATCATGGAAATGATGGCCAAGCACCAAGTCGAGTATGACCAAGTCACTTGGAACACCATCATCAGTGGTCACGTCAGCGAACAGAATGTCGAAGAGACTGCTGCCGCTATCAAGGCAATGGAAGAACAGGGATTCGTCATTGACCCCTACACCATGAAGACTTTGCGCTATCTTCGCGATCCAGAGCGTCTCTGGGTTGCCATTGACGAGCTGGATAAGTTATATTCCGAACAGAGCTCTCAGCAGGTGACTTCCAAGCCGGAGGATGAGACCAGCAGCCCTGCTGAGGGTGAGTCGGAAGACCAGCTGCTCGATATGGGATTACAGAAACTGGTGCTCAAGTGAGCAAAGTGAGATGGATACCCTTGTACTTTTTTTTTTTATAGAATTCTGCATGGCATGGGCCTGGCGCCGGAGCGTTGCCACTTGTGTAAATTTGGCTCTTATGTACAATACATTGAATCATTATGAAATTTCTCATGCGCTTGAAAGTATCTCGCTTTAAGTGAAGAAGTACGTCCCGTAACACCGGTTTTGTCCTTTACTGACCAGCTGGAGCCTTTCACTCTCGTTCTCTTTCAGTTCAGTATCGCCATTGAGAAGGATTGGGATTGAGAAAGGCGTTTAGCCACCGAGGAAGATAGAGACCTGTCAAGCAATGGGCTGTCAGTACTGATCTACCAGAACGAGGGGGGGCGGTTTTCAGCAACTCACGGCCATCAGGAAACAGCATATGCTGACATAGGGACTGAGACGTTCTCCCACTCTCGCGCACTTCCAGAATATCCCAAACAATCTATTTTCGTCAGTTCAGCAGCTCCACGAGTTGAGCATCAGGACCTACCCATTCTGGTTACGGTCCATGATTCCGGGCATGATCGAGTGCGCATAGGTGCTCGTGCAAATAAGCAAGAGGATCACCATCAATAGTGACTGGAAGTTGAAAAGGGCCGACTAGATGAGTCACTTTGTTAGTGATGTCGTCGTCTGGGAAAGTACACAGTATGCTGAGGTGCGCTGCCTCTGCCTAAACAGCTTCGACATCACTTCCCCAGCACCTCAGCCTTCAGCTGCAAAGAATCTTAAACTTACCATCTTGAATCGCAGTTTCTTCACGCCCCAGAAAGAGACGAAAGTAAGATCAGCGAGTGTGTGCAAGAGCAACGAGGCAACTCGTGTTTCTGCCCGCCATGTCTGCCAGATGCACAGACCGCCCGGTGTCCCGGCATCAATCGTCTCCGCCTGCAACTATTGCTCCAGCTTCTCATCACCCTCCTTCTTCAGCAGGCTTCAGACCACCTGTCAATCGGCACTCACCTCAACTTTACAACCCGCAGCGCTTCACGCCCCGGCCGAGTTCGAATCCGAGTCCAACCCCAGCTTTCCGCAATACGTTTGCATCACCGCAGGCCAGACCTACTTCGAATCCTGGTCCTCAGGAAAGAGCTCTTGCTAAAGCGGGTCAATACGCGCACGAACATAAAACTCCACCGCGACACTCACGGTCGAATTCATACCGTTCTCCCGCACCTCCGTCCGTGCTTGCGCATCCCGGAGTTTTCAATCCTCAAGACCTAGATCTTCTCCGCGCGGGCTACAAATCCGCATACGTTCCTATCCCGCCTTCGGTCACGCCAATAGCAGGACCAGCAGCAGAACTAGCACCGACAGTTCGAAACCCCCCCAGAAAAAAGTCTGTTCGATTCAACATGGCCGAGCCACGAGCCCGTGCGGCCCGGCACAAGGGCCAGATGAACTTTGGTCCTGAGAGTAAGCCACTATCTACCATCCCAACTCAATCTCCAACCAGAATCTAAGATCCAAAAGTGCGCCACCTTCTTCTAGCCTACGGCGATCCAGCCCCCGCATCACTCATTTTCCGGGGAACCCCTCCCCGAAACAATCCGCGTCCTCGACGAAATCGTCACAGACTTCATCCTAGAATTATGCCACGGTGCCGCGCAGGTCGCGCATCATGCCCGCCGCCAGAAGATCAAAGTCGACGACTTCCGCTTCTCGCTACGCCGGGATCCGAACAAGCTCGGCCGTGTGCAGGAGTTGTTGCGCATGGAGCGTGAGCTGAAAGAGGCGCGGAAGGCTTTCGATCAGAATGATGATCAGGTTGCTAAGGGTGCTGGAAAGAAAGGAGCTCCTGTTCCTGAAGACGATGATAATGTTTCAGTTACTGGTACGGTGACTGGGAAGAAGGGTAAAGGTAAGGGAAAGAGAGCTGCTGCTAATCGGAGAGGCTCCGATGCTACTGAGGAGTCGGTTCCTAAGAAGAGGAAGACTATCGGGTGATTCGGTCGTGATGATCTCTCCTCTCTTTTCTTTGCTTTCTTTCATGTGCATGGATTCAGGATATAGTTAAACTCCATCGGCGTTGTTTTACTTTCTATGATACCGGAGTTTGGACGGGATATGTCCTTTGATTTGAAATACCCGTGAATAATACCATCATTCCTGCATTTATACGTGTTTTTTTTTTGTTCTATCCAGTACCGAAATTAGCCTAGGGCGAAGCAATCTTGGAAGTGTACACATTTGATATTTGTGGGACCTAAATTGGTTGAGCATGAACATCTGGGTATACTCTGTGTGTCTCAAATGATGACCACGGCACTTGTTCGCCTCAATCTATCAACTTTAATGGCGTATAATAAACCAAAAACGCTTGCAAATTTTCACCTCAATTTCATAGCCCCAACGCCTTCATCCTGTGCAATAATAATACCATAGCCGATGCACCATTCTATGCCTAAAACCGAAGCAAAGCATCAAGTTCCCCCAAAGAGAACCCCGATCCCAACGGTTCATTATAAGTTTTGACGTCGTCACTCGTCGAATTTGGTATTGTGACGGCTTCCGCATAGCCATTATCTCGTTCGTCTATTTCGTCCGAATTTTGTTGCTCTTTCTCCATATCCTTATCGTCTTCGTTCCATTCAGGTGGAATCAACCTCAACACCTCGGAGAACATTGAATAAACAGCTGCCCATCTCGGTACCTCATGGTCGATACCCTGCGGTAACCGTAAATTCAACCCATGAGAAGAGGCCGGTGATGATGCTGATGATGACGATGATGATTCTTGTTTTTGGATCCTAGTAATACCCCTTGTATTAGTTATCCTTCTTTTGTACGTGCCTGATTCAGTGCCGAACTGAAAGTAGGGAATGATCATGATGGGATATGATCATAAACAAGAACATACCTAGCCTGTCGCTCCCTTGGTACACAATCCTGTCCCTCCCTGCAACAATACGTGCAGCGGGATTGAGAAGGCGCGATGACACAGCGCTTTTTTCGCGCGTAGCAGGCTTGACAGGCCATGCTTTTCACTTTATAGTGACTTGTGGCGGCCGTCGGAACCTTTTGGATCCTTTGTGGGGCTTGTGGACCTAGAGGCCGTTGGGTTTCCGCTGGGGTCCCCATATCCGTTGATTCTGCAGGATTTTTTTTTTTTGGAAGTGGTCGGAAGAAAACGAAATCTGTAAATAGGACTTCGGAAGTTGAAGGCCGATGGGATGGAATTGAGTAATTCAATCGGAGGTAACCGAGGGTTCCGGTGGATTTAACTTTAATTTAGGAGTTTGAGAGTTCGGGGGGCCGAGGTTGGAGGATCAGGGTAAGGGAGGGTGAATGGATGAAGGCGTGAAGGCGTGAAGGAGTGAGTACTCCTGTGTATTAGAAATCGAGTGGAATGAATATGATGATTGAGCAATGATCAATGATCAGAGTTGTGGGGTGTGCTTTGAGCTATGTCCCTCGGACAAGTCGCCGAAACGAGCACTTTGGTCCCACAACTCTGAGGACTGCTGGCTTGGGGTTGTCGGTGAACCTGGTGGAACTCGGCGGCCTAACTTCCGTCGTTCTTATTTCCGGGTTCTTTTGAAGCCGGTGGTTGATCCTTAGCGTAGCATTTGTTGATTGAGAGCTTAGTAGAGAAGCATGTGATAGAATCGAGATTTTGCACGTGAGGGGGGTTCATACAACATTTCAACGTTGAACCCCCCCGATTGAACGGAATAAGTCTAGGCGATAGTCTATCAAAGAGGAATGGAACATTACACCATCAATGTCTCTCAAGTTCCTGCTCATCCCGCCGAATCTGATCTTCAACAATCCGAAGCACCTGCCTTTTAGCATACCTAGCGATGCGTGCAGGAGCAGGCAAATCCGAAAAATCTTTTCCCGGGTTTATACCGCCCTGATCTTCCATAATATCCATAATGAATCGTAGATCATCTGCAATCTTATAGGCCCCAGAAGACAAACACCGAACAACAAGCTTCTCCAACAGCACCCATTTTCCGTAAATAGCCGCCGTTCGGAGCGCAGAGCCATTTTCGCCTTGACCCAATGTAACATATGCGCCCTGGTCGAGAAGTAGTCCGAGAATTTTGTGCATTCTGCTGTTGTAGGTGTGCATTGACACGGCGGCTTGAAGGAGTGTCCAGCGGGGTCCGCCGGCGTGGACGTCGCCTCCTTGGAGAAGATATTCATGGACGAGTTCGATGCTGTTGTTTTCTACTAGAACGTGGGCGAATGTGACTGTATGATTGAACTCGCCGTCGTTGCTGGCAAGACGTCTGTCGAGATCGGTGAGATATTTCCAAGCCGGGAAGATCGATTGTAGTCCTTTCAGCACATTCGTCACTAGACCTTCCTCTAGAGGAAGTTGACTATTTTCCTGAACCTTGTCCATAATCGAAGATGTCTTGAACGTGTCAACCAGAGCTGCGGCAAGTGGAAACACAGAGCGGATCGCATATTTGAAGAACGGATGGTAGATGCTCAGATCACTATACAGCTGCGCTGCCTGACGAGAAGAAAGCTCTTGAATCGCAGCATATCGATCGGAGTATCTCTCGACCTTTCGTTGAATCTCGTCGGTATTCAAGAATCGTACGCAAGCATTCCATAGTTCCTGTCTGCCTAGATGCACGGCCTGTGACACTTCCATCTGCTGAATCTTAGCACAGGACTCCGAGTCTAGAGATCTCGGTTCAGTCATCCTGCGCACAGTGGCCAGGGGAGACTCAGTACCTATTGGCACGAGAGCTTTCACGATGTTTGAATCACAGTACGGACTTTTCGAGACAGTCACACTGACTATTCCTTTCAATTTACATCCGATTGCTCGCGCGAGCTCTTCATCATCTCGAATGAACGTAGCGTAGCTCTCGGCTGCACCTTGACTTCTATGCGCTTTGTCGGCGAAGACTCTTGCGTAGCGGATATCTGTTAGGGTGAGGTCTGTACCTTTTGTGCAGCATACCCAGCGTGTGAGCCATTCGACCCATCTTTCGCGTTCTTGTTCTTGTTCTTGACCTGCTAGGACCGGTGTAACCATTTCGAGAATTTTGTCTGGGTGTTTTTCTTCTAATACTCGAAGGCTGGCTTCTTCTTCTGTTTTCAATCTTAGCTCCTCTTCGATGGCGTATTCGAACCACTCGTCTCCACTCATTGGAGGGCCGTCATCAAGTTTTGGAGGGCTAGGCCTTGTTAGCTGATTGAATATAGAATATTAATTGGACGCACGTAGTCACTTTGGGTTAGTTGGCGTACCTGGGTAAAATCAGATGGTATTGATGGGAGACTTGCATGGGAATGGACCAGTAGTATTTTATAAATATGTAGAATAGAGATATCAAAGATAGATCAAGTGCTTGGGAGATTTATGAGTTTCCTATCTACACTTCATAAGACAATCAACCCTTGGATCTCACCAAGTTCTTTCATCCTGGAAAACTTCTTGAAAGACCCTGTGAAGAAAGGGTCATGGTTCTGCTCAATGTCTCTACACGGTTATTTGTGCAAACAACGACCTGTCTCAGTATTCAATATTGGCATACCACGTAGCTAGCCTGCCAAAGACCATTTGAGACAATCCATGGTACACTACAAAGTCATGCTTCTGCCGCATTCGAGAAAATGGCGTCTTTATAGCGCACAAGCTGGGACGCAACCAGAATACTTCAGACACATTCTGTTCTTGCTTGCTTATTTCATGGGAAAACAGAAAAGACTACGTAGCCCTCCGTTTCCATGCTTATGCCTAAAGCTATGTCCCAACAGGTCTAACAATTTTATGTCCATTTCATCATAACTAACGCCGCGCCCAGATAAGATGCGACTTCGTGAAACCGGGTCCAAGCCCAGTTCTGACTCTCTGCAGTCACTTCTGCAGTACTCCATCACCTCACCCCACGACTCTATCTGAACAAAGCCAGATACTCCGATGCGCCACGTTGCTTTTTTTCCGACCAGGCCTGGGCAGCCACAAGGAAACAGAGATAGGTGTGTTCGCGTTCGAGACAAAAAGGGAGAGGGTGGGCAGGGGATAAAGGGAAAAAGGTTAAGGAGAAATAAAGTAGATAGAAACAAACAAGTACGAACCCAATAGTTGTCGGAACATGGAAAACGAGACATAAGAAACATCAACGGGTAGGTTGGTAGCTCCAGGGAATTGGTCACATGCATCTCTTTTAAACCCTCTATGCGCGCGCCTCCTCGGTGGCAGCCCGGTCCTGGGGGCGGTTGTTCTGACGGCCTCCCTTGTTGCCGCGCTGGTTGCGCTGGTTGCCCTCGCCGGTGGCCTCGCCGCCACCAAGGGTGAGCTGAGCAGTTGCTAGTCGGTTGGACAGCTCCATCTGTGTGCGGATGGTGTTGGCCAGGTAGGAAACGACCAAGACGTCCTGGATGTGGTTGTTGCTGCAAAGGTATTAGTAGAGTATCTATATATGAGATGAAAGGGCAAACGTACAAGTCGCGCTCAATGTCGGCGGGTTCGACCTTGGGAGCAAGAGCAAGGGAGTTCAGCAGGAACTGGCCCATGGCGGTGGAAGCGGGGGTTTCCTCGTCGATGACCGACTCAACGTAACGCGACACACGGTCGATCATAGAGATGACCTCCTCAATCGCACGCTCCAGAGACTCAACATCGGAGGTAATGCCGGTAGAACGCTCCTCGGTATCCTTGGCGTTGGCAATGGCCTCGAGACCGCTCTTGTCGGCCTCGCCGTATCGGAGCTCGTAGGGGACGGGGATGAAGGCGGCGCTGTCGGCAGCACGCTCAGCAGTGACACCAACGGGGGCGGAGATGTAGGCGCGGGTCTCGAGGTCCTTTCCGGGCTGGGTGGAAACAGTCAGGTGGACGGCGGGGTGCGGCCATGTGCCGTCGCCCTGGCCGCTGTAGAAGTTCTGGATCAAGGCGGAGAAGGTGTTCAACTCGGAGGCGGTGGCGTACCAGCCGACGAGGACCTCGCGCGGGTTGGCCTTCAGGTGCAGGGCGAGCATCTGCTTGTGGTACTCCATGTCGACTTCGACCTGGTCCTCGGCTTCGGAGTGGCCCACGGCGAATGCGGACCGCACCTCAACCTCACCTCCATCTTCCGATCGTGTTCCGAGCAGAGTTCCAATGACACGTTCCTGATCGGCGTTGCGGCGAAGCGAGTGGTCGAGGATGGAGAAGACGGCCTAAGAGGTTAGTTGCTTGCCCCTCAATACCCCCATACTGCATACGTACCTGCGGCTGGATGACCACGTTAAGAGGGGCCGTAGTGGGAGCGGTGCCCACGGAGACAGGGCCCAGGGGACGGGCGAGGTGAAGGAAGGAGTCGGCCATGGTGAATGTGGTGTTTTGAGGATGATCTGGAGGAAGGCCAAACTCAGTCAACGCAAAGCTCGGAGGGACAATTTTTCCTTGAAAGTGGAGTTGGCCGTCTGATTGTTCCGTTTCTTCTTTGTGTGTGGGAATTTTCGCGCTAAGATAAGATAAGCCACTTGGACCTTCAATTTCACCTCCGGAAAAAAAAAAAAGTCAGTTTCTACAACAATGGCTCCCCCACGAGGAAGAGGTGGTTTTCGTGCTAGAGGCCGAGGCCGTGGTGGAAGAGGCGGTACTACTAGGAGAAACAACTTTGCTGCTTCGCGATTGCACGATGCTGAGTGAGTGCGCCTGGAGCGTTTTACGTGATGTATAGCTAACCCGGTCCAGATCGGACGAATCCTCCGGCGATGATGCGCCCAGCGGCCCTGTTGATGAGAGCATTGGAGATGACACTCTGATGGACGAGGGCTCGTCTAGTAGTAGCGAGGAAGAGGAAGAGGAGAGTAATGGTCGCCCTTACAACGAATTGCTCGAGCTGCTCCACGCCAACTCCGACTCGACAGGTCCCGCTCGCAAGCGGAGAAAGGTTGCCAATGATGGCAAGGAGGAGGTTCAGACTGCTCCAGTCGAGGAAGAGCCTGATCAAGGTGAAGATGCGCTACAGGAACAGGCTCCGTCTGATGACGAAGATGATGCCCAGGAAGAGGATGATGACGATCACGTCGGGCCTTTTGAGAAGCACTTCAACCTTCCGGAGAGCGCAGACATCACCAAGAAGATTGAGTCAATCACCGCCAATAAATGGATCTCGGCGAAGAAGGAAGTGGATGGCCTCCGGTTGGTGCATAGCATTCCCGACGTGGGAGCAGAGAAGGCATCCTTACTACCGGCCATGAAGAGCACGGCCAATCTCAAAGTACGTAAAATGATGTCGCACACTAGATCTGAACTAACCTTTGATTTGCAGCTCAAAAATAAGTTGAAGCCCCGTGCCGCAGAGCTGCTCCCCAACATCACCGGCCCGGCCCAGCAGATCGCGCCCTATGTATTCGAATACCAAGATGTTCTTTTCGGCAACCGAACAGCCTCTTCCGCAGATGATATGCGGGAGATTATGGCTCTCCACACTGTAAACCATCTTATCAAGACCCGAGACCAGGTGCTTAAGAACAATGCACGCCTGGCGAAAGACCCCGATACCGATATTGAGTGCCGTGACCAGGGTTTCACCCGTCCCAAGGTCCTTTATATTTTGCCAACTCGACAGGCATGTGTTCGAGTGGTCGAGGCGATTTCACGATTCTACCAGGCCGAGCAGCAGGAGAACAAGAAGCGCTTCACAGACTCTTTTTCGGCTCGCGACGACTCATCATTTGACAACAAGACCGATGACTTCCGTGAGCTGTTCGGCGGCAACGACGACGACATGTTCCGACTGGGATTGAAGTTTACTCGAAAGACGGTCAAGTACTTTGCGCAGTTCTACAACTCGGACGTTATCTTCGCCAGTCCCCTTGGTCTGCGAACAATTATGGACCAGGCCGAGTTAGTATCCTTACCATCACATTGATAGCACCCTGCTAACCCATTTCAGTGCCAAGAAGCGCGATCATGACTTCTTGTCTTCCATCGAAGTCGTAGTAGTCGACCATGCTGACGCCCTTCTCATGCAAAACTGGGACCACATGACATACATCTTCCAGCACTTCAACCTGCAACCCAAGGAAGCCCACGGCTGTGACTTCAGCCGGGTCCGCAACTGGTACCTAGACAACCAAGCGCGGCACGTCCGGCAAACGGTCGTGCTAGCATCCTACATCACCCCCGAGATCAACTCCCTCTTCTCAACACACATGCAAAACACCGCCGGTCGTGTCAAAATCACCCCAACCTACGCCGGCGCCATCACCGCGCTACCCCTCCCCGTCTCGGTCAAACAAACCTTTTCCCGAATCGACAGTCTCTCTCCAGCAAAGGACCCAGACGCCAGATTCAAGCACTTCACCACCACCATCCTATCCAACCTTGTGAAGAGCATCACCGGACGAAACAAGAATAGCGCGGGCACTTTGATCTTCGTCCCCTCGTACCTTGATTTCGTCCGCGTGCGCAACCACTTCGCCACCTCCGCTCAAACTACTAATGTCTCCTTCGGCGCTATTTCCGAGTACACCGAGCCGCGCGAGATCGCCCGCGCCCGCAGTCATTTCATGTCAGGTCGTCACTCCGTGCTTTTGTATTCTGAACGTTCGCACCATTTCCGTCGGTACCACCTGCGCGGCGTGAAGCGCGTGATCATGTATGGATTGCCCGAGAACCCGACCTTTTACCAGGAGATCGTCGGGTTCCTGGGTCTAGACCCGGCGGCGTTGGTCGAGGCGGCTGAGAGTGGTGTCCGCGTGTTGTTCTCCAAGTGGGATGCTCTAAAGCTGGAGCGTGTGGTGGGAACCCCGCGTGTGGGAAATATGATGCGTGAGAAGGGTGGAGATACTTTTACTTTTGTATAGAATGTAGCATACATCTTTTTCCCATGACATACCTCGTATAATAGTTCGATTATACGAGATTTCCAGTAACACTTGCATAAGCTACCAGACTACATAACCCCCTCAATAGATGCAAGAGCGAAAAGCAGAACTAAACAAGGCAAAAGACAGAGAGGTAAGTAAAAAGAAAAAAGAAGCAAAAAGGGAAGTCAGATGAAATAAGCTAGCGGCCAACGTCAACAGCCGTCTCCACACTGTCACCGGACTTGAGCATCAATTTTTTCACTAAACTCGAACAACCCAACATCATTCCTTCCTCCTCCCTAACCCATACTTATGTTAATAAATACCCCCGTCTAACCCATTAACGCCTAAATCACGACCGTCACGACCGTCACGACAGCAACGAAACCTCAAATGTCCCCCCAACCAGACTCAGATTCTGGGGAGTCCCCGCACTTCTCCAACGACTCCGATGGGATCCAGTCAGACCACCCAGACGCACCCCTGTCGATCGAGCGCTACCACGACGACCCTCTGGCCGAGTATGAACCTCGTCCTATATCAGCCGATGAATATGACGGATACGAGACCGCCCGGCCACGCAGCAAACGGGCCATCTTCTGGTTACGCAATAAGGGCATGTTCCTCGTCTTGATGGCGCAGATGTTCGGCGCAAGTATGAATGTTATGACGAAGATTCTGGAAATGTATAGTTCTATGCATCCATTTCAGGTGAGTTGTCTAATCGTCATTTCCATTTTAATTTCAATATGAATTTCATTGGATTGCATATCATATCATGTCTCAACCCCAGATCAGATATAGAAACCCAACTGACAGAGCAAAAGGTCCTCTTCGCCCGCATGTCCATCACAGCCATCGCAAGCTACCTGTACATGTGGTACGCCGCCGTCCCGTCACCACTTGGTACTCGACCCGTCCTTGGCCTCCTAATCACCCGTGCCGTCTCCGGCTTCATGGGCGTCTACGGCCTCTACTACTCCGTTCAATACCTGCCCCTCTCCGAAGCCACAGTCATCACCTTTCTAGCGCCTATCATGACATGCTACGCATGTTCCCTACTCATACCCGGTGAGACATTCTCCCGTCGTCAACAAGCGGCGGGAATCGTCTCGCTCGTCGGTGTTGTCCTTATTGCGCGCCCATTCCGGGATCGGAAGGACGATGAAGGAACGGATTCTTATCATCATGTTCTTGCGACTGTTGTTGCGTTCTTTGGTGTGTTGGGCGCGGCTGGCGCGTATACTTCTATTAGGATGATTGGACGCAGGGCGCATCCGCTTGTTAGTGTTACTTATTTTTCGAGTGTTACGACAATTATTAGTGCGGTTGCGATGTTGGCTGTTCCGGGGGTGCCGTTTCGGTTTCCGGGGAATACTACCGAGTGGGTTTTGTTGACGGGGTTGGGGGTTTGTGGGTTCTTGTTGCAGTTTTTGCTGACGGCGGGGTTGTCGTATGTGCCGCCGGCTGATATTGCGGGGAAGCAGGGGCAGGGCTCTAGGGCGACGAGTATGGTGTATACACAGGTGCTATTTGCATTATTCTACGATAAGGTGGTTTGGGGGAGTACGTTGAGTTTGATTAGTTGGGCTGGGTCGGCGTTGATCTTGATCTGTGCTATTGCGGTGGCTGTTATGCAGGAAGGAAAGTCGGAGAAAGCTGGGTCTGGGTCTGGGTCTGGGTCTGAGCCTGAGCAGGAGTCTGAGCGGGAGACTGAACGGGCGAATGATGAAGAGGAAAGATACAAGGATGCTGACGAGGAGGCGTGAGGTGCACCGGGAAGTGGGAGGTCTGGAGATATGCATTGACTTTGTGGGGGACATACGCCAGTCATCGTGCCCAGCGATGACCGATGATATAATCGGGTATATAGAGCATAGACCATACACGACGTATAGAACATACACCATCCACCGTCCACCGTCCACCGTCCATCGCGCTATCTCCTAGCTTCGCCTTCGCTCCGCTACTCTGCAGAATCCGGAGCACACTGCTCCATTTCAGCATAGCCGCATCAGTCCACTGCAGGCGCCTCGACGTCATCGGGTTGCAGCAAGCCGACGCCTTCCCGAGATCGCCCGACTCTGTTAATTGGTTCTTTCAACATCTCCTTCGTCGTCGATGGTCGCAGGGCGATGAGACTAGCTGTGGATCCTTCGCCCCGGTTTAAAGTGGGTTTCTTCCCCCAGATTTTCACCGTCTTTACTTACGTCTGAGCAATTGGCGATATCGACGTATCGATCTTTACCTTTTGCAATATCTGCATCTACGCCACAGTCTGCACCTACTATATTACCATACACTACCCTTACTATACTATATTACTATACACTGTACACTGTACAATCTACATTCTACAACATGCGCCACTTCGACGCCTGGGTCATTCGCGACCCCTACAGCATCTGGCACTACTACCCAACCCAAACCTCCTCCAACTGGACAAACACAGTCCGCGACCTAATAATCTCTCGACAAATCTGCTCCCCAACTTCCTCATCCTCTCCGTCCCCCCCAATCAACCCCTACACACCACATACAAACCCCCAATCCCAATCACCCCTCTCTCGCCTCCCTCCCGAAATCCGCTCCATGATCTGGTCCTACGTCTTCCCCCCCTCCACCCTCCACATCGTAACCATCAAAAACAAACTCCGCCACCTCCGCTGCACATCCCCCTCCAATCCTCAAACCGAATTAACGCACCACCGCCACTGCTGCCCAACGACCCCGGCCCGCTGGCGCGTCTATGATGGTCGTGTCCCTGGACACTCGGATCGACTCCTCTACCCACATACCCATGAACAACTGCCCGATCTGGTGAGTGATGGGAACGTCTCGCTCTTGAGAACGTGTCGGGCGATCTACGCCGAGACGGCAGATCTGGTGTATCGGAATTCGACGATTGATGTGGATGATTTGTATACTTTCATCGCCTTCTCCGAGGCAATTTCGTTGCGTGCGCGGAACGCGATTCGCAGGTTGACCGTTCAGTGGATGCCTGTTTGGGAACCTCTGGCGGGGTTGGATCATAAGGGGTCCATCTATGCGCATACGCATAGTGATGCGTTGTGGACCTCTTTCTGGGCCCGTGTGGCCCAGCTGGAAGGGTTGAGGGAGTTGAACTTGAGTGTGGATTTGGGACGGTTTACGGGGACGGTGACGGGCGGTGGAGCCGTGGTTGTAGCCGGGCAGAAGTTGCCGCTTGTTTTAAAGGAGAGGTGGTTGGTGCCTTTGTTGGATGTGAGGGGGTTGACTGCCTTTGAGTTGGCGGTTACCGCGAGGTGTGATGAGGCTGCCAAGGGCGTTATCGAAAGTGGGTTGGTGAGGGATGCGGCGGTGTTGAGGGATCAGTTGAGGGCGGTGATGTGTTCGGGCGTGGGGGTTACGTTGGCGGATGTCGAGGGGTTGGAGGTCGATTTTGAGCTGGAGTTGGGGATGAAGGAGGCGTCGAAGGAGAGAAATGGGCCGTGGATGATTGAGGCCTGATTTGCATTCTGATTTGATTAGATACCCTATTCGTTTCTTGTCTGGTCGTGTCTTTTCTTTTCTTTTCTTGTCTTTTCTTTGTGGCTTCTTCACAAGTGGATTGCATGGCATCTCAAGAGATAGACATTAAAGAGATAGACCCAAAGAGCACACTTCAAGTCAGCATTTGAGCATTACGCATCGTATTGGACACCCCGTGTAGACTCGTGTGTATCTATCTACACTCTAAATCCCGAGCCAGCGATCTATCCATATATCAGCCCCGTTCAATTCCAGCCATATGAACAGAAATGTATTCAACGCAAAAAACCCGGATCCTGCTGAATCACAAACGGGGGAGAGGGATTCAATTGCGGAGTATTAAGGCAAGTGAACCATCAAGAAAACGCCAGGCACCGAAAGACTATCGCCTGCAATTTGGGAACTCAAAGCCCGAAACGGAAAAGTATAACACATGAACCGAATGCAAGTGCAAGTGCAGGTGGAAAGGTGATGGGGGGAGAGAGAGAGAGAGAGAGAGAGAGAGCGAGCGATGCAAGGCTATCTACTGGCCCATCATGCCCTTGACGCGCCCGCGGATTTCCTCGTCGTAGCTGTTGGTGGGCTCGGACTCGTCTTCGTCGGTGGGCGACTGTGGGTGGCTAAATGGTTCTTGGAGAGATTGGCGGCTTCGCATCATCTGGTAGAAGGTTAGTTTCGGCGCACAAGGAATTCGGTAAAGAGTGAAGGGATCATACCCATGCGCGAACACCCCCAATCAATCCCAGGCTGTATCCAGTGGCAAAGTCCTCGTTCCGCGCTCCGCCAATTGGGCTCTCGGGGCGCGGTGAGTTGAGCGCCTCCACGCGGGACAGATGCGACTTGCTGCCGCCCGTCGGGCTGGTCAGAGGTCCGCGGCCGCTGCCCCAGTCCATGCTGTTGCGTGCGCTGGGCGCAGGGCTGTTGGGCCGGCTGTTTTGCCAGATCTGTCGCAGTTCACGGCCCAACTCTTGTCCCGTCATCGTCCAGTTGTTTTTGATGTTGTCGCGGAGTTCCACCACATGCCTCTTAATCTCAAGCTCGTTCTTCTTCAACCATGACACGTTCAATTCCTGGCGAGATGCTCCGCGCTTGAACTGTCGGGAGATGTACTGGTCGTAGTCGCGGACGATCCTATAAAGAGCGAGCGTTAGCCTGTTGCGCCATTTGTAGCTTGCAAGGTTCACAAACCGAGTAATGATTCCAGTGGTGCTGACACCCTCCGTCCGTTGAGTGACAAGGAACTTGCCCTGTGCTTTGATGGGCTCGTAGATATCGTCACCCTCAGCAGCCTGGTAGGGGAGGTCGTCATGGGCGACATAGTCGATCTGGTGCTCCGACAGGAACTCCGGAGTCACAACCCAAGGACAGTTGGGAATGACCTCGTCCACCCACTTGCAGTGACGCATAGTCTCAGCACGCTCCGCACCGCTCAGCACAGTCAGGCCCTTTCGCATATGAGTCTCCTCATCGCCAGTCACACCGACAATGAGGAACACGTCATCGAAAGCCTTCTTGGCCTGTTCGAGCTGTCTCATATGGCTGGATGGACATTAGCATCTCATCCTGGATACTCGGTTTCCTATTCACTTGATACTCACCCAAGGTGGAACAGATCAAACACGCCATCTGCGTACACCCGCACCGCCCGCCCCGTCGGCGGCGGATTGGTGTGGTATCCAACTGGGTCTTGCAACTTGCCTATTTGGGGCGGCGCCATCGTGTTCTGTTCGCCTTCATCCGCAGGGAGCTTAATGTGCAGACCCGGGCGGCTCCGGGGTCGACCTTCAATGTCGCTGCTGGCCACGGTGGTCTCGGAGGGCTCGCCGAGATCCTCTGGTTGGATAGGACCATCGCCGTTGGTGGAAGCTTCGCCGCTCTTGCGGGCTCGCTTGGATGCTGGGGCGTTGTCGTTCTTCTTCGTTTTGTTGGGGGTGGCATTGGCTGGGCCGGAGTCCTCGCCTTCTTCGCCGGACGCGTCGCGTGAAGATGGTTGGAGCTCGGCTGTGGCGGGGACGGGGACGGGGCCGGGGACAGGGAGGTGAGAAGCGCTGCGCTTGCGCTTGCCGGGGGGAGATGAGGGCGACATGGTTGATGGGGAGGTGGAGGAGATAAGGATGGGAAGAAAGTGAGTTGTCCAGAAGCAATTCCCCGTGATCCGGTTTAGGGGTCCGCGTAATTTTCTTTTGGCGCGGAGTGGGGGCCCTTGGCATGACATGCTCTCTGCCTTGGAACGGGGTCTCTCAGAGGCCTTTCTTACATACTGACATACTGACATACTGACATACTTATGGACCAGATAAAACTCTCAACCTTCTGGCTTACTTATTCTCGACCCAGTCTCTTGGCTATCTTCGGCATTGAATTCACGGGCCCATGCACCGGCGATGACCCGATTAGTAGATAATATTCACCCGCCCAGACCTCCTTATTATCCCCTATGCAAGAAAATTTCCAGTAGCCTCCATATTCAGATATTCTATGGTTTCCATAGCATCAACCTACAGTTCTTACTAGATAGGGACAGGGACATGTGGGAGAACGTGGACGACAAGACTGGATGGGGTTGGTAACGAGTTCCCCCTCGCTTGCTGGAAGGATGTCGAAGGGACCGTGAGTTGCTTTATCGCCCTGAAAATCCGGTACGTAGGTGGTTACACTTACCCGTTGAGATTCGTCATCCGGCAGCCAGCCCTGCCGAGAAGACCATTTGAAGGGTGGCTACACTTCTCTCTTTGAATACCTCTGGTGGGATCAGTCACGAACGCCTATTTACAACTATTTGTGTTATGTTCCTGGTCCGGTTGTATTCTTGGTACCTTTCTATGCCGATTATGAGCGAAGGCGGTCCGTCGGCCCCGCCATCGGGACTTATTTTTTAAGACCCGTGGCAGCTCCAGTGGACACCTAACAGAGTATAGCTCTAGCCACGGTACCTATCTGCCGGGGCTAACCTGAATCTACTCAACTTTACTCCGGAGTCAGACCTGGAATCTGTCAATTACCACTGTATAGAGACGAGACACGGTAGTCTCTCCCTGAACTCCACTGGGGAAAAAGAAAGAAAAAAAAGTCTAGAAAAAATCTCATACGCCGCTCCTGCTGCGACTCAAGCCGTCTCTACCATCTACCGGTGAAGCTGGGTTGTGTCCGGCAGGGATCCGACCATAAGGACGGGGGAAATAGTTGGAAATGGTTCGTCAAGGGCATTTTCTGCGGTATCTCGTGTGGGTGGGCATAGACAGATAAACGGTGCTCATATGAAGGCCTGGAGCTCTCGGCGAGGACCTGCCCAGACTCCTTCTCTTCTCTCCTCGTATTTCGAGTGACAAAATTCCATCAAGCGGAGAGCATAGAACGGTCTTGAAAACAGGTGAAGCCCGAAGATAAACGTGTAGAAAAACAAAAAAAGGGGAAAAAAAAAGAGGACATCGATCGTAGACTCAGGGGCGGAAGGGGACGTAGAAGAGTCGTTCTCAAGGCAAACAATAGGAGAGGGGACATTGATGATGGGGAAAGCAGTTAAACGGACAAGAAAGAATGCAAAATCATACTACGAGGATGTCGCCTTGTCTTTGTCGTCGGTCGAGGCAGGGGACTCGGATATTTGAGCGGAAGTTCCCTCCTGCTTGCTCTGGGGACCAGGAGTATCCTCGCGAGAGATGCGGGTGGAATCGGTCGGCTGCACCGGGTGGTCTTCGGTCTGATCGAACAACTCCTCCTCATTCTGGTCGGGGATGACCTCGGTGCCATCTCCAAGCAGAATGATTCGGCCTGGGCGCGTGCTGAAAGCCCGCGAGCGCTCCATCTCCAGCTCATAGTCATCCGGGTTGTCCTCAAACTGGTTCCGGATCCCAGGGCCGCGGAACTCGGCTGCACAGATCTTCCGTCAGCACGACGAGGGAGTTTCTTCGGGTTCCTCGTGAGACTTGCCGTACTCGGGCGGAGCACAGGGTCCGTCGCCGTTCGCAACCCGTTCCGCAATCTGGTTGTACCATTCCTCCTTGGTCTTGCCGTTAAGAAGGGCAATGACGGTCATGGTCATGTTGTCACAGCCCACACCACCAGTCTCGCTGTTGGAAGCCAGGCAGTTGTCCATCATGTTCTCGCAAATCTGGTAAAGGTCCTGCTTGGCGGTGATACCCCTGCGGACGAACTCCACCACGGCCTGGGAGGACTGGCAGTCCCAGATACCTAATAGCCATTAGCATAAGCGATCACACCAAGTTAAAAGACATTCCTACCGTCACAAGCAATGACGAGGAACTCGTCATCATCGGTAAGTTCGTGCACCGTCACATCGGGGTAGGCAGTGACAATCTGTTGCTCGGGCGACAGCTCAGGGCTCTTCTTGAATTCAAAGTCACCGATGGCGCGGGACAGAGCGAGGTTACCGTTGACACGGCCGAAGTCGACAAAACCACCCGCAGCGCTAATACGAGCCTTCTCACCTGTAGGGAGTTAGCAATAGCCACAATGCTGTAGTAATCAAAACTGACCCTCGTTCTGGGGCTTGTGATCAAATGACAGCGGCTTTGCGCGGCCCTTGACACCAAGAACCGATCGGGAATCGCCGGCGTTCGCCTATGATATAGTAAGCCATCTGAAACGCCTTCTTGTAGCATTGCCTGTGATCACGTACCACCCAAATCTTGTGCTTGGAGATAATTGCTGTTGAGGCAGTGCATCCAGACACTTCCTCTTCGTATCTTGGGTCTGTGCAGAATCGGTCAGGACGGGATATCCCCTGATCTCAATTCAAACGAACCTTCCAAAATAGCCCGGTCGGTAGCCAGGAAACCGTCCTTGAGAGCTTGCTCAATATCTCCCCGGGCGAAAGACTCCTGCCTAGACACAATCTTGTGCAGGTTCTCGCCTGTGAACAGAGCAACCTTGTCTCCGCCGTGGCCGTCGTATACACCAAAGAAGGCTAGACGCTGGTCAGGATCTGTCGGTTTACCGTTGTCGCTACCCGTGTACTTGGCTTGAAGGTCCAGCACGGCTGCGTGGGCGTCTTCCATGCTGATACGCCAGCCCTGCATGGCCGACACGCCATACCAACAGCAGTCATCTCCGCCTTCGGCCGACACCTAAAACACGACAAAACAACGCACGTCAGTTACTGATGAAGAATGGTTCGGTGGGGTTGGAATCAAGAGTGGGTGTGTCAAATGCTCGGAATAGCCTCCTCTTCGGCCCAAGTCAGTCAGCCCCTCCACGAGTCAGCAGGACCCCCGCATAGGCGATCGGCCTCGCGATACCACTTCAAAAGCATTCAGAAGTGTTGATAGAGATGAGCTAGCAGCTCTTCAAGTCCACCAAAGAGCTAATGTGGGCATATAGGGGTGACCGAGGGCAATGAAAAAGGGCCTCTGGCGTCACCCAGTGTGGGGAGGGGCAAAAGGAACAGGCAAATTGGAAATTTTCGGCGACTCACCTTCTCAACCACGGGCTCCGACAAAGTCTGACCCATTATGGCACGGATTGAAGTATTTCTGAGGGGTAGGGGGATTGGAGGTAAGCACCAGATGAATGAAGAGGAAGAGGTTGAAGTCAGGTGAGGGCGCAGGCCTTTCAGCGCGTCTCTGGGTCCCGCGATAAGTCGCCAGCCGAGTGGGGAACAATGACGATCTAGGGCTCGCCCGTCAAATCTTGGGGAGAGCTGTCGAGAAGAAAAGCGAGGATACGTCCAAGTTCAGAATTGTAGCTGGGATATTTGAGATGCAGAGATTTCCCCGTAAATTACCTGCCGGTCGTGTGCTCTATAGAGTCACCTGACTCACCGGGTTCATCGGTTGAGTTGAGAGGTGAATTACTTACTATGACTAGGACTATGTATCCCAATAGTTCCGGTATTGAGGTAGAGCTTCCTATCCTATACTAGTCTAGCTGCTCTTTGACTAAACCTTCAGGTCGAGGGTGTGAAGTCTCTGCTTGTGCAGCCTCGGGTCACGCAATAGGGAACCCCCGGGCTCATCATTCTTTGGCCCGTACTCGCGGGTAAACATCTCCTTGGCAGCGGTCGGTGAAGACCACGCGCATCGAGTTATATATGCCGGTACTCCTTACACACGCACTGGTTTCTAGAATCGTGACAGGTCAACCGAGCTGCTGCAACTGCAGCACTGCACGTGCCACTCGCTGCCCTGGGAGGGGAAACCACTAATGCTTGTAATGCTAATGCCTCTGAAATTTAAGACTAACTAGTGCATTATGATAAAATGATACTTAAACAAGTGGATATCAAGTTCGCCATGCCCAAAAACTCCACAAACCCGACCGGAAAAACACTTTGAATCAAACAAACGCTAGCTCGCCGCTGCTAGCCACAGGGAGTCCCCGCGAACTAGCGCTCTTTAGAAGAGGTGGCGGTTCAAGAGGCTCGTTTATTGTTTGCCACTCTTGAGCGGAGTAGTCGGTGGCTTTTTGAGGGGAAGCTTTTCGGGATAGGTGTACGTCAAGATCTGACACCATGGACGAACTTTGTGGTACAGTCGAGCTCTCTTTGGCTCGGAGGGGAGGCATTGGGTGGGAACCGGACTCTAGGCGCTGAGAACTGCTTAAGCTGGTTTCACTCCAGAATCGTGGAAGTGGGGAGATCACTCCACGGTAGTCTTGTGCCAGACTCAGCTGGCTTTGACTCTGGCCATGGCCTTCAGCAAGAGGGAATAGATGAGACGGTGCTTGGAGAGTCTGATATTGGGAAAATCTGGCGTTTTCATCGCCATACTCCGAAACAGACAGTGCTGTAGAGTAGGGCCGTCCTTGAATTGACTGTCTAAATTCGTCACTGAAGGTCGAGACCGAGACAGTGTCGGCACGACTGCGAATACTGCGAGCCCGCTCGAGTGCGCGCATACCAGAAGACGTACGACGACTGATCTGGGCAGAGAAGAGAGGGTTGGAGGAGTTGCGGTGCTTGGCTCGGCTATGGACAAAGGCCTCGAGTGAGTCTGTCTCAGAGATGGTAGACTCGTCGGGCTCGACGGCCCTCATAGTCACTCGCTTGTAGTGTTCTGGGATGCTAGGTGTCATGCTGTGTCTCATAGGAGCAAGAGGTGGTCGAGGGAACAAAGGAGTCATGTTCGTAAGGCTGCTTTCGTCACTCATCAGAGAACCCTTGGTGGTCTGCCATGACATGTGAACCATTCCGTGTCCCGGAGGTCCAAACCCACCAGCACCATGTCCGGCACCGCTGAGTCGAACCGGCAGTCCAGAAGCAACAGAGATTCCACTTGACCGCTTGGAATATCTTTTAGACCTCGAAGATTGCATAGATTCGCGTTTCGCGACTCGAGGCTGGATATTCTTCAAAGGCTCACGACGAGAACCTCTACCAGAGCGACGGCGAACGGGAGGGCTGCGAGCATACGATAACCTGTTGCTTTGTATCTTGTTGGGAGAGAAATCAATCGGCTTATCCTCTTCAATAATCGGGTCTCGCAGAGGAACAAAGGTACTGCGCTTCGGAGAACGAGGTGGCGGGTTGGGCTTGGGATTGGCGCTCATGTTTACGGTATCGTCTCGCTTGTCAAACGATGAGACGTTCCAAGATGGGCCAAGTTCAAGTTTGGGGAGGTCCGATGCGGGAGAGATAGGGCTTATCCAGTCATCTGAATGATCATCTTGAGAGGGCCTTTCAGTGACACCAGGTGGGCCATCCATTGGCATGTCCGGTCTGGCTGGTCGGGGAGGAGGCGATGGTTTCGCCTTGAAATCTCCTTCCTCCACTGTAGCAGTCTTTCTTCTCCGGCGCCAGCAACAGAAGAGAATGATAGCACTCAAAATGACTACAACTGGGATGACAACGGAGATCGCGATGATACCAGCTTTCTTGTGCGAAGGGTTAGACGGATCAGAGAATGGGTCATGGTTTCCATTGTGGGTTTCCGCTGGCTCGAGAACATCGATTTCAAAGTCCTGCGATTCGATGGTGGATCCCTGAGATGCTTTCAGCGGGATAGTGAACTTTTGGGGCTTCATGTCCCCAGGAACGTGTCCGTAGAGCGTCTTGTTCTCGGAATAGTAGACAAGCCATGACGATAAGTCGCTGCCTAACTCTACGTCGAGTTGAACGGAGTTGTCGGTGAGAACTGACTGGTTGAACACAAACATGAAGTCTTCTCCGATGGTCGCTTCACAACCGTCCACAGTCTCGAGGAACAACTCCATGAATTCTAAGCGTACCATGATTTTTGCTTGATCCTCGAAGGTATCTGTAGCAAGAATAGTGATGTTTTGATTGACTGCATTCTTCGGCGGCGTGCCACTCAGGGAGATCCTATCCTCATCCATGGTCAACCAACCTGGAAGATTGGCATCGATACTCTTCACATCCACTCCCGAAACTGGAGAGTTATCCATGGATAACAGACTCCGGAAGTCGGGGCTGCTGAAGTTTTCACCTCTCGTGAGATTGAATGTCTGGACAGTCTCATTGAATGCCAGGATGTGCGGGCCGATAGAAAGCTGGAAAGTCTCGTTGACAGCGCTGTACCCGGCCACGTCCGAGGCAATGAGCTGGAAAGTAAATGTCTGAGGGCCGGCTCCGGGAAATGACGGACTGATGCCGGCAAAGGTCAAGGTAGATGGGTCGAAGCCGATCCATGATGGCAATGGCGTATTGTTAGGCGAGGTTCCGTAATAGATCGTCGCAGGGTGGGTGTTCTGGAAGGTTTCTGGGTCGAAGGTGATTGAAAATGGGTGACCAGGGTGAATGAACAGCGTTGCCGGGTATGAAACTGGCCCCAGTCTTTCCAGCTGTGCTATAAGAGACTTTCCCTTAGTAGGTCCGCTGTCCGAGGTCACGATGAGGGTGACATCCATGCTGTCCGAGTCGGATCCATTCGACGCCACAAGCTTGAAAGCCTTGGAGCCATCGTCATCAGAGTGCGGTGTACCAGAAAGCGTGCGACTGCTACTTTCGACTTCCAGCCATTCTGGCGCACCAGTCAGTGAGTACTTCGTTTTCGAATCGGCGTTGGCGAATGTGTCGTCGGCGAAGATAAAACTGAAGGGCTGCGATACTCGCGCGACCGGAGGCAACTGCGCGTTGATGGGGTAATTGGCGGACAGACCTGCTGCGTCCACAACAGACAGGAAAGCCAAAAGGATGAGTAAGAAAGAGGCCATGTCCGGTGGATAGATCCGGAGCACGTCCGGAGGCTTGCGTATAATTCGAGACACGCAACTATCACACAATGGACGAAGCACAATAATCACCCAACTGCACACCTAACGAAGCCTGGACCAACGGATGGGGAACACGATAGAGAATAGAAGGAGAAAGAAAGTGCAAGTCGAGGAGACGACGTCGTGATCTCCAGAAAGGACGCCTCTCCCTGGCACTCGTGCCAAAGGGACAAGGAGCCATTCAAGGCGTGCCCTTTGATCAAAGCCATGCCTGGATATGCTCAACGTCACCGAAGTATGTAGCAAAGTGACAGCCGGGAATGAGCAGCGCGTCGGAGTAGGGCTCACGTTTCGCGGCAGGCGTCCTGCAAGGGATGCTCCTTCGGCAGCCAAGGCGCGCAGACATGCCCAACCACGGCTGTGATTTCTCGCCCCTCCTGGTCTTTCTACCAGGAGTCCCCAAGAAGGCAAGGGCCAATTTTCATAAACGGATGAAGAAAGGGCCCGGTAGGATCGGATAACTGCCGGTGGTTTCACCCATCACGTTCCAAGTCCAGTACCATTCTAATGCCCGTCCGCCCAGGGGCATAGTAGTCAGGGATCACCTCACGCTCCTCAAATCCACTCCGGACATATAATGCTCGAGCGGGCTCCCTGGCTCCATCTACCCACAGCTGAATGTATTGGCAACCCTCCTTTCGAAGGCGTTCCTGAATGTAGGACATGAGTTGTTGACCAACGCCCTGTCGGCGATAGGCTTCGATCACACAGACCTTGTGCAAAAGAGCCGCTCCCTTCTGGCGCACGTAGACCGCGTAGGCGATCAGGTCCGACTGTCTCCCTTCAATTGCATGAGTCGCGTATAGAACCCGCGTGTTGGGCTTTTTTCTCCACAATTCTTCGCCGAAGCCGAAGGCCTCATTGGTAGGGAATGTCTTTTTCTCGACGCGTGAAATTCGGCCAAGAATCTCGAGTGCCTCGTTCCTCTTCAAGGAATGAATGTCCGAGATGGTCAATGTGGGGGGCATTCTTTTCCGCGGGAGACTCCAGTGGTCATTCCAGAGCGTTACAGGTCTGATGATGGCGGGGCTTTATGCGCCTTTGCTGGAAATTTGACTGCAAATGTAAGAATTGAAGATAGTCGAGTGTGGATCGTGAGGTTTTGCTGGACAAGTTCTGCCTCAGGCATCACACCGCAGTACATCTAGTGTCTTCAACCAGTGACCTTTGTCTGTTCATGTTTGCATTATTTACTGGATACAGTTGAGCGTGATTTTATCAGCTCCTGACATTCTGAGCCTGAGAAGGACCAAGCCGTTCAAGTGCCTAGGTAAACATGCTACTAGTCTCTTTGGCGCCGCGACCTATGTCATGAAAGGCTTCCTAGAGCCACCGCATTAATGTCTCATCTTTCATCTCACAACACTGGATTACTGTTCTGAAATCACTTCATATATCTGACACCTGTAGGTCAGCAAGCTACTTCCAGGGTTCGTGTCCGCTATTCTATTGTGCTCAGATCAACATGGCGACTAATGCTAAGAGCTTCGGAAGGCTCTAGCCCTGTAGAAACTACGGATGGATCACTTATCGAAACGAAAGAAAATCAATCGGGTACCTCAAATACAACTATCATCAATTTAAGTACGGTAAGGGATAGTCTTGTTTCAGCAATGTATTCGGCGAAAAATTTAGCACAAGACACGCCTTCGAGTTTATGTGCAGCAAGAAGAGCGCTTGAAAAAGAAGCCACAAGCGCTTCAAAGTATCGTGGAAACTACTGATGACGGGAGAGAGCTCCGCGAGAATGATGGAAAGCTCAAGAATCTATAAAAGGATCTACCCCATCGGGCAAGACCTCTATGTGTTCGAATGGAACCTCTTTGAGAGCTCGCGGTTTCCACCGGTGACAATTTTAGTTATATGTCAAAATCTCGTGCCTAAATTGATAGAGAAGAACATAATGCAAAAACAGCTCTAGGTTATCAATGTCATGATGAACTCATCCAGGCACCCGAACCCACCCAAGGCGGGATGAGGCTGACTCGGCGACCCCACAACAAACACAACCTCACTCCTGCCACCCATTCACCTCTCCACCAGTTGACCAGACACAATGCCTCCCCAAACAGACGACAAGCGCCAGGCTGCCCGCGAAATCATCGATATCCTCCACGAGATCTCCATCCTGCTTGTAGATATCCCTGTCCCCCTCTAGGTCCAGCAATGGAATGGGTCGGCGCAAGGCGACTAACAAGCATCTAGAATACCCACCTGGACCGGACAGAGCTATCCCTATGTGTCTCTATGATTGAGAATGGGGTTAATCCCGATGCTCTTGCGGTATGTGTGTTATCTTCTCGACTAGATTTGGGTACTGACTATTTTTGCAGACTGTGATTAAAGATTTGCGGAAAGAGGGCGCTACCCAGAAGCGGGTTTCGAATGCTCCGGCTGCAGAGTAAAATCTATCCAAGTCATGTCTGATGTGTTTCATTCAGTGCTGTTCTGGTTTGTGGCGTTTGAGGCCCATGTGGCCGGTCGGAATGATACCCCTGGCTTGTATATGGCCTACGTCTACTAGATAGGAATTCAGGAGTTTTCATTTCTGAGGTTTGTTTGATCAGGAAGCCACGCTGGCTACCTCTACTCGGTATCATAACTGAAAAGGAAATTGGGGTACTTGGGTAGCACAGTTGGGATATTCTTGTGTTGGTGAAGCGAAATTGCAGGGGTGGAAGGGGATTTGTAGGTTTGACGTGGTAATGATTCAGGTCCTGTTTGAAACTGATCTTCAGCAAATTATTTTGAAGACTCCTCAGTCTTGCTGTCCTTGGAAGAGCCAATCTCGACGGACATGGCTTCCTCGGTGGCCTTCTTGAGCTGTTCGCTCTCAGGCACGGCGGTCTGCTCCTTAGGCTTGGTCTCCTTCTCGTCATCGCTGTCTCCAAGGCTGAACGGGTCGTTCTCAGCAACGGGGGATGGCTCAACAGTGGCCAGTGGCTGCCACTTGCTAGACTTTCCCGCTGAGGAGCGGTTGCCGGTGTCAATCTCAGAGGGCGGGCCATCCTGGAAGGACACCTTTCGCCTATCAGGCGAGGGCGAGGATGTCTTCTGCAGGCTCTGGTTGCCGGGGCGAGGAGGGCGTGGCGGGGGAGCTAGCATCATGTTAATGGTGCCCACGAACATCAGACCAAAAAATTACCTTCAGAGTCCCTCAGCTCAAGAGCAGAGAAGTCATCACCCAGTACCTGCGGATCCGCATCATAGCGCTCACGATCTCCACTGCGACGGCCCATGTCACCACTGCGTCGTGGGCGTCCATAAGGCGAGGGCTGCTCATCGTTTTGCTGAGGCTCTTCTTCCAAATCATCTCCATCAATTCTCTTCTTGAAATTTGTGACCCACGAGTTGACCTTCGACTGTGTCTCCAAGAATCCCTTTCGAAGATTCTCACGAATAACGGGTAGATCATCTGCAAGTTACCCCACAATCAGTAATCGGCTTACTAGGCAAGACCTTGGAAGTATTACCGTCAAAGAAGCTGTAGTCTTTCTCTTCCGAATCCTCGCTTCCTCTAGGCTGGCGGTACCGCGGATCGTTCTCCCACCCAGGAGCAGGTGCCCGGCGTCCTGAAGAATTGTAGTGCTCTGCGAGTTGGCGCGCATATGTTTCGTCGGCCTCCATTTGTTTCTGGGTGGTAGAAGTAGGCTGTTGGGACGGACGGGGAGGTTTCGGAGGAGGAACCATATCTTCTTGCGCTGTCGGGTCGGTCATGCCTGTAGTAAAGGTTTAGCTGTTGTCGCGTGTCCTCCATGAAATTCTACGAACCGAGGAGCGCATTAAATGCCCGTTCAACGTTCCAATTGCTCGCAGTAAGGATAGCCTTGATCACACCGGGATCAACACTTGGGAAAGCCTCTCTAAGGGTAATTTCCGACTGTTCTCTCGGGCCCAAAGGCCGGGGTGGCTTCGGCGGGGCAACTGGGGCGGCCTCGGTGGCAGTCTGCGGAGCGCTTTGCTGGGCAGTGGCAGCAGCGATGGACTGAGCATTTTGATCCTGAGGCTCATCGTCAAAGTCTAAGGGTCGCGCAGTGGTTGGTGACTCGGCGCGGGGGCTGTTAGGTGCCACGGCGGAGGGTTTGGTGGGAGTGGACTGCATTTAGGGTGAGACTCAGCTTCAAGGGTGCATAAGAGATCTATACATACAGTCTTTTCCTCCTCCGACATCTTGAGTGGTATTCACAGTGATAACGCAGGGAAAGCGATGGAAGATAAGTGTCAGCACAAAAAGAGAAAATAGTGAAATAGGCAGAAACACCATAGGGAAGCTCCAAACAAGTGACGTGGGGTGCACGTGATTGCGGGTAGCTTTTATAGAGACCGCTGTTCGCCGCATCCTCCAACACCGCGATGAAATGAAGCATTTTTTATTGTGGCTTCGAAGGAGTGTCTGAGCTTCAGCATGCTACTCACAGATCAGTGCAAAGTGCCGCCTTTATAATTCGAGAGTTTGACATTGCAAACAACTGGATTATATCATTCTTCGACAAAATGGCTTCAGAGCTGGATATCTCCACGACCTTTATTCCGGCATTATACAAGCCTGCAGCTTTGTTGCCCATTGCACGACACAAGAAGAGTCTATCGTATCTGGTCGAGACCTACCCGGTCACCATAGTGGTGGGACAGACAGGAAGCGGAAAGACGACTCAACTTCCCCAATATCTTGAACAGGCTGGCTGGTGTGAAGATGGAAAGCTTATTGCAGTCACACAGGTATGCTCTATGATTCAACATGGTATAAGAAATACATCTGACTGTCAAAAACAGCCTCGGCGGGTAGCAGCCACTACGGTTGCGACTCGAGTTGCAGAGGAGATGCGCTGCAAAGTCGGTGAACAAGTGGGATATTCCATCCGCTTTGAAGATCTGACATCGGCTGCCACTAGAATCAAGTTCTTGACAGATGGAATGCTACTGCGAGAAGCACTGGTTGATCCACTTCTCTCACGGTATTCTGTGATCATGGTAGACGAAGCACACGAAAGATCTCTGAGCACCGATGTCTTGCTTGGTATCCTCAAGAAAATCAGAAAGAAGCGACCGGAGCTACGAATCATCATCAGTAGTGCGACATTACAAGCAGAGGACTTCCTGCGGTTCTTCGCTGGCGATGAGTACCAACCCGAAGCCGAGCCAGGTGATCTCGGAGGGAGCGTTGGGAGAATCATTAGCCTGGAGGGCAGGATGTATCCGGTTGACATGCTTTTTCTCGATTCCCCCGCGGAAGACTATGTGGAACGTGCCGTCAAAACAGCCTTCGAAATCCACACGCAAGAAGCAGAGGGAGATATTCTTTTATTCCTCACTGGAAGGGAGGAGATCGATCGAGCAATACAGATGCTCTCTGAACGAGCCGCGACCCTCCATCCAAAGGCTCCTGCACTTCTTACACTGCCTCTCTACGCCGGTCTTACCACAGACCAACAGATGTACGTCTTCGAACCAGCACCAGAGAATACGCGCAAGGTCATCGTGTCAACCAATATCGCGGAAGCATCAGTCACAATTGACGGAATCGTTTACGTGATCGATTGTGGGTTCGCCAAACTCAGAGCTTATGACCCCAGCACGGGTATCGAAACTTTGACAGCTGTGCCAATATCGAAAGCATCGGCTACTCAACGTGCTGGACGAGCAGGTCGAACAAAGCCTGGAAAATGTTTCCGGTTGTATACTCAGCAAACCTACGATCAACTGCCTGAGGCAACTATTCCAGAAATTCAGCGGTCGAATCTCGCTCCCGTCATTATGCAGCTCAAGGCACTAGGCATTGACAACATTGTCCGCTTTGACTTCTTGACATCTCCCCCGGCTGAGCTCGTCATTCGTGCCTTTGAACTGCTTTATTCACTCGGTGCCGTTGACGACTATGCGAAGCTCACAAAGCCTTTGGGAACACGAATGGCAGAGCTTGCAGTTGACCCCATGATGGGCAAAGTGCTTCTGGCTGCACCAGCTTTCAATTGCTTGAGTGAGATTTTGTCCATTGCAGCCATGGTCAGTCTCCAGGGGACCGTATGGGTGCAACATGATGGCAATAAAAAGGATGCAGAGAGTCATAGACGAAAATTCGCAGTGGAAGAAGGGGATCACCTCACCTATCTGAACGTGTATCAAGCGTTTGTGACTAAGGGCAAGAAAGACTCCAAGTGGTGTCGCGACAACCTCTTGAACTACCGTGCTCTACTACGAGCAGTGAGCGTCCGTGGCCAACTCAAGCGGTACCTCGAACGATTCGGAATCCAAACAGAGGAGACACTTTCATCACATCCTGGTACAGTAGATCTCAGCCGAAAGCCTGAACAGATCCAACGATGCCTTACAACGGGCTATTTCGCCCACGCAGCCAAGATGCAACCTGATGGTACTTTCAAGACTGTCAGTGGCGGTCTAACGCTTCACGCTCATCCCAGTTCCTTGATGTTTGTAAGTATTCCTGTTCCTTGAGACGGGGTTGTGCATGACTGACTATTTGCTCCAGAATCGAAAAGCCGACTGGGTGATTTTCCATGAAATCATGCAGACAGGCACCAAGACGTACATTCGTGACGTCACTAAGATTGAGAAAAGCTATCTGTTGGAGTATGCTCCCGAATATTACAGAGTTACCTAGTCTGTGCTACTGTCGAGAATTATTTCCAAGATACCCAGGTGTTAGACTCATAGATGATGAAAATGTGGAAGTCATCTAATTGAATTTGCACAAAAGCGTTTAGAATCGAAGAGCAGAGTGTGATCATTAGTTATCCGTTATAGCCTGACCAAGAAGGTAATTCAAATAGGCCGAAACAAATGATTCTTCAATTCATTCTCAAGCTCTTTCTGGGCACCTCCGTAGACTCCTCCATTAAGACCTCTTTTAAACTTGTCTATTTCATTAGCGTCAAATACGTCTGGGTAGATAATTCACAGCTGCTTATTTAGAACCATTGGTATTATATTCAAGATCCGGCTGTGGTTCACTCAACTGTTAAGGTTCTCCACCCCTGGTGATCGACGTCACGGGATGTGGAGAATATCCGCTCTCAACTGAAGATTTATTTTGGTCCTCATGTCTCCTTTCGGAATCTTTTACAGCTTCGACTGCATCTAGCAGTTTTATTCACCATGTCGGACCACCATCACCATCACGGCGGCGGCGGCCACTGCCAGGGCGAGCATGACCACTCGAACGATATCACCCCCGCGCTCCAGTCCCTGCTTTATTCGCAGATCGACTTTGACTCAATCACTACTCTTAATGGTAAAGATCATTTTGAGCCCCGCTGCTCAGTTTCGGCGATATACTGACCGTTCAAATAGAGGCGACCGAAAAGGGCGGCGCTGCTATTGTCCAGAAAACCTGGGCTGAGAGACTGAATGACAAGCCCGAGTTAGAGAGTGATGCCGATGAGCAGCTGCTGATGTATATCCCGTGAGTAACTGAACCTAACCCTTGTCTATTTCGATTTGAGACGTGTCGTTTCACTTCTTGACGCGCGTCATAAACTCCGAACCCTGCCATGTGCCCCTCGTTTCCAAAGCAAAAAGCTAATCCAGAACGCCAGCTTCACTGGCCAGGTCAAACTTCATTCCCTGCTCCTTTACACTGCGCCTACCGCCGCTGCCCCCAAGACCGTAAAACTGTTCAAGAACCGCGATGACCTCGACTTCTCAACTGCTTCGGAGCTCTCCCCTACTCAGACCATCGAAGTCCCCCAGCCCGTGGCCGGTGCCGATGTGTTCGAGCTCCCGCTAAACCGCGCCCATTGGAACACCACCACATCAGTCACGCTCTTCTTCGAGGACAATTGGACAGATGGCGAGGATGATGTCACCAAGGTTGGATATATCGGTTTCAAGGGCCAGTTCATGGCATTGAACCGTGAACCTGTCAGCTTCTTGTACGAAGCTGCTGCGAACCCTAATGACCACGTCTCTATCCCTGGTCTCAATGACTTTGGAAGCCGTGTCATGCCCGGTCAGTAATCACGATAGGAAGAAATGATCTAGGAGATTATGATGGGATGGAATGGAATGGGATCCAATGTATTATGAGTCTACACGCCAACAATAATGAATGATGAACAATTCAAAACAAAAGCCTCCAACGCCGTTCAAATGCTGATCAAGGTAAATCAAAGACATGACTTTTATCATGCAGGCAGGGCTGTCCGCGTTTCTTCGACAACCTCCTCACGCTCAGGTACGGATGTAACAGGCTGCTGTACAGGAGCGTCGGGTAGAACTGGTTGTTGAGGAACCTTGGGAGCAACCTCAAGCCGTAACGCCTCCAGCTCGTCCTCGACTTCGTCCTCATCCTGGTTCGACAGATTGCCCTCGAGCATGCGGCTCACCTCCTATCAAGCCATTAGTATCCTAGTCTTGCTAAGACATATTCCGAACTTACTTCTTGATAAGCGCGCGCCTCCTCATTCTCCCCCATCAGTCTCTCCACGCCCTCGATGCCGCCCATCTCCCTATTGATCGTCTGCAACACCTGGGTTCCCTGTTGCAAGCCATACATGACATCTTTCTGCACCAGCGCAAACTCAACTTGGCTAGTAAGCTGCTCCAGCTGCAGAAGTTGGCTATTGGTCTTATCTAGCAGCGTTTCCTGGTACTTCTTGCGCCGGAGCGCGAGCAGCGCACGCCGCCGATCATTGCGGGCGAGACATTGTCGCGCGATCTCGGTTTCGCGATCGGTGAGGACGGTAATGCGGACTTGGTATTGTTTAATCTTATCACGTTGGTTCTTGAGATCTAGAATCGCCCTATGGCCGAAATGTAGATGGTTAGCCTGGCGATGGGTCTGGGGTAGGTCGTAGAGGGTTCTCGTGAGGGGAACACTTCGCAACTGTGTCCTGTCGGAAGCTTCTGTGTGTGATTTTCCCAGGAGATTAATCTCTGGCAAGAGATGAACTCACCGATCCTGCGATGAGATCTTCTGCGAACTGCCGGTGTTTCCCATCTCGCATGTTGAAAGTCAACAAGATCAAGTCGGGAGAGAATGACGTGGGGCGGTATCGCGGGTCTCCGAAATACACGTATTTTTCAATGCGGTGCTTCTTCCGCTTCCCCAATTTTTTTCCTGATTGTGTTATCGTTCAGAAAAAAAGTCCACCATGGCGCCCAGGAACCGCGGGGGCAGACCGACCCTCAGTCAGAGCTTGGACCGTGATGTATGTGCTGTGGTTTGGCTTCGAGGATTTCTGTATTAACTCCCGGTGCAGGTCTACCAGGTTGTGCGCAAGATTATCGACGACAACCCCGACACCCGTCTGTCAGTTCAGATGCTGTATGACCAGATCAAGAAGTCGAATTCGAGCTTGAAGCGCCAGCAGAAGAGATCTTTGGAGGATAGCCTGGAGAGAGTTCTGGCTGTGTTGCAGGCTGATGAGGCCGATGAGGAGGATGATACAGTTGAGGGTGACTTTGAGGGCCTGGACGACCCGGCGGCTACGGTATGCAGAACCCACCAAATTTTGCTCGGCACATAAATATACTAATCGTGCTCAATTATTAGGAACCCAATGGCCTGAACCAAAGCATTGTCGGTCAGTGGGCGACTACGAAAGCAACCCCGTCCAAAAAGACCGAAGATGGAGCCTCCAGCAAACCCTCGAAGAGAAGGAGAGAAGGCGGAGAGTCTGTATCTAAGCGACGAAAGGGCGAGGCGGTAGACCGGTCACCACCTACACACGTCAGCCTCGCAGATTTGGGAGGTCTGGACGACGTGGTCCAGGAATTGGGCGATCTGGTCATCCTGCCCATGACTCGGCCGCAGGTCTACTTGTCGTCTAATGTTCAGCCGCCGCGTGGTGTCTTATTGCATGGCCCTCCGGGTTGTGGTAAGACCATGATCGCCAATGCATTCGCAGCAGAGTTGGGTGTACCTTTCATTTCCATCTCGGCACCGTCTGTCGTCTCCGGTATGTCCGGTGAATCCGAGAAGGCCCTGCGTGAGTATTTCGACGAAGCCAAGAAGATTGCTCCCTGCTTGATCTTCATTGATGAGATTGACGCCATTACTCCTAAGCGTGAGAGCGCCCAGAGAGAAATGGAAAAGCGAATTGTCGCTCAGCTTTTGACATGCATGGATGATATCTCTCTCGAGAAGACCGATGGCAAACCCGTGATTGTACTTGCGGCTACAAATCGCCCGGATAGTCTGGACGCAGCTTTGCGTCGTGGTGGTCGCTTCGACAAGGAAATCAACATGACCGTTCCCTCGGAGCCTGCCAGAGAACGAATTCTGCGCACACTCACGCGCAAGCTACGCCTGGCAGATGGTCTTGACTTCAAGACTCTGGCTAATCGAACCGCCGGTTTTGTTGGAGCCGATCTTAACGACCTCGTTTCAACGGCCGGTGCGGCTGCCATTAAGCGGTACTTGGCGATCTTGAAAGCGAACAGCGGGGAGGAGATGGAAATCGAAGAACTGGATGACCTTAGCCCTAAGGTCCGAGAGCTCCGTCGTCTGATCGAGCACGCTAAGGAGAATCCCATCGGCGAGGAGATCGAGACCGTTCTCGTCTCCAATGCAGACTTCTTCACTGCACTTCCCAAGATTCAACCCTCCTCCAAGCGTGAAGGCTTTGCCACAGTCCCCGATACCACCTGGGCGGATATCGGTGCTCTCAGCGGTATCCGCGATGAATTGGCCACCGCCATCACCGAGCCCATCAGGAACCCTGAAATCTACGCTCAGGTCGGTATCACCGCACCCACGGGTGTCCTCCTATGGGGTCCGCCAGGTTGCGGTAAGACACTGCTGGCCAAGGCCGTGGCCAACGAGTCCCGCGCCAACTTCATCAGCGTCAAGGGTCCAGAGCTGCTGAACAAGTTCGTCGGTGAATCCGAACGTGCTGTGCGCCAGGTCTTCGTCCGAGCCCGATCCTCTGTTCCCTGCGTTATCTTCTTCGATGAGCTCGATGCCCTCGTGCCCCGTCGTGACGATAGTCTCTCTGAGGCTTCTGCTCGCGTCGTCAACACCCTTCTCACCGAGCTCGATGGTTTGGGCAGCAGTCGCCAGGGTATCTATGTTATCGCAGCTACTAACCGGCCTGATATCATTGACCCTGCCATGCTTCGTCCTGGTCGTCTCGAAACTCTGCTCTTCGTTAACCTTCCTTCGCCGCTTGAGCGTGTGGATATCCTGAGGACTCTGGTTCGCAAGCTGCGCATTGACTTTAATGATGATCTCATGAGACTCGCTGAGGAGTGTGAGGGATACAGTGGTGCTGATTTGGGCAGTCTCCTACGCCGTGCTGGTTACATGGCTATCAAGCGTCGCGACAATATCAAATACGAGGACTTTGTTGCTGCTAAGTCTTTCATTCGTCCCAGTGTCACTGATATGAAGAAGTATGAGAAGCTGCGGCGCGACTGGGGTTCAGGTGTCTAATACATTGTTGAGATCACATCTACTCATGTCTGAACATTTATTTTTATCCTTTGGGATACCTCTTCTATGCACATATTCACCTTGGAAAATCACAATAGAGCTTACGATAGGGATCAAGTGTCTTGTCCAGCCAGATCGGAGATGTAACACAATAGGTTCTAGATAGACAACCTTGGCTTATCCTCAGATGTTTTCGAAGTCATTCCAGGGGACACCTTGGAAAGAAACAGTAAGAGGTCTCAAAAGGGCTTTGGAGAGATGCTCAGAAGACGTCACGAAAGAACTGAAACATCAAGTATGTATGTAGGCTTGTTTAGATTTTCTTCTCGATCAGGCTGTAATTAGCATCGAATGTTGAATACAGTTCAAAAATAATTGATATATGAACCTTATATTGGAACAACTTTTAAGATGGCTATACAAAGCGAAAAACTATGCACATACATATAACGAGAAACAAGACGCCAGAATAAGAGTATCATGCACAAAAACCAAGCACCATAATTACATCCACAAGCGACATGTTCCGTCGGCGCCGGCACTGACACACCACGCTTCACGAGGATGCCAGTCGATATCCAAGACTCCGAGCTCGGCCGTGATCTTGTGACCCTTGAGGACCTTGAGGGGAACAATGCTAGCATTGCTGAGCATGTCGCCCGTAACGCTGCCGTGGAAGATCTGCAGGGATCCATCGTCACTGGCATCCGCGAACAGCGGGTACCGACCACCGGGGTGGAACTTGACGGCACGAATAGCCTTGCGGTGGTAGCGGAGGGTCTTGTAGGGGCGGGCTGACAGGTCAAGATCGTGCCAGAGAAGGCGGCGATCGTAGGATCCCACGATGATGTTGTCACCACCGGATGCACTGGACGAGGTGGGGTGAATGTCGAAAGAGGAGATCCAGCGGGCACCAGGTTGGAGGATCTTGACCAGGAGCTGGCGGGAGAGATCGTATCCACGGATGGAGCGCTGGTTGGCGACGAACAGGATCGGCTTCGAGGGGTGGAAGTGGGCTGTCTGGGGGGGGCCACCACCCTTGAGACGGCGTCGGAAGGGGAATTGCGTGATGTGCTTGGAGACAGTGTGGATGGCGATCGCAACGGAGGCAGGTGTAGAGGCGCCTGAGCAGACGGTGACAAAGTAGTCACCACGGCGGTGCCAGGAGATCGACTTGGCGATGTACCGAAGAGGGATGACTGCGCACACACCGGCGTCGCCTAGCTCGGATGAAGGACGGGTCCATGAAGGAGGTGTGCTCTTCTTGTTGGCCTCGGCGGCACTGGGAGGAGGCTGCGATGCGGCGTAACCCCAGCCAGCGTCGATAATATCCAGACTGGTCTTCTCAATTTCGGGATCGGCAATCGGAGGTACGCAAAGGAAGACGTCGTCACCCGCGGCGGCAGCAAGGATAACGGAATCCTTGCCTGGTCGCCAGCGGACAACGTTGACTGCATCTTCATCGCTGAGCTTGGCACTCCACAATTGACGGCCGGTGAGAAGTTCCCAGACACGAATAGTACCATCGTCACCACCAGTGGCAAGCCAGATACCAGTAGGGTCCACATTGAGCGAACGGACACGGCCCTTGTGTCCGCGGGAACACGGCTGCGCAGGCAGTAGGGAACGGCTTGAGCTCCTCGGGGCTGGGCAGCTTGGGCAAAAGGCTCTCGGGATCGATGTTGAGCTTGCTTCTCCGGACACGGGGAGCAAGGTACAGATCCAGGCAACGCTCAAACTTCTCCTGGACGAAGTTATCGTATCCAGGAACCCTGCGGAGGGAGCCGAAGTCGTTGGGCAGGTAGTCCTGCTCGCGGTCCTCAGGGTCTATGGTCTCCCACTCCTTGCGCTCCTTGTTGCTAGGGAGATACTCCTGAGGAGGGTGGTAACTCTCCTCATAACCGGGAGGCGGAAGCTTAGGCGCAGGAATGTGCATGATGTGATCAGGGCGCGGAACCTCGTCAGCCCACAGGTCGTAGTTGACGAGATCATCGTCCTTCTCTTCGCGCTCCTCCGGAGGCCGGTAAGGCTGGATACGGCCGTCACGGATGGCCTTGACGAGCTTCATCACACGCTTTTGCTCATGCTTGGAAGGCACGAAACGGCGCTTGGGCTCAGGACGAGCGCTGAGGGGCATGATCTCCTTCTGGCTAGAGAACCATTCGATGGTGGGCTCATAAGGATCGTACCCATCAACAGTGGTCTCATTCATCTGCACCTTCTTCAGCAGCTCCAATTCTTCCTGGCTGAGCTCTAGAGGCTTTCCGGTAGAGGGATCCGTAAGACCGGTCCAGCCCTTGGGGATCTCGATACTGTCAAGCAATGCATCCAGAGCCTCACCTCTGGCAGGGCGCATAATCTTCTTGCCATTGATGTCGTAGCCGATGTGAGGGTACTGATCGTAGAAGGTCAGAGGGATATCGCCAATAGTGTTGCCATTCTCTTCGACATCCGAATAGTCGGAGTTGTCATCCGGGTTAATTTCGTCGTAAAGATAGCGTTCGTTTCCATTGGCGTCCTTGACAACTCGAACGTTGGAATCGTGGTCGACACTGGTGGCCTTGGTAGACATGGTCTCAGTATCAGAGGGGATGCCATCACTGTCGAGCTCGGGCTCTTCATCCTCCTCTTCCTCGGAGCTGTAGTCGTCAATCAACTCAATTTCCGACTCGCTGTCGTCGTCTTCGCTCTCCGACAGGTCGTTGGCGGAGTCCGAAAGAGTTCCATCGAGGTTCTCTGCGCTCAGTTCATCGCCAGAAAAGACACCCGCTTCTTCCTCCACATCGCGGGTGACAGCCTTGCGCTTTTTCGAGGCCTTGGTGTCCAGTTTCGCCATTGCGTAGATGTCGAATCTGCTGCGACTCTGTTGATCCCGAGATTTTTTTTTCTTCGTCCAATTGGGTTCACCACTCACCGCCCACATGACTGACCGCCCCTCTTATCGCCTATCGATGACTTAAGCGCTGATAATCATCTTTCTTTTGTACTTTTCGATGTTGGAAATATCCAAACAACCATGACTGAGTCTTTGGGGGCATCGTTGCTTAACGAAAATCTCCTGGCTTCGATAAATGGGCCTAAGCGACATGCGGCCTGCGACGAGTGCAGTAGGTCCTAGCCCGGTGCCATCCCGGATCTGCGCTAATAGTATACTCTCTGCAGGAAAGCGAAAGCTCAAGTGCTCGGGCGAATTGACCGGGTGCACTCGCTGTTTGAAACAGTCTATCACATGTCACTATTCTGTGCAGAAACAAATGGGTCGCCCACCCAAAAAAAGAGCTCGCGAAGACGAAGATGCACCCGACTTCTCCACACATGCCAACGTCTGGCCCAGTCCAGAGGTAACCCCGCCGAAGTATTCTCAAGACGAACAGTCCACATTACCAGATATGGCGGCACAGCTTTGTCCACAAATCTTCTGGCAGGGGCTACACGCTATGAATACATCGAACGATATACTCGGAGATCAAGACAACCAAAAATGGCAAGAACGCCCCAAAAATCCAAATCTCCCTGTTCCACAGTCCGAAAGTCCCTGGCCAGATTTCTCGACAGTTACAGAAGCCACATCTAGCCTGTATCCGGTCCATACAACTCTCCAAGACAACATAGATGCCCTCCCTCTTACGCCTCCCGTCTCCAGTCCCTCCGACCCCACGCCCCAATGCACCTGCTTGTCATATCTATACCTATGTCTCAGCCATATCTCCTCCCTCTCCGCCTTCCCCGTCAACTCCCACATTCTCTGTTCTCTCTATATCGCCGCACGAACAGCACAAAGCGTCATCCGCTGTGAAGCTTGTCCAAAGGTCTTCGCTACTGGCGTCCAAAATGTCATGTTCACCGGTACCCTTCTGACTGTCGTCGCGGATGCCTGGCTGCGGGTATATCACAGCGATGCTTCCGAACTAGGCCCTCAATCCGCATCACCCGAGTATGTCGCGCGCGTGTTGCAAAGTGAAGATCCAGCGCAAGCTTGGAACATCTGGCTCCATCAGATCGTCCGCCGTGCTGTTATCGGCGGTGGTCTTGAAGCCGACGCCGTCACGAGATGCTCTGATCAACCGAGCTTATTGTCGCTCATTGCAGAGGTTGAGAATCGCCAGCGTCGATGGCATGAACCGGGTCAACACCCGTTCAAGGGATTCAATCCTATGAATCCTTTAGCGTCTTGTGATCCGCTTGTGTCCCAAGAGAATGAGGATCATGCTCAGCATGAAGAGAAGGAGCTCTTATGTCTAAGGGTTGTTGGGAGTGCGAGGGCTGTTATTGCCAAGTTCAACTTTGATCCGTCTGAGTTTCCCGACGGTGTTTTCCCTGATAACTTGACGCCTGAGTCGATTTAATGGGTGGTTTGGACCAAACGATTGGATGATGGAGTTGAGGTTCATTGGGTTTGCGTTTTGTTAATTGCATCGATCTCCTATGTCTGAGCAAAAATTTTCTCTTCTTATTTACTTGAAACGACTACAAATTCACGAACTACTGTGTGTCGTGGAATCGATGGGATCATTGATCATTTCATTAAATTTTTGGTGTACAGGATGCACCTTGTAGTCACAAGTAGCAGTTATAACTCAATCATCAATGCCAGCCTTTGTAATTGTGACGCCCGGGCCATGAAAGGCCTAATGGAGAAAAGAAAAAAAAAGATATCAAAGATTTTGGGAGATCACTCGTCCTCGTCATCATCGTCCACGACATAGCGGTTCTTCTTCCGAGCTGGAGGTGTGCCCTCCCTGGGCACTGGCTTGCTTCGAGGCTTCGCAGGCGCAGCGTCCTCGTCGGCCTCGCCCTCGGCATCTATATCATCGTCCATAAGCTCTTCCTCGTCATCGTCATCCACCACCTCTTCCTCTTCATCACTACCGACCAAGAAACCATCGTCCTCATCATACTCGTCCTCGCGAGAGCGAGCACCCCGACCGTAATCTTCCTCGTCGTCGGAGTAGATCTCGCCACGGCGGTTGGGACGACGCTTCTGGGGTCGAGTAGTGCGCATACCACCACTCTCGAGGTCGCCGACACTGAGACCCGATGCCATAGGCCGGGAAGCAGCTGCGCGGCGACCAGTCCGGTCTGCCTCGCGGTCCTCGAGCTGTTGGCGGCGGCGCTCGGCCTTCATGGCATCCTTCTCCATAAGCTCTGCCTTGCGCGCGGCCATCTCAGGATCTACCTTCGTATCGATCAAAGGCGCAGTTCCATCCGCAGTCTGCTTGCTGCCGCGGGCAGCGAGAGCCAAGGACTCCTGGAGTCGCTGGACAGCGTCGTCGGATTCCAGGGTGGTTGGTTGAATGGTCATACCGTGTGTGACATGAGAGGTCAATCGGAACACAGAGGCAGTCTCGACCGCAGCACCGAGATAAACGTGCGAATCGAGTTTCGTGTTGTACTCGCCAGACTTGGAGAGAGGTGCGAGCGGCTTCAATGAGGTGGTGTATTGTTCTTGCGGGGCAGAGGCAAGCTGAAGTGTGATAGACCCATCCTCCCATTGGATGAATCGAGCATTTGACTGCAACTGGGTCTCGTCATTTGGGTCTTTCCGCCAGCATAACGACGTGGCAGCTGTGGAATACGGAGGCGCAACGTATGTCTCGGGGTTGAACTCCTCCGACTCAACGGACAGGAAATCGGGTACACGCACAGTATACACCTATCAAACGAAATTAGCCCACGCTCAATTCAGCGTCTGGTTTCCATGTCTGCATACCTGGCCATCATTGGTCGCTGGTACCGGCGCCCGCGCAAGGCCTACGTCCATGATGTTGACTGTCTCACCGAAACCGTCGTCGTCAGCCGCCTCATCCATCCGATCGCGTCGGTCATAGCGGTTGTCATCGTCTCCCGAATCCAATTGCTCGTCGTCCAAGGTGCGGTGAGCTCGGCTGGCAGTTTATTAGCTTTGCGCCAGTTCACAGCCTCTCAAGGAATGCCATACTTATTGTCTGCACCTCCATCCTCGTCCTCAGACCCAAACAGGTCCGCGTCATTGTCCTCGTCCATTTGATCATCGCCGAACAGGTCTTTGTCATCGCCATTGGAGCCGTTGTCGCTGGGCGCAGGACTTTGGTGACTGGCGCCGGCGCGGCCGGGGCGTCGGACAGCGTCTTCCTCGGAGTCAGACATGACTGAAAGACTGTACGCTGTAGGAAGAACGAAAGGAAAGAAATGGAGGGATAAGACAGTTGAGCCGCGCGACAGAAGTTGAAGGTCGGCTTCCACGATGGACGGAAGAACACGATGATCCGAGACCGAGCCACCCAAAGGAGTTTAAGCAGCAGAAAGGAGACCAGCTCCTCCTTCACCGTCTCGCGTTCCACGTTGCTTCAATCTTGTTGCTTCAGGGAATTTTGACCCGTCTGATTCAATTATGTCTAATTTCTTCCAGAGCGTGTAAGTTCTACCCTGTGTTGCTATTTATCCCTGAGACTTGTGTTGCCTCCTTCACCCCTCCATACTGCATTGCTGCATTGAAGTACTCGCGGAGACAAACACCTGCAGTCCCCTCCAAAAGTTTAATAGCCCTGTTTCTCACTTTCTCACATCCTCATTTTTCTCCCTATCTCCATTCTCTTTCTTTCATTTGTCTTACTCCAACTTTCCTTATCTACCTCTACTAACTCGCCCCTCAGTCGCCAAGGGTTTGGCAGGGGAGGAAACAACAAAAACCCTCCTAAGAGCCCGGCGCAAGCTCAGGCTCCCCAGAGCGCCATGTCGAACTCGCCCTCGTTGTCCAACAGCTTGTCCGTTGAAGGCCTCACCGCAAATGACCCCGATGCCCCTAAATACTTCTTCCAAGAGAAGTACGCTCCGTTGAACGTTAGGGGTAACTTCTTGACCCTTTGTGCCTGTCCGAAGAATGTGGAGCTTGGCGAGTGGTTGGCTCATCAGAGTAAGTTGGCTGAATGTGCTGGGAACACTGGGTATGCAATGCTAATGCGGGGCAGTTGTTGAACAATATCGTCTACTCCACGGCATGCTCCAGGTCATCCAGGAGGTGAACGCTGTCACGGGCTTCCCCATTTGCAATGAGAGCACATGTCCCACAATGTCCGCTGGAAGGTATGTGACATATGGTGGGGTAGATACTGGAATCCGGGGTAGAGGCTGATCACCATCATCTAGATTGACCTACACATGGCTTGTGGACGGCCGCGCAGCTAAGATCTCCGCACCTAAATTCATCAACCGCGTCGAGAAGTGGATCATCAGCAAGATCCATGATCCCGTTATGTTCCCCACTGAGAATGTCAACGGCATTCCCGAAACCTCCTCAATCAAGGACGCCGCCGCCACCGGAGCTCCTCCCGCTACCCCTACAGACCCCTCAACACCGGTTGGAGCGAATAGCAACCCAGACGAATGGATTGGAAAATCCAGTGGGTTCCCTCAGACCTTCTACAAGGACTGCCAGGGTATCATGAAGCAGATGTTCCGTTGCTACGCGCATCTGTACCATGCCCACTGGCTGAGCCCCTTCTGGCACATCAACAAACACGACATCTTGAACATGTGCTTCGTGCACTTCGTCACCGTCGCCAAGTATTACCAGCTGGTCACCGACAAGGAGATGGAGCCCATGCAGCCCTTGATTGACCTGTTTATCAAGCAGCAGCGGGTTCCCCCGGAGGCGCTTAATGGTGGCCACTGGGCCCAGCAACCTGCCAACTAGAGCTCCGCGGGTCGGGAGCGCAATTCCATATTTTCTATCAGTGACGACTACGACATGTTCTCCGGGCGTTAGACCGCTGTCTTGTGTTTCTGCTTTCTTCTTTCTGCCATTCGGGGGAAACGGGCGAATCTGCCGATAGGCTCAGATCCGGGGGCGAGCATTTAGCATGCGGTGTGAATATTTTATGATGATCTTTGCATTTGAGGCTAGCATTAGCCAGTCCTGAAACCATCTGAGCTATACTTCTGGTCATTCAAGCGTGGTTGGGTGATTTCAATAGGTTTGGTAGAACACTGGTGTTTCCATCTTTGAGCCCATTCGCAAGTGTAGAGTATCTCCGCGGGAGGATGTCTTCGGGCATGTCCAGTGCAGCCAGAGATTTGGTCGTATCCTCAATGGTGGAGTCTTAGGTGGGAAAAGTGTCGGGTGTAGGATGGCAGTCTCGCTGAGGCTATCACATAGAGGTCTATCCGGGCAGCGTACCCAGTATTTTCGGCGATCACAATCATCTTATTCTTCACCAGCTCCATCACAGATAAACACCATCCTCCTGCCCCGCATCCGCATCCGCATCCCCATTTCCGTTGGAGCTGTGATTCTCACTAGTCCCACTCATCGCTGGCACCTCAGCCGCTCCATTCTCATCGACCTTCTCCTCAATTTCAACCCATGGCTTCCCCCGATTCTCGAGCTCGGTCTTAAGCAACTCAGTCCTCACACTCATAGAAACGACCACGCCCTCGTTCTCCTCAACGTAACTCTGCAGCTCCTTCTTCTCTTCTTCTGTCTCCTCTGATTCGGCTAGGAACAGGCGCATCTCGGCATTAGATCGGTGGAGGTGTGCGATCGAGTTACGCAGCTCGAGGAGTTTGCTGTGGACTGCTGAGAGTGGGAGCTCTTTGATTGCTTCGGCGAAGGCGGCGGGATTGATGGGAAGGCTTTCAGAGGACATTTTGGTGCGTTGTTTGTTTTTTCAGCTCGATGAGCGATGTAAGAGGTCTTGATGAGGGAGTTGTGAGGTTGAGGAGAGGGCTCTGCTAGATCTTTGGTTCTCCGCGTGTCTGGGTTATCACGTGTGGGGTATACAACAATTTAGGTTGGCTTTCGACGGTACCATATCAAAGTGCCTTGCTATGAACTAGTAAGTCATTTGCTTCTAAGTTATCTTCTTTGGCTACATGAGCTTGGGTGGAGCTGTATCTCAGTCCTTTGTCTTATCTTGGACTGGAAGAGCCCACCTGCTGCTTATATATATTATGGTCCAATTTCCTCACCATTTAATGCTTCCAAAGAAAGTTTTACCGACACTTGGGCTTTGAAAATGACCAAGTGAAAATTCACTAGAAGGATTAAAAAGCCATGCTTAAACAAATAAGATCGTTTCAAAAAGAAAAATTTTTGGAATTCTTTTTGTTCGACTTTGACAGCACTTGAGAGGGTATAACATAGTAAAAGATCATCCCACATAAGTTGCGGAGAGCCCGGAGTCGGAACAACCCACCGCCGGCCCATCAACGCCGTTCAAAAAGTTGAGCTCAGTCCCGCCCTCCCTCGTGTACCCTTCCGAGGCCCTCCAGTGGATATGAGCAATGCGATCTGGGTCGCATGGCGGATCCCATGCTCGGGGCTCCGGCTCTCGAGCGTGCTGCCTCCAGCGACGTTCCGCCCTGTCTGTCGCGATCTCCGCATCACACCATCTCTATACAACAGCACACCCCGACGCCTATACAGCTCGTTGAACACGTTATGCCAAACGCAAAACCGTCCGAATACCCTCCGCTTCTTCCCTCGGTACTCCGCACCCACTCTTCCCCAGAGTAGATCCAAGAAGACCGCTGCTCCCGCCCACTCCGAACCAACCTCCGACTCCCTCCTCGATAAGTCCCTCTCAGATCTCGAGATCAAGGCTATCTTTGGTCACCGCACGAAGGTATCACCAAAACTGGCCAACAGAACACTGGAAGTTCTGCAAGCTCGCCGATTAGAGGGAACGCTGGATTTGGACCTTCCTCTCGATGTCGCTCGCGCCGTACCCCAGTCTCAGCTCGATATTTGCCTGGAATGGCTGCGCGTGAACTATCCAGTTGACGAAGATGCCGCCATCATGGCGCGCATTGAGCGGGAGGACCGCGAGGCCGAGGAGAAGCTCGTGCGCCGTGCTGAACGGCTCGGTCTGTATAAGCCACAGAGCGGATCCTATGAAGCTGAGCTTGGCGAGGAAGATTCGCCGTACGGGAAGAGTGTTCTCAAGGAAGCCCGCGAGCAGAACGAAAAGTACTTGCTTGCTGAGAAGGAGCGAAAGCGTCAGAAGTGGCTCGATGGTGAGAAAGAAGAGCAGGAGAAGTTGCAGCGCCAGTTGGAAGAAAATACCTCGTTGCAGCAGTACCAGGAGTCGGCGCTTACTGAGGGTATGTTTTCTTGTCCTGTCTTTTTTTTTTTGTTGGGAGTCTGTGAGGGTCTTTACTGATTGATGCTCGTAGCTCGCCCACGCGCGGATCCCAATGAGCGTCCGTATCTTGCTTGGGTCCAGAAGCATCATATTGCTGGTACTCTGGACCATCCTGAGGCCATGGAAGTCACAACCGTACGAGTCTTTTGATATCTGTTCGAATGCGTTTACTGACTCGTGCAGGCCCAACGTCTTGTGGCACCGGCCCTATTTGTTCTCCTTACCCTCGGCCTGTGCTATTATCTCGCCACGACCTACGAGCCTCCCGCGAGAAAGGACCGTCTTTGGCCCGATATTCCCCCGGCCGCTGCGACAGTCGGAGCTATTATTGGTGCTAATGTGGCGGTTACCCTGATGTGGAAATACATCCCGCCTTCGTGGAGATTGCTCAACCGCTTCTTCGTTATCGTTCCGTTCTACCCTAGTGCGCCGAGTATGATTGGCAGCACTTTCAGCCACCAGACCTGGAGACATCTGGCGACTAACATGATGGTTCTGGGTCTTATGGGAACTAGAGTCCACGATGAACTCGGTCGTGGTAACTTCTTGGCTATCTACTTCGCTTCGGGAGCTCTCGGCTCTTTGGCCTCGTTGTCTAGAAGTGTGCTGCTAGGTTATCTCGGTATGACATCCCTCGGTGCTAGTGCCGCAACAAGCGGTATCGTTGCTGCATGGTGCATGTACCACGCTAAGTAAGTTTATTTCCTACCAAACATTCTGCTCATAACTTACGGTTTTTACCAGTGACAAAATCACCATGTGGATACTGCCCCACGAGCTGAGAGAAACTCTCTGGACCCAGGGCTGGATCTTCCTCGCTTGCCTGGTCGCTACCGAAGTGTTCAGCATGGTGGCACCAGCTCGCTTCATGGGCGTCTTCCCCTTGTCTCGACTTACCAAGATGGATCACGCTGCTCACCTGGGCGGTTACTTTGCCGGTGCTGGATGTGGCTATGCCTTGGCGCAGAGGAGGAAGGCTGAGCGGGTCCAGAGGGCTCGTGACGCGAAGTGGTTCGAGAACCTTGTTCGGTGATAGTTTAAGTCTAATAATTGGACTTTGATACATTGTATTATATTAGGTGTAGGTGTTTATATCTAGCAATTGATCGGTTTATATTATATTCAAATTCCTATTCCCAAATAATAGTAATGAGGTGCTCAAATCTTACGGACCTAAAACTCACTTCTGCAGCTATCAGATGGGCCACCGAGGGTTGACCACTTTCCAGAAAATAAGCTGCAGACCCTATGAAAATACAAGTATTGCCTATTGTACTTCTCTAGTAAGCATTGTGAGTAGCCCACTCGAAGTATTCAAGATGAAGATGCTTTGTGATGCTGGCGACGGGAACCTGTTTCTAGCCACGGCAGAAAGCAGCAAAATCTATTTCTTAGCCAGCTTTACCAACTATATATGCACAGTCTTTGTAATTATTTGTCGCACCCACACCCGATGGTCAACTATACTATACGAAGAATGGTTGCATGAAGCCAGATAGAGTCTTGGTGAATATGAATGGTACCCAAGTCTTCACGAGGGAACCACCTTAGCAAATGTTTGCAATAGATTCACGGGTGAAGGTCTCCCGAGGCAGATTGAGACATTGAAAACTTAGTTCCTTGGAAGTAGGATCGATGCCAAGATCTCTGGGGTTCGCGAGAGATCTAATTTTGGCTATCAGGCTGATCGGAATTTCAACACTGGGCTATGGAGGTTACTGGATCCGCAAGAGTTCCATAAGACAGCGCAAGGAGCATGGAATTAGGCAGCTCTTATTTTGATTTCGAAATCCTTGAGCCGCATTACTTGGGTGCCACTATATGTGGACCATGACTTGGGGCCGATGCGAATCCGCCTTAAAATCCGAGTCGAGCGGAACCCATGACAATGGAAAGCTGTGACCCGATGGCACGGCACGTCCCGCCAAGGTTTGAACCAGCGGATTTAGCCGCGATTGTCTGCAGTTTCATAATTGTTGCATAATCGATGACGTCACTTTCATAAGGTCTACTGCCTTTCACGGAAGTGCTGACGTAAATGCGTACTGGACCGGCAGAACTATTTGTATTACACGCCTTATCAAGTCTGTTAATTATTTGAAAGATCCCATGTTCACAGTGCAGAAGATTTAGCGGTAGCGTAAAATACGGTATTATATGATGTTGATATAAGTGGCACTACAGTGACCCAATGGGCTGCTGGAGCCACTGTCATCATTAACCTCATGGAAGGTGGAACCTGTCATGCCATAATCTAAAGCCTAAGCTTCCTGTAGAGCCTCGAATCTTCGATCCACATATTTCATTTGGCTCCGTTGAGCATATATTAGCCTCGATGCACCCTCTAATTATTCCAGAGGGCGCTCCGGCTGTTCACGTCCAACCCTGCCTTTGTGCGGATCAACTCAACATCATACCACATTACATCGGGATACCCTGTACATGAATGGTATCGCGACCATCCATCTATCGATCAACTTTGTAACTCAAAAGGCTCTGGACACCACGACTATGAATTATACATCTCAAAAACCGACGGAGGGGCTTGCACCGCAAAGAGGAATACCTACCATGCAACCTGGTCACCCGCTTTCGCATACATCGGTCGGAAATTCCACGACAATAACGGCCAAGGACTCCGATACGGTCCGGCCCGAAACCAACACAAAACATGCCAAAATTGCCATTTCCCGACAGTCGGGGATTGTCCCACGTCACAACAGGCGGGTGGCTAGGGCCTGCGAATCGTGCAGGCAGCGCAAGACTAAATGCAGTGGTGAAGTTCCAATTTGTCGGCAGTGCCGAGAATTGACTGTGACCTGTGTCTATCCTGTTGCATGGAGGGAGAAAGTCAATAGGTAGGTTGAGACCATTATCATGATTCCCTGATTCTATGGGCTTACCCATCTCGTCATATAGGCAAGTTGGGCAGCTTTTTGAGAAGGTGCAAGATTATGAGAAAATGTTAAGATATTTGAGCGGTGTCGTCGATAGCTGCACTGCAGAACAGATTAGAAGCTTACTGGGCAAGGCTAGTCTGCCTTAATTCTGTCACAGCTGACCTGAGACTAACATTTTATTCAATAAATAGTATAGTATCGATGTGGACAGCTCATCAAGCAATTCCCACCCCAACTTCCAAGCTGAACCACCGCCTGTAACAGATGAGCCAGCCTCATTGGCATCTGTTGACCCCTCGGAAGCGATCGATGACGACGAGAAAAGCCAGAGCAATGGCGGTTACTGGGATACTCTCCATCTTGAAAACTTCGTACCGGTCCAGTCTGTGCCCTTCGCCGATCGCGATTACCCGAATTTCGGAGAAGTCTCTTTTGGCCATACGGCCTCAGCGGCAAATGGCGTGGTGGATGACATATGCTACCCAAATAATCCCACCACCTACAGCTACTTCCCTTATATCAATCACAGTATGTGGGGATGATGTTGAAAGCTTGCGGAATAGAAAGTGCTTACGAAATAAAAGAACATGTTGATAAGATAATGTGTCCTGCAGCTTCCGTCTTCCGTTCACCAAGACCAAGCCGTCTTGCTCTCCCTCGGTACTTTGTCTAATACTCGTTCTCTCGCTCCTACACACACCACACCGGCTGCTCCACGCAATTTGAACCTCCCATGACACGATCCCACATTACACTCATGATTCCAACATATTCTAAAGGGGAGTTACGTCACTTCAAAAAGACCCATTTATTAGGGGCTATTGGGGAAGCACTAAACTTTAACAGGCGCTTTATTAAACAACATTATTGAATGTATCTGTATTGACTAGAGCCCCAAGAACTGCTTATTGAGGAACTATTAAGTAGATAAAAGACTTCTATTCTAGCTCGCTCTGTTTCACTGTCTCGCTGTCCCCTGCCCTCTGCCTATTTAACATTATTAGCAGAGGATAAATGTCTTAGCGCTCTCCCCCACTGGGATCCTACGATCTTAACAGAGAGAAGTATGTACATATAATTCTGTACAGTGAGAGTCGAAACACAATTCCCTGTGAACACAGATGCATAGTGTTCCGGCTCGGATCCGAGAACACGCTGCTCTATGTATGGATAAGTCGTAAATGACCATCCTCTGAGACTAGAATTTTTAAACGCTAAGAAGTAATATAAAAGTTATTCACCTGATGGCCTGATGACTTGAATGACTTTTTGGCGTGTGATTAGTACTAATAAATTTTCACTTGAAGTGATACTTTGTAATTAGAAGTGTTTTCATGGAATATATCATTATTGTACAGGAATTCGGGAGAGGATGGAGGGGACCTACCCCGCAAAGGTCTAAGCGTTCGAGGTCAATCGCAAAATCTCAGATACGTAGGGAGCCAGTGTTATTCAGCTCGGCGAAGTGGCGGTGTACGTTACAGAAACGGACCATCGAAATTACCTTACTTCTATCCAGCTGAAGAGCAAAGCTAGCTGTAGCGCAGGAAGAGAGGGGGTCACATGAAATTCACGATTCGGTCGCGCAGATATAGGTCATTGGAATAGCTACTATGGGGAAGGGACAATGTTGTGGACGGGAAACAAGCAGTTGTACCCTAAAGACTGGCATCCTTCACTCCCTCTTCTCATCTAAAAAGCCCCAGACAGTATAAGAGGCAAACCTGCCTTTCTTCTCCCATGCTCTAAAGAGAAGCTGCAGTGCGAACAAGGCTTTCCAAAGCTGATGGATTGGCTCCAGTCAAGACATCAACCTTTTCCCCGTGCCGAAAGACAGCAAAGGTTGGCATTGCACGTATGCCGACCTCTTGAGCAATTTGTTCTTGTCCATCGACATCGACCTTGTAGAATCCGACATTGCTCGAACCAGATTCATCCGAGAACTTCTCGAAAATAGGTGAAATCATTCGGCAAGGTCCGCACCATACTGCCCAGAAGTCGATTATAGCGGGCTTATCGCTGTTAATGATATCTTGAAATTCTTGAAACCTATCGTATTGGAACTTTCAACACCGAGCAATATTATCTTAAGGCAAAAGAATTTATAACATCACTTACGAATTGATTTCTGTAACAGGCATTTTGACCAAAATATTGGCTTTTGCAGAGTTCACGAGTAGATAAAATATATATGTTGAAAAGAACAAGGGAGGAGCAAAATATGAAGTTTACACCCAGGAGGAGATAGCACCGGACCTGATTATCTATTTATATGATTTCACCCAACATCACACCCCCCCCCCCCAACGCCTTTCAGCCTTTCCAATAGACGACCACAGAGGGGACGATCAAAACCAAACAAGGTTGTGGACATGTTCAGCTGGGTGGGTCCCAGCTAGCAAGACTGTCGCACGGTCGTTCTTGAATCACTTTTAGTATAGGACTTGGCCAGACCCGGTATGAACCACGAAGCACTGACCCCTCAAACTAGCTGTTGCAAGGGTCATATGGTCGGACGGTTGAGGAGGAAGTGGAAATGGCTGCTTCAGATACTCCATATTTACCCGGCGAGTAGGAACCAGACCCAGTTGCAGCAGAACAGCCAGATCTCATATCGCGATACGCCTCCAAATCGAACTACTGTGGACCCGGTGATCCTAAACCCAATGTTGTACCCACGACGTACACCGCCACACCTCGAGCTGAGAAAAAGGCATCTCAGCTTCCAAGATAGTCCTTAGTGCTTAGAAAGATCAACAAAATCTGCATGGCATGACTGATTGAGGTTTCGAGCACCTAAATTGCTCGGCTCAGCTGAACAAACAAACTAGTACTGCATGAGTAAGCCGAATGACGCATGGAATCCACAACCCCCTCGACTTCAGTCGCCTGGTTCTAGGTCGTTGAATCAGCGACTACGTAAGTGAAAATGATTGAAACACAGCATATCTGCCAGCTGGCCAAAAAAAGAAAGCTAATCTTAAGTATTTGTCAACAGTGATGATTACATGAGGCTTTTGGCCGCCACTGCCTAACGTGTATGTACACGCTTAGGCCTCCCCTCATCAGGCGGAGTGCATGATATGTTACATCTACTGGTATTTTCTTGAAAAAAAAAAATACAGCACCTAGCCACACTATCACAATGTGCGCCGGTACTTAAGCATGCGCCCGTGATGGATTTTATGGGCTATACCATTTGCCCTGTTTCAGCCAGTATGCCAGTCAGCCCCTAAAGGTTACTGCATATGCTGTTAGGTAGACATTGTCCGGATGTGAGAATCCTGCGCGCCGCCAGTACCGCCACTCCTGGCCTGGCCATCGAAGAGGTAGATTATTCTGGAAAGGCTGCGGAGGAAAGGAAAAAGAGGTATATACAACAATATTCGAAAACAGATTCCCCAACAGACACACACGATACCCCCTCTAAATCGTATCATTCGGAGACGAAGCATAGCACTACTGATGTTAGAAGCGCTTTGCGACCTTCTATTTGAAATACCTAGTCTGTACCTCGACGAGATGGCTATCTTTTTCTGGGATGAATTCCAGATGCTAGCAACAACCTCCAGTATTAGAAGGGCCCTCATATCTTTGCGTAGCAAAAGCATTGGCGTAAGTATACCGAGTTGAGACACTGAAATAAGAAAATAACGACAGAAAACTGAAACTTCTGAAAGCAAGCACATGGCGGAAACTTGTATTTAAATGAGCTATAAGAAATGCTTCAAATAGGGTTCTAATTCTTAAAGGCTACTCTTAGCACCCAAACCGGAATGTCTGAGGTAGACCCAATCACCGGCATTCTTGACGTTGAGTGCTCCGTCCTTATCCAAGCAAAGCCATCCACCTCCGCCTTCAAATTTAGCGTAGTAATAAGCATCTTGATTTTTTCCGAGGATAACAACGGAATCGGCAGTATTGACCTCACTAGGGTGTTTCAGTATAACCCAGTGCCCCGAGCGGCAGATGACTTCGCCCGAGTCAGTAAACAGGATAATGCCTTTGCCCTCTCTCCGCGACTTGAGGCTGAGAGCATCATCTGATTCCGGCTTTGAATAGATCCAATTGGTATCACCGGTCCGATGAACAGTCAGGGCACCAACTTTCTTTAGCCCTGTTCCCATCGCGGTAAACAAGGCACCTCGTCGGTTGTTGTCTTCCCAAATAGTCCCCCAGATACCAACTCGGCACCTACTGTTGACCTTTCGCTCTTGCTCCTCTCTCACGTCGTGCTGACGTTATATATTTACCACGTGCCTCAAAAACTCAGGGACCTTGCTGGCGAACCCGGCTTGAAATATAAGCTGGTGCCCATCGTTCTTGACGTTGATATTGCCATCCTTGTCCATACAAAGCCAGCTTCCCCCACTAAGGAATTTGGCGTATTGGAGGATACTTAGCCCGCCAGATCCAAAGGCTTTTATTTCGAGAGTAGCGTCCTCGGAATTTTGAAGGCGTTGCAATGCAACTCTATCACCGACGCGAGTCAGGTATTCGCCTGAGGGAGTAGACAGAATAACACCCATCGAAGTGAACTTGTAGTTCAACTTGACTTCTTCTTGGAGGTTCTGAGCTACGTAGGCCCAATCAACGCCATTTTCGCGACGAATCCCAAGGGAACCTCGTCGGTCTCCGCTCCTAAGCAGGTGCCGAGATATTGAGATACTTGTGGATAGGTTAGCATATATCTATAGAGATAATAGGAGAAACATACGATAGGTGATTGTATATTGGGGTGTTTGGTAGTTGGACAGAAATTCTAGCTTCGGTTGGGATATAAAAGGAAAAAGATTAAGTACTTGAGCAACTCCTTGGGTGCGCAGCACAATATTGATACCCAGAACTTGATACGCCAACGAAAATGGCCTTTATTTATCTTGAACAGTTGGGACTCATGACATCGTCTCTATTCGTGATCGGCTGTTTCTTAGACCTATTATGCCAGCAGCAAGATCTAGCTAAAAGATCTTATAATTCTACTGGACAATCGGCGATATAACACGCTACTCAGCCTCTACCTAATAAACAGATCAGCAAGGATCGCCTTTGTGGACCAGAAGATTCCGCATTTCACCGAATCAAGTGTAATATGTAAGATCGTGGTGGAGTAAAAGGGAAATCGGAAGAGGCTTAGGTTAGCGCTCAGGGTGGAATGGTTCTCGTCTACTTTGAGGCGGGTAGTGCAAGAGCCTTGGTATCCGCATGTGATTTGACTAGTGTGTATTCTGGTTGGCTCTTAGTGGCCCATTTGTAAGCTGCGGCCCTCAATAAATTAGCGGCTGAAGGGGTGCCGTAACAAGGAGGAGTAGGGGCATATTACGAATTCTCGTCCAAGAGGTGGACCATCGCAGGCTAATAGATATCGTCACCGAAAAGGCTATTAGCCATCGTGAATAAAATCGGGTGATAGGAAGCGTAAGCGAAATGATGTATAAGGTTTTAGCTAGTAATCTCTATTGTCTAATAAAATCGGAAGTCGCGGAATGGCCGGGATTATGAAAAAAAAAATATTACTGTCGAGCTTTGCGTATCAAGTTAATCCCAGAAGACCACTAGGAAAGTATCAGCGTCTAGTGGCGGGTAAAGGCCGCAGAAGATGGCGAGAGCCATGAGAAGCACAAATAATAACTACGTTAACCTACAGGGTACTTTTTTATAACGGCAGCAGGTCTTCGTTACATAAGTGGTAGGTTTGGACAAAGGTTGCGGAGGAGGCAACGAGGAAAAAAGCGTGGAACAAGCCAGATTGCCAGATCTTCCCAGATCTTCTCCCTTGGAGCACCTACCTATATAGAACATTCTGTGGGCACTAACAGTAATTTACGACGATTCATACAAAATTCATTTTGTTGGTAGCCTAGTTCAGACGCTGTTTTGTATGTCTCATACAGTATGCCACCCTTGAACTTTTAACTTTATTAATTGTATTTGTTTTTACTAGGTTATATTTTCTTGACATAGACAAAAGAGCAAAGAACACCGAGGCCCCCCATACAAGTCCAATGTCTCATGAGAAAACAAAGCTTCGACAGCGAAACAAACAAAGAGTAGGCAATGTCTTTGTTACATTTGCAACGAATTTGATCCTCGGGCTTTGTGATTATAGGTTTTATTTTCCCAAGTCCATTTTGCCGTTTTACATGTAACAATGCTCATTGACCTCGATCGAAGAACGGATATTCTACAAAGTTCGAGTTATGGCATCAGAGCAGGATCTAAGGGGGTTAAAAAGCCATGAAACGTCCTCTAGATTCATTCTGTCCATTACTCCCAGCTCATTCCAAAAATAACTACTTGCTTCACTATTGCCCAGCTATCGCTTTCCGTTCTAAGTTCTTACTGACATTCCAACAGTATGCTCGGTCTTTCTTCTCTAGAGTTTAAATCAAAAGCCAAAACCAGTGAGCCTCTCGGTGCCGTTTCGCCATTAGTTTCTCGGTGGAGCATGATTGACTACTGGCTATACCTCCTCCACGTCGTCGAGAGGGGGCGTACAAGAGAGAATCATTTTGATGAAGTCCACTTACTCACAGCTAACGGATTTAAGCCGACTCGGATTGATTTCAAATTCCTCCATGTCTGCAGAAGGAAGCCCGGTCTTGAGTTGCTCATTTTCCTTGCTCTACCTATTCCCTCCATCCGCCTCGGACTCCCCGATAGGAAGATTGTACTTGGCTTCGACCTGAAGACCCTCCATCTCCATGCTTATTTGGCGGCCCGTGCACCCGAGCATCTAGCAGACTTCGGACAGGTCTGGAGCCGAGCCGAGCTTGTCTTCAGCATTGGAACCGGTCAATTCCTCGATACCCTAGAGTGCACTCTAACTGACGACCTTAATACCCTTCGTACTGGTATTCTTACATCCTTCGCCAAGTCTACTCGTAAGTTCCATTCGGCTCTCGAATTGGTGATCGCCATCCAGTTTAGCCAGTTCCTATACGACTTTACCGAGCTACTAGGTAAGGACAGGGGTAGGTCCATTGAGTCCCACCAGCGCTATAATGATCAGATGCGGGAGTTGCTGCGGAAGGCCTCCACTGATGCCTGGTTTGGGGCTAAGGATGGGCTTACTGTTGAGCAACACCGTCGGCGCGAGAAGAATGCAATTATTTTGTTTAATTCGGTCGAGTCAGGCAAGGTCTCCAGCTCTCCAGGCTCCAACGTTCAAGCGGATTGGACTTGACATCGACCCCTCACTCCCTTGGCGCAAGTCATGCATAGGTTCACCGCTCCAGCCACTGTGGCTTCATGATCGGGACCCGAGATTGGATTCTTGATCCACTGATGTTCGGTGTTCGAGTTGATGGGGCCTCTGTGTCGTGATTGGTAGGTTCCTTTATTTCTTACGCTCCTATAGTTTGCAATGCTATCATTTGATCGTTTTGTTGGAATTGTTCACTTGGAAAGTTCAAGTGGCTTGCGTAGTCTCTAGTCTCCAAGGATATTCAGGTACGCGCCCTAGGCCTGTTCGGTCTTTTCGTAGGTATCCAAAGTCATGTACGATGAGCAATTACATAAATTCCCTGCGAGATGAGACTTGACACGTAAGACTGCATGCATGGAAAGAAGCCCAGTTCAGCAAAGTAAGCAGCTAGCTCTATGTCGATAAGTAAGTATTATTTGCACCGCCACGATACGATGAAACCGGTTTGTGTGGCTAGAGTGGCTCAATCCCGGCGGAGTGCCTAATCGAGGATCCTCAATTGGCCCGCCGTGCGCGGGGAGCTGCGCGGTGGCTCTTGGCAGCGTCATGAGCTACGATGATTCGCAAAAAGTCGTCTGTACTGGGGTCTCCGCTGGGTCTACGCCCGCCCCGGCGGTACTGGCTACTTTCGATCTGCACAGCTCATTTCGCTTCAGCCCTGTAGCCCTATCCTTGGCTCTCCTTCTCTGCCTAACACTGACTCTCCCTTAATCACAATCCCCTCCCCCTTGCTATTTATGGTGCTGTTGTTGTTGTCAACAACGACATTCTTACTTGCGACTCCCGTCGCGCCCCTGACATTACCTCCTATCTAACTCCCGAGGGCCGTTTGTCGCGTCAATTTCCTGCTTAACATGGCTGCTGTTGCTGCAGCCCCCGTCAATGGTATGATTCGGAGCTCCTGCTCCTCGCACGAACTCCGCGCAAACTCCGCGCAATGCTAACAAGATGCTTCTCCAGGGGCCATCCCCAATGGCGAGTCCGCCCCCGTCGGCGCCAGCGATCGCTTCGAGCTTATTTCCGGCCCATTGATCAATTTGAAGAACATGCACTTCCAGCCCTCACCCGTTTGGAATGGCAGTGTGTTGATTGTCACCAAGCCCGGCCAGGATGAGCCTCAGCTGACCCTCCGTCAGCTTGGCCCTGTCGCGTCTCAGGAACAAGCCCAGTCTCAGTTGGATCAGACCGTCGACGGTCTCAAGCTCTACCAAGACCTCGACAAGACATTTTGGCGCTTCACCCTGACTGTTCCGGTCGAGTCCTACGAAGCGCGCTGGGAGTATGATATCCCGGGTGTGTTCGAGTCCGGCGAGCAGCCCAAGGGTCCTTGGCAGTTTGTCGTCCCCGCGGAGGACCAGTCCATGCGCATTATGTTCCATTCTTGCAACGGCTTCTCCGTGGGCACAGATATGAATGCGTGGCTCGGTCCGAATCTGTGGAATGATGTTCTGCGCGTCCACGGTGAAAAGCCCTTCCATGTGATGGTTGGTGGTGGTGATCAGATCTACAATGACGGAATCCGTGTGGACGGTCCCTTGAAGCCATGGACTGCCATTGGCAACCCGCATAAGCGTCGCAACCACGACTTTGACAACAAAATGCGCGCGGACTGCGACGAATACTACTACGCCAACTATGTCCGCTGGTACAACACCGAGCCCTTCCGCGCTGCCAATGGCCATATTCCCCAAGTCAACATTTGGGATGATCATGATATCATTGACGGTTTCGGCTCCTACACTGATCACTTTATGAAGTGCGCGGTGTTCCGTGGTATCGGAGGTGTCGCTTTCAAGTACTACTGCCTGTTTCAGCACCATATTGCTCCGCCCAAGTCAACTTTCACCACCGATGCGCCTCAGACTATGCACGCGGTGAATGGTACTTCTGGTGTGGACGAGCGCCAGGTGGAGAACACCTACGTTCTTGAGCCCCAGGTCCAGGATGATAGTTGGATTATCGGCAAGCGCCCGGGGCCTTATGTCGAGGAGCGCAGCCGCAGTTTGTACATGCGATTTGGAAAGCGCATTGCCTTTATGGGCTTGGATGCTCGTACAGAGCGCACTCGGCACCAGGTTAACTACCCGGACACCTACGACATTATCTTTGATCGGCTGAAACACGAGATTGAGACTGCCAATGGCGATATTAAGCACCTGGTGGTCCTCTTGGGTGTCCCCATTGCGTACCCGCGTCTGGCGTGGCTCGAAAACATCCTCACCTCGCCCGTCATCGCTCCCATTCGTCTTCTTAACAAACGTTTCGGTATTGCGGGTGGTCTGTTCAACGAATTTGACGGTAACGTCGATTTGTTGGATGACTTGGACGACCACTACACTGCTCGTCAGCATAAGAAGGAGCGTAAGATGCTTGTCCAGCGTCTGCAGGAGCTTGCCCGCGCCCACTCGATGCGCGTGACCATCCTGGGTGGTGATGTCCACCTGGCAGCCGTGGGACGCTTCTACTCGAAGACCAAGCTGAATTTATCCGGCGAGAACGACCACCGCTTCATGGTGAACGTGGTCAGTAGCGCCATCACCAACAAGCCCCCTCCCAAGGCCGTCGCCAATCTCCTGGCCCGCCGCAATAAGATTCACCGCCTGGACCATGACTGTGACGAGACTCTCATGCCGATCTTCGACAAACAGCCTGGCGGTATTGAGAAGAGCGCCTCGTGGAACAAGGTTACTATGCCCTCGCGTAACTTCGCCTGTCTCACTGAGGTGGTCGCTCCGGCTACCAACGGCGTTGTTGGTGATGAGTCCGCCAAGCTCGACCGCCTGCCCAAGGACGGCCATGCGCCCCTTCACAAGGGTGAAGTCAATGCCGGCACCACCCACCCCGCGGCCGATGGCTTCAGCAGTAACAGCGGCATATACGGTGGACTGGACGTTGCCATTCGCGTTGAGATCGACCCCCACGATAGCAAGGGAATTACCGAGGGCTATGGCTTCAGCAGTAAGTGCCATCCACTTTCGATTGATTGAATGCAATATTCTAATTGAGTATAGTTCCCCCTCTGATCGCCACCGAGCCGGCCCCCATCACCTCCTCTCGCATGAGCCTGCGCTCGCGCCAGTCACGCCAGGATGTGAACCGCAACAGCGTAGAGAACGCAGGCCGCCCATCTACCGCCGCTTAATCGTAATTTATATCTAATGGTCTGCTTTTTGATGTTTGATACCTTTACGTCATGTGAACTTTCCCCACATTTTCCGTTGCATGTTCCAAAATCTTATCTGCTTAGTGCTTCCCCTCGCGAGGATATAGTTACTCTTTCCGGCTTAGACCCCTTCTTATCTCTCCACTTGTAGTGCTAACTGTACGAGCTTGTTGCTACGGTCGAGTTGCTGGAGCTGTGGACGGGATCACCTAGGGAAGTGTAAGCGCCCCTCCTGGACTGGCTGATAAGAACTGCAGCGGCCCTCGTAGGAAATGACGCTCGCCCCGATGCAGCAGTGGGATCCCTGTATTCCGGCTTATCGGACTCTTCACGCGAGATAACCGCCGTTGATCGGCTCGTTTCTGTCTGGTGGCGTCTTCTGTGATCATTCGCGATCTCCTTGGGGCTTCTCCGCAGATGACTGGATAAGACGGACAATATAATGCATATGCATACCCTGCGTCTCCGAGGCGATGGCTTATCCCTGCTTCGGTTGCATTTCCATTTCCATTCCAAGCCCAACCGATTCGTGTCTTCGACACCACCGACCTCTACTAGACATCCTGTCTACTAGAGACATCGAAGACTGTCACTCTTCGGCCGATCATGGTTTCCAAGGCTAGCGAAAGTATCGACACTGGCGATGCCGTGGATCATGAAGCTGGCGAGATCGCCAGTGTCCATGAACGTGAAGAGCTCGATCGCTTGGGATACAAGCAGGAATTGCGTCGTAATCGCTCGGTCATTACCCTCCTCTTCCAGACGCTGGCCATCGCAGCCATTCCCTACGGCGAGGGTGGTCCTCTACTCAGCGCCATCTACGGCGGTGGTCAACTGTCCATTTTTGTCGGATGGATCGTAGTCTGCGCCCTCGACCAATGCATCGCCCTCTCCCTGGCCGAGCTGGCATCTCGCTATCCTACCTCCGCAGGCCCATACTACTGGACTTTCCAAATCGCTCGCAGCTCCAAAGCAACTATATCATTCATCAATGCCTGGATCTGGCTAATCGGAAACTGGACAATCACTCTATCCGTCAACTTCGGCTTCGCTTCCCTGGTCTCCGCAACTATCTCAATGTACCATCCAAACTGGAGTGCAAACAGCTGGCAACTCCTCCTGATTTTCTACGCTGTCTGTCTCGGCTCCTTCCTCATCTGCACCTTTGCAAACCGCTACCTCCCTCAAGTTGACATCGCCTGCGCGACCTGGACCGCTATCACCATCATAGTCATCCTCATCGCCGTCTCCGTCAAAGCTGAAACAGGTCGCCACAGCGCCTCCTACGCTCTCTCCCATTATGATAAATCCTTCTCCGGCTGGGGCGGCTTCACCTTCTTCATCGGCCTCCTACCAGCGGCTTACACCTTCTCCGCTCTAGGAATGATCTCCTCAATGGCAGAAGAATGCTCCAACCCAGCTATTAAAGTACCCCGCGCAATCGCCCTCGCCATCCCAGTCGGCGGCACCGCAGGCCTCTTCTTCATCATCCCCCTCTGCGTCACAATGCCTCCCCTAGGAGATATAATCAACAGTCCGGGCGGTCAGGCCCTTCCATACATCCTCCACCGCGTGATGGGCTCACCAGGAGGCGGTCTCGCCCTCACTTTCCTCGTCCTGGTTATCACCCTTTTCTGCTCAATCAGTATCTCCGTCGCTGCCTCCAGATCTACATGGGCTGTCGCCCGCGACGACGCTGTCCCTCTAGCCCGCCTCTGGGCAACCGTTCACCCTGGCCTCGGCGTACCGGTCTGGTCTCTCGCTCTTTTAACTGGTATCCAAATGCTGCTAGGCTTAATCAACCTAGGCAGCTCCTCTGCGTTCACGGCCTTCGTCTCTGTAGGCGTCATCGCGCTCGCTGTCGCTTATGCTATTCCCATTTCATTGAGTCTTTTCCACGGCCGTGAGGAGGTCAAGCATGCGCCGTGGAATTGTGGAACTATGGTCGGTACCATCGCGAATGTGATTGCGTTGGCGTGGATTGCCTTTGAGTTGGTGCTGTTTAGTATGCCGACTGCCTTGCCCGTGACTTCGGTTAGTATGAATTATGCCTCGGTTGTGTTTGTGGGCTTTATGGCTATTTCAGGCGTTTGGTTCCTTGTTTATGCGAGAAAGTGTGAGTTTTTCCCCTATTCTCTAGAAGTTGTGGGTGTGATGTTAACGTTGATACAGCGTATAAGGGACCGCCGGAATCGGATGCTTTGGATTGATTGGAGTAGGACTCCTGATCTGTATTGTCTCAATAGTGTATGCAATGTATGAATTTCTATTTATGTTCGGCTTTCCCTGATGTTTGGTGCTCCGATACGTTACGTAGAAACCTCGTAATACATGTCAGCCAAATCAGTTGCACACGAATCATACCCAGCCCTTTTCTTCCAATGTCCAATGAAGTGATCTACGGTAATCTCGGATGTGACATATCAAGTCATCTCGTGTCGATAGCTACATGCTACTTAAGACCCCACCTCCCCCGCTTCTTCCGCATCATTGTTTCTCTTCTCTTCTCCTCTCTTCTCTCCTCTTCTCTCCTCTTCTTCTATACTTTTACCAGACAATCATCTTAGCTATCCAACTTACTATCAACTATGCCTGAGGGGACAGGATACTCGTATAACAGCTCCGGCACCAATAGCCAGGTACATTCTCACCACCCTCCATAGATCATAACCCGGAAGCTGACATGGGCAGGGCAACCACTATTGCTCCCGTGACTACGGCTCTGGCTCTTCTAACTCGAATAGCTATCACTACTCTAATTCGTAAGCTTCTTGATATGTTTTTGTTTGTCTCATACTGATGGCTATAGCAATGGCTCGTACTACTATTCCAACCCTAATGGAAGCTCCTACTATAACAGTGGACATGGTAGCTCGACTTATACTCCTCCCTCGGGAAACTCGGGGAAGAAATGAGAGAAGCTTGATGGAAGATGTAGTCTGCTAGCAATGAATTGATTCGGGTTTATATGAATGCCTTCTAGCGCGTGCTCCCATCTTGTAGTGAACTCTGGTATAATATCTGTAGTTTACTCTCCTTCGGCGTGCCCGTTTTCACCATCGCCTTCGCTGTTACCTCGTCTCTGACGTGGAACCCCTTCGTTGGGAGAATGGCGGACTGGAATTGGGTCGCTGGGTCGGCGGCGCCGGACGAGCTGGTACCCCCGGTCAAGTTCAATTTCGACGGCTTCACGCACTTTCAAAGCACTGACAGCAGGCCAGACGCCTCGTTCGCCTTTTAGTGTCCATTCTGCCACGCGTTCCCGGATTGGTTGTTGGAAGAGTTTGCCGACGTCTTTCAAAGAGAGATCGGGGACGAGGGTAAGGTTCGGGCCTGGGATTGTTTCGTCAATTAACAATCGGCTGACGGCACCGGGCAATACGCCAATATAGTCAAGTTGTCGGAGTCGATGGCGAAGCTCGACGAGAACGACGCGCATTAATGAGCGGGAAATGTTGTGCCAGCCGGTTTGGCGGCGGTCGAGAAGATTGAGCTCGGATCGGAGGAATGGGATTAGATAGGGCCGTGCTTGGGAGACAATGAAGTGGTTGACGTTGAAAAGTTCTGCAATTCGGGCAAGTGGTGATTCTCCGTCGTTGTAGTGGACGTGTCGCCATGGATGGAAGACTGCGTCCTCTGTATGTGGCCAGGGCACGATCGAGCCGGTCTCATCTTTGCAGTAGATGATGACAGGGGCAGAGAGCGCCGACGAGGATGAAGCGTTTGATGCAGCCGCAGCAGACCAGATCAACTATTTACTTATCAGATCAATAAACCAATTTTGAGGTGAGAAATACATACCACATTCGGCGCAGTCAGATAATTGAGCAGGTTTGGCGTGCCATCCTTGCCTCCTGTGGCAACGGTAATATTCAAAATTCGCTTGGACCGAGCATAAGCCTCTTCAAAGGTCAAGTCACCCACGTTGGTACGCACACACTCTTCCAACAATTCCATATCAAACAGATGACCCGTTCGAAGGAACCGCTTCAGGCGCCGGAGGAGGATCCAAAACCAGCTTTCTTGGCCATCGGCGTGGTCTTTCCGACGACTATCAAAGACAGAAAGATCAATTCCACCTCCATCCAGCAACGGAAGCAGTTCGTTTTCTGGATGAATCCCCACAAGAGCTGCAATCATAGCCCCCGTGGCTGTACCGGTGATGATACGCGGAAGAAGTCCCTGGAGATGCAAAGCCTTGACAACTCCCAAATGACACAGGCCAAAAGCCGAGCCACCCTGCAAAAGGAGAGTCGTGCGGCCAAAGGCCTGTCGGGTATCGTGCAATAGCTCCAACTTGGCCTGCGGGGTGAACATAGTCGCCTGGGCCGGCTCCTGCGCTTGCTCCGGTCGCCACATCGTCACATACTGAATAGACAGTGCGACCTGCGTGATGTAGTCGTCAATTAAAAGCTTAGTACCTCCATAGGCATGCGTGAATAATTTGGTCGTGGTGATGTTGCCCAGGTTGCGCACCAACCCGGAGCGAAGTAGGTTGGCCAGAGCTACAATGTCGCCGGTCTCCCGCGCGCCCATCAGCGCCTCCAGCCGTCCGAGGATTAGTCGGTAGTCATAGTGTCGACTGACGGGATTTTGACGCCTGTGTAAAAGGTGAGTAGGAGCTCCATGGCTCGGGTTGGGGTGATGTACCAGAAGTCCTTGCCTAGCACGTCGTCCAGCTCACACGCAGCATCTTCCCACACCTCGTAGGTCTGTGCCGTCGCAAGCGTATGAACGCATCGGTCTCGAGGGGATTTGGACGTCCACCATGAGACCAGTTTCTATACATCGCGTAAGCCGTGGTTCCAACATTGCCGGTGTGGCATCTAATCTACCGATCGCAAGGTAGGTAGGTAGTGGACACCCGCCCACTCTCTCCGCAACGAAGATCGAGACTGAGGGAAGACTCACGGCTCGCCAGAACTGCGCGACGTCTAGGATCATGCTGAAACCTGCGGAAAGAACACCCCACAGCCAGGTAAACCAGAACCACATTGCGAGCGAGGAATTCCAAGTCGGGGAATCCGGCAGACTGGGGCTTTCACATGCTAGATGGCGGTCACGCGACTGGGACACTGCAGGTTCTTGAATTGATCAGAATGTGATGTGCTCTATTGGGATTTGATGTTGATGGGATGAATGTGGAATGGAATAAAATTGGGGATCTCGAGTTGGGAGAGGTGACGTTCTACCAGAGTTGAGGTTGGCGGCACCATGGTCGCGCCTCCTACAAGGGACAAAGTACAAGTACAGCAAGATTGAACATTGAACATTGAAACCTTTACATTCAGGTATCCAAAAGAACACAGCGACACCATTTTTATGGATTCTTCGCTACATGTCTCATATAGGTCATTTCAAGAAAGTGAAATTTGCAAGGTCGTTTGATTTTTGTCATTTCGCTTTGCTTCCCTATATGCAAGTAGGCGAAATTAAAAAAGAATCTCTCCCGGACACCCGAACCCATCAAGAGTCATTCTTTACTCCTCAATAATGTTTGTGCGCTCCGACACGTACAGACCGTCCAAGAACTGGTGCATTGTTAGCAGGGAGCGTTGGAAAGTGGCGATATATCGTGATAACTCACCTTACGGATATCCTTGTTACGGACACGGCAGATCTGCTGGATGTCGGCGGCACTCTGGGAGACAGCCTCCAGGGAGTTACCGGAGAGCTGGAGCTCATCCTTGACGTTGGGGGAGGGGAAGACCTCAACACCAGCCTGGGCAGTCAGACGGCGGACGAACTTCTCACCGAGGAAGTTACTGCAAAAAAAAAAAGAAACAACGGTCAGTTTAACCGATCGAATGTGCATAGCGAGTTCTCGTAAGAACTGAAACAAGGTTTTCCATACCGGATCTCAATATCGGCCTGGCCGGTCTCGGCGTTCTTCTCAATGTTCACGTTGATGGGGAAATGGGCATAGACGTAGCGCATCTTGTAGAGGAAGCCGCGGGTGACACCGATGATCAAGTTGTTGATGAGGGTGCGGACGGTACGGAGGGTAGCGACACCCTTGCGAGCACCGTGGTGCAGCTCGATCGAGATGACGTCCTTCTCGGGGCGGCCGAAGGTGACGGCGATGTGGGAGAGGTCCTTAACGAGCTTGCCGCGGGGACCCTCGACGGTCACAACGCGCGAACGAATGTGAACCTTCACTATAGAGAGAAAATCACGAATTAGTCCCAATTCTTCCTTTTTGCCTTCCTTCGATTCACTCCGCGTCGTCACAAAGCCAGGAGAAAAATTCCTCGTTGCCGTAGTTGACTCGTGACATCCTCCAGGGAATGGTGTGGTCTTGTCGCAGGGTCGTCGTCCCGATTTATGGTCATGTGCGATGTCCACGATATTCGGTGCGACGGATCCCACCATTCCCTCAATTTCCTCGAAAAATAGAAAAAGTCGCATGCTCACCATTGTCCGGAACGGGCAGCAGTTCCTCGGAGTGAATGTACCGCATCTTGACTGCGTGGGTGTTGTTGGCCGAGGGGGTGAGTTGTCGATGTCGGGAGGATCAAAATTCGGGTTGGAGTTGTTGGTGGAGCGAAATTGTATGTCACGGGATTGTGCGTCGCTTAGGGCTAGATCCGGATTAGCGTAGGGTTGTTTATCGCGAGTGTCTTATCAGCACGTGATGTCCATTTTCGGATTCTTTCGTTTAGGAATTTCTTTTCAACGAATATTATTATGTACAGCCTGGTCATTTTGCACCTGTTCTTTGGAGACATTTGAAGATATGGTCCATCGCGGCAAATCAATTACAGGTGCGCCTCCATAGGAGGAGCCCGTATCACATCTGCCACCCATTTGCCCCCCAGTTCCCGCAGCTTCGATGCCAGCTCGTCGCTATGGTCCAGGGAAGCGATGTCATCTCCACCGCCGATGCTCTTTCCATTCACTAGCACATTGGGCACGGTCCGACGCCCTGTTTTCTGTGCCAGAAGAGACTGAAGAGCCGCTCCGATCGGGTGTTGATCCAACTCGACAACGAACGGCTTCGGGGAGATCAAGTAGTGGTCGAGGAGGATCGACTTTGCTTTCATGCTGTAGGGGCAGTAGGACTTGGAAAAGATGATCACTAGAGTACGCACAGCTGTTAGCTTCCAGGGTTCGTAATTTGCGGGGGAAAAGACAAAGACAAGCATACCAGGAGATTGCTTCAGGATCGAGTTCAACTCGCTCTTTGCCTCAAGGTGGTCCGTAGTTTCCTCCTGTTCCTCGGGCTTCAAGTCCGACCATGATGAGTCCTGTGCATCCTTGTTCTTGGGGATCGTCATCTTCGTCCGTCCCGCAATGGGGATCTCCTCCATCTCCTCGCTCTGCTTCGCCGGTGGGTTCGCCGGTGGGATCACTGGGTGCTCGTCATTGGCACCATCCACATGCGCGGCAGCATTAGATCCTTGCCGAGGGATCGCGTCCTGAATCTTGTCTTGTGGTTTCGCATGCTTCGCATCCTCCTTGGCCCGCATTGCTTGGAGTGTGGATCGGTAGAATTTTTGATTTTGAATACTGCTTGCCTCTCCCTATATGGATGAATATATTGAATATTAGTATTGAGTGATATAAAGAGGGAAAAGAAGAAGAGTCGGGGGGTGTAGTCTCGTACCGAGTAGTAAAAGACGAGGAAAAGGATCGCGACAACCCCGACCACGATGAGTCGCATGCGCCGTTGTGTAGGCATATTGAAGTATTTTCCGTCGTGCCAGATGAACGTATTGTAATTTCGGATCGCAATGATGGGGGAATGCGAGAAAGGCGAGCCTGCACGACCCGACGCGGTTCTCCCAAATGCGGGAAGCGATACGTGACAAGAACCCCCGGGCGCCAAGAAATCCGCCGATCAAGCTTCAATGATATGGCTTGGCTCGAACATGGAACTTTCTCCGGTTTGCCAACATATGCAATCCAGAATAGATATTATGTCGTGTGTAAAGGAGTCCTGGATGACGCGGGGGGCTTTTCAAAGGAGTGTCAAGGCATAGTCCAGAGGCCCCATCTCATCCCTGAATGTGGGATTGATTTGAGCGCGATACTTGGCAGTTCGTCACTAAAGAAATGTGGGAAATTGATTCCTTGGGTAGATAGAGTAGATCTTTGAGTTTTACTGTTGGAACCGAATAGATCTGGTTAAATCAAAATTGACTGGGTATTATGCTAAATCACAGGATTTTTCGCTCCGGACACGACGCCACATGAGAATCCATATACGACGTAAATCAGCCATTATTATGCTTATATATGAGTGTATGTGTAGAGGTAGTGGGTTGAAATCAGTGTAAGCAGACCACAGAGCCAGCTGCAGCAAGAGGTGTGCTATTAAAGGAAAGGCATTAGGAATTAGAGGACTGTAGGGGTCGAGACGTAATGCGTGGGGGAAGGGGGGGGGTCCAATGGGTAAATAGAAAAGGTAGGCATGGTGTAGATGTAAATTGAATGGGATGGCAATCAGGCGTGAACAGAAAGTCCGTGTCGAGCATTCTGACTGGCATTTGCTCGGCGTTTGCCCTGGACGATGGTCGTCCAGTCTTCCCACTCCTTGGCGATCTCGGTGAGAACACTGCCCATTACTCCGGCAGAGGCCATGAGGCCGTGACCTTCGCCCTCCAAAATGCGTACTTCACAGCGCCGCATTGTTTTGCCCAACCATTGAACATTGTCCGCGGGCACACGAGTGTCTTTGCTGCCATGGTGGATGACCACGGATCGAGTGATATCCACGTAACGGAAGCCAATGGTCTGGCGGCGTTCCAGACAGATCAAGAGATCAACTGCCGGGTTGGCATTTGTGGTAGCCAGCTCCCAAATCCTGTGAGTAAGGCGGGTATCGTAGTCTTGTTGGCGCTCACGCTCTTCTTCGGGGGACTTGGCGGAAGATCCAAGAGTCGCATCACTGCGCCTAGCGTGAGCGACGGATGTCTTTGACCCACCCGTCGCCAGCTTTTCGTTTTGCTGCTGGGAATCGATCCTGACGCCCGGCGTGCTCTCTGGCATGGGCGGTTCCTGCTCCACGACAGGTGTTTCTTTCACGGGTTTGCGCTTTGTTCGGCGAGGGGATTTGGGGAGACTGGTGGTGATACTCGCGCTAGTAGCACTCATGAAACTGGTGTTGGCTATTTTAAGAAGAGATGTTGGAAGAGCCCGAAGGATCTTTTGCGAATATGGAACCGCGTTGGTTGGCGCGGGTTCTTTCTGAGAACCGATGGTAGATAGTTGAGATGGAGGGATCCATGGAGCCAAAAGATGGATACGTCCTCGGATATGTTGTGGGATTCGAAGAGCGGTGGCCAGAGCGTAGATTGCTCCGGCGGAATGTGCAAGAATTGAGAATTTAGTGACGCGAAGGTAGTTACAAACGATGGCGACATCATCTAAACTTATAATTAGTGATGACAAGTGCAATTTGCGGCGACATGAAAGACTCACCAGGCCAGCTGAGAGGGTTGCTCGGCTCGTCAAGTTGATGCGGTCCGCTCTCTCCAACACCGGGTCGGTCTAGAGTAATCAGCCGCAGATTGAGAGTTCGGGCCAGCTCGTCGTAAAACGCCATTAGATATCGGGTAAGACCCATTCCCAAGCAGCATAGCACGACATGACCTTTAGGGTTGCCCACTTCAGAAAACGCAATAGTGCGGCCGCTGGTTGGATGGACCACTCTCTGAGTTAGCTTCGGAGAGAAACAATAGTCCTCAACCGCAAGATCAATCGAATCTGCACTGGACGGTCTCTCAGTGTTAATTGAGGGACGTCCGGCCGACAAATGACCAGAAGGCGTGCGGCGGTGTTGCTTGGTCGGCGTGACTGGCTCCAATGGCCGCCTATAACGAGATTGTTCGTCTTTTTCTGATGGTGGCGTGGGAAATTGAGGAATAAAGTTGGCATTTTTCGGCGCCGAAGGCTGCTTTGGCTTCCCAGTCCGGCTTTTTCCTGTCATTACTGACGGGGATGGAGCGCTGTCATTCAAGGAAGGAGAATAGCCGTTCGCCTGATTAGACGTCGCACGGGATTGATCGGCTTGGCTGGTACTGCGCGAGGGCTTGGTTTGCTTGACAGGGGTCGTCTTCATAGACATGCCAGGGCTGTCATCTGTTTCGAGCTCGGACTTGATTCGTTGCTGTTGGTCCTTCAATTCTTGGATCCTCCGAGTCACTTGCTCGGCATCGTTGCTCGTCCCTGGCAGGCCGTTCTCCAAAACCGAATCTTTGCTTGCAGTGGAAGAATACCGACTATGACGAGCCGATCTCCGCTTTTTCGAGCCTGAGGATTGACTATGTCGGTGTCTCAGAGAGGAGTCGCGGGTGGGGATATATCTTCCGCTTCCAATGCCCCCAGGATTATTGTGGGTGTCTGGCGAAGTTTGGACTGCCGGGTGGTCTCTAGTTGGCGGGGTACTAGCTGCCAGTGCCTCGCTTGGATCTTCTTGGAGGCCACTAGGCCCATCCTCTTCTGCCACATTCGCCATGGAGTATATCGAGCGCAAACTCGCCCGATTGCGTGGGGTGTTATGACGCAAGCTGTCGTTGAGGCTATTCGTTTTGCGCAAGCGACCTTCGTCGTTTCCAAGATCCCGCGAGGATGATTTTCTCAGAAGGCCAAATGTGCCCTTAAGACTTTTTGTGCGCCCGGTTGAGCTGTTGGAAGCAATACTCGTGGCGGTCGAAACACGGGGAAGAACGGACTCTGTACTGATCGTGCCGAACGCGGTGTCTTCGGGGGCGGCCCTTACTGACGCATAAGAATCCCTCGATGCAGGCCGAGTAGACGCGTCGTTCGATTTGAATGGCTTGAATCGCGGAGACTTGGGAGATTTAGGCGAAGGCGGCGCTCTGGCCATGCGAATAACAGGCGAGGAGGCAGCATCATCCGGATGCAAGAACGGTGTGTTTTGGGGCTCATCCACCTCCGCACTAGTTCCGAAGCTCATCGCAAAGCCATGCTGCTGCGAAGGGGGAATGGTGAAGCAGGGTGCAGTGTGTGGCACTTCGGGCAAACCGGGATCGGTCGAATCTTTGGAGTCGATGCGCGGCACGTTATCAAAATGTGAGCTCAGGGGAACGGAAATCGTGGATAGGGACGATATCAGCGACGAGATGACTTCAGGTGATGTAGGATCGGGGTTTGCTCCCTTTCCGCGCAAGGCGCCTAGAGATTTGCGACGGCGGCGCCGAGACAGGAGGGCCGACTCGGCCTGCTTGGGGGCCCGGGTTTCGTCCAAATGCATAGCGTTCAATAATCAAGGGATATCAGGCCGTTTTGATTCCAAAGCCTCCTAGAGATCAACGAGATATGCCGGGTTGATGGCAGCGCGCATGATATGCAGTTTGAGACCCTTGCGAAATGAGTGAAAGCCCCCCTTACTGTTATACTTGGGGGAAGAGGGGTGGTCTGATAAGAGATGTGTAAAGGAGTGACTGGAAATAAGATACGTCGAAAATGGTAGAAAGAACGAATAGGATCATTAAAAAGGAGTGAATCTTCAAGTTCCCTCCGGATTTTTTAGCGTTTGCGCAGTTCAGCTCCCGAGGTCCACTTGATGGATCCCAATTTCCCACTCGTTTGTGTACACCCCCATTCGGGAATCATGGCGTCCCATGGTTCCGTCGACCCGGTACGTGCTTGTCAATCCTGGACCATGCCGTAGCTATAAACCTAGAAGCAGAACTATGACTAGAACCACGTATAGATCTAGATGTATCCGGCTCTACCCCATAGCCACGTGGAATGCTACCTATGCTTCGTTCTCGCACTCTAGAAGACCCCTAATTCAACCAAGTGATCGGCATAAGCCCGCGATCTCGGAAATGAGCGCGGCTGATGCAAATTTGAGCCAAACAAACGCTTGTCTTGAGCTGTCGAATAACCATCTTCGATCCCGGTCGTGATTTGCATTATCCCGGTAGCTCAATATCTTGTTGCATTTAGTGGATATATTTGATACCTACAAAGGTGGAGATGTGGTTCAGGTCTATTGTGGTTACCACCCGTTATATATAGCTTCCCCCTACATTTATACAAACCAATACTAAAATCTATAATGGAGCGAAAAGTCGTCAGCGGAGGGGTTTATTTATTTCTCCAACAATTTCATTGTGAATTTAGAATATATCATCACCCCACGGTAGTTGAAGGTTAATTATCATGAAACATGACACGGACAGCGCGTCTTCAGGGCAGCCTGACCGCCCGCCCTGAGCGGCAGTATCCCACACCCAAGCTATTCGTATCAGGACAGCATTCCCCTCGCACAGGCCAAACTCCGCTCTTTACTCAACTGGCTTTTTTCTTGCACCGTGTGAGCATCACTCACATTAATCTGCTGGGCAGCCTCGACTAGACATGCGGTGACCCATTCGCGCTACCAACCCCATTGTCCGCAATGGACGCATATCCCGAAGACTACGTCAAACACAACCTCCCCTTGGTCCTGCTTTCGGGGTTTGAATCTGATTCCGAAGATGGCTCTAACTCATCTGTTGAATACCCCCTTCTCCATGAGAGGGGCCACAAGATCTTCAGCGATTTCCCCCTGTTGAGCGGAGCTGTTGCGGAGGAATTGCGGAGAGTGTTGTTGGAGGATGATGGATCCGACTTGCCTTGGAGAGCGGGCCTAGGCTCAAATGGGAACTCTGCAGCGCCGCATATAGCGTACAGAATTAAAAGCACTGGCCGAGTATGTATATTCACTATTGCTGGCAAAGACCCTAAGAGCTGCATGCTAACATCCCGCTAGTCCTATCAACTTCCCCCGCTAAAGGCAGACCCTCCCTCGATTTCGTCTCCTAGAAGCTCAACTACCGACTCAGATACCGGTGCCAGCTCTACCACGCCATTTGTCCTCCACTCGCCCATCTCTCCCTTAACACCCAGCTCCCCCACATTTCCAGATGGCTTGCTTACTCCGCTGTGGGTGACAAAACACCAAGAACTCGTCCCTGCAGCTGTAATCAACTTCTTTCCATTATCCCTGGACCCGAATATGAACTCGTTGCGCGACAATCAACTCAAAATTGAACTTAATAGCCTGAAAAAAGAATGGTCGGAATCTGGCTTCAAAACGCGGTTCTTGACTGTCTTGATATCCGAGGAGGGTGACGGAGGATACGAGGGTGAAATTGATGATCGCGTGGCAGGCATTCGGCGAGCAACAAATCTGGATCAAAAGTCGATATTTGTGATCCCCCCGGACGCAACATCATCCGAGCTCAAAGACTTTGTCAAATCATTGTTCTCTCTGCTACAACCCTCGGTCGTGGAATACTACCGGGACTTATCCAAACATGCTCGTCGCAAGCGGAATCGGAGTAGCATCCCGCCGCCAACTGCACCTCCCACAACCGGTACATCTCAAACGCTCTCCCTGCAAGGGTGGAATGTACGTTATGAGTTTAAGCTCGGCATATTCGCAGAGTTTCGCCAAGAGATGGATGCTGCTTGCCGCAGTTACGAGGGTGCATATGAAACGTTGTTTGGACAAGAAGTATTTGAAAACATCGCAGGCTGGGATGCTCGTTTCAATGATGCGCGTCTGTTGGGTGATGCTATTGCGATTCGAATCATCCGCTGTTTGCTTTGGACGGCCCAGACAACTGCGGCGACACGTTTTTGGGTCGATCACAGGATTCGAACGAAAGATATCGTCTACCGCAGAGGCAAGGGCAGCAAAAATTATGGCTGGGAAGCCTGGGAGGCGCGGTGGTCAATGATCATGGCTCAGCTCATTCGCCGCGCAGAAGCGTCCCCGGGAGTAACTGAAGCTTCAACCAACCAGGCGTCTGACTTGTCAATCTTCACCATGCCGGAGAAATCAATCTCGGCTGGTGAGCGAGTAAACCCGTGGGAGCAAATGCATCATGAGGGGTATTGGATGTACCGCTCAGTCAAGCACTCCATGACTCGTCGAGCTCTCGCCATGCAGATCCCAAAGGAGGACCGGATTCCCCCTAGCCAAACTCCTGCCTCGCAAATCGCGAACAAGTCTTACTTATACGATACTTATCTCGCCCCAGAGACTCACGTGGAGAGCCCCGCGTCAGAACAGTCTGGCTTTAATCATTCAGAATTGATCCTGAACACGATGAAGTCTGCCCTTGAAGAATTCTCTAAACGGGATCAGAAACGACAAGTCGAGAGGCTCAGCCTGGAAATTGCCGAGGAGTACATTCGTATTGGTTTGTGGTCTGAAGGATACCAGGTCTTGCAACCGCTATGGGCGACCCTCAGCTGGCGTCGCTCTGGATGGTGGGCGCTGATGAAAAGATTCGGATGGGCCTTAAGAGAATGCGCTCTGAACCTGAAAGACAGCGAAACCCTTTTGCGAGTTGACTGGGAGCTGCTCAACAAAGGTAAGCGTCACCTCAGATCTGCCGATCTTTGATCGAAATCTCTAAAATGATATTATAGTTTTCCCGCCGAGACCTTCATGGCATTACGACATACATCGATCCCTCGAGAGCTACCCCTCCGAGAAGCCCAAGCCTTCTGTTGTTCTCCGGGCCGAGGACGTCATGACAAGTTGTATGTTTCTTTCATAATCTTAGACCCTACCAAACTGACCTTGGACTCAAATTAGTGACTGCATCCGTCGTCTTCGAAAAATCCGAGGGCAACGTCGGAGAACCTTTGCAGGCTCAACTCGTCATTTCATCATGTGCTCAAATGGTATCTGCTCCGATTAAGCTTGCCGAGGTGAAGCTTGTCTTCGAGGGGTGTCTTCGTCCAGTGAGACTTCAATCCAATCTCAATAAAGACTCCGACACGACAACCCCCTCCTGCATCTCAGACATATCACTCCGCGAACCTAGTAGCCTAGGCGACCCTAGCATTCAATCTCCCACGGCCGCTTTGGCAACACTGGTTGGAATTGCGGATTTGACGATTGGACCTGGTCAGACTAAGATCTTTAATCTTGCTTGCATTCCACGCGAAGCTGGAGAGAGTCTCGTTGCTTCTATTGCGATGCTTGTCGACGGGGAGAAGTTCGACCTTGCCTATGTCATTACTGAGTACGACCTGCATGAGTCTTACTGGTGGCAACAGACCAAGAATGGCCCTTCCCGCAGAAGAGTTGGCAAGGACCGAGATACCGGCAAATGCAAGATCATGCCGAAGCCCCCAAAGATTCGCATCTCGACACCCAATTTCAAGGAGACTTATTACACCAATGAGCGGGTGGCTCTTCGGATCGGCCTGCACAACGAAGAGGACGAAGGTGCTGATGTATCGGCGGAAATTCGACTCTTCGGTAGCCCCGAATCTACTACTAAACTTGAATGGCTTGACGGGAACGAAGGGGAAGATCCTCTGGAATCGGGAGCAAGCACCCCGACAGAGGGTGCATCCCACTTTTTGAAGCGGAACATCGGTGTTATGGGGCGGTCTTCAGATAAAGATTTCACTATTGTGTTGGCCGACACTCAGGATGCTGCGAAGTACACCCTGGAGATCTCGGCCGTGTATCACCTTGTATCTGATGTCCAGACCCCTATCATCAAGACCATTACAGTTGATCTTTCATTCGTGCGACCATTCGAAGCGAACTATGAATTCCTACCTCGCGTCCACCCTCAACCATGGCCGAGCTTCTTCTCCGTCGGTGATGACCTGCTTAGCAAAGACTCGGAATCCACACCGGGTGGATTAGCGCAGCGATGGTGCCTTAATTCGAAGGCTGTATCGTTTGCCCTGGAGCCTCTTGTCATTGAAAAGATGTCTCTGAAGCTTCTCACTGTAGGCGCTGGCTCCGTGTGCAATGTCGAGTCCGAGGCCCTCATCAGCCCAGAGACCCCCTACATCGCCCCCGAAGAGCTACGGGAGTCTAACTTCTTACTGGATGTTCAGAAGATGACTCTGGGTGATCGTCTTGCCACTCCTCTCAATTTTGCCTTGGAAATAGACTGGCGTCGGCATTCGTCTGATGATGAAACTTCACCCGATATCACCACGAGTATTCTCGAGATCCCCCGCTTCGTTGTCCCAATGGGCGAACCCCGCGTCCTCTGTTCAGCAACCCCCTCCACTACCATGTCGGGCCTGGTTCATCTGGAGTACACCCTGGAGAATCCGTCTACTCATTTCCTCACATTCAACTTGATGATGGAAGCCAGCGAGCACTTTGCATTCAGCGGGCCCAAGTCTACGGTTGTCCAGCTCGTGCCGTTGAGCCGTCATACAGTACGCTACAATATCTTGGCCGCAAAACGTGGGCTCTGGCTTCAACCCCAGCTTGTTATTGTCGACACATACTTCAATAAGACTCTTCGCGTTCTTCCAACCGGAGAAATGCGTGCAGACAAGAAGGGCATCCTGGTATGGGTTGACGCGGAAGATTAAAGGCACTTTGGTCTATCGGGAATGTATCTCAGTGAATATCACGAAGCATGTAATTAGTCTTGTAACGAATTTCCTTTCAAAAATTAAAAATCTATACATTTTACCCTGTAGCTCAATAAACAAATCATAGTAAACCGTCGAGGGCTAGTCATGTGGCCTGCCCTTATCACTCGCCGCCTCCAAACACGGTTAGCGGCGATCGGCCGTCCGCAGCTCTCTCCGCGAGCTTCGTCACTTTGGCTCATTGCGCTCTGCTAGGTGAAGAATCATTAGCAGCTTTTGCCTTTGAAGGGGTTCAATCTACCCCGTCATCATATTGTCTTTACATCCAGGGCGGATCCCGTTTCATATCCTCAGGACCCCTCTCTTTACACGCTCTCCGACGTGCCTGAGCCCACTGCCAGTCGCAGACCCCCTCAGCCATGGCGACTCAAGCGGCGCTAATCGCCGACACGATTGTCGGTATGAAGCGGGCATTGCGCAGGGAACGCGATGGTAAGCTGGCGTCAAATTTAAACCATGGGAAGATCCTCTGCTAACGTTCTGTCTTCGGTCAGATTCGGGACCAGATGATTCTATCGCCCAGCCGACAAACCGCGGCAATAAGATGAAGGGAAACGCGAAATATGTCCGTGAAGGAGCCATGGGATATATCAACGCTGAGGAATTCTACAAAGAGGTGCGTGGAACACGGCCGAGAAGACCCTTTGCGGGACCTGAGTGGCGGCGGCTTGAAAGACATCGAAACTGACGTTCATCGTTTTGGACATGAATAGAAGATCGACCATGCTGGATATACGCGTTTTATTTTGCAGCGAAATCCAATTCGCTATGACTCCGAAGGCGATGAACTCGACGAGGAGGATGAAGATTCTGAGGCTGACGCCGCCGTCGCCGAAGAGAACCCGTTCTCAGGGATTGCGCTCGAAAGTTTGTGATCCCAATACGCCATTGACTTTGTTGCCCGCAGTACTAATTTTGTCTTTGCGCAGCGCTTCTGCGTCCCCTGACGCACCCCTCCGAACTCCCGGTTCATCCTTCGCTTTCCCAATCGTACACTTCCCCAGCCCTCGACCAAATGACGGAGGCAGTCGAGGAAAAGTTGCGCCAGGAGCGGGCTCTTCTTTGGCGAGCCAGAAATCTTCATCGGTCTTTTCTTGGAGACGGCGGCTGGATGCCGTGTGGGCTCCTTGAAACCCTCGACGACCGCTACATCTTCGAGCCTAAGATTATAGGCAATGGTAAAACTGCTTCTAGCGGCCACCAAGGATTGAGCGGATCCGGAACACCGCTGGCTGTTAATGCCAATGCACTACAAGAGGACGAGGCGCACACCAACGGACTGGGGAATGAAATTCGGGGTACAGATAATGATACGGAGATGGCCGAGATTCCGATGGCCTCTACAGACCATGCGCCGAACAATGACGGCCAAGAACACATCATGGAGCTCAAGTCAGAAGAGGCGGACGCTATAGTGACGGATCTGCCCCCGCATCCAACTGGTATGAACGAAGATAACGAGAAAGCTACTGCAAATCACGCTGGAGACAAACACGAGATGGATACCTCGAAGGATGGAGAAAAGGCTGAGACTGAAGCACATCCCGAACATATAGAGGGTCAGAGCGAGGACGACATCGAGCAAGATGCTGAGATGCACGATGGGTCACCTACGCCGCCTCGGCGAATGACTACTCGTGCCCGAGCCAACGCGAACCAAGATGCCGGATCTCCTACGTCTACAGCCGATACAGCCAGCACCCTTCCAACTCCGCACCCCCTCTTCCTTGTCCCAGAAGGTGTTCGACCCGACGCAAACTTCGGCCTTCCTGCCGCCGAAGCAGAGGAGACCCGCCGTCTGCTGTGGTCCTACATACAAAAGCAAGAAGAGACGGTGCGTGGCTTCGAGCACATGCTCGACTCTCTCCTTCGCGCCTGCCACATGAAGGCCAACGTCTTGGAGTGGTGCAAAGCCGAAGGTCACGTCGGTGAATTGAGCGACGGCGAAGATTGGTACGACCGTGAGAAATGGGGCCTCGGAGAGGGCGAGGATCTGAAAAAGGGCACTGACGAGGACGAGGTGGAAACCATTGACGAACGCCAGACAACGGCCAAGCGAGGCCGTGGCCGACGACAATAGTCTTCCTCCCTTGTCCCTTTTTGATTTGCCCATAGCGTGGTGTTGGTGGTGTTCGGGACATGCATCTCATCTCTCACGTCCTTTTTAGCCTGTCTGGGCCAGGTGTCGATATACCCTGGGAGATTGGAGATAGTCAAACGCAATATGCACTTTTATTGGTATCTGTTGATATCCTTATGACAGTAATTTAGAGTTACTTGCCAGATCACATCAATGTAAGCGACATTGAACCAGTAGCCATAAATTCCTCTATATATCTTTCTAAGATTACAGTTCAACTCTCTATTAACAGCCCGTGAGCGGTTTATCTTCTCTCTCTCTCTCTCTCTCTCTTAAACACACACACCCACCCACCCCCCCTATCCTTCTACCTTTAGCCTTTTAACCTCCTCAACGCGTCCTCTCCGGTACAAATTACATCAACTATGTCTCATCCTGATCAATATTCTGGCATTATTATAACCGTTCCCATCTAATTCTGGGCTACCGAAGTAATCTATCGATATTTTGATTGATTCAGCTTCGATGCTGACTTTGAATATCAACACACGCTCGCCATATTATTAGCGCCATTGAAGAGTTCACGAAATGTGTCCTGTTCGCTGGAAATATTGCATCTACGATCTTCGCACCTCTGTGCTCGGTCTTTCTTCCATGTACTCTTCCATGTACTCTTCCATCTGCTCGGCGTAAGCTCCCCGATCTTCAGTATTTAGCTGTTGCCAATGCTCATATAATTAAAGCCTACCACTAGCACAATATGCGGGCCTTCTTTAATGTTAACCTAGATATCTTTTGGAAACATCTTTCAGAAAATCCCTTTGAAAAGTCTTCTGACTAGTTAGATCAAGCTCTTTTTTTAAAAACATTTTCCTGTCTACACCGTCCGTCGAAATGTCCTCTTCACCTTTATGTAGTACTAAGGAGAACAAATTTTTGTTATTTGGTTATAGCTCAGAATGTCCGAAGAGTTCTTGCGAACTAAATATAGGGAAATACTCGAGAATGATCTACCTCGCTGTCGACCCGCCTACTACCCGGATACCAAGCACTAGCAAATTGTTTGTTCCCATCGTGATAATCCTCCAGATTCGACGCTGCCCAAGATTGGTATCCACTCCAGTAGATACATTCAGGTCGGTCAAGCAACTCATCAAAATCCATATTGGCAACCGACAAGTTCACCACCGCCATAATGCATCTTCAATACTAGACCGTTGAAATCCATACCCGGCATAGATAGATCCACGTCTGTCCTCTGTGTCATCCATGAACAGAATGACTGTATCATCTGAACGCGACTATTCATCCATGAAAATCATCGAATTACGATAGGATGATTGCTCGAAGATAGAGAAGATGACGGACGACGGGGTCAGATCGTGCAGCCAGGGGACTTCCAGAAGACGACGCGGCTCCGTAGATGCTGCAGCGAATGCGGGACTCGGCATCCCCGTTCTGCTTGGCTCCTGGTTTCTTCAATAATGTACAATCTTCATCAATATCTAGCTGATTGGACACGTTGTATGCTATATGCCGGAAAGGCCGTTCTTTGCACCCTGTATTATTATATCATCCGGTATATCTGTGTTGAGATGCCTTGGGGTGTAAATAATTGCCTGATATGAATTGGAATGCCAATCGCCAGATAATGCGATGAGTATACATTGTTTCATGCTTGCCTCGTACATGTAAAGTGATCTTGTGCAATGAATATAATTGACCATTGATTAGGTATCAAAGCTAAAGAGCTGGCCAGTGCCAACTTGGCCTATAAAGCAAATCGCTTACAACACATGTTGGGCTCATTTTCGCGTGGGGGTTGTCGCTATGGGTGAATAATTGTCTTTTGTCGCGTAGGGAAATAAGAGAATGGTGTATGGAAAACACCCCCGCCGCTATACAGCCTCTGTACCGCAGGCTAAAGCAACGTCTATCATCTACTGCTCCAGCTTCGTTGAGGATTCGGAGACGTCCGTTTGTGCTGGAAAAATTGTTACCCGCAGCCCGGGTGAGTTCATTCCGGGCTCCTGGATGACGGTATTTTGGGTTGGATCTTGGTCTGACCGAAGATCGCCATGCGCAGATTGTGGATGTTGAATGTCCCAGTCAAACTTGCTGCACATGCATATCCATTTACTGCTTCTTGCCGCCCTGCTTCTTAGCGCGTTCGCGCTCACGCTTGGCGTAGATTTCAGCAGTGAAGGGGCTGGTGAATCAATTAGTTTGTTTCTGGAGATCATAATAGCAGAAAACTTACTCCTCCCACTTCAGAGCGAACCAGTACAGCACAAAGACTTGGGTAGTCAGAAGGATACCGGCCACCCTGCCCTGGTATAAAGCAACACCGAGGAAGTTCAGAGTGCTGCCCCAGTACATAGGCGAGCCAGTCACGTTGAATGGGAAACCGGTAACCGGAGCATCCATGAGAATGCCGAAGTAGTCACCCAAGTAGGTACCAGTCACACCGAGAGCCCACATGCTGGAAAGAACGAGAACAGAGCCGACAACGAACAAAATCCCACCGATAACGGGCTGGTGCACTGGGGCATAGAAGGGCTGCTCCGCCAAAGCGACTTGGTAAACATGGTCACGCAGGATACCCAGAGAGAAGATGGTAAAGGCGAGGAAATAGCACCCTTTGTAAGGGCCACCGAAAATGCGAGTCAAGAAGTGGTTGTGGTACTCTGTTCAAGGCCGTTGTTAGCCGACTGCAAAAGTACCGATGTCCTCGGTTAGAGAGGGATTAGACCGACCGGCGCGCGCAACGATACTGCAAAGGCAAACATGTAAGTATGTGAAGAGAATTTCTCGCGAATAGGCCGACTTACTTCCAGAAAATTGGGTTAAATGCGATGGTGGCCGCGGACACTTGCTGGGGTCAGTTCCAATCACATGCAAAACGCGGAGAAGCACCAGGGTTGAAGAAGCTCAACATACAAGCCAACGACGGGGCAGAGAAATCGACAAAATCTGTCAGGCTGGCCATGGCGCAGAATCGGTGAAGAAAACAGGAGGGAGGTGAAGAAAGGAAATGACAGATGGAAGAGGGGAATTGGATTGACTAGCTCGTGGTCGATTAAGTAAACAAAATGACGTTCCTGTTTCTCCACGGTCACGGGATCCGCGATAATGCGACTTCTTTTGCTGCCCAAGCTCTTTCGACTACTTTGGTTAAGATTCTTCACATTTTTCTGCTCATTCTTGGCTTCTGGCGCCCCGGAAAGCTGGACCTCCCAACCACTGCGATCCCCGAGTACCGTGTTTCTTACAACGTCAATGCCGCTTCGAGATCTCCACTCCTAAGCTCCGCCGAGCGGCCGTCATGAGACGTGGAGCTCTTGTGCGAGTCCGGGGAGAATGGCCCTTCATCGTCGCGATCTCGTCTTAGCGGGAGTTGGTGGCTTCATCGCTTGGGGCTTGGTAGTGCGCTGGCTGCCCATCCTTCGATATCTCGGATGGGCCTTGGCGTTGGGGGCCGCGTTGTCCTCTGCTGGGTATTTGACGCTGGTCGTCATCACTATTCGAAAGCCAAACGACAAGCTTTTCAGCCCAAAGGCCGTCTCGGTGGCTTTTATCACACCTAATAACTGGCGAAGAGATGTGCTCAATTTCCGAAAAAGCACACGTTACAGGCCCCGGCCACTATATCCGCAATCTTTTGTTGTTTCGGAAGAGATAGACGGTCTTCTGTCTCTGATAACCCGGGACTTCGTATCTTCATGGTATCACAATATCAGTCCGAATCCTACATTTGCAAACGAAATCGATCGAATGATCCGAGTCGCTCTGGAAAACTTTCGAGACAGGCTGCTCTCAGAAGATCTGATCTCGTTGGTCGTCTCGCGGGTCTTCCCCATATTGACCGCCCATCTGAAAGAATTCGATATCGCCGAACGGCAAGTTCGTGGGCGGAATCTTAATCGAAATGTGACGGAATCCGAAGAGCTGGATTTGGCTGTTGCCAAAAAGTTCCGCGATGGCCGTTTACATCCTGCAGTTGCGCTCTCTACGTCTGACCAAAAGCAGGTCCAGCAAAAATATCTCCGCAAGATTTCTGTGGGACTCCTCCCCCAGCTATTTCCAGAAAGCGTCCTCAACAGTCGAGCTGTATCTGTATTGATTCGCGAAATCATCTCATGCGCAGTGTTACTTCCGATTGTGTCATCACTTTCAGATCCAGATACGTGGAACCAATTGATAGAAGCATATGGAAGAACCGCTCTACAAGATCGGAAAACAGTGCGCAAGCTTCGGGCTGCGCTGGATGAGCATGCATCTCCGGTTCCAAAGTCCAAGCGCGGACAACCATTTCCGCGACTTTCACCCTCGGACTCTGAACGCGCTTTTGAACGTTTTGTTCGGGCCATAAGACGATGTAACAATCTGTCGGATGCCCGTCGTTTCCGTGCACTCGTGACTAGTCAGTTGAAGCGTGAGAGCATGGTTGAGGGACAAGATCAAGTCTATCTACGGCGACTAGAGACTGGCAAAAGAGTCCTGGATCAAAAGGTGTCCAAGTTGTCAGTTCCTGGAGAAGCTTCTCGTAGACTCGCCGAAGCAGTGAAGCCCCGTCGCGATAGCGCGGCCGCACCGGGGACTTCTCTTGTGGATGTACTGCATAGTGCATCCGGCCTCTCATACTTCATGGAGTTTATGGACCGCCAAAAGCTGATGTCCCTAGTCCAATTCTGGATTGTGGTCGACGGGTTCCGAAACCCATTGGAAGACGACTTTGGAGAGGACACATCGTCTGCTTCTGGGGCCTGGACAACTGCCGACAGGAACGACATGGCGCTTCTTAGTGAAACCTATCTCAACAAACCGGAACTGAAGGTTTCGGACGATTCACGACGTGCAGTCAAGGCGTTTCTAAGCTCCGGCAAACGTGCCACCCCCGAGCAGTATCGTAATGCTCGAACGACGGTATTGACTACTCAATCTGCGGTCCTGGAAGAAATGGAAAGCACTTATTACCCAAAGTTCAAAAAATCTGATCTATACTGGAAATATCTGGCGTCGGATGACGCCTCGGGCCCCCAGGTACCTACTGAAAACCAGTCTCCGCCACCCGCTGACACTTTCGACGTCCCCGAGAGACGGCCTCTACCTCCGTTAGTAGTACGGACGGGCTCACAGCCAAACACTAGACCATCGAAGGATCTTCGAAGAGCTGCTGTCTCCTCAAGTGACGTTCGGGGCATGGGCAAGCTATTTGACGATGATGATTCACCACGACGATCCATAGACTCTGAGCGATCTGGTCATATTTTTGACGATGACTATGACACAGACAATCTTGCCGTATCTACTGCAAGTCTGGGTAAAGATTCTCAAAATGGGGATAATGATACCCCCCAGAGCCAAGTCTTGGAAACTATGGAGGCGGCTCTCAACGACATCATCACCAATGAACCAAAGAATTCACGGGTCGAGGACCTGAAAGGCAGCGGTGGTTCTTCTTCCTCGCTTTTTGGATCGGAGCTTCCTGACCCTACTCGTCGCAATTCAACCGACTTATCCCGAGCCGAAGGTCGCCCAGCTGAGAAGAAGAAGAGCATTGCTACGCTAGGCCTTGTTGGTCACGGCTTACGGCATGGTGTCTTTGATGACGACCTATTCCCGGATCAGAAACAGTACTCCGAGGATGACTACGAAGAACCTGTCGGCGAAGAAAAGGACCCCGCAGATGAGGTCCATGAAGCTGCACCTGGCGACCTCGGTCTTACGGAAGCCATTGAAGTCCTGACTACCGACATCGACAAGCTTAACAGCCAAGATTCAGTACTCGAGGCATTGACCCGAAAGGCCGAGCTCACGAATAACACTGCTGAGTTGCGGATCTTGCGTAAATCCAAGGCAAGCATAGAGCGTGAGATTCATCGCAAAGAGATGCAACGCCAGCAGTATATCATTCAGGAGAGTGACAACAGTCTATACGGTCGATCAACCGTCCGGATCAAGTCTATAGCGGTGGGCAAGGAAGAGGACGATGGACGTGAATTTGCGATATGTAAGTTACATCCTCTCTGCTGCATATCCTTCGTCAAGCTAATGTCAGTGTAGATGTTGTCGAAGTTCGGCGAAACGCTGGAGAGCAGATGCCAGCTGCATCATGGGTCGTCGCACGCCGTTACAGCGAATTCCATGAACTTCACCAAAAGCTTCGCCTTAGCTACCCCTCCGTCCGACACCTGGAATTTCCCCGCCGGCGCGTGGTGATGAAGCTCCAAAAAGAATTCCTCCAAAAGCGCCGTATTGCCCTGGAGGCCTATCTCGAGAAACTTCTCCATCTCCCGGAAGTCTGCCGCAGTCGTGACCTACGAGCCTTCCTCTCCCAGCGAGCCATTCTACCCCGTAACGATACCAATACCCGCAACAGCGAAAGCGAAAGCAAGGACCTGGTCACACGTATCTACAACTCCGTCGCAGATGGCATGGACGATTTCCTTGGCAACTTCGGGGTCCTGGATCAACTGTCCACAGCAGGCCAGAATTTGATCTCCGCTGCAACTCAACAAACCGGTCCCGTCGCCGCTCAAGATCCTGTCCTCGCTACCGAAGACGCCGTCACCACCGCCGAGGCCGAAGCAGAGCTCAACGCTTTCGAGGACCGTGAGCTCGAGCCCTTCATCAAACCAATCTGCGACCTCTTCCTCGAAGCATTCGAATTAAACCGTGGAAACAACTGGCTCCGCGGCCGTGCTGTCGTCGTCGTCTTGCACCAACTTCTCGGGGGCACCATCGAGCGCAAAGTCCGTGACGGCGCTCGTTCCCTCATCCAGGATGACTCGCTCTTGCGCTTCCTCGCCCTTGCCCGGGACTCCCTCTGGCCGGGTGGTGTCCTACGCAAGTTCACCCCTCGCTCCGGCCCCGAGCGGTTCAAAAGCCGCGCCGAAGCTACCGTCGTCCTCGCAACCCTCATCCCAGATCTAGCAGGCAGCGTCGTCGGCCGTGCCAATGCTCAAGCTGCGGCTCGTCGCATCTTCGCTACACTGAATAACCAACCCCTTAACACACACCTCGTCTTTACTATCCTCGATGAGATAATTCTGGTCCTCTTTGGCAGTCGCGAGCCTGGTCGCTCCCGTTAACTGTCTTATTCCGGGCGTTTCTGAGTTAAAAATTTTCCGCTTGTTACGATTTTCCTGTTCTGTTCCGAACTAGAAGCAATGGGGATTTTCCAGCGCCATTGTATATAATTACAATATTGTACATGAAATGATAAATACATGGTTTATTTATGTTTCCTCCAACTCCTTGATTCAGAGTCAGTGCGAGTCAGCGCGCGGACTAAAGGCGGCGCGTTGTGGGCCGGAGTGGATACACTGTGCTTAGCGCGACGCCCACTCCCGACGTCAGCCCATCTATTTCTACTTTCACACTGTCATACTATGACCTACGAGATGCATCTCCCTGTGGAAATTAAATGGTATTTCCCGAGTGACAAAGGACTGAAACGGATGCCGGAGCACCTGGGTGCCCCAGTCCCCGGGTCTTCACCCGATAAGTAAAAAAGAAAAGCAAAGTACAGGCCGAAAACTCGCTCCCGCGCCCTCTCTTTAATTCTTGTTTCTACATCCCAGAGAAACGCAATTGCAGAGTCGAGACAGAGATTCTTCCCGGGTGGGAAAAGTGGAGAGGTCAGTTGGTAATAAGATCATTGCTGGGGAGGGGGTCAACCCTTGTCGTTTCACGTTGCGGTAGTTAAAATGATAGAACATTGAAAGCAGATAAAAGAGACAGTAGAGGGGGAAATAGCCGGTGTGGCTGGGCCCACCATTGGCGGGGCCAATTTATGCCATAGCGGCTTCTTCCTTTGCCTTCTTCTTGGACTTCTTGGTGCTGGGCTGTTGTGCGGTGTTCTCGTTCTTCTGGTGAACGACCAGACGTGTCCATGACTCGTCCTTGTCCCACTCGAAACCAGCGAGGTAGGGGTGGTCCAACTCGTCATCGGCCTGGGAGTTTGGGTCAGAGAAGGTACAAGGTAATGATGTGGAGTGGGAGATGAGCTTACCTTCTTCTTGAATTGCTTGTAGATTGCATCTAATGCGTCCTTGATTGTGACGCCTTTCAAGTTCCGGGCGGTGACGTGGAGGCCCAGGGGGAAGTCCAGGTCAATCTTCTTGACCGGTGGGTTGGTGAGGAAGAGCTTGAGGATATCCTTGTCCTCGACTTTTGACGGATTGGTGTTGAGTTTCCTGGAGGAAGTGAGTGGTTGGTCGAATGGGGTGGAGGGAAGTCAACGTACCACCCAGTCTTCTGGGTTTCAATGGGGAGAGTGATTTCAATCTTCTGTTCCTCTGAAGATAGGGTTGGCCTGAGTCCGAGTTGTACGAGTATGAATGGAGTACTTACCGAGATCCTTGATGTTCCAGACACCTTCGGCAGCCGTCGAAGAAGCACGCCTATGGCCCTTCGTGTCCTTGGAGACCTCCTTCTCGGTAGATTCGGGGGCTTTATCGTCTATAGACAAGCCAGCGATGGCAGAGTCGACCTTGGTAAGTGGAACAGACATGGTGGGATAGATGGATGAATGATGAAGAGAGATGGAAAGAGGAGAAGAAGAAAAGGGAGAGGGGAGAGAAGAGAGAGCAGAGAGCAGGTGACCACTTTCCCCCGCCCAAGTCAAGGATGTCATCCACGTATGAGAGGCTTCGGTGATACTCGCCTTGTAGTACACGCTTTACGCATCTAGTGGGATCTCTTGTTCTAGATGTTCCTTCAATCAAACACTACTTCATTGTACGCTCTGATTCTACGCTCTACTCTTCACTGAATAGCATCACCGGCAATCCCGGCTCAGAGCAACTGACATCAGGGGGAGATGTTTGGCTCGGACGGCAACCAATCTGGGAGCTGCACCCCGCATTCTACTCCACCCGGACTTTATTTCAGCGATGACTTCACTTTTGCTCGCTATACGTATGGTAAAAGGTCAATCATGATCAATCGCATTGATCTGATCTTACCTTTTACTACACACTATCAAATCATGACTCGTTGGAGCCGTCTGTATATACAATTCCATGCTGTTGAGGTCAGGATCACCTGATGTCATGGGCACACGCGACCATCAGGCCACAAACTCACCTTACCTCACCTCACCTCACACTTTACTTCGACATGCCATTCCGTCATTCCACTTTCCTTGATACATTCCCTGTTCCGAGATCCGACATTCGAATTCCATAGCTCACCGCATATGCTCATTGTTCCAAGTCACGTCGATCCTTCTTTTGATGAAACCGAGTGGATCCGGTTCTCCACAAAATCCGGGCTGTTCCCCCACAGTCCGTGCACATATCACCACAGCATACCGATATCCCCAACCCCGGATCGGGCTCCATGTCCCAAAATTGGTCTCTGACGTGCTCAATTTTTCAACTTAAGCGAACTCAGCTCTTGCCGTTTCAAACAGGGATCAGAGTGCGGGTAACGCGGAAAGCGATCGGCATCCCGCATACGGAAGTTAAGACATGGATCATGCAGGAAGGAGACATTGATTACAAAAAAGCGAACGATCTAAATACAGACTCAAGAGCTGCCACCATGCCACCACCACACAGTTTATCAAAGTAAAAGAGAGGCCTGGTCATCAAAGAATGCGAACCCCCTCTAACCCCAGCCTAAATAAAGAACCCGGCCGTCATCAAAGCAAGGATACCTGCGACACTCACCCCAGTCGAGTAATTCAAATTATCTGCAGAGTTTGCGGCACTGGGGCTCGAGGCTCCCGCGCTGGTGGTGGATGACCCACCGGTGGAAGCGGACGTGGACGTGGATGCGGAAGACTGGTCGCTCTCTTTCCCGAGTATACCGCCTTGGATATTCGCTGGTACACTGCTGCCGGTGGTACTCCCGGCCGCAGTATTAAATGCGGAGAGAGTGTTCGCGCCACTACTATTGATGCGCGTACAGGTTAGTACCTCATGGAGCTACATGGAGGTCATGGGAACCGCTTACCCGGGGTTGATCACGCCGACCATCCCAGCCTGACAATGTCCGACCTGGCCGCAGTAGAACCAAATGGGTTTCGTGTCATTAACGGTCAAGGTGAAGACGGGGGGCTACTAAGTCAGCGGGTCATATCGCCAATGGCCTTCACAAGACGTACCGATCCATTACTGCTTCCCGTAACGAACCCACTAGAGAAGCTGCTGTCACTCAATGGGCGACACGGCTTATCAAAGGACGCTTGGGTCACTGAGTGATCACCTGGGAAAAAGTGGAACTCCACTTTGTCTCCAGCAGCAACATTGAGAGTATCCGGAGAAAACTTCAGGCCAGACTTGCCAACGTTGATTGTTTGAACGGAACTCAATGAGGAAGAGGACTTGGTTGTGGCGGCAGTAGTAGTGGTGGTCATGCTTGTTTCACCACCGCCTCCATACTGGGCACTAACAAGCTGAGTCCACATAAGGACAAAGGCACCAAAAGAAGTCTTCATTGCGGATACTGATTGACTAAGCAACTGTAGAGATTGAATAATTATCTTTACGATGAACCAGGAATTTGCCTCCTTCTTATACCCCCGATCAAAACAAAGCAGGTAAGCTGTCATGTCATGCTTACTCCAATCTTTCTACGGGTACAAAAGAGCTTGACAAGTAAAAAACACCCGCATAGCCCCTGTACAAGTGGTCAAAAGTAATTCTAGAATAATTCTACCTTCCATACGAAAGTATAAACAGTTCATCGCTCAAAGTGGAAAGTGTGCAGAAGCATTCTATTGGGTCCATTGTAGAGGTACCGGCTTCCAACCATGAGGAATGAGGCTATCTTTAGTTGGGTGTCAGGCAGCACGGATCACGGGGATCTAGAGTGGCCTTTCTTAAGAGTAAATAGACGTGCTGATGGGTCGTCATGCTGGATCCGGGGCAACTGGATGAGATGGGGTTTGGGGTCTCGTTCTCGTATTCTCGTTCCGGGGAGGCGAAGCATCGGAGCCCCACAAGGTTTGGACTCGGGTGCCTTCCTAATTGAGTATGTCGAAAGGCTTAGCCACACGTGGAAAGTGCTTACCGTGGATGATTATACAATTTGGAGAGCAGAGCAGACACAAGAGCAAGAGGGGGAAGGTGGTGAAGAGCTCAAGGGAAGGGCATGGCGAGGAAGTAAAAAGGGCCGAGGCGCTAAACTACTATAGGGGGGAAATGAGGGTCAGTATTCACTTGAAAGTCCAACATTCCAAGACTACCCCAAATGGCGCAGTGGCTCACTGCTGACTGTTTGAGCGCCAATCCGCAGCCCTGCTGGCCCTGAAACAGGGTCGGAGGGTCTAGAACCGAGGCGGGGATGGGTGGGTAACGTCCTCTGGGCAGGGCAGTACGGACTCTTTGTCGTTTTCTTTCTCTTGTTTTTTCCTTGTTAGCTCAAGGTAATAATTGAATATACAGGGTAGGTCCAGAGAGCTTTATCTACTGTATAATGGTTGTTGTGGAGGTGGAGGAGCGGTGGGGAAAGTGTCGCGAGTTCTTTAAGGCTTCAAAGGATGTTACAAAGGGGCCCCAAACTGGGGAAGTGCGCCTCAAGACCGTGACTTAAATACACAATTTTGAAGCCGGAATACAGACTTTAAGTTTTCTTTCTTTCCTCTGAAGCGTGTTCTAACAATGTGAACTACCTCTCAAAATACAGACCTGACGAGGAAGAGGCATCAGTGGACAAGTCCGAGGGTGCAAACATCCATATGGAGAAAAAGACCGATGCTTCTAAGTTTTCAGGAATATTTCTGGTTTTTGACAGACATTGTTCCTGATGTTCGACCAGATAGTTAGAGCAGTCCTTGAGCATCCGTGTCAAATCAATCTCTGGATCCTTATGAATGACGGGTCGAGATCCCCCCGCCCAGGAATTGTCCCTAGTTTACCCTAGTAGCTCCAGACTTTGGAGATGTCTAGACCTGTCAAGGCATACTGTCATTTCTCCGGGTCTCTTTGCCTCCTGCAGTCCGATAGAAACACACGTGATGCCAATGAGGGACGCGATACAAAGGGGTATTGGCGTAGGGAAAGTCGACCAGACCAGCTATACAAAGGGCCAAAAACTACATCGCTAGGTGATCATTGTGCAGATGAAAAACAGACGCCAACAGATGCTCTGTGAAATGGCAAGTTCATTGTTCATGTTGGGCGTATAGTTCCACCAAGGCGGTGAGTACCGTTTTTCTGCCGCAGTCATCGCGCATCTCAAACCGAATCAGTGCAAGCAGCAGTCACTTTTTCCCAGCTCTCCCCACGCCCATTCAATCTCCCTGCTCTGACCTCGTGCTCATCTGTGGAGATCTTCGATTGATCCTGACCGGTGTCTTGCTCTTCACCCTCGCCTTCCGCCACCTTCCACCCTCTTTGATACCCAAAACAGAGCTCTCTCGCGCACTCTCGCGCCCTTCGCGATGTCTTTCTTCGGTGCTGGTGCCGCCGCTGCCTCGGCCGGTTCGGCCAACACTACTGGCGACATCTCTAAGGATGTGCAGCTCAATCAGCCTCCGGAGGACAGTATCTCGGATATGCGGTTCTCGCCCACTAGCGATCACCTGGCTGTCGCATCATGGGACAAGAAGGTCCGCATCTACGAAATCAAAGGCGACGGTCAGAGTGAAGGCAAGGCATTGTTTGAGCATGAAGCTCCGGTCTTGAACTGCTGCTGGTCTCCAGTGAGTTTATTATTTCTTCCGTTCTGTTCACTTTTAAAACTAACCATTGTCTTTTTTTTTCCCTCAGGACGGAACCAAAGTCGTTGGCGCCGGTGCCGACAAAGCTGCTCGTCTGTTGGATCTTGGTGCGAACGGTGCCCCCGCTACCCAGGTCGCTGCCCACGATGCCCCGATTCGAAGCTGCCATATGATTCCCAACCCGTCAGTAGGCGGGTCACCGCTCCTCATCACCGGCTCCTGGGACAAGACCGTCAAGTACTGGGACCTGCGTCAACAGCAACCGATCGCGTCTTTGGAGTGTCAGGAACGCATCTATAGCATGGATGTCAAGAACAAATTGCTGGTCGTTGGTACTGCTGATCGTTACATCAACGTGGTCAATCTCGATAACCCGACCAAGATCTACAAGGCCGACCAATCCCCTCTCAAATGGCAGACGCGGGTAGTCAGCTGCTTTAGTGACGCTTCTGGTTATGCTGTTGGTAGTATCGAGGGCCGCTGCGCCATTCACTACGTCGAGGAGAAGGACCAGTCTGCCAATTTCTCTTTCAAGTGTCACCGTGAAACCCCGCCTGCCAACCGCGACATCTGCAACATCTACTCCGTCAATGCCATTTCGTTCCACCCCGTTCACGGCACCTTCAGCACTGCCGGTAGTGACGGTACTTTCCACTTCTGGGATAAGGATGCCAAGCACCGTCTGAAGGGCTACCCGGCCGTCGGCGGTTCCATCTCCTCAACTGCTTTCAACCAGACCGGCAGTATCTTCGCCTATGCTGTCAGCTACGACTGGAGCAAGGGCTACTCTGCAAACACCCCGCAGCTTCCTAACAAGATCATGCTGCATCCCGTCGGCCCCGACGAGACAAAACCCCGTCCTGGTACCCGCAAGCGATGATCGGAGAGGCTATTTCCTTTTATGTTGGTTCGTGATGGACGAGCCACTGGCGCTATGAGCATTTTAATGAACCTTCCTTCCATATCGGCGTGTATTGTTTAAAGAGAATTGCAAATGGGATTCTTCAAGCTTGATCCTTTTTTTTTTTTTTTTTTTAGATGGTGTCTATCATCAAAAACCTCCCGATTCCAAACTACTGATCCTATTTCTAGGGCGTGATGTCTAAACTTGGATAGGAAGCCCATAGTTGATAGGGTCCTCGGAAAGTCAATCAAATGCAATGCAACTCCCACTCTTTCCAGAACACCATTTCTCGTAGATTCATGTTGATATGGTAAAATGCTATTCCGTCGAGTATTCCCTTTCTTAAAACCACATCATTCGTCCCAACCGTGACCCTTGACCAATAAACATCAATGTCGTGCGCCAAATCTGCTTCCTCTATTCTCTCTTTTCACCTTCGTCGCTTGCGCCTACGAGGTGGGGAGAGTGACCTGGGCCACACCGTCGGTGACCTTCTCAATACCCTCCTCGCTCACACTGGGGCTCTCAGCTCCGCCCTTAGCGGTGGCCTCAACGCCGGAAGTCTTGGTGGCTTTCTTGGCCTGCTTCTTAGCCTTGGCGGCGGCCTTCTTAGCAGCAGCCTTAACGGCCTCCTCGGCCTTCTTGGCCCGCTCGGCCTGGGATCCACCGAACACCTCGCGCCACTCGTCGGCCTTCTTAGGGTCAATACGAGTGAACAGGTACTCGGCCTTGCCGATCTTGTGGCCAGCCTTGAGGGAAGTAGGCTTCCAGCCGTCCTTGAGCTCATCCAGAGTGGGGATTAACTGGACGGGGGCATCGAGCTGTCTGAGAATCGACTGGGTAGTGGCGGGCATGTACGGGGTGAACACGGCGGACAGCAGGTGGATCAAGTTCAGAACGGTACCAACAACAGCGGCAGCGCGAGCGGGATCGTTGGCGATGAGAGAGTTGTCCAGACGGTTGGCCTGGATGAGACCATTGCCCACTTCGGTGATTCTCATGGCGGTCTGGACACCGGCACGGAGGTGGACGCTCTCCATTTCCTCGATATACTGGCGTGTGAAGGTGGTGATTTCCTCCAGGTAAGGCTTGAAGTCCTCGGGCACAGAGAACTCGGGGACAACACCGCCGTAGGAAGCAGTGACAAGCTTGATGACACGGTTGACAAGGTTACCCAGCTTGGCGAGAAGCTCGCTGTTGTTGGCGTCAACGAATGCGCGCCATTCAAATTGTGTATCGCCGGTCTCAGGACGGTTCTTGAGCAGGTAGTATCTCCACACATCGGCAGACACACCAGTCTCCTTGGCGTTGGTGCCGAACACACCGATGCCACGCGACTTACTGAACTTACCACCCTCGTAGTTCAAGTATTCTGTGGCACTCAGGTGGTGGTTCATAGTCCAGGTGTCCCGGGTGCCGATCTGAGTAGCCGGGAAAATAACACTGTGGAAAGGCACATTGTCCTTGCCAAGGAACTGGTACAGCTTCACGTCTTCCGGGTTGCGCCACCATTGCTCCCATTCCTTGGTGTAGTTGGCTGTAATGGAAGGGTAACCAATGCAAGCCTCGAACCAGACGTACAGCACCTTGTTGTCGAAGTTCTCAAGAGGTACCGGCACACCCCACTTCAGATCACGGGTGATGCCACGGTCCTTCAATCCCTCCTTCAACCAAGACTCGGTGATGATTTTTGAGTTCTTCGGCCATTGGCCCTTCTCGATACTCTCGTTGGCCCACTTCTCAACCTCCGGCTGGAGCTTGTCCAACAGCAGGTGAATGTGCTTGGTCTCACGGCGAACCGGGGTAGCTCCGTCTAGCTTGCAGCGGGGCTTGATAAGATCAAAGGGGTCGAGGAGGTGACCACACTTGTCACACTGATCACCGCGCGCATCATCGTAGTGGCATCGGGGGCATTCACCCTCAACGTAACGATCAGCCAAGAAGGAGCCGTGCTGCTCACAGAATGGCTGCTCGGCAGTGCGCTCGCCGAGGAAACCGTTATCCCAGAGGCGCTTGAAGATGGCCTGAGAGATCTCGGTATGCTTCTCAGTAGGAGTTCGGCCGAAGTGGTCAAAGCCAATGTTGAACCACTTGTACACTTCCTGATGAATCTTGTTGTACTTGGCGCAAAGCTCCTCCGGCGTCACCTTCTCCTCTAACGCCTTGGTCTCGGTCGCTGTACCGTATTCGTCCGTTCCGCAAATGTAAAGAGTGGGCCGTCCACAGGCTTTGTGATATCTAAAGTTGGCGCGTTAGTATATTCTTTCACAGTGTGGGGTGTTGAGTCATACCTCGCAAAGGCATCGGCACTCAGCACGGAGCCAACGACGTTACCCAGGTGAGGAACATTGTTCACGTAGGGCAATGCGCTAGTCACAAGGATATTGCGCTCGCCCTTCTTGGGCAAAATCGGATCTGAAGCCATTGTGTTGTGGGAGTTGTAACTGATGGAGGGGTGCGGCGGGAAAATCGAAAAGTGGACATCTCGTGACATTACTGTTATCCGCCCCGCATATCAAAAATTCCTTTGTTCTTGACTCATCGTCCGCAATTTTTACCATGGAGTCAAATCTGCTTGATAGCCTCCTTGACTTGGAAGAGCAGTTCTATAATGAAGGCTACGAGCTGGGAGCTGCCGATGGGGCCAAGGCGGGGTACACCGAGGGCAGCGTCTTCGCCGTGGAGAAGGGCTTCGAGAAATTCGTGGAGATGGGCAGACTATATGGAAAAGCTTTAGTCTGGGCTCAACGCCTCGCGGATTCAAAGTCGCCAGAACCGTCCGAATCGCCATTGGGTCAATTTGTGACACCAGACACCCTCTCTCTCGAGCCGTCAATTTGCAAAGAAATGCCGAGTCTTCCGTCACATAGTGTGCGCCTGGTCAGAAACCTCGAAACTCTGTTGGAGCTAGTTGATCCAGCTTCTCTGGATATGAGCAATACCGAGGAAGCTGTGAATGACGTGGATGAGCGCTTGAAGGGAGCCGCTGTCAAGGCCAAGCTTATCCAGAGAGCCATGGGCGAGGGCGAAGAGCCTCTGGGTACTTCAGCAAATTCCAAAGATGGCCAGAAACCTGGTGATGGAACGGGCAGCATCGAGGACATCAGCTCGCTGAATATTCGTCACTGAGGAGATTCCACGAATTTTTCGAAGTACGAAATATATTATCGAACTTTTTTTCAAACACGACCCGGAAGTGAAACCGTCTACAGAGAACCACCAGCCTTCTCCTGCGCGCGAGTGTACTTGCAAACTCAATGGAGACTATCCAGTACTCTATTGCCAGGAAGACACGCCCTGGGGACTATTCCTTAAAGCAATCCCAGACTGGCTCCACGGGTTGTACACACCGGCCTTCCAAAATGCATTCCATCGAACGGGATTTGAATGGTTCAAAGGTTACTCTTTGCAGCTCTTCTGAGCCTTATCTGGTACATGTACTCTCTACTGGCTGTCATTTTGTCGAAAGTGGTCTATTTCCAACACTCCACCTCGATTAGCCTGCTCAAGAGGCCTGCTAGATGTTTCGGCACGGGCATCGCTGTACGCTGAGGAAGTTATGGCCATGCGTGCAGTGGAATATGAGGCTCTCAGCCGCCTTAAGTAAAAGAGCCCAAAATTTACAGATGTTCTAACAAAAATCTTGATTGATGTATCGGGGTAATCTTCATTTTATGTCATAAATAAATTATCTTAACCCAAAAACCAGACACAACTTTTGTCTCGTATCATCCGTATGCCTCAAAAGTCTCGTCATAAATCGTTACTCAAGACTGCGCACAGCCATGGCCATGGCACCCTCCCGTGTTTTGTGGCCACCGATGAATCCACTGGCATGCACAAAGATGGCACCCTCAGGGAGCTTGGGTTGACCGGCCTTCTCGGCCTCGGTGGCCATCACACCATCAAGGTCCTGGTCACGGACACCGCGCCAAGCCTCGGGGAGGGGCTTGCGAGAGGTGAAGCTGCTCTCAGACACAGAGACACACTGCACGCGCCACTTGGAGTCCTCAGCGGCGCTCTCGGGGTACAGAACATAGTATACCTCAACGGCAGGATCGATCTCCTGGCCGCTGGAAGCATCCTTCTCGAAGTTGTAGAGGTGCTCCTTCCAGGGGACACCGCCCTGGGGAAGCACGAGAATGCGGCCGGAAGAGTGGACTTCCTTGCGCGACTGGTACGCAGCGCCGACGGTGGTGCGGGCCGGAAGCCATGAGGTGCAGGCGTGGTGAAGCTTGCGAGCAAAGACATTGCCGATGAGTGTGCTGGCCCGGCCGAACAGGCTATCCTCGTCCTGGGGCTCACCGGGAGCGCTGATGGGATCGGGGTTGTTCATGTCATTGACGATGGAGGAAAGAGTGACACCACCATTCTTGAAGCGCTTCTCCAGCTTGGCAGCAGTCACTGCGGCGGCGTCGTAGACCGAGATACCGTTGTCATTGGCATCGACAGCCTCGACAAAGTCGGTGTAAAGCTTCTCGTAGATGAGGTCGACATCAGCGTGGTCCTCGGGCAGAGACATGTGCTGGGCAATGATAGCGCGGCCAAAGTGCATGTAAACCAGACCAGCAGAGGAGAGCTTGGTGTTGTGGTTGGGGAAGGTGGTGTCAAAAGTACGCTGGTGGTGATCATAGCGGTTGATGGCGGCGTCATACACACCACCAACGTCGACCACAGTGTGGCAAGTCTCTAGCTGAGCCGGGTCGCGGGTTCGCACAAGAGGAGAGGCAGCATAGGTGGGAAGCAGGCGGAGCATGTAGACCGCCAGAGCCTCGTCGGCGTGGAAGTGACCACTAAACCCATAATTTAGTTTGAAGTTCATGGGATGGGAAATATCGAGCTCACCTGTGAGTCCCAATCAAGGGGGAGGAGATCTTGAGCTTCTTAGCAGCAGTTTCGGCCATGGTGAACCAGCGATGAAAACGAAGCATATAACTAGAACAAAGAAGATATAGAACTGCGCAAGCTTATGATTTGCCGGGCTCTGGCTGGCTGCTGGCTTATCCGCCCGTCCGTATCGGGAAAGCAGGGCTCGACAATAGGGCACATTGCTGTCACCTGACTATAGCTTGGCTCGCTGTTTGCGGAAAACGTGCACAACAATGCGGTCAAGTACCGATACTTCATTGTATATTGCTATATATAGAGAAATGAGGTACCGGTACTTGGCCCTTTCATCCATTAGGTCTCCCCGTGGTTTACGTTCCCGAGTTCCTGCGTGATGTCGTTATCGACTCGATCTGAGATAAAGATCGTGGGCCTCAAAGCTCCTTCGTAGAATAAAATCATAAGGTCTAGAGCTGACGGCCCTAGATGTGCCGTGTGCTCTGACCGCCAGTCTGACCCCTGGTACATGTAGATTTTCAATTCTCAACTGGGATGCACGAGAAGCTATTACGATACCTTCAGGGCTTACATCTCTTGAGGAAGTGAAGTTACCCAAAGCTGTACAAGGTGGCCCACTCCACTCTCTTCCTCCTCTAGAACTTCATCTCCGGCGTTACACAGCAATTCGCTCCTTGACCCCTCGGGTCCACGTGAAGGGCGATAAGGTCAAAGGTTGAGAAAAAGAAAATTAGTCGTGTGCATTCCCCCCTTCTCCTCCTCACCTTTTCGCGATTCCGCTGCGCCCCCGCGCGTCCTCCCCGATGTGGCTCTTTCGAGTCTTCTCGTCGGCCGTCTTTCTCGCCGTGACGATATCGTCCATCCCTCTCGCTTTCGATGTCGGCGGCAAGACGTGCGGTCTGGCCTTTTCGCTATCCCTGGCCACATTCTACTTCCTCTTCTCTCTACTGAGGCTTACGACCCCCGAGCGCTCCTGGTTCCGTTCCTCCCTCGTCACCGTCATCCGATCCACGCAATGGATCTTGATTCCGATCCTGTTGATCTGGTCCTTAAATCGCTTCTCGGAGGATGCGGGAAGTAACGGCGGATGGGTGGAGCGCACCTTCAGTGCGAAGCGGGCGCAGGATAGCTCCGTTCAAGAGTGGCTCTTCGGTCGCGATGGTCTGGTCGAGAGTGTGACCCTAGGCAACTGGGACCGGCTTTTGAGATGGTCAACTCCCGTCTTCCAACTCGCCGAGGGCTTCTGCAGTTTACTGGTAATTCAGGCTGCTGGACAAATTACTCGCTGGCTCGTGAACCGAGGCGGACGAAGTGACAGCTGGATGGTATGTGTACTCTGGCAACCTGTGTGTGTTGCGACGCGAACTAACTTGGTTGTGAGCAGATCGGCCTCCTTGTCCTTTCGGCTACCGTCATCTCGAGCTCTGTCTACTTCCTCTGGCGCGTTCTTCAGTTCCCCGAAATCTCCAACGTGGATGCCGCTCTGATTGGTGTCTCCATCACATGCGCAGTCATCCTGTGCGCCTGGGGTATTGGCAGTGGGCGTGGAAACCCCGTCGAGAGCTCTCTGCTCTTTGCGTACATCGTTCTCTGCATCTATCAGATTTTCACAGACTACAAGCCCTCGTACCCTGTGGAGCATGCACCTTCACCTTCGCAGGCTGGCGATTTCCCTCCGCTCCCGCCGATTATCATGGCGTCGTACACCACGCTTATACACGCGTTATCCCTGCTGCCTTCGATCATCCACGCGGCCTTTAACGTGATTACCGCTGTGTTCAGTGCAGTGACACCATCAGTACTGATTTCACTCGCCTACCGACTGCTCGTGCTATATGCCTCAACACGAATTATTCCTGCCGTGCGCGAATCTGGGGCCCGCGCTCTTTCCCAGGAAGCCTCTCTCGATGACTCGGACGCGGCCGGTCAGCTTCTGGGCTTCTTGAGCTATTTTGCACCGACCATCCTTGTCGCGGTCTACACCAGTCTTTTGATGCAGCATTTCTCATCAACCTCCCAAGCCATAGGGGGCAGCGGCGAGTGGTGTAGCACCCAAGGCGCTGGCGGTGGTAACTTGTGGAAGTGGATCAATCTTGCCTGCACAACAGCTCTCTATGCGGTTGAGCTCTGGCTTGGAGAGCACGATGACCTAGACAGTGGCCTAGCCGGTCACTGGAAGACCGACTGAGCGAGTGTCATCAATGCGGAGTGAGACCGGCATGTGTCTGGTCCTCCCGAATCATCGCTCTCTCCTCGTGGATCGGAGACTTACAGCCTCCGATTCCAGTAAACCCGATAGCAGCAGTAGCTGGAAAACGCCATGGTGAGGTGCATTGCCTCAGTCAAGCCAAAGCACCTAATCTGGCAGACAGGTCGCGCTGATTTTCAGGAACAAAGATTTTTGGGGCTTGCTGATGCCATGTACCTCCAGTCTCGTTTCAAAATGAGATAGCTTTCTTCACGATACATGGCCCTTGCCCTTATCCTGCCTTTTCTTGTCCAACATCATACACGGCGACCTGTTGGACCTCTTCTCCGGCAACGGTCTCTTTGAAACCTGGCTCTTCCCCCTCATGTATAACCCCATCATTTCTCATGTACACGGAGCACAGGTCCTTTCCCAAGGGATACTGTACCCCAAGTCATGCCTGCTTCCATTTTGGAGACATGTATGTCTTCCCCACCTTGATGACCTCCCCCATGATACCAGCGTCAATCCTTGCTATCTTTTCCGCCTTGTCTTATCCCGATATTCTCTGGGACTTATACCCTCCATCTCGTCTGCCCTTTCCTTTCAATACAAACCTTGCTTCCGTCATTCCGAGTAAAGAGCTGAAAACTCGGTTTCGCCAAGTTCTGTACATAGATATACCTGCTTCGTCTCTAAGCCCTCGCTCTAGCGCAATCTTTGGGGACTTCAATTAGACATGATCTTTATCTTTATCTAGGCAATTTTAAAGAGTCCCTTGGAATTCAAAGGAAGTTCCTTGTAAACATATTAAACAAACGGGATAGATCGAGCATTCTGCGTAGAACTATTCATGAATACGAAATGGGTACAGCGTAAAATGCAAAAGACGTTGCTGTAAACGTTAAACAATAACACAAGATCGCGAAGATCGCATGGACTCGAAAAAACTATGAACAAGCCGAAGAATGGGAGGGATAAAGCCGATGCATGCTGAATGTCTCAGCAGTCAAGAACCGAGACTGACAATGGCTGACAATGGCTCGGTCGAGTCACTGCAAGTCTCCTTTTTGTAGGGTTTTCAATATGAAGCCTGCCATCCCGTTTCCACCTATCCTTGTTCTTTCCTACTTGCCCTGTCCTGCAGTGCATCTCGTCATTCCCGGAAAGATTCATTCCCCATAGCGCCAGGCTTTTGAACCAAAAGACCAATATCACTCCCAAACCCGGAAAAGTAAAATGCAAATGTGAAATGCTGGGTGTCGTTCATCGGCGGATGGGCATGCCCTCTCGGGCAGCAGGTGGGCTGACGCTGAGCTCCTTGGCTTCCTTGTCGTCGTCGGGGCCGACGGAGCCTTCGCTCATGCTGGTGCCGCGGTGCAGGAAGCTGCCTTCCTTGGCGGGGCTGCGGCTTTGGAACCCGATTGAGCCCGGGTGTCCGCTGATGCTACCAGGGATATGCTGGCCCTGTGCGTTCACGCCGCCGTTGCCGGCTCCGTTGTTGGCTCCGGGCGAGGTTGCGGTGAGGTGGGGAATGTTTTCGGGCACCGGGTGTCGCGACCCAATGCTGGTGACGCCAACGTCTGAGGCTTTGCCGGCTTTGCTGAGGGCGTAGTCGCCTGAGTCGAAGTATTTTCGCTCCTATGGTGGGGGCAGGTAGTTAGCAAGAGGGTTTCCGAGAGGAGGGGTTTGGAGCTGGAGACTGGGAGATTTTGACTCACCTTGAGCTTGTTCTGGAGCAGATCTTTCTTGTTGGGCATCTTGCCGTAGAGACGGAAGAGTTTCTGCTCCTCCGGGGTCATGGCCTGGATGGGTTAGAATCATTGTGAAGCAGAGAAGTGCTAGAGACACTCACGTTGATGTCCACCTTGTTTTGCTGGTGGGGGTTCATGGTGGCTGGGTAGGGTGAGGTAGGAGAGGAAGTAGAGTATAGAGTAGAACGGAACCAGGTGCGACAGTTGAAAGAGAGTCCCACGATGACTTATGCAATGGAGCTGTAGAGATGGGAACAGAGAGAGAGAGAGAGAGGGAGAGAGAGAAAGAGAGAGTTACGGGGTTCTATCGATAAGGCGCGGGGCCCGGCTGCAGTCCTGACACATCAACTGCGATCCGTTTCTGGTTAAATTCTTCTTCTTTATTTCTAGATTCATTCGCTAGACTGTGTGACTATGTGACTATGTGACTATGTGACTATGTGACGATGTTGCTGAGCTCAATCTACGAAACGAGTGGCTGAGGTGTGGAAGAACTGTACGTCATCAAGGGGCCAATGACTAAGTTGGGTACGAGATAAGTCTGAGAGTCCATGTAGGATTCAGAACAGTCCAGTTCCTAGCAATATGCAAATGACTTGAATGGGAAAAAAGGTAGAGAAGCAGAAGAAGAAGCTAAAAAAAGCCGGGGAAAGGGCGTAGTTGGAAGGTCGCCGCATCCGCACATTCACATTCCACAATTAAGTTTACATTGCGTCGTCCACCCGCTTCAATTTTTGCAACCCCGCCATGACTGACAAGAGGGCCTTTGTGGTCGAGCACCTGGATCCCGAATTGGGACAGTGGTCGACGCTCGAGTATGCCTGTATCGCTCGCGAGTCTCATGCTCTTGGAGCCCGATTTCTGCTGAGTTCGGTGCCCGCCGAACTAAGCGGAAATCTGCCCGCCGAACTGGTCGCCACTGAGGGCTTCGAGGTCGAGCAGCGCAGTGTCGAGGAGATCTACCCTAAGGACAAGGTCTGCCTGTTGGATCCTTCTGCTCAGGTGGAATTGAGCCCGGAAGATGGCGATACCTTTGACGTTTTTCTCTTCGGCGGCATTCTGGGTAGGAACCCTTTTCTCTACGGGTTAAATTTGAGCTAACTTGGTATCCAGGCGATGACCCGCCTCGCGGTACGTCTACAACGATAGACGGGGCTGAAACATCACTAATGGAATATAGATCGCACCTCGGAATTGAGGAAAAAAGGCTACACTGGTCGCCGATTAGGCCCGAAGCAGATGACCACCGACACCGCTGTGCGAGTCACTCGCATGGTCGTGCATGAGAAGAGTAAGACAAACTCAGCTATGGAACATGCTATAACGTATACCTAATACCTAATGTTACGCAGTTCCTCTCGAGAAGATTGACTACGTCGACTACCCGGAAATCCTGATTAACGAGCACGAGCGGACTGAAATGCCGTTCCGCTACGTGAAGGACGCTCAAGGCGAGCCGATCATGCCCAAGGTTCGGGACCCCCCTTCGCCCTAGGGTTAGCGCTAACCAGTCTTCAGGGGATGGTGGATCTGATTAAGAACGACGCCGACAAGGCAGTCGATGATCTTTTCTAATTGGAACACCCCAAAAAAGCCACCGTCAGGAATAATATCCTCCGAACGCCGGTTTCAGGATGGAACTCGCTCGGTTTGAATTCCAGGGGGCTTCAACATGTATGAAATGAATAGAAAAATGTATGCGTACAAGTTATAGACGAAGACAAGCCAGGATAAACCTCTTGAGCCCAAAAAGGCCGTGAATAGTGGCGCATCTATAGACCGCTGAATCGGGGAACGGGGCATTCGAGTCCTAGGCCCAAGGTTTGGTTAAGTATTCGTATGTCATTATCAAAACATTGTAGTGTGTATCCTTGTAACTTACATGTAATACGATAATCAGACCGTACATAGTAACGCCGCGCCGAGGCCACGCCAGCATCTCCTGGAATCTGGACTCCGCCCGTTCCGCTTCTTTGACTTACTCGACCAAACTACTTCGCATTTTCTTCTTCTATTCCTTCAAGAGTGCACAGCACTCTTTTAATACCAGCTTTCCGCCCACTCCCCCTTCCCGCGTCCGACCTCCTTGCTGATCCGTCTCCGGATTCGATGACCGCCTAAGCTGTGCTCAGTCCGCGCGGACCTGTCTTGACACGGTTGACGAGCTATCCCCTGACGAGATCCTATGAGCTCTATACTGCCGACCTTCTAAAATACTCACCATGCCCTCCTTCGCTCGCTCGAAGAGGGGCGGCGCCTTAGCCATGCTGTCATGGACGCTTTCCTTGGCGCTGAGCCCGGTGCTATCCGTGGCCAGCTCAGCTGCCGATTACTATGTGCACGACCTGCCTGGAGTTCCGGATGGACCTATCTTGAAGATGCATGCGGGGTAAGTCGATGCGATTGCAATCACGCGACACGCGACTAATCGGGACAAACTGTACAGACACATTGAAGTAGACCCTGCGAGCAATGGCAACCTCTTCTTCTGGCACTTCCAGAACCAGCACATCGCAAATCGACAGAGAACTGTTATTTGGCTCAATGGTGGACCCGGATGCAGCTCTATGGATGGCGCGCTGATGGAGGTTGGCCCTTACCGACTCAAGGACGAAGAGACATTGGAATACAACAAGGGTTCTTGGGATGAATTCGCCAATTTACTCTTTGTCGATCAGCCTGTCGGCACTGGCTTCAGTTATGCCAATACCGATAGCTATCTTCACGAGTTGGATGAGATGTCGGCCCACTTTATGATCTTCTTGGACAAGTTCTTCGACATGTTCCCGGAGTATGAAAGAGACGATGTACGTGTTTTGATGCGCCGAGGCAGTTTCGGAAGAGGTTGGTTTCTGATACATCACAGATCTACATTGCAGGCGAATCGTACGCTGGCCAGCATATTCCCTATATCGCGAAGGCCATCCAGGAACGCAACGAGGCAGCTGTGGCGAATGGAAAGAGTAAATGGCCGCTCAAGGGCCTGTTGATCGGCAATGGTTGGATTTCGCCAGCCGATCAATATCCCTCCAACTTCGAGTTCGCTCAAAAGGAAGGTCTGATCAAAGAAGACACCCAAACTTTCCGCAATCTCGAGGCCTTAAACTCCGTATGCTTGTCGAGGTTGGAAACTGCTGGCTCCAAGGACAAGATCAATGTCCAGGAATGTGAGAACGTCTTCCAGCAAGCCCTGACACTCACCACTAAGGACGGTATGTGCTACAACATGTATGACGTTCGTCTGAAAGACACCAGCCCCGCGTGTGGCATGAACTGGCCTCCGGACCTGGAATATATGAGACCTTATCTCCGTCGGGACGATGTGGTGAAGGCTTTGAACATTAACCCTGCGAAGATGTCTGGCTGGGAGGAATGCTCCGGTCTCGTTAGCGGCGCTTTCAGGGCAAAGAACTCCCGGCCGTCTGTCCAGCTACTCCCTGGCCTTATCGAATCCGGTATCAACATCCTCCTGTTCAGCGGTGCGAAGGACTGGATCTGCAACCACATTGGAACCGAGACTATGATCCACAACATGAAGTGGAAGGGTGGAACTGGCTTCGAGACTTCTCCCGGTGTCTGGGCTCCCCGTCACGACTGGACCTTCGAGGGCGAACCGGCTGGTATCTATCAATACGCTCGCAACTTGACCTACGTCCTTTTCTACAACTCCAGCCACATGGTTCCCTTCGATCAACCCCGCCAGACTCGTGACATGCTTGACCGATTCATGAACGTCGACATCGCCAGCATCGGAGGTCGTCCGGCCGATTCCCGCATCGATGGCGAGAAGCTGCCTCAGACTTCTGTCGGCGGGTACCCGAACAGCACCGCCGGAGAGGAGCAGCAGCAACAGAAGATGAAGGAGACCGAGATGCACGCCTACACCAAGTCTGGTGAGGCCATCCTCGTTGTGGTCATCATTGGTGTTCTCATCTGGGGCTTCTTCATCTGGCGTAGTCGCCGTGCCCACAGGGGCTACCGCGGTGTGGGTGGGAACGAGGTGAACGACATGAGCAGTTCAGGCCTCGGTCGGTTCCACAACAAGCGCTCGGCCAACGATGTTGAAGCTGGCGACTTTGATGAGTCCGAGCTAGATGATCTCCATTCCCCGGGTATGAACCGGGAGCATTATGCAGTTGGTGATGTCAGTGATGACGATGAAGAAGGTTCTCACCCGCTGCATGAGGGCCATCGATCATGATATGAGCAGCATGCGTTGGGTGTGGTGTCTCGGTTTCTATGTTTTTCCTGATTCCCCCTGGTTTTCTATATGCATCTGTACAGAGCTAGGCGTACCGTCTGATCTTCGATAGACTAATTATATTGAGTGTCATTCAATAATATCTTTTCAAATACGTAATGAACTGAATCTGGAATGTAGAATCATAGGTAAGATTAGCTTGAGATAGACCAATCTTCTCATGTCTATATGTGAATCTCTTTCTATAAGACAAAAGCCTCTATGCCTACGGTTCCAATTGCATAGGTGGCTCATCGCTGCAGCGACCACACCTTGACGCTACCATCATCTGCAGTCGTCACCAAGATCTCCTCCGCCGCACCCTCTGATCCACGATCCGCCCGGTTCGCCCAAGCCACATGATTCATCTCATAGATCCCATGTGCTCCGTCAAAGACGGCAAGGATTGCCCATTCCGTCTGTAATGAAGGCCTTGTGGAAGGCTCGGTCTCCATAGCATCTGAATCGGGAGACGGCGCCACAAGTCGTTCTTCATATACCACAATGCGTCCATCGGCACCGACAGATGCAATGAGTCCAGTCTTTTGGCTCCACGCAACAGCGTAAATAGCCAGCTCATGTGCATGGGGCAGCAGTGCGTCCTCCTCCCACGTCTCATCGGTACCCGAGGGCCGGATAATGCTCGGAATCCCAGTGGCTGCTGACGAGCTCATTCCCGGCTGTGAGGTCTCCTTAGGCAGACGGCACCAAACTCGAACTGTGCGGTCGTCCGAGCAGGAAACCAGTCGCGGCCCGGAAAGAGCTCGTTGCTCTTGCCATTGATTCTGCAGATCGCTCGACTCTGACGCCGGCATGGTCTCAGGCCCTTCCCAGTTAAGGAACCAGACTGTCCCTTCGTGCTTCTTGATACACGCGACCTGGCCCCAGTCATCCAGATCCTCCCGCCACAGCCGAATGGTGTCGTCGTATCCGCCGCTCGCGAGACATTCTTCAACAGGGTGCCATGCAACACATTTCACATCACCGCCATGCTCCTGCATCACAGCGACCGTCTCGAAATTGTTGTCTCCATCGTCCAGATCCTCCCAGATCCAAATCGACTTATCGCGTGCACATGTGGCAAGTAACATCCCCGACGGAGACCACGAAACAGATTTGACTTCGCTATCGTGTCCATCCAGAAGAACGGCAAACCGCCATTCTTCATCTTCGTCGGCGTTTGATCCGGTCACGTCTTGTTCGTCACCATTGATAGCTTCGTTGTTCCTGTAGCTGTCCCATCGTCGCCAGATTCCAACTGTGGCGTCGAAGCTGCCCGTGGCGAGTACGCTCTCGCCCTGTACGTGTGGTTTCCAGGCGCATGTTCGCACGCTGCGCTTGTGACCACCGGTAATGGTTGATAGGAGCTTGAAGTTGGTGAGCGAGTACACCCGCACAGTCTTGTCGGAGCTACATGTCGCAACAATTGGGAGTGTTGGGTGTGGCGCCGTGAGCCATGTCCGCTCTAACGAGGGAGGCGTGAGGTCGGATATGAGGGAAATGCGTGGTTCGGCCATTATGAGGGGTTTGGAGGTTGGAGGTCGGTGACGGAGGGGAATTTTTGGGAGTGAATGTGGGGTTACCAGCGATTAGATAGTGTAGTGGTGGAACGCATGACATAATGAATACAGTTGCGGCCTGAGGTGTCACGAATACCTTAGGTGTAAGCAGCAGCTTCTACATGAGGATAGAGAGAGAAGAGGCATCTACCCAATTCATTCCAGTTTTCACTACATTCTTTCATTCAACATGCTATATTAAGTACATTCCATACGGGCTCAGTCGGGAAAAACCGTACGGCCTCATTTAGGATTGCTGTGTCCAGGATTGCACGTACGACCTCACGGCCTCACCAAGGACATTCGCGACCTCCCCTAGGACGACCTCTACTACGTGCAGGTTGTGTGTGTGTTGTTCGTTGGTTGCTGTTGCCCAGTCTGTATTGTCAGACAGCCATCGAGCCATCCCCTTTTCATATTGGCGTCCCCGGGAAGGCTCGTTTTTGTTAGGGCACCTCACCATACGAAGGAACACACGTCTGAAGGGTGGCGATCGCATTTGACCCTGAAAAGGCTATCAGATTGTACGAGATCTCAAGCGGGAGATCTATCACAATCACCAGTGATAAGGACGATATATTCGGCACAGACAACCAAGAGGGGTTAGCCGAGATGCAGTATTCGCCTGAATACACCCAGTTCCTACGGGGGATGCTATCTGATTGGTATACTGGAAATGCAGTAATGCTTCGGAAACTACTGAAGATGCAGCCTATCCAATTGAATACTATAGCCGAGCAGGGATGCCCTGGTATCCGATGGCTGTGGCACTCTACGACTCAGCTGATACTAATGCAAACAATTCTGCAATATAAATTGCAGCAAAAGGAAGCGGCCTTAACAAAAAATTACACAAGAAGAAGAAGAATTATTGAAGAGACACGACAAAAATCATAGTGAACAGAGTCAACATTTCTTTTCGGCCGAAAAGCTATCTCCTTTCTGCGAGCGAATAGCAGACCACGGCGCACCAGATCTCATGGCCCCTGAGCTACCACACCCTGAGGGTATTGCACCTTTCACTGATTACCGAGAACCAGCACCAGAAAGGTCCGAGTCGGTCCACAGCGGTGATAGTCATGCGGATCATGAGCACCAGCCAATACGATCACCCCTAGCCGAATCATCCCGAATAGTTCAGACAATGCCTATCCCTTACACAGTCCAAGTTCCTCACTTCTCCGCGTTGCCAGCTCCAGGATCCCCAGGGGCACCATACTTTGACGAGACGGATGTCTCTGAGTTCCTGGAGAAGCTGCAGGATACGTGTTTCAGGTGTGGCGTTAAAAACAATGAGGATATCATGGGTATATTGCCTCAATACTGTGCAAAGGTCACCAAATCCTGGGTAAAGAGGCAGAGTTCATGGCTGAAAAAGGACTGGGATACCTTCAAGGAAGACTTCTTGGAGCACTTCTATGATGACGATAGTGAGCAGCAAAGGTACACGAAGACATACCTTCAATCCCTCGCCCAGGTCAAGCGGACAATGCAAGACAATATCCGTTCGTACCTCAATGAGTTCGATGATATATCTGGTCGTGTCCACTCAAAAGGCGAGGTTAGTGATGTGGATAGGGCAAGCCTCCTTATCCAAGGACTTCCGCAGCAGCTCAAGGAGAAGATTATTAGAAGGCATTCTCGCAAGCAGCTACCAAGAGGGACTTTGATCACGTATTCGGAGGCATATATAGCGATCAGATCGTATGTTAGAGAGGAAACTGATATTCAGAGGATTCTTTCGACTGTCGAATCTCCTCCGAATAGTAGCAAAAGTGCTCAGCAGCTTCATCCCCCACAGACACAGCATACTACCGCCGCAAGGCCTCAGGAATATCGGCAACCTATTACTATCCAGAGCCAACGCCAGGACGACCAAGATAGGAAACTCAAGGAAATGCAGTCTCAAATGGAGGCACTTGCTCTCAAGGTGCAGGCTGGCCGAGATATGAGGAATGATGTTCGGTACGAACCAGACAGGAGAGGTCCTTCGAACGGTCTTGGAGCCAATCCTCCACCGAGATGCTGGACATGTGGAGGCGCCCATTTCTCTCGACCAGACCAATGTGCGGCTATTCGCGACATGCAAGGTCGTGGTATCATGCATTATGATGCTATGAATCAGATGGTTCTAGGCACTATTGAGCAGCCAGGACCGAGGTTGCGTGTGGTCCCAGGACAACTGAACCAACAAACCTTTCAAGCGCAGTATGATAGCTGGAAGAATCAGGGATCGTATGGAGCTACTACGCAGTCAGGTAGTAATGCTGTTCGCGCCACTATTCCGGTTTCAACTCATCCTACGGACCCAAATGCATCACAGCAACCCATATATTTGAGTGATACAGCGACCGACTTATACCCTGCGCCTGTTCGATCTGTAACTGCCACCCTTCTTGGTACGGCACCTGCATGGGAGAGGCTCGAAGAAAGTGAGGATGAGGAAGCGATCATTCCATACGGCGCTGTCAACGCTATTGAAGGTCGTCCGGTAAAGCGACGCAGAGACCAGGACATTGCTAGAACAAGGAACTCCCAGACTGGTAGATACCAGCCTCACGTTGAAGATGCCGATGATGATGTGATGCAAGACGAGCAGCCCGAAGAAACTCAAACCGTACGGCCTCAGCGGGAAGCTGTTCAGCTGCATAACCACGCCCCAAGGAGGATTCGCGGCCCTATCGATCCAGACATTGTTCAGCGGAGATCACAGCTTTCGGATGTCGTGATGCGAAAGATATGGGACACAGAAATCACTCTCACGATTGGTGAACTTGCAGGAACTGCCCCAAGGATACGTGCAGGTATGGGTAAGGGTGTTAGCATGGAGGTTATCAACCAGCGCATAAACGAAGTCCTCTCACAAGCACAGGCGCAAACGAATTTCACTAGCGCTTCCCTTCCAAAGCAGATAGAGGATAAGATCGGCCAGATTGTGCGAGATGCTGTCGAGTACCATCAGGAAACTGGTAGCCCTATCTATGTCAAAGACCTCGCCGCGAAAGTGAACTTCCAAGGCGTCCAACTGTCAGGCGTACAGCCAGTGACCTCTCCTCGGGAGTATTCCAGAGACCTCCTTTTTGTCACAGTTTCCGTCGGCGGGCAGGTGGTACGAGCGTGTATCGACATAGGTTCGTCGGTGAACATCATTCGCAGAGAAATCGCACACTCCATGCAGGCACAGATGAGACTGAAACCAAGACTGAAGCTTGTACCTGTTGATGGAGGAGAGTTCGCAGTAGGTGCATGCATTGAGAGTCTACCGATCAATGTAGGCGATGTTGTCACAGAGTCTCATACCATGGTCGGTGACGGCTGCACGAATGATCTGCTACTTGGCAGAATCTGGGCAAAAGATGCATTGCTGCAAACCTCTGAGAAGGGAGATGGAAGGGTTATTTGCACGATATCTAGTCATGATCGCCGGAAGCGTGTCAGCTTTGAAGCATACCATCCGCGGAATGGAGGCTCCTTCTATGAAGACCAACTCTGGCCAGACGAACATGAGGCTGCTGATTTAAAAGCCTGAGCAGGTATTCCACAGCCACCGCAATACCTGCTCTACCTCTGGCGGCCAAGTCTTTCGTGCAGTCCATTCGTCTGTTAGCACCCTCAAATGTTGTGAATGCGTTAATTATCAAAGAAGAAACCTCAAAAACACCAAGAAAAGATGAAAATAACAAAATACGGAGGCATGGGGAGAAAGCGGGGTCGACACCGCTAGGAGATCGTTTTTCGGCCGAAAAGCCACCCCCCTCCCGCAGCGCCTTATCTGTCTGGCACTCCGCGGAGCCTCACCGCCAGTATACCTGGTCAAGCACCACCCATTTCGATGAGGTTGAATACCGCACCTCTTTCACAGCACATAACCTTCTGGCAAACCCGAAGCAATGGCCAAGCAACGTTTTTCGGCCGAAAAACCAAGTCCTCCTAGGCGCACAGGTCAACACACTATACAAACGGAAGGCGGACAAAATTCAACCTGTCAATTCGTCTGATTCAGATGGCTCAATTCCTGCTGGTAACCCTGACTGGCAGAATGTGTGTCTTGAGAAGTATCATTCCAAGTACCGTGCTACGGACACACCTTCGGAATTCGATGACCTACTTCGGCCGCGTATTGCAACTATCGCAAGAGGAGCCAGGCTAACGCCTGAACGAGAAGAGTCGATGCTCGTTGGTAGTGGTCTGCTTCCGAAGGAAAAGCTACTGCTACGTGAGCTACTATTTAAGAGAGAAGGGGTGCTTGCATGGTCCTGGGAGCATATGAGCCGTATTCATGAGGAAGTTATGCCCGCTCAACGCATCAAAACTATACCTCATGAAGCATGGCAACACCCAGGTTTCAAGATACCGCGTGCTCTCGGACCAGTTATTAACGATATGCTTCGTGATAGACTGCGGAAAGGTGTTCTCGAACCATGCGATGGCCCGTATAGAAACCCTTGGTTCCTAGTGAAGAAGAAAAGTGCAGGCAAGTACCGGTTGATCAACGCCGCGATGCTGATCAACAAGGTTACAAAACGAGATGCCAATATGCCACCTGATGCGGATGAGTTTGCTGAAGAATTCGCTGGACTGGCCCTTACTTCTTTAGTTGATCTATACTCCGGTTACGACCAGATTTCCCTAGCCGAGGAAGACAGGGATCTCACCGCGATTCAGACTCCACTAGGTCTGCTACGCCAGACTACAATATTGCAAGGCGCAGCGAATTCGGTGGCACAGTTCCAACGCGTGGTATCATGGATTCTGCAGCCTATCTTTGGCACCATTGCTAGGTCGTTTCTTGATGATGTTGCCATCAAAGGGCCTCGGACCAGGTACAATGACGAGTTTGCAAAGCCAGGGATTCGAAAGTTTGTTCTAGAACACCTACAGAACCTCGATGAAACGCTATATCTTTTGGAGCTCGCCGGTGCTGCTGTCTCGGCGGAGAAGTCCCAATTTGCTATGTCAGGAATCGAGGTTGTTGGATGGATATGCGATATCCATGGGCGTCGCGCTGAGGAGAACAAGGTCGCAAAGCTTCTGGACTGGCCCACCCCATTAAATAAAGACGAACTACGTTCGTTTGTTGGCCTTGCTGTCTACTTCCGTATCCTAGTGGCCGGCTTTCAGATCATTATGGACTGCCTATACGCCTGTTTGAGGAAGAATACCCCCTTTCAGTGGGGAGCAAAGCAACAAGCTGCATTTGATACGGTTAAAGAGCTACTCTCAAGCTTCCCCACAGTGCTTCCGATCGACTATGCCTTCCAACCGTTGATGATTGTTGTTGCGGTAGACGCGTCTGGGAAAGGATGGGGTGCTGTTCTGATGCAAGAAAGAGATGGTGTGAGGAAGCCCGCACGCTACGAATCAGGCGCATGGACAGAGACGCAACTCACATATGATGCGGGTAAGTTGGAATGCCGCGCAGTACTGATGGCACTGAAGAAGTTCCGGCACTGGCTATATGGTATCCACTTTGTGCTAGAAACAGACGCGAAAACTCTTGTTTCGCAACTGAATCGTCCTGCTACCGACTTGCCAGGTGCTCTTGTTACTAGATGGATGGCGTGGATCCGTTTATTTGACTTTGACGTCAAACATGTTTCTGGGCGGAAGAATGGTGCGGCAGATGGACTATCGAGAAGGCCTGCTACTAAAAAAGAGGTCCAGCAACAACAGCAAGAGGTAGACGTGGATGACTTCATTGATGCAGAAGTGTCTTACCTGCGAGCGAGCTGCTTTCCTGCGCGCGCTACTATTACAAATGGCGACGAAGAGCTCGCCGATAACCCTGCGACCCTACCACTGGAGAATAGCTATTCGACCGAATCACAAGATATAGCTCGCTACCTGACCACGCTTCGGCGCCCGCCGGAGATGTCCCGCAGTCACTTCTACTATTTCAAGAGGAAGTGCCTAAAGTTTGTTGTTCAAGATAGTCACCTTTTCTACCGGCATAAGGGAAAGACAGAGATCATGCGGCGTGTTCTCGACAAGAAAGAAGACCAACAAAAAGCATTACATGGCGCCCATACTGAACTATCTCATAAAGGACGAGAGGCCACCTACGCCTTACTGAAACTTCGGTACTACTGGTCCCGTATGTTCGAGGATACGGTTACCTTCGTGCGAACATGTGTGGAATGCCAGGCGCGTGATCCCACCCGTATGCATGAGCCTGCCGTCGCTTCAAAGAACCTGAGACTATTCGACAAGTGGTTTATTGATACAACCCGTATGCCAGATGAAAACGGCGTCAAGTCTGTTGTCCAAGGAAGAGATTCTGTTAGCGGCTGGGTTGAAGCAAGAGTTTTAGTCAGTGCTGACTCTGAAGCTATCCAAGCTTTTATTCATGAGGATATCATTTGCCGCCATGGCTACCCCCGTGAGATCGTCATGGACGATGGACCTGAAAACCGTAGCAAGACACTGAAGTTTCTTGAAGACCGCGGCGTTAAGAAGGTCACTATTTCCGCATATCATCCTGGTTCGAACGGTCCTGTTGAACGAGCAATGAGGACACTGAAAGATGCCCTTTCCAAGATGACAGGTGGATACCCAACTGGTGACATATCTACTCCGAAAAACCGATGGAGGCCTCACTTCCATGCCGCATTGATGGCAGACCGTGTGACCGTTAACGCTACCACTGGAATCAGCCCGTACTATTTCTTGTTTGGTATCCATGCTGTTTTGCCTGTCGAATTGGAGATACCCACATGGAGCACACTACCTTGGGAAACTGTCCAGGACAGATCAAGTCTCATAGCAATGCGCGCACGACAAATCGAAAGACGGGAGAAAGACATTGAAGAAGCCATCCTGCGAATGAATCGTCTCAAGGAGAATAATGCAGGATACTTTGATGACCACCATCGCACTCGTGATGCTTCCCTGAAGAAGGACGATTACGTCTTGTTGCATGATAGCCAGAGGTCTTCAGACATGACATCTATTCAGAAGCTCCGCTTTCGATGGCTTGGACCATACCAGATCGAATCTGTCAAGGGAAATGGATCCTATTCAATCAGGGAGCTTGACGGCACTGTGCTACGCCATGTAGGAGACAAGAATGCTGATGCGATTAACGGCGACAGACTCAAAAGATTCTACCCTCGAGGAATAGGGGATTCCAGTGAGATACAGAGTGTTGCTCAAACTGGTCAGCTTCGAAAACGTAGACCAATTGGTCGACCTCGAGCTGGACAATAGTTCCATTATCCTACCGTTCAGTGGGCCATTATGCCGACGCCTTGAGAAGCTTTTTTCGGCCGAAAACATTATTCGCCCTAACATCTGATTACGCAACACGATCATTGACTTAAATTTGCACTATAAATTGATCTTTTCCGCCTTTTCAAATTCTTCTTTCTTCTTCACCTTACCTCCATCCACATACTGGAGGGAGAAGACCCTTGGGCTATGGCTTCAAGTTATCGATCAGGAAGACGAGCATGGTTCAAGGGTAGTTGAAGTCAAGTTCTCACCTAACGTCGTTCGCCTCGACATCGCCATGAGGCATGAAGCCGAGAACTACATGACACCTCCATATTGGAGCATGGCCCACTCGAGTCACCCTGTCAAGCAACAACATCGTTTTTCGGCCGAAAAACAATCTCCTTCTACCCTAGAATAGCCAAGGGACGGCTGTTGTTACATAGCGGGGGCGAGGGCAGAGTACACTCCTTTATTGCAGATTTCCTTTGTTTATTGCTAGTTTCAAAGACCGTGTGGTACACATAAAGCTACTCACTCACCCTCTTTAAACCTCACTTCCTCATCTTATGATTTTTCACTTCACTTTATCACTTCACGAATACCCCAAATCCCCGCATACCTCCACATACGAATCCTGACCATCGAGCCGCTACCATGAATAACGATAGTGAGAACGAGAGCCTCCCACAAGACATCGAACTACGAGGACAGCATATTGCCACGATCGAGGACGCACTCCAGTTCCTACGGGGCTGTGAAAAGTCTGAGGCATATCTGCTCGCGACCCAGCTATTGGAGCACTTGCTTGGCAGACATGAGAAGGTGGAACGAGCCATCGACCTGCTGTACAACTACGTCGATAAGGAAGAGCTATGGAGAGGACAGGAGGACCACGCAGATTTCCGAAGAAGATGGCAAGAGGGCCAGAGAATACAGGCACGACGTATCCAGAACGATGAGTACCTCACCTCAAATAGGCAAAAAGCAATTAATGCCTGGGGAGAAGAGCAAGCGAATGCCTTCTTCGGGTACCTATCGACACGTTCAATGGTGGAATTGGCCAGCAAATTCATCACAACTGGTCTCAGTTACGAGCATGTCCGGCTTTCGATCAATAATGAGGTTATCTCACGTCTATCATCACCAGGACGAGGGGTTCGCAACACCAAGGGTATCATACAAGGTGACCTTACGAAGGCCCTTCACCGGAAGTGTTTGCAGCCTCTAGTGCGAGAGACCCTTATAGAGTGCGGGCTGCAACTAGACCAGGATGGATATTGCTGCGCGACCGGCAGAGGAAGTGACCTTGCCGCTCTGACTGCAGAGCCACATATGTCTATTGTTGAGACAGAAACGGAAGATGAAGTTAACGCTAGTGCTGGTGATGCTGATGCCTTCGGTGATGCGCAGGGCACAGTCATTTACCTTGAGGAGAATGATGAGGGAGGCGATGCCGCCGACCTAATGTCTATCTGCGGTGTATCTGATATGTCCTCTGAGCTGTCGGAGGCGCAGTCATTTCCAGATGACTTCCTGTCTGGAAATGACGAGGAATCTGATTCCTCGCAGGGCAAGAAGAGACAGGATGCTGAGTGTGGCTGCTCCGTCAAAAGAGCTACTATGAACAGAATCCTAGCCCTCCCTGCAGATGCAACCAATAGACAGAAGTTGGTGGCCTTGAGAAGCCTTGGCAGACTGGCCTTATGTGACCTGGAGTCGATCTTCACGAAAAATGTGATCTGTATGTCTCATGCAAAGAGGGTGTTTGAACTGTTCAATATGCGCAGCGCTAGCAAGAACCATACCGCGCTTGCTAAGAGAGTTGACTTCATCTACCGACATATTGATGACTGGGATACCTTGGTGAAGACGCACTTAGCCTGGTTTCGGCCGAAAAACGGTCTCAGCTGTGATCCCCCGTTAGACCTCTATCGTTTCAGACACCAGCCTGCCCCGCCATTGGTCGCTGACTACAATAAGATGACCTGGCTGTCCTTCGAAAGCCTCTACCGAAGAATACTGCCCACTCCCGAACCAACCGCCCCTCTGGCTACTGAGCTATTCCAGCAGATGACAGAGCGAGGGAGTGTGGTGATTCCGCAGTTGTTTGGTTGGTTGAAGGAAGATTTTGATGGCAATCATCCTGGCGGTCTACTGGCTCTTGCACACGAGGAGATGGACATGTACAATTACCATTATCTACCTCGCACCGGTAAGCCTCGTCTTGGGTGGTTGAGGAATATGTGGCATGGTATTATCCAGCAACTGGTCCGCCAGGACCCGGCGTACTATGCATGCTATGTCTTCTTTCGACCAGACCATGCTCACCGACTGATCTCCTTCCCGTACTACGCCAAAAGTACCATGCCTGGTGAGCAGACTCGCTTTAGGCACATTGATGTGAATCTAAATGATCTATTCCAAACCGGGCGGGGCCACGCAATATTGCAAGGCAGCCTGTCGTTAGATGATGAGGATGAGCAGAACTGTACTGAGTTACTGTATGGCATGCACCGCCATATTCATGAGTGGTGGGCAAGTGTGCGTGATAGGATGGAGACCACAGATGGCTACGTGCAAAAGATCGATGGCAAGAACTGGACCAAGGAGGATGCCGCAAAGTATGGCGCAGACTGGGCCAAGGAGGTCTGTATGGCTGGTGATGTCCGAATCAGTCTGCCAACACTACCCCATGGGTCGACAGGCCCTGCAACCAAGAGACGGAGATGCATTTTACCATGGTTTGTCCGTGTTAGAGATGACCATTCAACCCTAGATACCCCGGAATCTGGCACTTGGGAGGAAGTATCCGCAGCGCACAGAGACCTCATTCAAGCTACTAGAACGCCTTCAGGGTTCACTAGTAGTAAGTATGGGCACCTGCAGTATGCATTCCCTGCGGCACCACGGTTCCACGGTGAGGGTTTGATCTCTGACTGCTTGGTTGGCCGTGCTCGATGGACTGATCCTGGTGTTTCGACCGAGCTGGATGTCCTCTTCGGTCAACATGAGGCCGCTGCAGCCGCCTACATTGCCTCATGGAGAAGACATGCGCAGCAGACGTATGCCGACCTATTCCTAGAGATGATAAAAGCCGAGAAGCAGGCATTCGGTAAGGATTCTTTCTTTCGCCGCAAGGAATCCGGGCTGCCCATTGGCCCTCCACAGCCAGAGGTTACGCAGTTGGAAGCTGATGACAGTGGTGATTCTTGATGTCTCAGTACTCGCGATGAAACTGGTGAGAGTTTAGATCAACCAAGGGCCGGTTGATTTATGAAGGGGGGTAGTATGTAGTGGTGGAACGCATGACATAATGAATACAGTTGCGGCCTGAGGTGTCACGAATACCTTAGGTGTAAGCAGCAGCTTCTACATGAGGATAGAGAGAGAAGAGGCATCTACCCAATTCATTCCAGTTTTCACTACATTCTTTCATTCAACATGCTATATTAAGTACATTCCATACGGGCTCAGTCGGGAAAAACCGTACGGCCTCATTTAGGATTGCTGTGTCCAGGATTGCACGTACGACCTCACGGCCTCACCAAGGACATTCGCGACCTCCCCTAGGACGACCTCTACTACGTGCAGGTTGTGTGTGTGTTGTTCGTTGGTTGCTGTTGCCCAGTCTGTATTGTCAGACAGCCATCGAGCCATCCCCTTTTCAATAGTGATTATCAATATCAATATCAATATCAACATCACGTCAAGTCAAGTCAAGTCAAAAACATCGCCTCACGGCTATAATTACTCCTGGCCTCATATACAAATAGCGATATTCTTTCCTGCCAATCTGCCTTAATCAAATCCCGGGGGTCAAACATCCTGCGCCAAAAGACAAAAGCCCAAACCACAATCATTATGACCACCATGATATTATATATGCCCCATTGAAACGCCGTTACTGTGAGGAGGCGCCTTCTTCATAAAGACGCTCGTAAACTGCTCCATGACAGAGCCAATCCACCTCTCTAATCTTCTCTAATTCGTCCACGAACTGTCCGACTTCATTGACAAACTCGGGCATACCTGCTCCTGCCAGGCTCTGGCTTGCGGTGGTTGTCGCACGCACTCTCTCCGAGGCACTCGAGGCGCTGAGACGAGATAAAACGTGACTCCGCAGACGTGAGAGAATCAGCTTCGCCACAGGGTCGGAGAAGCTGGGTGCGGATGGGCCGCTAACTGAGGATTCCGGTGTGGCTCCCGTTCTCTCTGATGTGACTTGGACCGAGGCCCCAGGTGCAGCCACGGCACTTGCTGTTGCGACTGGAGCAAGGACTCGTCGAATGGTAGCTGCGAGTTGTGCGCTAGCGTTTGGCGGCATGGGATGCGTTGACTGAAGAATGGACTGCACGCGTTCCGCACTGATCTCATTGAAATCCAGTGAAAGAATACGATCCGCCTCTTGCTTCCACTGCGACCGGGCATCCCGCTTCAGGAGGTTTTTTGCAGTCAGTAAGATAGATGCTGTTGCCACAATGCGGAATGCCTTGGCATGCAGGCGCTCCAGTCGCGAGGTATCCAGGCCCAGTGTCTCAGGGATCAAATCCTCGGACACAGTAGCGTTACTGAGCACTAGATCTGCGAGCCCGTGAGCATATACTCGCGTGACAGGTGGGCGAGGCTCCCCATGGATATTTTCCGGGTCTCGCTTCTTCATCTCATCGACGATAAACTTCCGATGATTTCGCCAGAAACGTCGGGTCTTGCCCAACCCGATTGTCCCATCAGAGACACTCTGGTCAAAGGTCCGTTGTTCATACCCGGGAGCTTCTTGAATCAGCTGTGGGGCCGCGATCTGGATCATGAAATTCGTGTGATCCAGCGAAAGCAGATCGATCATACTCATCAGCCTTGCCAGACGATCGATAGCATCGCCCGAGCTGTCTTCGGCAAAGGCTTTGACCACCGGATCGCGGTATGGTGCACAGAGTCGAGGCAAAATAGTGTTCATAAAGTCGAAGAAATTCTCATAAGAGAATGACCCGGCTTTACATTGGCTCTCAACCAGCTTCGGGTCAAGAACCTCGCTGATAAGCACGTATAGGGAGTTTCCAGGTTGTAGCGAGCGTAGAAGGCGATCTTGGATCACGGTGGCCATGGCCACAGTCCAACCAGTGCCTTGTCCAGCCTCGACATCTCGCCTCATCTGATCACATAGATGCTCCATGATTTGTCTTCGAGGGTATGTGTATAATGCCTCTTCAATCTTGTATTCTTTATTGAGCAGAAGCTCATGTACCAAGACCCGGTTCTCGGGGAGGGCCGTGAGGATCTTGGTGAACCGCTCATGCGGAGAAGCTCGTTGCTTGTCCAGTTCCTGGAGAACGGCAGCATCAACATTGTTGAATGACTCACTGTTAGGAGATGTGACGCTCTCTGCCAAAACACTCCCCGATGAGGGTGCTGCCTCGGCGGATCGGGGAATGGCCTGCTTAGTGGAACGCTTCTTTTCTTTCTTGGCCTTCTTCAGTGAGTCTCGGATCATCTGCATAGCACGATCAGAGCCTGCAAGCCGCTTGAGTCTGGCGAGAAGTAGTATTTGGTTCTGACGAATACCCTGTCGGTAATCCTCTGCGACACCACCGGCTGTATCACCCTTGACAGTCTGCCAAATAAGTTCCAACTCAACAAACTGAGCAAGCATGATCTCGATTAAAACAGTCGAGTCATGAGATTTCCATGCATGGAACGCTGAAAAGAAAACATTGTAGGATTCACACATGTTTTGCAGGTCTGCAGTGATCACAGTTGGCGAGCAGCAGCCCGAGGAGAGTAGCGCAGCGACTTGCTCAAAGGAAACCAGCACTTCGCGTGCCTTACCAATCAAGTCCTGCTCCTGTTCGCCATCGCCACTCAAGACCTCGGCTGGATGGGTGACGATGAGATAGCTGCTGAGGAACGTGCGCACCGCACCACGTTCGCCCAACGCCCCTCCTTCCATGTCCTGCAGCCCGCAGAGCCGAAGTACCTTTGTCATAGTATCGAGAACCTCCCGGTTGGATAGAAGAGCTCCGACTTCTTCAAATGACATCTCCCGGACTCGGTCAACCGACAGGTTGAGTGCCCGGAACTCTTGCATTACGCCCTTTGCATGATGGGTTCTCCAGACGCGCTGGATCTTTCGAGCCGCTCCATCTTGAGTCAATGATTTTGTGACCGCTCGCGCCATTTTCTTCTCTTCGGCAACCGGAAGGCTGCTGGTACGCTGACGCCGATGGGTCTGCTGGTAGAGTGTCCGTCGTTTCTCAGCCTCTGCATGCTTCTCTGCCATCTCCAACCTCAGACGCGCGTATTCTGCAGCTTGTTTCTCTCGCTGGTCCTCGGCCTTCTTCTTGGCCCGTTTGACCTGATCTTCGCACTTGGCGGTGATGTCCGCCAGAAGACGTTCGCGAGCTTGCTGGGCAGCCAAAGCTCTCTCCTCGCTGTGTAGGTTTCTGGTGGCGGCCTTTGCGAGAGTAGCACGCAACCTCACCTTCTCGGCGTGCAGGGCGCGGTCGGCCAGCCTCGCTTTCCGGCTTTCAAGTATGGAGGTGCGACGGAGGTGCTGAGCGATTTGGTCCGCGCCCGGCGAGCCGTTCGAGGAAGCATTTGAGTGCTGTGAATGCAAAGAGGAAATCGAGCTCCGCCGCGAAGAGGCCACAGAGGAGCGCCTCGCCTTGCTGTTGCGACGGTAGAAGCGGGCTGCGATGTGTGGTGGGAGAGTCAGCGGCGGTGCCGGGTCTTCAGATAACATTTCCACGTCCGATTCGGTTACGGAATCCGGGGAAAGGGGAGTTGGACCAGCATCCGGGAGCTGGATCTCGATGTCGGAGTTGCGGCGCATCATCGTCAAGGCGAGAGCACGCTGCGCATGTGTGTAGGGGGTGAGGAACGCGGTGGGGTAGGACTCGACTGATAAGAGATTAGACGACGCGATGAAAGCAGTTCGTAGGGGATTCTGGGACGAACCTCGAAAAGACGGCCTTCGTTATGAATATCTTAGAGATCAAGCGTCACAAAGGATCCAGAAGCTATATGAAGGCCTGAAACAAGGCACAAAGGCGCTTACTACTGTTTGCGTTCGGAAGCGTTGTATCGATATATTCAGACATGAGCTCTGCTTGTATTATAGCAAAGTTGGTTAAGAGTATCCACAGTTAGCACGCTTGGCCAAGTGGTAAGGCGCTTGACTTGTATTCGGCTATCCGCATAGCAATCAAGAGAGCACCGGTTCGACTCCGGTAGTGTGCATTCCTTTTTTTTTTTTTTTTTTTTCAACCGCCCGCCCCCTTCCTTTGCGCTTTTTTTATTTTTTTTTTCCTAGGCAACAGCTTCAGATAGACTGATTACAAGACCAGCGAGAACCACTAATACACACGTTAATGAAAACAGACACACCTTGTACAGGTGGAATCCGATGGCTGCGAACAGAAAGCTATGCCTCAACGCGGCTTAGCTAGTCCGCATCGGGGTTAAATCAGATGGGAGTTGCACATTGTTCTTCTGTTTTGAATATTAATTGTAAGCTAACGTAGTTCAGAACTTGTTTCAGGTTGGTTCAAAAGCTGTTTCTTTGTTTATGGAGCCTGGATCCGGGGATGCTATGCACTGATGTAGCCTCATGGTATATTATCTAACCTTATTCTAGCCACTGTCGATCAGCGCGATCGGATCTTGACTACCTTCTGCAACTGTTGCATGTAAATTATTACCGGCTATGAGGGAGGCGTATTTCAATATCAGGACGACTTTGGAAACGCCTTAAATCAATCATGGTTGGTTGTTTTATTTACTCCTTGGGTGCCACATGCGGAATACCCGTTAACCTTGAGTTATATATATTCGAGCAAGTTTCAAATAATACTTCTGCGTGTCCTCTAATACTCAAGTGTGGAATTCAATGATTTCATATTTCGTTCTATTCCGTGGTCAGCTCGTCTAGCATACATTCAGCATGTTGCGAAGTTAAAGAACTCGCAATCCGACTCTCATCTGACCTCGACCTCCTCGATTGGCGCGCAGATAGTAAGGAATGAAGTGCAATTTTCTCGCCTCCCCGCTGATTTCGTTCTTGGACTCGGCCGTAATTTGGCCATTCCAGGATGACGTGTCGAGGTCCCCCGCCGCACCTTTGTCGGCAACTATAGCCACGTGCTGGTCGGGTTGAGACCGAATTTCTTCCCTCAAATGAGACTCGGGATTGAACATCGTCATCTGTCCCATAATTTAGCCTTGCACGAACTTCAGTCTCATTGATGTCCTAGTTTGCTTACCTTGAAATGATTCTTCTCCCATGGATGATCGATATCCTCAATACAATACACAATAGGCCCACGCATTATGTATACCACAGGTTGCATAGCCAAGGGATGAGGTCGGACTAGTCTTGGCTGCATTGGACAGGAGAAGCGGAAGCTTGGATTATTTTGTAACCATTCTGCGCCCAGATATAGATATCCATCCTGTACATCAAACTGGTCAGGGCGGGGTGTGATCTAGATCATTCCATGTCAGCACTGAAGCATTCTAGCGAGCAATGGTGAATCTAACCTCCCAAGATTTCACCCAGCCAGGGACTCTCAGCCGCAGCTGAATATCCAACAGTGATTGATCTGTGCGTATATCAAATTGCACATCACCCTCCCACGGCCAGTTCGTTTTCTGTGTTATCTCAACTTTCGACTCACCGATCTGGAGAGCAAGAGTAGCCGAAGTGTACAGATGCACATTAACCACGGCGCCACTATCCTCCACTGTATGACTCCAGATATAACCTCCGAGGAAACCTAAGGTTCGAGTAACATTGGGTGGACAGCAAGCACATTCGAACCACTCGTGTCGCTGTGAAAGATCTTGATCTGAAGAAGCCAACTGATTTACGTATGTGAATGCTTTACCATCTAGACTCATACTGGTCAGAACCGCATTGTATAAGCAAAGCTCCATGATGTCTGCATAATGGCCATTTAGTTCCACCTGTAGCAATTTCATTAGCCATAAATGAAATTTAGCCTAGCGTTTCCCGGTGCATACCTGTAGCAAGCGCTCGGCTAGCATCATCACACCAATTGCAGCACAGGTCTCTGCATAGCATCCCCCCTCGTCTGTACCATGGGGCAGAAAGTAGTCCATACCAAAGCCTTCCCACTTTTTCATGGCACCAATTCCACCCGTCACATAGGACTTCTTCTCGATCATGTTTGACCACAATTGATGCAGAGTAGGTAGATATTTAGTACCGAAGTCACTATCGGGCTGTTCGATACGAACCAGGTCTGCAACGGCTGTGAGAAGATACATAGCACGAACAGAATGTCCTTCAACGGTCATTTGGTCTACGATCGGTAGATGGGCTTGTTGATACCTTGTTCAATTGTCAAAACTAGACTTATTTTCAGGAAGGGGCCAGGTCATACCAGTAGCTTTTTGCAGCAGGATAGTACATGGGTAGGTCATGCTCGCTTTCTCCTCTGGCCTCTGCTTCGACATCGTAGTAGTGTCTTTTCTCTTCCCCCCCACTTGCGTTGCCTCTCTCTTCAACGAAGAATAGGGCCAGTTTTAGATGCTTTGGATCGTTCGTCACCTTATACAGACGTAAAAGAGCCAGTTCAATCTCCGGGTGTCCAGGATAGCCTGGAATCTGGCCTTCCTGGTCACCTAAGGTAGCTGCAAGCAGATCGGCGTATTTGAGAATGGGAGTCATCATCTCGTTGTTCTTGTAGTAGAGCCGATGAGCGAGTGCACCTTCAATAAGATGACCTGCGTTGTATCTGGAGGCGAAAGATAATTGTCGGTTTTTGTCACTAAGGGAGACATCTCATCGCAAAACTTACAGTTCGTGCATATCTCTCAGGTTGGTAAAGCGCTTCCCTGGCTCGACAACAGAGTAATGAATATTCAGATAGCCGTCTGGATCCTGGGCCTCACGAATCATCTGGACCAGTTCTTGGACGGCCAGATCAATCTCTGCATCGTACCGGTCTACTAGCAAATAACAAGCTCCCTCGATCCATTTCGCCACGTCGGAATCCCAGAATTGGTGGTTAGGAATGGGGTAGACAGTGGGAGGATCCGAATAGCACGGATGCCATTTGAGCTTAAATGCATCATAGCGACCTGTCTTTTTCAGCATCTGAAGCTGATGTCGAAGCGTCTGAGCTCGAACGACTTCACGACGACGTGCCCAAAAAGACTCTGGCTCAAAGGTCGTGGCAATGAAGCTTTCCTGGGGATAATCCATGTTTACTTCATGAACTGAAAATATAGGGACTCAAAATGAATGAACCGAGTACAACCCGGAACACCCCTGTCCCTTATAGGTACCGAGAGCATCGGGAAGCCCCTCGTCGGAAGCCGAACCGGAGCTGGAGCGACCTGTGGCACACGTAGCGGGCCTTAAGGTAGTCTGTCGTGGGCTCCGCTCGAAACGTGCTCCGAGCGGGATGGAGGGCAAGACTCCGGCGGACGCTCCGGCGGGGGGCAAAGGCCACGCCGGAGATTTAAGGTTGTTGTCAAGCACTTGAGACTTCACGCAACCCCGCATAAACCAAAAGTGCACTGGCTAAGCTCCGAAACCCCGGGAATAATGCACTCCACAGACCTTTGAACATCTGATATGTGGGGTCCCGATACCCCGGGCTTTGCCTTGTATATATAGACCCGTGAGCAACATCGCATGTCCAATGCCCCCATGCGCCTTCTAGAGACCAAGACTAGGATTCAAACCAGCCTTTGGTTCAAGATGGGTCTCGTGGAGAAGTTCCTTCCCAAGGATGACCGGTAAGTACCCTGTCCCCTGTTTGACCAAAAAGTGGGACTGAACCGAACGTACAGCTATGCGGCAATGTTGCTCTATGGCATGGTGTTTTCTACCTGCTTTAATGGATACGATGCTGGAATTATGACGGTGATTCTAGCAGACAAACAATTTATCACATACTATGGAATTAATGCTACCAGGTCCGGCCTGGTTGCTACGATCCCCTGGGCTATGACTGGTAAGTTATATCCATGGCTGACATCAACTCCAACTTGAACCATCCCTAATAGTCTTATAGGTGTGGCCCAGCTTTGGCTGGGAGGATCTCTAGCTGGCTGGCTAGGTCGCCTTTGGGCGTTACGTATCTCGATCTGTATTATGATCATCGGAGTGTACGAAGATGCTATTGCAAAAGCTTGGTCAGGGCTAACATCTACACAGTGTGGTTGAGGTTGTTCCAAACAACTTTGGTGTCTTGATTTTAGGTCGACTCTTGACGTGAGTTCTTTTATCCTGTGTCTGCTTGAAATTTGCCGAAAATTCTGACCGGTCTTATTCATCAGTGGTCTAGGCTTTGGCTGTGTCTACATCGCCACGAATCTATACGTCGCCGAATGTGCTCCAACAAAGCTGAGAGGTAGTTTCGTGGGCACTGTATCCCAGTTTGGCTACCAACTGGGTACTCTCATTGCCTTCTGGGCTGGCTATGGGATGTCCTTCCACAAGTCTCCTTACAACATTGCTTGGAGAGTGTCAAATATTGTTCAGATTCCGATCGGCCTGGCCTTCATTGCTGTCTCGTTTTGGTATCCCGAGAGCCCCCGTTTTTTGCTGGAAAAGTACCCAGAGACACCTGAACGATCTTTACAGATGTTGAGCCGACTTAGGTCTGGGGCACCGACTGATGAACGGATTCGTACTGAGTTCCACGAGTTAGTGGCATCGTACGAGTTCCGTCGACGGTATGATCCTGGCTATATTGGTCTTTTCAAGGATAAGAGTATGCGCAAACGCCTTGCATATGGATTCTATGCAGCAGGTCTTCAGCAGGTATGGCATAGCAGGCACCCGATGTCCATATTTCAAAGATACTTACATACTTTCAGTGTGGTGGTATTGCTGCGCTTACAATGTACGCCACCCTCATCTATCAGAGTCTCGGATGGGACGCTGGCTCGCAAGCATTGTCAATCAACGGCATTCAGTCTGTCCTCCAGTTACTCATTGTGTTGGTCAACACTTTCACCGTGGAAAAGTTTGGTCGACGGGGCTTACTAATGGCTGGATTCGGTATTCAGTCACTGGCACTATTGATCATGTCTTGCCTCACCACGGCCTTCCCTTCCAATAGAAACAAGGCGGCTGCTGTTGTTGAGGTTGCTATGCTCTTCATTGTGGGACTGACATATTGCTGGTCTAATGGTCCCATCGCGGCCGCGGTAGTCTCAGAGATATTCCCCCAGCATGTTCGAGACAAGGTAAATTTGAGCTAATCACGGGCAATGGGAAATAATTGCTGATATTTTCATTCTTTCTAGGGCTTTGGTCTTTCGATGCTTGGCCAAACTTGCTGGCTCATCTTGCTAACCCAATCTTGGCCTTTGTTTAATGACAAAGTTGGAGGCCATAGCTACTGGCTATTGTTTGGACTGAATGTAATGGCTGGAGTGAGTTGATCCTATGCCCTCATGCGGGCCCCTTACTAACTTCAATGGTTTAAGATCTCAGTTTATCTCATTCTCCCTGAAACAAAGGGTATCTCACTGGAGCGGATGGAGAAAATATTCGGTGGCTTGGATCATGTCGAGGCAGGCGAGTGTGAAGGTGGCTCCGAGAAACGAGAGGCGATGGCCAATGTTGATGAAGGAGAAAAGACCCCAACAGCCCATGTGGAAGATGCACCTAGGCAGGGCTCGTCGGGTCAAGAAAGATCGATAGTCTGATTTACCGGTTACCATGATCTATGTAGCTCTGAGAGCAAGTTTATTCAAAATTAGATGGAATGATTCGAACGCAGTTCATTTCAGTCGTGATGCTAATGCGGAATTGAAATTGAAATATGCGAGTGCCATGCCGGTGAAAGCAGGCTTCTATTGGATGCCAAACGGAGCGACACCGGACGGGAAGGATGCAATCAAGAAGTATCCGAAGATCCAATGTCTGCCAAAGTGCACGATTTTGCTCCCAGTCAATGCTGTGCTGTGTTGTGTTGTGTTGCGTGGTGCCGTTCCAATTTTTATTGGAATAGCACATATGCTGAAGAATCAAGCCTGGTGTCATCAGCTTGCTTATCGAAGGCTTCTTAGTTCCTCGCCCAAGAGCCATGGGACAATGTCCGTACTGCGCTAAAAGTTGCATTGCTTTCCATTTGCATGCATGTCTCGGCCTTGCAGCTCAAGGTCCTGAGCGAGACCATTTGCGCAATAACAAAGACTGCGGTATGCGTACCAATGGGACAACGGCCCAAAAGAAGCAAGTAAATCTATCATATGCGCAGATACCCTTCCTGGAGGCTTGTATGATGCCTGGATCATCGATGGCCAAAAATGTTGATGTGCTCAGCTACTTCGTCTTCCTCCTCTTCGCCACCCTCACCATCCTCTTCATCCGATTCCGAGGAACTACCGGATCCTGCATCGTCGTCTTCCTCTTCAGCCTCGGATGTGCCTTCGGTGAGTGCCGTCTCACCTGCAAGGAATCCATAGCGATCTCGGAGCTTCTTGCTCAAGAAGTTCAGTGCACCATAATCACCCCCATGGTTATCTTGAGATGCACCCCCGAAAAAGGGCATAGAGGATGGTTTCTCTGACTCACGTTCAGTCGGCAGACCGAAGTAGTTGCTGACCACAGGTGAAATGGCGCGCCCATGAGTCATATTGTAGGACACAAATTGTCGATCGGATCCGGCGGCTCCTGGTACGCTGAGTTGGGACTGGGTCGCCTGGCTAGCACTGAGATGCATCGATGCCAATGATGCCGTTGCATCCCCAGGCACATTGAAGGACGACGATCGCGGCCGAGATGAGGGATCCCTGACGCTTTCCTCTTCGAGCGCTTCAGAAACGTCACCTTGCAAAACTCTCAGTTGAGCAGTATTATAAGATTCACACCTACGTAAGTGTTAGCTTATTCGTTCATCACATTTGTCGTAGATACTCACAAATCACACTTCAATCCCAACCAGTGGTACTTGACAGCTGATCTTGCGCCACAATCGTTACAATAGATCAGGCCTTTTGTGTCTTTGAATTCTTCAGGCATGGGTTGGCTTTCAATCGTACGATCGAGATTCCTGAACGTCGATTCCATGTTGGTGATGGTCTTGCTGCAGATAGGGCAACGGAACGAGGTCTTCGAGTATTCTGACAGACATTTGTGGTGGAGACTATGGCCACATCGCATCACGACCACGGTCTCCGGTGAATCGAACATGTAATCGCCACAGATGGGGCAATCGCACTGGGTGGATCTTTCGATACAGCGATGAGTATCCTCGATCGAGATAGGTAAGCATACAGAGCATGTCTAAACAAGTCAGCATTGTAGAAAACATTCTTACTAGAAGTCAAACGATACCTTGCAGTGGAAAAAGTCCTTGCCGAGCCCCTGACCAATCCGACAAATACCACAGTCGTTGCAATGATAAATGCTTTTATTTCCGTCATTGTCCCATAGTTTGCAAATTTCACAAAAATACTGAGCAGTCTGCTCTCCACATTTTCTGCAGTCATACGCCGCGGGCTGGGCATGACCGCATAGCATGCATAGCATGTTCTCGGTGTCTCGGCGTATGAGATGGTGGTCCTCGACTTCATCGTGGCAAAATCGGCATGTGTACCACCTTTTGCAAGTAATGCACTGGAGTTTGACATTCCTATGGTAGTGCTGACAGCCAAGAGACGTCTCCTCCAATTCTTCGGTGTCTGGATCTTCTTCTCCCGTCTCCTCGCCCGTCTCAACCACTGGCGACTCGAGCTCCACCTTCGGAACATACGTAGGTTGTAAGTCCTCCGGAGTGAGTGTGAACTGATGCTCATACTGAGACACCGAGGCCTTTAATGTCGGGCTCAGCGGAGCCATATCCGGCGTACGTTTGCTTCCATGGATTGGCGGGCTTCCGAGCTGGGCCAGCCGTGAAGGGCTAAGCGTGGGGGATAATGCTGCGGCAAGACTCGGGGAAAGGATTCGAGAGGAGTTATAGCTTTCTGTCATCAGGTCGTGAACCATCCGTGCTTTATCGTCGTTGCTGAGGTCCAGTTCGCGAATAACATGAATCTTGTTTCTGAGCCAACCCATCCCATCATCGGCGGGTAGAGATATCGGGCCCGCTTGATCTAAGTTGAATGCATTGTTTGGTGATCGTCCGGGTCCGTCGCTTCTCAACCGCGAGTTGGTAGTCGGTGGCCCCGCCACCTCGCTATGCCCAGATTCTACGTCCGCCGTGCCACGTGTATCGATATCGACATCAATCGTGTGTACAATGTCGGCGGCGCGCCGAGTGGTCGTCAATGTGTCGCTTGGTAGAGGGCTGTTTTGAGGCATTATTCGAACGCCTTCCGGCTCCGAAGTTCGGCCGTCCATTTCTTTGGGTAGCGTTGTGAAGAAAGGCGGCGCAGGCAAAGATCCTGCATTTCCGCTGGTCGATCCCGAATCACCACTATGTTGGCGGGTTGAAAGAGTGGGATCGGGGTGACCGCCGGTTGACGGGATTGTTTGACGTTGAGGAGTCTCCGCTTGGTTGGAGTGGGGAGGGCGGGGTCGGGTGCGAATTCCGAGATCAGTCAACAAAGAATATATGAAGCTGGTCATGAAGGGCCAAGACAGATCACATTGCAATCACCAACCGTTTGAAGGTTGAAGGCGATTTGGAGCAGTTTGGTAATTCGGCAATTTGGCATGTGACGTCGGGTCCATCACATGACGAAGATCGACACTACCAAAGTATCCAAGTATGAGGTTGAATCTACATCTATGAACACTTGAAGGGGGATCTAGCATTTGATTTCTCTTAGCTTGTACTTGATAAACAAGTCTTTTAGATGTTTCGCTTTCGACCAGTTCTGTGCCCTGGCCGCAGCCCTGCAGCATCGTGCATCAGGTCTGATAAATCTCCCCACACAGTTCCATTTCGGGGACTATTCGAATCTAGCAAGTGCACCACACTGGGAAATGATGTGGACGATACGTCATGCGTTCTATGTTGCCCGATCGAGAGAACAATGCGAGGGTCACAACGGACTCGGGATGGATCATTGTGCCAGACTGTGTCCAGATGTCCTAATGCCAGCGGGGGAAATGGAAGACGGAATTCCAAGATGGCCGAGATTATGTGGCCTTCCATTTTAGGTGACAACCTTCTCGCCCCATTGTGTGTTTGTGCCCAAGTCGAAGTACTGGAGCCCAATGCAGGATCGTGGTGCGACGAATCGGACGGGCAGCGGGTCCCTCACTTCAGACACGTCCCTAGACTCTCGTTAAGACGCTCGAGGGTAGAACTATAATGGCGGTATGCGCTTTTGCGAAATCGGGTCTCTAGTTTGCCGAGTCCCAAAGCCCGTAGCCTACGGTACGAGTTAAAGACAACCTTTCCCACCTGTGGTAGTAGCACTTACGTGCGTGACTCTTTGGCAATATTGGGCAGTTCCCAATACCTAGCAAACAGTAGATTCTTCACGATTTTGTGCTCGAAGCCCGTGGCATCGGCGGCACGCTCGAGGAAGCGGAGGGTATTGGCGATCCTCGACGGATCAAACTCATCGCGTGGAGTGGAGCGAAAGGAGGTCCGCAACGTTGAGCGCAGAACGTGGCGGCCGGGAGTGGCATATCTGATGGTTCTCAGCCCCTGTCGATAGAGGTGACGGTATGCATGAACAACGGCCTGGTCAGCCAGACTCCCCGAAGCACTCATGTTGGTTGTACCGAGACGACAAGATCATTGATTCGAAGATCTGCGGCCTCAGGCAGCGCTAGCCTAATCGGGATAGGTGACTTTGGGCCGCAACTTACAACTTACAACTTGCGACCTGCATTCTCTCTGCATCCCCCACCTGAACTTGAGTTCAGCCTTTTGCTTCTGTTTTCACTAAAATCGGGGAGACGTATCATCCTGCAACCCTTGCCTTGACGCGTGGGGTTCCCCGGTCTTTTCACTCCCGGTGAATTTATGTACTGACCGCCCTCTGGCCTACAATATCAACCGCCCAGCCCGGCTTTCAGAAACATGTGTTGAGATTCTCATAGGGTTTGTGTCAAGAGCCTGAGCAGGATGGCCCGGGTTGTCAGGAGGGCCGCGTCGGCTTTGGCCAGGCGCGCTCCTAGTCGGGCCGTTCAGAGGAGAGCTCGCAAGCATAAGGTGATCATGGAGTCTGTCACTCAGGAGAAGAAGAAACTCCGAACTGTGGTGAGTGTTGCCGAACATCTGATTTCGTAAAATATTACTTGACGATCAGTTTAGATTTCTTTCGAAGCTCGAGCGCCCAGTGGTTACACCTTCATACCAGCTGGAAATCCACTTCTCACCACCACATGTAAGGAGCGGTGCCGAAAAGAAGGTCTCCAGATACATGCGGTCTCGGTAAGGTGGTTCATTTGTTTTTCAGTCCGAACGCTACTAACATCTAGCAGACAACCCCGCATGCAAATACGCACAACCTATCGCAACACGTCCATCGGATAGGGTTTCATTTCCCAAGTACCGTGGTTGCAACCGCCTGCTCAGAACTGGGTCTGTATCTCACAAGTGCAGGGAAGGCGGTGCCTTTTCACAACCTTGGCAATCTGGACCATCCGCCGCAAGCGGACTCCGAGGTTTCCCAACTCACCATCAATACGGAGGCAAGAGATGCGATTAAAGATTTGTTCCCAAACGTTCCGCAGAGTGATTTATTCCAGATCATCAAAACTGCTTTTCAGAAGGTAAGTTCCTTGGCATGCTCGGAAGGGCAAAGGTTGAATGGTCGGGGATGTCTGATATCTATTTCAGGGTCAACAGAAAGTCGGCACGGCTCCAGGTTTACCTTTGGCTCGCCGAGCACAATTAGCCGTGGTTGCGCATATTCGACATGTCTACACTGACTATGATCGTCTTTTGAAGCAGAAGTCTTTCCACGAAGCAAGGGCAGCGGTCGAGCAAACTACTCTGATAAAGGTCATCCAGTGGCGCGGGGATGACGAAAATGGCCAGACCGTTCTGGAGGATGTCTTCCGTGAGGTGATCGTCATTTCCGATGATGAAGATAGCGAGACGGAAGAGGAGATGACATCCGCCACGAACACCCGAGATCCGAGCGTGGAATATCTATCCAATAATGACCGATTCCAGGATGTTCAAACCCAACCGGTCAATATCGGAATCCCTTCAAATGAAGACCTTGCGAAAGAGCTGTCTGAAGAGGCACCCCCTGGGTTCCGGTTTGTGGCCAGGGTGCCGGCCAAGAAGACCATCGACCGTCGAGGTTTCAGCAGGTATCAAGCGTGGAATCGTGCTTTGCATCGTTTCCGCGCCGAGGCACAGGGTACCGAACAGGCCCATCTTGGCGAAGCTCCGCCTGAACAGCAAAGCCCACGTAACGCGAAGCGATGTGCGGATGCGCAAGAATTATCAGACCCAGTCATGCGACGGGACATCGCTCCCAAGTCCGTGGGATTCGTCTCCAGAGCCGATCCAGGTCCCATACAGGCCAACCGCCCAGCACAGCAAATGTCTGGCGTTCCATCAGCGGATAATCCGAGCGGCAAGAATCATGTAGGTACACAGGAAAGACAACTTCCTTTGGAAAGCCAACGAGCATTTTCTCAATACGGGTCTGGTGGAAGGCCTCTCTCACTAACCGCCCAGGAGCCATTTGACATCCGTCCTATGGAGAGGAACCCTCGCCCAAGCGGCAACGTCATCTACCCTCAGAATAACTCTCATGCAGAAGCGGGTTCCAATCTTCGGACTGAAAGGTTTCATATCCCGTCTAAGGTCAGAGCGAATGCGCCTGTCTTTGTTAGCGGACCCAAAGAGCTTCAACCGATTAGCGAGACCCAAGTTGGATCCCGGCCCGAACTACCCCTTTCTTATTTATCCAGCTCAGGGCCCATTCCACAGGACCATGCTTTACCATCGATTGAAACCCCCTGGCCTCTGGAAAAGCGGCTTGTGGAAGGCCGACTAGAACAGATGACGAAGAGGATGTCTCTTCGTTCCGTAACCCCGGTTCACCACCTCCAGGGAGATTCCTCCCATCATGGAAATGCTGGGCCACCGGATAGCCCCGATGATCTAAATGTTAAGAGAAGGCGCATAGCACATTACGCCCGTCGCCCAGATTCGCGCCCCGATACCTGGAACACAAGACCCAACGGAGTCCCAGTCTCCCAAGGATTGAGCCCAAGAGGTCAATATCGCCGTGAGGAAATCGTCCCAGAGTACTGCTCGCAGGACCCGCCTTACTTTCGACGATATTATTTCCCACCGGCGGAGCAGCCTCTGGTTGCAGGATACCCACCAGAAAGGATACCGGTTGCCCTTGCCGCTGCACAAGTCAGCCAGGATGGGAGACCACCAATGGAACGGATGCGTATTATCGATCCTCATCAGCAGGCCTCAACGCATCGCCCTCCCCCGGCGTTTTCTGGACCAAATGGCAGCTATGCAGGAGGCGACCGCACAACCAGGGTTGCACAAGAAATTTCCCGTCCTGAAACTCGTCCTGCCTACTATTCTGATCGTAGCCCCCGCATGGACCGAGCCCGACCCTCGACGCTTGAAGAGCCATACGCCCCTATTTGGAAGCCCTATACTGATCGTGACCATCTATTCCATGAGGTTCCTCCCGGAGGCAAGCAGTATGCGGATGGTTTCGTTCGTCACGTTGATATCCGCGAGGCTCGTCCGGTCGAGTACCTGATTCAACGTCCGAGGCCTCAGCCTACCCACCCGGGAGAGAATCTCACTCAGCCTGCCAAGATGAGGATGCCCGATCACTATGATACCATGAGATTGTCTCAGGCCCGAGCTTCCTCGGAGCAATATCAGCCTCCCAGTCCCCGGGTAGTAGCTCAAAAGTCTCATGATCAGCTCTACCGCCGCCCCGAGGTTGTTCCTGGAAGTCACAAGCCGCATGGATCTCCTCGCCAAAGACGCCCTGGTAGTGGGTTGAGCACCACGCGGTAAGCCTCCTCTACAACGAGATGAACCGATTCACTATGCGCACAAATCCTTGGATCGTATGCGCCTGGAAACTAACACCTCTCCCAGCCGGGTTCATGCTCCCCGATCGGTTCAAATGGCGGAACAGAACCGCCCAATTTACGTCCAACGAGTTGAATCGCAACCGCCGCAACAGACTGTTCCGGACGGAAGACATGTGGTCATTGTGGATTGAAGGGAAAGGAATTTGCGGCGTTGAAAAGGTTGATTTTTATTATTTGCTGAGATTTTCTGCATTTGTTCTGCGCAGTTGCACATGATACCCTCTTGCATATTATTAGAACGCCTGCATCTCACGGAAGTCCAATACAGATCGTGTTGCCTGAGGGATTTTTCCGGCATATAAGTTCATCGAACGTCCACCTCTTCAGGCCTACTCGCCCTTGTAGCACTTAGCTTAGCTGTCTTACACAAGGTATAGGAAAGATCCGGATCAGCGAAGACATGCAAAGATAAATTGTGCTTAGAAATGTTTTCAAGCAAGTCTATGAATCATATAAGGATAGCTCTGTCTATCCTCTCTGATCTCGAGGGAAATCCTTGTTTTACCCCCTCCCCCAGAACACGGCGTCGGGTCGTCGAAAGCCTTGGAGTTTCAAACACTCATCGTCTGCCCATCGGCCTCGCCGCTGTTGACCTGCTTTCCAGTCTTTTTAATCGTGGCCAGCACGGTATCATAGGGGACGGTCGACTCGGCGGTCACGAGCGCGGTCTGGGATTCAAGGTTGACGTCGAAGGACTTCACGCCTGCGGGGTCAATTAGTAAAGCGCAACCTAGAGAACAGGGTAATACATACCCTCCAAGCGCTTCAGAACACGCTCGACGGCGCCGGAGCAGCCGCCACAGCTCATGGACACGTTGAACTTGTATTGGTGGTCTGACATGGCGAGTGAAGTGAAGTTGGAGAGTTGGAACCGCGCGGCTGCGGGGTGGAAAACAGCGGGAATGGAAAAATGGATTTGTCACGACGTTAAGTAGAGAAGCATCAGAGGAAGAACAGCGCGTTTATTATTCTATTATACGAGTCGAATCTAGTGCATTTGTCATGCGTTTCATCCCTTTCACCTGAGCGATTTCTGCGATTGGCCGAGCTCTGCCATTTAGGCGCACATCATGTTATATACGGGTTCTCTCTAGAAACCGGCAGCTCGCTTCTTTTTCTTGGGTTTGCTGCTCTTCTTGACTTCACGTGCTCCAAATTGTCCTCGTTCCATCTGTGTCATTGGCGCTTCGTCCATCGTGGGCTGGCTGCTTTGAATGGGCATCGGTGGCTGGGCAGGTTGACTGCCCCAGGTACGGATCATGGGTGTGACAGGAGTCGGCGGCAGGGATGACGCAGGTTCAGGTTCAGGTTCAGGTACAGTGATAGTTGCAGTAGCAGGCATAACCCGCGATCTCCTCTTACGCTGCCTTTGCCTGGAAGTCTTCGTCGTCTGATTCCCATCTTCGTCAAGCAGTCGCAAGCTTTTCTGCCATTCATATGTGGCCGGGTCAACGCCCATTTGCCAATGAGATAACAAGTTACCCACATTTTGAGGCATTGGGCGGGGTTGTTTAAACCCCGTATATGTAGAGAGAGCCGTGTAGTTCGTAGCGGTCACTTTTTTTGTCTTGTCTTTTGCACTCGATGTCTGAGTAGGGGTCATTTGTGAGGATGGCAACTGTAAACGATGGTGTTGTGATGATGGCGTGAGCTCCTTCTGACTCCGATGCGTATTGGTAAATTTGGCCTCACTGGTCAGTTTGTCTGCGTTGGGAACGTTTGATATCCGAATGAGGCGAGCAAGAAGAAGGTCAAGGGCAATGCCCCGAACAGATCGCTCTTTCAATACACGTGTAGAGTCAGGTATACCTTCTTCGCCATGGGGTAGAGGCGCGACCCATTCGTCGACCAGGTGGTTGTATGTTTCGAGGAAATCCAACCGTGGATCCGGCGAAATGCCTGTCAGGCCTAGAAATATATTTGCGAATTGTAAAGGCAAGATCATATAATGCCACGGAGCCTGTGCATCCAAGCTCTTGGTCAAAAGAGTTGAAACAAGACGAGCTAAATCGTCCGCTTCATCATCTATATCATTCAACATTGATGGGCGATCAACGCTAATCTCCAGCCTAGAGTGTATTAGTATCAACCACCGGTGAAGGAGGATTTAATAAAGTAGACTTACATGGTTTTGCTAGCATCAGATTGGTCGAATTCCCCACTCGGATCCTTTTTTAAGGTTTCAATGATACGATCCAAGGTCAATTGAGTCCCTTGCGAGTCAAATGGGTTTGTCGGGACCATCAGGTTATCCACTGCCCGAGTGTAGACAGATGTCCAATCTAGGGTCCATTGGAGATCTTCTGTGCGGTTGTATAAGGTGTCCATGGCAGAAACCTCGAGGCCAGGTTGGCAAAAAATGAGGCGTGAAATCGCAGATTCATCCCAGTCCTCCACAATGAACTCCTCGTCATCGAACCCCTCCTCGTCGGTATTGCTCTCTTTCATAGGTGGAAAAGGGGATTTGGCCTTCAAAAAACTGACACCTTCGAGAGGAGCCTTCCCTTCGCCCTGTTTCTGGTGATTTTCTGGGCCTTTAAACAGTGTTTCATGAATGGATAGGTATTGATCGGCCCAAAAGAGTTTGAGGAGCGTCATCTTAGGACTGTGGCAAATTGTCGCATGTGCAGGAGTGTGGTGGACTTGTCGAAACACGAATTTCGAGTAATTCAACGACATATTTTCGGGAGAGATATCCCCTGCCTTGGGTACCTTGAGAATGAAAGGATCGGGCACAGAGACCAGCTCTGTCTTTTTATCTTCGAGAATTGGACATGGGAATCCTTGGACAAGGTCGGTGAGTCGTGAGTATAGAGTTAAATACAAATCTAGTCGAATTAGTGGCCAATCATTTGAAAGGAAGGATTCAAGCACACACCGCCATTAACCATGAGATCGCTGATACGTAATGTTGTATCCTCAGGATCTCGAAAATGACGCCAGGTAACAAAAGGAGGTAAAGATGGCCTCATGCCATTTGAGATAGGCGCTCTTGTGACATCGAACCAGAGCAGTCGCGAAGTTGTAAGAACGAAGAAGTGAGAAGGATCCTGTATGCTTCGTTGCATATCCAAAACCCACTCGGAGTTTTTGTCCATGCCGAGTTCGACAATGCTAGATCGAGCACTCTTGCCGGTCATCTCGTCGGTCATCTCGTAAAGCATAGTGCAACGACGATCAGAAACCACTAGAGTCGAGGAATCAACAACCCACTCGATCGATGCCCAGCCATCGTGTCTCGGGCGTATAGGTTTAGAGTCTTTCGGTGACGATGATGATGGCAATGAGGCCATCATGAGTTTCCGAGGAGCGTAGGTGGATCCATGCTTCTTCTGCCGACCCGTGATCTCCCAAATGGACCAGTTGCCCATGATATCAACAACGCCGAATTTTCTCGAGTACCACGGATTGAAAGTCACATCGGCCAAGGTAAATCCTCCCGTGAAGTCTTGCAGCAACTCCACAACGGGGTTGGCATCGAGTCGAGAGTTTCGGAAAGGAATAGAGAGAGCCTCTGTATCGGTGACATTTATGTGCGCGGGCACGGGCACGGGCTGAAATATGGGTCGAAAAATCATGACTGACGTTTTTAAACGAGCAGCCATCCAAGCGGCCTTTTTTCCCACGGTTCGCGCAAAACGGACTTGCTGGATCGGGGCTTTTCGTTGCGACCATTCAGTTGTCTCCACATCGCCAATGGATGGTATAAGTAACGGAACATCATGTTGAGAGCCCTTGTTCTGGATCTCTACCAGGTCATCCCTCATCAATCGGAACGAGATGGTATCGCGACTAACGCCAGTCACTGCGGCTGCAACGGCCACCGGGTCCGGTATACTCGCTGAATCATCGCTCGCATGATCCAAAGCATAACCCAGATCAAAAAGAGTAGAGATTTGGGGGTCGCAAAGATCGGCTGCATTTGTAATAACCTTGGAAAGGGCATCATCGCAAATAGTGGGCCATTGTCCAGCAAGCTCGGGTTGGGCATTCGGAATCAGTTTGTCGTCTGCTTGTCGAGAAGTTTTAGGCCGCGGTTGTAATTCAGTGGTGTTCCGTGCCGGCGAAATCGTAGTCCGGGTTAGACCGGTGTATGAGATTGGGGTACAGCGGGCGAAAGAGCGGGCGAAGGTCCATGTCTTCGTCTCTGGGAGGTAGACAGCTCGTCCCACGTGCCCATAGTGTAGAGCACTGTCGGGGTGATCATCCATCGGATCGTGTCTTGCTCCTGGTGAGCGCAAGGTCTGACCAGATCATATCGACAGGAATTCCGAATAGGCCCAAGTCGAATGGTGACTTGTCTGGTGAAGTTGGAGCTCTACAATTTTTCCTGGGTCGCTTATCGATAAGGCGTTGCGCCGCAACCCAAAACATCGTTGTTCCCCACGCGTCTCTCTTGTCACCCCAACTCGCGAACTTCAAGAACCCAAGAACTCAACCTGCAATTATGGCTTCATCATTCGAGCCCTCACTATCTACGAGTGGCATGCGCCCTCCCCTAGCCTCGGCGGATGCCCCATCCATGGCCGACTCGCTGCCTAGCATCAACTTTGGATTTGAAGACTTGCGCAATCGCATGGCTCAGTTCACTGCCAAATTTGATGCCTTTATTGAACGAGGCCGTAAGCGAGTCCTGGAGGAAAGAAATCAATTCCATATCAACCTCGCTGAGTTACAAGGTACGGCTCCGCGACATCAAGTTTCCCCTACGCCTTGACTGATCTGAAGTTTGTAGAGGACGAACGAATGCGACAGCGTGACATTGAGATCCTCAACCTCAAAAACCAGACACATGAGCAGACTCTGCAAAAGGAGGCTGCCGAAGCTGCCGAGATGCACACGGCCATCTCTTCCATCACTCTGGAACGCGACTCGCGACTTGCCAAACGTGACCGCCTCAGGCAGCAGATCGCAGAGACCCAGAAAGCGATCAGTCAAAAGGTTGAGGCACAGAAAATTCATGCGAAACATTTGGATGCGCAATCTCGACTTAATTTCCCCGAACTGGAATTTTGGCAGGACTACCTTTGTTTACGGATTGAAGGGGCAGGCCGAGAGGACCGTTTGAAATTCGTTTATAGTCACCTGCTGGAGAAAGACTGGGAAGCCGAAGCCTGGTTCGAATTAGGAACTGCCAGTCGAGATTACGAAGTTTTCCACACACGACCCAAGGTGGACCGTGATGCATTAGAGCGTGAGGTGGATCTGGTCAATGATGACCGAGATTTCGGCGCGTTCCTCAAGCGAATGCGCAAGCTGTTTATGGAAACAATGAACTGAGAATGAATCCAGGGTATTCAAATGTTTTATGTTATGAAGTTTATGAGTTTGATCACATGGAGAATCGTTTTCATTCAAGTCATCATCATGTTTAAGTAGTCCATAAAGAGCTCCCCTTAACCCCCTGTAGCCTCGCGATAGAAAGCCACACTGCGATTTGCACCACCGGTTGTAAATGCCTCTGACCTGGCGGTCTTTGGGAGCCATTTCACGCTCCAAACAGCCTTTTCAGTCTCGGACTGGGTGGCGACGCATGTCTTCGTGTCGATCGACCAGACCTTGACTTTACCATCAAAGGAGCTTCGAGAAAAGTTAGAACCCAATCCTTTCAGGCTGTGTTTACTTCGCCTTACCTGCTAAGAAGATACTCTCCCGTGGTACTCCAGGAAAGGGACAGAACCCATGCAGAGTGGCCGGAGAGGTTGGCAATTTGCTCACCAGAGGATGTATCATACAGCACGATTACTTTCGAGTCCCCTGCTGCTGCAAGGATCTTTCCACCGGGTGAGAAAGCCACAGCACGTACGGGTTTCACCAAGCCTGTAATGTGTCAGACAATGCAGCTTTTCACGACAAATGGTACAGACCTGATAAGGAGAAGGGCATTCGTGCATGCTCCGTGGTAAAGATGTAGACAGCCCCGTTCTCATGTCCGCTGGCAATGAAGCGGCCATCAGGCGACTGTGTATGTCAGTATGATCCTTTGAGGATACAGCTCCAGCGGCTTACCAAGTCGATACAAGTGCCAAAGCTGCCCTTGGTCTCATGGTCTCGTATCTGTGCGCCATCGGCATTCAGATCCCAGACGCCAATGTGACCATCCTGGGAGACACCTGCAAGATACTGTCCGTCTTCAGACAAAGCGACTGCCCATACATTAAGATCGTTCAGATTCGCTGCAAGTTCTCAATTAGCGCATAGTATCTCGGCGATGATCATCGACACCTTACCTGAAGCCGTCGCGTCTGCAGACCAGTAGCCATCTTGACAAGACCAGACCTTAACATCTCCTGCGAATCCAGCACTGACGGCCCGCGTGCCACTGACATCGGTGACAACGTGATGGCAGCCGAGTGCATGGGCCCCATCGAGCGACTGAACCAGTGGAAAGTCTGCATCAACCGTGGAATGCACCTTGAGAGATGGTGCGCCCGACGCCGAGATGACCTGCTTCTGAGTCACCGCCAGCGAGAAAATATCGACGGGGTGCGCTGGTCCTGGTTAGCACATATGGGGTTCATCACAGATATCATCACTCACCATTGTCCGCCGAGCCCCACGCGAGATATTGTCTCGACTACCTCGAGGATTAGCTGTAAGTCCAATTAAATGACCGGTATTATCTCACCATGGTGTTATTCGACCAAAATTCCTGAAATTGCTTGGAGGGAAGTCGAACTGTTGCGGAGCCCGTGACGTTTGGTCTGGGTGACCCGCATAGGCGGGTACCGCCTTCGCGCCTCAGGTTTTGGAAACAGTGAGGCTTTCGCTCTACATGTTGGGAATACTACCATTTCAACTTCAATTGATGTGAATTATGTTGGAGGACCCCGTTACAGCAAATTGCCTACATTTAGTTGTAGTGAATTGCTTAAGATTAACTTCAATATACCCCTGATATCTGAGATGGGATGAGATGATTCTTCGGCTTTCACCCCCACCCTCTTTTTGTACAGAGAAAATTCGACTAGCGCGTATGTCCTGGCTAGGAACGAACAAAGCTTCTCAATGTCTAGCTTTCGGTCGATCTCGACAGGAGCCTTGCGAGGATAATCTCCTGCCATGCTATTCCAAGATCTTGGAGTCCGAAAATGGACAAAAGCCTCCATGCACAAGGGGGTGCCGTGGATCGTCTCATGGCTGATCCTCAAGCTTTCCCTCGAGTTCTCCATAGTTGTTGAAGTAATTGCCAGTATTGGTGATGCGAGTCGTCTCGGATGATAGAAAAAAAAGAAATTCTTTTTTGTCCTCTCGGATGATAAAATACAGAAGGTCTGTTTTTGACCTTCATAACCAGACGCCATATGCCATGCAGCAGATATATCAACAACCCATCCTTCCTAGAAATACACGATTCTCATTTTCATGCGGTTTGCGCTGTTTTCCACGAGTCCTTGATATCTGGGGGATAGTTAGCTTGTCTGTTTCGTTGCGATGTGGGCAAAGCTGTCTTCGGAGGTGTCCGGATGACCCATTGCATGCCATTAGAGGAAACGTGCTCAAGAAATGATCATTCACAAATAGCATATCCTCTCAGAAGCAGCACATCCGAAGACAGCACCCGCGCACGAAACTTACCTCTCACGCAGTGGGGGCACATAACATGAGCCCGTTTGATTTGGCCACACCCAGGGCACTTGTTCAGGCTCTGCACGTCCTTAAGGGCTTTGCCTGCCATTTGACGGTGGCGTTTCTTCATGTGCGAGGTCTTCTTCTTGGGGACGGCGCGGAGGACGGATTCCCAGAGGTCGGCGAGGATCGGCGGAACGGTGATCGAAATAGGCAGGGCGAAAGATTGAATGAGGCCGAGAGGAGCGAGCCGAGGCACGCGCGAAGCGAGCAATGAAGCCATGGCGAAGGGTGGGAAGTGAAAAGCACAAAGCACGAAGCAACGAAGCCATCGAGTTCGCCGGCGCAAATCGTTTTGAGTCCGGAGTTAGACTAGTCCCAAATAGGAATAGCGCACCCCCTGACTGTCGATAGGGAAATAACAGAAGTTAAGGGGCTCCAACACCTTCACCTGGGGAAATCTCCTACTCTATTCTCTACACACATCCTCATAATGGCCGCCGCTACTACTGCTGCTTCGGCTCAGCAGCCCACCGTTTTCCCCCACAGCCATGTCGGTTTCGACAGCATTACTTCCCAAATCGAGCGGAAGCTGTTGAAGCGTGGCTTCCAGTTCAATGTCATGTGTGTTGGTATGTATATCCTCCCCGTGATTCACTGTTTTTCAACTCGGTTGGATTCTGCCATATTTTCTGTCTCTTGATTGACTCTCAATGCGCGCAGGGCAAACCGGCCTCGGCAAATCGACTCTGGTTAACACCATCTTCGCATCCCACCTGATCGACTCCAAGGGTCGCCTCACCCCCAATGAGCCCGTTCGTTCCACCACTGAGATCCAAACTGTTTCGCATAGTACGTGTTATGTTGGTGCCTAGTGAGGCGCATTGACTGACGGATTGGCTAGTCATTGAGGAGAACGGCGTGCGTCTCCGTTTGAACATTGTGGACACACCTGGCTACGGTGACCAGGTTAACAACGACCGATGGTATATACATCCTCTCTTTTATGTAGAGACGTTGAAGATGAACGCAGGCTAACGAGCAGTCCAGCTGGGACCCCATTGTCAAGTACATTAAGGATCAGCACTCGGCCTACCTCCGCAAGGAACTCACTGCTCAGCGTGAGCGTTACATCCAAGACACCCGCATCCACTGCTGCTTGTTCTTCATTCAGCCCTCCGGCCATGCGTGAGTTCTTTACAGTCAAAATGTTCCCCAAATACCCCGCACTAACTCAATTGACCCCAATGCAGTCTCAAACCCATCGATATCGTCGTTTTGAAGAAGCTCTCAGACGTGGTCAACGTTGTTCCCGTCATCGCCAAGGCCGACTCCCTCACCCTCGAAGAACGCCAGGCATTCAAGGAGCGGATCAAGGAGGAGTTTACTTTCCACAACTTGAAGATGTACCCCTACGATAATGATGAGCTCGACGATGAGGAGCGTGCCATCAATGCTCAGATCAAGGTAAGACCATATTCAAACAGTCACCACGGCTCATCTGACATTAGACCCAGGATATCATTCCTTTCTCCGTTGTCGGCAGTGAGAAGACCATCGTCGTGAATGGCAAGCAAGTTCGCGGCCGCCAGAACCGCTGGGGTGTTATCAACGTCGAGGATGAGAACCATTGCGAGTTTGTTTACCTGCGCAATTTCCTTACCCGCACCCACTTGCAGGACTTGGTCGAGACCACCAGCCAGATCCACTATGAGACCTTCCGTGCCAAGCAGCTTCTGGCCCTGAAGGAGAGCAGCGCCGCCGGTGGTGGCGGTGGTCACTCGGCCGGCAGCCGGCCCATCAGCCCCTCTGCGGAGCGGGAGCTCAGCCGCAACTCTCAACGCGCCGCCATGAACGGATACTGATCTTCCCGAATGGTGTTGTGACTATGTTTAGCGAAGTGAGCGTTGTGATGCGCCACGACAGCAAGGCAAACCCCATGGGCCCGGCTCTTATCCATCCCGCAAAATACTTACTGTCCCTTTCGACGCCAGCAGGCCCTTGCAGATATCCCTTTTCCTTTGCGTTTCCCTGTTCTTGTCTCCGACATTCTGTATCTCTCTCGGTCTTATCTGGCCGGACTTCCCTTATTGTCTAGGATCTTACCTTGTCGGGAAAAAGAGCGGCATTCAGCGCTCGTGCCATCTGGTCTTCTCCATGTACTTAGTTTCCTTAATTATCCCTGATGAAACTTCTATTCTTGGTTACTCTATGGTGGTCTCACAATATACAACGAGAGCAATATGACGTAGACATTAGGCCTATATGGCCTTTTCTGCCCTGACTCATTCCAAATCTTAATTATCGTGGAACAGGACCAAGGAGTAAAAAACCCCTCTATTAACATATTTCCTAGAAAAGAGAGGAAGAAGACCATAACCTGTGTCTAGGCCCGTTCGCAGCTTTTTTTTTTTTGATCCGGCTGTACATATATGCTATCTATGGAAGGTATTATCGCTTGGGATGGAATCAATAGTGTCCGACATGCCTGTCGATGTGGAAATAGTACAACTATTGGGGCGCTCCGAAACGGCCGCCGTCAACCACCCAATCCCTCACTTCGGTGTAGGCCTTCTCAAGATCATCGTTGACAACAGTCCGGTCGTGGGCACCCGGCAGCTTGGCGTACTCGAGCTCGTTCTTTGCTTGTGCCAATCGCTTGTTCAAGCTATCCTCAGTCTCCGTACCGCGGCCCCGCAGGCGACGCTCCAGCTCCTCGAGGGATGGGGGTGCCAGAAACAGGAAGCGAGCGTTGAGATCGCTGAGCTTGACTTGCTTCACACCCTACACATATGGTTGTCAGTCTCTGAATTCAAATATCACTTCCAAAATGTCCCCACCAACACATACCTCCATCTCGATGTCCAGAACACAGATCCGCTCTTGCTCCGCAACGGTCTTCACGGCTTGCTTGCTAGTACCGTAGCAGTTGCCACCGAACTCGGCATGCTCAATAAATCCGTTGTCGGCAACCAATTTCGAGAAAATCTCCTTGTCTGTGAAGTTGTAGGCAATCCCATTTTCCTCACCCGCGCGAGGGGCACGAGTAGTGTCTATGCGCACGCGCGGAAGACGTTAGTTTCGGTCCGGTTTGAGGATGGAAAGATGCCACTTACGACTAACGGAGAACCCAAATTTATCAGGGTACTCCGCAAAAAGTCGTTTCAGAATGGTGGATTTACCAGTGCCCGAGGGGCCTGAAATCACCACTGGTCGGAATTTCTGGACTGCAGTAACAGGTTAGTTTACAGGGTTGTCTGAGAGGTTTCCCTGCGACAGGGGTCGGCTACGGCCATACCAGCGCTGGAAGCCATTATGTATGTGGACCGAGTCGCACTAGGAAATGAGTTGGAAAAGCAAACAGACAAAGGACGCAGAGGAGGGAAGCAATGCATCGGCACGCAATGGAGAAGTTAGATGAGGGCGCACAACTACGAAAACGTCCGGCAGAATAAAGGCGGTGACTCCGCTATCTATGCTACTTTCTATACATACACAGCCTCGACATAAACATAATATAACACATAACACTATGGCTTCATGGGGCCTGGATGACTCCCTCGCCTCATCGAGTTGATATTTCCCGCCTCTGCTTCCTGCTCCAGGAAGTTAGACCACAATTCGGCCAACGTTTCCTTGCTCGAAGCACCGTTGTCCATAAACTCGGTGGCCAGGTTTGGGGTGCTGGGCGTTCGTAGAGGAGTACCGGGCACTCGAAGCTTCCCTGGCATGCTTGAAGTTCCTGGTCGAGTCAGTCCTGCTTGTTCGCGTTGTTCTGTGCACATGAGTTAGCAAGGCGCAAAAATAAACCATGTCACTTGAACACCTACCATCGTCCCAGCCCAGTAGAGCTGCGATCAGCTGGAGAATCTGGAATTTCTTTGGATCCGACCGATCCAGAGCTAGGAAATGTAACAAATGATTTGTGACAATGTGCCTAAATGTTCAAGATGAGTAAATTTGTTGGTTTATATCTTCAGGCAAGACTCACCGGTCCACGTTGTCTTCTGGCTTTCCCTTTTTGAGGAATCGCAAGGCCTTCGTCAGATGGTCATTGAGAGTGACTGCTTCGTGTCGCAGCTTGCCAATGAGAAGATTCTTCTCCTTGACCTCTTTCTCAAACGGACGCGCTCGTTCCAGTTCTTCCTGCGCCGCGTGAAGATTCTTATCAGCTTCACCAGCTTGTTGTTGTGCTTCTCGCAGAGATCGCCTCAACTCTTCAAGCTGGGAATCTGAACTCTCCACCAGCTCCCGAAGCTCCTGTTTTCGTGCAGTCTGAATCTCCTGCAGGGCCCTTTGCAGACCGTCAACTGTCGATTGTTGGCTGTCGCGATCATTCGAGGCTTTTTCATAGGCGTCCCGGAGGTTACCCAGCTGCTCTTCCAAGTCGGTGACTTTCTCGCCCAGATTCTCACGAATTGATCGCTCCTCCATTGCAAGAACTTCCCAGCTGTGCATAGCCTCTTTGGCCTGTTCAAATTCTGCTTGAAGATAAGATTCATGTTCCATCAGCTCTTCCTTTTCCTTGAGCCAATTCTGCTGGGATAGGTTCGTCCGATCCCGAAGGGTAGAGATCTCCCTCATCTGCTGGGCCGACTCCTCTGCAAGGTTCGATAGCTCCATAGACTTTGATTCGAGCTGCTCCTTCAAGTTCACGTTGTCATCCTCAATTTCTTCGATCTGGGATCGAGCTTGCGCCAATTCTTCCTGTGTGGACATGTAAGCAATGCCGCTCAGCAGGCATAAACCAAAAGGGTTCACGCACAGCATCCTCCTTCATTCGTTGCCCGAGCTGTGACTTAATTGTATTCACGCGCTCCAGTAGGTTCTGAAATTGTGTTTCTGCCTGTTCCTTCTTGGTCTCCGAATCCTCCAACTTCTGTTGCAGGGACTCCATGTCTGCTTTGTGTCTGGACTGGATCTCTTCGAGGGACTTGCGCATATCGGTGACCTCGGCACGGAGAGAGTCTCGGTCTCGAACAAGCGCATCAAACCGGTCTTTGGGCTCGGCATCGCTGGAGGAAGGGTCGCAGGTCTCTTGAGCAGCATCTCCTGTGGGGTTCTGGCTCTCAGAGTGGTTATTTTGCGCGCTGATATTGGCGGCTTCTGGTTGAGCACTGTGGGCATCCGAGGTCGCTATTGAATTGGTGGGTTCATCATCGATCTGGCGAATCTCAGCAACGATTGCATTGGCAGGCAGGGGGCAGGGGGGTGGGGGGGGGAACATGACAAACCTGAGCAGCATCACCCTTGGCTTCCGACACATCTGGGTGCTCGTTCTCGGACTCTTGGGGGTTCTCCTTGGCTTTCGCGCTCTTCTTCTTGTTCTTCTTCGACTTGGTGCCTGGAATCAAGCGGGGTCAGTAGGATTAAACTCAGGGGGTTAAAGGTCCAATGATCGCACCTTGAGCAGGTGATGGATTTTCTCCAGGCATTCTGGCGTCTGTTGATTGTCGAAGGAGAGGAAGAGATGGCGAACGAAGTTCCAAGTAAAGCTGTCAACAGCACTAGCGCGGGCTGGGGGGGGGGGCTTTCCGCCCTACGGACCGCGATGATTAATCTACCTCTGACAACACCTTGTCAACTGAACCGTGAAGGTTGTCTACGAGAAATCGAAATCGAACCCGAAATGCGAATGCTCTTTTTCATACGGTATGCTTGGCATCCCTCCGTTGACTCGTCCTTGCGTCCCTATGTACAGGCATTCGACGATGGCATCCCAGGGAGCCCGCATATGCCTCACCTCGTCTTATCTTGGATGAATGCATTCGGGTATTTATAGAAAAGTGCTCATTATTTACAATGGAATTCGAGCGTAAAAACAAGAGTTTCATAGCTTCATGTACTATCGTCGACTCGCGAGTTTGTTGTCTCACATAAAGTCATCCAGGAAGTCTGCGTCTCGGTCCTGGTTGCTACTGTCCTCCATGTTTTCGGTGCTGAACATGTCATCGTACGCATGATCCTTCTGCCACTTGAGCTGCTCTCGTTCTCTCTTCTCCAGCTTGTCCTTCTCTCGCTGTTGGTCTCGGGTTTTTCGGTCGTCGTTACGCTTCTTCTTCATAAACTCCTCCTTCTCTGCTGGGAGATCGGGGAACTTCTCGACCCGGGTCTTATTGAGTCGGTTGACAATCGGGTTTTCGCGTTCCCGGACGAGGATTTTGCGGACCAGTTTGGAGTTATGGAATGAGACCTGGCCGGTCGCCATCGAGCCATCCTTCTTGAGATTAGACCATGGTGTGTAAATGATGGTGATGTTGTCTTTTTTGTTTCCTGTAGGTGGCTCTTAGTTCCCATCTGTATCCCGTCGGGAGGGATTCTTGTCGACCGACCTTCAATGGAATTGGCCTTGGTTAGTTGTGCGCAGTCATCGAGAAGGGGCTGCGGGATATTTTCCCATGTTTCTCCGTCACGGAGGCGGACGTAGACGTGGGCACTCGAAAGATTATCAACGTGGAACTGTGTGAGTAGGTATCAGACCATTGGTCATAACGGTGGGTGCAGTGCAGGCAAGGAAACCGACCCTGTCGCAAGATAAATGAGCTATTAGTCACACGATTCTAGAGGCCTTTGACCATGGTAGTTCAAGCATACCAGACATCACTTTCTAATCCAAACTGGATCAAGTCCTCATCTGGCGAATTTGTTAGGAGCGTTCCCCAGCGAGCCAATCGGTGGCATACTTTCAAACTTGTCCTTGCCGACATACAGAAAGGCGGACGGGCTGACAACTTTGGATGTGAAATAGTAGACCATGGCGACCAGTCTGCCAGATCCAGGCGGTGTTCAACAGGGCGTGTACCGGGCACGTTGACTCAAGAAATCCCAAATTGGTGGTGGGGAAGAAGCTCACGAAATATTGACGGATGAGTCAGCGACAACTATAGATCAGCCACTGGATTGCAACACAAAATACATTACACGAGCGACCAAGGAAATCTTGTACATTGCGTCTCCAAATCGGAAATTGTAGACGCCTCATTAGTTTGGAATATTGAGAGACATGTTTGAAAGTTTTGTCCTGATAAGGAAAAGAAAAGATGTTAAAAAAAAAATAATAAAAAAATAAAAAGACCTCTACAGAACGGGATGGTCTTGGAGAGTTAAAATAAGCACGACGAAGTATTTAGGACCCGCGACATCTCCTTGGTCTCGACTCTGGATGTACACACTAGATAATACGCAAACATTTGTATACCATTGAGCATCAAATGGAGTGATAGGGTCTCTAAAAAAATACGAGTGGCGTGAAGAGGCTGATCCGAGAGTAGGGTAGGATGTGTTGCTCTGCACAGATATTCACGGATAAACACTCTGATCAATGATCTTTCAAAGTCAACTCGGTCTTTTGCCGAACAAAAGGAGACCCTCAATCGATTGATGTATGTCCATCTTGAGACCTCGATATAAGCAAGGGAAAAAAAAAAAGGATGCTCGAGAAACCTAGGAAGACATAGGAGACATAATGAGCCGGATTAGAGAACAGGGCACACGTTCAATTGGTATAGGAAAATTGAAAGTAGAAAATTAAGCTCCCTAGTGGCGACAGGAAGGTCAAAGCGGTGGAAGAGAATCAAAGTTCAGAAATGGCTCTGTATTTGAGTAACCATCTCGTCTCATTTCATCGCATTTCATGTCATCTCACCTCACCTCATCTCATCTCATCTCATCTCATACCCCTGGCTTTTGAAACAGGAAGTACAATGGATACGATCACCCGGAGCTTCTGGCTCGTTCACGTATTCAGGGTTGCGCGGTGAAGTCAGGCACAGTTCTCTGGTTCTAATTTCCTGACTTTCTGACTTCATCCAAATTTTCAGGATTCATCGTCAGTTTGCTCCGATCCGCTACACAAGAGAAAATCGACACCTCAGAGACCCGATTGATGCACTGGCGTGGGGAACTCGATGGACTTCATTCCGGCGCAATAGCCTCTCTGGGTTCTAGCTTCCTTCTGGTCAGTGCGAGACTTCGACCGACTCTCCACTCCCCTGAAGCTTCACGCTCAGCCCGATTTGCTTCCTAGCTCCGAGAAAGCGTTCACTTGCTTTTCTTTGTCTCGGAGATCACGAACCTAAAATTGTCACAAACTATGAGACTGTGCGGCGGTTCCATCGTCAGCGTCTATGTCGGCGAGACATTCTGAAACGGCCCACTGAAGCGCCAGATCAGCGAGGGACCCAGATGTGGTGCCAAAGTGGAATCTGTTTAGTTTCCGGATAAATTCCGCAAGAGGGTCATCCTGATGTCCCAACTCCTGTGACGCCGCGACGAGATAGATGGAGCCGGGTGTGCGCGGCCGACACGGCCGACAAAGCCCGGCACGAGGCACCAGGGGGGATTGAAAAAGAAAACCAGCGACAAGGGACCAATGATCAGCACTGGCTCCTGAATTCTTGGGCCGGTCTATGTTCAAGGTCTCTGAGTCAGGCCTGAGTCAAGCCAATGCAAATTCGAGGATTCCAGTCGATCTAGTTACGTCAAGGTGAACAGCCGGGCCAGATCCTGGAAAGCGGGAAATGGCTAGCTCGGGCAGTTGAGGAGCCTCACCGTTCCCGGGCTAGCAGATCTCCACTCAACTGATGCACCGGACTTGATACTTGATGGGCTCGAGGACATGCATCCCTCTTGCTCGCGAGTAGGATTGCGCCTCTAATCTATCAACTTAAGCGACCTGTCCGACCCTTGAACCCTATGGCCCAACGACGAATCAGGGCCTGGCATACGTGGACTCGTTTCGATCCTCCCCGGCTAGCTCGATCCTAGCCGGAGCATGTCATAATTTTGGCCAAAAAAACCGTTACGCCAAGGATGTTTAACGCTTCCACAGCGGGCGAGCCCGTTCATAGCAAACCACCCCACTACCCTCCTATTCATATTTCAAGGATGTCCCATCCTGGACATCCCCGTGGCCTCCTGAAGGAACTTCCTCCCTATTTCAAGCATCCGGCCGCCGTCTTTTTCTCTTGCTCGGGATGAATTCCGATCTGTGTCTGTCCTTTTGCATCGGGATCTATGGAAATTAAAAATTGACTGCTACTGGTGTTTTCCCGGGTGTCACTCTTAGCATCTCGGACTACTGAACCGGGTCCTTCCCTCCCCCTCCCCTTTCCTTTGCTCCACTTCGGCTCCATTTGATGATAGAAAAAGCTTCCGGACTTCCATCTGGTCGCATGCCAGGTTTCACCTTATTGTCCTGGCTTTTTTGTCTCAATTTTCATCGGCTCCCCTCGCACATATCTCCAATCGCTGTCGCCATCTGCGGCTATCCCTCGTCACGAACTTCCAGAGGACCCCGCATTTTCATTCTTCGCGTCGTTCTCGCCATGCCCGGCTCGTCAAGCGACCCAGATGCCATCCGACAGGCTTTAGACCGTGCCCGAGACTGTGAAGATGGTCCTGTGGACCCTTCAACTTCCGCTATCCTCGAAGCTGCTCTCGCGGAACTATGGAGTCGGATCTCCGCCGCACCCGACACCTATGTCCCTAGTCCAGATGAATTCGCTCTTTTCAATTACTTTCTCCATCGATTTCAGGGCAATCCTCTAGCCCGACGGGTTGTGGGGCGATTCTGGGACAACTATCAGGCTCCGCCCAATACCGATGGGAACAATAAATAACCAGCACGACCACCCCAGGTTTACTCGAGACATGCTACCTAGCTGGATGTGTGTCTTCCACCGAAGGCCATTTTTTTTTCAGCGCGTGCATCCCAGAATACCCCATGATGGCGAGGCCTGCACCTGCAAGCCTGCTGCGGTTCGTCGCATACTGGCACAAATCCGGACAAGAGAACGGTATTCCACGACACTCAGCTCATGATCTACTCCGCAGGTGACCACACCGACAATCCCCAGCTGCAGAAGAGAATCCCCCAGTGATGAAATCTGGCGGGGGGGGGGAGGAGAGTAGTCTAAGGCGACTGTTTTCTGGTCAGGCCACTCCACTCCTCTCTGTCCATACGGTCAAAGGAGGAGGGGGGCACAGTATGATGCGGGCCGTTGCGCTTCCAGCGGGAGTCGGTGTGAGGTGCATCGATCCCTGTCTCAGTCGGGACCGCATGCATAGGGCAGGGCATCTCCGCATGCCACACGGATCTAATTGAAGACGAACTACTCGTCTCGTGGAATTATTATACAGTGACTCTGGTGCTTTATGACAGTGTCCCACTGTATTAACACATATAGCTGATATGTTATTAATATAACGATATTCACTGTCTATAAAGAGCGAGTAACAGGCATCTGCATGGGCTCGCCAGTGATTTTTCCGACTGGCTCACTAGCAACCTCGAGACTGTGAGTAAACGGAACTTTGGTAATTTACTCGGGATGGGGAGCTCATTTGTTGACTGCTGATGACAAATATTGGGAGTCCTCAGATATATAGAGCCGATCGAAACTGGCGCTAAACCCGATGGCTAAAGATGACAGAGGCCCAAGGCGCCACATCACCGGTAGGACCACATCAAATCGAGGGAGTGAGATTTTGTAGAATACAGCATCCTTGCCCAACCTAACCTAGTCCCAGCTGCACAGTCTTTGCTTGCCAAGCACCAGGTTCATTCCGACGCCCACCCTGTAACAAATTAAGACCCACGAATTGTCGTTTCCTTCCCCGCAGGCTCTGGAAAACTGATTTGATTGTAAAAAAAAATACAGTCTAATAACACACTGTAACAAAGTCAATTAGAGCACTTTGAAGATCGAAAAGCCATTCACTTACAACGATGAGCCCCAGACAGTACCAAGAGAAGGTTGTAGCTAAAACTATCTCCGGTTCATGAACTAGCAGTATCGATTCAAACAGAGCCAGGAAAAGCCCCGATAAATCGAAAGGAAACCAGCGGGCAAAGAGGGAAGTTTAGTAAAGCAACTAGTCCCGTATTCAAACAGTTCGAAGGGATCGTGGCAGCAATACATACTGTGAGGCCCAACCCCCCAGTGAAGACCGGAATACCTTCGGCAATCATCCAAGGTAAATTCTAAGAGATGAAATAGAGGTGGTCCAGGCTGCACGAGCCACAAACGCACGGGAATGTATGGAGTTGGCGCTCGAAGCAGACGGACATACATGAACCTCATCACAACCTTCGTATGTACGACTCCTTCAATCACCATGTGGGTAACTGTCCATACTGCCAGAACAGTGACGGTGCCGCTATGAACGCACGGTAACTACAGTCATCTTCCAAGGGACCAGAGAAGACATATTGCTCATAGGGGACGAGACTGAGAGTTGACAGCGTCTTGAAGAGGGCAATGATCCCCAATGAGACCTTATCATCATGATAATTGAAGATCGCCTCCGATTCTCAGGATAAAAGGGAACAGAGGGGAGTTTTGTTGTACTTACAAATGCTAGCTTGCCTCAAATCAGTAGTCTAATTGGAATGATTTACTCCTCCGGGAGCGTCACCACCAGCATAAGGCCTTGAAATAGTCGTGGTATCGCATTCGTTGGCAGAGGGGCCCTTCAGCTTGAGTGACGCTGCAAGTCCTCCGGTCTCCGGTCTCCGTCGAAGCACTCATTTCGTCTCGAAGGTTTAAGCACCTGGCATTTATAGCAACCTTCTGTCGTCAAATGGGGACTTGTCATCTGTAGCACTAGTAATAATTTCAACGATAGTTTTACCTACAATATAACAAAGCTTACCTTTTGGCCTCACATCCACATTCTAAGGTAGGAAGTTAGGTATCGCCCTTGGTGGGACAATTGGTAGGACAAGGAAAACATTTCTATTTGTACAATGACTG